GTCGGCCCGAGGGAGTGGCAGCATGTTCAGCCGGATGAAGCTCTCCCGGAACTCCAGCGATCTCACGTTCAAGGAAAAACGAGCCATGAACGACAGGGGAGGTAATCTGATCTACAGAAAATTTTTTTTGATGATTTTAATTGTCTTAATAAATAGCAACGTTGAGACTTCCACTACATCCTTCTTGCACGACGTCGACGACTTGCCGTAATTCATTGCGCCTACTTGCGAGGATGTTCAGTGTCTTTCTCTCTTCTAGAGCATCTTTCTCGAAACAAAAAAAAGGCACCTACACGCCCCGGATGGACACTTTGCGCCGCCACAAGATGAGCAGCATCATCAGCCCGGCCAAGGCTACCCGGGGGCTGAGGCGCAGTACGAATCAGAATACGTCACTGGAGCTTAACAACTGCGGCGTCATCGCCGAATACGACGAGGAGCAGGAGCACGCCGCAGGCGGAAAGAGCTCTCTTTTGGAGGATCCCATCGAGTATCCGGCGCTGAATTCGAATCCGTCCACCATCCACCAGGCTACGTTGCAGCAGATCGGTATTGTTTCAAAGCAGTGAAGATTATATATGATGCAAAGAAAATAAAGGGCCCAGCTCCTGTCTTGTTCATGCATTCGATGTATATTCTTATTCAAATTTGTATTCGGCCGCGATTGTGATCACTGGCCCACAGCCAGACCCGACAAAGATAGGAAACAAAAACAGGGTCAAACTGGGCAGCCGGTTGCGACAAGATCAAGCAGGCTTTGGCGGCAAGAAAACCAGTTGCGAATCCGATTGGCCATAATAAAGGCCATGGAAAGGCTGCCACCAAGGGCGGTGCAAGGACTATGACGAGGTGCTGAGTAGTTCAGATTTACTGGTTTACGCACATGAACTACCACGTCAATATCCTCATACTCACTCAAGCTCAACTTTTTCAGCTTTAAATTTTTTAGGCACACAATGAAAAAGACAAAGAAATAGTGACACGATGGAATGATAAAGATAATCAAAGTGTTGCTGTACGATGAACGAAGAGAACTTCTCAGTATTCAGCTAATTCTTGGTACGCAGACAGACAGGATCAGACAGCAGACCCCGATGCACAGTTGCTAGGCCTATCCCACATATGCGTAGCTAACTGCACATCGCTTACTTCAATTTTAGTTTACGTTTCACATTCTTAGCACTTTTTGCAAAAGTTATTCAAATGTTTCACATCACTTACCCAGCTTTTTTGCACGCGATACGATTGCCTTGAGCGCCGCGTTGCACAAATTCACAAATAGTTTACGTTTCGAAAATACATATCAAATCGTTAGGAGCAGAATCGGAAGGTACTTTCTAGTGCCAGTTTAGCAATGCAGCTCACAAAAGACGCGACGAGCAGAGTGACTATAGTACTACTTTTTTGAATTTGCGAGGAACAACGAGCTTCGCGATTTCAAGTACAAGGGCGCTGACAAGGAAGTAGTGCAGGTTTCGATCTCATTTACGCTCGATTCGAATGTTGATATTGAATTGACGCGACTTGACCTCTGTGCTCTTCCATCCGAAGGTCGCGGACGAGTCTGAGGCAGTTGATTCAATCCATTCGTTTGTTGTGCTGCAATTTTTCGTGGCTGCAGCGGACTCGCATCTTCGGGTGAGGCCAGCAACGACGAAGAAGTACGCTGGCCTTTGAAGTAAATAGTTTTCACCTACTCTACCTTTCGCTCAGAGTCGCAATTTTAGCACAAGTCAACTTAGCATTAGCAAACAACACGAGCTTATTAATCTTCTTGTTAATCTTTTTCCACAATCCAATATTAGGTGATACATTGCGCTAATGAACGACTTACTTGAAACATCGTCAAAAATGCACCATATCGACTTACTTTTTTAGAATTTCAAATGTACTAGCAGAAAAAACAAAAAAAAATTTAGAATCGATCCGATCCTTAGATGATAGATTTCGCTTCCACAAGTGTCTACACAAAAATGCATGTACCTTAATAGTTTGGTTTTTATGGAATGCGGTCGAAACTGAATTCTTCTCGGATCGATTCTAGCGAAACAAGCAAAATGAACCGGAAACGCCTGTACAAATGGAATCCGACTCGGTGTCGCGCTGCAGAGTCATAATAGCTTGAAAAGAACGCACGGGCACGACGGACCAAGATGCAGGTCGCGAACCCCAAATACAAGATGTGAAAAGAGTCGTGTTTTCGTTGTGAGCCAAGATTGGCAGGTATGTGTATCCAGCAGTCGTGACTTCATTTTCCAGAGCTGACGAGCGAGCAAAGTAGACAAGGAAGCAAATCTGCGAGTCTCGAGCATTGTGTTTCTGAGGAAATTTTTCCGCTGGCCTCGCACATTTTTTTGAACAGTCTGTTTTTGAGATTTTGCTTGCACTGATGCACCCAAACTAAGAACGTAAACTGAGAAGTACCTAATTCGTCGAGGTAGGTTTGTACGAAGTTGAACGTGGCTGCGTCTCAACCTGCGCGTCTTTGCGCCGCTTCACGGCGCTCCGTTATGCAATTTGAAGTGCCGGTCCCGGCGCTCCTCAGCACCTGGTCCCGGCGCTTCTCAGCACCTGGTCCCGGTGCTCCTCCGCACCTGGTCCCGGCGCTCCGTTTTGCAATTCGTAGTGCCGGTCCCGGCGCTCCTCCGCCCGGGTCCCGGCGCTCCTCAGCTCCGGGTCCCGGCGCTCCTCAGCATCGGGTCCCGGCGCTCCTCGGCACCTGGTCCCGGCGCTCCGCAGCACCGGGTCCCGGCGCTCCTCAGCACCGGGTCCCGGCGCTCCTTAGCACCTGGTCCCGGCGCTCCTTTTTGCAATTCGTAGTGCCGGTCCCGGCGCTCCTCCGCCCGGGTCCCGGCGCTCCTCAGCTCCGGGTCCCGGCGCTCCTCAGCATCGGGTCCCGGCGCTCCTCGGCACCTGGTCCCGGCGCTCCGCAGCACCGGGTCCCGGCGCTCCTCAGCACCGGGTCCCGGCGCTCCTTAGCACCTGGTCCCGGCGCTCCTTTTTGCAATTCGTAGTGCCGGTCCCGGCGCTCCTCCGCCCGGGTCCCGGCGCTCCTCAGCTCCGGGTCCCGGCGCTCCTCAGCATCGGGTCCCGGCGCTCCTCGGCACCTGGTCCCGGCGCTCCGCAGCACCGGGTCCCGGCGCTCCTCAGCACCGGGTCCCGGCGCTCCTTAGCACCTGGTCCCGGCGCTCCTTTTTGCAATTCGTAGTGCCGGTCCCGGCGCTCCTCCGCCCGGGTCCCGGCGCTCCTCAGCTCCGGGTCCCGGCGCTCCTCAGCATCGGGTCCCGGCGCTCCTCGGCACCTGGTCCCGGCGCTCCGCAGCACCGGGTCCCGGCGCTCCTCAGCACCGGGTCCCGGCGCTCCTTAGCACCTGGTCCCGGCGCTCCTTTTTGCAATTCGTAGTGCCGGTCCCGGCGCTCCTCCGCCCGGGTCCCGGCGCTCCTCAGCTCCGGGTCCCGGCGCTCCTCAGCATCGGGTCCCGGCGCTCCTCGGCACCTGGTCCCGGCGCTCCGCAGCACCGGGTCCCGGCGCTCCTCAGCACCGGGTCCCGGCGCTCCTTAGCACCTGGTCCCGGCGCTCCTTTTTGCAATTCGTAGTGCCGGTCCCGGCGCTCCTCCGCCCGGGTCCCGGCGCTCCTCAGCTCCGGGTCCCGGCGCTCCTCAGCATCGGGTCCCGGCGCTCCTCGGCACCTGGTCCCGGCGCTCCGCAGCACCGGGTCCCGGCGCTCCTCAGCACCGGGTCCCGGCGCTCCTTAGCACCTGGTCCCGGCGCTCCTTTTTGCAATTCGTAGTGCCGGTCCCGGCGCTCCTCCGCCCGGGTCCCGGCGCTCCTCAGCTCCGGGTCCCGGCGCTCCTCAGCATCGGGTCCCGGCGCTCCTCGGCACCTGGTCCCGGCGCTCCGCAGCACCGGGTCCCGGCGCTCCTCAGCACCGGGTCCCGGCGCTCCTTAGCACCTGGTCCCGGCGCTCCTTTTTGCAATTCGTAGTGCCGGTCCCGGCGCTCCTCCGCCCGGGTCCCGGCGCTCCTCAGCTCCGGGTCCCGGCGCTCCTCAGCATCGGGTCCCGGCGCTCCTCGGCACCTGGTCCCGGCGCTCCGCAGCACCGGGTCCCGGCGCTCCTCAGCACCGGGTCCCGGCGCTCCTTAGCACCTGGTCCCGGCGCTCCTTTTTGCAATTCGTAGTGCCGGTCCCGGCGCTCCTCCGCCCGGGTCCCGGCGCTCCTCAGCTCCGGGTCCCGGCGCTCCTCAGCATCGGGTCCCGGCGCTCCTCGGCACCTGGTCCCGGCGCTCCGCAGCACCGGGTCCCGGCGCTCCTCAGCACCGGGTCCCGGCGCTCCTTAGCACCTGGTCCCGGCGCTCCTTTTTGCAATTCGTAGTGCCGGTCCCGGCGCTCCTCCGCCCGGGTCCCGGCGCTCCTCAGCTCCGGGTCCCGGCGCTCCTCAGCATCGGGTCCCGGCGCTCCTCGGCACCTGGTCCCGGCGCTCCGCAGCACCGGGTCCCGGCGCTCCTCAGCATCGGGTCCCGGCGCTCCTTAGCACCTGGTCCCGGCGCCCCTTTTTGCAATTCGTAGTGCCGGTCCCGGCGCTCCTCCGCCCGGGTCCCGGCGCTCCTCAGCTCCGGGTCCCGGCGCTCCTCAGAACCGGGTCCCGGCGCTCCCCAGCACCGGGTCCCGGCGCTCCTTAGCACCTGGTCCCGGCGCTCCTTTTTGCACTTCGTAGTGCCGGTCCCGGCGCTCCTCCGCTCGGGTCCCGGCGCTCCTCAGCATCGGGTCCCGGCGCTCCTCAGCACCTGGTCCCGGCGCTTGCAGCGCCGGGTCTCGGCACTTCGCAGCACCGAGTCCCGGCGCTACCACTTTCTGCGGTTATGGTATTTACTGATAGAAAGGGCCCAGCTGCATTGTTCCATCTCTTTTCGACGGGCGTCCAGGAACGTGTGTCGCGTGCGAGAAGTGAGCGAAGAGGAAAAATACTGATTCGCAAATTTGGCAACGAACCGCAGAAAACAGATTATTTTTGAGGTGTTGTCGCTTTTCAAAATAATCTTGGCATAGCAGTGATGCTCATGCACATTCTCTACAACGATTTCGATTTTATAATTTTTACGGTTGTTGCAGTCACTTGCTACTTGCGGGAACGTTGCAGCGTGTTACTTAGATTCTTGGTGTATGGATGGTATCGTCGTTTTTTGTTGAATGGCACATCAACTTGAACTCTGGTTTGTGGTGCGTTTGTGAATAGTCATTTTCTCGGTCTCAGGGAGACCAAACGACATCATGTCCGCTGCAGCAGGTCCGCTCGACACGAGTTGGAGCTCCCAGCTCAGTGCCTACATTGATGCCCACGAAGACAGTATTCAGGGTCGGATGCGTCGACACCTTGACCGGACCCCGTCTTATGCTGCTGGGACCCATACTAGTTCTAGTTCGTATCCCGTTACCAGGAGACTGGATTGCGTGCCTTCGGTAAAAAAATCCACGAGCCCTACCCAAACTCCTGCCGGTGCCAGCACATTTGCGTCATCTTGTTCGTCCTCCGCTAGTGGCGATCATGGAGGACAGCCTGCTGTCGGGACGACTGGAACGGGTTCTACGGACGCCGTGAAGCGAGCAAGATTTGCACAAATGGAGGCGGACGGAAAAGAATTTCTACGCCGCTTGCGAGCGTACAATAACCGTGGCAGTGCTGCGCCGCCAAAACCGGCTACGTTGGACGATGAGAAAGGAGATGGAGACCCGAACGCCTTTTTGTACAATTTCTGCTGCGCTACTGCTTCTAGGTTCTTCGTGGGACAAAGCCATGCGCGGGAGCATGGTCTTGATTGATGATTTCGCTTCTCCCTGAGATGACGATGACCATCCATAAAAATGTACTATATCAAAATTTCTTCTTAGGAAGCAGAATGATGTCGGAGCGCCACAACCGCCGCATGATAAGCCACCCACGCCTTCGTTCACCAGGAACAATGTCGATAGTGACGCCAACAACTCCAACTCCCGTAGTCGTGCTTCCTCATGCGGCCCGACGAGCTTTCGCAACGAACTGAAAGCCGTCGTGTCGGAGTACAAAACCGGGCTAGAGTCCAAAGCCGTACGCATGCCGCTACGAGCCGGTGGAGCGACCGCTTCTTCGTCTTCGACGTCGTCTTTGCACCAAGCCAGTGGAATGGTGGTAGCCAGCACGGAGCAAGGAGTAACTGCAAATGGAAATGCCAACCCGGAGGAAGATCTGTACACACGCACAAACCGGCTACAGCAAGCATTGGAGAAAAAAGTGCTGCACCGCCCGAAGGGCTTCATCTTCACCCCGCCGGAAGATGAACACGACAGCCACGCAAGCTCACCGAAGGTCACCTTGCGAAAGGATAAGCGGGGCAAGCGAACGCCCAGTCGTGAAAATGCAATCAATGCTAGAGCGGCGCATCGGCGAAGCACGTCGCGAGAGCGAGGATCACGCGGCGGCATAAAGAACTACCTGACGACGCCCTCTGCACATCGCGCCAACAGCACAAAGAGCCCGCACTTTTTGCGTGAGAGTCGCGACTCGGACCGGTATGGTGCGTTGCGGGAAAGCCGCGATGTGTTTTACGACGATGACGTGATCCAGCGAACGTCATCTTCCCAACACAAAAGGTTCCGCGCTGGCTCGAGGACGCAAATTGCAGACACCGGCGGGGACCACGACCAGTTAGGTGACCAAACGTTCATACAGACGCAGCAGGAGGAGCAGATGAGCACGTCTTTGTTTTACGACGACGTGTTTTGCCACGTGCGCGCGCCCCCGGTGCCCTCCTCCAGTCCCTCTTGCACCCGTTCCGACGCGATGTCGTCGCACAGCGACAGGAGCTCCTCGCCCTCCTCAGCCACGAGGCCATCTGGATCCAACTCTCACTCGCCCACATTGTCGCTGTCGTCCTCCTTGGAGGACGAGTCCAGTCCGATGAGCGTGGAGCAGGAGTCTTCACAGGATTTTCAAGAAGGAGACCAGACAACTTTGTTGATCTCTGAGCATGACGAGCAGGAGGTGCAACGGGCGAAAGCAATCCAGAGAGCAGGAAAAAAGCGAGCAAAGAAGGAGCGAGATACTTCTACCCGTGCTGATGTGAACGCTCAAGGCGATGAGAGGAAGAGCAGGAAGTACCAAAAGGAAAGAAAAAGAAACACGAATGATTCGTCCGCAGGACCAGGAGCGGGAACTAGACGAGGACAAAGTCAAAAAAAGCGACAGAAGAAGTCGTCTGCTTCTTCTGACGCTCGATCGCATCGGAATCATGATCATCGAAGCAAGGAGGAGGATTCCACTACGCAAGTGTTCCCGCCGCGCTCGACCACTTCCAAGGGACAGCACCAGCAGACTGCATTCGCGCAGCACAATTTGCATACTGGTGACTCGTCAACTGAAGCGACGACTGTGCCGACAGCAGCGGATTACGAGATGAATTATGGGCGGCCGGGGAGCGGCATTTACGGCTCCTCTAAACGCAACAAAAGCCCACACCCACAGAAGCGTTTCAACGTGTTGCGCCCCTCCGCGGGTCATCATTCTCGTCGGGAGCCCCAGACACTTGCCGCAAGTCAGGGAGTTGGAGTTGCGGATGAAGATGCAGAGGAGATTAGCTCTGGCGAAAGCGAGAATTTCGCCGAGGGAGACAACAAACTGCCGCGTCTGCAACCGCCTTCACTGAACACCAGCGTAGCAAACATGAACGAATCTCTGTCCACGTCCAGAATGAGCGTCAGAACGGTCAACCAGCCGCTGCTTGCAGTGCCACCTCCTTCATGCAGTCCCGGCCCTACTGGGCCGGCGGCTCCGGGGGCTTGTGGCTCGAGTTCTTGCTGTGCCGAGCCGCGCCGTTGCTCCAGCCTCCCTGCGACCCCCGCGGCGATGCGAACGCGCAGCCGCAGCAAAACGACCGCGATGACGCTCGGAACTCCCATCGTGCAAAAGCGGCAGCAGGATATTCTACTCTCCGCGTCGACGCCCGGGACGGTGTTTGCTGCGAATCAAGGTGGAGTCGCCGGCGCCGTGCCTTGCAATAATCCTCCGCCACAGGAACCGGCTGGATGCTCTATGCGGGTCGGCGATATTGCGAAAACTCCTCTGCGAAAACGAAGACAAGTTGCGCGTCACGACGGTGAAATGGCGGCAGAGTCGCAACGTGCGTCTGCGACTCTGGCTGCTACTGCTACCGGCATTTCAGAGGCTGCGTATACGCTTCAGGGGCAGCTGCCAGCGTCTGACCAGAGCAAACTTGTACTTGGTTCTACTTTATCGCTAACGGTGACTTTTGCAAACGCGAAAACACTTTAACTTGCTTCGAAATTTTCTCTTCTTACCCAGCAAAAGCTACTTGCTCCTGCCCTTTAGCTGCAGTGTGGTAGAGAGGCTTTTGGTTCAAATGTGTTTTCGAGTGTGAGAGCTTCCCCGCAACAACATTTTTCAGGCCGAGCTTGAAGCTTTGAAAGCGCTCGTGTTGCGTGATCCTCCGATTGGCGTCGAAAATGGAACAGCAGGCGCAGGTGAATCAAGTGTGGTGTACGAGGGTGGACATGAAGCGCCAGTCGTGCTCTCATCGAGTATCACTGACATCAACGCATGTCCCAGAATGCTCGTCCGCAGTACTTCTAATGCCGCAACCTCAAGTCCGGCCTCTGCTGCGCCATTCCTCGGGGCTTTTTCCCCTGCAGCGGCTGCCGCTTTCGCAGATAACGGGGCAGCATCCGCACGCAGCCGCATCCAAGTTATTGGTCCCGGGAAGCCTAGCTGCTCCCTGCAGGAACGGCGCATATACGAAACGGAGTCGGAGGAACCGTGCGCAAACATTTTTCATCAGCTCAAGACCCGCAGAAGTTCTTCGCAGCCCTGCACGCCAAACTTCAAGGCCACTGGTAGTAGTTCGTCGTCTTCGTCATCCTGCTACCTCAAGCAGCCATCGCTGCTGGATCTTTCTTCTGTCCTGATGCAAGAACCCAGCTACACGGATCGGCTTTACAACATGAATAGTGGGTCTTCGCTCTTGCTGGATCAGCAGCCGGGAATTGCGATTGCAGGAAACACCTCCGCCTTGTTGCCTTCATTTTCATCCGCGAACCCGATGAGCAAGCAGCACATCACGGAACAAGACCAGATCCCGCCGGCGAGAACTCTGTCAAAATCAACTTCAATATCAGCGGCCGACGAGAGCAGCCTGTTTGTGAGCCTGCCACAGTTGAAGTCAACGGGACCTTCGTCGGCTCTACCCAGTGGAAGCAGTAAACCACCTTACCAGCCCCTGATGGAGACCTCGTTCGACAACGTTTCTTTCACCAAGATCTTTGACAGCGCGCTGGCGGCCGCCGCCCACAGAAACAAGCAAAGCTCCTCGTCGTCTTCACATGCTGTCCTGGAGTCCGTGCTCGAGGAGGACGTGCTTGGAGAAGAAAGCGCGACAAACTGTGGTCCTAGTTGTTCAGCATCCTCTTCCGCCGGAACTACACCCTGCGAAGAACAAAGCAGTGAGGTCGGGGGAAACGCTGGAAATTACCAGATGACGTCGTCCCCGGTGCACGTGATATCTTCGAAAAACAGCACGAGCTTTTGCTCGGTTGACGACTTACCTCCGCATTTGCTGATGAGGAAGAAGGCGCGTCGTGCGGACGATGCAGGCGGTCGTCAGGGTGCATCAAATTATGGCGATGATATCGGTGAGGAAGATTCAGCAATGGGAGGCGATGCCGATCCGAACTTTGCTGGTAGCAGCGTGCTGGTTGCAGGGACCATCGAGATGGACCCACCGAGACCAGAAGACACCGTGTCCACCGCCCCGCGGTCTTCCGCTGCTGTGCCGCATCCACCACAAATGTCCGAAGCCCGAGCGCTCTGCGAGGATCTGCACGAGAGGAACCAAGCTATGCTCACCAGTATCTTGACGGAATTAGACGACGAAGCTGAAGGAAAAAGTGGCACGCGAGCTTGCAACAATCCACCCCGAGGTAGTGAAACAGCGAGAACGGAAACCGGCCCCGCCGTGCAAGTCAAGCCTCCCAAGCAAGCGGAAACGCAAGTCGCAGGGGCGCCAGCCGCGAAAGGGTCACGTCGAGGGTCTGGCGGCAAACCGCAACAGACAGGAAAGCGCAAACAAGAAGGCTCTGGTGCACAAGAAGCGGAGGACCAGGGACTTCTGGCCGACGAAGATATACAAAACGCGGTGGATCAAGCCATTCAAAGGTGGGTTTGCTGGTGCTTTCTGGCATAATTTGATGAGTTCCTTGACGCAAGAAGAAGAACACAGTAGAAGTCAAAACCGTCATATTCAAGGAAAACTTGACTTTGACTCCCAACGAAGATGAAAAACGAACATTAACTTAAACTTTTGCCACTCCCTATCGCTTTTTTCTACAGGAAATCTTCTACCTGTCGTTCCACCCTGGCCGAAATCGAGGCCTACTGCGACACTCTGAAAAAGAAAACCGCCGTCGTCGCTGCCGAAGAGGAGTACACAGAGTGCTTGTTACGTTGCCTCGACATGGCGCGCGACCTGAAAATTAAGGGCGTGCACTGATTGGTGGCAGCGGCAAAACAAGAACTTTGGGGACGAGCGCCCGGGACGAGCGGTGAAATAGCAAGCCGGGACGAGATGATCGTGAAAAATCTAACGAAAAAAGAAAAAGCAGGACCGAGTTCTTTTATTTCAAGTGTTAGTTACTGTCTGTGATAGGAAGGCTATTTTTTCGAAAATGCGAAGAACTGGAGCGCGGCAGTGCCTTTTCAATAAAAACTAAATCCAAAATTCACCGAGATCCTCCAAAAAAGACAACTGGAGATGCTCTGAGTTAGAGACCTCAACTTTCACACCAAACAGAATGATTTGAGTACATCGTGGACGTGCTCATGATGCTGATGTCCTTCACCTTCTACAATAGATGAACAACAAACCGCAGCTACAGCTGGTTCTACTCTGCATTGATGTGAGCTCTTTTTCAGCAACGCAAGGACAAAACAAAAAAAAAGAGCCCCCACACTGTTGGTTGTGCGAACATTCATTAACAAAAGTGAGATGTTCTCCTTCTCGTTCCACAAACAAAGCCGCGCTTTCGTTCCTTCCAACAAAAAAAAGCAAATGGAAAAAATCTGCTTTCGTTCCTAAAATCAATTCTTCGTGCGTAAAGGAAGTAAGCGCTGATAAATTCTCAGTGCAAATAAATAAAAAGCCCCATCAAATTTTTCTATGGCATCTCTACGACCTCCCGTAAAAATGTAAGTGTACACAAATGGCCCCTTAGCTAGTTTAGAAGACGCATGGCAACGAAAGATCAAGCAATAGTTCGTCCAGCTGCTCGCTCACCTTCACTCTTAAAACGTAAAAGTGCAAAAAGTGCTTGGCTAGCTGCGCCAGCAGGACACGACCTAAAACCTCTTGATTATTTTGACACTTACTATAACAGTACTAACTTTCTTCACGTTCACCTCTTTGACAGGACCCCAGTAGTAGCAGTATTCATGAATGATTTTTGTTGACAAGGAGGCCCTGGTTGGTTTCCGGTGGTGTGCCAGTGTTGTAGCTATCCCTACAACTGGAGTTGTTTAACGGTGTTTTCGAAGCAAAATTACGTCGATGGGTTTAGGGTTTCTGGGTTACGGTTTTTTAGCTCTCATATTATCTGTAGATAGATATGGACACACGATACAGATGACGCGCCCAGAAAGTAGCCTCTTAATACCGTCACACTTGTATAAATGTGAATATTTTTACGCCGATCAGCAAAAGAAGCATACGACCACGCGGACTGTGACACGCTAATGCTACCAACACCAAACTTTAGTGGCGACAGGGACAGCACGAGCGCACGACATTCACATTCTTTCATGTTGAACTAGCGTAATTTCACTTTTTGTTGCCTCCTTGGTCCTCCTTGCCGCGTCTTCGAGAAGAACTGAAATACGAGCAGTGCTACAGAGAAGGCTACAACTAAGTACCCTGGCCTAGGCTAGTGCTAGAGAGAGAGAGAATTGCTCACACCATATCTGCTGGCAGCACAGCGAAAATGGACGTGGAACTGGCGGACCAGGAGGTGCTGGTAGTGGGGGACGGCGACTTGTCGTTTTCCTGCTCCTTCGCGCTGCACATCAACGACATCAAGCAGCTGACCGCCACCGTGTACGAAAAGGAGGACGAGTTTCGGCGGCGATACGGGGAGATGAGCGAGACCGCGGGGCTGGTCAACCTGAAAACTCTGGAGATGTACGGCTGCAACCTGCTATTCGGCGTGGACGCGACCAACATCTACGACAGCCTGGTCAAGTCCGGGGTGATCCCGGCGGGGTCCTGGGAGTTCAAGAAGTACGACTGCGTGCTGTGGAACTTTCCGTACCCCATCGAGTGGCGCGCGTGGAACGTGAAGGAAAAGTCCACCGCCCTGCTGCGGAACTTTTTCGCGTCCGCCCGCCACTTCGTGAAGGCAGAGGGGCACCTGCGGATCGCCCTGCTGATGAACCAGTACGATAACTGGCGGATCGAGGAGAGCTCCCTGGCCGCGGGGCTCCGGTTGGAGAGGATGGAGAAGTTCGAGAAGGGGAAGTACAAGTACTACTGCAACCGGTACGGGGACGACCGGGAGCAGACCGTGCAAAAGTCCGCCGACTACATCGACCGAGGCAACCCGCACTACTTCATCTTTCGCCACGCGGCTTACGTGGCCCGTAAGGAGAAGGAGAAACTGATGGAACGGGAGCTGCAAAAGCGCCAGCTGGAATGGCACGTACACCAGAAGAAAATGGCGTTCCTCAAAGAACAGCAGATGCAGCGGACCACATCGTCAAGGGCCTGGCCCGTCAATGGTGGAACAACAACTACAGGCGGTGCCGCACCGAGCAGTACTTCTACTAGTACTACCCTGGAACTTATCAACAACCTGACATCAGCAACGGGCACAACGACCTCGAACCGCCAGGGAGGTGGGCGTGGGGGTGGTGTGACGCTTGCTAGCATCAACTTCGGAGCTGCTCCAGTGGTCTCGGGGACTTCTACTTCCAGCGCTTCTGCGGCTAGGCAGGACGGGTTTTCCTTTGGATCCCTCGTTGGAGGCATCGGGAGAACGACTCCCCGCGGTGCAGCGACCAACTCAACATTGAATCCACTGCCTACGAAACAGATCGTTACCACCTCGAACAGTAGTGTGGTGAATCGCCCACCGGCTGCTGCGACAAACCAGCAGAGCCTCCTGGAAAAGGTGTATCCACCGCAAGCAGCTGCTCTTGCAAGCACAACTGCAGCGGTCGCTGCCCGTGCGCAACCACAGGCTAGTACGATGAATTTTTCTCCGCCGACTTCTCCGGTCTTGCCCATTCCTCCGCCAAACACGCACTCGGCTCCTGGTGCAGCTTCTAGTGCTGCAACTTCTACTGGTGGTGTCAACAATCACAATAAGTTGCTGCTGCAACAGCAGCTCCCGACCGAGCGAGAGCTGCTGTTGTTGCAGCAGCAGAAGAGGCAGCAAGTACAGACACAGCAGCAGGCTGCGGCCACCGCTGCCGCGGCTCCTGTTCTTGCACCAGGTGGGTCCGCCTCGGTGGAGCAAACCACTGCGCCCGTCGCTGCAGGGACAACTTCTACAGGCCCGGCGAACGGGATGAGCCGCGTGAAAGCGCCCGGTGCCTCGTACCCGGGCCACCTGATGCGGGACCAGGACGGCAACGTGACGCTGATCTTGAACGGAACCCGGCCGTGGACGTTGAGGGGGTTCCGTACGCGCTGTCCCGACGTGAAAGCGATGGAATTGAAACAGCATACTGACGGCTACTTCTACTACAGAGATGGTAAGAAGTTCTTGTGCGCATCCATTTATAAGAAAGAAGTATCGTGGCTGCAATTGTGCATGGCTTCCTATTGCTCCTTTTGCTCGTGATTTAGATGATATAGATATTGCTTGTAAGTGGAATTTCATTGCATTTGCGCTTGCGGCTCCCTGGAGGTCGGAAACCTCTACCTGGTTTTGAACGTGTGACGTGACTGCGGTCTTGTTTCCACAAGCACTCCTTTTCTGTTGGAATAAGTACGAACATTGATGATTTTCTACGAAACTTCAGGCCACGTGGTGCACTTGACGGAGAAGGAGCGCGAGATGATTGTCCGTGCGAAGCAGCAGATCGGAGAAGGGACGCCCGCGGCAAAAGCGCCCCCGGCGGCGCCACCCGCATCGGTCCTTCTCGGCTCGTCTGCGAGTGCGAATGACGGAAATGCGGCTTCCACCGTTGTTGACCTAGCACCTGATGGCAATGGGAATGCAGAATCTGCTCCGGCGGGTGGCAGCGCCAGTCGCTTGTGGACCACTTTGTCGACTGCCGCTGCCGGCGATAATTCTACTTCGGGCGTGCGTGCGAAAATCCGCAGTGCGGGAGCAAATGTCGGCACTGTAGTGCCCACCCACGCCACCGCCGCGTCATCTGATCGCAATGTTGTCCCCGCTGCGACCTCTGTTCCTAGTGGCGATGTTGTTATTTCCAGCTCCACGACTGCCTACCAGCTGCAGCTCTCGACCCCAAACCAGGCAACTGCGAAGGCCGCAGTCCCGGCAGCCCCCGTGGCTAGCGCGCTCGCCGGCGCGGGTGGTGCCTCTGAAACCACTGCCAGTGCGATCCCCAAGAAGAGGACGCTTGCAGAAGTGAATGCCTTGCAGCAAAAACAGAAAATATTGCTGGTAAATAGGAAAAAAGGAGAATACAAAGCAACATCGGCCTCGGCAGGTTTAGGTGCCGCTTCGTCGAGCAGTGCCAAGGCAGCATCTCTGCAGGCGGTTCGAAAGAGCAACGACAAGGTCGCGCCAGCTTCCGCGTCAACAACATCACAGACTAAAGCAACATTGAGGATCCAACCCGATGGGTCGCTCACGCGCGTAATCGGCAAGTCCTCTAGTCCTGCGCCACCTGCAGGAGCTGTGGCACTTTTGTCTGATGTTGCCAATAAGGGCAATACCACAACACGAACATCAGTGCAAGAAACAAGAGTCCTGCCCCCGCCCTCCGTCGGTGCGGCAGTGCAAAGAGTCCTGCCGCCTCCCGCGGTCAGCAGCAGCACGGGCTTGCAAGACAAAACACGGGAAAGAAGCAGCAACACCCGGAATGATGGTACGAATCTGCACACGACCAACACTGAAACCGAGAGTCCCCGCGCCGGTGCGCGAGGAGGCAGAGATCATGCTCCTACGCGACCACTTTCTACCCGCGCTGCTGCAGATAGCAAGGCTTCCGCTAAAGTGACGCCCACATCATCGTCCTCCCTCGTCAACAAAGACGTGCCTCCGCAACAGCGGGGCGCTAGAGGTGCGGTTGTTGCTCCCGCTGCTGATGTAGTGCCGGCAAAGGCGAAGGCCGTAGCGTCAAGCTTGTTGCCTACAGCAGTAGCGGGTAGCGACGAGGACGTGGGCGAGAAGGAGGCCAAGCGTCGGAAGTTGCTCATCCAGCGCGCGCAAAGAAGGCACCCCGCGCGGAACGCAGTCCCAGCGCAGGCTGGTGGACAAACTGATAGCACTTCCGATCCAACACGTAGCGCAACCCTGCTACGGCAGAACGACGATGAGAACAAAAGGCATGTTGAACAGCAGATCGTTGATCGTCACGCTTCGAGAAAAATCTACAGCGAACAGCCCACCTCCACGTCGCACGCGGCCGAGCATCAGAGCAATAACCCCTTCCACGGAGAGGATGCTTGGGCGTCGACGGATTTTCACCCTGGCGACTACAACGACACGACCGGCGAGGCGGAGGCGAAGACGGCTGCTTCAGGTATCACGGAAGTGTGATGATTGTGCTTGATTCATGTTCTTGACAAAGACATCAACAAAGGCTCAACAAGATAGCAGGTCGGAGGTACCTGCTCGTCCAAGCGCGCGGCGCGTTCAGATGATGGCCACTCGCATATTACTATATGTATCCATCCGCTGTGCTTCTGGATCTGGCTCTGTGGTGCTGAAGAAAATGTTTGATGTATCCTATCCCCGCCTTAAGACCAGAGAGATGATCATCAGAGCACACGCGCACAAATGACTGCTCAAATTCTCCAGGTACAACAGCCGCAGCAGTACTAACAGACGAGGCAGCGGCGCGAGCAGAACGCACCTCAAAACTGATTGCGCTCGCTAAAAAAGTACAGAACGGCGGGAACAGAACTCAGAAGTGAACATGATCTCATCTGCTCACTCTCTGAGTTTTCTTGTTTTCCGTCTGTACTTACAACGCGATCCGTATCAGCAGCACAGTGTTCCGCGAAATCGAAACTTCCGCAAGTTTTCAAATTTCAGACCACACCGACAACTTCGTCAGTGTGTGGTCTACCTTTAACCACCGGCGACACAGATGTGATTAGTTGTTGTGAGTGGCGAGTCCACATCATGCAGATGCAGCTGCAACTTCTACTTTGGCAGCGACACCATTCACTTTCTCTTTCGCGACAACCGGAGCAGTCACACGTGCGTCCCTGCGTCCAGCAAGACAAGGTCAACGACAGCTGATCTTCTACATGTTCTCCCGGAGTGAGCAACGTGCGGCCGTGTTATTTTCAAGCTTTCTTCACTGCCATTTACCTGTGGCTCCTCCTTTTAAGTAGCTACCACAGCAGAAGCGGATGAAGAATGCTGTTAGTTTAATATGGGCAGAACAAAACGCACTTGACTTTGGAATATCAGTTCTGTTCCGCTGCGTACTGACGTTCCACGCACATATTGCGACTCTTGTGCGTGCCTTCCCTTTTCAAGCAGAGTAGTATTTGTCACATGACGATAAGGCACATCAACGACAATGTACTTAGTGCTGCTGACAGCAAGAACTTACTACCGCACGCTTGACGTCTCCTTCGCAGTGCTCTCCTGGAGAGCTGGTTTTGCGCCAGGCTCCTTTCACTTCTTGATAAGTACGCTGACGATCACCGTCCTTCATTGCAAAACGCATCGACCAGTCTTCGCAAAGCCGTTCGGTCTAAAGTGTTTGCCTGTGACTTTAGTTGTCTCGCGACGTCTATTGCTCACTTTTTCTGGGGTGCCTCGCTGACATTCCCAATTTTTTATATCAGTCTTGTCCTGCAAGTGCAACAGCAAGCCAGACAAAACCTCCCGGACTTTCCACATTCGGAGCGCCACCGCTGCAGCAACATCGCGGCTTCTGTGTTTCCTGAAATTCGGGCTCGTCTGGTCTTCTGTTTTTGATGCTCGTCTTCCGTTTGATTCGTTGGCTTTAGTCATCTCGGTCTTGAATGTCGGTCCACAGTGCTTCCTGTTGTCCGCAAACCAGAAACAAGCGGCCGCAATATTGTCGTGGAGGCCAGCCCGACGACAAGGGAGAACGATGCAAGGTTATTGGCGGACTTTTTTTTTCCCGAAAAAGCAAGAAAGACGCAAAAAACAAAACAAAGCTGCGCCGCGGCCGAGGAGGGCGGCGGCGATTTAAAAAAAACCCGCGCGGCCGCGCAAGCGCAAGGCCGGCAAACCAGAAGCGCCGCGCCGCGGGCCCGGCCGACGCGTGACGGCCCGCCTCGATACAAAAAAGCGCGCGAAAGACGCGCAGTGCCCGCGCCTTGTGCGCGGGTTGCCCGGCGGCCCAATGGTTTGGGCCGCGCGCCCGGGCGGCGGCCCGGGCGGCCCCCATCCCCGCGCGACCAGGCGAGCCCCCGCACATCCGCCCGTCGGGAGCATTGGGCGTGGTTTATCCGGCCGCGCTCGCCCGACTTTCCTGTTTTGCCCGCTGCCCGGGGCCGCCGCGAAGTCGCGACGCCAAAGAAAGAAACAAGGGAACCGCGAGGCGCGACAAGAAAGAGAAGACCTCCGGGCACGCGCGGGCGCCGCCGCCCTGTTTCTTTTGCCAGCCGGCCCGCAGGCGCGCACCCCTTCCCCGTCCCGCGTGCCTCTTTGCTTCGCCTCGCCCGCCAGCGCCGTGCTGCTAGCCGGCCTGATTGAGGCCGCCCGGTCGAGTTCCGGGGCCCACCTGGCGGAGCTGTCCAACGTATTTCCGGGGAGGCGCCCTGGAGTCTGGAAGCATGCGGGCAAATGCAAAAAAAAGAAGCGAAAGCGCCCGCGGATAGCGGGGATGCGCGCGCGCCTGGTAAATTCATGCGCGCCCGCGCGAGCGGCAACGGCAAAGGCCAGGCCCCTGGCATGCGGCGCGCGCGGTCGCATTGGTGCTAGAGGGTGGGCGCGCTCGCTTCTCTGGCTGCGCCCATGGAGGGATGTTTTTGTGTCTGCTTGCATCGTCGCCAGCCCCCACAGTGATTCCGCTCGTCTTGTTTTGTTTATTTGCTGCCGAGGCAGCGTCGCCCCGAAAATAAAGAAAAAGAATCGGACTGCAGACGCGAGGGCGAGAGCAAGCGCGTGAGAGAGTGAGCGAGGCGAAAAGGCGAAGGCGCCAAATCCAGTAGCGGCCAACGTCTGAACGCGAGAGGCCGAGGAGTGGGAGCGAGGCTGTTGAGGCAAGGAATTCGGCGAAGCCGGTCCGGCCCCCTGCGTGTGGGAGACCGAATGCATGAGAGAGAGGCAGCAAAGGCCTTCGGCAATATTTTCACAAAATCAAAGAAAAATCAGCCAGGAAGAAGGAAGCAAGCACGGCGACCCGCAGGAATTGACGAGCGGAGGCGGGAGATGGCTCGTGGCCATGGCGCGTGGCCGGCGCTTTTTTCGCTTCACCATCCAGATAACCCGACCGACGCGGGCGCCTCGACCCGGTGCGATGGCCTAGGATAGTCCCGGCATGGTGGCGCGAGCGACCCGCTCGCTGACAGACATGCTGCAAAGAAACAAGCGGAGTCGGAGAGCCTGCGCGCGGTTCAGAAAATAGCACTGTGGAGGCCCGCGCAAATCAGTAGCGCGACACGCGGAGCACCCAGCTGGCGGGACCAAAGGAGGCCCCGGCGAACAATCGAAGTGCGGCGCTTGGCAGCAGAAGCAGATCGGCCGGCACCGGACGAAGCACCCACGGCGCTGCCCCTTGTCACCTGCCCAAAAACAGTTGAAATATGACAAAAAACAAAGCCGAAGGCGAAGGCAGGGCGGGCCGTTGGTTCGGCGCCATCCCAGCAGCCCCCCGCTCGCTTGCCCTCGCCCCGCAGGCCAGTCGGAAGCCCCCCCCGTAGTATGTAGGCCCAAAAGCGGGAGGCGGGCCCGCCCCCGCCCGGGCAGATGAAGGGCCGGGCGCTGACAAAGAAGGGGGCCGGGCGGAGAACAGGCGTGCGTCCTGACCGGCCGCGGGGGCGGGCGCCGCGCGCTGGTTTTCCATCCAGCCTTTGGCGGGGCCGCGCCCCGTGTTGGTTTGCCTTTGGCGTGTCCCGCGCCGGGGCCGCCTGGCTTCCCCGAGTGGAGCCCCGGCCCGCGCCGGTTGTGCTGTATAGTTATCATTCGTTGCCGGCACGGCTCCGCGCGCGCGCCGCGGGGAGGTCTTCATTGAGAACAAAAGGCCAAAATGCTGCCGAAGTTCCTGCGCCGCGCGCGCCGCCCCCCTGCGAAGCGTGTGGCGCGGGGGCTGCCCCGGAGAAGCGGCGCCCGGGGGCTGTGCAGGAAGCGGAGCACGCCGGAGACAGTGCCGCCGGCCTGCCTATCTGCCTTCGCTTTATTTTTTGACTTGCCGCAAGCGCAAGCCTTCGCCGGGGCGCCCCCCCAGCGCAAAGAGACAGCGGCGGCCACTTCGCGCGCGTGATTCGGCCCCGAAACCGCCGGCGCGCGGAGCGTTTGGCCTTTGGCGCTGCCCCCGGCCCGCCCGGCCAGTCTGGGGCTCGGGTTTTTCAGTCTTGCCCGGTTTTTTTGCCCGGCCCCCATTCATTTCAACATTGCCCTACTTGCCCGACCCGGTAGTCCGAGTCGCATCCATGCGCCCGCAAGTATAGGTTGCCAAGTTGCCGGGGCGGCCAGCGGCTGCGAACGCCGGACCCGACAGAGGGCCTCTCGCTTGACAAGCGAAACGCAGCGCGAGCGGGCTGCCGGGCTACGTGTGTCTGTGGCGAGCGAGGCGACAGAAGGCGGCTGCTGGTCGGTGGTCTGCTTTTAGGTGATGCGGCTGGCTGCGCCTCCCGGGCACGCCCGAACGAAGGGCCGCCCCGCGGACGTGCGAGCGCTGCTTGCTGGATCTGCGCCCGGAAGGCCCGCCCCCCTCCTATGGCCTCCGCAAGTTTGCTGCCTGGAGCCGCAAAGTTTCCTGGCACCAGCAAAGTGGCGGAGCCCACGGCGCGCGACGCAACATGCCCAATGAGCAGCCGTCGATCCTGTCACACTCTATGGATGTGCCACTGCAGCCGCGTTCCACCCTTTCATTCTTTTTTCGCTTTGCCGCCGCTTCACCAAGGTGCGCGCTTCGAACGGCTTCCGCACGTGGATTTCAACGTGGCCCCCAGCACTGAGCTTGACACATTCATCGGACAACACGAGAACGGCGAAGACTGGTCGGCCGCACGGCAATGACGGCGTTGGTCATTTTTACAAGGGAAATAGGTACGGCCCAGGTAGTTTTTGGCTCCTTAGCTGCTTGCTGTTTTTCGCTCTGGCAAAAGATGGCGAGCTGTCTCTTATTGGTTGCCTTTTCGTTTTCTTTTGCTTTTTTATTTTTATTTTTTTTCCTATTTGTAGTGTACGCATAAAGTTGGATTGAGATATACAAATAGCAGGTCGGCGCCTTCAGACAAAAGAAAAACCAACGAACGCTGTAGCGCAGCATGCCAATTCTTCAGAATGGTTGCGCCGCTTGGTGATTCCTTCTCGTGTCTTGGGCTCAACTTCATCGATACCTGACTGCGTTTCAAGCGAAACGAAATCTGTTATGCGATGTGCATGTGTGTGACGCTGTTGCTTTCGGTGAACAACTGCGAGGTACGAGATGCGTCACACAATTCGTGATCGGCATAGCGTTTTATGGTGAAGATCCAACTTTGATTTTTGCAAGCGACTCCCTACACCCAGGAACATAAATAGTGGTAGTGCGGCAGACAGTTACTCGCTCGACTCAAGAAGCGAGCACGCCGTGAAAGGCGGAGAAGCCTGCTCTCATTGATATTGAAATGAACCGCGGACAGCGGCTGAACACATACACCTGCTCCATTTTTCACCTTTGGAAGCATGATCTTGATCGCCATCACACGGGCCAATCCGCCTGCTAAAGCGAGCACAAGCTGTATTTCGATAAGAAAGAAACACACAAGAATCCACCTAAAAAATCTTCGCTGTTTTGCTACTTTGAAAATTATCTCAGCAGAAAAAGAAAAACTCCCTGTGCCTTGACATTGGTTTGCATGCATGGCGACAGACGTCGCATAAACATAATCGACCTCTGAGGACGTGATGCATAACAATCACAATCAGAAATATGCATAACTGTCTTGATAGATAATGCCACAATTTGATGTAGCTAAAATAGTTTCGTAGTCTCGCAATGGGGCAATGCCATAATTAGTGCTGCACTTCTCAACATGCAGCAGATGCGCCTTTCTTTTTGTTTCAGTTTCACGTTCGAGCACACAAAGAACCAACGCAATTTGAGAAAATTACATTGATTGATTGCAAGAAAGGCGATAATCTTGATGCGCCTTGATTTCGGCTGCAAGTTGAAGATTGTGCGGCACCTGTAATCGCTGCCGGACAAGATGCACAGAATACGAACACAAAATAAAACCAGGCCTAGCTGCGCTTGCCACATCATTGACTTGTGATGCGCGAGTTCATTGTTCTGCATCTATCTGCGATCTGTTCTTATGGTCGTGATTCGGCATTTTTCATGGAACATTTTTATCTCTGTGATTTCATACGAGTGAATCTATCATAACCCTAATCCCATTTCATTCCATATAAACAGAAAAGAATTGAGATGGATCTATGAAATAGAAAAAAAATCCAATGAGGCTTTCGTACGCAAGTTCTCGATGACTTCGGGCTAGCAGCAATACTCACATATGAACAATGTGTTGAAGGTCATGAGCAGAGAGTTGTTCGCGCTGATAAGCGCATGGTTGTGGCATGATGTGGTGCAGAGTTCGGCCACTGGTGGCGGCGCGACGGCTGCTATGGAGAGTCTGCGCCCAGGAGCATTTGCGAAGGCATCCGGGGATGTGGGTGGAAGTGGCGCAAGCCGCCAACAAGCTACTACAGCGACAGAGACCTACAACGTGGCGCAAGCCGCCGCCAGTACCTACAACGACAGAGATCGGAGTGGACAAGAGCGAGGCGACCGCGTTGGGTGGTTTACTGTTGGCGAGCCTTTTCTCGGGGACGACTATGACACTGAAACCGGCAGCGGTGAGGCAGCTGGCGCCCAAGAAAGTCAAGCGACTGCTGCATGCCCGATCGTGCAGGAGCTTGAAGAGGCGAAAGCGGCAGTCGCGGCATTTGAGGCAGAAAGCAGCGGAAAGAACGAGACAAACCGCTTCGCCTACGTCTTTTTCATCGGGAACCACGAACCAGACAAGTATGCCTGTTCCGCTGGGGTGAACGTACAACGCCTCCGCCAGCTTGCTCCCAATTTTCCGGTGGACTACGTTGCGCTCGTGCCTGAGAACAACCCGGCGATCAAACAAGTGCTGGACAGCATGCACACGAATTCCACTCCCGGGACTGTGGCCTTTATTGGCACCGGCGAAGAAGAACATACACGCACGGAGGAGCAGCAACTCCACGAACTTCTGTCGGAGAGACTCCGCTTTTTCGACCACGTGATACCATACACGGAGTCGAGCACGGAGAACGCGACCAGCCGAGGCAGGCTGCTAAGGAGAAGTGCACTATCGGCACCCGCAGAAGTTGTGCAAGAGGCTGAAGATGATCAAGATTTGACATACGAAGATCGGGATCGGATTTCCACCATGACAGCCTTTATGATCGCTTCGACCTCCTCGCAGGAGCGGGAGCCTCTTTTCGACAGCTTTCCGACCGCCGACGGGAATGCAGCTCCGTCGATTTCCAAGAGCGCTTACTACTCCGGGTTCCACATGAAATTCGAGGCGTGGTCTTTAACTCAGTACGAGCGGGTTGTCTTGCTGGACGCTGACTCCTTCGTGCTGAAGAGCTTGGCGCACCTCTTTCTGCTCCCGAAGGAGTACGCGTTCGCCGCACCGTTTGCGTATTGGTTCGTGCGCAAGAAGGCGGACGACTCGGCACGGCCACGCATGCGACTTACCATGTGTAGCGCGATGTTGGTGTTGACGCCGAGCGAGGCCGTGTATTCGGAGTGGAGGAAGAACGTCGAGCAGAGAACCACCAGAGACTACGACATGGACATCATAAACAAAAAATACAGACTTCCGGACGACGAAGCTTGTGGAGTGGGTGATGCCGCGCTCCTGCCGCCGACCTACGCGGTGCTGAATTCGCACTGGGAGAAGGAGCTGCATGGGGCCCCGAATCCCGCAGCCGATCCCATTTCGTTCGAAGGTGGACCCTTCAAAAGGCTGAGAGAGGTTCGGCCAGACTTGTACGAAAAGATGATGCCGTCAACAATGCCAGCCTACTCCGGTGACGATCTGCTGCAAAACGCGTATCTTATCCACTGGACGGCATTCGGTAAACCGTGGCACAAAGACGAGGACACATATGTCCAAAACTTCTTCCCGAGCCTCCAGAGAAGAGCCGTGTGTCCTTACTTTTCAGGGTGGGAAAACATCGGCTGTCCCCGCAACATTGGCGACCAGCCGCCGGCCTCCTGCAACAAGGACACGAATTACTTTCATCACGGATAAAGAAGTGCCAATGCGCTTGAGCTTGACTCAGTTGTCGTGGAAGTTTTAGTACCCGCAAGCATGGCGCGCGCGTTGCTTAGTGAAAGGTAAAGATTTTTTTTTTTGCGCGAAGTGATTGAAATGCGCATGATTTGCGTGATCGACATTCTTTATCTTTAATCTGTCAGAAGAGAAGACATAGCAATTGAAGTCGAACAATTGAATTCTGACAAATCCAAAGAAGAAAATAATCCAGAGAGGAAGATAAAATTAGGAAAATTAGGATCGATATTATATTAGAAAGTTTATATGTCAGTTTAACATTTATGTAGATATTGCCGGGGCGTTCGACTCCGTCCCTCACGTTAAGCTCGTGGAACAATTGCTCCGACAAGGGGTAGAGCCGGGACTAGCCAATTACGTATGGCGCTGGCTGCGCCACCGGGCATTTTGCTCCCAAGTCGGTGCCGAGCGATCGCCGTGGTTCCGTCCCTGCACGGGCATACCCCAAGGGGGGGCCTTGTCCCCCTGGGCTTGGAATTCTCTACTCGCGGGGGCCGCGTCAGAGGTATTGGCGGCTGTTGGGCCCGGTCTCTGGCTCCGATTCTTTGCCGACGACGGGACGGTGATAATTGACGGGGATAGCCCTGCCGCCTGTGCTGACATCGCGCGGCGCTTCGAGGCCGCCCTGTCCGCGGCCCTGGTGGCACGCGGGCTACGCCTGGCTCCCTCCAAGATGGAGGCCATGTGGCTGGACCTGCCTCGGGCAGGCATCTTTCAGCGGCCGCACGACACCTACGGACGGGTCCGCAAAGATGCAGCGCCGGTGGAGCAACCGCCGCGCGAACTTGCGGCCATCCCCTATCCGACCAAGAACAGCCTAAGGGTGCTTGGGCTGCTGATCGACCACAGATTCACTATGTGCGACCACCTCGCCCACATCGAGAAAAAGTGTACTCTGCGGTTGTCCATCCTCCGTTCCCTGGCTAATCGCCATTGGGGACTGGATGTGGCGACCCTCTCCCAGACCGGGATCTTCCTGATCTCCCATGTCCTTGGTTACGGCATCTCGGTGTACGGTTCGTGCGCCACGCAGGCCGCGATGCAAAAACTGAACACGCGCGTGGTCAACCCCGCGGCCAGGCTGGTCCTCGGCACTTCCCGCACCCAGCGTCTAGAGGCGTTGTACATGGAAAGCGGCATGCAAAGTGTGTTTAACCTGTACACCGTGAGGCTGGCGTCATTCGTCGACAGGTTGCTCCGCGCGTCGGCCACGCCGCTACGCGAGCGCGTAGCGGAATCGGTCCCCGGACTCCAATACGCGCATGCGCCGGCCTTGCCAGTGCGTGCTGCGGAAGTCCAGGACCCTGGCGACCTCGCCGCACTACGACCTGCATGCCCTCTCACGGCGGCAATAACGTCGTGGACGCATTGGGCCGCCCTCCCGGTAGGGCAACCGCAAGCAGAGATCACCTCGGGACAGGAGCGCCGCCTGTATCATACATACGCGCCCGAGTTGCAGTCTGAGGCAGAAGCCGACCGCGCCTTTGCTGCTCCCGCGGGGTCGTGTCCGCCTTGGGCGATGGAAGCGGTCAAAACGCTTGAAAGCGCGGGCTGGAGTCGACATCAGGTGCAGAGGCTCACGGCCTTTCGGCCCCGGTCCGGGGCTTTCCACAGTGTGCACATCCACACGCACGAACTTGCCGGCACCAGGGACGAAGTGCGCTCCCGCTACAAGTACACCGGCTCGTGCGACGGGGCGCACCTCCAGTCCAGTGGGCGAGGGGCCTCGGCAGCATACCTCCACGGCGCCCGCAGTGCGCGCGTGCTAACAGGCACCTGGGGAGGCAACAAAAGTTCATATCAGGCCGAAGCGGCGGCGCTGATGGACCTGCTCGGGCTTGCAATCCAGGCGGCCAACGACGAGCCCACCAGCGGGGTCGACCTTCTCCTCCTGTCGGACGCCCAGTCCGTCCTGGCCAGGGTGAAAACATTGCTGCGCTGCGGCGGGCTAGCGACAGATGCGGAGCACGAACTTATCGACCGCCTGCGGCGGGTCGGCGATCTATACAGCTCATTGCGGCTGCAGCACGTCTACGCCCACTCGGGCGTATCGCCCAACGTGGCCGTCGACGCCTTCGCAAGCCATGCGTTGGCGGTGGAGCCGACACCGGCGGAGTGGCCTCAGGTGCAGTCCCTGGAGGACATGAAGGCACAGGCCAAGGCCGCGCTCCACAAGCAGGAGGCCCAGACGATGCAGACGCTGAAACGCGCAGCGCCCTCGGTCAGCGGGGGCCTTTGCTGTGTCTTCCTCCCTGACCGCGAGGCCTGCAAGAAGATGTTCAAAATAATGAGCAAGGAAGGCGAGCCCCGCAACGTCCAGGTGACGGCGGCCGGCCTCCTCGGTGCCACCCGGTTCAAACAGCTGACCCCTGCGGGGCTTCTGGGTCGGATGTGCCCCAAGTGCGACCGGGTGGCCGACTCGCCGGAGCACTTTCTCGAATGTTGCGCCATCTCGGGCCTCGACCGCCTGAGCGAGCCAGCCCGGGCGGCTGGCGAAGCTGTTCAGCTATGTCACGTATGAAACACTTGCACACCAAGAAGAACGAAAGCGGGAGGCGGCGCAAGAGGCGGCGGCGGGTCTGTCGCAGTGAGCCACCGCCGCCACGCCTTGCGCCCTACGAATAGTTCTTCCGGCTACAGCCGGATGTTCGTGGAGACGCTCCGGCAGCGCACCTCCCTATGCACCGTAGTCTAATTATTCCGCGTCAGTGCACCTGGTGTGCGCCCTTCGAATAATGCTGCTATAAGGAACCAGTGCGCGAAGCAGGTCCGCACAATGCGCCCGTTTCCCTTCATGCACGCTGTTCTCCTTCTGCTTCCACTCTTGATGTTGTGCGTTGCGTTGAAGGGTCTTGTTACGTCAGGCTCCCACAACAGAGTTGTCAGGCGGATCTTTGCGAGTATAGCATGGTCAAAGAGCGAGCACCGTCTCTGTTTGAAACAAGAAGCGGATCAAATACAATACAATGTAGAAGTCATCAACTGCAATTTTTTTTACGGAATAGACTCTAGTTGTGGTAGGTGTTTGATGATCAGGAGAGAATTGAATCTGAAATTCGATTTCGAACCACGGAGGATTTTTTGAGGGCCTTGAACCTTTGACGCCGGCCATGCCCGGGCATGGAAAGAAAGAAAGAAAAATCGAAGAGGATATATCATATGAATGCATATATGTTAATGATACACTAATGATAGATCGATGATTCTTCTTGCAAATATATTTTACATTTTTCTTTTTTGATCTCTATTATCCCGGGATGAAAATCTTTTGGATGTGTTTCGGAATTTTCCATGGGTCTATCGGATATATTTCGGAGTGAATCTCTTATCTTCTGGTCTACCTAAAAATTGAGAATATGGTATATATTGTATCGGACAAGAATAAAAAATCTTTTTCTTTCTTTCTTGCCATGTCTGGGTATGATTCAAATCATCTCTTAGGCCCGGTCTGAGGATTCTATTTCTAATAAAAAATCATCAATGATGGATATTGAGAGAAATGGAAAATCAAAATCATGATCTATTCTTTCGCAGAATTTTATTGTTTCATTATCCCAAAGATTTTCCTCATCATGTTTGTTTGTTTGTGGTCATGTGTGAAGGTGGGAATGTGTTTGCATATCTTTTTTTTCCTCTAGTGTTATTTCAACAAAAAACCTTCGCATGTCCGAAAATCACTCAAAAAACATAAATATATAATTATTTCTCTGAACATCTCTGAAGGCGGATCAAGATTCTTTCTTTCTTTCTTACCATGCCTGGACATGATGTCAAATTTCAAGATTCTTCTGATGATATCGTCAAGATTCTTCTGATGAATTCCTCTTCCTCATCATCAATCTCATATGAATCATGGTAATTTTTAATTTTTGGATATTTTCAAATTGATGGTGACAGAGAAGACCTGATGTTAGAATTGAATGAAGGATATCTTAGGATATCGAAAAATAAATTGAATGAGAACGAGAAGATTTTCATTTTCCAATCCCAATAGAATTTTAATATATCGATATATGCTTGTAAAATTACAAGAAATTATGATATATTATATTAGAGTGGGGTAATCAAATAAAAAAAGAGGGCCGCGGGGAACCTCTTGTCCACCCGGCCGGGTGGACAAGAGGTTCCCCCTTTCGCACGCTGCCGGAGCGGCCGGCTCGCAGAGGTCCCTCCCCCTCCGCGTCGCCACATCGGATCTCCCAACTCACCACAATTCAACAACATTCACATTGAGAATCAATTGAATTGCATCACAACATTGATCATCGATCTGAAATTCATCAAAAAGTCGATGATGATAGAATTCTCTTCCAGGTTCTGAAAGCGATCGTGTTGATTGATGTGAGATGGACAAGGAGATGACATCGATCGCAAGCAGAGCCTGCAGATATTTCGTCGAACTCGAAAGTGGAGCCATGTACCTCGTGCCACTTCCATCGAGTAAAAATTATGAGTGTCGTTAATTGTGTGGTCTCATTCGAAGAGAAGTCGCGAAATTATAAGAGTCTGATCGTTGTGTCGTTAAGTTTACAGAGCAATAAGTCTATTCATGACGCTACTAGAGAGGGTAAGGATATTCTGCTTTCATCATGTTGTCCGTGTAAAACCTGTGGAGGAACGTTGCCAGCGTGCGCTTTGTCTTCGCATTTACATTACGTATGCAATTTTCGCAGGCAGATGTCAATAAGTTCCTCATCCCCCAGCGTCCGCAGCATGTGTTGCAGCTGGCTGCAAGAGAATTCTCGGGTAGCTACTTGCATCAGGTCAAAAGCACTTTCAGGTTGGTACTTTCGAAACAGGGCCTCCAGATTTTGAGACACAATGATTTCCACATCAATGTTCTCTTTATTCATCTGTTGGTCAGCATCGTAGTACTGCGAGTAGAAACGTTTCCCATTTGCGCCGCTCGTGTTGTCGGTTGTTGTAGTCGTGAAGAAGGTAGTGCTTGAATTGTCGGTCAGGTTAGCATGATCGAAACAACTAGCGCTGCTCCAAGAATCATCTTCTGCCCCCCCTGTCGCACCGGTTGGACCGCTCCAGCACGCCTTGCAGTAAACCGCCTCGGTCTCTTCGTCGCGCACGAAGTCGCCCGGTTTCAGGCGCACCTGGTGCCAGGGCAGAGGCTCGCTGTATGCTGCTCCCGAAGGCGCATAGCTCCTGTCGTCCGGGTCTGTTGCTGTAGGGACTGCAATGCCTGTTTTGGTGCTTCGTCGGCACCAGGTGCAGACTAAGTCGTCTTCTGCGATTCCCAACTCAGCGAGTTGCTCTTGATCGAGATCACCAGCTGCATTAGCATTCGTGAATTTTTTCTTCAGCAGCCGACTAGGCGTCTCGTCGCTTTCCACAAATGCCGCAGCGACATTTTCCGCCGTCCGGTTTAGCTCGTTGTGCTTCGCAATCATCGGGTAGTGCGCTCTGAAGCTGGAGCTCCGATCATCACCCGCCACACTTCTAGCTGTCCCTCCAGTGTAGTCCTCGCGCCGGTCGCGGTCACCAGGTCGCTGAGCATTCTGGGGCCGGAGGTAGTATGGGCGCGCCCAATTTGTGCGGACTCGCTTTGGCTTAATGGGAAATACAGGTGCACCTCCCGCTCCGGACGAAGATGTATTCTTGACGCCCAGCAGGCTCTGGTTTCTCGGCGAAAAGGATCGGGAAGACGAACTGATACTGTGTCGACTCGTTGGCGTCGCTCCCTCTCTCCGTTCGGAGTGACCTCGTCCAGGCGAGAGGTACGCATCACGATACGCGAGATCCTCAGCGTGACAGCTGGATCCGGTTCGCTTCCTCACGCCGGTGAGATTAAGATTGACTTGCGGTGGTTCTTGAGGCTGGCGCAACACCCCATGTGCGTTTTCATAAAGAGAACCAGGGCGATCGAACTGGTCACTATACCGGTTCGCACTTGGCTCTGCGCTCGGCCTACTGCTGAGAGCTGCTCCTGCTGCACTGCCGTCCGCGTTATAGTGATTATCGAGCCGGAGGTGCTGGGAAAATTTTTGTGCGAGGCTGAGGTCGGTGCCCTCATCGTCGGGAGTCTGATCCGTTGTCGCTCTCCTTCTTGGGGATATCCCGCCTGTCCTCGCTGCGATCGCCTTTTGCACAACGACGTCAACGGTCGCTTGGCGTTGCTGAGTAGATGAAGCAGGAGGAGGTGGCTCATAGCTTGATGGTACGCACCCTTTTTTCGTTTCAGCCAGCAGCTCTCGGCTTTGTTCGCCAGAGGGCTCGGCGTCGTCATCTGCAGCTATTTCGCAAAGCTCCTTGCCAGCGGACAGAAATCGGCGTCGCTCGAGCGGTCGCAGCTGTAGAAAATTTGCTAGCTCTTCGGTCGCAATCTCGTGCAGGAAACCAGCACCCATGTCACGGCACCAATCTCGCGCCCGGGGGTAATACTGGGTCAGCCTTAGCTCCCCCAGGAACCAATGCAATTCGTCGTCGAAGCTATCCATTTTTGGAGAAAACAAAATCACACATAGCCATCGAGAATATTTCTATATTCGTATGTCTTCATTTTTACGACAAGAATTACAACGCCCGAGTGACGTTGATAACAGATGGCCCACTATTCGTGAAAGTATTTGTCTTCTAATAAATAGTGCCGTTTTCTAGCATCCAAAGGCATTCGTTGTTTCACGGACTTCCTGATGCGTATCCGCCTGTTTGTGAAAGGAACTTCCACAACAAATAGTCAGGCTTCACTAGCATGTTGACATCGCGAGTTCAAACTGGGTTTTTCCTCCTTCTTCAGGATGATCGAGATGCAATAGAGACTTCACCTTACACAAGGATGTTGTCGCTTTCGTTTCCCTTTCAAAAGAGTGGGAATCGGATTTCTAACTCAGGAGCAATTTCACTTTCCATTTCGAACAATACGAAGAGTTACTTTTTTCTTTCTTGTTGCACCATAGCGAAAAGTTTTGGAATGACCATTTCGATCAGAGAATCATCGTGCTCATCACACATTTAAACAACTTTTATTTCATTCCTTCGTCGCGCAAGACAGAGCGACAGGAACTACACTTTGGCGGTTGTAGTTTTTTACTCCGCCCTTTTTTTTAATCGTTAGTTGAGTATCATACAGAATTTATTACTTTAGAGGCCCGACCGTGTTGTAGTGGATGGGGCTGATGTAGCACAGAAACAATTGTCGTTGTCTTTTCCTACCTTTATTCCGTTCCCTATCTTTAGCTGCGCCAGAACCACTGGATGAAGTCTGTTCTCCGTCGCTTTTGACATTGTAATGCAGCAAAAAGTTTTCGGCGTCCGTGGTCACGACGGTGATGCCAACGGCGTACGCGTCTGCGCAGGCACGCAGGGTGAGCTCGTCTCCCCAGGTCCGATCCTTGCGCATCTCCGCCAGGTATTCCCGATACTCGGTGTCTTTCTCGCCAACAAAGGGTGCAAAGTCGTCCGCGTGCTGCTGCATGTATTTACAAATGATTTCCCGTACGACGGCGTGGTAGCGCTGAGTTCCATACAGTTCGCGGCTCAGGGAGCGAAATTGGCAATTGCCGTCATCCTCCGCCAAAATCTGCCGCAAATGAAGAAAAGCCAACCGCTCCTGCAATATCTGCCGGCCACCGACGGAGGCGGCTGGCTTGGAGGGCGACGAGGAAGACCCACTGGGACTGTGAGCAGTAGGTGTGCCCTGACTGTTTTTGGGCGACGGCGAGGACGACTCTCCGGTTTTCGATTTCACCGCGTTTTTTGCGCGCTGGGCCCAGTGCAGAAGCTTCGGGCGGAGAAGGAGAAACTGGGCTAAGTCTCCCATTGTCGGTGCCTTGCGCCGCAAACGGGCGAGCATCACGCGGTCGTAGTCGCTTCGGCGCATCAGGTTCTCCAGCGGCGCTTTACGTACCTCTTCTGCCGATTTTGCGCTGGCGGTTCCGAGCAGTTGCAAAACTTGCACTTCCTTGTACGCGCTCGGGGAGCTCGATTGCTGCTTGTTCATACCGGTACTGTCCTTTTGCGGTGAGCGAGCGGCTGCGGTACCCGTGGGTTTTTGCGCTTTCGGTTCCACAAAGCCCTCTCGATGTGGCTCGGCAGCAGGAGCGGTTGCGGGCACCGGAACCACATACGTATTGGCGGTCGGAGCCCTGTCGCTGGAGGTCGTCCCTTGGCCTACGTGATAGAGACATGTAATTCGTCTACGACGCACGAAACAGGCTGTGGAACTCTCCTAGATACTTAGACTTACATCATTTCAAAAATAAAAATTATTAAATCGCTAGTGACTGCTGCAACTGCTCTGAGCGGGGAATTTTTCAAAACACTAGAAGATATCAGCAACACGAACCTGTCTGGAGAGCGCGGGCCGGTCCTCCGCGCTTGGGGCAGACACGGGAGCACGACTCGCGATTGCGCGTTAATGTGAATCCTCGGGTGGTACTGCGATCAACCTGCGGATCCTGCCGAACACTTCCTTCGGGTCTGCGATCCGCCCGGCCGCCGCCCGCAGGATCGAAGGACGAGTCTTGCTGTAGCCGGTCATTTGAGCGGCTAGAAGTGCCTCCGGTGAGGGAAGAGAACCAGGAACTTCGGCTTGTCGAGGATGGGTCTGCACCCGAGAGCCGCGGCCCAGCAGCAGCACGACCCGCCTTGGCGTGCACGTCATTTTCTTGTTGCTCGTCGTCAAAAAAGTTCTCCTCGTCCTCGCGACTCCAGGCGAGCAAAGCCGCACGGGACTGCTGCGCGTCGTGGTCGAAGCACTGCAACACCTCCTCTAAGTCCTCCGTTTCCCACCCCGGGAATTCGGTGTGCAGGCTCTGCACCGTTGCCGTCATGGTTTAGTACGCCTTTCAACGAGGACCAGGACCACATCGAAGACACGGGCCTAAAAAGAAACATATTACTTAGTGCAAGATGAACGAAATTTCGATCTCCTTGGACGATGATGTGATGCCCTTAGAAATGTCAGTTTGACCTCCACCTACAGCTGGACCTGCTACTTCATCTCGCTTCGTAAACATCGCATCGCTCCTCGCTGTCCAAATCATTTACACAGATGACCGTCCGTCCACATTGTCAAAATCGAAAATTATGGTGGCAGGACTTCATAGATTCGATTTTTTCGTTTCAGATCTAGGGTAGATGTTGATACAGACACGACACACATCTTCTACGTACTTCCACCGCGATCACCGGCAAGAGGACAGCATCGGGATGCGGGTAAGTACCTAATGAGAGAGTACGAGTAGGAGAAAAAACATAGAGGTAGGGGCAGCGCCCCACTTCATTATGCATTTCCATATTAAAGCGTTCACGTGCTTCATGATGACCGGCAGTGTCTAGCTTTGCTAGAGATGCCGTGTCTCGTCCGGTTCGTTATCTCAAAAGGGAAACAGACAGAAACAAGAAACATTAGTGAGTGACATGTAGACTCCTACAGTCGCAGGCTCAGCCTCAAACCGGAGATGAAAAGTCACGACGTTATGAGGCGCTAGTAGCAGTCGGCTACCTTTCGCTTGTCGTTTTTCGTGTGCGATCCCTGCGCATTATTGGATGATGTTGCCAGCTGAGTTGCGGTGAAGAGTTTCCAGTCCGTCGCGGCCCCGACGAGCGAACAGATCGCACGGAAAAACTGTATCCTCGGTCTGCGAACAATCTTCAACAACATTTCCTTCGACACAGTCAGGCACCGCTTCCGTTGTGGCATTTGATTCATTTTTTTGACGCGTCCAAATCCGGCTTCCGGTGTATTGTGCGGATGTGCAACCCACCGTCTCCAACCCAGCCGTCTCCAACCCAGCTTTTCACCGGCTCGAAGCCTGCGTCGCGGAAAAGGTTCTCGATTCCTTCCGGCGTCGGGAAGGTGAGATGAAACTGTCCCCCAAACGTTTTCAAAATGTATTGCCGGTTGTGGTTTGGCACCTCCGAGAAGACCAATCCACCGTGGCGCATCTTCGGATAGAGCTCGCTGCGCAGAAAACGAGGAAGGTTTCCCAGATGCTCCAAAACGTGAGAAGACAGAAACAGATCGATAGAGCCGTCCGCGATTTTCCCCGCGTCGTACAACGAAGGGTAAATGTGCACCGTTTCGCGATCATTTTGCTCGGCTGCTGCGACGCTGCTGCCGTCCTCGCCCTCTCTCGTGCGCACAAGCTGCGCTCCGATGTTCTCCTGCGCTTTTTCTGGAAACCCAGGAGTGGCCTCGAAGCACTGAATGGAGGCAATGCCCGCGTCGGCAAGCGATCGCTTCGAAGCCGTGCCATCCTCGTTGTTGGTCGGCTTCTCGTCCTTACCCTGCATGTCCTTCACCAATCGCGCCAGCAGCCACCCCTCGGCACAACCCAGCTCCATTACGTTGCGGAGCTTCGTTCGCGGATCTCTTCGCTCCTCCCCAACGAGCGCGTCCCGTATGAATTTGCTCTGGCTCACAACTCTCCCGTCATCGATTGACAGTTTCGCTTGGCCATGGTACTCAGTTTTGTACAACGTAGCCAGCTCCTGCTCAGAGACTTCCGGAAACGTGAACCAATACCCCTTTCCCGGACACTCCCATACACTGCGCGAACACAAAGCGGGCGCTTTTTCCAAACAGTCCTTGTGCCTCCGCAACTTCCACTTTGACGGGTCCAGGCACGTACGAGAATTGGAAGCAGATTGCAGCTGCAACTGTTGTTGTTCCGCTTCCGCCTCTCTTTGTCCCCAAGCAGAAGTAGTGTCGTCCTTCGTCGCCGTCTCGTTCTTCCAAGTTTTCCCCGCGTCCGTCGGGCAAGCCGCGCAGTCACCCGGGTCGACGTTGGCATTTCCGGTCCCGCGCAGTATTCGATGATACCAGCTGAGTTGCGGTGAAGAATTTCCAGTCGCGGCCTCGACGAGCGAACAGATCGTACGGAAAAACTGTATCACTGCGACGTGTCATCGAAACGGGAAAAAAGTGCGAGCCCACCGTGATGGCTATCTCAAAACATCAAGCACATGGACATGCAACTACAAGTGGCATAGGCATGACAAATGCACGACGACAGCACGCAGAAGTAGGCATTTTCGTCGTGCCCGTCTTGGCAGTCTCGGACAAGCAAGGGCCTTTTCCTCCTGCGTGCTCACGCATCTGCAACAACACTAGAGCATAGTCTCAACAATACAGCTTATTTTTCCGCATAGAGGAATCATAGGGTGCGTAGCCGTCCACAAAACTATCCCAGCGCTGGTCAGGCTGCAGAAGTTGTGCCAATTTTGCGTCCCTAGACGACTCGTCATGTAGGGGGCGCTTCGAGTTTTGTTTGATCCCGCCGTGCTGTGTAGTTGTAGGAGCTGTTGCGCCCTCAGGCATCTTTTCTGTGTCACCAAAGACGAATTGAAAAACAGCTGAAAGTGTTGACGTCAACAGCGAATCATGCGGGTAAGGAGCGACAAACGTTTGCAGCTTGTCCCGGATGAAACTTTCGACAGTTGTCTTGCGATCGACACACCCGACTGTGGTTAAAATCGCCGGGACCTCGACCGCTGCGGGGTCCAGAACCCGCACCGGAAGATCGTGCATGGTAGAAGTCGTCGTAGACGGAAAAAGTTTTGTTTTTCGCACTGCCTCAGGTACGGTCCTGCTACTGTTCGTCCGTGCTTTTTGTAGAAGTTCGACACGACCTGCTTGACCAGGACGACCATTCGCCTCCATCGGTCGTTCATGTCCGCGCGCCGCGTTTTCTTCGTCCTCTTGCAAAAAGGCAGCTTCTCCTGAGACGGACACGGATGTCGCTGGGTTTGATGCTCTTGCCGAGGTGGAGTCGCTTGTTGATATCAAAAGCGGTTGCGCGACGCTCCCCTGTGTGCCGTTCGCTTGCCGGGGTCTGCGACGGTCGTCTGCCTTCTTCTCGACGCCGGTGCCGGAAGCATTTGCCAGCCCTCTTTGTAACGATACCCCAACCTCCGCTCCTCGATCGCTGAATTCGGAGCAGGAGTACAAGCCGCGGCAACCACACGGGTACGCTGGAACGTAACGGTAAACGTCCAGCTGCACGAGATTGGGTCCTCCATAGGCAAAGCGCCGCTGTGCTTCATAACCCGTGAAGGGGTCATACGTGTGGCGGGTGACGACCGTACCGTCACCAGGTGTTCCTCGAGCGCCCTCGGTGGCAGGGCCGCTTCTGCTTCCATCCACCAATCCCAAAAGCCGAGCGGCAATACCCATCTTGGATCGGCAGTACTCTCCGTCGCCTTCTGCGTCCAGGGGGAAGCGCCTGGCGTCACCACCCAGAGCTTGCCAAAACCGGTTACTGACACAGAGCAGGTACTTGGCGTCTTTTGTCTGTTTCAAAAGATTCTTCACCATCACGGCTGCGGCCTTGTTCATAGTATGCTCTTGTTCATCCTGCCACTCCAGCGCGTCAGCACTTGGGCGATTTTCGCTGCCGTCTTTTCGCAAAAGGGCGCTACTTCGTCCTAGAGGAAGTAGAGCAGGTCCAATCTCGCGACGTGCCGTAGAACCAGATGCGCCGCTGTGTTCTTTGCTCGACTCGGGAACAAACAGGCGTTCGCGGTTCGCTGAGGCTTTCGGAATGACGTAGGTTAACGCAATGTGCGTTCCTGGTATTTGGACAACACGGTTTTCCGCTGTTTCTGCTGGTAGTCGGAAGTCCATCTTGCGGTGATCGTTGGTCGTGTTGTCTCCGCGGCCAGTGCTTTCATTCTGCTCGTCCTGCAAGAACTTTACATCGGCAGTCTTTTCGCCCAATCCCCTTTGAAGTCCGAAATCAACGAGTCGGGCAAGAAATCCGTCGGACGCGACCACGTCGACATCGGGGTCGTACGGAATGATGGAGCCATGCCGTAGGTAGCCCAAGTAGGTGCCGTGCGTGACGTAGTAGTCGGGCACGTCAAGTGCGCCATAGTCTTGTTGTCCTTGCAGAAAGTCGCCATCGGCCTCCGCGTGATAGTGCAGTTCCTGCCACCCAGTCCGTCGCTCGTCCTCGAGACTCGAGTTCGCTACTTGCAGCTGATCTCGATGGAAATCGGACAAAAAGGAGTTGCTAGCGTCCTTGCCGGCGATTTCCTTTCCTTCGAGCGCCTTCGGGAGCTTGTGAAAAGCAGCCAAGCAATCGACTGCAGCAGCGTAGTGCGAGTGGAACTTAAAGTCGTGGCCATAAAACTTTCTCATCGTTTGGAGATCGCAACCGCGGCAAAATTTTTTAATCTCGTTGTCTTCGTGATTTACATGATCCCTCTCTTCGAGGTGTTGGAAAGCAAGCCCCGTGCCGGAGTCAGAATGACGCCGCGTCGGTTCAGATTCGCTACCATTCGGCGCTGGCGGTTCCTGTGCTTGACGGATGATTTCGGTGTGGCGAGACAAAAGCGCTAGAGCGGTGGTTGAGATGGTTAGCGATATTCCGAGCTGCAGCCAACTGGGTGCCGGGACAGGCTTCGCGCGACGAACGTGTTGGTCCTCAGAAGTGGATGGTGTATGCTCGAAATCCAACGCGAACCAGCACACACCAAAGAGCATGATCGCAGAAAATGTAATCTGCAGCGCCGTCATTGTAGTTCCGAAAATGTAGAACGCAAAAATCGCAAGGAAGAGAAAGCTTGCATAGCGATAGCAGGCCTGGGACACTGCATCGGTCAGCTTTGCCAGTTCTGCAGTCGCGAGCGTCACAGCGAATCCCAGAAGGGTGCACACGAGAATCATCATGGCCAGTGGGTAGCTACCCACGACGTGATCAGACAGCACCACCGCACTACTGGCTGCACCGCTATCGACGGAAAGCTTCTGGTGTTCTTGGAACATCATCGGAAATTGCGGCGCTTGGTGCGTCTGCGCGTCCCACAGGACGTCGCCTCCAGCTTGGTCCAGATTGCCCTTCGAAGTAAACGCAAGCGCTGGCGGAAAGATGTTCCATATTTTCCAGTACGCCGATACTGCGAAAAGAGAAACTTTTTCGATCGCATGCGATATGCTGTGAAAAAAGATTCTCCAGGGTAGAGGTCCCTCGATCACGAGAGCGCAGACGCACAGACACAAAAACTGGATGTTGCACGCTTGCGCCGAGTACTCAAGCGGTGACAAGGTGGTCGGAGCAGTGTTGTTGCCTCTGTTCTTTCCCGTTGACAGAAGCGAAAGGAACAATGCTAATCCCGCTGGCGGCCGCTTCGTTTCTGACTGCAGGGTGTACTGGCGAAAAGCGTCGCGCATGCTCGAGAAGAAGAGCGCCGCGGCACAACACGAAACGCCAAAGAGAGCGAGACGCTGTGGGGTCGCATCAGCAACCGAGGATGGCGAGGAGTTGTGGGTGGGCTGTGTGTGCTGGACAACGTAAGCCGCCGATCCTACTCCACCGATAATTATCAATGCGAATTGACAAGCGACCCGCTTGGGATGCGGTAGACTGTACCATGGAAACAAGAAATGGCTGCCGCGCTGTTCTTCTGCTTCCCTTCCCACATAGCTCCCGACAATGTTGTCTTCCACAGGTGCGCACGTGCGCAATGTGGCGCTACTAGCGTGACCACCGCTAGTACCATCCTCCACCTCCGCTGGTTGGGTGCTAGCACTTGCAGCGTCGTCATGCTCATCTGCGGCACAGGAGTCAAGCGCAAAGAATACGATCACATCCGACACCAGAAGATTCTTCATCAGCATTCCGTAAGCTATCGGGTTGAGAATGCTGACTGCTGTATTGCTGAGCCCGATGTTAGCAGCTCCGAAAATACCCGCCACCCAAGCTAAATCGGGCGGAGGAGCTCCTGGCGCTCCCACGTTGCTGCCATCTCCCGCTCGCTCCTGCTGTACGCTGTTCGCTTTCCCGTTGCGAAACACGTCGTGAACTTCTCCCTCTTCGCTCGACGCAGGTGAAGTACATAAGGATGCTGAAGCCGACCAGGATCGCGTTGTTTTTCCGACGTTTGGGTTTGCTGATGCAGGGCCGCATACTTGTTGTTTCTTCAGGATGTTGTCACACGGAAGAAGCGAGCGCGACGACTTGCGCCCGGGATTCTCGTCAGCGTCACTGGGAGCTGTAGCCGCTGTCGATTCCGTGCAACTAGACTCGTTGCCACTTGTCGGCCCGGTGCATTCTTGGTCTGGGGCTTTTGGACTCTCTCTAGGGTCCTCGCAGTCAGCGACTAATGCTTCACATTCTGGAGCAGACCTCTTCCATGCGCACCGTCCGAGCACCATGAGGAGAAAGCCGACCGAGCTGTTTGTAGCAGAGACGAAAAGCGGGTACGGAAACTGCAGGACAGTGAAGATCACCTTCATTGACAACATCAGTGCGGCGTAGGCCAGTCCCTGCACCGCTATCACAGCCATCACTTCCAGCGTCCGCCACATGATCGTGTATCAGTATCGGTAAAGTAGTTGCACTATCTCGTAGTTGTCGTTCATGCGCCCAAGCGGCCCTTGCGGTTTCTAGTCGTTCTCTACCGTTTTTTATCTACCAAGATTTCGAACTAAGTGTAAGTACTCAGTAGAGTGACAATATCGGAGCTTCATAGCACCAATCCTCTTCCCTCTCGCACACATCGTCGATTTGACTCCTACGGTTGCTCAGCAAGGGTACTTAGTTTCCTTGAAAAGGAAGACTGATCACTCGGTAATCGGAACAACAGCCAAAATCCGGCCACATTTCAAGTAACATTCTACTTGCTTCGCTTTGCCTTTGCTGGTCATTATCATCTAACGTCCTATAGACGACAGCCTCGCGAGTCGTAAATCCTACAAAAGTTTGGTGCAAGCGGCAACGGTTACGAGAATTTTCCTGTTGTACAAAAGATAAAAGAAAACATTACTCACACACATAGACATCGACATGAACAGGATCATCTTCAAGGAAGAGTGCAGAGGCATACGGAGCAATGCATATTTAATAGAAGTGACGCCAAACCATAGGAAAAGGGCCTAATCCTCTCACGATTATTTATTATTCACCACCATCCAGAGCTGCGATTCCTGATTCCAAAGGTGGTCGGGGGTTAGATAGTTCTCGCCGTAGCACCCTTTCAGCATGTTGTCGCGCAAGGTAGAATTTGCAAAAACACGCACCCGTGACGTGAGCAGCCGCGCGGTCGGAGATGCAGTGTCCTGCTTCCTGACATCGTGCAGCAGGACCTCCTGGGTGGGTGGAAAATGCTTGATGGCGGATGAGAGATCTTCTTCTTGTGCGTTAGCGCCGTCTTTCTGCTTCGCAGTCTCTGCCTTTTCACCAGTTGCAGTTTCTTCCCCCGTCAGCGCAGTCCATAAGTCGGTCCAGCACCACCGTGTATTACTCCGCTCTTGTTGTTCAAGAAGGGAGAACCCGACTGCTTCATCTGGACTAGTTTTGTAGCCCGCCTTGCAGGATATGTGTGTCGGTGCGCCATACGTTGGGTCCAACACAGCGAGATCGATGTAGGTGTATCGCTTTCCGCCTGAACCGTCCGGTAGCAGTTCGGGATTGCTCCGCTCCGTTATTTCTATCGGAGAACTCCCTTCCCTCGTCTCGGCCACATCTTTGTTCGGGTCGTGCTGCATCACAAAGCGACCCCCCATCGGGGGGCCCCACTGCATGGCCCAGGTGCCGTGTGCTTTCTTCACCTGCTCTCGCGCGGATTGCTTTTGGATTGCAAGATGGGTGTAAGAAGTCCAGCTCTCGTCGCTCAAATGTAGAAGGTACTTTGCGCCGGAAGCAGCAAGAATTTCGTCTATAGAATCTACAGGCGCGGAGGTGTACGTGACTGCCACCTTCTCGTCTGCAACGGCTAGAGACGAGCGTTCATCTGGGACCCTCTGCGCGGAATCCGCTTCTTGGAAGCTGCTTTTATTCGCCGGTTGAGAAACGTGTTGGGTTGGTGACTCTCCCAGACGGGGCTGGTCCTCCATCCTTCTCTGCGAAAACGAGAAGGTAACAAATTTGACGCCGTTCTTTCCGCTCGTGCTTGTGCCACCGTAACTCGTTCCAGACGCAGACGTAAACAAGCCTTTATCTTGCACTGCTGCGCGCTCGACCACACGAAAAAATGATCTGGGAACGAAAACATCGCCGTCATTTGCGTAGGGGGAAACTCCCTGATGCCGCTCGTAACCAAGAAGACTGCCGAACCCGAGGGCGTATGGGCAAGTCTGTCCGCCGAGGGCATCTGCAAAAAGTGGCGAAGCAAGGAAGGCATGAAAGGCCTGGTGCAGCTCCATGATGTCACGATACCGGGTCGACACGCGAAAGTGGCTGCCGTAGATTCTCTCCATTGCACTTTTACCAACAACATCCTGAGTCACGCCCTCCGCGTCGTTATCGTTCTCTGCTCTGGCGCCAAATGGCGATGTCTCCGGTGATGTTTCTGTGTTCGACATGAAGGCGGTGGCGAAGGGGGTCGCTACTGGCTGAAGCAGCGACTGCGGACATTCCCGCTTCGTCAGGGCTTTTTGTGTACTATTTTGAGTCAGGGACCACGAAGCACGGTGCCCGACCACGACCGGACATAGAAGTCGTACGGTCTTTCCTCTCTTCGCCGCCCACGGGTACCAGTCGTTGTCAATCGCAAGGTTGAGGTGCGGGTCGCGGGCCGCCTTGGCGAGTGATGGGTCGAGGAAGGTGGAGACGAAGTCCGGAAGGTCAGCCGTGCGAATCGCCCAGCCGTACGAGCCGAACGAGAATCCAACTTGAGCTAGCCGATAGCGCGTCCCAAAGCCAGTGGCGACATCTTGCGAAACGAGCGAAACGTTTCGACTCCGGTGACGCGCCCGTTGCCGGCCCGGCCTTGGGGCTTGGAGGTACTCCTGCGCCCCAAGCAGGACGATGCTGGTGTCTTTCGGCCAAGACTGGAGAAGGGCTTCGCTCACGTCGTTGACGTCTTCCTCGGCCAACCATATCGCGTCGTCTTCGAAGACAAAAACGAGCTCCGGAAAGGCGACGCCGCGGTCGAGGCCCTGCCGCTTGTCGATCTCGATCTCACCACCTACTTGCGGAGTGGAAGTGGATAGTGGTGTCGAGATTGATCTTGATACAACCCTAGGTCCGTGACCGTGGCCCGCATCTGCGTAAGTGTGAATGTGGTGGACGTGCTTCTTGACCATTTGTAGGAGAGCCTTGAAACAGCGCGCGAGGGAGGTCTCGAGTCCGATGCCCCGACGGGAAATCAGTACGGCTGGGCAATGGTGAATGGCGTGGGGCCCCTTGCTCCCGAAGTCGTTTCGTGCAGCAAACTTCGTCAGTTTCTCGCGCGAACCTGCTGGAATAGCTCCAGCTGCTTCGTTCGTGCTATTTCCATCACTTGAAGATGACGAAATCTTTGCTGGATCTTGGGCGTCTCCGAAGCCGATCACCATAAGGAACGCTCCAGCTGCTTTTGTGCTTGGCGCGCCTGTGCCATCTTCGGCGTCGTCAGAATTCTTCATTTCCGTCGAGTTCTGAACGTCCGTGTTTGCAGGGGAATTCGGTTTTGGGCGGCCGCCAGTACCTTCTGCCGCTACGGCTGCCCACACGTTAAATGGAACCAAATGCACTCCGCCACGAGAATCATCCGAATCTTCCATCATGTATGAAAAATTCGAATTCGGGATAGAAGCACGGCTTCGTTCATCTTGTAGTTGTACGAAACTCGGACGACGTGATGCGGGCCCGGTACCAGCGGGTCCTGAAAACGAAACTGCATCGCCTGTCGCGGATACGAGAGCCGCACCATCCGCACCAGCGCTTGGTGCCAATGCGCGTCGCGGGGCGTCATGACCCCGGTCCTTCACCCGATGCGCCTTGTCATTTTTACGGTCGTGATGATGATCGTCATCGTGATCGACGTCCACCTGCCAATGATAGGGGTCCTCGTCCTCCTCTTGCCGCAATAATCTTGTTCTAGCTTTGATGCTTTGATCGAGCTCGCGCCGATAAATTCCAAATGCCGGTGAAACCCGTGACGTTCGCAACAGCAAACAGAGGAAGGAGAGCTTCATTTTCCGCGTCGATCGCATCGTCCTTACGCGCCTGTATTCCTTGTGGAGCCACTTCACCTAGAAAAACCAGAGTCTGGTTAAGAAGTGGAACACCATGTTGAGGTTGTGACCACGAAGATTTTTTCCCGGAATAAGGAATGTGCGTTTAATTTTCCCGTAGGGAGCCATCCTCACTTTAGCTTTACATCATACAACTTTACTAAGCATACTTACACAGCTAAATGGATTTGATGACTGCTCTACATCGACGTCGACCTCTATTTGAATTTGACCGCTGACGTAAGATGGTCCCTCTTTTGTTTGCCTCTTCGGTGCCGGCCGTGAGGACAACAGACAAGAGTTGACTCGCTTGCACATGTGGCACCCGCTTTTTTTTTAGCACATGGCTTCTGCCCCTTTGCTCCATCACTAAAATGCAACCAAAATCTCACACAAAGACACACCTTAAACTCTTTTCCCTTTCTTTATGTTTTTTTTTCCTCATCAACAACACCGAGGCGATCCATCGGATGAAATCAAAACTGTAGGACCTCTCTCTGGTACTGGTACAGAGACAGAATAAAGGAATGCAATGAAAATCGTTACTAAATTACAACCCTGAACAGTGGCGATCACGCTAACAGAAACTGAAAGTTGTGCAGCCCCGAACAGCGGTCATTTCAGCAGAAACTGAAAGTGGTTGATAAATATAATCATGCGCTTCATTATGTACTGGAAAATTTCATACTTTTTTCTCCAACCCAGATGTTTTTCACAAATGCGATCGGATGTTGTCTATTGTTAGGAAGCACATGCGGCAAGAGTGACTCTGATGCTTAATACTGTAGTCACCGCCATTCCAATTGGCAATTGCTCCACTTGGAAGATAGCGAATGCGGGTGCTTCTAGCTGCATACGCATTGGTGAATGCCAAATCACAATCAGTGTCTTGTCTGTCGCGGATGGTTGTTTTCGCATTCGAGCTCTTTTATATGGCGGAAAATTTGCTGCCTGGCCTGCAAAGCAGTTGTTTTGCGAGTGAAAGGGTCTCCAAAACCAACCCACTCGGCGTGCCCCATATTAGCAAACCACAGTACCTTGAGTAGAGACGGTTTCACGGGTCCCTCAGCGTTGGTAGGTCTTGTACCTACTTCATCTTGTGCAGCTCTTGAATGATCTTCCCTGGCAGCTGCACTAGAAGTAGCACTGGATAATTTGGGCCGAAGCCGAGCAAGATCAGTCGCGTCCTCGTCTTCCAGGTACAAGCGTACAGAGTGTGCCGGGATGAGGCCGTCCAAGCCACAGAGGACCACGAGCGTGGGCGTTTCACTCAACTCTTCTTTGTGCAGCTGCACTTGGTTCATCCACGAATTTCGGGCGAGACAGTTCGCAATGTGCGGCTCAGACACGATGAAGGCTCGCAACAGTAGAGCCGCCCAGTGCGGCGGAATTCGGTAGGTCGTGTTGTAGGCTGTGTCCGGCATCTGGAGCAGGAAGCACACAGGGTCCAGGAGTGTCATGTACTTGATAACGCTTGGCGCAGCGTTCGTTGAAGTCTTTCGGCAGTAGTAGGTCAGACTCCCAGCTTTCAGCTCGCGGAACCCGTGGCGCCGTCTTCAGCTTCCTTGCGTCGTCTGCCGGTGAGCAGCTTCCTTGCGTCGTCTTCAGCTGCGCAGGCCCGGATTTGCTCTGCCGTGAGGCCGCCAGAAATCACTGCCTCTGGGTCCCTGCAAGAGTTTTTTTGGTATTGAAACCAGCGCTGCGCCTTCGTCCCTTTGTCGAACTTTTGTACAGTTGAAACCACGCGAACGCTTGGGATTTGTTCCGCTGCCCAGATTCCGAAGGCGTAATCTTCGCCTGCGTAGTTGAACAGCTCTGCTTGGTGGTCAGCAACATACTGAACAAATTCCCAGGAGAAAACTTCGCCAGCTGTCCCACTGAGATAAGGAGGATAATGGCTGTGCGGGTAGTTCTTCTCTACCCACTTTGACGTCGTCGGATCGTCCTGCACTGGCATTTGCTGCCAGACAAGCCCAAGCAGAATTTTTTCTGATGCGGGATCGAGGCCTGTCGTCGGGAAGTCGTCATCTTTTTGCGGAAAAAGAAATCGCTGTAACGGGAAACGCCTCACGTACGCGTCGTCGTCCACCTTAACGATCCACTGTAACGTCTTGGAGAATTGGGGTTGCGACGTGACCCATTGAAAGGCAAGCTTCATTTTCAAAGTACTGTTGTGATACACGTCCACCATTGGCAGAAGGACCATGTCGTCATGCATTTTCTCTTCTTGCTGGAGTGCTGCAGTAAGCTGCTGTTCTTTCTCGCGTTGCACCAGCCACGCGTTTTGTGAAGTGCTGCTTTTGCCTGCAGCTGCAGCGCCAAAAAACCACCGATCAAGAATGCTGAGAATGGAACTGCGTTCTTCTTTGCGCGGCGTGCAGTAGCCTCCAACGGCTCGGTCCACAGCGATCCGCTCGGAAAGTGGAATCTCACAGCCCTGTGCGCCAACAAGAAAGTGAGCCCAAGGCCTCCGACTGCCGGCGTTGCCTCCCTCGCTCCACATCCGGTTCTGTTTCAACCATGTCGCGCGTATCACTTGCCTCTTCGCAAAGTTTTCTCGTGCGGAAAGAATGAGGACATGCATGCGTTCTCGCTTGTCTTCTGCTGCTGGCACAGTGACATTAAGCGACTTCGCTTCGGAGCTCCGTCCCATGACTGAAACGCGTTCGTGCCGACCGACGTCAGTGCGAGGCTCGTTCTCGTCCGTTTTTGCTGATACACTTGACGCTCCAGTACTGGTATGGTGCGTCTCGCCGTGCGTCGATGGCGACGTCTGTGGTGATGTCTCTGCGTTCGACATGAAGGCGGTGGCGAAAGGGGTCGCTACTGGCTGAAGCAGGGCCTGCGGACATTCCCGGTTCGTCAGGGCTTTTTGTGTACTATTTTGAGTCAGGGACCACGAAGCACGGTGCCCGACCACTACCGGACATAGAAGTCGTACGGTCTTTCCTCTCTTCGCCGCCCACGGATACCAGTCGTTGTCAATCGCAAGGTTGAGGTGCGGGTCGCGGGCCGCCTTGGCGAGTGACGGGTCGAGGAAGGTGGAGACGAAGTCCGGAAGGTCAGCCGTGCGAATCGCCCAGCCATACGAACCGAACGAGAATCCAAGTTGAGCTAGCCGATAGCGCGTCCCCAAGCCAGTGGCGACATCTTGCGACACGAGCGAAACGCTTCGGCTCCGGTGACGCGCCCGTTGCCGGCCCGGCCTTGGGGCTTGGAGGTACTCCTGCGCCCCAAGCAGGACGATGCTGGTGTCTTTTGGCCAAGAGTGGAGAAGGGCTTCGCTCACATCGTTGACGTCTTCCTCGGCCAACCACATCGCGTCATCTTCGAAGACAAAAATGAGCTCCGGAAAGGCGACGCCGCGGCCGGGGCCCTTCCGCTTGTCGATCTCCGCGCCTTGCGGAGTGGACGTGGATAGTGGCGTTGGGATTGACTTTGATACAACCCTAGATCCGTGGTCTGCATCTGCGTAAGTGTTAACGTGGTGAACGTGCTTGTTCACCATCTGTAGCTGTAGGAGAGCCTTGAAACAGCGCGCGAGGGAGGTCTCGAGTCCGATGCCCCGACGGGAAATCAGTACGGCTGGGCAATGGTGAATGGCGTGGGGCCCCTTGCTCCCGAAGTCGTTTCGTGCAGCAAACTTCGTCAGTTTCTCGCGCGAACCTGCTGGAATAGCTCCAGCTGCTTCGTTCGTGCTATTTCCATCACTTGAAGATGACGAAATCTTTGCTGGATCTTGGGCGTCTCCGAAGCCGATCACCATAAGGAACGCTCCAGCTGCTTTTGTGCTTGGCGCGCCTGTGCCATCTTCGGCGTCGTCAGAATTCTTCATTTCCGTCGAGTTCTGAACGTCCGTGTTTGCAGGGGAATTCGGTTTTGGGCGGCCGCCAGTACCTTCTGCCGCTACGGCTGCCCACACGTTAAATGGAACCAAATGCACTCCGCCACGAGAATCATCCGAATCTTCCATCATGTATGAAAAATTCGAATTCGGGATAGAAGCACGGCTTCGTTCACCTTGTAGTTGTACGAAACTCGGACGACGTGATGCGGGCCCGGTACCAGCGGGTCCTGAAAACGAAACTGCATCGCCTGTCGCGGATACGAGAGCCGCACCATCCGCACCAGCGCTTGGTGCCAATGCGCGTCGCGGGGCGTCATGACCCCGGTCCTTCACCCGATGCGCCTTGTCATTTTTACGGTCGTGATGATGATCGTCATCGTGATCGACGTCCACCTGCCAATGATAGGGGTCCTCGTCCTCCTCTTGCCGCAATAATCTTGTTCTAGCTTTGATGCTTTGATCGAGCTCGCGCCGATAAATTCCAAATGCCGGTGAAACCCGTGACGTTCGCAACAGCAAACAGAGGAAGGAGAGCTTCATTTTCCGCGTCGATCGCATCGTCCTTACGCGCCTGTATTCCTTGTGGAGCCGCTTCACCTAGAAAAACCAGAGACTGGTTAAGAAGTGGAACACCATGAGATTGTGACCACGAAGATTTTTTCCCGGAATAAGGAGTGTGCGTTTATTTTTCGATACGCCCACTACGCATACTTTTACTTACACAGCTACATGAATTCGATGGCTGCTCTACGTCGATGTCGACCTCTAATTGAATTTGGCCCCTGACTTAAGATCGTCCCTCTTTTGTTTGCCTCTCCGGTGCCGGCCGTGAGGACAACAGGCAAAGGTTGACTCGCTTCCACATGTGGCACCCGCTTTTTTTTTTTGCAAGCGCCCTCTGCCCCTTTGCTCCATCACTAACTAAAATGCAACCAAAACCTCACACAAAGACTAAGACACACCTCACAATGAAATCAAAACTGTAGTCCCTTTCTCTGGTACAGAGACAGAATGAAGGAATGCAATGAAAATCGTTACTAAAATTAAAATACAACCCCGAAGAACAGCTGGAGATTACGTTAACAGAATCTGAAAGTTGTGAAGCCCCGAAGAGCGGTCATTTCAGCAGAAAGAACTGAAAGTGGTTGATATCGTCGTGCGCTTCATTATGTACTGGAAAATTTCATACAAGACTTCTTTTTCCAACCCAGATGTTTTTCACAAATGCGATCGGATGTTGTCTATTCTTAGGAAGCACATGTGGCAACAAGAGTGGCTTCGATGTTTAATACCGTGGTCACCGCCATTGCAATTGCTTCATTTGGAAGATAGCGAATGCAGGTGCTTCTCGCTGCACACGCATTGGCGAATGCCACATCAGTGTCTTGTCTGTCGCGGAGGGTTGTTTTCGCATTCGAGCTCTTTAATATGGCGGAAAATTTGCTGCCTGGCCTGCAAAGCAGTTGTTTTGCGAGTGAAAGGGTCTCCAAAACCAACCCACTCGGCGTGCCCCATGTTGGCAAACCACAGTACCTTGAGTAGAGACGGTTTCACGGGTTCCTCAGCGTTGGTAGTACTTGTACCTGCTTCATCTTGTGCAGCTCCTGAATGATCTTCCCTGGCACGACTAGAAGTAGCACTGGATAATTTGGGCCGAAGCCGAGCAAGATCAGTCGCGTCCTCGTCTTCCAGGTACAAGCGTACAGAGTGTGCCGGGATGAGGCCGTCCAAGCCACAGAGGACCACGAGCGTGGGCGTTTCACTCAACTCTTCTTTGTGCAGCTGCACTTGGTTCATCCACGAATTTCGGGCGAGACAGTTCGCAATGTGCGGCTCAGACACGATGAAGGCTCGCAACAGTAGAGCCGCCCAGTGCGGCGGAATTCGGTAGGTCGTGTTGTAGGCTGTGTCCGGCATCTGGAGCAGGAAGCACACAGGGTCCAGGAGTGTCATGTACTTGATAACGCTTGGCGCAGCGTTCGTTGAAGTCTTTCGGCAGTAGTAGGTCAGACTCCCAGCTTTCAGCTCGCGGAACCCGTGGCGCCGTCTTCAGCTTCCTTGCGTCGTCTGCCGGTGAGCAGCTTCCTTGCGTCGTCTTCAGCTGCGCAGGCCCGGATTTGCTCTGCCGTGAGGCCGCCAGAAATCACTGCCTCTGGGTCCCTGCAAGAGTTTTTTTGGTATTGAAACCAGCGCTGCGCCTTCGTCCCTTTGTCGAACTTTTGTACAGTTGAAACCACGCGAACGCTTGGGATTTGTTCCGCTGCCCAGATTCCGAAGGCGTAATCTTCGCCTGCGTAGTTGAACAGCTCTGCTTGGTGGTCAGCAACATACTGAACAAATTCCCAGGAGAAAACTTCGCCAGCTGTCCCACTGAGATAAGGAGGATAATGGCTGTGCGGGTAGTTCTTCTCTACCCACTTTGACGTCGTCGGATCGTCCTGCACTGGCATTTGCTGCCAGACAAGCCCAAGCAGAATTTTTTCTGATGCGGGATCGAGGCCTGTCGTCGGGAAGTCGTCATCTTTTTGCGGAAAAAGAAATCGCTGTAACGGGAAACGCCTCACGTACGCGTCGTCGTCCACCTTAACGATCCACTGTAACGTCTTGGAGAATTGGGGTTGCGACGTGACCCATTGAAAGGCAAGCTTCATTTTCAAAGTACTGTTGTGATACACGTCCACCATTGGCAGAAGGACCATGTCGTCATGCATTTTCTCTTCTTGCTGGAGTGCTGCAGTAAGCTGCTGTTCTTTCTCGCGTTGCACCAGCCACGCGTTTTGTGAAGTGCTGCTTTTGCCTGCAGCTGCAGCGCCAAAAAACCACCGATCAAGAATGCTGAGAATGGAACTGCGTTCTTCTTTGCGCGGCGTGCAGTAGCCTCCAACGGCTCGGTCCACAGCGATCCGCTCGGAAAGTGGAATCTCACAGCCCTGTGCGCCAACAAGAAAGTGAGCCCAAGGCCTCCGACTGCCGGCGTTGCCTCCCTCGCTCCACATCCGGTTCTGTTTCAACCATGTCGCGCGTATCACTTGCCTCTTCGCAAAGTTTTCTCGTGCGGAAAGAATGAGGACATGCATGCGTTCTCGCTTGTCTTCTGCTGCTGGCACAGTGACATTAAGCGACTTCGCTTCGGAGCTCCGTCCCATGACTGAAACGCGTTCGTGCCGACCGACGTCAGTGCGAGGCTCGTTCTCGTCCGTTTTTGCTGATACACTTGACGCTCCAGTACTGGTATGGTGCGTCTCGCCGTGCGTCGATGGCGACGTCTGTGGTGATGTCTCTGCGTTCGACATGAAGGCGGTGGCGAAAGGGGTCGCTACTGGCTGAAGCAGGGCCTGCGGACATTCCCGGTTCGTCAGGGCTTTTTGTGTACTATTTTGAGTCAGGGACCACGAAGCACGGTGCCCGACCACTACCGGACATAGAAGTCGTACGGTCTTTCCTCTCTTCGCCGCCCACGGATACCAGTCGTTGTCAATCGCAAGGTTGAGGTGCGGGTCGCGGGCCGCCTTGGCGAGTGACGGGTCGAGGAAGGTGGAGACGAAGTCCGGAAGGTCAGCCGTGCGAATCGCCCAGCCATACGAACCGAACGAGAATCCAAGTTGAGCTAGCCGATAGCGCGTCCCCAAGCCAGTGGCGACATCTTGCGACACGAGCGAAACGCTTCGGCTCCGGTGACGCGCCCGTTGCCGGCCCGGCCTTGGGGCTTGGAGGTACTCCTGCGCCCCAAGCAGGACGATGCTGGTGTCTTTTGGCCAAGAGTGGAGAAGGGCTTCGCTCACATCGTTGACGTCTTCCTCGGCCAACCACATCGCGTCATCTTCGAAGACAAAAATGAGCTCCGGAAAGGCGACGCCGCGGCCGGGGCCCTTCCGCTTGTCGATCTCCGCGCCTTGCGGAGTGGACGTGGATAGTGGCGTTGGGATTGACTTTGATACAACCCTAGATCCGTGGTCTGCATCTGCGTAAGTGTTAACGTGGTGAACGTGCTTGTTCACCATCTGTAGCTGTAGGAGAGCCTTGAAACAGCGCGCGAGGGAGGTCTCGAGTCCGATGCCCCGACGGGAAATCAGTACGGCTGGGCAATGGTGAATGGCGTGGGGCCCCTTGCTCCCGAAGTCGTTTCGTGCAGCAAACTTCGTCAGTTTCTCGCGCGAACCTGCTGGAATAGCTCCAGCTGCTTCGTTCGTGCTATTTCCATCACTTGAAGATGACGAAATCTTTGCTGGATCTTGGGCGTCTCCGAAGCCGATCACCATAAGGAACGCTCCAGCTGCTTTTGTGCTTGGCGCGCCTGTGCCATCTTCGGCGTCGTCAGAATTCTTCATTTCCGTCGAGTTCTGAACGTCCGTGTTTGCAGGGGAATTCGGTTTTGGGCGGCCGCCAGTACCTTCTGCCGCTACGGCTGCCCACACGTTAAATGGAACCAAATGCACTCCGCCACGAGAATCATCCGAATCTTCCATCATGTATGAAAAATTCGAATTCGGGATAGAAGCACGGCTTCGTTCACCTTGTAGTTGTACGAAACTCGGACGACGTGATGCGGGCCCGGTACCAGCGGGTCCTGAAAACGAAACTGCATCGCCTGTCGCGGATACGAGAGCCGCACCATCCGCACCAGCGCTTGGTGCCAATGCGCGTCGCGGGGCGTCATGACCCCGGTCCTTCACCCGATGCGCCTTGTCATTTTTACGGTCGTGATGATGATCGTCATCGTGATCGACGTCCACCTGCCAATGATAGGGGTCCTCGTCCTCCTCTTGCCGCAATAATCTTGTTCTAGCTTTGATGCTTTGATCGAGCTCGCGCCGATAAATTCCAAATGCCGGTGAAACCCGTGACGTTCGCAACAGCAAACAGAGGAAGGAGAGCTTCATTTTCCGCGTCGATCGCATCGTCCTTACGCGCCTGTATTCCTTGTGGAGCCGCTTCACCTAGAAAAACCAGAGACTGGTTAAGAAGTGGAACACCATGAGATTGTGACCACGAAGATTTTTTCCCGGAATAAGGAGTGTGCGTTTATTTTTCGATACGCCCACTACGCATACTTTTACTTACACAGCTACATGAATTCGATGGCTGCTCTACGTCGATGTCGACCTCTAATTGAATTTGGCCCCTGACTTAAGATCGTCCCTCTTTTGTTTGCCTCTCCGGTGCCGGCCGTGAGGACAACAGGCAAAGGTTGACTCGCTTCCACATGTGGCACCCGCTTTTTTTTTTTGCAAGCGCCCTCTGCCCCTTTGCTCCATCACTAACTAAAATGCAACCAAAACCTCACACAAAGACTAAGACACACCTCACAATGAAATCAAAACTGTAGTCCCTTTCTCTGGTACAGAGACAGAATGAAGGAATGCAATGAAAATCGTTACTAAAATTAAAATACAACCCCGAAGAACAGCTGGAGATTACGTTAACAGAATCTGAAAGTTGTGAAGCCCCGAAGAGCGGTCATTTCAGCAGAAAGAACTGAAAGTGGTTGATATCGTCGTGCGCTTCATTATGTACTGGAAAATTTCATACAAGACTTCTTTTTCCAACCCAGATGTTTTTCACAAATGCGATCGGATGTTGTCTATTCTTAGGAAGCACATGTGGCAACAAGAGTGGCTTCGATGTTTAATACCGTGGTCACCGCCATTGCAATTGCTTCATTTGGAAGATAGCGAATGCAGGTGCTTCTCGCTGCACACGCATTGGCGAATGCCACATCAGTGTCTTGTCTGTCGCGGAGGGTTGTTTTCGCATTCGAGCTCTTTAATATGGCGGAAAATTTGCTGCCTGGCCTGCAAAGCAGTTGTTTTGCGAGTGAAAGGGTCTCCAAAACCAACCCACTCGGCGTGCCCCATGTTGGCAAACCACAGTACCTTGAGTAGAGACGGTTTCACGGGTTCCTCAGCGTTGGTAGTACTTGTACCTGCTTCATCTTGTGCAGCTCCTGAATGATCTTCCCTGGCACGACTAGAAGTAGCACTGGATAATTTGGGCCGAAGCCGAGCAAGATCAGTCGCGTCCTCGTCTTCCAGGTACAAGCGTACAGAGTGTGCCGGGATGAGGCCGTCCAAGCCACAGAGGACCACGAGCGTGGGCGTTTCACTCAACTCTTCTTTGTGCAGCTGCACTTGGTTCATCCACGAATTTCGGGCGAGACAGTTCGCAATGTGCGGCTCAGACACGATGAAGGCTCGCAACAATAGAGCCGCCCAGTGCGGCGGAATTCGGTAGGTCGTGTTGTAGGCTGTGTCCGGCATCTGAAGCAGGAAGCACACAGGGTCCAGGAGTGTCATGTACTTGATGACGCTTGGCTGCCGCTTCAGAACCCAGGACACCACGAAGGACCCGAAAGAGTGACCAATAAAGTGTACCCCGGTTACGCCTTTTTGTTGTTGAGTGGAGCTGCGCACCTTGTTGTGTGAACTGGTCGTTGTTGAACTGGAAGACGATGTACCCGACGTGTCGCCATCCACAGCGCCAGCCGTTATGGTTCGTTCGCTGGGATGGACGGTCGGGGAAATGACGGGGACTCCCGGCGTGGTTGAAGATGTAGGAGACTTCTCGCGCTGGCTACGGCTTCCCGCCCCAGCGATGTTGTAGTATTCGTCGTAGTGGGCTGCAAGCATGTCAATCAGGCAGGCTACGGTTTCGGACGCGGACGACACTTTTTCCTCCAGCTGCATGGAGATGAAGGGTAACGTGGGCAAAAAAATATCGCGATCCGGAAAATTTTGCACCAGCTCGGCGAAGAACGGCAAATACTCGAACAGGCCGAATCCCAAGCCGTGCAGGAACACCAACGGAACCGGGGGCGGTTCTGAAGCTTGTGGCGCAGACGAGAGGGCCCGCGCAGCGTTCGTTGAAGTCTTTCGGCAGTAGTAGGTCAGACTCCCAGCTTTCAGCTCGCGGAACCCGTGGCGCCGCAGGAAAATGTCGGCGATGAGCGGCAAAATTTGTTGGGTCAGCACATAGAAGAGAGCGGGCCGGGGGCTCGCATTCAGCGGATCCAACATGGGTCGTATGCACAGGATGTTTGCGTTGCGCCCGGCGGGGAATTTGTGTCCGCCCAGCCACTTTTGCAGGTGCCGCAGCATCTTGTCCAGATAGATGTGTCGAGCTTGTCGGTGCTGCAACGCACGCTCGGTGCTTCGCTGCGATGGCACATGATCCCGGTCAAGCTCAGCCGCATTGGTCGCGATGTCGTCAGCGAAGCTAACGGGCCGCTGAAACTGAATTTCTTTGGTGTCGGAGCGCTGGTGAAGCTTCAGCATTTTCCTTCCGAGCCTCTGCTCTCGTTTAACATTCGCTGCCGAGTCGTTCATGAAGGCAGCACAAAGGAAGTCCTCTACATTTTTCTTTTGCAGTTCGCGAAGCTGCACTAAGGGCTCCTCCCCTTGATTTTTCGCAGTGCGCGCCTGCCAATCTGTATGGCGAAACCAACCACAGAAGAAGGACTCGCGCAAGGTGCGTTCACGTTCAGCCTCCGAAGTGCCATCACATGCAACACTTGCTCCGACACCTACAGAAAGGGGGGGCTCGTCTTCTCTCACCAGAGAGGTCTTGGCGTTGCGGTCTAGCCGAATAAAGTTTTCGACCGAGCGCCCGCGGTGCAGGCTGGAAGAATCTCGCGCATTTGTTGTAATTGCTCGGTTGATGTGCGGGGACAGAGCAGCGCTGGGGCCTCCACTGGGTGGCGATCTATCCCGAAGATGCTCCAAATCGTGTGCTCTTGTCAAGTGCTTGCGCACGATGTTCGTGATAGTCTCAAGCGAGCGAGTGAGGTCAGCATATGCGACGATGTTCGGCACGCGTGGCGGATTTACCGGCGCGTTGTTCAGGCGGTGTATGCGGTACTTTTGGTACAGAAAGAACACTACCTCTACGAAGGCGTAGGTCTTCAGCAAGAACGCCAGCCACCGCGAGACCACGTTTTTGGTTGGCGGCGCTTCGTAGCCCGCTCCAATGGACGCTCCGGGAATGCGGAAGAGAAACAAGGCTCCATTGACAAGACAATCGACGGCAAGCGAACCAAACGTAGCTGTAGCTCCGGAGGACGAGGACATCGAGCTGGCCTTGTTTGCAGCATGTGCCGAATTTGCTGTTCGTGGTCCGGTTGCCGTTTCTGTTTCGTTTCCGGTTGGAAAGGCATACATTTGGAGAAAGTAGGGCAATAGGAATCGCCTCATTAGCTCGATTTCGGTGCGGTGGTAGTAAAGCCTAAGACTCTTGCTCGACGACGCCTCCGCTCCCCCTTGCAGCGATGACTCAAGCTGCACCAATTGTGCTGCGAGTCTGAGGGAGCGCCGTAGCACCCGCCGCAGCCAAAACCAGAGGCAGGCGTATGGAATCGCATGCACGGGATAAATGAGGCCCAGTTTTACGAGCCACGTCATAAAGACGTTCCAGCGGCCGGTTGTGCAGAAGATCGCTTCGTGCTCAGCATGAGCCTCGTCGTGCTGTCTCAATAACCGCGAAATAAAGCTCCTCCGGGAATTGTAACTGAGAGCGTTTTCATCTTTTTCATCTGCAGAGGATGGTCGTGCTCGTGGCAGGTCTTGTTCGTCGGTGTGTCCCGAGCGTGCTTTCCTGCGCGGCTTTTTCTCATCTGTCCCACGCGGTTGCACCTCGATCTCTGCTCCACGCATGCCCTCATTAAAGGTAACATGAGCGGCCGCGCTACGATCTGACACCGGTGCGTGCTCCGGAAAAAAAATGGTGTTCGTGTGGGATTCGCGTGGATTGGACAGTCGCTCGATGGGATCTTCGCCCCGCCCACCTTGAAGGAGCCTCGTCTGTGCGATACTGTGTTCGTCGGAGTGCGAGTAGCTCGAAGAGTCCGAGTATCCACTCCCCACGGACCCGCTTCGTGACATCAGAAATCGGTGCGACATGATCTTTTGCCAGGTCTTCAGGCTGACGGTGGACGAACGTCAGGATCCTCATACATGGTATCAATCGGCTTCTTTGTCTAGGTGATTTTGGTGCTCGTTGAGTTGCCTCATCGCGCACTTACATTTTTCGTCCACGAAGTTGGTTTTTCACTCAACAAAAATGCGGGGAGCAACTTCCCTTGGTGGTGATCGGAATACCTCTCCTCCAGATTTCTTTATTCTTTTTCCAAACAAACAAACAAAAGCGTTTTTTTTGTTGTTCTTTTTTTTTTTAAACATCATCACAGTAGAGGTGAGAAGGAACAGAATGCACTTTTACCAGGGCAGCTCCAGGGCATAGCTTGGGCACACCACCTGCGTCTTTGTTCATTTTGTTTCTCTTTCTGTGTCTATCTCGAATAAGAGAGAACGTGGGTTTTTTGTTGTCGGAGCTGCAGGTCGACGAGGTGTTTCCGACCAGTTCTTCGCCCTGCTTAATCTTAATCATGCACGAAGGTCATTTAGTTTTAGATTTTCATTTTTCTGGACTATCATACATCAAATTGGACTTGCAGTTTCATTATACTCACGTCGCTGAAAATTTAGTGTTCATTTTCATGACTTTTCACCTTTGTGGTGCGGCATCTTCGGAAAAACTCAAATCTCGTTGATGCGCGGCCTGGATCAGCGTCAGTGTAGCCACCTGCGACTCCGGATGCTGGTACAACAGCAATGGCTGCATTTCGCGCAAGTTTTCAAGGAGGTCTGCTCTTCCGGTGTCGCTTATTTGCTCAAGTCGAGAGACTACTCGCTCCGGATGCACAAGAAATTCGGCCTCGGGGATAACTACGGCCCAAGATGTAACATTTTTGGTCGATGGAAACAGCTGGGCGGTTGTGCCAGCCACGCGGTTGTCCTCGGAAAACGGTACACCGACATGAGGCAAAGAGTCATCGATGAGCACGGGAATACACGAAGACGCGATCGCGTGAAAGAGTGCGTGCGTGCTCGGAGTGTCTCCGCGGATAACGAGGCAAAACTTTGCGTCCTTCCAGCCACGGAGCCACTCCTCTCGAGTCGTATCGAAGCCGATATTGCAGTTTGGCCACAACTTTGGGTTCTTGGTCGGTAAGTGGCGAAGCGAAGTTGCACCGAAGGCTGTACTATCAAGCGCTGGAAAGGCAATTGAATCGGATGCATGTCGTCACCCTTCCCCAAATAAAATAAAGTATTTACAAAAAGCAGAACCCCAGCAGAAAAAGACTTGCGCTTCTTGACTAGGTGACGAACAGCATCATGGACGCTTCTCAACTAGATGAGCAACATACATAAGTAGAAACGATAACGAGCCCATCAAAAAAAGTAGAAAGCAGAAAAACAAAAAATAATGACAACATAGATTCTAAATGAGGTTGAGGCTGAAAGAGAAAGGGTGTGCGGCAACAACAAGCTCCGCGGACTAATGGCCTTGCAATTGATAGGACGGTGGTTTTCTCGTGCGGTAGAAGATCAGGTGTGGGCGATTTTTCCAAGCTAGCGTGAACTCCGCGGGCACAATTTCCAGACCGGGGTGCACCTCAAGAGGAGTCACGACGCTGCGCTTTGTCGATTCCCATGGTACGGAGAACAAAGCCTGCGGGTGCCGCCACCAGGCTTCGGGGTCTCTTTCAAAAGAGTTTTCCCAGGAGGACATGTGTATTACTTCTTCGCGCGTCAGAATGGTCTCACTCAATGCTGGCCAAGCATCTTTTGGTATGTACTCATCACGTACGTTGGTCAACCGGGAAAAGTACCACGGGTTCGCAAACAAGAGGTGGTCGCGTCCCCGCCTTTTGCGAAACCAGGGACTATGCGTGAAGAGCCAGTCGAGCGCTGTGCGCGTGCGTCGATCGTGTCCGCGTTTCTTGTCCACCCCATCCTTTCTGTCGCATTCTCGCGACTGCGAAAATTGTGTCGGGACGACAAAGATCTCAGCGTCCTCCGGTGATGTAGTACGCCACCGATGTTTTCGCAAGGCCTGCAAAAGCGAGACATCCGCGCCTTGGCGATCGCCGTCGCAGACTCGCGTCCAATTGTTCATTGTCAATTCGCGATTATCGTACACAAAAAAAGGAACACGGACCCCGTGAGATTCTATCTGCTGCAAAAGGTGGTGCAAAGGCGTGACCAAAGTTTCATCGGCACTCCGACCGCCCATGTCGGAAAAGTCATCGCTTCGAACGGCGTGTAAAGGCTGGTCGCGATGCGGATCGTCGTCGTAGTGCGCCGCGCCGTTGCCTTTCTTGGGAGCTGATGGCGATGAAGCCGGCCGCTCGGAAGCGTCGTAGTCAACGTCAACTGCTTCCTGTTCCCGTCGTACAAGTTTTTCTGCATGTTTCGTCTGCTGATGCTGCTGGGAAAGCGCAGTAACTGACACCGCGCCATCGTCATCGTGGAGGCGTAAAAGAAGAGAAACAAGCACCAGGCAGCAACATGGGCGACTCCGGCTCGCCAATGTTCCCGGAACAGCAGGCGCGGGAGGCGACATTTCTTCAACAATTGCTTACATAGTGATGCTTGACTGAAAGGTCATTGGCACCACGACCGTGTCACACGCGAAATCCACTATCTTCACCCCGACAATTTCTTCTAGTGTGACAGTCATGTAGCTATGTTCCTTTTGCATTTGCATCTTTTCCCGAAACCGTGGCACAAGAGGCCGAGCCGCGGTCAAGAAAATGAAAACTTCATTTCTCGCCCCTTGTCCAGTGGTTTCCCCTCGCTGTCTCACGGAGTCGCAGGCAGCTTGTTGATTTTTCATTCTCATCTCGTTTCACTCTGATTATCAGCACGGTGGGGCTAAGGAGCGGTGACCTTTTTATTTCATGTGTCTCGATAATGTACTCATGTGAGTTCTATCCTTATTGTGCGAGGGAAGTAACCATCTCGGGGAATTGCCTGCTCTCCCCTCGACCGATGGATGCTTGCCCCAAGCGGACCACAGTTACTCATAATTTCTTTTTGGAACAAAAATATTAATTCCTGTAAAGAGTCGTGATTCACGCCTGGAGTTCAAGTTCTGTATTAATTTGTAGAATAAGGAGCTGCTGCTCCTGTTGCAGTTCGTGCTTCTTTGTGACTTCATATCCTCGATAATCATTCAAGTCTTTAGGTGTGGCTTCCGCCTTCGCCATACTACGCATGGATTTTTCCTCAGCTTATCAGATCATATCCTCTGTCGCTTGGAAGGTTTTCACAGCTCTCCGAAGCGTATCCGCGTACTGGCACTCGTTTTCAAAGATGTTCTCGGCGGCATGAAGAAGCCACCTTGCTTCCGACGTGGACAGCATCTGCGGATTGCGTGCCACGCAAATCTCAGCAACCAGTTGGGAGACCAACTGGAACTGCTTCGCGACGGCGTGCTCGCGAGCTTCCATCCAAAGCGCGAACTCGGCATCCGTATAACCTGCAGCATCCTCCAACGGTCCTTGTGGGCCGGGGGAAGACAAGTGCTCCTGATTGTTTTTCAGGTGGGAAAGTTTAGCTTTCGATGGCATCAGCGACGCGATGATGTTTGCGATGGACGCATGCTATTGTTTGCGCAATCGCAGTGCCGAACAATATCAATACATAGAATAGAAATAAACGATTACGACGAGTGGCGACGACAATGTGTCTGAAGACGTCATGAGTCGGACCGAATTCGAATACTAAATCTACGTCAAGCCAGATACAAAAAAAGATCTGTATCACTTCAAAATTTTTCGCGGCCTTGACATGCGCATCGAAGACGCGGGGATGGAAGAGAGTGCTCATTTTGAGTCCCATGAAGCACTGCAGAACACTGGCAACTCGGCCCGTTAGCATGCGCGCTACAACGGTTCTCCCAACCAGCTGGTACTCCAGCGCGCCCGGCGGTTCGGGAAGAGCCGTCCCACTGTCCGGCGCACCACTGCTCGTTGCCCGCAACACTTCGGCTCGATTCTCCTGGCAGTAGCCTTTCATGTAGATGGCCGCGCGTGCGAGTTTCAGTGTGGTATCGACGCGCACAAACTCCTGCTGGCACAGCGGCGCCCACAACGTGGGCTGCAGCAGGAGATCACTTTTTGTGGCTCCAGCGTCTGCGTTCACGAGGCTTTCCAGCTGTTGCGCGAAGTGCTCCCCTTTCTGTCCGATCGCGATGGCGTTTTCGCGTTCTTCCCGCGATGAGCTGTACAGCAAAAAAGCCCGCTGTGCACACTGGTTCGCGACGAAAGGGAGTCCCTGTGGCGTCTGCAGCGCTTCTTGCGTCGCCAGCTCCAAGTCCCCGCGCAGAATCGCCAGCTGGTATGGGGAAGCAGTTTGTGATGCGGAGCTGCTTTTATTTGCAGCATTCGCAGCACTTGAGGCCGTTGCTGGGGCTGATCCGTCGTCGACCTCGACGTCGGCACTGTCCTCCTGCTCGGTCGACGTTCTAGCGCTATTGGAAGATGAAGGACTGTCTTGTGACGGCGCCGGGGTTGTATCACCTCGATTGATATCCGCTGCGTCAGTACCATCATCTCTTCGCGGGCCAGTTGCGTAGATTGGCACCGGTTGCACTGCCGCGCTTGTCGAATAAAACGCCCTGCGCATCCAGTGCGAAAGCAGTGCGTTACTCGAAGACGAGTTGCTTGAAGCCCCGTGTTGAGCGTTTCGAGTGTAAAACTGCGCTGCTCGTCTGTTCGCACTCCTGTCGTCGTTTTCGAGCAAACGTCGAGTCGAGTAGGAAAGTGGCACTTGTAGTGCATGATTGTATCTCCGGGACGGCACTGAGACTGACACTGTAGTTCCTGGGGGATTATTTCGCAAGAGCTGCACACAACTTGATGTCGCAGTTCTGGATGCGTGCCCTGCGGGCGGAACCAACGTGATGGACCGCATTATTTTTCCATAGCATATGATATTTTAATTTCTGGAAGTTGGTTATGCTGTTCGCTTTCCACTGTGCGTCTACTTGTTGTTACGAGGTCCTCTCCACGACGCACGGTCAAGGACAAGGTCAACGTATTTGCTTTGTGTGATAGATTGATGACGACGAGCCGTTTGAGGCGTTTTCTTCTTTCATCAACAGCATCAAGCGCAGGCTTCGTCGATCTCCAGATGCAGATTGATTGTGATCGACGCCCTTGCTAAAATATCTGTATGAACGTAGCAGCTCACAAAAAAAGCATACACCTCGGTTGTCACGGTTCCAAGCTCGTGTCTTATCGAACAAAACCAAAAGAGTAGCGGCAGTAGATCCGGTTCCAATTCTAGTTTGCAAATCGTACTCTACTACAACAAGAGCACGTGTTGGATTGGCTTTGGTGAAGCTACCTGTTCACCTTAATGAATCAAATACGGAGCAGCAGACGCTTATCTTGTGAGTGGGTGGACAAAAAACGCGCACCGGTGCGGCGAATCACTTTCCAGCTTCTTGCGTTGTTATTTGTTTTTCTGCTCGTAGTGCTATCCAACAGATGTCGCATTTCTATAAAAACACATACAAGTTAGTTGTAGAAGTTCCATCGACACATCGAACCGGCAATCTATTGCACTTGCACGTTCGAAAGCAGTACCACAACATTTGTTCATATCAAAACATGGAAGCGGAGGGGTCTTCTTCCACGATGCGCATGGTATCCAGGGGTAAAAATGCGTCACTACCCGCCGGCTCTTGTTCCTCCAGCCCGTTGCAAAGGGCCTTGGGATTCTCCGCGAGGTACCGCGTCTGCACCAGGATTTCGTTGGCTTCTTGCTGGATCTCCGCCGTTCGCTTGAGCACGTCCTGCAGAAGCAGGATGGCCTTCTTGCTGTGCCGCATACCCGCCGAGGCGTGAGTAACGGCCAAGCCGATGCGCTCCTGGCTCCCCATGAAGTCTTCGTTGGCGAAGATCCTTACCAAATTCCCGGGCGACGTCAGGGCAGCTCCGTCGGCGGCCGCGGAGTCCAGCGTCGCGATCAATTTCGGCAACAGGAAGGAGTACCAGAACACCTGAAACTTGTCCTTCGTCTTCTGCAGCCCCGTGCCCACCACGTACGCGCCGGCCTTTGCCGGTTTCAAGACTCGCCTGAGCACTTGCCGCATGATTGTGATCACTTTGAAAACCTTGCCGATCGCCATGCCGGCGAACCGCTTGCCTTTCCCAACGAGCTTCTTTATCGTGTTGAAACCGTACAGCATCGTGCCCTTCAGCTTCTTACCGGGCGGGGCAGCGCCCGGCGGGCCGGGCTTTTCGATCAGCTGGCCACTTGTGTCGGGGAGCGTGCCACCTGGTTTCGGTAACAAGTCGCTCGTAGCATTGCTCAAAGCAGCAAAGTGCGTGTGCCCTCGACCTTGGAATTGTGCGGACTGTGACAAAGACAAGCGCAAGCGGAGCACGTTGTTCCAGCTTTTTCTGCTTGAAGTAGATCCTACACGACGACACTTGCCTTTTCGTTCCCAGGTGGTGAGGTGGTGGTGTTCGTCCTGTCTGGGCTTGTCGGTGAAGAGAAAGTCCGTAGCCCGAGCGCGTTTCTGCACCAGCACACGGGGAGATGCTGACAATGCGCTTGTTTCCGTGCTTTCGGCGTGATGATTCGTGTTCCCCACTTGAGATTCGGTCTGTGAGAAAAATGAAGAAAAGTTGTCACGCGTACGGTGAAAATTGTGACTAGTGCGGAGGTCACCGTCGCCGTTTTTGCCAGCAGTAGATGACAAATGAATCCTGTTGCAACTGCTGCTCGCTCTCGGTCTCAGTTCTTCATCAAGCGCCGGACGTAGTGAACCCGAGGCAAAGAACGAACTTCTGCACGGAGCCGTGGATGTGGAACACGCCGTTCTGTTCACCACCTGCTTGGAAGAAATAGACGACGAAGGGGACGACCAGAAATCAAAACCCTCCTCCATGAGGAATCTCATTTCGACGATGGCGGAATTGATGCTCAAACAAAATTTTGATTTCCTTTGGGGTATAATGTGCTTGCGTTCTTTCTCGTCAGATGATGTCACTTCGGGTAATTGAAAGAAGGGACACCTCCGTACTGTTTCATTTTCTTACGTCGAAGACCACGATTACGAATGGTCTACATGCGATATCGACAACGAAAACGAAGGACATGCTCGGCTTCAGTATCTCGATTTGTGATGCTTCGACGAAGAGAATCACATACGATAGATGGAGTACATTTGTACTTTTAGTCGAAGAAGATGAGATAGACTACACTGCCTAACGAGTACGCGAAAGAATCGATCCGATTCCAAATACCGCTGCTTATTGTGTTCTTCCGAACAAACGCTGTGCAGAAAAGCGGCCCGTTGATTGCACCAAAAGCGAGCACCTGTGCTGCCGCATCACGCTAGACAATTCGCGGCTTGCGACAGAGTTTATTAGCGTTTGCTTCTAGTTATCGATATCCTTTTGATCGGTTTCGAAAAAAAAACCCGTCATGCAGCCATAGTGAAGTTTTCACACTGCCACTGAGAGTGCGTTTCTTTGCGTATGCAACGTCGAGAAGAATGATAAATACATACGCGCTAGAAGGCGTTACTAATCCTATCAGCGAAAGTCCGCCACTGTTTCCAGCAAACCATCGGAAAATTATAATGTAGTTTCCTTCCTGATAAGTACTTGTTATACGCGCCATTGATTTTGATGTTTCCATCACCATACGCTAGCAATCATCGAACGCACGAGTTGCCGCAATGTTGTTTGCTTCCATGCACAGGCTGAATGTCAATATCATGTTGTTGGCAATGAGGGCTTCCAACCACAAACCACAAGAAGAACCAAAATATCGAAGCCGCAACAAGCTTAGACAGAGAGGCAAGTTCTCTTCTACGTACGCATTGTCCCTCGAGAACAAAGAAAAAGTAGATTCAAGCATACATGTACATGTAGGTTCTTATCATTTGCATCATCGAAGCTACTGTCGGTCTGAAGCTACAAGAAAACATCTTTTGTTGCTTCTTATGCCCCTGCTTCCGACACCGACAGCATCGTAAGTGTCGATTGAATTCGTTGTCGTTCCTCCCCAGGTTGGTTCAGGATGCGGGCCCGATGAGGCCCAGTCCGGAAGCGCCGGTAATTTGACTGAGGAAAAAAAGCAGCCCGAATACCGCGACGGCAAGCAGCAAGAAGCAGGTACAGCCGCAGAGCCACTTACACATCACCACCTTCTGGGGACCGAGCAAAACTTTGATGAGGAGCACGGGGTCTTTGAGCGCCGTTTGCCAGGACACCCGCCCGGCGGGCTCCGGGAGGGGGTGCGGAGCGTCGCGGCCCTCGCCGCACGGGTGTGACTCGGCCCATTCGGTCGGCACCACCTGCACGTCGCACATCAACAACGCTGGCGTTGGCTCCATGGTTTTGTTGCAACAGGGGAGACAGGATACGCGGACCGGCTTGGGGGCATCTAGATTGGTAACATAGAAGTAGGTACATCATGGGATTCTTTTCAGAGAGAACGTGGGGGGATATTTTTGCTCATCGGTAGCAGAACCGTGAAAATGAGACGATCACTAAGAATGCAAGAGTGGGACCGGAGGACAGCACGCACATAGACAAAAAAGGCGCAGCTCTAAACAAGAACATCATTCATGAATTGGTTCTACCTGCTGATATAAAAAGATGAAAAATATACTGCATTTCATCTTACCTGCGGGCCAGGAATCGAACAGGACGTAGGTGCGGTGATTGCCCATCACGGCGTTCTCGATGTTCTTGTGGTGTATGTAGTTGGTGTAGGCCAAACGCAAGTGGTGGTCCAGCGGCACCACCTCGGGGTCGTACAACGGTTCGGCGTCCGTTAGTGCGTCCGAATCCATCAGTTGCAGGACCAGACTGCAGCTGGCCGCGGGGCACACCACGGGCCACTTCCACCGCCAGTTGAAGGTGCCGTCCTGGTTGCAGAACTTGTGGCAGTCCGTTTCCTTCGTATGTCGGGTCACCGACCCGTCGATGCTGCGGATAATCAGGGTTCCGCGGACGATGAGGTCGTTGCGCTGCCCGTCATCCTGGTAGATGGTCACGCCCTTCACATTCCAAACCGTGACTCGGATCTCGAAGTCCGCGCCCTTCCTGGTTGCGCCCACGTCGAACTCGTGGTAGGTTTCTTCCGTGGGAACCAGGTCCACCCAGTACCGAATGCTGCCCGCCGGAGTGCGCAATTTCGAGTCTGGGTCGATGTGATTCAACTCAGAAAATTCGATGGGAAAGGGCTTGCCCGGGGCCAATTGGGGCCGAAAGTTGTAGTAGGAAAAGCTTGAGTCGAAGTCAAAACTCTACACGACAAATTCGTCCTTCCAGCGTTCATCTGCATGTTATGTAGAATTTTAATTTTTTCTATCTTGACGAACGTCAAAGGCTAATGTCGCGGAGTGAAAAAACGCAATCAGACCATTTGGAGCAAATGTTGCATCTCACGACTTCTTGACTCAAGACTTTGCTCCCGTAGATCTTTTCGTTGCTTTCTTCGTCGACACCCTCGTCGGAAAGGTGGTCTTTGAGCCACTTGATCGACGTCAGCTGCGTCAGGTTTTTCTGGATCACAGCCTGCCACCGGTCCTCAATATCAATGTCCACCTGGCCGACAATTGAGTCGCCCATCGTGTTCGCGTTCATCACGGTCAGGGTGATGCAGTCCGTGCCCGGAATCTGTACCGGCAGCTGGAACGACTCGTAGAAATCCGGGTTCGTCTGCGCGGAAGAGATGCGCTTCGGCGAAACAATGTGCGTCGCGCCCTAGAAAGTGAAAGATCGATAAGGATAATGGCCATGTGACAAGCTTCATAAAGCAGCTCTGATCGCCACAGCAGCATCAAGATGTTACCCGATGACTGAACTCATAGAAATTTAGGTTCACGCCTCCTATTACAGCCAGGGCAGAAATACGTCTCAACATCAAATGCATTGCATTGCACTTACCGCGGTGGCCGTCAGGTAGGGGTTAATACTTCCGGAACCCATGGCGGGATCCACGAGATTTCTGGCGGTTAACACGTACACGTGCGCCATCAAGGTGTCGATCTGCCAGAAGCGATTGAGCGGCATGGCGAGGGGCTGCGGGATGGTGTCGAAGAAGTCCTTGGAGCCGCGGTCGAAGTCCACTTCGCTCTGGGGAACGGACTCCAGGGACACGTGGCCCTTCAGCTCGCCCACGAAGTCCATCGTCTCTCCGACGATCAGGCTCCGGCGCATGTTCATAGAGTTCATCATGAACCGCTCCTTGTAGGGATCGGTTTTGCTGCCGTCCTTCCGGATCCGCACGGCCTTCGACTCTTCGAAGAGGTGCATGTCCGCGAACATGTCCTGGAACACCTCGCCGAGGTACTTGCGGTACCACGACTCCGTCTGCTCGCGATCGAAGATGGACAGCCCGAACTTACGGTACAACCGCATCACAAACTCGTTCTCCCGGACCGGGATGGAGAGCGAAAACCCGTTCGGCTCCATGTCGGTGTTCTCTTCCTGCTTCTTCTTTTTCTTGGACTTGGCCTTTGACGAGGTTCCGCTGTCGGCCTGATAGTCGATGCGATCCGTGGAGGAGAGCGATTGGGTTTGTTAATGAGAAAAGTGCAAATAGTGGCTTGGGCAGCTACATGATTCATAGTACTTACAACGATCGCAATCGCTCTAAGTCAAACAAAAAAAAGTACCTGATTTGACTTCTTCGTGTTTTCCGCGATTTTTCGCTCCAACGTTCGCCACCTTTCCAGGAGCGTTTTTCTGACGTACAGGGAGGTTTCGAACGCGAAGCGCAGGTCGAAGCCCGGCGTGACGACTTGAATGTAGTTGCCCTCGTTTTCGCCCTCGAGGATTTTTATCACGTAGAGTAAGGTCCCCGGGTTTTTGAAGATCACCCTCTGCTGCGGCGCGGCCCAGATGATCTGTGCGCGGAGAATGCGCTTATCCAGCGTGAGCCCGTACTTGATGGTGACGAAATTGTTGCTCACCTGGGCCCAGGTCCGCTTCTCCTCCAGGCTGGGATCGCGCGGCGTCGTGATCACCTCGTTCTTGACCGCCTTCGTCAGCTTCGGGTCGTTTTCTTCCAGCTTTTCCCAGTTATCGGCGTGAAAATCGTTCGGTTCCTCGTCCATGTAGCTAACCATGCGCAGGCGCGCCAGAATCTTCGAGTCCCGGTCGTGCTCGTGGATCAGGTGCCCCACGGGCCGCATGAAGGTCCACTGGTGCAGCAGCTTCCTCTCCTCGTCGGTCTTCGCCAGGCTCGTTCCCTCCGTGCGCCGCATCCGGTCCAGCTTGGCCTGCGCGGATTTCGTGCCCTTTGACTTATCCGCCACTTTCGACTTGCGCTCCCGCTTATGCATTGCAAAAGTATCCTATCGTACTAGTATAAATTGCATCACAAATTTTTTCAAGAAGAAAAACGGAATTTGTAATGCTGATTTACCTAAAAAGGAATATTTGTCATGCATGATAGCAATTACTACGAGTACGATACTTTTGCACAGGATAACGCTCCTTCTTCGACCGCTCCTCCTCCTGATCCTCGCCGCCGTTGTCGGACTCCTCCGACTCCTCTTCGTCCTCCGCCGCGGGTGGCGGGGCGATCAGGTTCTTCGTTTTCCCCTTGACCACCACCTGAATCTGCGTGGGGCGGTGGTACCGCGACTTGTAGCGCCACCCGAAGGCGCGCATCATCCGTATGGCGTTCTCAACTGTTACATTCTCAACTGTTACATGGATTTGTGATGCTAAACCGACCGAAACCACAAACGCAACCCATAGGGCACCTTTCCGCAGATGGTCAGGCCACCGGGTCGCGGAGTCAGGCGGACCGAAGCCATCGCCATCACACTCGGGCACATCCAACTACTACGCCAACTTTTCCTTACTTTCGCCACCAGAGAATGGATTTGTGATGCAGGAATGGCAAAAGTGAAAGGGGTCACCTTGCGCGTTTTGCATGACAGATCTGGCAAAGATTCTCAGCCTGTTTGGCTCTTTGAGAATTTGTCATGCCAAGCAGCTTGATCGTGTCGATTCTGATTGCGTTTTTGCATTACAAATCATGTCACAGTTGAGAATGTAACATTTGAGAACGCCATAATCCGCGACAGCCGCCCGGTGGTCCAGTTCGCCACCTTGCGCACGTTCGCGGTGCGGCCCCCGCCCAGCTGGTGCGGCACCTGGTGGTTGTAGTCCTGCTTGAAGGTGGCCAGCTCCTTTTCCCAAAACGGGGTCTCCTTGTTGTACAGCTCCACCACTGCCGTCGTCTCCCCGCCCTGCGCCCAGTCGTAGAAGGGGCGGAGCGAGATCTCGACGACGGTCTTGCCCTTGGGGTAGGGGGTGGTGTTCTCGCGGTCCACGTACAAGGTCGGCTGCTTCTCGAACTCGTCATCCAGCAGCTCCGGGGCGTTCAAAAAGTAGTCCGCGGGGTTCAGGTACTGCGTGTGGTCGTCCACGCGGAACAGCGACTGCGCGCGGATGTTCCGCCCCATGCGCGCGTCGATGTCCCACCACAAGTTGCCCTCCTTCTCCGCGAACACGTCCACGTACACGATGGTGGCCTTGGGGTCCGTGGCCACGTGCTTCATGGGACACAGCCCCTGAAACTGGACGGGCAGGTTCTCCATGGCGTTCGCCACCTGCTCGAACCACGCGCCCTGAAACCGGCCCGGCGCCGCAAACTCCTGCAGCGGGAGCGACAAAGCGCCGAAGTCCCCGAGCCCGATGGTGGACTGCAGCCAAAAGGCCAGACTCGGCAGCAGCGCGAACTTCTCATCCTGCGCCACCACGATCTGTCCGTTTTCTTCGCGGAGACCTGAAGATCGGAGGTTTGTGACGAGAAGTTGATTTTTATCTTTTACGAATACCTCTGTCTCGAGCTTTTCAGCACGGTCTACTTACTTTTCCACTTTGTTGCCGATCCATATCCACAATCTGACTGGATTTTCATTTTTCAGATATAGAGTGTGGCATTCGCATAATTTTTGTTCCCCTGCCCCGCATAATTTCATTATCAATCTGAACTTGTATTTCAGATTCAGACACTACTCTCCCTCGGAGCAAATAGTAGTTCTTGCCCTCGTGTAAGTATGGATATGTTTCGACAATGATGATGTAGTGCAACGCACAGAAAGGGCGCTTGATGTTGTCGCAAACAGTATCTCGGTCGCGAACTACTAGATCGTATGAACAATCGACACTGCTTGTGGTGCAACAGCACTATCTCAGTCCATGTATTAGACTCCGTCGTACTGCTACCACCATGTCTTAGTTTTGAACGGGGGTCTTCTTAGAGTGTCGATCTCGCGGAGCGGCCTGGTAAAAGATAAAGATGTCAAGAACTACATCTTGTTTATATAACACGACGGAAAGTTGAAGTTCAGCTCTTGTCCACAAAATCTTTTTCAGCCGACAAAGAATTTCTGTTTGATTTGTTCCGCGAAGGTCCAGACCGACACCCCGAGAAACGAGATGCAGAGTCCGCACCACGACCCAAGCGAGACCGCGTCGGGGTGCGTGATGCGCGACGCGAGGATAACCACCACTTTGTTCGCGACGTTGCCCACCTGGAAGCTGGCGGCCGAGATGACAGCTTGCAGGTTGAAGTTGATGGTGCCCATGGAGAAACCCATGAGGATGCTCAAAAGAAGAAAGACCAGCATCTTGGTGTTCTCGCCCGGGGTAAACAAGGCGAAGAGACAGTCGATGTAGTGGAGATTCGGCTGGAACGAGGCGGGCGTCGCCGAGATGTCCGTCGTGGGCCGCCCTTTTGCGTCCACCTGCGCAAACACTTCCACGTTCCAGAGGAAGAGAAACAATATCGGCAGCGCCACAAAGAAGCGGGCCTGGTTGTTGCGCAGCGGAGAGATGTTCTCGTGCTCCTTCAGGTAACGAACGCCGGTCTTGTCGAACGTCGTACACGCGGCCGCCACCATGCTGTGAAAAATTGCGTACCACACACCCATGGGCGACTTCTGCACTTCCTCAAGCAGTCCTCTCGGAGAAGATTTTACCGGATCATGCGAAGCCGAAGTTCCACCGCTGACAGAATTCTCGCTGCGTGCGCTCCGCCCCGGCGCTTCTCGTTCTGTTTGGCGATAGTTTCGAAACAAGTCGTTTTCCGCCGCCGTGTAGACCAAGGCGCCGACAAAAGTGAGAAGCAAACCAAGCACCGCGACCCTGGACAGTTTCACCTCGGGGCTGACGAAGTACTCCACAAAGGCCGTTTGGGCGGGAATGCTGTTGCGCACAACGACAAACAGTGGGACCGAGACGTGACGCAGAGCTAGGAAACTCGACCACAACAGCACTGCGATGAACATGGCTTCGCCGAGCAAGAGTGCCTGGCCCTTCGGTGTGCGAGGCAACTGAATGCCTGCCAGCTCCATCGGCCGGCGCAGGTCCTCGGTTTGTACTTCATCGATTTGCCCGTCTTCACCATCTTCGAATGACCCGATCAAATCCTCGGTCTGCATCTGGTCGTCTGTTCTGCCGTCGTGCTCCTGCTGAGTGGTATTGCCAGAGTGGCTCTCGTTATTCACGACCTGCCGCAGCGACGCGTTTGCATCAGCTTGATGTCCCAGCGGACGGCCTGCTGGTTCCAAGACCACATCTTGAAGACTCAGCGATGCTCCCGAAGTTGATGTCACTTCTGAGGACGCGCCTGCAGTAGTCGTACTTGTTTCAGCGTTCTTGCCTAACTTCGCTGGCAATGGCTCGAGAGGCACTACTTTCCGGACAGCGCTAGTACCCGGCACAGTTGATGTTTCTACTCCGCTCGCGGAACTGGCGGGGTCTTCATCTCCTGGTGCTACATTGGAGTAGTTGTACTTGTGCGAAGTAGATGAAGCCTTGTTCCGTGTGGCTGTGGCGGCTCGCGTGCCATCTTTTCCGGTGGCCTTGGTGGATGTTGCTTGGGCGTTTGAAGATGTACTTGAAACACCAGGCTTACGGCAGACGTCGACACGTTCGCCGAAGACGCGCTCGAACCACCGGCAACGGCCGAACACGATCGGGATTAGCACCGTCCCGATAGCTTGCAAAAATAGCATGGTCCAGGGGTAAGGAAAATTGAGGGCCACCGACTTATTGATGAGCACCATGCTCGAGCTGCACGCTCCGTAGAGCACAAACAGGACCAAGATCCACGTCTTGTCCATCGCCGGGGCACTGGGGGGCGAAGCGGGGCCGAGATACCTGACTGCAGTGGAAGACGAGGAAGAGTCCATCGAGGGAGGATCGTCAAAGTCCTCTCCTTCCTCGCCCGGTATGTCAATAGCGGGCGGCGCTGGAACCTTGCTCATCGTTTCCTTGCTTTCGGTGTTCTTTGAGGACGACGGTGCGGCAAGTAAGTAAGTAAGAAGTCTCCTCCAGCAGCCCGATGGCAAGCTCCAAGAGGCGCTCTCTCGTTGTCTGTTGCCGACACCGAACAGAAAGATGAGTCGCGCCCGATCAAGCCATAGACTACACGTGGGTAGAATCGAATGCGTTGGGGCTTCTTAATAACATCAACTGACACCCACTATAACACGAGGGGGTTGTACTTGTACGTTTTGTGTTTGTCCAGTTAGTACGCTTAACGAGTACAACGATCGTTTTTCGCAACGGAGCAGAGAGATTCGAGCCACGGTATGGCACGTGCAGGGCAAGGTATATGAACACAGGTATCACCTACACAGGGCTAGGAAAACTCGGATGCGAGTCTACTTGTACTTGCTTCTATTACGGAACGACAACGACTCCCAAGCGCGAGTGCTACTACAAGACGCGCTTTGCATAAAGATTTGCACCGGGGCGGGTGCTGTATAGGAGCAGATTTCAGGACGAGTGAAAATCGTGTTGTCCGAGCACTGACGAAAAGAAGATGAACATGACCCAAGAAAATAAACAACAAGTATGCAGTCACAACGGATACCTGTCGCTGTTGCGCCTTTGTTTTGTTTCGCTCGCAGGGCCACCTGCAAATAGTCGATGATCGGCGCTTTGTAGACCGGGCAAACGATGCGGATGCCGAGAAACTCGTCGATTCCGACGTCCGTCGCCACGCTGCTCGCGATACTGATGTTGTCCTGCGACAAGGCCGCTGCTTGCGGGCCCGCGCCCGCCGGCAGACTCGTCGCGTTCTTCGCTTGGTCCTCGTCCCGCGTAGCGACCAAGCGCATCACGGACTTCACTTTCTCCCCCAGCTCCTGCCACTCGAGCACGGGCGGCGCCTCGCCCTTGAAGTTGATCGTGGGCAGCTCGGAGTCGTCCAGCTCCACGTCCACCGGGGTCTTCCAGAAGGACCCCACCCGCAGGCTCAGCCCGTACTTGACCTCCTTCGACAACCGGCGGATCCCCAGCAAATCCAACGTCGTGCGGTAGTACTTAAACTCCCCGGTGTTGATGTGGAAGACGGGCGTGGGCTCCATGTTCCGCTCCTGGTCCTCCACCGGCACCCAGTTCTTGCCGGGAAAAAAGTTGGAGATCCACTGGTCCACCCCCGCGACCTTGGCCCGACCGTTCTGCTGGTAGTCGAAGGTGAACACCTCGCCGGCCGCGATCTCCCGCACCGTCATCATGTCCACCACGTCCAGCTGGTCGTCGTCCAGCAGCGAGGACGCGTACATCGATTTCTTCAACGTCTTGGCCGCCGCGCTGTCGCTGGAGAGCATGCCGGAGACCTCCACTTCGTTCGGGGGCTCGAACCGCCACTCCTTGTACATCAGGTGCGCCCCGGCCTGCAGCGAGTAGCCCGCGGACCACAGCACCATGGGCTTGCCCTTCCACCCCTTGGCGTTGTCCAGCTGCTGCATGGTCTTGCCGTCCTCCTGCACGTCCAGCCGCTGCCAGACCGGCACGTGCGCCTCGTTCAGCCGCAGCTGCCCCTTTTCGAAGCCGTAGTTGTCCACCTCTACGCCGGCGGCGTTTTTACCCACAATGTAGGCGCTGGAGGAAGACGTGGCCCCAGCTTTCGGCGAAGACGGGGGTGTTTGGCCTTTCGGCAGGTTCTTCCAGATGCGCGTGGACTCGTCGTCCAAGTTTAAGGGTGCTAAATTCGCGATCGTGGCGACCTCCTGAAACGTGTCCGGTTGCAGCAGAAAGCCCTCGTCGCGATCGCGGATGATGAGCCGCACGGGCGGGAGCGGGTTGTTCGGGTCCGGTTCCAGCTGCAAATGCCCGTTCACGTTCCCGACGCGCTTCCGGTAGCCTTCGCCCGAGGCGCTGTAGGACGGCGGAATGTACACTTCGTAGGGGATCACGACGCGCTGCACGTACGTGGGGTTCAGGGACTGCGGCACTTTGATGGACACGGCCTCCTTATTTTGCACCTGCACGATCCAGGTCGGATCGCACAGCCCGTTCTCGTCCATCGCGGGCAGGTCACGCCCGCACAACACGTCCACGTGGCAGTACACCGTGTACATGTCGCTCAGCATCTTGCGCTTGTACGAAACCTCGCTTCCGAAGGATCCCACCGGGATCTCCTTCAGTGCGGGTCCACAAAACCGGTTACCCGTCGGCATCAACGTTTTCGGCAACATCTCAATCCTGTCCGGCTTGCGCTTCTTACTGCGGACCGTGTGGCGCGGCAGGTGGCCCTCCGTTGATCCCTCGGCCCCGCCCGCCGCTTTCTCCGCCGTCGGATCCAACAGCTCGATGTCCACAGGCGCGATCGCGGTGCCCTGCTTCGCGTGACCGTTGTCGTTACTTCCGTTCTTTGCCTTCACCAGGTCCTCCTCTTCCAAATCTTCGATTTCGTCCATCGCGTCTTTGTCGATGTCCTCGTCTAATTTGGCGCTACACAGCAACCTCCCCACCACCCCGGTCTCGTAAATCGCGGTGTCCGGTGGCGTGAGCACGCTCATGTCCCACCGCAGCCTCTCCCACTTCGGCCGGGCGCGCTCCTGCTGCAGACGAACCTTGTCCCGCTCCACTTCCCGCAGCTGCCACTTCTCGTGGGCCGTCAACTCAACCGTCTGCCCGGCTACCGAGGTTCTCTGCTCCGACCCCATGGTGGCCGCCTGCACTTTCAGTGGGTCGGAGCTGGGATCCATCAGGTTCATGAGGCCAAAAACCTTTGGCGGGTTTGCCGCCGGGTTGTCTGTTTCCCGGTTCAGCTGGTCCAATTCGTCGTCTAAAAACAGGTACATGTAACACTTGTCCACGCCGGGCAGCAGGTAGAACGGCGGACTCCGCCGCTCCACGTAGAATAGCGGCCGGGTCGGGTCATCCTCCTCGTCATACTCCTCCGGGTTCGAGGGCCCGCACAAGCCCAGGCAGGTCCGGCGCTGCCGCGCCAGGCGCCGCTCCTCGTCGCCGACCAGGAAGTTCAGCATGCCGCCCTCCTCGATTTCTCCGGGGAAGCACAGGATGTTGGGATTCAGGGGTTTGATCGGATTCAGATTCGGGTCCTGCTGCCGGGTGTACTTCGGCAGCTTGTCCAGCTCCTTCTGCGTCATGCGCACCGGCAGCCCACCCGAGGGCACGTGGATGAGGATTTTGCACTTGCGCGGGGGCTCGCCCTGCTCCGGCGCGAACTCCGTCAAGTACAGGCCACGGTACATCTTGACGACCAGCTGCGCCTTCGCGTAGCTCCGCAAGCGGGGCAGGTGCGGCGGCCACAGGTTTGCGCTGGCCTTGGCCTTGGTGGAGAAGTGCACACAGAGGGAGCCGCGGTAGGTGGAGGCGGGGCCGACCGAACCGCCCTTGATCATCGCCAGCGAGATGTCCTCGTTGGTGGCGTGCAGGGCTCCACCCTCGAAGTGCAACCAGTTGTTCACCCCCGGTTTCAGGTTGTAAATGGTCATCTCGCCCAGCAGCTTCTCGTCGCCACCGAACAGGCTCGCGTCTCCGTCCAACAGCTCGATCTTTGCGCGGGTGTTCCCAATTTTCGTGCGGATGCGGACCGCGTCGCCCCAGATCACGCGGCGTCGCTGACACTGGAACGGCTTGGAGATCACCTTGGGCCCGTCCATGGAGATGCGCACGAAGGGGTCGCACCCCCACTGGGGATCCAAAGGACCCGGTGCAGAAGAAAACATGCCGGGCTTGTCAATCTGCGGGAAGAAATCTCCGTACAGGTGCACGAAATACTCCACCGGTTTCTCGCGGTCTCCAAGCGGAGGTGCGCCTTCGTTGCAGTTGAATTTTGATGGAAGCCGAAGCATCATGCCTCGCACGCACTGAGATTGAAGGAGTTCCCTTCACTTCTACATCGAGCAACAAATCTCGTCCTAAGTAGAGATGACGAGACATCACATCTGGAAATTAGTGTTATAGTCCTGAAGCTTAGCAATTGAATCATAAGGACCTGCACGAATCTGCAGATCTTCCACGCTGGCGATGGGCGGAAGTTTGTGTCGCTCGCTTTCGAAGATGTCAAGTTCGATCAGAGCCTTGCCCGCGTTGACACCTATGGCGTCCTTGAGCTGGATCCAGCAGTGCAGCGGCGCGCCGGACTGGGAGACCGTGTCGACCAGGGACGAAAAGGGTTCCTCCCACACCCCGCGTACAAACTTACTGCCGTCGGGTTGCAGTTCCTGCAGCGTGAAGGATATGACGTGCTGGAGCATGTCAGCGCGGTTCATGGTCTGCGCCCAGTTTACCTCCCACCCGTCGACGCCACCGTCGTCCCACCCGGCTTCGCGCTCCGCCGTTTTAATGATGATTTCTGGACTTGCACGCACCTGCGCACCGGCGCCGGCTGCCACCGATTCGTCCCCGTCGTCGTCGTCTTGCGCTTCAGCCTTCGCTTCCTCGGCCAGGGCGGCCTTCTGGATGTCCACCAGGCCGACCACCATCACGAGCTGATTTTAGTTTCGAGGTTGAGATCAGATCTCTTCCGTGGAAGTAGCCCGTCTTCGTTTGCTCTCGCTCGCAGATTTGTTTCTCTTTTGCGCCAAATCGCGAGCGAATGCGAAAAGATGTAAAAATGGAAGAGAATAGCGCCACCAGGAAAGTCCAAACCAACTGCTAAGATTTTTCATATTGCAAAGATTTCATGAAGATGAACTTCAAACGTAGAGGCCTTCCTCCAGAATTTTCTTCGCGTTTTCAAATACTAACTATACCCGATCTTCCTTTTTTGCATACTTCTTCATGCGGAACCGGCGTAGGTCGATGGAGACGTTCAAATCCTTTGGCTGCAGGTCGATGTCGTCCATGTCGCCGATTTGCACCAGGTCCAGGGCGTGCTTCAGCGTGTTCGTGACTTGGTACAAAACGGTGATGGTGGACGCGGGCTTCGTGCGCGAAAAAAACCCGACGGTGGGCACACCCGCCAGCTTCAGGGTCTCGCGCTTCACAGCGGCCTCCGCCTGGGGGATGATCAAGGAGGTGACGCCCAGCAGCGTGTCGACCCCGAACGATTCGTGGTACACCCGAATCATGCAGTTCATGTGCACGCCAATCTCGATCTGGGTTTCCCACACGTCCTCCCACACCGGGGACGTGGATTTTTTCATCGTGATCGACTGGAAGGAGAGCTCCTGGGTCCCGCCGCCCATGGTGACATGCACGTACGGGTCGCAGTTCCCGAACCGGTCGGTGGCGAGCTTGGAGGCTGAGTGGAAGCAAATCCGCAGGTAGTGCTTCTTGTTGCTTTTCGCTCCTAGAGCGCGCGCCTCGCCCGCGCCAATCTCCTTCAGCTCGGCAAGTGGGTCGTTGGCCGGGCCGCTGCAGGAGGCAAACATGTATTGCAAGGAAAAATCCCCCCTCCCCATATCGGAACGAAATTTCTGATGCTGGATTTGTGAGGCGTGAGGCGTGATGCTGGATTTGTGTACACAAATCAGCTTTGTATTGCAGGAAGGCATTGCGGCCAGATCCCCAGGCTAGGTAGGGGCGTATGGGTCTAGTTGCTCAGCATGGCAAACGGCTCCCCCTTAAGCCCAACAGCATGACAAATCGCGTCCGTCCATAATGGGGCGGAAGCTTCTGCCCTTGTCGTCTTGCAAGACACATGTGATTTGTGACCTCAAATCAGCAACACAAAATTTCGGACACATAGCTTTTCAATATGGGGAGGGGGGATTTTTCATTTTGATAACATGTCCAGCGGATTCATCCCACCGAGGGGGTTTACCCCACCGCCCGTGGCCGCAGCCATCATCATCTGCTGCTGCATATTCATCTTGTAAAAGTCGTCCCCTGCTCGTCGCTCAGCGATAGTGGGAGCTGACTCGGCGAGAAGGTTGTACGAAAGTCGGTCGCAACTGCGGCGACCGGCTCACAGCCGTTGGGAGAAGCGAGGAGGCGACAAACTACAGCTAGTACCCCCCCCCGTTGAATTTATACTTTCGTGGTCCCGCAACTGCGCCGCCTTAGCGCGACGAGCCTGAGCTGGTGGCTGTTTTCTTGACTGTGTCACACATAGAAATATACTTACCTCGCGGCCACTGTGACGAAAAGCAAGCGGATAGGTCGTGGACGACTGCTCTTCCGTGAAAACAATTACTGAAGAGCTACGTCACTACAGAAATTTCGTCCACAACATATTAGTTGCCTGATAGAAGGGGGGGCATCCTAGTGCGACCACGTCATAGCTAAAGGTACAGTCGGAAAAGAAAGTTAGTACCATTTGGAGCACAAGGCAAAGGCACCCTGTAGCACGTCGACAGACGTAGAAAGAAGAAAAACAAAAGACATTTATAATCTCGAGCTGCCTGCTCCGGCACTCGCATATTGACATCGGATTTGCAACGCGGCTCTCTCTCACTTCATCTTGATCTTCTGGCTCGCTCCTGTTTCTCTAGCTCCTCTAGTACTTGGTAGAGCCGCGGCAAGCCTTAGCCATTAGCCTCCGACGGGACGCGCATAGACCAATCAACAACAAAATAAAGTCACTCCATGTTGTATTCATCAGGTGCAAGGCACCATTCTCAAAAGCGGAGATTATAGAACTGAAGTCCAAGAACAGCAATGACTTTCGTTTGTTCAGAAAGTATGCTCGAGAAGGCCGAAGGGGATTATGCTCGGGACCGTGCGATGTCAGAACCATGTGGGCAAACAAAAGCCAACCACAGTCTTTTACATTATCCTTATCCGCAATAATCATGTGAGTTTTCATGTGTCGCTTCCGTGTTTTTATTGGGCTCATCGCCACCAAGTCGCTATGTATACCATGATTCCGTACCCGTACTCGTCCAGCAAAATACGCTGGAAGCATACATAGAGCAGCGAACAGGTCCAAAAAGTAGGAAAAACAATCTTTATCTGTGGTAGTGTTCTCCGATAGTGTAACTGGTGTACTTCTTGCTGAGGTTGGTCTTCGGGGGTGCCTTGCCGCCAAACTTCTGCTTGGTGGCAATTTCGCGGCGCTGGATGGCTTCTTTCCTTGCCTTCTTCGCGGCCCGCTCCACCTCCTCGGGGTCCTCCTCCAGACCTTTCAGGCGCCGCATGTACCCACAGGAACAGATCTTTCGCCCGCACTGCGGACAGTGCTCGCCCTGGAGAATGTCGGTGGCCTTGTCGCGGGTATCCACTTCATCGATGTCGTAATCCAGCACGGTTCTGTTGTTCCGGTAGGCGCGCGTGTACACCAGATCCTCCTCGCTCTTCGGCTGAAACTGCTGCAGCACCTGCTGCGGGTTCTGCTCGTGCAGCGGAACCACGCCCTCGGGCTGGACGGCCTGTTTGTTTTTGAAAATTCAAGTTTTGGCAATTCGGCCTAGTGATTTTTTTTTCCAGCAAGCGGCATAGAATTACAAAGTTCGTTGGAAAGGGCTTCTGAGATAACGATGAAGACTGGTCATCTACTTCTACATCTACATTCACGGAGGTGGTAGAAAATAAAATGATATGATGTGAAAATAGCCTCAAGGTTTAGTTTCTATACGTGTCCTTTCTCGTCCAAGGTGATGCCCTCGGCAGCCAGGATCATCTTGGTGACGGGGTTCAGCTTACTGCGCTCCGCGCCCTGTGCGTACTCTAGCGCTTGCGCGAACCCGTCGTGCACGGGGTAGGGGTTCATCACGGGCTGCGGCATACTGGTGTCCTCGATGCGCGCCCGGCGCTCGAGCTCCGTCTTCACGCGTTGCTTTCCCTTGAAGCCCATCTCCTTGATGTTACCGTCGCGCATCAACCGAATGCCGCGGTCCCAGAAGCCCTGTTTGTCGTCGGCGGCGATGGCGTCCGTGGCGAAGGAGGATTCGTCCTTCTTCTGCCTTGTCAGCGTTTTGCGGAGGGAGAAGAGGATCCCGCGCTTGGAAAAGTCCGTGTTGTAGTAAATGACGATCTTCCCGGACTTGAGCCCAACGAAGAGCTGTCGCAGAGGTTCTGGCGGCCCCTTCTTCGATTTTTGCAGGATGTCCTGCAGAAAGGACTGGTCAATCTCGCCCGCTTCCGCGTTGGCCGCCAGCTGCGCCAAGTGGTCTTTCACGGCCTGCTCCTTCTTCTTTCGAAGCTTTCTCTTCAATTTCTTTGCTTCCTGCGCAGCCTTTCTCTGGCGCTCGACCTGCTCGTAGTCGGGCAGCTCGAAGCGGCCAAATTGCTCTGACATCATTTCCAGCATCTTCTCTGCTTCGTCTTCTTCCGGGTCCTCGTCCTTGTTTTTTGGCTGCCCGCCATCGTCCTCCTCCACGTCGTCGGAAAAATCTTCGTCGTCTTGACCCATGTGGTCTTCATCTTTTGTGGCCTTATTGGCGCCACTGCTGCTGCTGCTCGCCGCTCCTGCTCCGGCGGGGTCCTTTTTGCCGCCCACGCCGAAGGAAAATGGCAGCAGCTTGTCCTTCTTCGCTCTCCGCTCCGCGAGCTGCTCTAAGTCGATCTCTTTGTTCGCGTTGTTTTTCACCATCGGGTACGCGATTCGCACCACGGCTTCCTCGAAGTACAAGATCTGCAGCCGCTCGTAGGGTGGGTGCAGCGAGAAGACCTGCACCGTGTTTTGCATTCCAGACGTGCAGGTCGCTACCATCTGCTTTGTGCGCTCGTAGTCTTCCGGATTGCGAAAATCGGTTATGATTTGCATGTTGCCGCGGTCCGCCTGGTCATCGGAGGGGAGGTTGTCCCACACATGAATGGGCTTCAGGTTGGGACCCACGACGTGGGAAGCGTTCCACAGCTTCATGGTCCCGTCGCGACTTCGCGACAAAATTTTCCCGTCGAAGAAAACCACATTCACGATGGCGTCTTTGTGCGCCTCGCGGGCAATCAGCGGCTTGCGGTCCTTTTTGTCCAGAAAAAAGAGTTGCAGGCTCCCATCGTTGCAGCCGGCGAGCAGCTTCTTGCACGCGACTGGGTCCACGGCAAAGCTCTTCGGGTAGACGCCCTGGGGGCCACCGACGAAACAGTTGCGGTAATTCAGAACCTGTATTGATGTTGAGGATGTTGATGCTGAAGCAGTAGATCCTTGCAAAAGTAGGGCGACGACGTAGCAGGTGTTCGTGGAGCGCATGAATCGAATTGATGTAGCAGCGAGTTTCAATAAGCGCAAATATCGACGAGCGATGACAAACCCACGACCTTTCAATAAAACACGCACACGTTAGTATGCAAAAAAGTACTATACTATGGTATACCTTAAACAGCGTTTCGTGCCCCAATTCCTGGTCGAGCCCGATCTTCCGCCCGGTGACATTCCAGATGCGGATCGTGCCGTCGATGCTGCTGCTGAGAAACCGCTCGGGGTCGTCCGGGTGCCACGCGCAATCGGTGATCAGAGTCGTGTGTCCCTTGGTGTTGGCCGGGTCGAGCAGGGCGTAGTCGCCCTTGTTGGTGGTAAAAAGCGGCGCCCCGACCTCGATTCGGTCCAGCGTGAACGCCGAACCGCGCTCCTCCATTTCGCGGCCGTAGACGCGCAGCTTGGCGTCGCCAACCGCGACGAGCAGCATCCCGTCGCCGATGTGCTGGATGTCGGAGCAGTGGCAGGGGCAGTCCTCCTTGGGCGTCGCGTTGCGGTAGGGCTCGAACTCGCGGTCGGTCCCGTTAAAGTCGAACCAGTAGATGTGTCCGTCCATGTCCGCGGTCACCATGTTGGCGCCCGACTTGTCGAAACTGAAGGCCATGCAGGACTTCTTGTGCCGGTTCGTGATCTCCCACGAGGTGTTGAACAGGTGTGTGGTGCGCTGCTTCTCCTCTTCCTGCTCTGGCCGGGGGCCGTAGTCGCCGGAAGAAGATTCGGAATCGGAGTCATTGTTATTATCCTCTTTTGCGGTGCTGGTAGTCGCGCTCATCTTTACGTCTTGGTCTTGTCCGGGTGGAGCTACGTTGTTCACGATCTTTCCCACCTTTTTGTCCCTGTTCTTCTGGTGCTCCGCCTCTATCTGCTCCAGTTTCGAGTTGGCTCCAAAGAGTATATCATTCACCTTAGCCGCCGCCGTCGTTGCCTGGAACTCTTGACGAGCCGCTCGGTGGTCAGATATGTCGGTACCGCCATAGGCAAAGTTTCGACCACCCGGTACGCCGCCGGCTTTCGCGGTGCCGCCATTCGCGCTTGTGTCGCCAGTTGCAGTGCCTACTTGCTGCCCGCGTGTGGCGCCGCGCCGCTGCTGGTTCTGCGAGTTGTGCTTCAGCAGATTGAAGCCGCCGCCGTTGGGGCGCCCGCCGGTGTTTGGCTTGCTCGGCTGGAGTTTCGGCGGACCCATGATAAATGTTGCAGGTCCGCTTCTTTGGGCGGGAGCGAAAGCGGGTTGCGTGACCGGGGCTGAGGAAGACGAAGATGCAGCATTGTGCTGCCCGTTCAGCAGGGGCGCCGAGGAGGACGAAGATGAAGTCGCCGGGGTACTGAGTGCGGGCGCTGCCGGTTTGGGGGCGGGCGGGGGGGCTTGCGCGACATCATCGTCAGACGATAAGTCGCCAAAACCGAGGTCATCTGCCATGATTCTGCGTTGTCTATCTAAAACGTCGGAGCAAGTACAATTCTAGGAAACCTCAAAGGGTACAATGTGATGAGTTTTTCTTGTTGGGGGGGCGAACATCTACCAGAGCTGCTAGACTAGCACAATCAATGGGCACTGTGGTCCTGGAGCTGGGGGTCATTTCAAAGTGAAGTTCAATTTCCGAAGATGAGATCTTAATACGGAAACTGAAAAAAGCTGCAGAATTGTCCACCAAGGGACAAAAAAGTCGTTTACGTTTTCGAACATTGTAAAACATGAGTCGTGAAAATGAAATAGAAGTCGGCGGATCCATTTGCATGATAGAACGAAGAAACCTCAGATTTTGATTTTCATGTTGATTAAACAATTTCCCCTCGCTACGGTTTTGATCTACTTGACGTATAGATTCTTGCTGCAGCATGTGCTTGTGCATCCTGTCTCTTTCATTTTTCGGATTCGTGGTGTGCGCTTAAACATTTTGATGTTCGTCGAGGTAAGTGGTACGCCACATCGTCACATTGACTCATAGCAGAGAATTGTAGTGAGATCCACAGCAGCGACAGGAGAGGCAGACAGAATATCTGAAAAAACTCCAACTCACGAAACTTCTGTGAAATGACTCACATTGTGCTCTTGCGATGGCTACTTGACCTACTGCAAGCACAGCAGAAAGGCTCGAGGGTCAGGAAATGCATCGCGAAGGGAAGCAGATGAAAATGTCTTTTTTTGTTTATCCGAGGGCAGTGCTGTAACTCGTACAGATACGAAGGAGATCCAGGATCTAGAGGATTTCCTTTTGGCAATGTAGGATTTGGAGGACTAGGAGTTCACTCGTTCACCCATTCTGCGACGCACCAGACTTATTAAGCGCGGCCGTTGTGCAGGTTCGGTTGTCCGTCCTTGGGCTAAAGCATTGACCTCCAGGCGGATGGAGCTATCTTCGTGCTTGTTGCCCTTGTGCTGATGCGGTTTATTCTCCGCACTAGTTATTGATGTTGTTCGGCGACAAAATCGATGGCGTTTCGATTGTACCACTCTGCGAGCAGATCAGCCGGAATCCACTCCTTCGTCTCGTCACGGTTCTCAAACAGTTTGAGATCTTTGTCGGCCTCCGCGAGGGTCATTACGACGAGCCTCAACGGCTCAGAGACAGAGTCCTCTTGTACAAAAAATTGAGACGCCGACTGTTCCTCTGATGCGCCGAAAAGTTGCTGGCTTTCTGCTACCGCTCCCTCTGCAGCTTCTTCTTGATGCGCCGAAAACGATGACTCCCTGTGCACACCGGATGCTGGGAAATAAACGACCCCCGCGGCCCTGCTGGTTCCGCCGCTGCTGGACATCGGCGCTTTCTTACTGTTCGCCACCAAGCGAACCGCAGCCCGGACGGCGTTTCGAATCTGCTCCACATCTTTTTCCTCGACTGCCAAGATGGCGCGAATGTTCACCCGGTCAGCCCACTTTTCGCAACGCGCCATCAGGTGCATGTCCGGGCGTTCAAAGCGTTTCCGCCAGCCCTTCCAGGAGTCGAGGGCAAACCGTTTCAGGAAGTTTTTTTGTTGGTAGTCTCCCGATCCCGTTACGTCCAATACATCCCCCAATACCAACACTGGTAGGGTGCCCGGCCCCATGTAGGTCTGCAGCTTCTCGGTGGCGTCTGCGCTTTCCTTCCTGGTCTGCCACCCAAATCGGCCCGCGTAGGCATGGGGCTTGAGACCCGCGTTTTTGTAGGCGTACTCTTTCGCCATATCCCACAGACGCACGCTTTCGTTTCCGCTGCATTCATGCATCCGAAAGGACACGGGGGCAGACACTGCAACGGACTGGCGCTGTTGAAGCTCGGTCTCAGTGCGCTTCGTTTCATCATTGGTGAGTGACGTCCTGGTCGACGGGATGTCGCTCCCCGCCGTTTCATTCGCCATCTGTGCCCGCTCCCCTCCGGTAAACTCGATCCCCTTCCGGGTAAGGAACGTCACGCCAGCCAGCTGCGCGCTCGTGAAGAGAATCGCTGAGACCACATGGTAAATCGCCACACCGGTGAGCGACCAGGCTGTTGGAAAACCCAGGTCCGCGCTTGGAGGTCTCGCCAGCTCCAGTGCTCGAAGGGAAACCGGGGGCGAATGGCACAGGGTGAGATCACCGAAGTACGCGTAGGCTAAGACAGCTGAATTACGCGCGAAAGGTCCGAAAGCGAATTCGGCTTCTTGTTCAAAGAAATGGTTATCGTCCGACCACGATCCGCAGAGCAGCTTTTTTATTTGGTCGGGCGAAGCTGTGGAGTTGTCGTGGTGGAACCAAGACTGAAACGAGGAGTTTTCCCACGCGTAATACCTCTCCTCCTCATACGGCGGGTCGTACTTGTATTCATACCGTGGAGCTTCCCCGATTAGCCCATTGAAGGACCACCACGAAGGAGGAAGTTCTCGGAGCGCCGCCTTGCAAAATGGCGTGCGCTTGATCGCTCGCAAGTACTTTCTTGCCACTATCTGCGCCTCCTGCTCGTCCACGGCGACAAAAAACTGCTCTCCCTGTCCGATTCTGTCAGTCAGAGCATCCCGATCCCGATCGTAGAGGCCCGCGGAGAGGCACCTCGGTCGCAGATCAGGCTGGTTGCCGCGAAGAACTGCGAGTGAGGCAGAGCCTGCGCTGACGCGAAGGCCTCCGCCATCGACATCGTCATCCTGTTGAGAGCCACCCCATCGTGTCGTTGAGAAGACGCTGGCAGTCTTGAACGTCGGCGCGAATTCAGGCCGGCAAAACGCGTCCGATCCGGAGGAGGTTCCCTGCTCACCATGGCGGTCCTCTCCGGCCTTCGAATTTTGACCATTCACCACATCACTGCGTCCACTAGTACTCCCAGTCGACGTTGTTCCGTCTGTAGCGGCAACGACGTCCGCTGCGTCGCCCGACACCTGCGAGGACGACCAGGCTGTTGCGTCATTTTGATTTTCCTCGTCCCGCCTTTCGAGCTCGCAAGGGCAATCGAGGCGCCAATTTAGCAACTGTAAACTGCTTTTTTTCGACGATGCCGACGGGTCATTTGCACCATTTGCGTATGTATGCGGCCGCGCAAGAAGCTGTGCATTGGCGCGCCGCAGCCGCTCCGCCAGCGGATTCGCACGTATCACGGCATCGCAGATCTCGTCGTTGCACGTCGATGGAGCTTTTTTCCGCTTATTGAGTGTTTCAAGAAAAGCATCGGGCTCCTGATATCTTCCCTGCGTTATAATTTGCTTGCGTTCGTCATCGTCTTCATTTTCTACCTCCACCCAAGAAGCTCCTTCTTGTTGTTGTTGGCGTTGTTCATCGGTACTAGTGCTGGCCCCTGCGTGGTCAACGGTAACCACACGCACGAAGCTTCGTGGAGTAGAACTGAACCCAGCGAAAGGTGGAGGACCTCCAACGGATGAACGAGTATCGCTGCTTTGCAAGAACTCCACTGCTGGTTCTTCTTGAAGGGCAGAACCGTTCTCGTCGCTGTCTCGTGAATTTGTATTTCTTATTTCGCCGTCTCCGTCTCCGTCAAGATCAACATCATCGGCTCCCTGTTGGTCATTTTTTCTCGAAGAGGGGCGAGATGGCGCCGCGGAAAAGCGAGTAGTTCTACTTTTTGCTCGTCCGCCACGAGCACGACCTCCGGGCCCGTCGACTTCCTGTAGTTCTTCTTCTTGTCGTCCCACAGAAGTTGAAGTTGATCTTGATGCTGTGGCTGCTTCTCCGGCCGCGAAGCAACTCAATTTCTCCAGCAGGAGGACCAGCAGTGGAAGTACTATTAGACCGCCGCGTAGTAGTACCTGTCGGGACATGGAACAAACGAGAGCAAAGCTGCGGTAAGATGAGGTAAAGCTACTCATCGAGCAGTTTGTCTGTCGTTTGGACGTCGAAACCATTTTGCTCAGCATCGGCTAGGAGATGACCGTTGGGACAAATAAAACTATGGAGCAACGTCGCTGTCCCCGGGGCGCAGCTTGTCGTGAAGTTGTCGCATGTCACCAAGCTTCATCTTCTGACTCATTCTTTGTGTTTTTGGTGTGGTCCATTCACGGAACGTTCTGTGTGTTCTTCTTGGCGCGAACACGACACCTGAGACAAGGAAGCGAAGGAGATTCATTCATTCAGTAAGTGCGTCTCCGGTTTCAAAATTTGTTTCGTTTCTTCCACCAAGGACTAGGAGTTGATATATCGTAGTAATCTTGCCACCAGGGGTGTCGTAGTCGTCATCTACGTGTACGTCCTCTTGTCAGTTGCAGTGTTGAGTTACTCTTACTCTCACTCTCTCTCATTCCATAAACAATAACAAAGATTTTCCAAAATCACGAGCCACCGGCATTGCCAGGAGCCGCAATCGCTGACGCATCAGGACCGGCAACTGTCCGTGTGTCCGTCGTGCCAATCCTTCGCTGCTCGAACAAAAGAAAACCAAAAGCTGAGCTGCATTCACAGCGAAAAAAAATTTTGCACGACGAAAAAACCCTTTGCGAGAGAGAACCAATTCAAAAAACGCAAAGAGGACGACTGATGTGAACGAAAAAACGACGTGTAAAGATGATTTCATCTTTGAAACTACACGATAATGATCAAGTTCAGGTGTACCATGAATGTACACCACGATTGCTGCATGTCAACACTTACCTACGGAAGCGAAAGAGCCCCTGGGCTACCCAACGCAGCGCATTGTGGTTGTGTTTGTGAACATCAGGCCGCGGGCCCGCTTCTACTTATCCTGCTTTCACTTGTCTTCTGAACGGAATAAATCATTTTATAGGAGGGGCATTCGCAAACGCAATTGTCGGAATTGTTCTACTTCGTGCTTGTGCTGCTGAAATTGCGCTTCTAAAATCTTCACGGTTCTATTATCAGGACCTCGATAATTTTCCGCAGTCGCGGCTGACTGCAACTCTGGAATTTTTCGGGAGATATAACTCTAGTAGCGAGCTGGGTGCAGTCGTGATCGTTCTTGAGCAGTGTTCTTGCACTAGAGCTTGTTCTTGACTGATTTGCATTCGCGTTAGTCCGCAGCAGCGTGACTGATTTGCATTCGCGTTATTCGCAGTATTTTTTCTGGCGCTGCCCCGCTCTGCATCTCGAATTCGTCGTAACAACCACACCAAGACGGCCCGCTCTTTGAAATAAGTAAAAATCTCGTTGAACAAAATATCCTCGCGCGATAGTTCGCTCTCCTCTGAATTAGTACGGGCAGCCGCAGCAAGTAGATCTCGTTCTCGATCGAAGTAGTTGCGTATCTCGGAAAAACTTCTGCACAACCATGGCGATTCTGGCTGGTTGTGTGCTGTTTTATATATGAAAAAGGAGCAACATTTGTTGCTGTCTTACGTGTCGGTATCGTAGGTGGGAATGTAGTTTTTTGTGCTCGTACATGGGCTCCAAGAAATTCACACATCATTGAATATTCGGGTGTGCGCTTTATTTGCGTACAACCAGATGATCAACAGTCAAAAAAAAATAATCTCAAAAAGCAAACACACGAAAGCCATACCGGATGGATTGCAGACGTTCGCTAATGTCTGTGTCGCACTGTGACTGCCGCTGTACCATTTCAACGATTTCAGCAATCCCTTGTGGGACCTGTGCGGCTTGTGAAGTTTCGCGACGAATTCAGGAGGCAAGAGGTGGGTTTCTAGATCGATGTTTCGACTCACTTATCACCGTGCAGTTGTTTTCTTTCCGTGCGCTTGTTCTTTTGCACCTATAGAAGCCATGCACGCAGTCAACGAGCCACAAAACTAGAGGTAGAGGCTCTAGTACAAACGGAAATAACCTGGCCAAAGCGAATAAACCTAGTGATAGCGCATGCCCTATTCCTCTCGGGTGACCATCGTGGCAGCACCTGTGGCGAGAAAAGAAAATTCTTGACACGGCATATTACTTCGATGAGCTCGATGCAATGAACGTCATCCGGGATGTCATTGCTCGTTGGTGTTGGAACATGCGACGGCAGGATCAGATCTTGAAGATCTGATCCTGCCGTCGCATGTGACATCGCGTTTGCTGCGTATTGGGCGGAAGCAGAAAATGACTTTAACCCGTCCTCGATCGCCCACAATGGTGGCGTTTCGCCGCTCGGTGCTCTTGCTGAGAAGGCCGAAGAAAAAAACGTTGACGGTTCGGCTGCCTCTTCACGGGTGTGAAAAGCTGCAGGGACTTGCAGAGGGCGCCTACTCATGGACGAAGAGGAAGATGAAGACGAGGCCCATGATGATGATGATGATGATGATGATGATGGGGCAGCCCCGCAGTTCTGCGGTCGGAGCTGGTGTTGGTACTTTTCTGCCTTCGCGGCTAGTTCTCTTCGCTCGCGATTCTTTTCGGCATGGAGATGGTTTCGCAGTAGTTTTCCTGTTTGCGCGAAGTCCGGCACAGCAAGCGGCGCTGCGTGGCGCGAATCGATGGCAACGAGGCCTGCAACTGTTCCTGTCCCCCTCCGTTCCTTATGCTTCATTGTGTTCGGCGGCATCCTCCACAAATACTTTTTTCCGGCCGCGGTGCGACATGGTTTGTAGCCATACCAGGGGTGTCTGGTATCCTTTAGAGCACCGACGTCAACCCATCTGCTCGAGGAAACAAGGCGCGCGGCCTTGTCTGATGGCGGAGGCGGCCCAGAGGGGCCGTCGTTCTTCGTCTCCACGCTGCTCATCTCACACAACGGCCAAAAGAAGGCTCGACTTCAGACTATCGCGAAACATTACTGCTGCATCAGGACCTGCCGAACGACCGATAGGTCCACACTATCGTCTATAAGTATTTCATGGGAGCCAGAGCCTCGTTAGTGCAGTTTTGAATTTGATGGATGCCTGAAAACGTTTTGACACCGCCGCGGCAGACGCTGAAGCGTTCTGTCGCATCGTTGAGACAAATTTGCGTAGTAAGTTCAGACTCTGGTTTATCAACCAAATGCTTTCATCTTCACGACCAACGTGCGTTAGTCCTCTTTGTTTACACACCCAAGAAAGGCCCCCCGACGTAGTACTTTGACTTTCTGCCTAGAAACAACAATATTCATGCGTCAGCGCAGTCTGATCCTCGCCAAAAGAAAACACCAGGTCTGATTTCTGTATACTCTCAAGAACAGGTAGAAAGCGAAAGGTTCTCAGGTCCCGACGGAAATTAAAAATGCGGAGAGACTATGTGTTCGCGTGACAGTCTAGTGACCGTCACAATCTCGGGCCGGCTAATCTTGCCACCAGGGCGGGTGTCGTAGTCGTCATCTACGTGTACGTCTTGTCAGTTGCAGTGTTAATTTACTCTCTCTCATTCCATAAACAATAACAAAGATTTTCCAAAATCACGAGCCACCGGCATTGCCAGGAGCCGCAATCGCTGACACATGATCAGGCCCGGCAACTGTCCGTTTGTCCGTCGTGCCAATCGTTCGCTGCTCGAGGGGGCACGACTGAGAAAGTGAACCAATATTTTTTGCTACTCGTCCACGCACGTGTGATCCAAAGCGCTTTCCACAGGCTCGTACTCCCTCGCATTTTTGGGCGCGCCCTCGGCCTCCATGCCGTCCACGTTGGTGATCACGAGAGGCTCGCCGCAGTCGTTGCTGTCGCCGTGGAAGGATTTGACAATCGTGCCGTGCGCCTCGTTCCGGCAGTCCAACTCCACACAGGCCCAGCCGTCGGTCCCGCGCATCTCTCCGTGGAGCATGTCTTTGGTCCCGCACTTCCATTTCACGCCGCCCGCGTCGTATCAAGCAAAAAAGTGTCAACGTTAACGGTTTTCCTTTTCACATCATATGGCAGTCATGCATTACAAATTTTGCCTTCCATGCACGCTACGCAGTACAAATTTGGTTTCGGGCACCTTTATTTCTGATGCATTACTGCACCACAAATTTCGTTGTAACGTTAACACTTTTTGTTTTTAGTGTGATACGTCGATCACGTACTTGACGCTGTCGCCGCCGCCTCCTAGCTGCGCCACAGTGTTTCGGCAGACGGCATTGGGGCAAAGCTGGTTTTCCTTCAGAACCCCCTTGGACTTTGGGGGGAAAATCCAGTACTGAATTAGCTGGACGAGCGGGAAGAAACTTGTTTGGTGCTTCCGTGCTGTCACTGTCGTGGTAGCTGACCGGGATAAGAGGCGAGGACTGCTCCTCGTCGAGAAGCGTCGCGCAGAAGAAGCCGAATCAACATCAACATCAACAACTGCAGGGGGTTCTGATGATGAAATTGTGAGTGTTCGTGTAGTTGTGAAGCTGGTTCTGTAGGAGCTTCTCGTGCTGTGGTTAATATCCCTCTCCATACGCGGGAGATGGGGAGTCGTGCTGTGGAGGCAGGTCGCGCAGTGGTCCTCGTGGCCGGCCTCTACATCAGCACCTCCATGTGAAGACCTATGCACGTCCCCCAGCTGGAAAACCTCTTGTAACAGTCGCGCCACTTGACCTTCAGGCATCTTCTTGTTCTCTTTCAAAATTAAAACACCAAGTCAGAGTTTGACTTAGAAAGCTTTTCAAAAGTTGTACAAGATGAGTCCCGGCCCCGGGCTCTCAGTCCAAAATTGGCATCGTAGATCGAATCATCTTCATTCGACTCGCCTGCTACGGCTCCAGACGCGGTAGAGGTGCAGGAATTCTTTTTTGAGAATCGATCCTGTTGCACCAGCGATCACGCATCACGATTTTGTTTTTTGGACGAAAACGAAGTGACGACTGGTGCGATCAACGACTGAGTGGCGATACTTAGGCGACACTAGCTGCTTCTAGACTTCTGAAGCTGATGCAGAGCGACCTCAACATCGATGTCGATCCAAAACACATCGAAAGATAACAATCACAATGCCACAATTGACACGAAGTAATAACTCGCATTCGTGGCAGGGTAATCTCCTGCTTGTGCTCTTTCATCACGGTCAGCTCGATCAGAAACTAAGCTACAGGTGTTTATCACATGCTCATGTAGAATCCATGGGTTATCAAATTTCCGAAGCGAATCGAAGTTGCTCTTGAATACAGTAACGCTCTTGCCGAAATAAGACTATGTAAACAGAGTTCGTAAAACTCGTCAAACAGCATGAAAATGTAGCATTTGCAGATGCGATACGCTTCTAAAGTGGTGCCATGAATAAATTCTAGTATTGCAACATCAAAACGGACATTTTTCGGCGAAGGTGTTTCCACCAGTGCAATGTAGTAATCATACATAATTCGGCTTTCTCTCATTTTGTATATAAGTAGCACGGACTTTCTTCATCACAAATTCAAATTTGCCAACCTCTTGGTGCGAAAAGAGAAACTAAAACTACGTGTGTAGTAACTACCTAGACGACCAAGATGAAGGTGCCTATGGTTATCACGCTATGCACAGAATCCTGATAAAGTAAAAGATAAATTTGAGACGACATTCACACTAAATTTGAATGGTGACACAGACACATTAAGCAATTGCAATTGCCATATCAAGAATGATTGATGTTGAAACCAAAGTTTGTTCGCGAAGTGCTTTTGATTGCCGGAATCAAAAATAGTAATCCTCTACCTCTTCCTCTTCCGTAAAGAAAAAGGACAGTGTACAAATCGATTCGCACTCCACGTGATACAACCGTCTGCGCGCCACTTACGCCCCTCGCAGCCGATCGTACTCGTCTTCCTCGTCTCTACTATCGCCACTGCGGCCATTGTTGACCCCGACTCGAATCTGTGTGATTCCGGCCTTCGCCAGCAACTGCCTGAGCGTCTGGCCGCTCGCCGATCGGTCACCGGCGGACTGCTGCGCGGTCAGGTCCAAAACGGTGGACATGTGCGAGAAACGGCGATTGATCCGCGCCTTTTCGATCTCGGAGAGCACAGTGAATTTCCGCATCAGAATCTGCTGCTTCGCTGCCTGATTCGCTTGCATGCCGAGCACCACGCGGTCCCCTTTCCACGTTCGGCGAATGTTTTTCTCCAAAATCGTGCCCTGCGGAATCACCTGCTGCCCGCCGCGCGTGCCCTGCCGAGAGATCGGAACGATGTTGCGGTCGCTGAGGAGGGAGGAAGTCTGACTGTACTTGTTTGACAGATTCTCGAGCAGATCTTTTCTTGAGTCCGCATTTGGTCGTTGTCCGCTTGCAGTTCCGGCATTTGATGCCGCCCTTTGCTGCGCGTGCGCAGCTCTTTCTGGTGACATAAACCTTTCGTTGTAGGGTTGAATCACGCGCGCGAGAAACTTACTCATCGACTGTTGTCGCAAAATTCGGTCGTAGTCTCCGCAGGAGAGAGCGCGTCTTCCAGCAGGTCCGCTTTTTTTCGGATCGCTGTTGTAAAAATGGTCATCGACATCACCCTGCTCGTTTCCGCGCGATCTGTCCACTTCCTGCTGCTGCCATGGCCGTAAAGACGGCGGAGCAGTAGATGAAGCGGCGCTAATAGATTTCGAAGCTGCATGCTGTGCCGGCAGCGATTTTTGCTTCACCTTTCCATCGGGCGAAGCGGCAAGTTGACCTGCTGTCATTGGCGAGGAAGCACCCAGTGAGCTGGCTGCGGGTCGCTTCTTACTTGGACTCAAACTCACACTGGTTGACGAAGTGGAGGCGGCTGTACTGGAAGTTCCATGATTCTTCTCGGTCTTCTTGCGCGGACTGCTGTCCGCTTTATTATCGAAGGAGAGCAATGTCGGCAGCATTTTGTCGGGATGCTCCCGGTCCTTGTGCCTGTTGTAGGTACAGAGAGAGGGTAGGAGTTTTTCGTTCTCCCAGGCACGACACAAAAGCACGACTCTAGTACAGCACTGATCCGGTTCATCTATTCAGTTACTCAAAGAAAAAGGCTTATATGCAGATCATTATTCATATTTTTATTTGAGAATCTCATTTAATGCACTAGCTGGCTGTTGTACTTACCACCCCAATCGGGTCAGGTACTGCTGCTTGAGGTAGTCAGCAGCTGCGGGGGGCAGGAAGTAAATGAAGTTTTTCAGGGTGATGGAAAAGACGTGGATCTGGGTGTGCGCGACAACCCGGTAGGGGTCCGGCTCGTTGAACAGGACTGAGTACCCGCCGATGATTGTCCCAGACGAAACAATGCTGACATTTGTGTATTCGCTGCGGACGCCGCTGCCGACGCCCGTTGCGCTCGCACTGCCCGTGGTTCCGCTGGTCATCTCCATCAGCTGCTCCGAAGAGCGGGTCCGACTGAGCTCGGGGTTGTACTTTTGCAACACGGCCTCGCCGGACCGAACAAACCAGATGCAGGTGGTGTTGTGGTCTTGATGCGCGGTTGCATTCGCGCCGTTGCGATTCGCCGTGGCGGATTTGGGAGAGCCGAACAGGTTCGAGGAAGCGCCGTGGGCGCCTCTGTGCGGGGTGTTGAACATAGCATTGCTCGCCCCGCCCGCGCTGCGTGGCGGTGAGGAGCCCAGCGCGCTAGCCACTTTTGCCAGCATCGCCACCCTCTTGAAGGTACCGATTCCGCCGGACGAGGAGATGTTGTTGATGTTTATCCCCTGCTGCTGCGCAGTGTTTGCGTTCGCCAGCGTATTCATGGCCGTCGGGTTCATATTGTGCTGCTCCTGCAGTTGGGTCTTGTGTTTGGCGTTCTCGGCCTGCCGTTCGGCGTAGTTGGTTTTTGCCGGGTCCACGAAGATGTGTCCCTTCGGATACGTTTCGGCCTGCAAAACGTAGCTCAAGCGCGTCAGGTCCGAGGTACTCATGTCCAACCCCTGCAGCAGCTGGGAGCTTAGGAACTGGATCTGATGTGCATGTGAACAGAAGTAGCTGGAATTTATTATCCGTTGCTGAGAACATTTTCGTATTTCCAAGGCCATACAAGTACTTTTTAACACTTTTTTCTTTATTTTTTATCTTTTTCCAGACGCTGCGACATGAAACTCGCTCGACCAAAACAAAGCTCAATCATCAATATTAATCGGCAACCTTTGCCCGTCTCTCTTCCACAGTGGCCTTGTCCATTTCTTTGCTGAACACGGACTTCCGCAACACCAAGCAGTCCACGTCCGTGGCACACACCGCACTCGCCGTCCGCTTGGCCTCCGACAGCAGGGCGAGCTCGCCGAAGTACTCCGTGGGCCGCAACAATTTCAGCAACTGACCGTATTCAGTCTCGTTGCTGTGCACCTGCTTCCGCACCTTGTGCTTGACGTTGTCGGGGAAGGGCGCGAGGATCGCGGTCACGCTGGCGTCCTCGTGCTTCTGATGCTTATGGTCCGGCGAGTGCGGCGAGTTGCCCGCCTGCTGCGAGTTGCCCGCCTGCTGCTCTATGTGGTGGCTCTCGACCCGGTACTTGCCGCCCAGCATGTGGATCCCCTATCCTGTGCAAAAGTATCGTACTCGTAGTAATCGCAATTCTGCAACATTACAAATCTCCGTGTTAAGGTAAATAAAACCGCATTACAAATTTAATTTGTAATGCTAGGCCAATTTGTATTGCGATTTATACTAGTACGATGCTTTTGCAATGCATATCCCCACCAAGCCCGACAAAACCAGGTAGAACTTTTCGCCCTCCGTGTTGCGCTTGAAAATGCACTTCCCGTTGTGGAACCGCTCCCATTCGGCGTGCATTGCCAGCGACGTCAGCGAATCCGGCTCTAAATCCCGGAACAGCTGGACGCGCTTCAACAACTTTGTCAAGTTCTGGAAATGCACCCCGTGGTGGATGGTCCCTTGCACGAAGCCGGTGCGCACGGACTCCAGCAACGAGGAGTCGGTCTCTAGGCCGTCGTCTGCCGCCGCCGCTGCAGCAGCGGCGTTGCGGCTCGCGGAAAAGGTGCCGGACATGAGGCGCGTCGTGGGGCTTCCGGCAGAATTTCCGCCCGCGAAGGTGGGTGAGCGAGAAGCGAATGTTGTAGCTTGTTGTGTGGAAGTGTCCTGGTGGTCTACGGTAAGTAGGTCCGGTTTTCCAAACTTCGAAGAAGGCGACTTCAAGATGCCGCGGCTCGGAGGATCGGCCGACGATCCGGTTGCTCCGCCGGACGCGGCGGTCGAAATGTTCATTTGCGAAAAATTCGCCGTAGTACAACCACGTTTTGGAAAATTCGACTCTTCTATGTCGCTGAGCCGAGCAGGAAGATGCGCATCCTACTACAATTTGCGAATCTACTAGCTTTTCAATTCACGCAGAGGCCACTTACTTTGTGCTTCCAAGGAGGCCACTCCCGCATCCTTGCAGCAGGTGCAACAGCTCACTTGCCTGCATTCTCACTTGTTTCATTCCCGACATCAAACGAAGAGATGCTCTCAATTTCAGTTTTCCACAAACCTCAGCAATGGCGCCAAAAAAAACACCAGGGAAAAAGGCAACCACAACACGGTCTTCCATATCGCTCAGTTTGAAGTGCGGTCTGTGAACAATTTGTGTATTGTTGTTTTCTTCGGTGTTGTTTTGTTTTTGTATTTTGGTCGCAGTGGTCATGGTCTTCATAAGATACAGACTCAGCTTTTACTTAGCTTGTCGCGTCACGAAAAGTCAGTGTGCGTTATCACATGCAAACGTCTCCCGAAGAAAATTGGGAATTCTACCTTGCGCATCTTCCGCATATTAGCCATTCACATAGCGAAAGAAAGGTACTTGACGTTTATTTCTTTTTTACAACAATCGTACATGAACATGACATATTGTTCTTAGTCAGAGACCAGAGACGGCTTGCGTTGTTTCTGCTCTCCTTTGTCTACGGTCTGCGTCAAGCTGGAGCGCTGCGTCTGTGGTGTGACATTCGTTCCATCCTCAAGGACAAGACCGCACGCGCCCCTCCCCCTCCAGCCAGCGCAATTACTATATTCGCAGGGCCGTGAAAAGCAGAAACACTGGCCAGGGGCTGAAGGCCAGCAGCGAGTAGTCGTACCGGTTATCCAGTACATCATGAATGAGGGAAAACAAGAACGGACCGAGCGCCGACGAGGCAACCATGAAGGAGTTTGCGATGCCCTGAATCTTGCCGTTGTGCAGGCGGCCGAATTTTGCCGCATAAACGACGTTGTGCACGGTGGTGATTATCCCGCCAGCCGCTCCCTGCAGGCACCCACACCACATCATCCACACGCGCACAGCCTCCGTGTCTAGAGAATCAACGTCGATCACCGGTACGGGGTGCTTGTCCACCGAGAGGAAGTACCGCAACCCAGCAGCATAGGACACGAGCATCAGAAAAATGCACCCCGCCTCGACAGCGACCCACTTTTCGAAGGAAACGGAGAATCTCGTCCCACTTCTTGTCGCTCCTGTTCCACCAACGTTTCTTTGGTCCGGCCTGGTCAGCAGGCCGATTCCGATGCTCCCGATTCCCGCCCCTGTGGCCGCGGAGAGGTAGACGTAAATGAGCAGAGAAGGCGGAAAACCACCCAGAAGGTTGTCGAGATGGAAAAACATCGCCGTAATAACGATGCCTTGCATCACCATACCGTGAACGAAAAACCAAAAGGCGTAGGTGCGCAGGGCGTCCGATAGTGTTTTGTTCACCTCGAGCGTCTCAGCAACGCCGGGTGCTGCAGGACCTTCAGACATAGAAGCTGTCGCGTGACTACTTATGTCGACAGAGTCGGCTTGTCCACGCCCTGGATGCGCGTCCGAAGCTTTCCTAGCAAAGTTATGTTCTGTTTTTACATCGAGTTCTTCCCCCTGCCGCCCTAGCGGAACCATTTCCACTTTTTGCACCATCTTGTAGCGTGGTGACCCGTGCTTCCAGGGAACGCGAGGCAGGAGTGAATTTCTTGATGGCGACTTGCGCAAAGTATCCTCGGCGGCGGGACTGCGCGGGCTCCCGGTATCGTCGGCTTCTTCTTCTTCATCAAAATGGATGTCCTCAGGATGGCTGGTGACGTTATTAACATCATCTCCCTCTGCCGGCCCAGCGAGGGCGGCACCTGCAACTAACCCGTCGCTCAAAGGTAGGATATCGATATCGTCTCCCTTTCCGCTGGGGTGCTTTCGTACGTCTGTCTCATACTCATTTTTGACCGGTTGTATTGATATTGCGTTCATCTGGTCAATAGAAGATGAGTCGACGTTTTTTCCCACCTCCGGTGCAGTGTCCTCCTGTTGTTGTCCTCTTGGCTGAGCCACCACGTCCCGATCTCCCTCGGGGCTCGTGCCGGTCTCTAGCCTGCCCTCGTTATCCGGCTTCAGTCCGTACTTCTCTGGGCTGTCGGCAGCGAAGAGCAAGCCGAGCGGGAGCAGGATTCCGAGTTCCAGGCGGCCGAGGTTCTGGTAGGTTTTCGGAAAACCAATCTGGAGGACGGATTGCTTCACGATGGAGGAAAAAACGCCGGTTAGAGCGAACGAAACAACGACGTTCAGCACGCCCATCATCTGCGCTCGGGTCTTCACGAACCACCGATTCACCATGTTGGTGCCCACCAGCCACAGCCCGCCCTGCGCACTGACGCGAAGGAGGAAAAACGTGAGCAGCAACAGCATCGGACTGCCCTGTTCTTGGTCGAAGATAGCGGTATCTTTTTCGCTCTTTTGAGTTGTTTCTTTGGCTCTTTCTCTAGTTGTACTACCTGGAAGGCGAGTACTATCCACCTTGCTCGCGATCGCGGTCGCCTCCAGGTGTGCGTGGAACAAACTCGCAAACAGAAAGCAGGAAAACCCCAAAACTGCTGCCATGACCGGAAACATGACGCGCGACCCAATGCGATCGACGGCGTACCCGATAGCCGGAAGGCTGCAGGCGGAGCCGAGCGTCGCAGCGAGGTAGAGACCACTGACGAAGGTACGCGGCAGGTGGGAGTTCGCAATGACCACCGTGATGGTGGCACCTATCGACGCGGTCTGGCCCGGACCGGTGAGCACCATGCCAAAGGTGCCCAAAGCCAGAACCACGTAGCCGTAGAGCGGGTGCATCTTGGTCTTTTACTGCTGGTTGCAACTTGTACTTAGATTGTATTGAGTGTAGCTCTTTTGGCTTTGGCTGTATTGTTTTATTGCGCTTGTTTGTGCGAAGTAGGTTCTGTATACCGCAGACGTTCCCTCTTGTCATCAGGCTTGCCACAGCTGGTCTCGCTCATCGACGTCCTGCCTAAAGTTCGACGCACTAGAAGTAGAATTAGGAACACGATAACCCTAGCGATGGTGCTGCAAACAAGTGAAGCTTTGCAGTTTGCGTTTAGATCAGGAGTGAAGATGAAAAAATTCTTCATTTTTATCCGTGAATGTAAGTATACGAAGAGACGACGTCGACGCCACGGAATGATATCATCGTCACTGAATTTTGACTTTGTCCTTCCAGAAAACGGTTCTGTTACAGGATGGAAAGCAATGCCAATGCGTTGGCCGACCGGCGAGGCGGTTTCCCACAACATCCTCGTCGTTAGCGTCCTCACGCTGTCGGCGACGGGACGGCGAAAATCGCCGCATCGCTTCCTGTTCAGACCAGAGCACGACCCGGTCGCTGCTGTCTTCGTACGCCGGAGGGAGGCCGAGGTCAACCACCGGGCCGCCAAAAGAACTGCTTCCACTGCGGGCGTCGCGGCCGATCACGGGTGATTCATTTTGAACGTGAGTTGGACCGTGATTTCCACGGTTTGTCGAGATCGAGAAAGAGCCGAGGTCGACCAGGAGACGAATCTTTTCGCTTTGGCAAAGGCGGTGGTGCGTGAACGTCGCCAGGAGCGACGTAAAAGAACTCGCCATTCCTGCCCCAGATTTGCTCTGAGCTAGAAGGCTCGGCCTGCCCGAGCGCGCTTCTCGGTGGTTCGTCTGGTGACGAGGCAGGGTCGGTCAACGCTGCAGTGGCGTTCTCTCCTTCTGCGCGCACTCGGAGGACTTCTGCGTCTGTCTGTAGGGTTTTCTTATTTGGTGTCACGTCGACCGCAGCTGCAGACGTCCGATTCAACCTCGGCGCGACGGCGATGGGCGGACTCCCGAGCGGTGGACTGTTTATCACGAGCGGCTTGGGGGCGCTGATTATATTTCCCTCTGCTTTTCTTTCCTCAATGACTCGCAGCCTCGCATCTAGCTCCAGCAGGCGAATGCGGTCCTCCAATGTGGGGTCATTCAGTGCATTCTGGTGTTGCTGGGGCTGTTGATGATCATGCTGTGCATGTTGAGCATGCACCACATCACTGTTTGCGTTGTGTTGTGGATGGAGATCATGCAGCATTTTCGACCGGTTTTCGAAATACCGTGCCTGCCCCGGAGTGATCAGGATTTGTGAGTGTATCGCAGCACCGTGCGCTTGCAAGCGTTCGATCGCCTCCTCCTCGCGACGCTGCTTCACAACCCATTCTCCGTATCCCGGAAGCTGGGTAGCAACTGCTGAAGTAGTGCGGTGCTGTAGCTCGTGTTCCTGTGGCGTGGGGCGGCTCGCGCGGTGAACACTTGTCGCCCGATGTCTCGATTCGACAAGGGTACTCCGATCACCCAGCGCCAGGGCTGACTTTCGATAACCACCTCCTGAGCTCGATGCAACTTTGGTCGATGTTTCCTCTCGGCTCGATTTTTGTTCGCCAGAAGCTATTTGTGAATCGTCGAGCAAAGCAGAATTGTCCCCGTGGCTTCCTAGTAAATTATTGTCTGTTCTTGTTGTGGTGGTCAACATCGCGCCAGCGCCTTTACCTTCATCCTGTGCGACGCGAAGCCCACCGCTGTTTGCCAAAAGAGTGGCTGCAGGAGTAGAAGTTGCAGCTTGCCCTACGTAGGCGGTCGTTAGTCGCGCGTCGTCTCCTTGCTCGAGTGAATTTGCCATACGTTCCCCCTCGGGGCGTTGTCGAGCCGAAGCGGCAACAACGAATCCGCCATCCCGTGGCGGCACAAGTAATTCATCGGGATCCTTACTTCGTAATGCTTTTCGCTCGGCACTCAATTGCTGCAGATAGCCGTCATTCAGACGCAGGCGCTCTTTGATAGCTCGCTGCCGCATCTCAAAATGCTCCATGTCGGCTTGGATCCGGCTGCGAACCCGACTACTTGACTCCCGCCCTTGGTCCGCAGCCCCTTCGAGCATCTGCATGGAAGTTTCCAGGAGACCTAGACGGGGGGCTCGGTGATTAAGAAGTTGCGGCTGCTCTTCATGATCATCATGACCTTCGACGTGCGTCAGCGCGGTCTCCCCTTCTCCTTGCTGCAGCTTTCCTTTACTTTTGCTCGTCCCTTTTGGTGCGGCCACGTATTCAGAAAATTCCGCTCCCAGCGCGCCGCGAACGGTCGAAGACAGGTGCAATTTTTCCGCGAGAGTCCGCACATGCTCGGCCTCGTCCGCAGTAGAAGATGAGGACGCGTCGTCCGAAAGGCGCTTCTGGTTTTCCGATTTCGACGCCGCTTTCTCGGACAATGACCGTTCCGTGTCGTTGCTGGCCGTCTTCCGATACGAGCTACGATCCTCGTCTACAGAATGGTGCATGAGCTGACCAAATCGCGTGTCTTGCCTGGTCCTTTCGGTTGCACCTCGCCGATCCATTCCAGAGGGGTTACCCTGGCCGTCGAGAGCGTCCTCCCCCGCCTGCTCTGCGTACTCATCCGTCGAAGTTGAGAGTTTTGACGTGCCAGCCCTCCGGGAGGATGGTACTCCACTGGTCGTACCAAGATCAGGTCGTGCGGACACCGCACCAGCGCCTGTGCTTAGATAGCGGGAGGTGCGTTCCGTGCTTCGGATCCAGGCCTCCTGTTTGGCTCTGTTGGTTCCGGAAGCACTGGCAGCGCGGATATTAGCAGGATCCAGAGCGGCGTAGACCTTGTTGTAGTTGCCAACTTGGTCGGAGGAAGCCGACGACGAGTCGCCGCTTATTTTCTCGGAATCTACGCCGTCGTCCTCATTTTCATCGAACAAAAAGGGTTGCTCGCAGTTCATGATCGGGCCACCGAAAACGAAGTTGTGTGATGGAAGGACAAGGAGATTGCGAACTACAGGAGCATGCTTCTTTAGAAACTCACTTTGCGTTTTTTCATCGCGGCGCACCAGCAGAAGCATTTTCGATGTGGAACGTTGTGGACGTGGCGCGTCATCATGCTGCAGCTGCATCAAGTACACACACGCTTCCAGGTCGATTTCTTGGATCGCTTCACACTGCTGCTCTTCTGGCGGAGTATGCTCAGCACACTTCAACGTCTTCTTTTTATCGTTTCGACCAGCACGGACGTGATCACATTCAGGTTGGCCTACTTGTGAGTCGTCTACTAATGACTCGGCGGTCGCCGAGAAAATCTGCTGCACAAGCCCCAAATTGTCGATGGCCAAAACTTCAAGGACAGCGGTGCCATTGTCGCCAGCTTCACGAGCGTTGCGTTGGTCTTGAAGTTGCAGCAGTAGCCACAGTCGAGCAGAGAACCTAGGCGACGTTGTTCTGGACGAGTTCGCGTTCTTCTCGTTTCGATGATCAACCCTTGCATACTCCAAAAAGAATCGCTGTCTGCTCCTCGGCGCGCACCGGTCCTTTTCTACCACTTCTATCCGCGGAATATACCTCAGCGCTTGCAACTTCTGAAACAGGTGCTGACGCAAGAAGACCATGGTCGAGGAGCTTGAGCTAATGCTGGCCAACGCAGGATGTTTGTGTTTCTGCCGGCCTGCCGTAGCAGGTTTAAGTTCCTGAACAGGCTTGAAGTCCACTTCCAGCAGGATATCGCCTCGCTGCGGTCCAGGTCCTGAAGCATCTTCGACTTGCTCACCGGGCAGCTGGATGCGAGCGTATGCTCGACCGGGTTGCACAACAGCATCGCGTCGTTGCGGTTTTGCAACCGAAACTATTGGAAACTGGGTCCAATCCAGCTCGAAACCGGTGTCGTCAGGCTGTTCGCTTGGTGGAACGTCCCAAAACACCAGCTCCCCCTCATCTTCTTCTGACTCCACGAGAAGCCGCAGCAAGTCGTAAAATTCTGCCCCAGAGCAAGGAGAGAGGTCATCATCTCGTACAACGGGCCATCTGGTACGAGACATCCTCGGCTTCACGCGTCCCTTCATATATATAAGTTCCGTAGTTTGTCACGACGTTCAAGCTTCTCGTCTGCATGACCGTATTGGTATTGCAAGCGTCATATACGAAGTTACTAGAGCAACTGATCCGCCACAATGTGATAATTCGAACGGAAATGACATTGCCGATTTTTCTTCGAATGGCGATTCAACGATCGAACAAGAAGACCAGCGATAACGACTTGCGAAACGACTTGTCCAAGATACCCCGCGTCGATAGAAAGAAATGGACCCCTCGAAAAATACCAGGATGAAGTTTTCTACGTAAACCATGTGTTCTCGTTCTGATTCTGTTGTGAGAGTGTGAGTGAGATCCAGAAAAGTATCTATTACATAAACATGAGCACAGTTGAATTATTTGAAACGAAATATCGCCAGTGCGAGACGGCGCGATAAGGGCTTGAGAGTGCGACTCGCGTCCGATTATGCTTTCAACTGGAACTGACGAATGGACCTTTAGGTTGAACACCGACGTCGAAAACTGCACTGCTCGCGTTCTCGTTCTTGCGGCTCTGCATCAGTTTGTGGAAAGCAGTAGGTACTAACCACGCAGATAGAATCACGAAAAAGTTTTTCGTCGGCAAGTTCACACTGGTGCATCGGACGAAACACACCTTTCTGTCCCGTCTTAGGCTTAGCCTGCCTCCATCGGCACGAGGCGCTCATCCTCTGAGTCCGGGTCGTTCCCAGCCACATCGTGATCCGGCAGACCTTGTACCTCGGCCCGACTGATTTCGTTGATGTTGTCGTCATAGGCGTCCTCCCCACCAAACTGCCAGTTGTCGAGGTTGGAGGGGACACCGCCCCCTGCCCCGGCGGGAGGACCCTCGGTGGACTTGGACATGGACCCAGCTGGCCCTGTAGTTCCCTTGCTGACAGGAGCACCGGAGCCAGGATTGGGGCCTCCCACGGGTCGCGTGCTGGCTGCATCCCCGCGAGGAATTGTTTGCTGATGAACTACTTTCTCTTTTGAGCCACCTCGTGGTGCACCGCTTGGAGGAGCAGGAATTCCAGTACTCGGAGAAGCTGCGTGCGTTCGCCCAACTTTCGTCCCGGGAAGATGCGCCGTCCCTGCCGGGTTCGTTTTATTCCCTCCAACACTTCTAGCTGCTACGGGCACCCCGGTCGGGTTCAGCCCTGCTCCGCCCTTGCTGTGCTTTCTTTTTCCGAGCAGCTCCTGATAGGTCGTGGCGGCGGTGTGGAAGCTTGGCGCGTCGGTACAGGAAGATTGGTCGAGGGGGGCAGGCGGGACGAAGTCCTTGCCCGCTTTCGCCGGATCCACCTTCACCATCTGACCAGGTCGTGGATTCGCGCTTGATGATGCGGATGTGGAGGCCGCGCCGGCTCCGCTTGATCGTGACGAGGGGTGCGCGGTCGCCCGGGATGGACCAGGAGCTGCGCGCGAACCCGCGCTAGATGTCGAAATCGTTGCTTTGTTGCTCGTGGCACTGCTTCCAGAAGTTGTAGAGCTGGCACGTTGTACATTGTTAGAAAGCGGGGGGCTTGCAAACGACGTCATTCCCGGCACCGCTGCTCCAGGAGCCGTCTGTTTGGTCGTGTTCTGCATGCTCCTGATCTGATCGCTTTTACTGCTTGGCGCGCTCCGCGTTACTTCGGTCCGAGATGAGAGACTAGCGTTTGCGGGGCCGGTACCTGCCACGCTCGTGCTGCCTCCTGATTGCTGTCGGGAAATAAATAAATGTTGTTCTTCAGCCCCCGGGGCATCGACAGTCTGTTTTTCTGTTGCAGGTTCAGGTTCTTCGGCGGGGAGAACTGCTGCTGCGGTGGCTTCCAAATAAGCTTTGACCGGGTCGAAAAGCGCTTTATTCGGCAACTGTACCTTTGAACTTGTTGCTGCGGCATCCCCAGCACCAGGGCGTTCTCCAGTTTTGGTAGACGCGGGCGACGCGGCCACTCGGTCACCTGTAGTCCCGCTGCGCGGCGTATTTGCGTTGCTCTTTCGAAGTAGCGCAGACATCCGGGACTTTTCCGCGGTCAGTACGCGAATGTGCTCAGTTGCTTTCTTTTCCTTCTCTGCGAAGTCCGCCTGCAGCAACGCCAATTGCGCCTCCAAATCTGCGTTCAGGCTTTGTTCCTGCTCACAACGGGCCTGGAGCGCCTGACTGGTTTCCAGTAGTTGCGCATGCTGGGCTTCCAAAACGGCGCACCTTTCTTTCGCAGTCGTTGCTCCCTGTTCGTGCTCGACATTCTCCGCCACCAGAGAATCAATCATAGTCTTCCAGTCGCTCGCATCCATCCGCATCTTCTCCTGCAGCTGATCCCGCTCGTGTCGCAAGGAGGAGGCGGCACCTGTGGTCGTATGTTGAGGAAGTTTTCGAGACGGATCGATGAATAGAGTGGTACGTACTTCTTCTACTTCTTGTTCGATTCAAGAGGAGAGATAGAAAAGAGAAAGACAGAACATGTTGTGCTTTAACGCGCAGGCGAAGCCCAAGCTTCGAGCAATAGCGTCGTTTTTTCGTGGCCATTTCCGGCGCATCATCGAAATCAGAAACAAAGGATACAACGACCGAAGGACCTCCCTAGCTAGACTTACCTTGTTCCCGCTGCAAATCCAGTTCCAGCTTACTGCACAAGCGCCTCCATTCGTCCACTTCGAGCTGTTTCTGTCGTTCTCGTTGCTGTGCCTCTTGCGCAATTTCTCGCGTAGCGTCGGCTGTGTCGATTTCGGCTCGAAGCTGCTCCCGGTCATGCTCGGCGTCTAGCCGCAACGCATTTGTCTCATCAAATGCGGACTGAAGCCCAGCCACCTGGAGAGAGAAGCATAATTTTCAGTTTCATCATCGGCATTTTCAGACAAATCGGAATCGCTGCTCGCGCAGTAGTGATACGACGGCGTCCCATTCTTTTTTTGCTCCTGTTGCTGTCTCCAGCATTGGCATTCTGTTCTTTCATTCGTTGATGCAGCAAATTAGCAACTCTACCTTGCCTTCCAGCATGCTGATTATTTTCTTCTGTGCCGTAAGCTCATCGCGTAATGCGGTCTCCGCGGCGCTGTGTTCCTTCTGCAACTTTATTCTTACTGGCGGATTTTTGGATGCTCTGACGGCCGCAGTATCGGTTAGAAACAACCCACATCCCGGGGAGCCGCGTGTGTGCACGAGCTTTTGCGCCATGGCCTCCAACAAGGTTTAGATTCAGATTTTTTAGCAACGCCTGAGTCTTTTATTTACCTTTCAGCTCGACTTCCAATTCCAAAAAAACAAAAAAAGAATTGCACTGACAGCGCAAGAAACCCCAATCACATTTTCGACGCTAGGACCAAGAGCATCTGCGCCACACAGTCAAACACAAACAGGAAGTGGAAGAACACATTTAAAAATTTACATGTCGAACAAATGAAATCGAGAGGCAGAGGAATCATATCAGGAAAAGTCATAAGCTGACGATCGAAACAAAAACACAAAAAATGCCATCGGTCCTATTTGCACCCTAGCGCCACAACAATAACAAAGCCGCTCGTCGTACAACTTTTCAGTGGCACTCTCAATCTTGCTCTCTCTGCTGCCCGTTTTGTTTCTCGAATGATTCACTCTCCTTCACAGATGAAGCTCGTCAGGGCTACACACTCCAATTAAGTTCAAGTAGTAGTGTTCCGTAATGCTTGAGATAGAGATCGTACGTTGCTTCGTACCGACGTGGGCATGATGTAAAACATTGTTGTGGTCCGATGTTGGTATAGCTTTAGCATCGGCCTGGTAACTCAAGCACAGGAAAAGTGTGCACCTTGTGTACAACGAGAGAGCAGAAGCTCCTCGTAGTCCAGTCGTGCCCTGCTAGCTGCAATTTCGTCTTCTGTGAGGCGCGTGGCATAATTTTCGTAATCGTAGCACACACCGTTCTCAGTCACAGGGCGCACGCGGGTTGCTTTCGATTTGTCAACAACATCTTCACCGTGCCACACCTTTCTCAGGATTGGAATCAGACGACGAAGTTTCATCCAACACTTCGTCGCATAATTTTTGCTCCATCGCGGACATGCGGTATTGCGCGTTGGCGATCATCTCTCTGACCTGTGCGTGGATCATCCTTTGCACGGTGCCATTCTGCTGTCGATCGAAGGGCTCCTGCTGCAAAAACCACCTTTCCAGCTTGTTCTTCTCCATCAGCAGGGGATTGGTGACCAATGCCCCAGTCTCCGGATCGTAGACGTCGGGCACGACCTGCACCTTTGCGATTTTCTCCACCGACCAGTTCGCTTCGTGCAATTTGCGCGCCCGTGGGGCGGTAATACCCAGCTCACACAGGGGCTGCAGCTCCGGCGGGGCCGCAAACTGCATCCGCGGCCCTAGGGATTCAAACGTGCGCCACAACACCCACCACCGCATCCGGTCGCAGAACTGCACGACCGTGCCACAGTACATCCCCGCGTTGTTTTGCAACTGCTGCACGATGCTTCGATCGACCTTGAATCGCGCCATCGTATCGGTCAAGGTCGCCTCGGACACCAGGCTGTACAAAATCATCGCGCAGAAGTAGCGAAGGTGGCGGATCAGCTGCAGAACGTACTTCCCGTCCCGCTTCAGCGCCGGACCGCCGCTGCACAAGTTAGTCGGCGAGCCCGCGAAGGAGCTCCCCTGCAATAGCACGCCCGTGTGTACCTGCGCGTCCACCTGGATGGGGTAGCGGTCCTCGTCGATAAACTTGGAAACTAGCTGCCGGTTCTGATCGTTCGCTTCGGGATCCTGCGCCGGCAGCTTGATTTGCAGCTCCACAAAGTCTATCAAATGTAAAAATGTCTGGGTCTGGAAGAATGCAAGTTTGTCATGCTTGTCTGGCATAATTCGAGAATCTGTGTTGCATAGGCACGAAAAGACCCTCTTACCTGTCATGCAAAAACGCAGTTTGCCATGCGGAATACGTAAGACATGGCAGCCAAAAAATTTGTGATGCAAAGCTGCGAATTGCAGTGCGGCTATCATCCACTTTTTGCATCACAAGTTTCCAGACCCAGACATTTTTGCATTTGATAAAGTCCTGGGACACCTTCACGTCTTTCATCACCATTTTCTCGTCGCCGTCACTCTTTCGTATCAGCTTCAGTATCAACTGTAAAAATGTCTGGGTCTGGAAGAGTGTTAAACTTGTCATGCAGGTTTTCCATGACCCATGAGGTCTGGAATGCGGGACCTAGCATGACAGAGTCTGTGAGGTCTCTGCTATGCCTAGCCTGCATAAGAAACTCCCTCCCAACTTGGTCGAAATTGGACAGCATTTGGACCTCACGCAACACAGATTTTCGCACTATTCGGATTTAGCATGACAAGTTGCAATCTTCCAGACCCAGACATTTTTGCAGTTTATATTCAGGAAGATCGACCAATCGATCTGCCTGAGCACTTCAAGTAGCGTCGCACGGTCCGTCGGGGTGCACAAATAGAGGCAGTGAAAGATGGGGTCGAGGCTGAAACCGTTTTCTCGTGCGTGGTGGAGCTCCTCATAGAGCATTTTGGAGACTTTCGTCTCCATCGACGAAAAGGCGGTCGCGTCCCCCAATGGGGTAGAAACCAAGCGTCTGCGAACTGGAATCGGCGGCGGCTCTTCGGGCTGGTGGGGAACAACTTTTTCAATATTATTTCTCTGGGCTTGGTCCGTGTGTTGTGCCGTAGGAGGCCGCGATGTTGTAGTTGCGGCTCCTTCCGCCTCATTTTTCGTGTCCCCTGCTGGTTGAGCTGAAGGTCCTTGTTTGCTGAGATTGGCATTGTCCTTCTCAAGAAGCGAATGTTTCCTAGCCGTACCCATTTCTACCCCCTCCGGCAAAATACCTTCCTGCTTTTCGAACGATGAGTCTGGGTAGAGCTCGTTCAGCAACGCATTGCGTTTTTCCACAAGCCTCCTTGAGGCTGCAGAAGAAGTACATGCCGCTCTATCTCGTCCATCTTCACCGCCTCCGTACATCCGTTGCATGAAACCTGGGACGGTGTCTGCTTTCGTGCCACCATCGTCACCACTTGAAAAATGAGCGGGATTCACAAATTCCCAACGGACGAACTGGTGGCCCACAAGCTCTTCCAGGTTTTCCTGCAGGTCCAACCCGAACTGCTCTAGGGCATCGATCTGACGTGTGGTCGAGGTTGGAAGCAAAGAAGACGAGCTCGAAGCAACGTCGTGGTCAGTCCGCTGTTCTTCGTCCACCAGGGAATCTTGTTGAGGTAGATTTTTCGTATCCACAAAACCATTTGCGTTGTCGTCTACCTCCTCCAGCATCGATCCACTACCACTTCCGCTCTCTCGCTGGAGTTTTGCTTTGTCCTCGTCTATCATGGAAAGTTTAGCCGCTCGGTGCTGGAGCTGCCGCGGACCGCCGACGGCGCTTCTCTTCGGATTCGGCTTGCTGTTGTACAAAAGGTGTTTATTCATCCCGCGGGGGCCTTTTCCGCTGTTGGATCCGTCCGACTGGTTGTCTTCCGACGTGAACGCTGTCCCGCCACTGAGGACAGGCTCCAATTTGCGTCGAGTGCCGCTGTGATTCCCAAAGTTGAAGTGTTGGTTGAACTGATTGAAGTTTGTTGGTCCACCAGACCGGCCGTTTCCCTCATCGGGTCCACCCCCGAAATTGGACGCGTCGCTGTTCTGGCGGCGGAGTCTTTCCGCCTCCTGAATGATTTTCTCGCGGCGCTCCTTGTACTTTGCTTTTTGTGCCGCCATTTCGGCCTCCGCCTTGTCTTGCTCAGTGACGCCACGGGTCAGGGCAAAGGCCGACTTTTTCGGCTTGTTACTTTGCTTGTTTTTTAAACTCGTAAAGTGGGCGATCAGCATTCTCCGGGCCTCGTTGTACTCGTTCGCGAGTTTTTGCCGCGGCCGCAGATCTATCGAAAATTTGGTCTTTTTCGACAGGGCCATTTGGCCGCGCAGCGTGCTCGGGATGAAATCCAAGGTGATGTTGGGGACGATCCCGAGCGCTATGGACTCCAACAGCGCCCGCCTGAGCCGCTTCCCTGTCAGCGCGGAGGTCAAAGGCGGTAGTTCGCCGGTCAGCAGTTCAGAAATCACCTTCGATTCTTTCTTTTCCACACACACCACACACTCCCCCTCCGTGTCATAGCCCGCTCGGCCGGCGCGGCCAATGATTTGCAGAAACCTCGGGAGGTCGACCGTGACCGGGCCGGTTTTCAGACTGCAAAGCAGCACCCGGCGACAGGGTAAATTCACGCCAACCGCAAGAGTCGTCGTGCAGCAGAAAACAAGCAGGACTCGGGTGCGAAAAGCCTCTTCCAAAATCGCGCGTTCTTCCGTGAGTAATCCTGAGTGGTGATAGGCGATGCCGAGTGGGACGGTATTGCGCAGGACCGGACAAAGGCCCGACGGACAGCGGCTCTTTAGTGCCTCGATGCACTCCAGCCGTTTTTCTAGGACGCCGATAGCGCCGTACTCACTTTTGCACAGGTAGGAATGAATCAAGTTGGTGGGTGTTCGTTGCTGACTGCAGTAGTTGCGATTTGCATGATCGGCGGCGTGCATCCAGTTTGGGTCGTTCTTGTTTGGATGTTCGACAACCTGCGGCTCCTCGAACACGATACCGTCCATCTGTGTTGGAATGTTGTTCCACCGCGAATTGCGCCGTTGCTGCACGTTCGTCGTCATATTCGGTGCGTGTGCCGGAACTGGTTTCCTTTTCTGCATCTCTTTGCGGGCCTCGATCGGGTCGATTTGGGACAAGCAACTGGAGATGAACGACTGAATCGAATCGCGCGGACGTGCCTTCGGCGGTCCAGTAGCTCCCGGCTGCGGCGTTGCGGATTGCGCAAGCGCAATAACTCCCGCCGGCGAAGCAAATGGAGGCGGAGAGGACTGCTGCTTCACTCGATGTTCATCGTGGATGAAGTGTTCGGTTTCTTGTCGCTCCTGCGCCAGTTGGTGTTCCTTTTCGTCTTCGTGCTCCTTCGCGATGATCTTTAGTTGCGCCTTGTAGTCCTTGAGGTTCTTGATCATGGCGGCCAAAAGCTCTTCCGGTTCCAGCGCGTCCACCGACCCGATTTCCGCTTTCAGATCTCGCAGGACCTTGCTCTTGACCGCACTGCTTATCTTTTCCGCTTGCCCCTCGCACCATTTTTTTGAGCTGCAAAAGGAGAGACAAGACTCGTTTTTCAGCATTCCCTCGTACGTCGTCGTGATGACCGCGTCTTTCTGCTCGTTCTCAAACTGGTAAAGAACCAGCTGCCGCCCGCGCGGGCAAAACTGAAACAGGTCTGGCTTGATCGGCGTGAATTTTTTTGGGAGGGGTGGCAGATTTTCTTTCGAATTTTTGTTCTTCTGATCGATGCGCAAGATGTTGTCTGCGTGGAGCGCTCTCACCGCTGGCTTTTTGAAAAGTTCTTTCGGATAGTGCTGGCGGAGGTTCTTCGGTTTCGATGGGTGCTGCACCGGAGCAGGCAACACTGCTGGGGCAGATTTCGCGGTTTGGGGTAGTTCTTGGTTAGCTACAGGAGGTTGAGCTGCGGTGGCAGTGCCAGGCTGCTCTTCGAGGCCTGCTGGTGCTGTCTTTGAATGTCCGTAAGGTGTGTCGTTCGCATGACCTAGTGTCGCATCAGCACCAGAGACCGACGCTGAAAACGCTTTCGCTGCCGCTTCCGTAACGCCAAGAGTGTGATCGTCAGGCGCCAACCCCAACGGGCGACTATTGTTGGCTTGATGCTGCGGCAGAACTCTACCTGGCGGCTCAGAATGAGCTTGTTTTGTAATCATATTATGAAACGGGGCACCAGCCGCCGTTGGCAGCTGGAGCTGAGCAGATGGGGATGGTGTTGGAGGCAAGATTAGCGTGTGTGCAGGCTGAGGTGGCTGCGGAGGGGCGTGGCGCTTCTCTTCTGACGTTAGATTGCCACTCAGACACGACGAGACATGGCCAGTGCTAGCAGGTAGTGGGCGAGGCGGATTTATTCCGTTTGCACGTCGAAGCAGACCACTGGATGCTGACTCTACAGCTGGAGGTTCCGATTGCTGCGGAAAACTGACTGCGTCAGGGACTGCGCTTTTCTTTAGCGAAGGGAAAGTAGACTGCGGTAGAGGACCACCAGCGTAGTTGTAGTTGAAAGTATTGGAAAACGGCCTGAAGTTTTGAGCAGTGACACCCGATGACGCGCTCGCCGCGCCAACAGGTCCACCACTACCCGGAACGCCTGTGGCTGCGGGTTGTTTTGGGTGCATAATCATTCGATTTTCGATTCGTGTGCGCTTCAACGGAGGCTCGCCTGTGTCTACTTGCTCGTTCCCTCCACCGCTATGATCCGGGCAGCCCGCACCGGGTATTGGCGCTGTGTGGCTCCCTTCCACCAATTTCTGGCTGGCCTGCAGCCGCACAGGATTCTCATCCTCTATTTCCATTTGTTGCACACCTTCTTCCATCTCCCTGGTGTTCGCTCCATCTAATACCATCGGCAAAACTCCTGCTGGCTGCAACGCCTTTGCCGCCAATCCAGCTGTTTCCGCAGCTTCCTCTTCCTCTATCCTTTGCACCTCCGCGTTGAAATCTTGCACATGCTTCCTGAACCTCTTTATGTCGTCTGGTGAAAAGGGATAGAAGTGCTGTCCGAGTTTGACGCGGTACAAAAGCGGAATCGGGCGGAACCGGGTATTGTACATGCCCGCATCGAGCCACCGCGCGAGCACGGGCAAGTCGGAGAGAGTCGCGGACAACCCGATGATTTGCAAGTCTAACTTCTGCGGAATCACGTGCTCCCGGTGGTGCAACGGATTTTTTGCGATTGCGGTTTTCGTGGTTCTTTGGCATTGCGCAAGACTAGAAGTTACCCGCAACCGCGGATCTGGATCATCTTCCCCCGCGGGAACGTGATTCGTCATGCTGGTGTCGACGTCAACGGACAAGCGTGAATACAGGCGAATTTTTGTGAGGATCAGCTCTAGTATCCAGCCACGGTCCGCGTCCGTATCAAATGTAAAAATGTCTGGGTCTGGAAGATTCTGAGATTTGTCATGCATGTTCTGCATGACCCAGGATGTTTGTAATGCACGACCGCGCATCACAGATTTTGAGCGGGCTTCCTGATGCCTACTCCGCATGACAAATAACGCACTCCCCGCGTAGCACAAACTAGACTCCTTTCGCTGGCCATGCATTACTTTACAGATTTTTCTAGAGTCCAAAGTTAGCATCACAAGTTCCATTCTTCCAGACCCAGACATTTTTGCATTTGATAGTCCGTGATCATGTGCAACTCGTCTACGATTAGGGTTCCGATCAAGTGCAGCTGTCGCTCCTCGATCCACTTGTTGATCAGGGATTCGTATGCATGACAAAAGCATTGGCATCTTCGTACTACTGGAAATCACGTCACGACAAAGTTTTTAGTTTAGAGAGAAATTGTTCATGCATCGGATAATTCGGACGAATGAAGATGAGCAAGAAAATCGGTATCGGTCGCACTGTGCTAGAATTTGCACGAGTGCGATACTTTTGCACAGGGTAAATTGGCCTTCTCATACGTGCACACGGCGACGTCAACCGCCGGGTACCAGTTGCCAGTCTGCGCCTGCCCGAAGAAGCCCTGCACCCGCACCAGGTGACCCCAGACTTGCTGCAGGGCCTTGATCCGTTCGTTGCACATTGCGACGAAGGGAAGGAGGATCAACGCCCGCTTCCCCTCGTAGAGACACCTTCGCATCATCAAAATGTCGGCGACCAGCGTTTTTCCGCCCGATGTGGGGGCGGTGTAGACGAGGTTCTTGCCAAAATCTAGAACCTCGCGGTCGCTGCTGCACAAGCAGGCCGCTTGCCACGGGTAGAGGTCGTGGATCTTCATGACGTCACGGTAGTTGGTCTGCACGGAGTGCGGAACGTGGTAGAACGAAAGCTTGCGTTGCTCGAGCGGAATAGCGTCTTCGTCTCCTTCCTCTTGTTCTGCCGGTGCGGCAACGGAGCTGCAAGTCGTGCCTAGTACAGCTCTACTGTTGCTTTTCTGGTTATGTTCCGCGTTCTTCGGAGCACTGTCGTCCTTGTCACCACGACCTGCGACATCAGCAGCAGGAACAAGCCCTTGCCTTTTTTTGTCATCCTCATTCGGCTTCGGAGGTTTCGAACCACCCGTTGCGGTTGGCGGCGGGTAAAGCTCCTCTCGGAGCTGCAGCGTGATGCGACTGGTAGCGTCGGCCCGGTTCTTGATCCCGTGCTTCTTCATGGTCCAGGCGTCAAGTTTTTGCGCGCGAAAGGCCTCACTTCTCTCGTTCGATTTGGAAAAGGCCCTCCCGCGAAGCGAAACGTAGAAACTCTCCCGGTTGCCATCGATGACACGAGTAGTCCACTGCGCGACCCGTCGTTCCACCTGCGGTTTTCCGGGTTTCCGGTTCTTCCTGAGCTTCCTCTTCTTCTGCAGCGGATTTCGCTCTGGCTTTGCGTGTCCGCCGGGGTTCTGCTCCCCGCCCTGTGCAGCAGGACCTTTACTGCTACCCGAGGCGCTTGCTGCGGGCTGCCCGGTCGTTGCGCCAGCATTTTGCTTCGTCTGTCGCTGCTCTAGAACCGCGGTTTTTTTCAGTTTCTCCACCTCGGCGGTCTCACCTTCGAAGACAACCCCCGTGTCGGCGTTTCGGGCGTAGTTCAGCCGGTTTTGCTTCAATTCCTCCTGCCGTTTGAGCCTCTCCTGCCGCTCCTTCTCCTGCATCTCGATTCGCTTCTGTCGCTCCTCCTCGCGCTTCTCCAGCCACGACTGCTTCTTCTGAAACAGGATCGACGCCCGAAACACTGGATCCAGCTGGTAGTCGGATGAAACGCTGCTGCTATCGTCATCGGAAGCGTCCGAGGAGGACGAGTCACCCTCGGACGAGGACTGGTTTTTCTTCTTTCTGCTTTTCATCGTTCCGTCCCGCTCAAGCGGCTTTCTCTCTTTGCTCGCAGGCCTTTTCGAGGAGCTACTTTGGCTCTCGGGTCCGTTGAGGTCCGGTGTATCATTCGGGGTGTCGCCACGCTGCTGGAACAGCGCTTGCACGTCCTGCTGCAGATAGGGGGCATTATCAGGACAATGGAACAAGGAGTCATGATGACTGGTGCCCCCGCCGGATGCAAAGCCTGAAGCCACTCCCTGACTTGTGTATCCACCGTCCTCGGCAGCTGGTCCAGGTCGTTGCTCCCACTGATGCACGGCACGGGGAAACCGAAACTGGGCGGCAGCATCGACTTTCACTAATGGGGCTGCAGCTGGCTGTTTGTTGGCTAGCCCGTTCCTTGACGAGGAGGACGACGAGGAAGAGCCGCCAAACTGGAAGTTTTTGTTTCCGAAACCAAGTGGCTGGCGTCCGAAAAATCCACCGCTTCCCGCGGACTGCCCTTGTCCTCCACCAAAGGCGTTTGGAAATCCGCCCTGATGCATAGCTGGACAGGGAAACGGAAATTACTCTACTAACTTGACTCAAACAAGGTTACACCTGCTTCGGGGATTCTTTTCTTTATTCTTTGCGCTTGATTCAAAAGTAGACAAGCACAAGTCAGAAACAAGAGAAAAAGCAGTAAATTCAGTTTGTTTAGTTGTCCGAATGCACGTTGTCAGTACAACAAAGAATTGTATGCGCGTCCTATGTTTGTGCTTGATTATATATTGTGCTACGACGAGCACGAGCGATCTGCATCTGTGCTACTTCGTTAACCGAAAGCGATGTAGTGAAAAAAGAGTTGAGATCTTCTTGTTTGCAAGGAAGTAGGAGATCATCGTTCAAGAAAGGGACGAAATCCGATGGCTTTTTTCGGGTCTACGAGGTCACCTGAATGATCGAAGGGAGAGGCACAGATCCGGATCCGCGGATCTTAGCAGCACTCAGACCATACTAGTCAAGCTGCGGCTCAGTCTCAGAGAGAAGTGCGCAATGCGGTCAGCATCAACTTCCATCGCGACCGTGGTCTTCGTAGAAAACCTTGAAAAAAAATCCGTCTCCAGCGACAAAACCTGTGTCCGACAGCGGAAGGCCGACGCAAGGAAGCGGTCACATGGGATGAAGCTCCACAGCTTGTGGCCTTTCTTGGTTGGCCAGCAGGTACCACCAGCTACTCTGTTTTTGTACAGACTTAGATTGCTTTATCTTTCCAATCTTACCTCCTCGAAAAATTGATTGTACAAGGTGCAAAATCTGGGTTCTCACAGTCGCTGACCGTGGCAAAATGTTTGGAGATGAAACAGCCCTACAATGATAAATTCGAAGTGGATCGTTTTTCACGAAGCGATGACGAATAATTTGTGAAACGCTTATTTGTATTTCAGCATCGGTATCATCAACCACTGAAAGTAAATTCATAAACTCGATTTATGTGTCATGCTGAGTAACTTTTATTGAGAAGTACTATCCGGACGCAGTCGCTACCTACTGCTCTAGTCTTCTCTTTCGTCTGCGCGTTCTCGTTCGTCCTGTACATCCATGCACTCCTTGTTGGTCACTTTAGGTTTAGATAAATGTCACTGTTGACAAGTAGCACTATTCACCTTTCCAGATTGATTGTTTTCCGAAATAGAATCGATGGCTTTGAATTTTTTGGAAATTCCAGATAAAACACTGCAACAAATCATTCATTAGTACTTCGCAAGTCTTTCTTAGTATTGTGAAACTACTAACTCGGTAGGGTTTGTGTCAACCTTCCATCACGTTGTCCTGACCGACTGTCGTGAAGGACTCGTTACTCACAAACAAAAATTGACTGAATCTGAATCTCGGATCACCCACTGCACCTCCCCTTTTGGTCCTCCATCAAGCCGAGAGTTCTGCGTCGCTGTTGACATCCACCTCCTCCTGCGACTCCCGACGTATCACGATTGGTCTCGCCTCGGCATTTTTTTCGTCGGTAGCTGTAGCTGCTTGCTCTTCTCCCTCCCCTCCTGAGTCGAGGTTGTTAGCACTCGAACCCGCCTTGCCCTTTTCAGGGCTTTTCGTCGCGAGTCCGTGTTCTGCCTCGACGTTCTTGTTTTCATCGCGCTGCGCGGACCCAGTTCCGACGTTAGCAGCTGCACCTTTCATCTTCTGCGCATTCTGGCTTTGCGCTGTTTCTAGAACGGTTTGATGGCTAGTACCTGTGCCACCTCCAGCAAGGGGCCCCTGCTGCGCCGCCGTGGCCGATTGTTGGACTAGTTGCTGTTGCAGCGGCAGTGATGCTGATGCGCTAGCCGTGCTGACGCGGCGGATTTTAACGACGCCCCCCGTGTTCTCGAAGATTTCCTCTTGCTGGGGAAAGAGCACCAGGCTTCGCCGCCCGTCCGGCCCCTCCGCATCGTCTTGGTTGTTGCCACCTTCATCGTCGTCGGGCGATTCCGGTCTGCTAGTAGTGCCCCCGGCTACAACTACCTCCCCCTCGTCGTTCAATATGTTCACTCCGGCCACGGTTCTGCGCGTTCCAGGATTTAGCGGCACACTACCCACGGAGGAAGATACGGTAGGAGGAAAAAGCTGAAAGCTGTGCACCGGTACCAGCGTCGCGCTCGGCGACGGCGCCATCGCCTTTTCCATGCTCGCCAACAAATCTCCGTCCACATTCATGTTTTTGCCAATTGCAAGCAGCACATTGGCCTGCGCCGTCAGTTGCTTCTGCACCGTTTCGTTGAGCATTGCACCCCCATTGCTGCCCCCGCCAGTGCTGCGGCGCGCGCCCATGCGCGTAAAACTGGGCCGAGCATTGGGCGCCGCGGTCGCGGAATCCTCCACAGAAGAACCTGCATATCCATATTCATATAATGAAGCAACACCTTGCAGCTGTTACTCTATGCATGTTGACATCATGCTCGGTATAATGGTACTTGATCTTGCGGAAGCAAGAAAAAGGCCCCCCTAAGTAGCTCGTGGAGCCTGAAGATGCAAGATGCAGGGTATGACGTAGCTTTAGCTTGTTCATCTACCTTCCTTAATGAATAAAATGACCGTGATGAACATGAAGTAGAGGACCACTTGAGAAGATTACGTACGTCGCGAGGCCGCGGCCACATTAGCCGTGCTGCTTCTGGTGGGCGCGTTTTCGTCTCGTGCGTTGTCCTGGATGGTCTGCAAGTTGCTGCTGTAACGCTTTTTCACGAAGTCGCCGACCTTTTCATACAGCTGCTCCTGCGAATCCGGAAACTCTGCCAGAATGTCCTCAAAAGCGTTTCTCGTGAGTTTGGCCAAGTGGCAAAACGTTACCGCGCGCACCCAGGCAGTACGCTTCGCGTTGTCCTCGACCATCTGTAGAAGTGTAGTGTTTGACAGCAATCGATCATCTTGTTCACGACCAGACGAGGGAGGTCAGCATGAAAGAAAGTAAAAGTGAGACCTTCCACTCCTACTCCTACTCGTACAACCCGACCCCGACCCCCAGTACCGCGTCCAGATAATAAAATCAGTTTTGTGCTAGTGCTCGCTTCTTTAGGCGAGCGACTAACTGTTTAACGTAAAATCAAAATCTCGACGACATCGACGACGCACGCTTCACATCAGCAATGCGGGCGTGCACTTAAATACTTACCCTGTACAGCGCCATCTCCCCAAAGTTCTGGCCTTCCAGAAACGTGCATACGGGCTTGCTGCCGAGTTCCACGATGACCTCACACCGGCCTTTCACGATGAAGAAGCACTCGCGAGCGATGTCGTTCTTGTGGATGACGTAGTCGCCCGCCGAATAGATCGCGAGCAACAGGCGTAGCACCACGGATTTTATCACTTGCACTTTGACGCCGTTGAAGAAAGCCGACCCGCGCAACAAGTCGGCGTACAGATACAGCTTGAGCTCAAGATTCAGAGTCGGGGAAAGCCCGCGGAAAAGCGTGTCATAGGCTTCCTGGTCGTAATGAAGCTGGGTGTAATTGTAGAAATCGAAAATGCGTTGTCGAAGGTGTCCCGGTACGTCCAGCCCCGAAACTGCCTGCTTGACCCATTCAAGATCTGTTTTTTACTTGGTGCAAGGTCCAAAAAGATGCTGCGCTTGCATTTATCTTTAGCTGCTTGGCCGGCAGCACATCAGTAGAGCTGCGTAGAGACCTACTTCAATTCAGATTCGCATCTTGCTTTCAGTCGGACGTCGAGGAGAGACGAATGAAAACAAGCAGTAACCATTCATGTCTCTTGCAGTCTAGGTCATGAAGATACCTTGGTAGTGTTTCATCTGGCGTTGCCGCTGCACGGTGAAAAGCCAGTTGCAGTTTCCAAAAATCACGGCAATGTTCAGAGTCCCCACGATGCCCATGACGGCAAGAATGGAACTTTCGTACTGCGTGGTCGCTTTTCTGTCCTTCGCCACCATCATGAAAATTGCGTCCCGCAGCGCGTATAGATACAGCGAAATCGCCGGGACGTTCCAAAAGTTTGGGGAATTTTTGGTGGTATTCCCGCCAATTTGTTCGCCACTCGACGAGGTCGTGGTGCTGCTATCCCAGTTATCAAATGCAAAAGTGTCTGGGTCTGGAAACTTGTGATGCTGGGTGGCGTCTCATGATGAGGCTACAAATGCTGGCTCAGCATGACAAGTTTCGGAGCTCCTAGGTGTGCATGATAAACTGCATGATAAACTGCGCTTCTGCATCACAGAATAACGGAGCTCTTGGGTAACGTGCATAACAGATTTAAGTTTTAAGAGTCATGCCAGACAAGCATGACAAACGTGAACTCTTCCAGACCCAGACATTTTTACATTTGATACCAGTCCAGGTGGTCGCCCATCTGCCGCAAATCCTCAGCGTTCAAGTGGAAATGGGCCCGCAAATCCCCGTGGTGATAGATCACGTAGAACCAGAGACAAGCGAGCAAATGAGAGGACAAAATCACGAAGAAGCAGAGACGCATCACCTGTTTTGAAGGTAGAATGTAGAAATCACCTCTTCTGTTGCAGTTCCGAGGAAGCAGTAGAACGCAAATCCACCAAATAGAACACGTATGCTACTTGTATGTCGTGATTGTGGATGTGTCTAAGTGAATCGACTTTGTCTGACGATGGCGAAAAAGAAGAAGAAGAACAAACGTAGAAATCTGAGAATACTACCTGGACGGTACTATTCAAAACGAGCGTGGAGTGGCGAAACGTTTCCCCGAGTCGCACCACATACCGCACCCTCGTCAGACGCAGCAGGAGCAGCATCTCGATGGCGGGGCCGCTGCTTCCGCCAAACAGGGAATGCACGTCGAAGATGACTTTGCAGGCGAAGACCACAAACCCCAGCAAGGAGGACGAGACGGCAATCCAGAAGGCCGGTGATCGCAGCGCGAGCTGTTGGATGTAGGCGAGCTCGATGATTTCCTCTTTCGCCCGGAAATCGAGCCGGGACTGGTAGCAGTCCTGCAAGATGACCAAACACAGGAAAAGGACGTCGAAAGTCAGGTCCAGGAAGAAAAACCAGTTCGGGATTTGTTTTTCGATCAGAAACTGTTCGAACGCCAGGAACCAGGGCGGGGCGAAAATGGTCCAGCAAGAAATTGTGAAGAGCGCGACGGAGACCTTGATGGCCACATTGGAGAACACCGAGAACAGCGCAATCTTCGGCTCCCGCTCCTCCTCCTCGCCGTCGCGCATCTTCATTTTCATCTGGAAGTATTTCTGAAAAACGCGGTCCATCGGGTTCTTCCCATCGAAGGTATCGGCGAACCGGCGGGCAAGGGACGCTTTTGGGTCGCGGACGTGGTACAGCTGTCGGACGAAGTGCATTCTACCCGCGTAGGCGTCCTGCGTATCGTCGCGGACCACGAAATCCAAGTGCAGCGCCTCCTTCCTGGACACTTTGGATATGTCCTTGTGAAAATTCAGCAGGTCGTTGTCCATGTTCCCCAGAAACCGGCTGGTGCGGCGGTCGCGACTCGCCCGTCGGTCGCGCATTACCAGCACCGCGGGATCGGTTTCGGATTTAGCGCGCCCGCGCGAAAGAAACCTCGCCGCCTTGTCGCGGAACTGCCCCGCGCGCGGGGAGTTCGGGTTATTTGTGCCGCTGCCGCTATTTCTATTGCCGGCGGCGCTGCTGAACATAGTCGAGGAGAGAAAACTGGAGCCGGTCGGACTCTGAAACGTGGACGACTTTCGGTCTTGCCCGCCGAAGAGGAGCCCGCCGATGGCGCCCTGCCGCCGCTGCTGGTTGTCCGACGGCATCACGCTGGGTTCCGACTTCGTCTTCTGCCAGACGGATTGTAAGTTTTGGAAAACGCTCAACCGCGGACCCTGACCGGACGTCGTCGGGTGTCCGCCGCCCCCGCCAAAGTAACTGTTCCGCCACCGCGCCGTCCAGGACTGCTTCCGCGGGTCCGTGTCGTGGTTCCGAAGCGACCGGTGTTGCTCCTCGTCACCCGGAAAATAGTCCATCTTTTCCTCGAAGCTGTCAGTCGACGCAGCAGACTCGATGATGGAGTGCCCGCTTTGCGAGACGGCGCGCTGCGGCGGAAACGAAGGGTGCTGCCCGATGAAAGACGTCGAACTCGCGGAGGAGTTCGGCACCAGTTGCGGCTGTTGCTGCTGCTGCGCAGAAGTTCCGAAAAAAGCCCCATTTCCGCTCGACATAGAGGCCACACCTCCAGTTGTGCCGGCGCCCTGCGAAATCTGGCTCTGCCGTAGATGGTTCGAAGTGGAGGTGCTTGCGCGCAGCATGAGGAGAGACTGCAACCGCTCGCCCGTTCCGGAAAAAACGCGGGAGAGGACTGACGGACTTGGGCTCACGATCACATCGGCGTCGTTGATCATGTCAGACACACGGGGCGGCGGAACGATGCCCGTGTTGGATGCGCTTGCGCGGTTCAGCAAGTTTCGACTGGTGTCGGACATGGTACTGGTTCGCAATTGCACCACTGGCTGCAAATCCGGCGGCATTGGTACTCCCCCGGCAGTTGTCTGGAACGACACAGCGGCTCCAGCATGTTGCTGCTCCTTTTCGATCTGCTCCATCTCGAGTAGCGTGTTGAAGCGGCTATTGGGATTGTTCGAAGATGATGTTGCTCCCCCAGCTGCCTGGTTGTTGCCACCGCCCGTCGAGCTGCTGTGGTTGCTCCCCGCCTCGGACAGGCGCTGTGGCGTCAGTCCGCTCATCTTGTTGCTAGCGGACGCGTAGTGGTCTACAATTGTGCTCTGCGTGCTCAGCGTCTGCGACTGCTCGTGCTGCATAGATGTACGCACGACAGCGAGCTCTTCGAGGAGCTTTTCTTTCGTTTCCAACGAGGTTTTTTGGATCACCAGCTTTCCCTCCTTGTCGGTCGTCACGATAGCCTCGGGAAGCGCGTCCGCGGTGCGGAAGTTCGTGAAGCGGAAACTGGTGCTGGAGGCAAGTAACTCTGGATCGTTCAACGGGTCAACTGCGCGAGTCCCGGCAGAGGCTTGCGAAAAGTGATTACTCAAGGCCCCCAGCTGCTCGTGCGCGGCGTCGGCAGAGCTGCCGAAGGAGAACCGCCGGTCCTCGCCGCTGCTGGCCGAAGAGTTTTCAAATTTCGCGGTCCCGGGCGCTCCGGGCAGCGGGTTCTGTACACCTGTCGCGGTCCCAACACCCGTGCTCGAGAGGGATAAAGAAGCCTGGTCCTTCCGCGCGTGTTTACTAGGATGATGTTGTTGGCCGCCGAGAGGTGGAACGGGGACCGTCCGACTACCCCCAGTCGAGGAAGACAATGGAGTGGAGAAAGAGGGCGCAGTGTGCCTACTGGCATGCTGCACCGAGGACGCTGCACCGAGATTCTGGCTGCTCAAAAGGTCGGCGCCCGTATTGCTAGAGGAGGTAGAGAACAGACTGCGCCAGGGCCGGGACGTCTTGTTGTTCTGCTTATTCGCATCCTTGCCTTCGCCGCCACTCGAAGTTAGACCTTGGGGGCGACCTTTGTTAGAAACACGCAGATCCGCAATCGATCCCTCCTCCATTTAGCCTGAAATTCTTGCGCATGGATTGACTTTGATCAGTCGGTCCACACGCAGGTCAGGAGCTGCGGAACAAGGTGACAACTGTCAGTCTTCTAAAGCCCGGGAAAATTATGACTGTCACTTAATGTTGGAGTTGGTGTTGGTGTTCCTACGGCGAGTAGTTCCTCGAGAAATCTACACCACCTCTAGCGCAGAAAAATTTGCCAACCGTCAAAAAAATACAAATGGCTTTTAGGCATAATTGCATGAGCCAACGACCACTACGACTTCGAAATAGAAAATCTCAGCATGCCACATGCCGGTCGCTCTTCACCTCCAGAACTCAAGAACAACATTTCTTGGATCCGCATTACCGGTCGCAGGATTACGTGCCATTGCTCGCAGTGTGGTCCGTATTGTCCCGTCGAGTTCTCTTTGATGTTTCTTTTCTTTAACTGCCAGAACTTGCTTACTTCAATTTCGAGGAGCGACCCAGTCCGTGAATTTTACAAGGCTGATCTGCAGAAAAAACGTTACGTCGCTTCGAAGATATCATATATCTTCGTTCAATACGTACCCTTTGTCGTGTTTGTTTTGTATCCTTGAACTAGGTTCCAAGACCGGCTGTTTCGAGTTGTCCGTCTAGTACTCTACTTCAAGTTCAGCTACGAGAAAGAAATCTTATCGAGTACTTCTCACAAGAACGGTTCTTCATTGTACAAAAACCTTTCAATAACATGCGCTACGTACATGTTTTCACTTCATCTTCCTTAGTAAATTGCTTCTGAGTAACTACACCTCAGGCACTGCAGCCAGGCGTCGGCGACTGCGAAGCATGATGGCGAACGCGATCGGTTGCTGACAGAAGTAAAGTGCATTTTTAGTTCAGCATGAGTGTGGGTAGAAAGTCCGATCTGTTGTCTTCGAGACTTACTCTCGGCCGAAGTGATGCCTCCATGGTCGAGCGGATGCGCTCCCCTTCCGTTGCCAGGAAATCTTCGATCTTGGCTTGTCGGCGCGCCGCAAGTTTCGCAGCGGCGGCTTGCTTCTGCATCGATTTGGGTGCAGGGACAACGTGCGAAAAGTCCGGCCCCAGGTATTGTTGCGCCACTGGGTTGCGATAACTGCTCGATGAACTGGTGGGCACCGTGGTTTTGGTTTCCAAAATGCTTTTCCGAACCGCGTTTTCCCGCTGCTGCAGCGGGGTCATCTGTTTCGGCAGCACACCGGGCTCGATCGGCATGCGATCTACCTTCTGTCCCTCTCCGAACGCGGGGAACAGACACTTCAAGTTGTAGCCCATCGGCCCCGAGATCCCGTTCGTGCAGCGTTCGTGCGTCATGATCGGGTCGGTTCCATATTCCTCCAGCATGTGCCCCCGGTACCCGGGGGTGTACCGCCCCCTCTGCAGGTAGAAACCCCGGAACGCCATGTCCATGGCTGTTCCCTTAGGTGGCAAGCTGTCGTCGTAGCTCTTTCCAGAAACCGCGTCCGTGGTCGGATTCATCTTGCGGGTACGGCTGAACGCCATCCGCTGCATCTCCGAGAGGATCCGCTCGTCCGCCCGCTCCTTCTTGGGTTTCCGGGCCCGGTACTCCCAGTACTCGGGCGCCTCGCTGATGTTCTGCAGCGCCAGAAACTGGGCTGCCGTGTAGAGCAAATCAATTAGTTCGTTCACCAGCATTCCCAACGTTGCCGCCACGGGCGCAACCCCGTTGACCACCGTTTGTCCGGCCTTGGCCGCATTGGCAAACTTTTTCACCACCTCTGTCACGCATTTCCCGGGGTAATAGAGCTTCAAATCTTCGAGCTCCTTCGACAAAGTGTCTACGCCTGGAGTTTGTTGTTCCTCTGCGACCGCACCTGTGGCAGCTTCTTCGCCGGCGCTGGTCGACGCCCCCGCGGGGGTAATTGTCGCTGGCCCCGCCGCGTTGGCGGCTGCGGCCATGGCCGCCGCCTGCGTGGCCCGTTGCATCTGCAAAGCTCCCGAAAGTGTTTCGTATTCCTTCGTGGTGTCCGGGCAGAAGTGCTTGATCGGTCTCAACGCCTCTACCCCCACGTCTGCTAATACGCCCGCAACTTTACCGATCACCGCGGCTATGAAGGTTGCAGGATCCTTCAAGTCGACGGTGAGGTCTTTGAAAAATTCACCGGCCGCGCGCAGCGGCGCCAGGTAGTCTTGGGGCCCGTCCACCGCTTCTCGAAGCTTGTTTTCGTAATACTCCACCATCTGTTCCACTTCCGTTGCGCCCGCGGTCTGTGTGTCATCGCGAATGTTGCCAATGTCCATCGCGGTGCGCCGGATCTTCTTCGTCAGCAGTTGTGGAATCGCGGTGAGACTAATAGTGGTCTTCGGCACCAGCGTTGCGTTTGCGCGGGCCGTCTGTTCTGCCAGCTGTTCTTCCCTTGCCAGCGCAGCTGCGTCTTCAGTTGCGAACGTGGTACTTGCAGGGGATGTTAGAGCAGGAGCAGCTCCTTCATCTACTTTAGCGTTGAAGAATGCCGAGCCGTCGTCTTTATCTGCCCCAACCACTTCCGCGTCGTTACCAGCAGTGCCAGCGTCTGTGACAAAGAAGCTCTGGTGTTCAGGCAAGAAGGACAGTTTTCCAAACACCTGCAGCCCGCGCTGCACTTCCGAGATGCGCTTGTGAATCACTTCCTCGGTGTGGTACAGGTTGGAAGCCGTGTTACGCTCGATCTCAGCCCACATCGGATCATCTTTCGGGACTGGTTCCAAGTCGTTCTTCTCGTGCGCGTACTGGATCCGCTTCGCAAGCATCGCGGACAGCGATCTTATCTCTTCGTCCGCGAACCGTTCAGTCTCTCGAATCCATTCGTCCGCGACCTTCTGGAACTGGTACTCCACGGGCGTCAGTAGGACTGGCTGTCGGGCGTGCGGCTTCAACTGTAGGTCATCAGCTGCCACTGTTCCTGCGTGTACTTCCTCAGTAGCTGCTTGGTCATCCGGCGACGTCTCCGCAGCAGCAGTTGGTTCTCCCGCGGGCGCTGGAGGCCTCACGATTTCCCGCAGGATCGCAATCCTGCGGGTCTTCGCTTTTTCGAAGCGCCCGAGTTCCTCGGTCACCCAGCGCTGCAGGCGTTCTGGCGTTTCGCGTTGACGCTGGTACCACATACAGCCGGCGCCTGCGTCTTCGGCCCTACCACAATCCTGGGAATTCACCAGGGTCTCGCAGACTGTGTCGCGACTGACTGGTGTTTTAGGGGCTTGTGGCTTTGTTGCTGCTGGAGTACTACTTGCCGTAGCAGCTCCATCAGTCTTTACTCCTTCCCCTGCTTCTGTGCTGGTACCGCTGCCGCTAGCTGGTTCTGGTTCATCTGCACCACCTTCCTGAACCTGTTTCTCGGTGCTAGGATCTGCCTGTTCTTGATGTAGATTCTCGACTTCCAACCCATTCCCGCCCGCCGACGCCGCCGCGCCCTCTGGATGGTGATGTGCAAGTTTTGGACCGCACGCCTTCAAGTCGTGCCGCTCAATCGCGACCGGATCCACGGACATGCAAATGCCACCAGGTCGGGGCACTGGGACGATTTCGTAGGGCGTGGACGCCGCGTTGGTTGGTGTTGCGTCATCAGCATCGCCGTTTGCCGCACCATTTTGCTGCTGCTGCACCTTTTTGCTACCTTCTTTAGTAGCGGCAGCCCCGTCGGTGCTGTCATCGACGTTTTTGTCCTCCTTCTCCGCGTGTGCCTTGTCTTCCGGATTTGGACTGGTCTTGTTTTCATCCACCTCGGCATCTCCACCCGTTTTCCCTTCTTGCACTTCCGGCGCTGCGGCCTTTTTCCAAGAGCACTTGGGATCAGCCTGGCAAGCGTGCTTTTCGTCCAGGGACGGGCAGTACTTTGGCTCTCCTGTGCACTCATGGGTAGGCGCTTGTGGTTCCCAAGCGCAATCCTTTGATTCCAAATCCTTTCCGCAGAGAGCGGCGCTCGGATGTTTTTTGCAGACTTTCTGCAGCGTGCGCAGTTGCTCCTCGGGGGGCGGGGGCGGCGGATCCCGCTCCAGCGGTGCGCGGTCAAATTGCACCCAGCCGCACCCGTTGGATGCAGCCAAGTTGCCGCAGGTCGCCTGGGAGTCGCCATTTGCCAGGCAGAATGTGTTCTTCTCGGCTCGCGCGCTCGCACTCGCTTGTTCCTCGTCACCCGTCAGAGTAGAATTTCCGTCAGCGTCCGTTGTCCCTTTTTGAGCTTGACCGGGCGTGCCAGCTTCTACTGCCGGCTCTACAGTGGCACTGTAGACGCAAACCCCGTCGGGTTTCTCGCCGGTTCGCCACGCGCATGCTGGATTTGCGACACAAGTGTTCTCGTTTTCGAAATCCTCGGAGTGGCACGCCGCCGCCTCGGCCTCCGAGCTTGAGGACGGTTTCTTCAAGACGCACGAGGCTTTCGGTTTCTCGAACGCAATCCACCCGCATTCCTCCGGCTCCGCAATCTCGTCATCTGGTGCTGGTGGCTCTTCATCTTCCTCTGTTTCTGCTTGCTCTTGGTCACCATGTTTGGGGTCGCTCCCACTACCTCCCACCGCGTTCGCCTTTGTAGATTCGTCGTCTTTCTTGCTCGATGAAGCTTCCTGTGATTGATCTTCCGTGCCGTCCCCACCTCCACTCGTTCCCGCGTCCTGTTTATCATTGTCTTTCAGAGGCTCGGCGGCAATTGGCTTTGGTGCAAGGCAATCGCTTTTGCTCTTGCGGCGGTGACACGGCGGACCCGCATGGCGATCCGAAGTGGATATTTTTGTCGCAGAAGATGTTGGCTGGTCGCGACCCACGACTTTCGTGTTCGTTTTCATCGTTAGTGTACTCTTCCCGTTACGATTCTTTTTCGTTGTGATACGACGCACCGTTTTTACCGTAGAACCACCACCGGTTTGTTGCGGAACGTCTTCATCCACCTGCTCAATTCTATTTTTGGAAACACACATGCCAGTTGGTGCCGTGCCTTCTGCGGGCGCGACTTGGTCCGAGTCCAAGCCACCTCCCTCCCAGTTACACTCGACCCCGAGCGCATCAGCGGCTCCGACGCACCGCGCTTCCTGGTTCAGCCGCCGGCAAATGCTCTGGCCGATGTCATCCGCGGCGGTGCAAGTCCCGGTGCGCAAGTTGGAAAACGACTTCCAGCCGCATTTTGTGCTTTCCGCATCACACCCACTCTGCGCCACTTTTGCTTCGCAAAGCGCGACGTCGTCTGCATTCGTGGCGTCCAGCGGGAAACACACACCGCTTGCGGTTTGCGAGGTGCTTGTCGCGGCCACTGCAGGAGTATCTGCGTCCTCTGCACCTGCCGTGTTACCTCCCGTGACCAGTGAAGCTGCGCCCGTGAGAGCTGCTTTTGCCTGCAGCTTTAGGCGCTCCAGCACCGACGGGTCCGAGGTCGCCGGCTCGATGTCCTTTTCTGCTGTGGTTCCCTCCGCTGCCCCATCGATAGGTGGCTGCTTCATTTTCTCCAGCGCAGCAACGACGCTTGGTTTTGGCAAACACTTCCCTTGGTCCGGCGGGCGCACGGGGCTTAACGCGGTCACCTTGCGCCACTCGCACAACGGCTGATCCAATGCATCGTGCTGGGTTTTGCATTTCTGCTCCTTGCACTGAAATCCGCAGGGCTCGCCATTTCCTCTTTCCGCAGCCATGGCATTGTCGCAGATTTCCTGATCTGCGGCGTGCCTAAACCTGGGAGCGCACTCGAACAGCTCGGTAGGCTCCCGCGCCACGTGCTGTCCGGCGGTAAGCTCCTGCTGCTTTTCCAGCACTCGCCCATGCTCGTCGACTTCCCATTGCGGAATGTGCGGCGGTCGCATAGGATCCTCTAAAGTTTCCACATCAAGACTCCTTTGCAACACTTTCAGGTCCACACCGCATCTTGTTTGCATGTTGAACTTCAGGTTCCACCCACTCAAACGCCGCCACCGTGCCTCGAGTTCCGGTCGAAGCAGCCTTTGCTCCGCGTCGTCCGCTTGAGCGGCTGTCATGGGCACCACAGGATCTTCTTCTGCAGCTGGCGCAGTCGTATTACTGTCATCTCCATCTCCACCGCTCTGTACCGTCGCTGCAGCGGAGCCAGTAGTACTTGGTTTTGGAGTATTTGCATTGGTACCGGCTCCTTCCTCGTCGTCTTCCTTTTCGTCGCAACGAAGGGGCGCACCGTCGTCCTGATCGGACAGACTGGTATGCGTGACTTGCTTGTGCGTTTTGGCCAACAGAGCGGGAAAGTCGTCGGGCAGGGACTTGTGCGCCAGTGCGTGCATGAAGGGTCGTAGATGAGCATTCTGTAGGGCCTTTCGCGCCTCATCGTTGAAGTGCACCATGCGAGTTTTGTTTTTCACGTCCAGGTCCTCTCCAAGCATCATCTCTGCCCAGCGCTTCTTGCGGTCCCGTCGTTTCTGTAGCAACGCGTTCTGGCTCTGGAAGTCCGGCGCATTGGTATCCAGTCTAATCTTGGTGCGTCGGTACCAATCGTCAATGCGCATGGCCAATCCGTCCCGAACCATCTTCGATACGTGCTTGTTCTGTATAGAAGGAGAAACGGTGATCGCCGACAGTGATCATCTACCAAAGAAAAATCGCAGCACACCCTCGCGGAACGGGTTTTCTTTTTTTACGGACCGAAGAAATGGCGCAGCTTTTCGCAGGGTGTGACACTGTTAACTGCGCACATTATGCGAGCAGTGCTGAAGATGGGAAAGGCCGACAATGGCCGGGCGCTTTGGGGGCCGCAGGTGCTTCGTTTTCATTGTTGCTGGACGCATGAAACCACTCTTCCCACCTGGCCACGAGCGCCCGCGCGTTTTGGCCGTCGAGCGCTCTTGCCTCGGCCGGAGCGCGACACTTGAAGAGGGTCGGGGCCATAGCGTAGAGCAGGTTCGTTTGGACTGTCATCCGCCGCGTGGTGCGAGCCCAGCTCTGTGCCTCGGCCTTGCCCGCCTGCCGCGAAGGCGTCGAGGCATCGACGGGCCGGGGGCCCGGCTCACTTAAATCCGATGACGGCTGGCTTTTATTTGCGTGCCACCAAGGGCAGCAAATACACGGGCGCCGGCGGAGAAGCGGCTCCGATACTTACTAGCATGCAACAAGCAACGGAGGCCCTGCCGTCGGTTCTTAATTTGCACCGACGGCACGACGCAGTTTGGTGAAGAGAAAGAACGCGGCGCGACTTTCGCGCCCACGCTTCAACATGAAGACGCCGAAGCACCTTGCTGCGCGGCCGCGGCAGCTGCGGCGTCTCTCTCTCTCTCATAGTCGGCGCAGGCACGGACCGCGATAAACACTCGCTATGCCATCACACAGGGCCCCGGCCTAGCGCCTGCCAAGAGAGAACAAAAGCAGCGCCGCCGCATATAAATTTCACCCGGCGACGAAGCGCATGTCACGCCCGGCGCAGCCGCGGAGCCGGCTCACCTGAGAAGGGCGTCAATGCGCATGGCCAATCCGTCCCGAACCACCTTCGATACGTGCATGTTCTGTGTGTTTGTTTGATGAAGTCGTGAAGGAGGAATCTATTTTGTCGATGCCTGGTTATTAACTGCTAGGACACTCACCCAGACGAATATTATGCAGCGTCAGAGAGCACTCATTCGTCATTCTCACAAAACAGCTTTATTCATCTTGCTCTCATACTAGTCATTTCGCCTCTCTTATCGAAAGAAAAAAGTTCGCCACAGTCACAATTTTTCATTTTTCGAAAAATTGAAAGGTGAAAAAGAAGAAATCTTCTGATGTGGAGGAAACGCGCGACCTTTTCCCCTTCGACTGCAAGGGCCTTGTATTTTGCAGAACTAGTCTCGACGGCTTGACGGAGCTAAATTCCAGCCATTTCCGGGGCAGACGCGCTGAAGCACACATGCCTCCGCAAGAGCTCCTACGCCTTCCTGGCTACGCAAAAAATTCTTAGCGCAGCTACTGCGCCAAGAACTTTTGCAAAATATGTGCCAGCGATGAGCGGCAACGCATTTACGCGCGCCCCTCTAACGAAATACCCAAAACACGGGGCTGAGTGCGGCACATGTCACTGGGCGGACTAGGGCAGTCGACTACCTTGCCTAAAGGCAGAAGCAACTTACGCAAATGCGCAAAAACCGCAAATCTTTCCGACTGCATGAAGCCGAAAATTGGAATTTTGATTCTTGCGCGCCATAGTCACTCGGAGAAAAACAGGTCAAAAAATTGTTTTGAAACAGAACAAAAACGACAAAAAAGCGGAGCCTTTTTTTGTGAAAAAAGCTCCGAGTGACGAAGCGCTTCAATTTCCAAAAAGCGGCATTTTAGGTGCGGGAAAGCCAAATCATATTCGCCAAAAAAGTTCGTCACTCGGCCAATTTTTCGTTTCGGCGGGGGTCGAAAAAAAACTCGAGCGACCGAAAAAAACTAGGCCGAGTGACTGCGCGAACGAATGTTCAAAAGGCAACTTTTGAAAAAAAAAAGCTGTCGCCGCTTTTTTGAAATTTTGGGCGGTCTGCCCAATGCCAAAAGAGGTCTGGACAGATGTAACCAGGCCCAATCACTTTTGCAGGCCGGCCTTGTGGCGGCCTTTTAGATGTTCAACGGAACGAAGGCGGCCTGCTTTATCAAGGGAGAAGTGGAAGGCCATGGAGGCGCTGCGCGACCACTTGCGCGCTAGGTCCGTGTAATCGAAGACACGCGCTCTGCCCCCTTTCCTGGTAGGTGTCCTTCCCTGTCAAAGGCTGTGGGGCCGCGCAGTGGGTAAGCTTCAGTGAGCTAAGACAACCCGGGCACGCAAAACGCAGCCAGGCCGTGGCTTCAGCATGCCGCGCGAGGCCTGAAGTTTTTAAGCTGGTTGCTTTTTCGGCCATCAAGTCAAATTTTCAATTTGCCCTGATTTTTTTTCAAAAAATGAAAATTAGTGACTGTGACGAACTTTTTTCTTTCAATATCTCTTCGTGCGTGGAACGAATGTGCATAAATTGATTTCAAAGAAAAAAATCATTCAGGCACAAGCTTACCGCGTCCGGGACTTCTCCGACCAGAATTTTTTCTTGTTCGTGTTCCAGTTTTTGGATGCCGCAATCCGTGATCTTGCTTAGCTGTTCCAGTTCTTGCACCAGATCCTGCGAGTAGCGCGTCAGGACCTGTTGCGGCGTGGCGTCCAGAGGCAGCGGCCGCATCGGGTCCTTCAACGCACTGCAGCGCCAGGACCCGGGCCCGGGCGGCAGGTCTTTCCAAATGCAGGTCCGCGGAGACCCCTCGGTGTAGTTGTACCGGTGATCGTTGCAGGTCTGCTTCGTTCGCATGGCTGCGCACTGTACCACAAGGTCGGCTTTCACCTCCGTCGTGACGCACTTGTGTTCCAGGTTCAGATACTCGGGATCTGCTTCACAAATTCCGCTTTCCCCTTGCGATTGGGTCTCCTCCACGACTTCGTCCTCGGCATTTGCCGAAATTTTCTGCCACTTGCAGATCGGATCCTCATCGCAAAGCTTGTGTCGATCGGCTTGTTTCGTCGCGTTGGGCACGGCGTTGTGAAAGCTGCACGCAACGACGTCTTCGAAATTTCGCGGGTCCTCGGCCTTACAAAAGCCACTCTGGTGCTGGTCGTGCTCCCCTGATCGAAGAGCCGGGGGCTGTGTTCGTTCTACTCGAGTTTCCCAGTGACAAGCGTGGTCATTCGCTTCCGCATTGCAAGCCGCTTCGGATTCGTGCTTCGCACAGTCGGCCGCTGCAGTCTCAGCCCCGTTGTCCGCTGCCGGGGCGCAAACACCCTCGGGGAGTTCTTGGTGTGGCTGCGTGTCCCAGGTACAACGTGTGTCGCCGACGCAGTCAAGTTCATCTTCATGCGTTTTACACTCTTCAACGGCGCCCGCGTCGTCGACGTCGTTAAATTTACACACTCCCGGACCTGTGGTCTCGCTCGCCACTTCCGGCTCGGGCTGAACCTCTTCCGCTCTTGGCAACACCGGTAGCGCATCCAACCCGAAGGGCCTTGGCTCTTTCAGGGCCGCGTCTGCGAACAGTGGCTCCCTCACTTGCTGTTCTTGTGTCCCGCCGGCATTAGCGTTGTCGCTTTGCCCAACGACGGGCGGCTCCACCGCCTTGTCCTCTTTGACTGGAGATAGTGGGGGAGGTTTCTTCGACTTCGCCTCAACTACGGGTTCTGTCGGAACCCATTCACAACTTTTACTGTGATAATTGCAGTCGTCAGCAGCCGTCAAGCGTCCGCAGAACTCCACGTCGTCTCGTGATTTGCTGTAACAGAAGCCCTCTGGCTCCTGCTTGTCCCGTTTAATGTTCTTCGCCTTCGTCGTTGCGTCGGCAGAGGCAGCTTTTTTCGTGTTCATCTGTTCCGACTGAGCGTCCAGTCCCGCCGGCTGCTCCTGTCCCCCCTCGTGTGGACTAGGATTACCGCCTTCTACCGTGGGTGTGCTTGCGTCCTTCTTGCCTTCAACGCCTGGAGCTTCTTGTTCTGCGTCAACAATGTTGTCCTCGTGGGGGACAAAGGTACAGCGATTTTTGTTGTTACCCCACTCGCACCGCTCTTTGGTCCCGGTGCCAGACTCCAGCTCAAATTGTTTGCAATATTCCAGATCGACGGCACCCCCTGGCTTGTTCTGGTTACATGCACCCGCCGTTGTACTTTCTTTCCAAACACAGCTGGCTTTCTTTACCGCACAGCCCTGTCTGGTCTTGATCGCGTGACAAGCATCGGGCTTTTCCGGTTTTGATGGCTCTGCTCCTGCTCCGTCTACCGATGCCCCCGTCCCACCACCTGCGCCAGCATTGCTATTATCGTCAGCAGGCGCCTCTATTGACTCGCAGATACCAGCACGGTTTTCTCTTTTGTCTTTTTCGATCAAGTTCATGCGAGACTCGTACTGCTCGGAGCGGTACTGCGCTTGTTTCTTCATTCTCGCGTTCCACGACTCGAGCTTCGCGGAGTCAAGTGCCCGGCGGTGAGCGGCGGCTTGCTGGGTCGCCAGTTCTTTTCCCGCTGGCCCGCTCCCGCTGGCAGACCATTGCTGTACTGCCAACAGCTGTTGCAGCTTCTGGAATACAGGCACCACGTCTTTCCGCTCGTTGCTGCTGAAATTGTCGAAATTTTTCCCGGTCTCCTCTTGCACAAACTTGGAGAATTTGCCGCGCAAAGTGTGTACGTAGTCGACGAGGCGCTCCCCGGCGGCCGGGGGCACAAAAAGGTCTTCTTTTGTAGTCAGGGCTGGCTTCTCTTTCTCATCCGCAACATCTGCGTCATCGCCACCAGGAGAAGGAGTGTCGGTCTTTTTACCGCCATCATTTACAAACGAAGACAAGGAGGCAGAGCCTCGTCCACCTGGGGACGCACTTGCCGACGACTCGGATTTGGGTGGTTTGTTGCTCTTGCCTTCGCCAGCGTGACGAACTTCGAGCTGCACCTTGCCATTGAGCTCAACCTTTCTCCTCTTCCTCGGTGAGGGCCTTCCAATCGTTTCTGCGCCGGTAGTATGCAATGCAAAAGTATCGTACTAGTATGAGTTTCTATTGCATGACAAATTTTTCGTAGAAGAAAAATGAAATTTGTCATGCAGTTTCAGGTAAGAAAGCAGATCTGTAATGCTAGACTCGCACTTATACGAGTACGGTACTTTTGCAATGCATAGGTAGTACTATCACTTTGCAGCACACGGTGATGACGTGCAGCGGGAGATGGTTTTGAGTGCGAACCTCCATGCGATCCAGAACTCGATGTCGAACGCAGTATTTGTGACAATGATGAGTGCGCCTTGGTTTGGTGGTCACATCCGCGGCCCCCAGCTGCAGCCAAGGTGGAGGTGTGGCATGTGTCATGGACCTGATCATGACCAGCATCCCTGCGTGTTCTTGTGACGCCATGCTGCTGAGAAAGAAAGCTGCTCAGGATTACGTCCTCCTGCTGTCTTAGCATGCCCATCGTTTTCCTAATCTTATCAATGTACAAGGTACTGGCAGCTCCGCCCCCTACATCATCTTCAATATCATCGCGAGGGACAAATTCGATGCGCCGGAATTTTGTGCAATGCTTGGTAAAAAATGCAAATGCTGATGCGAAGGGACCATTTGTTCACTTTCGACTTCTTGATTTGAAAAACGAAAAAAAGCTCAAAGAAGACTTTTAGCCATACAATACCAATTCCACTCAAATGGTCAAACTCGTACGAGAACTCTCAGCAGTAACATGAACTTCAGCTCCTTTCCCTTTGTTGGTTCCCTCTTCCCCTCGCGCTTTGTCATTCAAACCAACGGTTTGCATTTTTCTTTAGCAGTTTTTGAAAGCGATTTTACTCGACTCGAACTCTAAAAGTGTGAAATCTAGATCCTCATCGCAATCACTTTAGAGGCCGTTTGTATGCTCGTCTCAATGTCTTGAAGAAGGAAACGAATGCGAAACTTCTCCTGCTCTTACTGACTTTAGTAGCTTCGTCGTATTTCGAAGTCAGCATCTCCTCTTGTACCGCGGTATCATCGAAATAGAGCGAGACGATGATTGCGCTGGCTATCGTTGAGTCGTTGACGTTCTTACTAACATGCTCCGGGCCGAAATCAAAAACGGATCTTTCATTTTTATCGTATGGAGAATCAGCGAGGGAGAGGTAGAGGCAAATGATGCCCGCGCGGAAAACTGGCCTGCCACGAACGACATCGGATCCTCAAACGCGGTTCAGGTTCCCAATCTCATGGTCAAGCAGCAGTGGCGTATCATGATCGTCTTCAGAATGCGTTGTTATCGTCGGGATACGCACTCCTGGTGTAGTAGAGTGTTGATCGCCTCCTGGCCAGGACGTAACATCTTGCGACAACGCGACCAACTTTTCTTCTGTGTTCTTTCCGTCTCCAACCGGCGGGCTCTTGTCGTGTAAAAGGTGATCATGATCTTCTTGTTCGTTAGCCGCGTCGTGTGGGAAACGAGCGTCCTCGTCTGGCGCTGGGAACTGTGCATTGAACTGCTTCACCGGAAGGACTCGCAGGGCTTCTTCCAAGGTCATTTGCAGGTCAAACGCTTTCACCACCTCTTTTTCCAGCGACACGACTTCTTGCAATTTCTCCTCCCTGGCGAGCACCTCCGCGAAGGAGCCGGAATGATCCTGGTTGTCCTTCGATTTTTGAATGAGCCTCTGTAACGTGTCCAGGCACGCGTTTTTACGCTGCTCCCGGTACCACTCGAGCTGGCGTAAGAGGTTCAGAGCTTCCGCTTCGCGCTGTTCACGGGACTCGAGCTGCGCACTGCGAACCAAGGGCAACATGTGTGTTCGAAGCTGGGAACGATACTCGTAGAACGGCGGTGCCATATCGTGCAGCACATCGCAATACCGATAACCTGTGAGAGTGTATTTTTTTTGGCAGCGGTTTTGCTTTTGCTTTCGATATAAACGAAGGAAAAAAAGTAAAAGAATAAGGACAGGAGCAGCTGCACCTGCTCCTTGTGTGCGCGGAGTAGTTGATGAGGCATCCGCATCGATGAAATACAACCGATCCGCCTTTGTTGCGTTTCATCGACAAAAGTAAGTACACCTCAAATGCGACTAAAAGAGCTAGATTTTGATCAAAAAAATTTACCAATGCGCTGCGTGTTGAGATTCGCGATGAGTTTCGACAAGCGGAACCAGCAAATGCCCACCAGCATCCCCATCAACATGCCCACGATGACCTGTGCGGGCGTGTGGTCTCGAAGAATTGCACGGCAGGGGCCGACGGGCACCAGGCTGACGATCCATACCGTGGTCCAAAAGGCCGCTTCGGCGTGCGAAATCACTTCGTCACCTTCGTCCGTACAATAGGAGGATTTGAAGTGGCCGAAGAAAGCCCGCGTCAACTGAGCGAAAGCAAAAGAACAGTCGCGACGGAAACGACGCAAGCAGCGGCTGCAGGAACTGCTGCCATCAGCTTCGGGAAGCGGCCTGGGTTGCCTAGTGGTCCCCCCATCGCCATCGCTTGGGGTGCTCCTGCCGACGGTCAGCGCCGCGGAAGTGCTGCCCGGTCTCCCTTTTCTTGTTTTTTTGCTTGCCAGAGTTTTGCTCAGCGGATGACGCATCTTCTGTGTCTGTCGCTGGTGTCGACTCGACGTCAACAACGGGTCTGCCAGCACACTTTGTTCGTACTTGCGAGTCGCCAAGTCCTTTTCCTCGACTTCTTCATTTGCGCCAATGTCAGTTAGAAAATTTTCGGTCTCAGAGGAAAGAGACCCGCTCTCCTCGTCCTGAGCGCCCCCAAGCGTCCGGCCCTTTTCCACATCATCCAATATTTCATTCGGAAAAATAACGGAATCGGATGGCGAAACTACATCCAGTCTACTTCGCATCTTTTCCGCGAGTTGTGCCAGCATTTCCTCCCTGACCTGCCGTATTTGTCCTGTGTGCCGCTGCGCGCCGAACTCTGTGCGGTAGAGGAGTTGCAACAGTTTCACCGTGAGTAACCCGACCGCGACCGCGCTGTGGCCACTTGGCATGCCGAAATTACCCGCGCAAGATTCTTGCGGCCGGGCCTGGCGCATCAGCTTCTTGATGCCCAGTTCGTGCTATGAGAGTGCACAACTCCCCCTCCCCCTCATTTGTGTTGCATGAACGGCAATACAATCATCAGCAAGAATGCCGGCTTTGCATGACAAGCTTAGACTGGAATTTAGTGGTATTTTTTGCTACCAGAACTTGTTATACAAACAGTGCCACACAAGTCAGCGACTGGATTTGCGATTTTGCATGACAAATGAGGGGGAGGGGGAGTTGTGCACTGTCATACGTTCACCGAGACGAGCACAAGCAAAAAGCCAAGATTGAACAGCTGCGTCGTACTGCGCCGAAACAGAAACTTGAGAAATATCAGCGCGGCGAGCAGAATCGGCACGTATGCGGACAGCGCGCAGAAGGACTGCAGCGCAATCCCAGGCATGGCGATCGACCGCGGGTGCGCGTCGCCCTGCGAGACGCACGCACCGTATCTCAGAAGAGGAACAACCGTTTGCTGCAGCTGGTGCTCTTCTCCTCCCCCGACAGGTGGACTACGTTCGCTCATGGCTACCGCTCTGTAGACGAACGGCTTCCAAACGCATTCCCAACGTCTGACTGCGTCTACGGGAGACGCCGCCATTGCGTCGCAACCTTCCTTATCCGTCGCAGTTGCGCAGGGAGTGTTGGCAGTAATCGAGTAGTCGGTCCACGACACGTCGGCGGGCATGCCTATCCCGAACGGACACACGCAGTGTGCCCCGGGCGTGTCGTCCGAGTATTGCAGAGCCTTGCACATGCCTTCTTCTTTCCACCATCGCCAGTCGCTTCGCCGTGCGGACGGGACCTGGGCGAGTCGCTGCTCGACCAGTCGGTCCTCCTGCAAGGACGGGTCTGCCATCGTGTCTCAAGAATATTTGAATGTCTGGCAAGGTTGTACTTAGTACTTTGGTGTTTGACAAACTTTCACTTTCAATCTTCATGGAAAGATGACTCCTCCTGCGGTAAAAATATACTGTTCCACCATCTTGTGTAGCGGGTTTATCGGTCAACCCCAGTTCGGCATACGTCCTTTTGTAGGTTGAGTATGGCTATCCATAGCAAACCCAAATTTTGCATTTTTTTATTTTACATTCGCGAATGAAAGTCAAAGTGTGCTCGTAGGAAGTTGCATCTTCGATGAAAGCTAACACTAACACACAGAAACAGAAAGTCAAGGAAATAAATTGCAAATAAAAAGTTTGTCGTGGGGCACGACGACGACGCACGGCGCTGCTGGTGTTACATAAGGCGGTTTTTGTGCTGCGACCATGAAGTTGCATTACCTACAATGGTGCGATGGACACGTGGAAATTTTTGCAGGTTCTCCAAATGTACTGCGTACCAACTTCGGATCAGAATCAGCGAGATTATGATTAAGTTGCGCAAACAAAATCAAAAAGACAACACGAATCGAAAAAAAAGCACTGCTGCAATGAATGCACGGGATCTTTTTCTGCCTGGGGCAGCTTGCAGCATCATGTCCGAACTTCGACGAAGCAGAAATGGACACGAGTACTGCCGGGTTCGTTACTAGAGATGATCTTGCGCGAACGCAGACACTGTTCCTTACGCTTTCTTCGCCTGTGACTGCAAGTTGGGGACGCGAACATTCCCGAGACGCACATGCAAACGCAAGTGCGGCACGTGTTTGTTTGTGTGCGAGCAGGGTCTTCAATCTGCAAATCGCGACGACGAGGCACGAATAGTACCAATAGACGTTGACGCGCTGTCTTCTGCTAGAGCAACATCCTCGGTGCGACTTGAAGGGCCACATACAGAGCGTAGTTATCATTTGGATTTGGTTTTTCGGTTTCACTGTCAGTCAGGATTATGCCTTCCTTCTCTTCGTTCTACGGCATCCTTTACTCCAGTCACGACTTTGGAAGTTACAGTTGTCGAAAATGAAATGTCGCCGTGTGTCGCATTGTCCTCGTAGTTTTCAACTTCTCCGGCAAGCATCGCGTCTGCCAGAAACGCGGGAAGATCCAGTCCGGTCAACAGTGCCGCACTTCCGGCAGCGTAAAGCGCGACACGCCGCGGTGTTTCAAGAAGCGCCATTCCCGTTACCGCTCCAGAAAAGGCCCCAGCCACGATTGCATTCAAGGGGAACGGAACGACGTGTCCCCACTCTCGTTCCAGGGTGCAGGTCGCAAAATTCGCGGCGAACGCCCAGAATCCGAACCCGAGGCCGTGCCGGGAAATCCGTTTTGCGAAGTGGATGCTTGGACGAACACGCTGTAACGCTAAGTAGCTTCTAGTTCTACTAGCTGCTGTCGGAAGCCGGTTGCCGTGCTCCAGCGCGTCTTGCGCGACAACATGAAGTCTGGTCGTAGTAGAGGAGACGGCAGCGGTCGGAGCCGCTGTGCCGGTGGTCGGATTGATTGTCGAAGCAGCAGGAACATGCGCAGATGGAGTTGGTGTCACTCTCGCAAATGTCGAACTGCTACTGCTACCTTCGCGCGGCAACCGGATAGGTGGATCGAGGCTTGTCGAACTACGAGCAAGTCCAAGGCTCGTCGTTGACGCGCCTGGTGGCATCATCACCGCAGAAAAGAGGCTTCCATAGACCGTTCCCCGAAAAAAGGACTCGACGGACCCGTCCACGCAGCTGATTCCGTCCGCGGGCCTGGCTAACATCTTTTTTTATCATGAATGTGCGAAATAAAAAGTGAGCAACTCAGTGGAATGGTGTTGGAATCACAATCAAACTGGGGACGAGGTAAAAAATAATTCGTACATGTACGTACGATACAGGTAGTCACTGATGTCTCAGACCTGATCACAGAAGAAGAAAAAGCAGCAACTTACTAGTTAAAACACGTTGATTGCAAGAACGAGAATCTCTGCTTCAGCTTTTGAGGATCCACAAAAGACAAACGTGGTCGTCCTGGAATCTGTCTGTCCGAGTGTCTGTCTGAGGGTACGTTCTTGAGCTTTCTCGGCCTCTTGCCTCGCATGGTTGTAAGAACGCGGTATGGACCCGCAGGCACCGTCGCACGAGTTTTTCTTTTTGTAAGGTGAGAATGCAAAGAAATAGCCATTCCCATTCCACCTTGCGGATGGAGATGCGACGTTGAAGAGCAAGAGTCCCTTGATTATCATAGTTCTTCTTCATCTAGTTCGTACAACAGCGTTCTTGCATCAAACTTGTGCCAGCACACGCTGCAGATCTTTATTCTTTTGTTCTAGTTCAACTTTGAGGCAAAGAATCACTTGATTCTTCTGATCGATGACAGAGCGCACTTTCTCTCGCATCGCCAGCTCCTCTTCGGTTACGCATTGAATTTTTGCAGCCGTGCACAGTGCTTCCAAATCGGCCTCCTCTTGCTCCAACGTAGAAAAAGCTTGTTCTGGACGCTCTCTTTGTTCCAGCCCTTTCCCTCCTTCTTTTTCGTGGGAGTTTTCACCTTCATCTTCACGATCAACAGACGAGCTTGGTGCAACTTCAAAAACGACATACTTCCGCTTGCGCAAAAGTTCGACGCTTTCGCGCTCGTGCTGATGGTCTGTCGGCGTCATGTGGTCTTGTTTTCGAATCAGGCCTTCGCGACTTTTCAAGATCTCCGCCTGCGCTTGCTGGTTTTCGTTATGTCTCGACAGCAACAGGTCGTTCCCAGCTACTTCGACGGTAGTTGTGCCCATTGTAACGTCGTCGCGGTTTTCGTCAGAAAAATCTTCGAGGGGTGCCGCAACGGAGTATTCGCTAATGACGCGCACTTCTCTTGGATTCTGATTGTCCTGCGAGCTGGATGCGACCAGCTGCATCTCAGCAGACCGGCGAAAGTCTTCTTCTTCTCCCTGCTGTGTGAAATTTGCTGCAGCTTCTCCACCACCACCAGCGAGCCGCCAATCCTGCGCGCAAGAACCGCCCGTCGTCTCCATATGTTCCCGATCGGCCGTGGTCTTGAGACAAGGCCTTCTCTCCTGGGGAGGATTGTCTTCCCGAAGCTGTCGGGTGACGTCGCCCTTCTCTGTTCCACCACTTTTTCTGTCTTCTCCAAGAAAGGCAGATCGTGCCTTCAGCTTTTCGACAACCGCCAAAAGTTTTGCTTTTTCGGTTTCCAGCCCGTCCTTCTCGCATTGCAGCTGCTTGCGCTCTTGCAGGTAGACTTCTTCCTGCCTCTCCTTGTCGTAGATTAGGCGATGAAATTTCTCGACGAGCACTCCCTCCATGAGTTGCACCTTCTTGTCGTATTCCTGCTCGAAGCAGCGCCGCATGATCTTCTGATCCTGCTTGTAGGTTTCCACATTCGTGTCTTGCAGTCGTTTTTTCTCGTTTTCCAGTCGAGCCTTCTCCTCTTGGTGCTTGCTTCGCTCGTGACAAAGCTGCTGCTGCAGCCTTTCCTCAGTGTGACTATGCGCTTTTTTCTCTTCCTCAAATTGGTGCCGGAGTCGGTCGATTTCTGCTTCCAACAATGGTATTGTCGTCGTGGACTGCAGCTTTTCCTTGTCTTTCACGGCCTGCAACTCGACCTCGAGCCCGGCGACTTTCTTGTCAAAAGCAAGTTTTTGCTTCTGCGACTTGCCCTCGTAGGTCTGTTTCACTTTCTCCACCGCGACGTCGTAAGAAATCCGCATCTCTGCGGACAAACTCTCCGTTTTCGCCCGCTCCGCATCGAGCCGGAGGCACATCCTTGCGTCCGAGAGCTGCTGGTCGAGCGCGTGATTCAGGTGCGCAATGTCCTCGTCGTGCTGCTGCACCGTCAGCTCCGTCTTAACGAGTGAGTGATGGCCTTGCTGCTGGTGATTTTCCGTGGCGAGCAGCGGTCGTGCTGGAGGGGTGCAACAAGGCGGTGCTAAGGTAGGGACCACAGAGGAGACAGTGCTCATGGAGGTGGATGAGGAACTCGTCCTGGTTGGTTGTTGCCCAGCACCAGCAGCACCACTCGCACTGTTCGCGATGGCAAGGTGACCTTTATTATTTCTCTTTGGAAGCGGAATGAAACCCCTATTGCAGCTACGGGTCGTCGAAGATGAGAAAGAACTCGCACTACAGCTAATTTCTGCGTCTGGTGCGTCGAAAGACGGCTTTACTACGGAAACTGCCGCGCTAGCAGAAGATGAGGCGGAACTGGGGCGAGGATGCTGCTGTATTTGCTGCTCCTCGAGAAGCCGCTGCAAGTTGCTTTTCTTGGGCTTAGCTTCAGACGCGGTCGTCTGCGCATTTCTGCATACTTGCCTGGAGGAGGGCGCTGTCCGAGGACGTGTTCTCGACGAGCGGTGCTGTGGGTCAGGGTTTACTAATTTATTTGAGCTGATCTCACCAGCAGCTGCAGGTCCAGCCGTAGCTGCCACGTCACTAGAGCGGCCCATCATCATTTTGCAAGTCGTTTTCGACAAGATTTCGAAATAGCTCGCGTCCTCTGTCGCTGTTGTGTTGCTGTGCAACTTGTTGAGTCGCGTCGTTATTCTAACTATAGCACATTCTTGATATCGAGCGTTTCTTTCAGTGTATTTTGCAGCACATTCTGCATGCGTTGTCACACGTCAAGTGCCTACATACGACGCAACCTTCTGAGCCTCACACTCACGCTCACTCACGACACGAACCTGCTGCGTTTTCTCCCCCTCTGTTGGCACAATGCACATTTGCAATCTACTTTATCCCCCTCTCCATGGTCATTGATTTTGATATTGATGCTCTGTGCTGGCTTTGCCCTCCACAAAAATAACGCCACTGCACAAGTCAATGTCAATGATGCGACAGAATTCACATAAGTACCCTTCGCCTTCCTCCCGCTCCATCAGGCAACTCGCATTGCTGACGAAACACGGCCGCTCCCAGGAATGGAAGATGCCAGGCGAACAAAAGGAGGCCATTTAATTTCTTCACTCTTCTCTGACAAAACCTCGCCTGTGGCGAGCTATAACGCAAATATAGGTAAATCTAAATGCCGCAGCGATGAGTAGACGAATGCCCCCAAAAGCAGAGAGAAGTCCGGCAAGATGGGACTAATTCTAATACTACTAGGTGGCCGCGGGCGCGGCCGTGCGCGCTGCGCGACGTAGGCAGGGGTTGCGGCGCGCCACCCGTCTGTGACTCACTGTGGGCGCCGACACAAAAAGACGAAGACTGTGGCTCGCGGCGGGCCCAGGCACATAGAGGCCCGCGCCCTTGGTGACATCAAAAACAAGCTCGGGCCACTTACATGCGACATCGAGTGGCGTGCACCCCCAAAGCGAACACGTTGGGGGGAGGGCGGCGAAAAAACGGCCCTGCCCCCGGGGCGGCCTCGTCGGTCGCGCCAACATGCGCGGCCCACACGCTGCGCGCCATTTCCCCCGGACCGCCGGCGTGTTGCGGCGGGGGACTCGGGGGCCTTGTCCTCGAAAATAGCGGCGGAAGGAGCTCGGGCGTTTTTTCGTTATGCTGCAGCTACTCGGGTCCCGGATTTCTTCGCACGTCTGGCGTTTCTTCACTGGAGTGCAGGAACGCGAGGAGCCCCGCGGTGGTGGCTTGTTCCGCAGATGCCGGATCTTTCCCCATGAGGACTATGGCCATCCTCATCTACCTGAGCAGGAACTCTCTCCGTGTCGGAAGGCGGCAACGTTGCGCGAGCACGTTTTTTCGCGCTCGGTGCCGCTTGTTCCGTGGAGTACGCGCGCCACGCCACCAGGCGTTGTAATAGCCATCTCGCTTTGGCGACAACTGCTCCAGGAGGACAATGCCGCAACACTGGATGCTGCAGCGGCAGGAGAGATCGCCTGCCAGATGTACATGCGCGCCATGAATGCGCGCGGCTCTGGCCGCGTCGCTCTGAGTTTAACAAAGCTACTCTTCGTCGGAGTACGTAATTGCTTCTTCGTCTTCCAGAAGTCCCGGCAAAGTAGAAGACGAGCATCACAACACATTTTCGCAAGGTCTTTCGCTACTCTTCTCTCAGGTGGAGCGACCCATGGCCAGTTCAGACGAACTACGCCGGCCTTGGGTGTCTCTCCCTTGTTTTCTTCTTCTCCAAAAAACGAAGCGAATGGAATCTCGTTTCTCAGACGGCGAAAAACTGCAAAAAAAAAGTGGAGTTGAAAACAATTTCATTATTTGCAAGCCAAGCGGTCGCTCTCGCTCATCGCCTCAACACGAACATGCAATACAGATAGCGATTGCGATAGGCTGAGCATCCACGAGTATCTGAATCCGCTTTCGCTGTTCATGCTAATTCGTTCTGCTTTTTCTTTCCTTACCTTTTCTTTTCGTTCTAACGGACAGCAAAATCAACCATATCGGCAGGAGTGCTCAGCGTTTCGCAGACAGCAGAATCTCTTTCTGGTGTAGTTTCGCAAACAAATACAAGCAGGCGGTCATAATTTCGCAAAACATGCGTATAGGTATAAAAGTTTCTTTTACGAGGACATACCTCGCAGCGGCTCCACCTCAGAGACGGAGTCAACTGAAGGGAAGCGCCTGACACATGGCCCTCTAGCGTCCGATCTTGCATTAGCATTTCCATTTGCTCTAACCGCAGTGTGGTACAGGTACTAGAACAACCAACCGCAAGACAGCACATCTCTTGATATCAACTCGCGTCCGCACAGGCGACCTTCGAATCTAGGATAGCATCTACTTCGCCAAAAGTAATTTTCAGACTTGCACAGCCAGAGCCTGGTGCTGTGAGGACTCCAAACAATCCTGTTATTCTTGTACAGTTTTATGCATTCTCTCGAAGCAATCCTGAGAAGTAGACGCAGGAAAAGATTGAAAAAACTTCGCATGATCATGCTGACTCTTCGGAGTCTGCGAGGCAATAATTTTAGATTTACATATGTCCGCACGCACATGCGGAGGTGGTTTTGATGAGTATGTGTAGTTTTCCTTTGGAAAACGAGTCTCCTTCTTTTGGAAAAGGTTCATTTTCACAGATCCATTTTGATTTCTCCAAGTTCCTTGTCCATGTGCGACGCAAACGTTGACACGCCGGTCAGCCACTGCCACACCGTGTCGGCGTCTCGCTTGCCCTGGTACTCCTGCACACTGCGCGATCCGGCGGGGATAAAGTACAGGGTCGGAAATCCCGTCCACTGCAAAATGTCGATCGGTGATTCGTTGGCGGTACCGTCCATCTGGGCGACAAAGAGCATGGTATCCATCTTGCTCAAGTACACTTTCCTGGCCACCTTGCGAAACTCGGGGCTGAAGCGCTTGCAGTGCCCGCACCAGGGCGCGAAAACGTTCAAAAAAACATCCCGGTTCGCCTGAAACGCAGACTGCTCCAGCGTTTTGGCCACGACGATTTTTGGCTCCCCTGGTTCGGTCTCGTAGTCCGGAATTGGCTCAGATTTGAAGCTTCGGGCTACTTTACCTGAAATAAAGACGATACAAAGCATGATCACACACAGTGGTACGTCAAGCTCAAGAGATCATTCCTCAATGTCCAACAAGAATCTGTCTCGTCTGTCATACCATCTCGGACGTTTTTGAACCACTCCACGAGCTTGTCTGCTGGTGACTCGGCAGCTGGTCCTTTCGCCTTCAATTCCTCAACACTGTGCGGATAGAGGTAGTACTCGCTACTTCCAGGTTGCATCTGCGCGACGACGTGCGGAAACTCTGAGATACCAAACATCGCCTGGATAGAGCCGCGGAAAGACACCTGTGAGTTTTTGCGAGGGCAGTGCCCTTCACCTTGTAGTCGATATCGTGTTCGAGTTCGGAATATATAACAGTACTCGATCCTAGACAGAGGTTTGACAAAAACGGAAACCAAACCCGACTTGCTAGTCACTGCATATATTTCTTCAGCTGTAGAATACACCAACAGAAAAGGTAGTAGAGGGCCAAAATCCTATAAACGTTACTGCTCCGCGCTAGTCTAGTGCTATTCCTTCTGTTTTTACTAGTAGACGAAGAAGACGAACATCAAGAAGCACAGCGAACTACTTCTACAGAAACAAATATTCATTTCTACCGTATTCGTCGCAGCGATTCGGAACGGAGAGTCCCCGGAGGTGAAAATCCCACCGGGACGTAGCGTGGCCATTTGCTTCGTCGCAGCGAGCAACATTACCTGCAAAAAAACGAAAAAAAAAGACTTCAACCAAGTTAGGATTTGGTAGCAGAAACTCGAAGAAGCCAGCTTCTCGTTTTGGTAAAAACTCAGTTGCACCAATCCTCCCTCAAGACTAATCTATCATACTTACCTCCCTAAAGTCATCCGCTCGATCTTCGAATTCCTTTTCATCGCCAACATCAGGCAAGACCCAGGCCAATGGCGCGCCCGAGTACTGTCCAAACGTCGCGCGGTCGATCTTTCCGTAGGCCGGAAACTGGTGCGATTCCATCATGAGCTCCACTTGTCTTTCTGTATCTGACAGCGACACTTTCTCTAAGTCGAGGAACACCGGTGGCTCCTCCCGGTGTCGCAGTTCAACGAACCCCCGGGACCCTACCTTGTTCAACGGGTTTCCACCGTGATCTGCTTGGGCTGTCAGTTTTTTCAGATACGTGATTCATTTTAGACATCCCGAAAATTTTTCTTCAGGTTGAACCTCATATCAATCTTAGTACCTGCGTAGCTCTTGGCATATTCGTCTACTTTCAAGTGATGCCATCGTGCGCGCTTGCGATTCTTGGAGGCCACCTTGGTGAAATTAGGCAGCCTGTCCCCGTCGTTCACGATATCAAATGTAAAAGTGTCTGGGTCTGGAAGAATGCAACTTGTCATGCTAAATCTGCAGCATGGAAAAATCTGTGTTGCATGATTACCAAAAGTCGCCCAATTTTGACCAAGTCGGGAGGTAGTTTCTCATGCAGAATAGGCATTAGAAAGTTCTCGCAGAATCTGTCATGCTAGCTCCGGCATTCCAGACCTCATTGGTCATGGAAAAGCAGCATGACAAGTCGCGCATTCTTCCAGACCCAGACATTTTTACACTTGATACACGAGAAGTAGGGACAACCGCTCGTGGTGGGCATCGGGTATACCATACTGGACTGCTTGCGCACCAGCGACGGACTCGAGAAACTCTATCACTGACGGGGCACTTGGCTCACCCAGATATTCCAGATAACCCTCGACGGCGTCGTTCTGCGTTTGATGTGAATTCTTCTTCTCCACCTACTTCTCGTAGCTTCAACGAGCTAGATTTCTGGATGAAAATGCTAACTCAGCAGTAGACTCTACCTAGCAGACAGAATCACCGATCGTGTGTGAAAAAAATCCTACCTCGCTGTATGTCCACCCCTCTTCGTCCGGTTTTCTGAAGTACAAAAACGTTGGAAAGCCCGACAGCTGGTAGAGACTTGCGAGATTCAAATTGTCCGAGTTCGTCATGTCTACCTCTACGAATGGCACTGTGATCTTTAGCTCGTCCCGCAGGTGCACGTTTTGCAGAGCGTCTTTGGCGGCCTGTTCAAAGATCGGCTTCCACTTCTGGCACTGCTGCGACCAGGGCACCTGGAACTTGATGAAAAATCCCTGCGGGTAGTCCGAAAACAAGGTCTCAAAGTCCTTCGCGATCGCACGGTACAGGTTCTCGGACAGTTTTTCCAGGGCGGCTAGTGCGAAGAGAGATGCGCTGAGCGTGCCGAACTGAAACACGGCAAGCAGCTGCAGAGATGCTTTGTAGAGCTTGTTCATCGTTTTCGCTCTGGACCGCCGAGGACCCTTTGTTTTTGTTTTTGCGTTGAACGGAAGGAAGGCCGGGGAACTGGGCGTTATCTTCAGCTTCTTCTCTTGCCTAGGGCTGCTCGAAGCGGCCGATGTACCGCTGCCTTGTTGCTGTCTTTGGTGGCTGCTGCAGTTTCCCTTTCCGGTGCCAGCTCCTGGCTCGCTGCGTTTCGAGCAAGAACCTCCCGCCCGAGTGAACCAAAGCGCTAAGCTGCGCTGCGCGTGCGAAAAGTTCCATAGATTGCTCGGTGAAAATTCGTGGGCGCGAGGTTTTACCACACTTTGATGTGGATGAGTAGTACAACTGAAACTGTAGTCAAAGGCGTTCGAATTTGAGGGCGAAATAACTCCTCGTGCTCGCGAGGAAGACGAGGATGAACTCGACGAAGAGGGCGTTCGTGCCCGGACTGGCAATGCACTTCCATGCGCATTGGAATGACTCAGGTCATGTTGCTCTACAACTTCTCCCACTTCTTCTGACCGCGGTTGTCGAGTCCCACTTCTTCCGACGCTTCGTACTTTTGCCCGGCGAATAGCGCTCGAAGCCAGTTTAGGTTTAGACCTACCACCTGAAGCTTCTGATTGTGATTGTCCTGACAATCCGTCAAGAACATCACCATAAGTCGTCGTGTGTGTCTTGTGCTGCGCGTTACGCGGAGCCATTTCGTGTGGTCCTTTAACGCGGAGCATGCTTTCTCCTGTAGGGCTTTCGACGTTTCGTTGTCGCCCTCGTCGAGGACTCGACCCCGCCGTCTCTTTTTGCCAATTCCAATTTTCCTTCCACTTCCAAGGGACGAGGAAATTGGAGCAAGAAGCTGAAGACCAGCTTGTACTTGTTGAGGACGATGCCATCTTTGTTCCACCACAAAAGCGAGCTTTATTTGTCGCGACACCAGGGCGGCTTCGTAAAATCTTCACAAGAATGTGAATAGTCTAGTTAGACATGAGGGGTATCTATTAAGGTTCTTCGCTCACGGGTGACAGGCAGGCAGTAGAAGTAGACTCTCAAGAAGTCGTGTGAGGACCAGCCGCATCGCGGTACGTACAACACGAAATAACGCTCGTTTAGATTACGGAGCTACGCACTCTAGACATATTACTGATTGGCAAGGCGTAAACTACATGCTTCTGGCTCTCGTGCAACTCGGTGGGCAAACGAACATCCAAGCAAAACAAGCCACGGTTTAACTTTAAGTTTAACCGCAAGCGCAAACGATACCAAAGAGCTTAGAAACGCTGCAGTGCGGCAGCTTGCAACAAGCCATTATCCACCATATAGATTTATAACAAGCGAAAACCGCTATCGCAAAAACAAAAAAAATTCAAATAGGAACGGGCCTGGGCTTGGCATTCATCGACGATAGCATCGGCACAAACTACTCCGGGTAAACCCCGGAATTGTCACAATCATGCTGAACTTCCTCTTGCACTTTTTCCTCATCGATCAGTTCCTGCAGGCCGCCATTTCTCAGTTCACTGATTTCGTCGGTTTGCGCATCGTCTAAGGGAATCTCACTATTTTCGTGGTGCGGCAGCGAATCCAATTTGCTTTGCAGCTCTGTGCGAGCCACCGCAGTCGGATCCTGGTCCTGTGGGTTACTCGATTGCGAGAGGTCGTGCGATACTCCTGGGGCGGACGCGGCGGCGTCTGCGTCCTCTTTGGCGGCAGCTACTTCTTCAGCCGACGGACCCGGCACAGGCACTACATAATCTCGCCACTGCGTAATGTCGAACGGGTCCACTGTGGCGGTGAAAGCCGTCTTTTGTTGAGCGCGTAGTTGTTGGGCTGGCGTGCGACCACCTCCAATACTCTGCGGTGACGAAACACTCCAACGCACGTCTAGAAAAGAGGAATAAGCTGCTGCTGTTGGTTTTGCTCGTGCTACAGTAGTAGATCCACTGCTACTACTGTTCATCTCCGTGGTGGTACGGGCGGCCATTGACACGGTATTATTTTTTCGCAGTCGTGGCGCTTCTGATAACTCTGCACCTCCTTCTGAAGAAGCGAACGCACGGGCAGGAACATCTTTTGCACGATCATGATCCAACCGCGGAAAAATCTGCAGCGCGGAAGATGAAGCTGTGTTACCTCCAGTCGAGGAGGCCGCACCCTCGCTCGCTGTCGCCGTGCCACTGCTGGTACTACCAGCTATTTCCCTTCCGTTTATCGCTGCTTCGTCCTTTTCTCCGTTCAAAAAATCGTCAAATTGTTCGTCTTCGCCGTTGAGTTTGTCGTCCATTTTATCGGGATCCAAGTTCTCCTCTCCCTTGGCATTATCCGCGTACAGTTCCGAGGCTGCCTCCTCGATGTCGCCTCGCTCGGTAGGTTTTTCCGCGTGCGAGGAGAGCTCGTCCAGCGTATTCTGCATCTCGTCTTCGTCTTTTGCACCTTTTTGGGCAACCAGCTCGGCCTCGTCCTCCAGTTTATCGTCCGCGTCCTCGCCACCGGCGCCCGCGGACAGGGCTGTCTTCTCCGCCTCCGCGTCGGCCGTGTGCGGTTCCTCCTCGTCCGCCGGATCAGGATCGGCCTCCGCGTCCGTGGTGTCTGTCGCGGAATCGGAGAAAGAGGTAGAGGACCACTTCCGGGAACAAACCTCCGCGCGGCGACATCCTTTTAGTGAAGGAGGTTTTTCGCTGCTGGGAGCACGGACTGCAAGATCTTCACTGAAGTAAATGGTCGGCCATGTTCTGTCTCCAAGGTACAATTTCAACTTCGCCGTTGAGCCAAAGAGCTGACCACACAGGGAAGCCACAACATCCTGACTCAACTTGAATACTTCCACCCCCAACATATTTGATAGATGATGAGGAGGAGCTAGTACCACGGTTTCGCAGCTTACTAACCTATGTGACCTCCAGACTTTGTTCTTAAGTCGGACGGAAGGCGAACCTCCCACAATTCGGATGCGAGCACACTACCAATCCTTGTAGACGAAAACGATTTTCACAACGATAACGAAAGGCAGAACAAAGCACGATAAAATCCAATCGACACGATCGACGATTCGGAAGAAACGCGATGGAACTACATCAAGCTACCCACATCCGAATCCGAATCAAACAAGGAAAGAAAAACTAAAACTGCCTCATCCAACGATCAATGAGGACGACGAGTAGGTCATAGGATAAATATGCAGATGTCGATGTCTACTGGTGCTTCTCCTGCCTGAATGTCGATGAAAATAAACTTCTCTAAGGATACCACAGTTTAGAGAATGAACACTAGTTCCCATCGCTCTTGGAGCTGAGCTGCTACCACTTGCTGTTGTTCTCTGAATTGCTGGCTGTGCTGCCTTCACATTTTCACCTGCAAAGTCAGCGTATTCGTCTCCTTAACGAAGTACAAATAGAAATAGAAATCAAATCTTACAAGATTGGTCGCCCGCGGGCTGAAGCCATCATCACGAGGACGAGAATGATACGCTGTTCCCATGAAGGGAAAAACGAAAGCTCGAGATCGAAAAGCAAACCTGCTGGAAATATCCTTTTTTGAAGTTAATGACACTCTAGAAGAAGGGTGAAACAAAGAAAAGTTCTACGAAAAGGATATCATTCACGTGTGGTTGTTCGGGGCTGAATTCGCAGATTGCAGATGCCAGAAAAGTGCAATGCAAAATCATCAAGAAATCAGAAAAACAAGTTCGAAAAACAATTGCTCAACAAGACATCGCTCTCGTTTGCAATGAATCGGAGCGAATAAATTCATTTTTCTAGATAAAAGACAACCGTGATAGGTGGTATTGCAGAAAATTGCAAATTAGCTCGATAATCTTGAATGGCGCAGCATCATGTCTGCAGGAGAAACAGAAAATTCCCACTGCGGTGTCACTGCGGAAGGGTTCATAGTTTGTTTCTAGGAAAATAAAACCGATAATCTGAAATGATTTCGCCGTCTTGGCGTGGTTTCGGTGAAAACGAAACATAAACTTGAGAAACTTTTTTTTTGTTCATCCGGGTGAATCAATTCGGTCGTTAAACAAAACTAATCAAAACAAGAAACGCAAAATAAGCTCTAAATAGTCAGCAAAATACAAAAATGTCTCAGGTGTTCATTTTCAACCTTGACGGGATTTTCAGGGCCTATTTTTCATCAAAATGAAAGAATTTCATTGAAACACAAGAACTTACAACTGGTCCTAAAAATCAGTGACTCACTTTAAACTTGTTCCGTTTCTGCCGGCCGCCAGGATGGTAGTTCGCAGTTTTCGTGTTTTCATTCTGGTCCAAAAACGAGGCGGAAGCGCTTGGCTTGGAAGACACAGAAGCGAGCAGCTGTCCAGCGCTAAATTTACCACCCGGCGCAACGTGCTGCAGCTTCTGCAAGTCCCGCTCGAAGCGGTCAAAGTCCGGCTTAAACCAGACCGCCTGGTGTTCGATGCCACCCGCGTTAGACCCGCGCTTGTACAGAAAGTACCCGTTGTCGCCCCACTGCTGGCCCCAGCTGTTCCGCACGGTCCAGTAGGGCGTTTGCTCCCCGTCGGCGGTGACGCCAAACCCGACCGCCACCATGGCGTGCGTGGTCAACTCCCACTCCAAAGTGCCACTCTTCGCGTCCTCCGTCGGCTTCCCGTTCTTGGCCAGGTAGTGCAGGTGGCTCTTGGGCTGGGCGGGGGGTGAGAACACGCCGCCACTGTAGGTGGACAGTTCATCTGGCACTTCGGCGGCAATCGCGACCGGGCCGTGCTGGTAGATCTCCTGCTTCATCAGCTCCTCGTTGCAACCGCCATAGTAGTTACCCACGTAGCCGTAGTCCTGTTTTGAGTTTAAGATCCACGACAACACCATTGGTTTTCTGTGTCCTTTCTTGTCTTCAAAAGCAACCCTTCAAAATCTTTGTAATGTTCTCTTTAATGTTCTTTCGATCAGGTTCAGAGCCGCAAGACGGAGTAGTAACGCAAGAAAATGGAAATGCGACCTCGCCCCCAAGCGAGTAGAGTAAACTGAAATGACTTTCTTCACCGCCATACAGATGTTTCGGAATCGGATTGTCGTTTTTTTTTCATCTTCTTCAAACAAAAACAGCCGAGACTAAAAGAGATGAGGAGCTTGCGCTTACCTTCACGAAATAGGTGAGTTGCTTGAGCAACTTGTGGAGTTCCGGATGCGTCGTCTCCACGTTCGGCGTGGTCAGGGAATTTCCGTGCATGTGGTACACCGGGAACAGGTCGTTTTCCAGGTCCTGGAAGCGCTGGTACGCGGCCTCAAACGCGCCCCCGACCGAGGACAACAGACTCTTGTGCCCTTCCCCCTCTTTCGCTTTTTGCTTCTTTTCGGACAACAGCTGGAGGAAGGAAGTCGAAGATTTAGCAGAGGACGCCGGAACTTCTGCGTAAGGCGTGCGCAATCTGTGGGTTTCATTTAGCGGGGCTGTCAGATGAAACAAACGCAGATCCGGTAGTGTAAACAACTGCGTACTATTTTTGCCCGTTTTTTTACTTCACGGTCATACGCTTTCAGGTGTTGTTCTTCACGAAGCGTATATTTCGACGAATCAAAATCAATCTCTATCTCATTATTGCGTTACTTCAACGGCAGCAAGTCGCTGGGTTTTGCCGGTTCCATGAAGACACTCCAATCCATGTGGTACGAAGAGCGTTTCTTCGGTCCCTGGAAAAGTTCCTCCTCCGTCGGTGGGCCGACAAAATCCTGGTCTCTCTTCAACTTTCGCTGTTGCATCAAGAAGGACTGGTGTTTGATGGTGAACGGACCATTCTTCGGCGTTGGATCTTGGAAAAAGGAAGTCTTGGTGGCCGGACAGGTATCGGATTCCTTGTCCCGCATGCATTTATCGTAGGTCGCGTAGCCGAGGTCACGCTGGTCGGAACTGTCATAGGGGAGGCACGAGGCTTCGCGGATGCCGTACGTTTTCGCGTGACGTCCAACCAAAAAAGGAAGCCCGCCATTGCACCCTTGGTTGGTTTCCGAACAGCTTACCTCAACAATTATGTTGTCAGTTAAAATAAATGCCTCGTTTATTTCAGCTGCAAGACGACGAGAACGACCGACAGATCAGCGACGTGGCCATGAAGCTTACCCTTACGGAACAACACGGGCCTAAGAGAGCTAGCGCTGTGCTTTTGAATTTGAATTCCAAAAAAAAAGTAAAAATCAAAATGTACGACGCTCTCGGGCGACAGCTGCAGTGGTACGTCGACGCCGTACCTCCGTCGCAGGCCAATTCGAAACCGCGCCTCGATCGCAGCGACCGACGCAATGGCGTAGCACGACCCACACGATCCTTGGTTCAGGACTTCGCTTTGCCCAAACACAGTTTCCGACGCGGTCGCATGCCAGTCGAAAGCCTGTTGCAATATGGGTAAGGTTATCGTATAAAGTAGTACTTGTACTAGTGCATTTAATCTCAATGCCGTGTCATGGTGAATTCCGGTACACCAAAGATTTTCGTAATCGCTTAAGCTTTTGCTGTTGTGCGTGACGCCTACACAAAGTTTGCTGGTTATGCTTTTGCGTGCATGCATGAGAAGTCTGCATTTGAATTGATTTAGGTCAAAATCAATCCAAATGCAGACGAAGAAGTTGTACTAGCAACTGTTATATTAAAGTCGCTTCGGCACCACACAACTAAGTGTAAAGTAGAAGGCCATAACTTATTTATACTTTTACCTTCGGCGCTCGAACATTTTTGTTTGTCGCAACAGCTGGACTGCTCAAAGCTGTTTCAACCTGCGCTGCGTTTTCCAACGGATTGCGGTTCCACTCCTCAGACGGAACCAGGGGTTGCTGATGCCCGAGCGCCCCTTGTGGCACCGGGAAAAAGCCAACCGGACCTCCCGAGATGATCATCGGGGAAACCACTAATTTGCGACTCACCGGCTTGCCGTCGACTTGGCGCGCCACCTTCGACCAGCGAACCACCTGCTGTTTCATGAACGAAGCATCAGCGGCGCCACGCGTCACTGCAGCGCTGGTCGTGCTGCCATCCACCCGTTCCGCGTACCAGCACTTGGCTTTCGGATGGTCCCCCCACCCGAACATCGTTTTGCCGCAATTCGATCGAAAGTCGGTCACCGTGCCGTCGTCGTTTTCTCCGTAATACGAGGAGGCAGATAAGTGCTTGTCCTTGTTCAAGGGCTGAAACTCAAAAAACGCGAACAAGGAGGAAGTGACCGGCTTTGAAGTCGATGGTGTACCATGAGTTGTGCTGGAAATATGCTGATCCAGTGGCAGCCGCAGCTCAAATCCCTCATCATACGCCATTGTCCATTTGTGTGCTGCTGCGTTTTCGTCCACGTGGTCTTCACGACGGCGGTCGGTGGCGCCCCCGTTCGAGAGTAGTTCCAGCTTCCCCTTCGGATGCAAAACGACGTCAGCTATATGTTGAAACTTGTCGTTCTCGAGCGACTTCTTGTTCTCCTCCTCCAACGTACTAGCCACCGTGTTGGGAAACTCGATACCTGCGCAACTGGACCTCTTCCCATAGATCTTCCACTGCCCGATGGCCTGATGCTCCTCACAGTGGATCGGTAAATCGGCCTTCGCGGTGCGGTGCTCGGTGACCAATAGATTGATGGTGCTCCATGCACCGAACAAGCTGCCGACGCCTGCTCCGGCCGGCATGCTGGTGGAAGTGGTCAGAGATGTCTTGGTTTCGTTTTATTTTTCGTGGCGTCGCCAGAAACTTGCTAGCTTAAAGTATGTTTTCAAAAACACTTCTCGTTCTGCTGGTTTAAAAGACACTAGGATTTTTTTTGAAAAGAGTAGAATAACGTGCACGCTTTTCCTTCTTAGGACGAGCTATATCTGCTCAACAAAATTTAAATTTTGGAATCGATTTGTCGAATTCGATTTGAGGTTGAAGGGCGAGGACTAGAAGTAGCAGGCGAAAAGTGTTTCTTGCGCTTGTTGGCCTTGCCTTTCTCGCAAATGCAACTACAGTCGGTTTGTCCACCGAAAGCGCCTGTGTCGCTTACAACTGCAAAATTCACGAATGCTACTTAGTCGAAGGATAAAGGATTTTAACTCTCCCTTTTCCTTTTTTGGGTTCACTCTCTGATGTCTCTCTCGAACCAATGAATCAAAAATTCTCCGCAAAACTTCCTTTCAAACTTTGTCTGACGATTATAGTTTGGCAACTAACTCGTCCTCGCTCGCTGGTTTGCTCGTTTCCCTATCATGACGAAAAAAACAAGGCGACCACAAGTTTCTTCCCCTTGTCTTTGATAGTTGTGAGCGAAAATGTAAGTGACGAAAAAACAAAATCTCCAACGTGCAGACGTGTCGAGCAAAAAAACGAAACAGATCAGAATAATTCCTCGTAGCAAATGCGAGTGCTGGCCTCTCTGCTTTCACAAGAAACGTTCTTTCGTCCCCCAACTAGGCGGGCTAGCACCTACGAAAATCAACGGAGGCGTTAATTTCAATTTCCGAAAGTAGAAAATAAACAAAGAAACCGATGATGATGAACAAAGACAGAAATAACTCTTTTGTTGGGCCAGGAAAAAAGTGCCGATGAGACGACCAATCATTTAATATGTTCTTTCTGTTTGCACTGTGTATGGAATGCGGCTCAACATCCAGGTCGCATATCATTGATATAGTGACTCATCTCAGAAATCAATGCTGGCACCGTCGGCTTTGTGTCCGCTAAACAAAACACCAGTTTGTTCTGGACAAAGCAACAAGGGATCTATTTTTTTCACTTTTGTTTTACAACTACTGCAACTGCGTGAAAAAAACACGGAGCGAGTACCAGAAGATGGCCTGCTTGCTTCGTAGGCTACAAAATTGAGAAAGCACTGGTATTTCGTGACCCCTCCTGAGAGAGACGAACGACAGGCATAACGACTCAGCGCTGACCGCCTGTCTTCGCAAACCGTCAGGAAGAGGTCAGGGAAACGCCAGGGGCTACAAACATACTGCTGTCAACCACAAGGCCAGTTGGCTCTTGACGGCAGTTTTCGTAAGTTGCAAAAACAAACTTGTTGTTCCTGAACATGTTTGAAGCAAACATCATCGGATCAACGCAAAGTTCAAACGAAAGCGATCAGCAATGAAAATGTACGTAGTTGTAAATGAATATGAAAATGCATCATTGTGTTATTTATGAAATTCTACTGAAAATTGATGACCACAACCACTACACCATGATGCAGAGGTACAACTCGTAGAGACGGTGGTAATAATTTATGAAAAACGTAAAACTTGGAATGCGAATGGTAAGAAAAGTAAATCCACATGTGTAGTACTGTATCGTCACGAAGAAATAGATTACTCAAGAAGTATGCTCTTGCGGACATTCGACTTCGAATTAGCTCCCGCATAAAATCTGCATGAAATAGCAAAAATGTAAAAAAAAAACCTCAAATGGGAAAACCTCAACCTGCCGCGTCTTTTTACTTACTCAATTTTATGCTGGTACCTCCTACTTCCGTTTACTCGGCGGCCTGGACGGCGAAGAAGTTCCCGCAGCTGCCGGCTGTTTGTTTTTGTAGTACTTCATGGAGATGGTTCGCTGGTCGGCTTGCCTCTGTTTCATGGCCGCATCCCTCCGCTTCTGCTGCTCCGTGGCCAAGCCCCGGGTTTGGATCTTGTCCGCCTTTCGTTCCTTCAGATTGTAGTGCACACACTCGATGTGCGTGAAGTACGCGAGAAAGGCGGGCGCTTCCATCCAGAAAATTCCGTCGAGCTGCTTGTTGCGGATGCCCTTTCCGTTGTCCTTCACCAGTTTCCAGGAGGCCTCGTGCTCGTCCCCGAAGGGCCCCTCCCACTCGTGGAAGTCGCCCCACGGGTTCCGGAGTTTCACCAGCGTGCGCATCTTGCCGTCGAGGCAGTTCACGTCCAGCACTTGCAGGACGGAGTACGCGTGGCCGTCGATCAGCCCGTCCTCGCGCTTGTGCTCCATCCCCGTGCCGTGCACGCCCACGGCGCAGATCGGGTAGTGGTTCCGCTCCGCGAGACGCAGGTACTCGATCATCTTGTCCCCCCCGTTGATGGTGTCCGTGTTGCTGTAGTCCGCGTACTCAAACCCCAGACGGTGTCCGCTCGGGTGGAACGACTCGATCGGGCGCCGCCGGAACTTGATGCTCCGGACGCTTTCCGCGGTCGCCTTGTCCACGTTCTTCGGGCCGCCGGCCGGCGGGGGGTTGGCGGGGTCCTTTTCGCGGATCCACCGGCTGTATTCGGTGCAGCCCGTGAGCGCGATCCACGCCAGCCCCGCGTAGCCGGCTTTCAGGTTGAGGTACCCGCCGGCGAACTTCGCGAACGCCTTTTCCAGGAGCAGAAACCAGGTTTCGTTCCCGTTGGGCTGGCTGAACCGCGGGATGGGCGTTTCCGCGAAGGGGGACTTCGGGTAGCAGGGAATGTAGTCGTCGATGGTCATCACGCGCCACGACGGGGGGTTGCGGGAGTAGTCGAACAGGTTGATGCTGTACTTGCCCTGCATGTTGCACTCCTTCTCCTGAAACGTGTGGATCGGGATGAAATCCGGGTACTCGGCGATCACCGCAAGGGCCGCCAGTAACCAGCAGTCGCCCAGCCCGCCTTGGATGCAGTCCGACGGCTCGATTTTGTCGAACAGCTTCACCGGGAAGTCAGTGTCGTGGATGTCCCGGGCCCTGAACCACTCCACCTCGCCCTGCACGACGTTCGGCCCCTTCTCGGCCAGCGCGCGGCGGGACGGCGGAAACTCGCGGTCCACGAAGGGCTGGATCCCCTGCTTCAGCAGCTGTTGGTCGATCAAACTGCCATCCAAGCTCGGGAACTGGATCATCGGCTCGAAGTGCTGCTGCCAGTTGGCCAGCGGGGGGAACATCACCTCCACGCCCGCGTCCGTGCAGGCCTTCACCGCGTGCGGTTGGTGCATGATCGGCGTGCCGATCACTTTCCACTGCCCCTTCTTCGGGTTGAAAAACATGAACAGCCCGGTTTCGCAGCAGTAGTATTTCGGAAACATCAAGTAGTCCTCCTGTTCCGCGAGCTGCAGCGCCTCGCGGCTCTTCGTCTGCGCGGCCTGCTTTCGGTTTTGCTCCTGCTGCTTCTCGCGGGCGAAGATCTGCTTCGCCTCCGCGGGCAAAATGTCCGCGTACTCCGGTATCAGGGGGAGGTAGAGCCCGACGACGGAGGTGGGCTGCCCTAGCTTTTTAAACATCAACAGCGCGCTGTGCTTCGACAGATAATACTCTTTCTTCAGAATGTCGTACCTGTTGGAGAGGATTTTTTCACTCAAGAGTCGAATTTTCCCGAGAAAGAAAAGAACATCTTCAAGCGAAAACGTCAGAAAGATGGAAGAGTTAGTACTATGACAGCGCGCGGCGGTTCTACAGACGAAAATCGGGAACAATAGACTGACGACGTCGACCACGACGAAACAAGACATCGGATCATCATTTATGTCTATAGAAGAAAGAATGGCTGCGCAAAAAATGCAATCAAAGAGAAAGCGTTGTCCTTGAGAATACGCATGATGATCATGATGACCAAAACTTACTGCAGGAGAAGTTGCTGCTCCGCCTTCTTTTCGCCCTTCGCGGAGGCTTGTTTGATCTGGTCCAGTTCCTTCTGCGTGGCACAGACGACGCACTTCACTTTGGAATCCGGCACGAAGGCCTCCCGCACCAGCCCGGAATGGTGTTCGCGCACGGTGGAACGGCGTTCGTAGGCCCCGGTCCGCATCGTGTTCATGAACACCTTCAGATCGCTTCTTCGCTGGTAATTGCTGTCCCCGATGACCGCTGATTCCCGGATCGCGCCGCGCACGTGCGTGCTGTCGCTGAATTTGTCGTAACTGAAAAACCGCAGCGTGGATACGGGCCCGATCGTGACGCGGCCGGCCGGAACTACCACTTGCTTGCTTGTAGCCCCGGCCGTGGTGCCAGCATGGAGCTTGACGTTGAGCAGGTCACCCTCGATGAACATGATAAAGCACAGTGACCCCACGGACCGCCCCACAACCCAGTCGGGCAGGGCGCCCTTGTCGGCGGTCAGCGAGTTGGAATTGTAGATGTACAGACGGGACATCCGGCTGTACCAGAACGGCATTCCGTTGTACAGCTTTCCGCACAACGTGTAGCGGCCGGTCACGCGCTTTTGATACCGGGACTCGAGTGCGTCCAGAAACAGCATCTGGGGCAGGTTGTCGGCGTTAAACATCGGGTTTTGCGACACCTTCAGTGCCTTTTTGATCCAGGGTTTCAAGTTCGAGTTCCCCTCTGACCGGATCTTGTCGTGCTCCACTCCGGGCACCACGTTGCGGAACATCTCGGGACTCAGCCCCGGGATCGGGATCCGCGGGTCATACGTAGGTTTCCGGTGCCGCACAATATATTCGCCCTGGTGGTGGGGCACCATGGACACAAAGTTTTCGCTGTTCTGGTTTGCCGCCCCCTGCTGCTGCGGGTTGTAGTCCACGGCCGGCGCGACCGAGATAATCTTGGCGTCCGCCGGGTACTCGTACTTTTTCTGCAGCTTCCCGCGGTCCGCCGGCGTCGCGGCCATCGCGGCGGACTCGTGTATCTGCCGGAAGGAGCGGATGCTTGTCATCACAGTTGGGTCCGTGATCTGGTTTCCCAAGCCGTCCTGGAACTCCTCCTCATCGTCCTCTTCGTCGGGAACCTCCTCGTAGCCATACATAGATTCCCGGATCTCGTCGTACTTCTTCGCTCTCTCGGCCGCAGAATCTCGATCGCGGGAATAATTGTTGCTAGTAGGCAATAGAGGTTGTAGAGCCACAGCCACACTCCCGGTGGACGCCGAGGTCGTCGTGGCACCTCCTGCTGTTCTCTGCCCCCGGTCGAGGATCGTCATGTTCATATTGGCGTTCATAATCAGGCTGTTGTTCATCCCATAGTCGGAACCGCGGTCATGCATTTGGGAAAAGGACCAAAAATTGTTGCCCCCTGTTGTTCCTGACGATGTTGAGCCAGGAGCCGCTGCGTCCATCACCGCGGCGCCGCGGGAGTAATTTTTCCCCGCCGCTAGACTGCCGTAGAGATATTCCTGCTGTGCGGCGGAGCCGCGAGAAGCGACATTATTAATCGGCTCCTGGACGCCTCCGCCCTTTTTTTGTTTTTTCCTCCCCTGTTCCAGGTCCTCGTCAACGCTATCTGCGGAGCCGCGGCTGTTTACGCTGCTGCGGCGCTCTTTCGGCATCTTGGCCGGTGACATCACTTTTTGGAAGGGGAGCATTTGCATCACAGGAACAGCGCTTTCCACGCCTTGTGACCCCGGACGAAAGGAGGTGCTGTAATCAGCGAACATGGATGTGTGTGGCTCGAGGAACCCGTAGCTTGCTCGCGCCGTCTGGGTCTGGTGGCCGAGGGTCGGGGCACCAACCAGCGGTTCTCTTTCCAGCGTCTTGCGACTCGAGGCGCGCTCATTCGAAGCACTTGCCCGCGCGGCCTCCTTGTTCTCGGCCCGCCCACCCGCACACAATTCTCGACAATTTGAATTTCCCATGATATCAATTATGGAACCGAAAAACACACCAGAATAAATGTGAGCAGAATATCAAATACTGAAAGAAACTGACACTTCTGAAATTCTGAGCTTGGCCTCGGCGGTGAAGAAGCCCGGACCGGTTACAAAGCGCAAGAAGTGTATAACTACCTGACCGCGTCTAGCACGACGGGTGCTGAAGGGGTAGAGGCTTTTTGCATCAACAGCTGCATGATCATTGTCATAAGCGCAAAGTCTTCATGTTGGAAAAATTAACTTCGAAATTATAATAAAATGATATTGCAATTGCTGGGGAACGGGGCAATGGCAAATACTTCTGATGATGTCCCTGTAAAAAAATAAGCAGCAGGTTGCAGGTTTTTCTTTTAAGTGCACAATCAAAATCATCTGGCGCAAAAGTAGTTCTCCGAAGCTTCATGTACTACTTTGTTTGTTCAAACCGATAGCAAGTCAGGAGTATCACGTTGAAACTTGAAACCGAAGACCAATGATTTGCTAAGCTATCTGTCTGGAATGCGGAGAGCGACGTTCATCTTTGGTACAATTACACTGGAGGACAAACTCAAACAACCGAATAATGCTTCGATCATCTTCATCATGTGCTACTTCATCTGTCTAGTCTAGACTCGGACTCCAACTACACCGAGTAATCAAGGAACCAACTACACCGACTCGGCTCGAAGAGGACTACCAACTACAAACACCGAATAATCAAGGAATAGACCAAGACACAACCATGAGCGCGAACCAACCATCATGAGCACCTTAGGGGCCCCGGAAACCAAAGAATGATAATGATTAGAACTACGACCATCATGATCCACATCTTTACGTTTTTGTTTTCTTCATTGGCACATACACGCAGCAGACCGGCCCTTCCCGCGAGGTGGGGCAGGACCACCTAAAAATAAATGATCATCCTCAACATCAACTCATAAATATCCATGGATCTTCGTCTACCAGTCTATTCGCAAATTATTTATATATATCTTTGTTTTACAGTTGTGCGACGTCGTGGTCGTCAACCTCATCAAAGTCATTACTTAGTGTGCCTGCTTGGTAATCATGATAAATCCTTTTAAATTCAAACAAAGTGACTGAACAACAATAAACATAAAGTCATATCATCATCATCATCATCATTCTTGTGCTTGTCCTGGATGAATAGTGACTGATCTATTCACATTCTTTCTTCTTTGTTGGACGTGCACACTGTCATATCTTAAGATATCAAAGAAACTGTTACAATTACAAACTGAGATACTGGAGACCAACATGAATGTGAATGTTTTGAAAACTGGAATGGAAAAAAGAAAAAACAAAGTTGCTCAATATGATCCTTGATAGAGAAGGTAGTACTTAAGTAGTTGAGCTGGAAACTTCGATAATAATAATAGTTGAGCTGGAAAGCCAAATGGGAGTTTGGCTTTTTTCCTGATTATGTTTTCATTGCATCTGATCCACCCTTTCTTTCCCCTCGGAGGTGGTATTCAGCAAATCAGGAGCCACCTCTTCCCGAGCACCATCTTGTTCCTTCGCAGCATGTAGTTGTACATCTTGTTCCTTCGCAGCATGTTGTACATCTTGTTCCTTCGCAGCATGGTCGTCAAAGAATTTTTTCGTTTCGTTCAGTGCTGCCTCTTTGTAAGCTTGCTGCAGCTTCGCCTGCTCCTTGAGGTTGAAGTGACTTTTCACGCAACCCTTCAGGGTCGCGTCGAAAGCAACTCGAAACTGGCGGCGGTACTGCCTCAACGCCGCAACGGGACCGGTTTGCCAGAATTGCTCCTTCACCCGCTCGAGAAACTTCTTCTCGCGCTTCACCGTAACAAGCTTTTTCTTCGTTTTCTTCTTGGCGTTCGTAACTCCACCAGCACTCGTCGTGGCTGCTTTCGGGGTTTTCGAACCCGAGTCCTCCTGCTCGTGTTCTTCATGATGTTCCACCAATTCAAAATGCTCTTCCACATCCAGAAACGAGGGAAGAATAGGATCCAAGTCTGGCTCTTCCACCAGAGCCAATGCACGGTTCAGGTCCACCGCATTTACATTTACCTCCAGTATTAAATCCTGGTCCTCGTCTGCTTGAGATGTAGTTGCAGTTGCACCGATTTTTTCCAACCAACTAGATGCACCGAGCGCTGTGGAATTTGTTCCCAGTGTAGAAGAAGTACCAGCTTGGTACCACACGTGTTGGCTCGCTCGCTCCAGAAACTGTGCATGCACAAACGCCAGAAAGCTGGTGACACTTGTTTCAACATCATGGACCTCGTCCACCTGAGCAGCTGCCTTGCCCTTGTTCTCCGCCACCTTCTCGTCAGCGGTTGTACGTGCCGGCGTTGGGTTCTGGTTTTGAACACGGGCAGCTCCCGACAAAGAAGCGGGAGACGAGGGAGGCGGTGCACCAGGACGTGAAGCTTTCTTTTTTGCTCCTTCCACATCTTCCTCGTCTGATGCTGCTGCAGGAATACTAGCTTCCTGTTGTAGAAGTTCTTCATCTGGAGGAACTGCACTTTGGATGTTCATCGCGTTGGGAGATTTAATATTCTTCAACAAGAAACTTTTTGCCGTGGCGTCTTCAACCCGTGCGGTGGTCTTCACCAAATTGTGAAGCATTTTTTTGTCCAAATCGGCACGGTCACTCAGAATCTGTGCGCTGGTTCGCTTTTCCTCGGTCGCTGCGCCGAGCTGACCCGTACGCTGATTTTGGCGCTCCTTGAAAATCGTTTGGTGGCCCATGCCCATGATCAACTGCTTCGGTTGCTGGTCCGCGATGACTCGGACCTTCCCCTCCGCCCATCCCTTCGCTGTTTTCAGCTGCCCCCCCACCAGGCTGTTGGCATTGGAATGATCGGTCAAGTAGCTTTTGGTTAGCTTGGAGGCAACCAAACTGTCGTCCAATGCGTCGTCGCTCTTCAGGTCGACGCCGACCATTGTGGAGACCTGGGAGAGGCCCTCGTGCTTGACCATGTCGAGAACCACCTTCGGGTCGCTGTAGCCCGTCCATTTTGCAAACGGGAGCCGGTAGCGAGAGGCGGTCTCGTACACCGTGCCGTGGGCGTACGAAGTCATCCCGCGGGCAACATTTACCCCCGAAGCCACGAGGGTTTCCACCCACGGGGAGTGCTCATGAATGAACGGCATCAAAGTGTTATGAAACAGCTTATCCAGAGCACCCAGCTTCCAGGTGATCAGGAACGGAATCGCGATCTCCAGCGGGAGCTTCAGCCAACTGATCATCAAATTGCGCCCCTCCTGCTTGTATCACTTGCAAACATGTCTGGGTCCTCTGAAAGGATGCAAACCAGTGATGGGGGCGTTGCAGTTGCTGGAAAACAATAACAAAGCAAAACGCCAAAAAAATTAACCTGCGTTGCATAGTCAGCAAAGAAGTCTGATGGTTTTTGTCGCCTCTAGGAGAGGGCTACACTTCTCTATGCAGTAGACTAGGCGACCGGAAGGAGAAGGTTCCGCATCAGCTGTCCGGCTCTACCTATGACTATCAACATGAGCTGCATTGTTCCATTTCCAGACCTTCTCCGATTGCAATGCAAGAACTGGTGCATAACAAGTGTCTCTTTTCTTGCCTTCAGGATCAGAACCAGTGATATTTGCAATGCATAGCTTGCACAGCTCGGCCACCACTTCGACCCGGGGTACAAATTTCTGCGGAGCCGCGATCATCTCCTTGTCGACGTTTTCCTCCTTGCCCTCGGTATGCATGGGAAAAGTAGTATCGTAATCGCGCGTCACTGACACAATATTATTTTTTTAATAAACAAACTACAACTGCATGAGGAGGAATCTTTGCTGTGGCCGTTTTGGCTCAAGGAATATCCGAACCCGCCGCACAATACTAATGGGGTCAGTTTTTTGTTGGGCTGGTGCTCAGGGTGAAAACAAGAAGTAGGAGTTTATTCGTGGATATCCGAAAAAAAACAATTTGGAAAACCGAACGACGAGGATGGAGGACAGATACCGATGTAAGCGTTGAGTGAAATAGAATTAGAAACATCAAGAATCAAAATGAAAATGCAATTTGACTACTTTCAATTTGTCAGATCCGGGAGACGCCTAGATTTCTCATGCAACATGGTTTCGAAATTAGTACTACGACGACGATATTACTTTTGCAGAGGATACTCGGTGCCGAGGAGGATATCCTGTGCCTTCTCTCCCAATGGTTTAAGCACCGGGGCTATGCAAGAAAAAATCCGTGCAGCTGTAACTTTGTGGTCGACGATTGTAGTCATGCTTCTGCTTGATAATGTCTATGCATTTGCATCGTAAACGACTTGTTGTTCCCTAGGTGCTTTATTCATTCCGCCCTAGATACGCATGAGCATGACCACAGGTTCTTTTCATCTGTGTCATGCCAAGCATAATTGTATGTCATGCTATTTCCAAGAAAGAGGTAGACGTAGAGTTACACAAAAACAGCTTTTTCCTTGGATAAGGTTAATCTTGCGCATAATGCGCGACACGCCAGATCGCGCCCGCTTTGCCACGGGCTTTGCCACTTTGTCGACCACCGCGGTTTTTGCTTTCTTCAGCCGCGCTCGCATGCGGCCAAGGAAGCCGAGCTCTGGTTCATTAGCATTACCTTCCCCCTCGTCGCCCAACATTTTCGTGCGTTGCAGTAGACTTAATCGTCGGGTGGATGAGAGAAAAGAAGAGGTCGTGGCGGAACTCGTGGGCATCTTCTTCGCGGTGGCGGGCTCCAAGCTGGTGACGGCTGTGTCGACGTCCGGGCTCATCTGTGCCGTGGCGCTGCTCCTGCCGTCCGCAGTAGAATTTTGCGCAGAATCAGAAACCATAATCTCCTCCGCTTTGGCATAGTAGTCCTCCACGACGTCGACAATGCTGGAAGCGGAACTGGTACTGGATGTTGCGCGAGCAGGACCAACATCTTCCAATGCGATAGCGCCCTTGTTTGATGTTGACGCCAAGGGACCACGAGCAACAACTTGACTGCTCTGCGGTTCTTCGTGTTCGGACCGCACCTCCGACACCTCTACTTGCTCAGATTTTAGTTTTGCGTCTTCAGGAGCATTTTTCGACCGCCTGCGCAGACCGAGCAATCCTTTGTTTTTCGTTTTCTTTGCTCCGGCACCGGCCCGTCTGACCTGTTGCCTGCCTTCGATCGCCGCCTTCTGCGAGTCGGGCACCAACGCTTTGTACAGACTGTGAGGGGGCGGTCGCTGCGGCACGTTCTGCAGGCTGGAAAATTCCAAGTACGTGCGAAAAAAGTTTTCCTTGTGCTGCCCATCGATGAGACTCGTTCCTCCCTCCACATTCATCAGCCGCAACAGGATTTCTAGGTTCGTATCCATTGTGTAGCACCAAAGCACCTTTTCAATGCCTCTGCCCTGACCCGGGTAAAATTCGCTCCACAGGTGGCCCGCCACAACACGGCAGCCTTTCAGCTGGATACCGCTGAAGCTGAGCATCGTGCGCGGAAGCTGGTAGTAGAGGTGCTCCTTCTGCTTCTCAACGATGCGAGAGTCCTTCTCCGCCTCCCCCGGTCGCAAGTGCCCCAACTCATTGCACAGTTTGTGCTCGCGCCGCATCTGCGCCGTTTCCCGGATGCGTTTGTCTGCCTTGGCTTCGCTTACTTGGCTGCGTTTGGTCACCACCTCCTGCGTGATCTGCTGGAATTCCTGACAGGGCAGGGGCAGCGCGACCAGGACGTCCTGCGTCCAGTCTTCGCCGACCAGCTTCTTGTAACAAGGGTTGTTCGGGTCGAGCAGCTTTTCCTTCCCGCTCACCATTCTTGCGCGGATCTCCTCCCGCGCAGTCCCGTTTTTCTGCAGTGCCGCCACCGCGGCGGCCATCTCGAGGACCGCGCACTTTTCGTCCTCGTACTCTTTGCTCGCGGTGGTCCAGCGCCAGGTCACCCACGTGTGGAGGGGCGCCTGGTTGTGCGGAATGAAGTAGGGATTGGAGGCCTCAATCACCTGCTCCCCGTCGCCGATCACGAACACCCCGCCATTGTGCGACTGACTCTCCCCGCGCGCACGCATCTCCTGCGCTGCTTGCACATTAGAAGCCGCTACTTCCCCTTCCTCGTCCTGCTGTTCCTTGTTGGTGAGGGCCGCTTGTTCCACCCGATGCTCCTGGTCCGCGCTTATTTTGTTCTTTGCAACATTGCTCCTTTCGGGATCATTGCTCGTCTTATTTTTGGCAGCAAGTCCACCTCCACTACTTGCGCCAACAACAACTTCCAGTGCCTGTTCCACGTGCTCAGCCGTTGCCTGCAGCGGCGCCACGACGCCCTTCGCTTCCTGATACTCCGCGGCATCCATGGATCCGAGCACAGCAGTCACTATCCAGGAAAAAACACCCATCCCCATCCATGTTTTGCATGACAAATAGTGGATTTTATGCATGTTTTGCATGACAAATTGGATGGGGATGGGTGTTTTTTCCTGGATAGTCACCGGTGCACTGTCGTCATCTCCCAACGTCGGGTGATCGTGCTTCTCCTCCTCTCGCTTCGCCTGCACAAGAACTTTGTTGAACTCGGCTTCGTCCTCCTTCTCCATCTCCTCCTGTAGTTGCTGCACCAACACTGCATCGACATCATGAAAACAATGCTGAATAAACAACCAAATCAAAGCTAATAGAAGACGGCCACGAGCATTTTTTGTACTATGACTTCCTACGCGGCCTTCCAACAAGAGCAAATTCTTGGTACTGCTGTTCATCATTGTCAACATGGTGTCTAGCCTCAATTAAAATTATAGGGGAATACACAGGCACCTGTTCATCTGTAGGACTCGGAGATAAGATGATCAACTTGAAATCATAAACTGGCGCCAATTTATAATTTTATCGTGAACATTTAGTTTTACCTGAAACTTCCACGAACGAAAGCACTTCTATTATAATCAAAGAAACCAGCGGAAAGCGTAAAGCTTTACGAACCGATGCCGAACCCGAAGCCAACAGTAAGAGAGAGATCTTCAGAAGTAGAACCACTACTAGCATCATCAGTTTGTCCAAGACCGACTAAATATCGAGCATTTGCTGACTCGATAAATAGCTGTAGTACCGACAGGTGTTTAGTGCTCCTACTCGCACAGCTCGCAGACGAGTAAACCGAAACAAAGTAGCGCCTTCCTTTGCACTTCCGTGCGAGTGTGTTGCATTACCAGAGCAATATTAACACCGAATTTCTTGACCGTAAAATTCCCTGACCGACAGAGTACAAATCAGCTAAAAATCATTAGACAATCTATCGTGTCGTCTCAATTTCTATGACGAGGCGGCTGACTGTGGGTGTGGATGAATACGATAATAAATTGCAATTCATTTTTATTGCAGCACAATTGACCGCCCAACTTCCTTAGAAGAGAGACAAAAAGAAAAACTTCCTGTTCCTTAGAGTTAGAAGAGAGACATAAACACCAGGCGCCTGCAAGCTTCTTTGATAGAGTTTTGGTCTTGGGTTCTCTCAGTTCGTGTTGATTTCTCCGTTATCTCTGTAGCCGCAAAGAAGCAGAAGTGGAAGTAAGAAATTGAACAGCAAGGCATCAATTTCTATTGTCACTTCAGTTTTTCTTTTTCAGTTCTAGCGCAAGTTTTGGTCACTGCTTCACCTTACGGATGTGCCACAAAAAGTCCCTGAAGGTTTTGGAAAGGTGGTGCTTCAGGAGACAAAAACCAAAAGACAACTCTGATAATGGTTCATGTCTGTCTCTGTACCTGTAGTGCAACTCAAAAGTACGTAATAAAATGTTTGTTACAACTCGTGCTTCTAGTGTGAGTGCCTCTGATCTTGATGATGTAGTAAGCAAGTAGATATGTAGATCTGGGTGCGCCTCATGATCGTAGTGTTCCGCCGAACTCAGAATACGACCCGTACATTATTGTGATTCGTCATTTTATTGCTGTAGTTTGTGATTTTGCATTTTAAATTTATATTTTCATATTCATACTGTAGAAGAGCAATACAACGGAGACTCCAACTTCCTCTCCTTGCGCGCGCAGGGACTACGTGCGCGAAGCTCAACGCTTCTTCACCTACAGTTTACTCTACCTGAAAAAACAACTTTTGCAAAAAGGCACAACCTTGCACTTGCTACCTCTGCTCGCGCGCTCAGCGACGTTCGTGTTCGTCTAAGAGGGTTTCGATTCTGTCTGCGTCAGAAGGCATCCACGCACCAAATTTTTTCCGTAGCGCGACTCGATACATCTGCCTCAGCTTGCGTTGCTGCTTCATATCCGAATGCGTTTTGTATCCAGCCGAAAAGTGCCCTTGTTAATATTTGGCGCGTGGCTTTATTTTCGTGTCTACGTGATCAAAGACCTGTAGTTGCTGTTCCCGCAAGAAACAGGGACAGTGCGGCTGAGTTTGAGGAAACGCAGCAACTACCCGCGTGTCGAGGACTGCACAGTAGCTACTTTCCTCGAAGCAACAGCCTGCTTTCTAGTTTGCTTCTCTTTGCCTATGGCGCCATTTGTTTCAGTCGCTTCGTCCGACTTCAACAAGCCTGCCACCTAAGCCATGTATAATGGCAAAGAAATGGAATTGCGAGTGCGCTTCTTAAGGTGAGCGGGAAAAATCCTCCCACATACTACTAAGGAATCCAAGAAGGTAAGAATATCTGCAGAGATGTGGAACATTTCTGCACACCAGATGACGTTTCACCACCCGTTTTAGCAGTGACCGGCCACCCGGCGGGAGTTTGCCTTTGGCGCCTCCTCTTGCCGCAAGCATTCAAGGTCAAGCACCATTACCGCCTCGTCCATGGCACTCAACCTAACCCCCGACCAACCACTTGGCAACCCCTTCTCCTCCGGTGGTCACCAAGTGTCGAACTGGATTTCCTAGTAACCGGCCGAAGCCAGACCGCTGAGCCCGGGGGACCAGCAGGAAAGCTGCAAAGTCATGAAATACCATGCGAGCGCAAGCTTCTTCGGTACTGTATGAGCTACCAAAGTCAGCCAGAAATACAAGAAGCTACTAATCATGAAATGCAAGAACCTCATAGAACGAGGTGGTGCATCGATTTCCCTGAGATGACACAAGAAAGAACAACATGACAGCAATAGACATGAGTGCACGGAGTCGGCATCATGGGCAAAAAAAAACATTCGCCGGGAACAGCCCGAAGATCATGCATAAGCATATGTATGGCACTCCAGCACGACCAGTAAGCTGCGGGCAATTTTCGAGAAGATACTTGCAGACACCCCTTCAACGTGGCGTCATAGATGATTCTCATCCGTTTACGCAGGTAGCTGATATATCCTTGCAAATTTTCGAGCCATGCCGGTTTTCCTTGGCGTATTTTTTTGCCAACGCTTGCCATGACATCCGACGCTTTGTTCTTCAGGGTAGCCATCTTCTGCCGAAGCGCTCCGATCCGGCTCCTCGGAGGTGTTGTTGTCGCGTCTTGCGCGACGACCTCCGTACCAGCTGCGTTGCGACGTGTCGGAGTTGCTTCTTCAGCCTTCGTCAACAGAAAAGACGCTGCTGAAGCAGCTGCCTCTTCGAGAAATAACGAGGCTGCAGCAGACTCGTCGTTGCCCTGTTCTTCGTCCACGAGCTGGTGCGAGGAAGTCGCCATGTCTCCACCTTGATGGGTGGTGTTGAACAAGGAGCCGGCAGTAGTTCTTTGTCTTGTTCGACGAACGCTTTCTGAAAGGCTTATTTCGTCGAAAGCAGATGACTCAGAAACGCCCCCCGAAGGTGATGAAGCGGACGACGAGGCTCCTCTACTCCGAGTGGTCGTGGTTCTTGCCGTACCATACCGCTCTATTCCGTTGCGGTAGTAACGATGCTCGAAGGCGAGTGCATGTAGCAAACCCTCGTGCTCCATCCCGGAAAAAACACCCATCCCCACCCAATTATTTCTTATGCAAAACATAAACATGCATACAATCCACTGTTTGTCATGCAAAAAATGGACAATAGACACCCGAAATAGCTCCTCGTAGAACCCTGTCAACTTCCACCAAGTGGATGGGGTTGGGGATGGGTCTTTTTTTGTGGATATGCTCCCGGGCCATTTCCAAAAAGCTAGCAAGCACCAGGTCGTCGTCTTCATCTTCTCCACCTCCTTGTTTTTCACTATAATTATTTTCTCCGCCGACGGGGACATGGTCACCAACGCTGGAACCGGTGCTGTTGTTCCCCGTCGCTGTTGAGGACGTTGATGATAGAGCAGATGAACTGTTGGTTCTTGCACCACTTCTCGTGGACGACGAAATTGCCGATGAAGTAGAAAGGTGGTCGGCGCTAGAGGAAGAAGAAGACGCCACCACGGACTCTTTTTTTGGCAGCGAACTGGCACCGGTACTTTCCTCGTTTCTCTCGCCATTATGCTGGTCTACTTGGTCGTCCTCGTCATGGCCAGCACCTCCATCACGACCAGTCAATACTTGATCTGGCATGATCTCCGAGAGGACGGGCGCAAAAATGTTTGCTTGTTCCTCCAGATACTCGCGATTCTTGTCGTGGTTGTCAACGATGCGCTGCAAGGCTGCTGAATTTAAAAATACCAGCGGACTTCTATGATGTCCAGGATCGTCCTCCTCTTGTTTGCGATTCCTCTTCTCGCTCGCCAGAAGAACCGAGCCGCCATGATTCGGAACGTCTTTTATTTCAGTTGTTTCCGGGGTAGCAACGAGGTCCATCTCTGGTGACGGGACCTGCTTCTCGAGGGCAGCGGGCCGTTTGAGACGGCGCTCGGTGCCGTCCACCTTCCCGGCAGCACCGCCAGGCAAATTCATGTTGTCGGATGCCAGGCTCTGTGGCATGCCCGGCTTATCTTGCGATTCATCTTGTGCCGCCTCTTGGGTCTTCCTTTTGTCTTGGTTCATGTTTGCGTCCGCCACTTCCGGCACGGAATTGTGTAGCGCAGCCCTGATAGCAGCGTACGCTCCTGAATGGACCCAGGTAACTAGCCTGGTCGACACATCGATGAAAAGTTGATTCACGGTAGCGGGCCCACTTGTGGTGATCATCCACTGGAAAATGGCTATCTAGAGGAAATATTGAACCATCAACATCATTTACATTTTCACAATCATCTGCATGCATCAAAACTTGACCTTCTCTTCTGATTTACTCGCCATACTGATAGTCTTCGTCTTCACCTTTAGAACCTCTACCTCATCCTCATGGCTGCCGCTCCTCCTTCGCCTTCGGAGAAATAAAATGCATAATTTTGCGTGCGCATGAAGATTCCATTATCATTGTGATAGCAAAGATCATGATGGGTTATTTTTTTTTTTGCTTAGTTGCCCATTGCGTAAAATATTGGCTCCATCCGTCTTGGTCTGTGAGCCAGTGGAAGGCGCCCGGAGAAAGCATCCTCAACACCCGAGCGGCGCCACTTCCGAACCAGTAAACCAATGTTGGGGCAAGTAGTACAACCGGTAGGCGGATCCACTGCGAGACCAACGTCCGTACCTCCGCTCGACACAGCTCCGCCACAATCTCCGCCCGCGGCACAAACTTCTCAGGATTCGCGCGGAGCTCCACGTCATCTATACCGCGCACGCACTTCCGCCTCAGCATCTACAATAAATCCGGGACTTAATCTTTGACTTCTCAGAATTTGTAGCGCTCTGGCGACGTCTTTTAGAACTAGTAGATAGATAATGTTGACTTTAGCTTTTACTTTTAGTGATGATGATGAGCGTGTGCGGGTTAACAAAATAAAAAAAGAGGGCCTCGGGTGGACTATTGTCCGCCTGGCCGGGTGGACAAGAGTTCCCCCTCTTTTCTTATTCTTTGCTATTGCTCCGAGAAAACAAAAAGTAAATATAAAATACACATCAACCACCTTTTGGGCTGTTCCATTTATTTTTGTCATCCTAGAGCATATCGACTTCCACATTAACATGCAAAGTTCCGGGTCGCGGACGCGGACACAATCTTCTAGCAATATATTTGGATCAAAGTTGTCTGTGCTGGGGAAGTTTCGACATATGATATCCACGTTCTCCTCTTTGCCAGAGGTACCTACGACGAAATCCTCGACTTTCTGTCCCAACCTCCGTATCGGCGCGGACGCCGGCGACGTCATGTGCTTGAGTTTCTATATGCGCTGCAAACATGGATCGTGATGCCTGGGTCTGGAGAAATGGAAATGCAGCAAACTTTGGCCTGCACTTCTCGAACCTGATCGAGTATAATCACACATCAGTGCCGCGTGTGCTGCGTCATAAAAATTCTACAAAGAGGACTGTCTTGATGCTGGCCAGGGGACTCATAGCTACAAGAACCTAGTACCGTGCAACATCAACAAGGCAGGCTGATCGCAATTTTCTGCTTTCTTTTCCAGACTCAGGAGACACACCTAGAAGTAGTGGCGTCGCGTCTGATAGTGGTTGCGGCCTTGGTAATGGGTTCTGCTTTGTAAGCGCGCCGAGCTAAGAATAACGCTTTCAAAAAGATGCGCTTCGACCCGCGCTTTGTGACCTTTTTCAGCTCACGTGCGCCCTGCTTCATCTTGTTCATCATGCGCTGAGCTCCCGCTGCGCCACGGAGCACCATGGCCCTCGCCTTCCCCGCCAGGGTCGTCCGCGGCTGCTCTCCTGGCCCTGGACCTTCTTGTTCCGTCTCGTGATGGTCGTTCCTTCCGCTTGTTGTTGTTCTACCCTCATGCTCGTCATCCCATATCCTCGGACCTCCCGAGGTGGAACCTGTTACAGAATTGGAAGTAGAAGCCGAAGGAGCCGGATCTGTCACAAGTATCCCAGCAGCAGATGGGTGATTCGGGCCGCGGGCCTGCAGCTCACGAAGATGAAGAGCTTCATGCTGATCTTCCGCCGGATCCTGCTTCTCTTTCGCCTTGAGCAAATCCACAGCTCGTGAGATTTCTGCCGCATCGATTTTTGGGTCATGCAAAACGGCCTCAACGATGCTCTCGCTTTCCAGTTTCTCGAAGATGAATTTGTCGGGGTCATCAAGAACCGCGTTAGATGGCACCAGGCTGGCAGAGGACGGCTCTGCGATATGATGAAGTCGATCTTCGTCTGATGCAGTTCGTCCAGTTGCAGTTGTTCTTGTTGTACTGCTTCTGCTTGTGGAAGTTTTCCCCTCACTCGACGTCGGCTTATCATGCGACTTCTTAATCTTGTTGTAGTTGTTCGAGAACATCTTCTCTGTTGTAGAAGTTCCTCCAGCATTTATTGAGTAGCCATCATCTGGTCCAGCGAGCCCGCTTCCGAAATTTGCTTGTGTTGCCATCACCCCGTCGTGCTCTGAATAAGAGTTCTTCAAAGGCGAAGACCCAACGGGCTCGGGAGAAGTAGAAGACCGATCAGCAGCTAGAAGATCGCGCTCTTGAAAGTCATCAGCATCTCGATCATCTTCCTCCTCACGCTCGATCTGGAAGCTTGTCGAGTTCTTCCCAGTACTAGTTGAAGAAGTACTCAAAAACGAGCCGCTTCCGCTACCGGTTACCACAGTCGAAGAATTTGCAGATAGAGAGCTGTCGAAGGAGCCCTTATTTTTGCGATTGCGGAGTTGCATATTCAATGGATTTTCTCCAAAAATGTTGCTCGCGAAGTCTTGACTTGTCTTCCGACGAAGATTGTGCTTGCCGGTTAGGTGCATCAGATGGAGGATCTTCTTGTAGAGGCTGTGGGCCACGGGGCGGGGCGGCACTTGAGTGAGGCTGTCGAAAGCGAGATACCTGCGATAAAACTTTTCGGTCTGATGGGGGTCGATCACTGGGATTCCGCCAGTTTCGGTCATCTGCCAGATCCGCACTAGAATCTCAACGTTCTCGTCCTTCGTGTAACACCAGTAGGTGCGCTCCACGCGAGTTTCCTCCGGGTAGTATTCTGAGACGATGTGCTTGGCCATGATGCGGCACCCTCGAAGCTCGATACCGCTGTAGGCGAGCTTCCCATATTGCACCCAAAAATCATTTGAGGTCGAGGGTACTACTTGCACATCTGGGCGGGAAGACGAATCTTCCAGGTCGTCCCCACCTTCGTCCTGCAGTTCGTCCAAAGCTGCGTCCTCGGAATTTTCGTGAACACCAACACCGACAGCATTTCTTTCGTTTCTTTCGATCTCGCTGGAGAAGTGAACGGATGCCATCCGTTCACTCTGCGCGATATTCTTGTTTAGCGAAACAGGTTTCTTATTCTTCGTCTTGAAGGAGTGCGGGCGTGCCTGCTTGTTCTTTGTTCGAGCTTTTTTCTTGTTACTGCCTTCTCTCTTGATAGTTTTTTTGTTGCTCCGATGAGCACGATGTGTGCGTTTGGTTTTCGTTCTTCTTTTCCGTGAGGATCGCCGTCGGATTTTTCGCGAATATTTTCTGGAAGGCGGCGTGCTTGTCAGCGTCTCCAAAGATGACTGATGTCCATCGTCATCTGTGGGGGTTCCCATTTTTTCATCCTGAAGAAGGAGAGCCGGGTCATCAGCATCGTCAGAGCCCGTCTCCTCGCTCTGCCCATCTTCTTCATCGTCGTCTGGATCTTCCATCGCGAGCAGAACGTCCTGGGTCCAGGTCTGGCCAACCATACGCGCGTCGCAGATGGAGACTTGCTTTTCGTTCGTGCAATTGGCCGAGGAGCCGACACCCAGTTTGGCGGTGGAGTTATCAGCATCGTCGCTGGACGAGGAAGATGAAGCACTTCTCCCGCTGCGTGAAGATCCTTCTTCACTCTCGGAGAACTGCTCGACAGGCTGCCCATATTCGTCCGCACAAACACCAAACCTCGTGGCCTATGGAAGGAAACCAAAGCGTCCCCCGTAGCAGCCACCGAACAAGCATGATCGGCAGCAAGGTCTTCATTGCATTTCAATTATACAAATCAGAGTTTTGTTTTTCAATGTTTACGTTTTTGCGTCAACATCTTCTTCTGCTCACGTAGTCAGTGACTACATCTTCTGCTTCATCTACATCCTTCAGTATACAGAAGTGTCTTGCAGCTCAAGCGCCGGCGGTCTTGCGCTTGCCTTGGTTCTTCCACCGGAGCAAGCTGTCAGCATGCCTTATTCACCATATGCATATCTTTTAGAAGAATGACCCACGCGGGCATGACGCACCATGAGCAGAAATTTTCTGGAGCTGCATGAAGAGCAAACAAGTAAGGTAGAACGCAACGGTGGACCACATGGCTCCTTCGATATGGCATGGGCCCCCCGGAGCACCTTCAGTACTTCTTCGGCTGACCATTCCACAGGATTCTTCTGGTATTTTTCCCGAATATCCGCTGCCTTTTGTGCCAGCTCCAAGATGGAGCACTTTTCCGTTTTTATCCAGCAGAAAACACCCATCCCCATCCATTCTTTGCATGAAAAGCAGTGGATTTAAATTTTATGCATCATGTTTTGCATGACAAATTGGATGGTCGTGATGGGTTTTTTTTGTGGATAGTTTCGTAGTCAATGCTACCGGTGGTGAGGCGCCAAGTGACAAATTGCATGGTTGGCACCTGCTCAGGTTGGAGCATACGCGGTTTTACGGATCCGATCAAGTTGATCGATTCAGTGGCGTACAACTCGTGTTCTACTTGTGCGTCTCTCGCACGCTCCTTTTCCTCTTCAGGATGGACTGCATCAACATCCGCACTGTAAAGTCGCCTGTATGTAATTTTCCGGGTTGCCTTAGCTTTCACAATTAGTAAATCGATTTCCGAAACGTCGCCCACCGAGATGAAAACGAATAAGAATCTACAACCACGCCAGCCGAGGGCTCCAACACTAGTACCCAGGCGCAAACACAAGCAAATCCAGGGAGAATGTAGTTCAAACTAAGCTCACGCTCCATCAAGGTGCTCTGACTGGAGGTAGTCTATTACAGCTTGGATGGCCATTAGATTTCTCTGTGGTGAATTTCCGGTGATTTTAGGGGCCTGCAAGAGTTTGATAGTGGCTCCGCGAATACTCTTTCCCGCAAGTATCGACATCCACCCGATGAAGAAGCCGGGGCGACCTAACGCTTAAATGGCTCCCGGTGGTGACGGAATTTTTCCCGGGAAAAAAAACGGGATGGGGCGCCGCAGTGTGTAGCTGCATTGTCAGCGCCCTATCCCCCGGGTGATGAGTTGCGAAGTAGCTTCGCGTGGTTACTTTTTGTTTTGTGGGTGCTGCGGATGGCTTGCCGGGCTCGGTGGTCTGGGTCTGCCAGATGCTCTCTGCTTCGGCAAATCGCAGCAATTCAATGTCTTGCGCGACCTTGTGGCGTGCTTGCATTTTGTTGCTTTCGTATTTTTGCGTGCATGCGCCAAAGGGTTAGCATTTTTTGAAGCAAATGCGGGGCGGCCGTTTTGGATTTGGTTTTTCGGCTCCGGTGAATTTGGAAACGAGAGGAAAACGAGCGCCGATTTGGTGATGGTCTGGAATCCAGAATCAGCTCGGGGTGAATTTAGGAAATTGCCGAAATTTCCTAAATTCACCAGCATGCCGTTTCTAAATTCACCGCCAAATTCACCGATCGCAGCATACCATCGAGAAAGGGGGTACTTTTAAGCAGGTTTTTGGCGCCAAGCAGCACGGTACTACGCATCGACGATTTTTCACAAAAAAATCATCATTGCCATAGCATGGCGTTTCGCTTTGAAAAGCAGCCCTTTCCCGATGGTGCTGTTGTTTTCCCCTTGTCTTTCTTGCCCAAAATTGAAACACGGAAGCTGAGAGTTGAAGCTGAAGGATTCAAAGTCATGAAGCCACCAAACGACTCAACTTCAGCAAAAAAGAAAAAAGTAGCCGCCTGCCAAGGGTGTTGCGTGGTGCGGATTTTCATCCAAACGGATTGACCCATGCCAGGGATCATAACGGGCGGGGCGACTTCTGTTTTTGCCTTCCATTTCGCAGACCACGACTACCCTGAAAGCCGAATGGTGACACAGGACCGCCTTCAAAAATCACTGGAAATTCACCGGCCTTAAAGTTCAAACTAAGCTCACGCTCCATCAAGGTGCTCTGACTGGAGCCACTACCCTAGACCCCGGAGAGCTGCTCTGAGTTCCAGACCCATCGAGGTGCTCTGACATGGAGAGCACTGAGTTCCAAACCACCTACCCTAGTCCCTTGTACTCCGAGGTGTAACTGTAAGAGCCCTGCCAAATGAAAAGGGACGCGCTGAACCAGCCCGGACACGACATGGGAGACCGTGAAAAACCAGGAGAGGAGAGCAAGCAAACCCATTGCAACCTTCTTGCGAACAACTAAGGGCCACGCCTACCTAGACCTGCTAGGAGTAGGCCCCACACCATGCCAATCCGTGTGGGCCCCAACCACTGCTATGCAGCTGCCAATCCGTGTCTGTGGCCCCACACCATGCCAGAGATTAAACCCTGCACCAACCAAACCACCAGAGCCAAGCCTGTCCGTACTTCGCAAGAACGTGCGACGTCTTCGCCTGCCGCTATTCATACCGCTGATTATGAGCCAAGGCCACGCTAGCTTTCCACTCCCTGCGACATCCTCGCATTAGTTACCCGCGCGCGCAACCGAAGCAGCGCGACAAGACCTCTATCAGCCTACCCAGTACCCCCGTGCTTCCGACCTAGTGAGGGCGAAGGGATAATAAATCACAATCAACAACGTAGGCAATAAGCAAGAGCTCTACGCTTGTCTCCTAACCGTGTCGTGCGCGAGAGCACTACCATAGTGCCTAGTTCCCGGCTCCCTCCTAGCCGTGCCCCCGGTACTAAATAGCAACACCGAAGTCGCTGTGCGTGCCAGCCATGCCTTGTCCCTGAACCCTGACGCCCTGCTCCGCGAAGTTGAGCAGCCTAGACTTTTCATCGGAGAATTTGAGCGAACCCGACCCCCAGCCCCCCCACCGGGACCGGGTCCAGTCGTCGCACCACCATCCATGACCATAGCCGTGCCTATCCCTACACCAATGCCAGCGCCCTCCCAGTCCCGGGCTAGTGAAGATAAAAAGTAAAAGGAAAATAAGTGAAAAATGATAATCGTGTGCCAGCCTCCGAGACCTTCCGCGCATACGGTCCTTGCCTTGCCCCGCGGGCCCTGATGTCCTGCTCCGGGAAGCAGAGCTGCCTAGCCTAGCCCTAACCTCAAGAGAGTTTCCGCGATCCCGGCCCCTGGTCACCTCATCACGACCAGGTCCAGCCGTCGCCCTGCCGCCTACGGCCGTTACCATGCCAAACCTACATCGGCCCCACAGTCAAACTAGACTGGGTCCAGCCAATCGAAAGAAAAATCCTGGCACGCCCCCCGCCTTGAATGCGGGTCCAGTCGTGCCGCCTTGCATTAGCTTACCAGGGATCTGCTAGCCCTTTTCCATCGAACTCTCGTCCTTTCCGTCACTTACTCGAAAATGATGCACCGAGGTGCATCCGTAACTAAGCTCACGCTCCATCAAGGTGCTCTGGCTGGAGGTAGTCTAGCCCTAGCGTAGCAGAGGTTCGGTGCGCTTCAACCTAAAGGAGCACCGCAAGAATTCCCTAAAATTTCCGCAGTTTCTCTTTCTACACTTATTTCCCGTGATGTGGATCAGATTCCTGATGTGGCGAAGACAAAGATGGGGCGCGTTCTGAGAAAGCAGGAACGACCTAGGGCATGCCGGAGCCAATTCTGCGCATCCTCGGATTTCCGATTCCTCACACGGGAACTGGTGCGCCATAACTTCGCACCTTTTGACCCATTTGTCATTTGTTTAAGTTTGTGGGCCTAAATTATGCCACTTTTCTTTTGAAAATGAATTTATTTTTGAGCTAATGAAGTTGAAGTATTTGAACTTAGAGCCTCTTTCGGTAGATTTACGAATGAAAAAGCTAGGTGTAGTACGTGCCAAACGCGGAGAGTTCCCCAGTATCTTCACTATCACGCTCATCTTCCAGTGTTGCACGGTCATTTTCTACTCGTCCGTCCAGTCTTGGGGGAGCTGCTTGTTCTGCTCCGGGTGGATAGCCTTCATCTTCCACTTCCGCCTCTCCATCCGAGTTTACCACGAGTCGCAGCTTCAACCCGCGGCCAGAAAGCGTTTCGTCACGCAACCTCATCTCGTTGAGCATGCGAGCCCGTTTTGCGTCTTCTTCGTTCGAGAACTCACTGCCGTCCTCGTCCCCCGGCGGACCGATTTGCATATCGACGAGAAAAGTGTGTAGGCGCAGCAAAGAACTTTTATGGCCGAGCAACATGCAATTGCAATCGGTGCGCATACGGGAGGAACTTTCTATATCTAGAGATAGACATACGCCATCGATGACGTGTGTTGCATGTTGCTCAACGCAAATCACCGCTCAATTAAAGTATAGGCTCATTTTTACAAGATAGATACGCCAAGTGCAATGAAAAATCAAAATGAAAATGGTTATATGCTGTCACGGATGCATGGCAAAGGGGGCATGTCGTGGCTCAACATCCTAGGACAGCAACTAGTGGTCCTCGTTCCTCCTCCTCGTGCTAAAAGTTCAATACACTGGCACCCGTTCTTTTTTTCTCGGGTATTCGGATTTTCCGACCTGGTCCCAGAGCTGCTCTTCAGCATCCTGTGCGCTTTCACTTTCCTCAGTGCGCGGCGTTGTTCGATGTGCAGTTTTTTGATCACGTTGCTCGTGCTCCTCCTGTGCAGTACTGCTAGCATTCCTAGGTCTTGATGGGTCCAGAGTCTGTGGGTCTTCCTCCTCTTTTTCCGGGAATTCGTCGCGTCCCCGGCCGGGAGATTTTCCATTTTGTGCGGTAGGCGTGGTTTTCTTGTTTCTGGCAAACGACGGAAATGATTTTTTCAAAGATTTTTTCAGTACTTTGTCGACGAGCCATGCGTTTGTTCCTTGTATCGCCGCTTCTTGCTCTAGCTCTACTTGCTCTGCAACTTCTGCTGTGTGTGCTAGGTCAGCGACGTCCGCGTAAGATTCTTCCAGTGCCTCCTTCGCTTTGTCCCGGTAGAAATGTTCATTTGCTTCCTCTTGTTTATTCGTCCCATCGCGGTCCTCTCCCAGTTGATCGCGCAGGTCAACACTCTCGTCCTCTCGTTCATCTGGCTTTCCTGTTAACGAGGAAGACGAAGATTCTTCCCCCGCAGGCCCCAGGATAGCGGCGAGGGGAACCCTGTCCCGGTGCGTTGCATCCGTGCCAATGTGTGGACGAAACTCTTCCCGCTGCTGCTGCATTTCCTCGGTTTGTAGCTCCCTTCTCGGGCTGCGTTCAATATCGTTTTTAACAGCGGGAGCGGTCTCTACTGGTACATCCGAAGATGCAGCTGCGATTTCCACGCGCTCAAGAAAGCCTACACCCCAGGTTGACGTTGGGAACAAGCTACCCGTGAGGAACAGGATGAATTTGAATTGCCGTGGTCGTGCCGATGATAAACAAAAACACAGCTGCACCAGAGCCGCCATCTTGCTTTTGCAAGGCCCGGCGAAAAAGCGAAAACTCGTCGTCCTGCCCGGCCGCTTCGTTCCGTATGTGTCGAGTAGAAAGAGATCCTCCTGTGCGCCCGCAAACGCACTGCGAAATAAATGTTCGATCTTCATCTTCCTTGTTTATGTTTTCATCATCGATTTTTTCGTCACGTCTCCTTTTCGATGCGATGAATAAACTTAAAAACCGAGAAAGAGAAATCTTCCGTCCCTTGGTCGGTGTTAGTACTCCTTCTGCTTCCCGTTCGCCTCAGATGTAGTCGGAAAAATAAACATGGAGCGGTATCAAAACAGCACCAGCAGCCAAAAAATATATTTACTTATTAACTCACAAAAATTGACTTACGACTAGTACATTCGAAGAAGGAGATGAAGCGCTTATCAGTACAAAAATTACATTCATAGTCAAGTAGTTCAGACGAAAAAGCGTTTTTCCTGTTGACGTCGTAGATTTGATGAAATGGCGTTAAACATAACAAGGAGCGTTCTACTTGTGGCTTCTTGTTCATTTTTGTTAGCCCGATTTGAGTTAGTATCATAAAGTCACAAACACGCCATTTGTACGGCACTACATCCGTAGAGGGCATCGCTGCGCAGATTCATTCTCAAAATGACCGACAAACATCATGATGAAACGTGGCAACCGACACCACGAGCAGGTAGTCTATTTTCTTATACGTGCAAACATCAACAGACACTGAGTCCGGGGCGGTCAGCCTGAAACTCATGCGGCAGCAAAACCGAAAAAAACAATAAGCAATAGCAATTCATCCGATAACAAATTTCCTGCAGGCGACCACACCGATTCAAAGTCAAACTCCAAGATGACAGTAGAGACCGACTTCACGTGTCACGCTGGCAACTGGACTCAGCGGCACCAGTTCTTGTGAAAAACCGACTACGAAGGAACGTCGAGCAAGGGATTCATAGAAAGAATCCACCACGACCAGCAGCAGTGACAAAAACTGATGCGAGTCTTCGGGTGTCAGATGAATTAGGTCATTCAGGAGCTCCTCATGTCTAATAAGGCTTATTGTTTCGCATTCGCGGCCGCTGTTTCAGCAGAGGAGGGTCAAAGTTATATATTCACATTCAGGTCCATTTGACTCTCAGCATGAAAGTGAAAGTTCACGAGGATGGACTTGGATGGATGCGAATGCGATGACCCTGAAAATTAATTTAAGGGATTGATATGCTGGCGCAGCTGTGGCTGTGCTTCGTGGCCTTCAGGTTCGACATTGAATTTGCCCGTACTGGTTTTGGTGGCCTTCAACTGATGCTTTCACTTTCATCACTTCTACTGATTCTTCTTTTTGCTTTACCGGTGTCCACCTGTTCCGTGAATCAGTATCGGCTCTCCCCTTCGAAGGCGCCATCCTGTCTCCGGAGCGGCTGCGGCATAATACACAGCTCGCCACAGCGATCACGACAGTATTCTCGCTTTTCCTACAACAGTTTGAAGCTCTACTACATTATTTACGTTTCCACCAATGCCAGAGCCCCAGCTATCCGCCGATATTGGCGGCCGCAAGGTCGATTCAATTTTGTTTGGTGCAGAATTTTTACGTGCTGGCGCATTTTCAACAGATGATGCAGCGGGGGCTCGAGCTCCGGCATAGCCGTGCACATATTCTTGCTCACCAGCAGCAGGTATCGACAAAAAGATTGCGTCGGCATGAGTGTTCAATCGGTTTCTCAACAAGTGGAAGTAACAACGCCAAAAGAGGGCTTCTTTCATTCGCTGCGGAACGAGCCTGAAGCGAACTGCCTTCATATCGGGGGGCGAAAGATCCAAAATCAGTTGCCCGTATCTCTCCACGAGCTCCTCCGTCTTTCGCGCATGGTCCCCTGCGCTCGATTGCTGCGGCGTACTGCTGGCAAAAACTTCTCGAGTGTTCAGAATAAGCTCCTCCAGATCTTCCTCGTTATCCTCCCGCTGATGATCATGTCTTGACGAAGTCGATGATCGAAACGCTGACTCTGCTGGTTCGCGAACAGAGGCTGTGGCGCTCGAAGGAGCATATGATCCAGCAGGGTAAAGATTATCAGCACGCCCCCGACCTCCTCCGAAATTCCTCTCGGACGAGCTGCTGTGCTGTCCATCTACTTCTTCTAATTTTTTGCGTTCTTCAACATGTCGTTCTGCCGCTGCGTGGCAGCTTCGGCCTAGTTTTCGAATACATCGCGCCACGGCTTCAGGGTCTGCCTCGCCAAGAGCAATTGCAGTTGTTGTAGAAGTAGATGAAGCTATGCCTTTTTCGCTTTCAGACCTTGGTGCTCGCGAAGACGCCGCGACAGCACTGGCACTTGGACTTGACTTCTTCGTAGAAGTAGATGAGCTCGGCTGCAGGACGTGGTAGTCCTCAGTGAGGGCCCACGTTGCCAACTCGCGCAACAACCGGCACTGCTCGATCTGCGCAATAGTCTCCTGCCGAGAATTTTTTTGTCCCATTGTTCGTGTGCTTAATAGATACTCATACTACACCTACATCAACTGGGCTGCCACGACCCAAGAGAACCTCAATCCACGGGCACGATCGTCAATCTTACTGAGAATAGATACGGCTACGCGTACGCATCCGAAGATTTTTTAATAATTACATGCAAATGAAGATTTTGATTTTTCGCCTGTGCTGCGGAGCAATAACATCAGACATCTGCTGCTATCTAATGAGAAACAAAAAGAAACAAAAACAACGACATTCGGTGTAGGAGCACAATAATTGTGCTCCTACACCAATTGTAGCAGTACTACTACGGTAGTAGAAGTACTGCTACAATTACAGTAGAGTACTCAAATCGAACTGTCAGACGCAGCGAGGAACATATTCTCCAGCTCTACATGGAAGAAGAGGACCACGGCGAGCTGATTTCTACAGAAGAAAATGAACAAAGCGATACTCACGTCAGTTTGACGAGAGATCTTCAAACGCGATAATAAATTAGGCGTAGTATGTGCTTTCTGTATACATTCGTGGCCAATATCAATTGCATTTCGAAATCAAAATGTTGATACAGGATGTGGCTGTAGTGGGTGAAGCTGCCTAAAAATTCGCGTTTATCCGATTTTCGTTTCCGCCAATTCGTCACGCTTATTCTTACAGAATAAGTGGGAGGAGATTTAAATACAGACACAGAAAGGAATTAGTGTAGTGTGAAACTCGCTCCACAATCGCATTCACATCAACTTCAACACATAAGCGCCACTGGTGTCATAAAAATAGCAAGCTGCACGGACAGCATCCTCCATGTAAATCCATGAGTTGTACTTCTTCTACTTTTTAGCTAACAGAGTTGATGAATGTTTGAATTTCACGAACAAGCAATGCAAATGCAAACCTATCAGTTTCAGTGGGTCGAAATATTAAACAGAATGATATATTATTGTAATTGTTGATATTCATAATGTGCAGTATTTCAAGTTAGGATGATTGAAGATGAAACTTTTTTAGTACTCCCGTGCTTCATTAACATTTTCGCCTTCCTCTTTCGCGGCTGGAAAAGGAGGAGTAGATCTGTTGATAGATGCACCAGAACATGCAGAGGATCGTCCTGCTCCACCTGCTGAGCTAAAACTAATTTCGAATAATTTCAACCCTGCATATTCCTTCGCCTTGTCAAGTAGATCGACTAGGACTACAGTACTGACAACTTCGACCCGTTAGAATCGATTCTTGCGCCGTTGATCCTTATGAACTCGAGGAGCCGTCGACGTCGTCATCATCGTCGTCGTCGGAGTCTTCGTCCGATCCGGATTCATCGTCGTCGTCTTCATCTGAAGGCTATCAGACCGAAAAGTACTTGTTTTCATACAGCACGTCGTTAGAACGTGATGTTCCTCTTGCATTTCCACTCATGACGTCCTGAGGCTCGTCGCTTTTTTTCTCAAAGAGTATCCTCTTGCTCTTGGTGCCCATGCTCTAGCACTGCTTCAGCTATAGCTGCTGCACATTTGAATGATGTTCTCTTGAATGAAGATCCACATTCTTGAGCAGTTTTATTTGCATTCTTGCTTTGTTATAATTTAAATTTTCAATATCTGTTGTATAAAAAGCGCGGGCACCGCACCTTGATTTCGCGTGTTCTCTTTAATCTGCAAGTTTTATTGTAACTAAGACTAAGTAAAGAATCCACTTCGATGGAGTAAGTATGCAAATGCATCTTCATGACTGTATGTCAAGTCCGCATCACAACAACTGCACCGTACTACGTAAACTAGCCTTTTCGATGTGATAGACCGCTGTCGTCCTCGTCGCTGTCGTCGTCCGAATCTTCGTCCGAGTCATCTTCGGATCCCGGCTTTTTGGCTTTGCTGGTCTTGCTCGCCGCTTGCGAGTTGTACTTGCTCTGCAACTGCGAAGCAATGGTGGATAGCGCCGACACAGAGGTTGGGTGGGCACTGTCGCCAGACCCAGACGAGCTGCTTCCCCCGGAAACGCCGCTTTTGCTTGCCCCCGATTTCGATTCGTAGCCGGACTCGTAGTCTTCGTCCTCGTCCTCCTCCTCCTCGCTGTAGTACTCCGACGATTCCTATGCACAGAAAAAAACCCATCCACATCCATTTTTTGCATGACAAACACAGGATTTTACGTATGTTTTGCATGACAAATTGGATGTGGATGGGTGTTTTTTCCTGGATAATTCCTCCTCGTCTTCGTCCCGATAGACGCGGGACATGGCCATCAAGTCCTCCTCCTCGTGCTCCTGCGCCAGGGCGACGGTGAGGCCGGGGTTCAGCTTCACCTTCTCCAAGCCCTCCCGGATGGCCTTCTGCATGCCGCCCTGGGGGTCCGCCCCGAACTCCCACAGCTGCTCGGTGTCCACGGCGTCCTTGTCCAGCTTATCGATCTCCGCCCGCCGGCTGGCCTGCAGTAAGGTTTCCAGGTCCTTGATGCGGTGCTTCATAGCTTTCGAGAGCCAGGGCGCCAGTGGCATGGTCTCCAGCGGCTTGGCCAGTTTCTGCATCTCCGCCAACTCCTTCTCGATCAGCTTGGTCTCGCTCTTGTGCGGCAGGGGGCGCGAGAAGATCTCGCCCAGGACCTCGCGCTTGCCGTGCCAGTGCTCCAGCGGAATGCGGTTGGATTTCCCGATCGCAAGCTTCATGTCGCGGTCGAACACATGGTCGGCGTCCGCGACGTAGCGCAGCCGCCCCTGGTTCGAGCTCCGCAAGTACTTCGTGATGGAATACCCGCGGTCCGGCTGCCGCTCCTGCACGGAGAGCGCGCCGTTCTGGCCCGTGATGATTTCCTCCCGGTCCATGTACTCGACGCGCACCGCGATCACCTCCTCCAGCAGGTGAACGAGCATCATCAGCAGCTGCCCCTTTTTCACGAGCAGCGACACCTCCCGCTCGGTGTTGATGGCCACCTGGGTCTGCGGAATCAGCCCGGCGTACACGCAGCGCTCCAGGAAGAGCAGTGCGTGGCGGATCTCTAGCCGCGTCGCAGCTTCCGCGTTCAAGAAGGCGTGCCGCAGGTCCTGGTCCTTGTCCTTCAGTCCCTGCAGCCGGAACTTCATGCGGTCGCGAAAGTGCAGCAACTTGGAAAACTCCTGAGCCCGCTGCACGCACGCGGCGCTCCGCTTCTCGCCAAACACCTCCTCGTGCAGGCCGCGGATCAGCCACCGGTGGTCCCGCTCGATCTGCCGCAGGCGAACCTCCGCGAGGCACATCTGGCGGAGCAAAACCGCGCGGTCCTCCAGGAGGTAGATCAGCGCGTTCTGGTGGATCCAGAAGGCGTGCACGGCGTGCGCCAGCGCGACAGACTGCTGGAACAGGGCGGGGGGGAGGCCCCGGTTCTCTTTCCCCATGAACTGGCTCACCACGGTGGGCAGGTACGGCAGTTGCGACGCGATGGCGCGGAGCACGCCCGTCAAATCGGCCACCCCGTGGACCAGCACCTCGTTCTTCCGGGCCAGTTGCGCAAGCAAACCGTCCCGCTGCAGGTTGGCAAAATCGTTGTCCGGGAGCAGCTGCGCGGCGTGGTTCCGCGGGATCGCTGGGCGGTACATGTTTGGCGGAAGGGGCGCCTCCCTCTGCTGTTCCTGGTACGCGGCAGACGAGGGGTAGTAAAGATAATTCTTTGATGTAGTTTTGCTGCTTCTAAAGTTTTGTTCAACGTCGTTCGACTTCGACTTCGACGACCTCTTCGAAGCAGTATTGCTGACATGATCATCCGACGGCGTGCAGGACGACACGGTCGGGAAGGCGCCGAGGATGGCGGATCTTCTTGTTTTCATCTCTGCATCATCTTGGACATAATCCAGCAGGCCACGGGATTTCGCATGCATCAAATCCGCTCTCCTCATTTTTTCCTTTTTGCTTCTTTTTTTTCCGTGCCTCCTGCTTTCATCGAGAGGAGGGAGATGAAGATCAACGTGCAGCTGGTCGTCCAGAGATGCGACTACGTCGTCCCCCGTCTCGACGTCGTGATAAAAGGCCTTTTCGAAACGTCGCGAACTTTTGGATTTGCGAACCTTCTGACTTTCTGTCGGGCCTGATGCGTCTTCTGACGCAATTGAGGACGAATCAGAGTTCATGCGGCGATAGTACGACGCTGCGCGGTCATCGAGGGGCAAATTGTTCAGCATTTCTTCTAGTTTCTCGTCGGAAAGAAGCTGCAGTTCTTTACTACCGCCCGGAGTGTAATTTGTGTTATTTGTCGTGTTTCCCGCCCCGCCAGGCTGATGTTTGCGCTGGTATGCGTTGATGCTCTCCTTGCTACTCCCGAACTGAAAGTGCTCAAACATTGGAACTGCGTCACTCTGGCTCGGCGGCGACGAGCCAATCATGCCACCTATCTGCTCGCGCTGCTGTGATGTCGCTTCTGGGTAGAAGGAGAAATTCTGCTGGACCTCTTGTCTTCCAGAGCCGCCAGTTCTCACACCTTGAGTTATTGTCTTGCTGGTGCTAATATTTGCGCCAACTCTGGGTACGGACGGGAAAGTGGAATGCGAAAGCAGGAGCTTCGCACTTCCAGCGAGCCGCGCGGCCGCTTCCGAAAGACTAGACGACCATTCATGGGCATTATGATCTTCATCCTGTTGATGTTTTTGTTCCTTCTGGTTCATCATGGAGCTCGTCCACGGAAACCCCTCGTGGACAAAAAATGCACCACCTGCACGAGGATCTAGTGCTACGTCTACGTCGGGTCGTTCCTTCCCCTTCAACTTCATCTCGTCTGTATTATTGCGAAGCTTTTGACGTTGTTGTGCGGATTCGTGACCAAGAAGGTGCTGGTGACGTTCCTGTTGCTGTTTAGCATTGTTCTTCTCGTCCTTGTTGTGCTTTTCCCCAACAAGCCGCTCCAAAACAGGACTTGCGATCAGCACGCTATTCTCGTCGTCTTCATCATGATGATCTTCTGGCTCTTCGCATTCTGTCCGCAACTCCGCAATTCCTTCCAGCTTGATGTTCCCCTCTGCAGCTTTCGGTATCGTCGGTCGTCGCAACTGGCTATGATATTGTTCTTCTCCCACGTGCGATCCGTTTCTATGAACCTGAAGCGGATTGTCACAGGCAGAAGACGCACGGGAGCTAGTTGTCTTAGATGAGCGCTTGGAGGAAGAGCGCTTCTTTAAGACAAATTTTGGAACTGGTTTGGGTTTGCTTGTTGTAGCTTTCTCCTTTTCATCGGTTTCACTTTCATCCACCAGCACAACAACTTTACCAGCTTCATCATCAAGAACTTCAGACAGGAGCGTAGTCTTCTGCATCGCGATGGAGCTCCTACTTGTTGGTGAAAAGTCTTCGTCCTGCTCCACGGCCACGTGGTCCTTGTTCTTTCCAACAAGGTGCAGCTGCAAGTGAGGTGGCAGCACTGTCAGCGGCGTGGTCACTGCTGCCTTTCCGGCTCGTGTTTTCATATGAACGGGTCCTCGAGACGGGGAGGGAGAGAGAAAGACGGTTTGCGGTGTCGTGTTGTTCACGTCTAGGAGCTGCGATGTACCAGAGTGCGGGTGCTCGAACATGCCCCCTGTTCGCGTTCTGCCCTCAGCAACAAGGTCCGAATCTCCTCTCGAGGAGCTGCCACTGCTCGCGGTCATCTGGGCCAGAGGTGTTCGTGTCACGCTCACGTCGCCTCGCACCGGAGTAGTACTTGTATCGTCTTGCGGCGCAACTTGGTTCTGTTCTCTCATCATCTTCACCAAGGCGAAATCATTTCTGTAAATTTTATTCTCGTGCTGGCCCTTGTAACTTTTCTGCCGGTGGCCAGCACCAACAGAGCGTGCTTCAGACATGGTTCTTGTTTCTCGGCGCAGCTGCTCAAATTTTGCAGCGTTACCGAAACTACCGATACTCTGTAGTTCGTCCGGAATACCAGATGGGTGCCCGCTTTTCTCCTCGTCGGCCTCTGTTTTTCCCGACCGCTCCCACCAAAACAGCAGCTGCCGGAGGTCCATCGGGCGTTTCGATTTCACGGAAAATCGGCCCTTGCTCTCCGGATCGACAATGGCAGCATACTTGTCGTGCCAATACCTCCGGTTGACCGGACGGGGCAGAATTTCCGGAGCAGATGAAAAAGGACCACCCTCTTGCTCAACATAATGATCGCCGGCGCTGTCATTTATTCCGTGCTGATGAAGTTGCAGGTAGATGTCACTGTTTTCGGGCGGCAAAAAGCTATCGCTCAGTGGGGCACGGGCACGCGCAACAGAGGATGAGGACGAAGACGAGGACGACGCCCGTGCAGCTCCGTTGCCCGCCAAAAACGTAGTGGCGACGTGATCGATCATATCATCTACGTGGACGTAGAATGTAAACGAGCCCGAATGGTGGTGGTGGAGCAGAACAACAAGAGCTCTGCTAATATAAGTATTGGTCGGACATTTTTATCGACCCGGCCTCCTTGTTAGTTTCCATCCTTTTGCTTTTTCCCTCAATTTGTTTATAAAAAACCGGATAAACCTTCACTAAAATAAAAACTTGCGTGGCTGGCTGCTCAGAGCTGCAAGGAAATGGATCAATTGAAGTTGTAAACAAACTAAGATCATGATGCTTTCGCTTGGATTCGTTGGCTCTTACCGACACGATCCTGAATAGGCTGACCACATGACGACACCCCCAAACACTGACGACGAAAGACGACGACGACAACCCACGAAGATGAATTGATTCTCTACCTCTGATATCATGATTTATAAATATTCCAACAATTACAATTATATGCTGTAGTCAGGAGCAGAACGAATTTCCGATGCATTATCATATCTGGAGCTGCGGTTATCGATTGCATTTTCAGGCATCACAACTATCACAAACGAAACCCAAACCACTACCACGATTAGGATTTCATTTTCAATATCGACTTTTCGACTTTCGATGGCGGGTGGCAAACTATCATCTTCCTATGGCACGACCCACGATTTTTCTTGATCTTGTCCACGTCACTCGTCTGTAACGATTCTTGTGAGCCATCATGACATTCGCGACGCAATGCGAGTGAAACCTCTGCAAGAAGAAGAGTGACGTACTTGTGTTGGAATCATGCACCAGATCCAGAACACCATCACATAGCCCCCTTCTTCGCAGGGGCAGGACCTCCGCCGGGGCTGAACAGTTCAATATTTTTTCGATTTTTACTGATTCATAGATTTTGATAGGCATACGATCACGATTCTTGTTATTTCACATTTTCAAAATAAAGCAACGCCATGTCTTCTACATACTTCATCTACAACGACGTTTGTACGGCTTTGTAGGATGAGAATGCTTTTTCTGCTTGCTCTCCGTACTTCTACTTTGATTGTGTTTGTTTATTTTTACATAATAAAAACGATCCACATGATGAAAAGACTTCTCTATATTTTTTTGAAAATGCTGTGCTTGAATTTGATGTAGGCGACCTCCACGACGAAGTAGAAGTCACCCGATCACTAGTTATTGCAAGTCCTTGTTGAAAATTACTTAGTATGTATTGTAGTAGTTGTCGTTGTGCAAACGTAAAAAAACAACCTGAAATAAAACGTCGAAAGCAATAATTTTGAATGACACAGCAAGACCACTTGTCTTACGATGCGAATGCGCCTCGACCTGCAGGCCCGTCTTGCTATCTCGGAGATAACATTTTTTGCTTACATTTCATCTCCTGAAGAGAACCTAAATTTCAATCGTAGGCTAAACGAACTAAAACTTCGCCAGAAAAGAGTCTGTCATGAGTGCGATTGCCTCCTCGTCGGACATGACACGTGAAAAATGCGCACAAAATTGTGAATGAGAATGAGGACAGGAGGACCAGCCGAAGCATCGCGTCACATATTTGAAGATGCTATAGAAGCTCTAGCTCGTTCCTCCATGATGAAGTCCACCGTCTTATTAAACCGACACAGCATGATCTTCATGCAGTTGTTCTTGTTTTAGTTTTCATTACCTTACCAACAGAAACACGTTTCGGTCACCCATCAAAATCGTCGCCTGGGCGAAAGCTGCTTGCAACTGGATCCTGGTCGAAGTTTTGCGAGAGGAGAGAGGTAGCAAAGAAACTCGCATTCCCGCCTCCCTGGCTGGACTGCATTTTGCCAAACGATTGCTTCAAGGACGTTTCGCCCCGCGACGCATTGCCCTGGGACCGCTTCCGCCGCGTCTCCTCCATGTAGGCGACCTGTCGAAGACCAAGATTGATTCATCAAAGTGCAAGTTGTAGCAACTAATTGAATTATGGAACTGAAAGAAACCGCTAGAAGGAAGAAACTAGAGAAAGAGTACTTATCAAGTGGAAAAGATATTTACAACGACGAAGTCATCTTACTTCGTGACTACAGTGAAGACAACTACATTCATAGACACAATAGTTCGCAATGCTACCGTTGGTACTTACCTGCGAAATCTCCTCTTCCAGATCTCCTGCCGCCAAGACGGTTGCGTTGGACCCTCGCGTCCGTCCGCTGGCTGCCGGTGTTTGCGGGCGCATGGTCGAGCCGCGCGCACCTGCGCCAGCGGTACTTCCGAAAGATTGCGTGTACAACGCCGGGGCGGACCGCGGGTTGATGTAGGTCGTCTGGTCCGCGCCCTTGTACATGGTGCTTTGTCCACCGAGCATGGTACTTTGTACAGCGTCGTAGTTCACGGACTCCGTCCGGGCGCGCACCTCCTCCTCGTAGTCTTCAAAGGAGTAGTTGCCATCCAGCGGGTCAAATATCTTCTTCAAACCCCGGCGGAAAGTGTGGATCACCCAGTTCAGCCAGCACAGGAAGAACAAGGCGATCACAATGACCCACATGCTCCAGTACAGGGCCACCTGCCACGAAGCATAGCTCCACTCCAATACATTGTTGCCCCCAAGCGGCCCGCTGGGGATCATGTGTTGCGCCTTCTCGACCTGCTCATTGATGTGCGTCTTCAGGTGCTCGACAAAGGATGAAAATGTCGAGAACGGAGAGGAGTCACCAACAGTCCCCGCACCCAGAAAATGATGGAAATTCACCATAATGTTAATTGCTTGTGCTTCTTTTCTGGCTTTGTTGTTGTTCAAGTAGTGGCGACTTCAAAGTATGTATTCTTCGATAGTTCGACAAGAAGATGATGAAATTTAGGAAAATATACGCGATTTTTCCTCTTGAGCAGTTCGCGGCGGCAGACTCGCCGGTGTCATTCAAAACAAAATAGAGCGCGAAAGTAAAAGATAGATGTCACCAACCCAAATGAAGGCTACTGCCTACGTGCTTGTTCACCGACGATGAATTTTGAATTTCGATTTTTCATCATGAAGCAAGACGGTGAAAATGAAAATGTCAAAAAAGCGCGAGGAAAAATGACGTATGACCAATGATGGGAGGGACTGGAATTTTTGTTTGGATGCGAAAAGGTTTTAGATATCCTATCGCAAGAGAGGTATCGCAGCAATTATACCGAGGCATGCCAACTGCGCGTTCGGCAAGAGCTGTAGTTGCACGGCACGGTGACTGAGGCACGAAAACTACGAAAAGTAAATATATGCACAGCATCAAACCGACGGACGCAAGAATCAATGTAGTGATGGAGTGCGTCTCCCATCCTTGTTTGTTGTGAACGAGCCTGACGATGCAAACGACACGAAACATGTACATGATGGGTGTACGTAAACGTGTGTTGTAGGTGTACCGAAAACAACATTTTCTGGCATTACAGAATCGTGGCACAGTACGACACGAGAGGAGCCTTTAATCACACCGAAAATTGCATTTCAACTGACACCGAAACCGATTTTCTGGGTGTAGTTTCTGTTTTTCTTTTTGCGGTTGCGCCTGTAGTACAAATAGTATTTTCACATACTTGGAAGAACCGAGCACCGTTGGTAAGCACGAAGGTGCCTTTGTCTGACCGAATAGGGTAGAAGTAGCTGCATGCGCAACCGCCCAACATGATATGCACAAACAAAGGTCAGGATGACTAATGGATGCCGAATCCGAAAAGAACCGACGTATAACCATGGTATAAAAGAAAGAATTTAATATTACAGTTTCCATTCGAGTATTTCATTGTACCTTGTTTCATCGTGCCCTGGTCGTGCATATGCAACACCTGAAGATCAAGATGGCACACAACTTTCTTTATAAAAATTCATCTGACATTCATTGTAAACAACGATGGGTTCTTGACCTCGGCATCATGCTCACGTAGCGGCTTCTTTCTTCCTTTTTGTTTTCGCACTTTTTTTCATCGCGGCCATGGGCTTGAATCCAGAGTTCAGCTGCGCAGTTTCCGTACTACCATCCTCAATCGCCCCGTAAAAATGATCATGATTGTCCGCGCGGACCTCGATCGAAACCGGAGCGGGGGGTGCCGAAGACAAAAGCGACTCCTCTACGACGGATTGCAACGCCGAAAGGCCATCGTGCGGCTCCAAGCCCACCGCGTCCATTGCCTTTCTATCTTGGTCGGTGAGTCCCTCAGACGGAAGACCCTGGTTGTATTTTTGATTTCGAATTCGATCAACTTTATCTACTTCCATGGTCTACAAAATATGAAAGACACAAAAGAGTTGGCACGTCAACAGAGTAAGTAGAGAAAGTATGTGTGTGTCCAATTACAATTTCTATTTCATACAATCAGTATGAATATGAACATACCTGCTCTGCAGGATTCTTCAACATTGCCGCGGCCGCTTTTCTCGCATACCCTTTCGTGAAACCAGTGTCGACAAGGACTGTCTCGACCTGCCCCACATCTCGTAGTAGCTTCACGTCCTCGTGATTCTCGATGGAGTCATGTAATCCGAGTTCATCATAGCTCTTCACTTCCGCGGTCTTCGTCGCTACTGCTGCTGTGCCAAAATTCTGTAAGGCCTGCACGCCTCCTTTCTTGCCGATGACCTCGACACTGCCCAAGCCGATTTGCCGAAGTTTTTCTTCCTCCGCTTCGGCCAAAAGCGCAATATTCTTGTCGTCTGTGCCGTTGTAGTTATGCAACCCACTCGAGAATGGTTCATCCGTTTCCGTTCCTCTATCCTTACTCTGGAGAGTGCTGCTTTTTCGTTTTTTCTTTTTTGGTTTGTTTGCCGCGGCAAAGTTCTCCACCCTCTCGACGCCTCCCTTGGCCCCTATCTCCTCCGTGCTGCCAAAGTCTATTGTGTGCCGGTCAGAGTCGTCCGCCCGAAGGAGGTCGTTTGTGCCAGTGCCCATGTTTCCGTCGGTGTAGCTCTGCAGCCCGCTCCCCAGTCCGCTGTGGTGCCCGCCGTGCGGCCCACTGGAAGCCATACCTGGGCTACCGAAAAAGGCACCAGCGTCCTGGTCTCCATCTGTCCCGTCAGATTCCGCATTTGCGTGCTGTTCTTGCAGCAAAGTGTCGTACTTATCATTCTCGTCGGTGTGGCTTTGCATTATGCTGCTCAACATGCCGCTAGCGCCAGCGTTGGCGTTCGACATCATGCCGCTTTGCATTGAGGCCGAAGCCGGGGCATTCTTGTTATTTCCGTGTGAGAAGTCAACATGATCTGCAGCTGCTTGTTCGTTCTCAGTGTTCACCCGGCTCCAGCTTTCCGCCTCGTCTGCCCCGCTTTGCAGTTGTAGCCCATCAGCACTTGTGAGACCACTACCGCTGGCTATCCCATGACCCGGGCCGGCCCCCACGACGCCTACCGGATATGGATACGATTGGCCTGTGCCGTCATGATCGCTAGCGCTTCGTCTACCTTGCGGCGACAGCATTCCTTGTTGCCGAGAAGGCCCTGCACGACGCAACGCATCGACCTGCCCGGAAGGAGGTAGCCCATCGGCGAGCAACCCGCCTCCTTTGTTATAATTGGTCGTGACCGGAGCGCGAGCGCTTCCCCCTACCAAGTCCCTCAAGCTCCTACTTTGCTGTTGCTTTTGCAATCCTGCGCCCGGCGCGCTGCCGCTGGTGACTGACTTGCTCTGCGCACTTTTACTTCTACCGTCATACGTGTAGAAATTTGACGGAACCTCCATCGGCACCAGGTGTCCGTGTTCCTGGGCGGCCCGGGCGTCCCAGCGGGCCTGGATCCTTTTCAAATTGCAGCGCTTACGGAAAACAATCACGCATGCGCAACAGGCGAGTACGCATATAGGAAGAAGCGCACAGCCAAGAAGGTAGAGCAGTTTTTGAAAACAAACCCAACCCTCCCGCACGTTTTGCTTGTCGCCTTCCACGTCCTCGGACGTGAACTGTGTGTCTGTGTCCTGCCCCTCGAGAAGCGACGAAAAGTTTCTCCGCAAGGTCGTCATCTTGCGGTGCAAGGTAGCGAAGCCGAAAGCGAGCTGCCTCTGCATATACGACGCTACAGACAACCGCACTGGTGCATCTTCTCCACCACTGCTATCCAGCACAGTTGTCGTCGCCTCGGTCGGCCCACCGCCAAGTGAGTTGCTTTTCGTTAGGTCGGGCCACGCATTTCTTGCGTCAGCGGCGTCGGCTAAGGATCCGCGGACATAAAGCCGACGTCGCTCCTCCACTGCTAGCGGTGAAATGTCGATGTCGATTCCACCGTCGGTCTCGAGTCGGCTTGCCTTTATTTGGCCTGTGCGGGAGGTGCCATGGCTTCGTCGTGATATGCGTTGCGCCCTCTGGGTGAGCCCTCTCATATTTCTACCCCCATAATTGTCCGCCACATCTTCATCCTGTGCCAGTCGTGACTCATCAAATCCTTTCACTTTCTCCTTTCTCATAATGGCGAATGCTGTACCACTGGTGGGGGTATTCCAGCAAGCCCGTAAGAGGTACTGGCAAAAAAGTACGGAAAACATATTCAGAGCCGTGTTGTTGAAAATGAAGTGCCTGTAACAACAAGTGCAGCTTGATGGCCGCCGCTCTGTACTTTTACTGCCGCGCCACAGCATCGTGCGCCCCCGGAGAGAGTGGACTTAGTTCTACTGATGGCGTCTGTGTTGATAACTAGAACAAGGAAGAGAAACCGATATCTAGAAATCAAAAATTCAAGTTGAGAAGGATGCCGGACGAGACAGATCTCATGGGACCACTCGTCTGACAATAATCTTCACGATTATAGATCTTAATTTCTGAGACTGAGAGGGGGCGGGGGTAGGGGTTGGGGTAACAGGGAGATTACTTCTAACAAACTCACACATCTTCATCTCCTGGGTTGTGCTGTTGGTCACAAGTTGTAGGAAGGGGAGTGTTGTTCGAGCACCGGGCCTGGACGTGAAAACGAAAAGAAAAAACAGACATTGGCGAGAATAGACACAAATATATAGTCCTAAAAACGCTCTAGAGACATTTACAGAAACGATTGCGCGGCTGCACGGAGGAACGATGAACCGAAGCAGAAGAATGAAAGCACGATGACCGAAATTTCTGGAGCAAGTGCAGTGGCTTGTCAATTGCCAGGTAATTTGTGAAGTACTAGAAAAAGAGAACGATAACGAAAACGAAGTGGTGGATTAGAAATATAAAAAAACGAATTGCAACACGACACGAAGACGAGACCACAAGCGCAATGAAACCGAAACGAGGAGAGCGGCCGGCGTTTTGTACTATTTTAAACTTACACACGACCTCCAATTGCTGCAAGAATCATTGATTCGGCATGGTTCACGTTCAGTTCCTCACGACAGGAAACGAACACTGCAGCTATAATACTGACATACAGAAACACAAAAGGAGCCCAGCATCGCGCTAAGACTGCTGTTTACGAGGAGTACTTATTTTCATTTTCAGGGGTACGTACCGTCCTCGTGGAAGCGCAAACTAACAACACATCATACCATCTCATGCAGAAGCAGACTCATCAAAGTTCAACGCCATGGCAACATAAGATGAACCTACTTTCGTCTCGAGCTCGACAGGTCGCAGCACAACAAAGACAATGCATCATGAGCCTTTTTTTTTTACGATCACTGCTTGAGCTGGATTTCTTAAATACTTGTTGTTGGTGTAGTGCTCGTACTACAAATAGTAAACGGCACTTATTTCTCTGCTGCAGATGAAGCTCGCACTTCCAGCACTTCCTGCTCGTTGGTTTGGTATGGGGTTTTCGTTTTGTGAAAAAGAATAGGCACGATCACGGCTTAGATCGATTTTGTAAGAGAAGGAGATGGTGATGGAGGGGGTGGGATTGGCGGGGGAGGGGATTCGTTGGGGAAAAAAGCAAAGTATCTTTTTCTTTCGCCGAAAGATATACTTTGGTTTCGCTTCGGATACCACGTCCTAGAAGACATAGAGGCAACAATCAACCTCACACGTTTACTAGGTGTTGTACCCGCCTAGGATGTAGGCAAACAAGATTACATAACCTTAACCGCTGTAGTACGCTGCACGCAGCATGGGGGGGCTGCGCTTTTTCCAAAACAAAAAAATGTACAGAAGAATGTGAAAGTGTCGCACACATAGTTCTTTGTGTCAACAAAAACTTTTTGAATGAGATGAATGCTTATGATTGAAATCGAATTTGAATGATAAACGTAAATGTGTATGATGAAAAAGAATGCGCCGCTTGAGAAAAAAATTGTAAACGTAAAAATTGCTTGCCCAAAAATCGGTGTGATTTTTGGTTCTTGCTCCAGCCAGAGCCAACATCTTCAAAACATATTAAAAACTTCGTCGACAGCGTGAGCGTCACCTTTTCAACATACTGCTCCGGACTACACGACCTTGCCGTTTTCCCCCGTAGCGTCCTGCGACAGCTCCACGACGGTTCCCAAATCAGCGGCCTGTAGCTTCGTCCGCGAAACGCTTTCCTCCTTTTCCACCGCGAAGTTGCTTTTTCCGCTGAGGTCCATCATCCCGAAGGCACCAAGCAGGAGAACGAAGCTGGCGGCCAGGCCACCGATCATGACGAGCGCTCGCATGTTGCCAACGAGGCTGTACAAGAAGGACGAAGAGTGAAAGACAAACGAGAAGTGCGCGAGCATTCCGGCCGGGGAAGAAGTGCTTGTGGTGCCAGTGTTCATCTGGTGTGCGCTGCCCGCCATCAGTTTCTGACTTTCTCCAGCACCCGGGTGCTGCGCCGCGCCGTCGTAGTAAGCCAGATCATCTTCCACCACGTTTGTTGTTGTTGTTCCAGAGGCGACGTCCGCCAGCTGGTTGTTGACGACGTTCTTCGGTTCTTCAAATAGCTCGATGGGCGTGCACAAGTCGCGGCTGTACTCAAAGCAACTGGCGGCTTGCCCCGCGGTGCGGGGGTTCCCCTTGCTGAAGAACAGTGTATTGAACAGGCCGGCTGAGTTCGAGCCGTATCGTCCCTGGAGCTGCGTCGTGCGGCCGGACGAGGAGGACGAGGATGTGGGCCTACCTGCACCCCCTCCGTTCAAGTACGCGCCGTGGTGGCCGTATTTCAGGACGGGCAGGTCCGGGTTTGGCCTGATTTCCGGCAGCGCGTGCAACCGTTCCAGGTCCTGCGGCTGGAGGAGGTTCAGTTTGTAGTAATCCGAGTTCACAAGTTCCCGGAAATACGCAACCACCTCGTCATCCTCGTTCGCAACCTCCGCGATCTCTGCGTCGTTCAGGAACAGGTTGCTGTAGTCAAAGCGGCCGCGCAGCCCGTAGGAGTAGAAATCCTCCTGGGCGTACGGGGCAGTGATGGCGTCCCACATGTTGAGAAACCGCGAAGACTTGGTCATCACCTTCTGCCCGTTGGCCTGGATCACTTCGCTCTCTTGCCTCTCCATACCGGGGTAGGGCTTGATGTGGTCCATGCGGTAAAGGGAGAGCTTCCCGCGGAGAAGGACGTTCGCTCGTTCATCCACTTCCGCGACGCAGTTCCCACCTGTCAGTGATTGATGTAAGTAGCATGTTGGTGCCAGGACCAGGAGACTGTCAGTACAGACAAATTGCGGGGGCTGTCGAGTAGATGCAATTAGGTGGGAGGAAGCAAGAATGGCCTATTGCTATCTTATACCTACACCTAATGGTAATGGTTTTGGTTGTATCAAGAGGCGTGCTCCTCCTGCTACTGACCAGAGATCACGAACATGATTGACGATGACAGGTACCCTGGTAAACTAAGTCTACCAGGGTACCTGTCAGTTGTAGACTGTAGTGCTGTTCTTTTCATATATAAATCGAAATAACGAAGAAGAACCACGAAGAACAAGAAGTTGAGCATTAGAGAATAGCTACGTTTCTTTTTGTCCTGCGCCGCCTTCTCCTTCTTTGCTTCGGCATCTAGATACTCGAGGTGCTTGACCGTGCCGATCATGCCTGCGAACCCGAGCTTGACCTCCGAGGGGAAGATTTCGTTGAAGTTGTATTACAGTGAAAAGTGCCCCCCACTCCTCAAATTGGAAAAATTTGTGATGCGAAGGTTGCAAATGAAAACTTTTTGTCATGCATGAAACGAGTATGAATCTTTCTGATGCAGAGTCTAGGCGTGCATCGCATCGCTTGCATGACAAGCGCCGCTCTTGCTGGGGTCTTTTGCAATACAAATTTTCGCTATTCACGAGTGGAAACCTGTGATGCTGAAAGGTGCAAGAGGGCGAATGTTTCATTTGGAAAGGTTTGCAATACAAATGCTTTCAAGTTCGGGGGTGGGGGCATTTTTCATTCTGATAAGTTGAGGTAAATCTTCTGCATTTGCTCCTTGCGCACGGCGTCCTCCAAGTTTTCCATGCGCTGCACCTCCCGAGTGAACAAGCCAATTTTGTTCGCTTCCAGCACGTGCTGAAAGCCCTTGAAGAAGACGCCGTCCTCGATTCGATGCGGCTCGTTCGGAAATTTGACCCGGTCCATGTTGACCCGGGTGGCGCGCGCCTCGATGGCGGAAATAACACTGTCGACGAAGGCGGCGAGCGCCAGAGTGGCGGGAAACGTCGAAGCGATGTCTACCACCGAAATCGATCGGTACACATCGAGGATAGTGTGGACCAGGGTCTCGCGATCCAGGTTTTCCGCGATGCTGGTGTCGCTGGTGTTGTCGATCCGGATCTGCATGAAAAGGGTGGAGTTGATGTTGAAGTCGGTCCAGTTGAAGGGCAAGCGGTCGAGCAGCTTCGAGTGTTCCGGCAAATGCAGCCGTTCGTGGGCCCACTCCCACATCTGCCGCCTCTTGTAGTTCTTGCCGCCACGGCGGCTCTTCGGGTCCCGTTGCGCCTCCGCGTTGGCCAAGTACTGCTTCGAGGCTTCGGGGGTGAGCAGGTACTTGGCCAGCGGGATCGACATGATCTGCGCGGCTTGGCCCAGCATGGTGTGCAGGTTAAACTCCGCTTTTGCGGCGGTCGACTGGTTTGTCAAAAACAGCAGGTCAATGTCCTCTGACTCCTCGATCTCGATCTGCACCAGCGCCTCCGGGTCATTCGGATCCGCTATTTGTTCGCCAGTCGATGTTGACGTTGTTTGCGTTTGTTTATTTGCTGAGGACGACGGCGCGACGGTCGTGGAGGACACTGCGTCTGTGTCCACCATCCCGCCTTGCTGCTGCTGCTCTGTCCCCGCCACGTGCAGCCCCTCGAGAACGGAGGACTTTTCGACTTCGGACAAGTTTAAGGCGTTCAACGCGTTCAGACTGGAGGTGACATTGGTGCTGTTCTCGATCCAGACACGCTGCGTGTGCCGGGAGTGCAGGTGGACCTCGTGCGTGTTCAGTGCCTGCTCGGACTCTTGCAGCTTTTTCACCTCATCAGAAGAAAGCGTGTTAGCGATAGATTTGACCTCCTCCAGCAGCTCCTTGGTGGCCTCGCTGTTCTGGTCTGAATTTGGACTGCTGGAGGCACCGTCCGAATTCATGTCTGGAGACGGGTCCGAATTGATGTTGTCCTGCTCCGTGGGCGTGCTTGTTCTGCGACCCTTCTTTGATGCCGAACGGGCCTCGGCCTTGTGGGTATCGACAAACTTCTCAAACTTGTTGCTCAGCGCGTCGTTGTTGGCCTTCTTGTTCACCCGCTTCACGTCAGTCTGCAGGGTGGCGCGCTCGGTGTCATTGAACGAAGTTCGTAGAAGCGAGGACTTGGAATCCGCGACGGTCTGTGGGGATTGATGTTGGTGCAGTTTTGGTTGGGGGATAATATATGGATAAATCCGGTTCCGTTACAGTCACTAAAGCCTCTACGTATGTAAAGTCATTCATCAACGCAGCACGGACAAGCAGATTCTACTGTTTGCTTTTCTTTTGCTAGAAGAAGCACAACGTCGAATCACGATGAGTATATGACTTTTTCTTTTAGTTTTATCTATGTTTTTTCATCATTTTCATACCTGCAGATGTCGCTCCAGCTTGGAGTTTAGGGACTGAATCAGGCGTCCGTGATCTTCCGCAACGAGGTTTTCCAAATCGAACGTCGCCAGAGGCGAGCGGATGAAGTGCTCAAGAAAGGCCATCATCTGCAGGAGACTCGCCAAGGTCAACTGGTTCAGGTCTACGCCGAAGAGCTCCAACAACAGAACTCCTATGGGATCGGTGTCGGCGTTCAAGCGCGCCACTTGCGGCCTGGATCCGCGGCCGTTCTTGTTCGTGTGAGAAACGCGGGAACTCCAAACGCCGGTAGTAACGACGGGAACCTTGACGGCGGCCTCGTCGCGAATGTCCTTCGCGAACTCCTTCACGATGGCGCGGGCCACGCGCTCGTGCGCGATCATGTCATTCTCGTAAGCATACTGCAGCTCCGAACTCTTGGCGTCCAGTTGCATCGGTGATCCTACTATGGATTGCAAAAATGTCTGGGTCTGGAAGATTGCTAGGTTTGTCAGGCAGGTTTTCCATGACCCACGCGCTCTGGCATGCACGGCCTAGCGTGACAGGTTCTGTGAAACCTCTATCATGCCTTTCCTGCATGAGAAACTGCCTCTAAAGTTGTTCAAAAGCGGAGCTCTTTTGGTAATCATGCAACACAAAACTTTCCACGATCCAGATTTAGCATGACAAGCTACATCCTTCCAGACCCAGACACTTTTGCATTTCATACCTACCATGGTGCCGTGGATTTCGACCGCCCGCTTCTGCTATCCTGTGCAAAAGTATCGCACTCGTATAAATGCAAGTCTTTCATTACAAATCTTGCCCCCAAGGCAAATCTGCATTACAAATCTTATGTCTCACGCTGAGGAAATTTGTAATGCATTTATACGAGTACGATACTTTAACTTTTGCAATTCATATCTGCATCCATTGCGGGATCTGCCCCTGAACTTTCTCGCTCCATTCGCTGATGTTTCCTGCCGACGTGGTGGTTAAGTTCTTGTAATAGTTTAGCGTACCGTTCGCGAAAAACTGCTCGTAGTCGTGCATCGAGGAAAGGAAATCCCCGTGCTCTACCTTGTCGAACGTAAACAGCTTCGAGAGTTTTTTGTGCACATCCTCTATGGAGGGTGCAGCCGCCGCGCTGCCCAGTGGTGCTGCCGTCGTGCTGGCGCTGGACAATGCCTGTGGCGTGGTAGCCAAGTAAATCAAAGCAAACAGTCGTGTCCGTAGCGCGTTCATATTAGGCATTGGCATCACGAAGGTGGTTAATATAACAGTAATTCAAAGGTTAGGAGTTGCTTGCTTTCGAAAAAAAAGAACCCTTTACGACCTCACTGAAGATAACCAACACCTGCTAAATGGGAAATCATAATAAACATGGTTAAAAAGGTCAAGCAGGAGACGAGGATTTCCTGTTTGAGTTTTTGATTTGACATGATGTTCGTAGAAGAAGTCACAACTGCAACTGATGCAAAATCTTGAAAATGTTGACGATGACGATCACCAGGAAGGTTCAAAAAGAAATTCACGAATCATGGTGCGAGTTGTCAGCTGGATTGCTGTATGTGGGTGGTAAACGACCACGACAACCTGAAAAGGTTGAGTTTGTAAGTACGATGGGGGCTGGCGGACGAAGACGATCCCACACAATACTGTATACATACTTTTCTGTAATCATGAAAATGAACGAGAGGAATACGCTGCACGAGATCATAATCTAGGTCGCAGAAACACTTCCTACTTCTTGTTCTTCTGCCTTTTGGTTATTATAATCGGCCATTCATACGATTTCATTTTCAACGATGAAACTAAGAAGGAACCCTTAAATAATATCATATAATGAAAGATACCATACGTTGTACTTAATTCCGTTACCTCCGTGAACAAACAATTGGATGTCGTGAACGAATCCAATGAGAGACGAACAAAAATCCGCCCAACATCAAGACCAAAGTTAGTGGAGGTTCTGCAACATGTTATTGTGCGCGAATAAATGACGCATCGCACTACTAGGGGTAGAAGGGCTAGCCGTAGCCATCTCTTTTATCAGAGCAAGAATAACAAGGATGGATATCCGGCATTTGAGCAGCTGCCCATCGTGATATTGTTAGAGAAAGCGACGCTGTGAAGCCTAGAAGTCAACGGATTCCGCTCGGGCAAGGTCGTTTAAGGTTTCCCGGGAAGCCTTCGGCTTCGCTCGTGCTAAAGTGTGTGTTGCAATGCAACCGAAAACGCGGCGCGCGCATGGACTCCGCTGCTATTTGTGTACACAACCGCGCCGCGTCTCTCTGTGTTGGCGTCTCATGTGCTTAAATCGCCACAGTCGGTTGCGGATTGCGAGCAACCTGGCGGCCCCGGCAAACCGGCGCACATTTCCCGCGGAATTTGCATCGCGGATTTTCTGCCCCAATTTGGTCCGCCTCGGAGGGCCTCCCTTCCCCCGATGCTGCGGCCCCGATTTCGGGAGAGGATTCCACACAGGATTCCGCAGAGGGTTCCAAAATCCTCTCCGGAATCCTCTGGCCCAAGTTGCGCCGTCTTTCGCGCCCTTTCCCCGACGGGACTACCTCGATTTCGGGGGAGGATTCCACAGAGGATTCCGGAGAGGATTCCAAAATCCTCTCCGGAATCCTCTGGCCCGGAATCCTCTGGCCCGGAATCCTCTCCGGAATATCCTCTCCGGAATCCTCTGACCGGATTCGCGCCGTCCTTCGCGGTCTTTCCCCGGCGGCACATCGTCGATTTCGGGAGGGGATTCCGGAGAGGATTCCTCCGGAGACTCCACAATCCTCTCCGGAATCCCCTGGCCCAATTTGTGTCGTCTTTCGTGCCCTTTCCCCCGTGGTATGCACTACCTCAGCCGGGCGGATTTCCCCGGGAACAGGGCGGACCGACCCCCCGAAGCGAGGGCGGACCCCCCGGGGAGCGGGCGGATCCCCCGAAGAGCGGGCGGATCCCCCGGAGAGCGGGCGGATCCCCCGGGGAGCGGGTGGGTCCCCGGGGAGCGGGCGGATCCCCGGGGAGCGGGCGGATCCCCTGGGCGAAGGCGGAACCCCGGGGGACGGGCGGATCCCCTGGGCCAAGGCGGATCCCCTTGGCGAAGGCGGATCCCCGGGAAGCGGGCGGATCCCCTGGGCCAAGGCGGATCCCCGGGCGGGGAGCGGGCGGATCCTCGGGGAGCGGGCGGATGGATCCCCTGGGGGAAGGCGGATCCCCGGGAAGCGGGCGGACCCCCTGGGCGAAGGCGGATCCCCGAGGAGCGGGCGGATCCCCTGGGCGAAGGCGGATCCCCGGGGAGCGGGCGGATCCCCGGGCAACGGGCGGATCCCCGGGGAGCGGGCGGATCCCCCAAAAAAGTCCACAAATCGAAATCACGACGCTATGCTTATTTTTTTCCCGTCATTCTAAACACAAGAAAACCACGCTGCCGTCGTGATTCGTTGGCTTAGGTCTCAGAGCGTCAGGGTCTCTATTGTTATTGCTTTATTCAATCAGTTCAAAAACACCACTAAACTCTCACACGACAGGAGACCGAGACACCCACCGCCGGTCGACGTCTTGGCATACAATAGAGAATTTAGATTTACTTCACTTTTTCTATTTCTTGGAAAATCGGCTATAAACTTAAACAAAACCATTCCGGACGATTTAAAAATCGAAATCCATCGACACTCAAAATGATGGGATTGGTTTCCCACCAGAATTACAGATAGCCAAGCTGGACGGAGGGACACCACCAGATCCAAAAATCATAGGCCTGGAACAGGCGTTCAACGCTGACACGAGCGAGTTTCACCACGCTCAATCACATCGTGATGTTAAGGACAAGGTGCTTGCTGTGTCTTCTGTCAGTGAGAAGCCCTCACCAGGAAGAGCCCCACTGGCACTGCCAGCCTCCACCACCGCGGCGTTGCCGCTTTTGCTTGCTGCCCTCTTCCTCACCGTGCCACGCGGCCCGGGACCATTTTTTGTTTTTGTCCTTGTTGCTCTTCCACCAATTTTGCTCTGTGGACTGTTGATTTTGAACCTGTGCACCTCCACCAGCGCAGCTCCCGCCGTTGAACCACGAATATACACCGTCAAAATCTTTCCCGCCCGAAGACGGTCGGCCGTAGACGCCCGCCCCCGCAGGCAATTTGTAGCTATCGAGAGGTCCAAGATCCTCAAGCTTCTTCTTCAACGCCGGCGGATCGCGGTACCAGCCTAGTTTCCAATCCTCGGCACTCAGCGCGTCCACAGCCAAATGATGCTGAATCCAAAACAGCGTAAATGGCTCGACGTACGGCTCTAATTCCGGCTTCACCAGCTCATCCTTATGGTTCAGCACCTTGTCTGCCATGCGTCCCATATTTAGCCTGATGTGAAGTGAAGCGCATTAAAGTTGATGGATCACGTGCTGCTTTTTAATTTATTTGTTGGTTTATTTTTGCAGCGATGGGTGCACTATCGTGTCAATTCCAATTGCAATTCATTGTGCTGCGTATCAACTTCAACTAACATCATGAAAGAACGTGGCTACCCTTCACCCTAACACGACGACAAGAGCAAGACCAAGTAGAGAGACTTTCGAAAAACTGCTGATTCCCCTCCTTTTACCATTGGAGCAGCATCAAAGAGGTAGCTACTTGCGGCCGTATCAAGATCAACCGCGGCTCGATAAAAGCAACAGAAATACCGCCTGAGCTCGTCCGGTTCCGCGGTCGCCAGCCAGGCAAGAAAATTCACGTCTGCAGTGGCTGCGAAGTGTGCGGTGTCGCTATCGCCGCGTGAGTGGATAAAGTTCAAAAAGAGCCGCATGAACCGAGCGATATGCAATCCTTGCCGGACCTGTTTGGGCATGCTTCTCTTACACCAAAAATTGAGACGGTTGAAGATACTCGGTGAGATTGTCTTCGCCTCGCAGATTTCCGTGATTTTAGCGGCAATATATCGGTTCTCGTTGAAGTTGTAATTGTAGTGCGTTTCTGGAGTCTCCGGAAAAATCCCCTGCTTGCATTCATGCGGCCTGTAGATAACCTGTTGTGCATAATTATGTGGTCGCTTGATGCTAAAGCTAATCTGCAAAGCAAAAGCTGCTGTTTCTAAGAAACGCGAAGCACCCTTCCCCGACCGGAACCCAGTAAAAGAAAGCGATTCACCCCTGCATCTAAAATTAATAATTCGTTGTTGTACGCTAAAAAAAAACGATACATGTCGTGAAGATGTGCTACCTATGCAAGTAGCGATCTCCTTCAACTTAAGCTTAACGCTAACCATAACCAAGGAAGCAACTATAATGGTTCGGCCATACAACGCTTACGCATACCTGGTAAGACACACTGAATTTGCGCCCTTGAAAAACCTTTGGAGGCTCGATACTTTTAAAGTTCTGCTCCTCAAGTGTGCACGGGACCCAGCTGATAGTGCGCGAATTTGTTTCGATCTTTTTGCCTCTGTTCGCTTCCCCGTAGATTCGATCGCAAAGAGCCACAAGCAAGTTTTCCCCACAGTTCTTGTCTGGCACCGTGACAAGCGAGTCGAAATCGCTGTCAGCGCAGCTATATTGCCCCCAGCGTGACCCCTGAAGCAACAGCCTCGGCTTTTCCAATGTCTCAAACACTTCACACACAGCAGCACACGCTGGTGTCTTCGTCTCCGCACCAAGCAAAAGCTGCCCGATTACGTAATCGCTTGCCTCCCTCTGCGCTCTGTGGCGATCATCCGGCTCATTCTGCCACTTGGCGCGCACCTCGCTGAATTTTTCGTCTTCTAGCTGTGTGTTTTCCTCTCCGGCAGCCTGAAGCTTCTTCTCGTAATGTTTAAAGCACTGCGTTGTAGTTGGAACGGCCAGCCGCAACTCGTCGAACATCAAGGGAGGCCGGACACGCCGCTCTTCTACGTTTACTTTGGCTCCGCAACTTTGCTCGCCAGCTGCAGTCGTTCTTGACGATGAAGAGCAGTGGTGTATTGCGAGACTCGCACCTTCATTGCCGATACCGTACGAGCCCCGGCAGGCCGACCCCGCTTCCTTTGCCTCAGCGTCGTCGTGGTCTATGCGGCCGAACGGATTGTGACAAGTTGCTGTGCGGCTGATTCCTGCTTCGTAGCATGGCGCGCCGTCAGTCTCTTCGCGCAGCTCGCCATCGCTCATTTTCCTGAACGCAAGTTTCAAGTGGTCCAAGTTCCCAAGATGATCTTACGCATGTAACCGATTTTAAAAATTTCGCGCCCCGGGTTCGCGCAAATGTGACAAAGCGCGTAGGCAGGTTCTAGCGCTGCTTTCCTCGCGCCTTGACATAGTGCGCCGAAGCGGATGCGTCCGTCGCAATGGTACAAGTGCGACACCCGGCCACTTTCTGTTGGCCACAGGTGCGCACGCAAATGCACAGGGGCCGGGCCCCCAGCAGCCCCACACAGTGCCACACCCGCGCCAGAAGCTCAGAAAACTTCTCGCGCAGCCGCAGCCAATCGGAACAACACTGGGCGCTCTCGGTCATGGTGCCCCCGAAGCCCGAAGTCGTGACCCAGCTTCGAACCCGCGCTCACTCAGAGCGCGGGCACAGATAAATAAGCTTGCAGGATCGGGGGCTCCCGATCTTACGAGCAAAAGCCCCCAACCTCGTCCCGGCAACATAGCGAGATCCACGAAAGCGGCCTCCCGATCTCGCTGATCTCGTGCCGATCTCATCTCCGGCCGATCTCGCGGCGATCCCCGGCCGATCTCGCACCCCCTCCCGCCGATCTCGCTGCGATATAACTCACGGCCGATATTGATCTTACTGGCCAGCGCCCGCAGGTCGGAAATTCCTTCCCATTTTCGCTGTAGAATGAATTTCCGCCCGCGAGATCAACGAGATCGGGCACGAGATCAACGAGATCGCGGGGGAGATCAGGCGGGAGATCATGAATTTCCGCCAGCGAGATCAGCGAGATTGGGCACGAAATAAACGAGATCGCGGGGGAGATCAGGCGGAGATCATGCGATATCGATCGCTTTGATATCGACCGTTCTCGCGTCGTCCCAATGCGAGATCGTAGCAGGGCCCGCGGGGGGGCGCCGGCTTTCCCAGCCGTCGAGGCCGCCGGCGTTCACGACCGATATCGCCAATCCCGGGCTGCTACTTCTACGACGTCGCGCGGCGGCCGCTTCGAAAATTTTACGCAGCGCCCCTGGTTGCAGTTACAGAGCGCCGCTGCACCGGCGCGGTCAAGCCGAAAGGCTTCAGAGAGAACCGCGGGCAGGTCTTTGGCCGTGCCATCTCTCGCGAATTTCATGACGCTGAATCGACCAGCCGCTGCGGAGGCATGGCGCAGAACGGCCGAGGGGTTTACGCTATGCCGACGAATCCCCGGGCAGACAGACCAGGGCAACGATGGGCCTCGCGCGGTGCCCTCCAATGGGCGAAAATCTTGAAATTCCGTTATATCAGTTATATCATCATGGGAATTGGACCACATAACAAGTTCTAGAGCCTGCTCATCCACAGATCGGTTTGTATTTTTGAGCGTACTATCTGCTGTCTCCTGCAGCTGTGTTCGCTTTTCATCTACTGCAGTGTGCTCACCTGCTAGTGCTACATGAGGATGTTGTCCACGCGCGCTCCTCTGCTCCGATAAGGCTTCCTCAGATTCGATTATCGCGTCTTCGCCTTCTTGTTGCTCTGGAAGGTAGTGCCACGGCAGGCCGTAGGGGGAGTTGTACAGCTCCGCCAGTAACTTGTCTTGCAAGTAATACCGCGCATCGTCGAAGAACTCACGTTCGTATTCCTTGTAGCTGATGCAAAGGCCCGCCCTTCGAAAATACCTCTTCATCATGTCCACCGCCGTAGCATAAGCGTGCTTGTCATCGGAAACCTGCGCTGGGCAAATCACCATACAAATTTCCACCTTCGACGGCTGCAATCCATGATGAAGGCGTAGCACATTGTGGCAAAAGTTGGATGCGTAGTCATTTTTTTTCCTCCCCCGCACCAAAATAGCGCTGTCCGCGCTGATCACGACCCGAAACGTGACATCTCGTGCGTCCCTGACGCTTGCCCCCGCCTCCGCGAGCCGCGGTTTGATTTCCTGCGGAAATTTTTCGTCCTCTAATTGCACCGCCCCGCCACGCTCGTCTTGATGCGCACAAATCTCTTTGTGTAGTGTGCGCCAGTAGACAGTTTGCGCGGCAAACATGTGCGCCTTGTTATTCACATAGTAGGCACTGACAGAGAGGTCCTCGAAAAATTTCAGACCGCGCTCCTGCAGATCCTCAAGTACGAACTGATCTTGTTCCGTCTCCTCGATAATACCATCGAGCTGACCCTTTTTCTTCATCCGCTTGTATGTTCGCCGCATCAATGCCACGGTAGATTCACCGATGAGCACAGTCGCTTGATGTTGAGCTGCAGCCATGACCGGCGCAGACATTGACAAGGAGCTACAAGCCGACGGTGTCAATGTGTGCGAGGAGGAGCTGAACCCAGAATTTTGTTTTGGGCTGGTAGTTGCATCTTCGAGGTGCTGATATTGACGAGCAGCCGCAGCCGCATCGTCCTCGTCCTGGTGAGTCTGACACGCTTCTGTGATGATGCCACTAGTGCAGGCCACTGAGGCTCCAGCGGGAGCCAAGACATGGTCTACAATGTCAGCAAAGAGAGCCTCTGCCTCGTCCCGATCATGCACTTCTTGCGCGTTGGCATTGTTTTGGAACGGGTTCGCGGGACCTGCGTCCACGGTTGTAGTCCCAGGGATTAGCCTGCTCTTCGAGAGCCCCGGGCTTGACATGTTTTTCAGCTATGCATATGTGGCAAAGACAATAAAGAGAAAGACGTCGGTCCTGGTCGTGGTCCCGATAATAAGGAGTTTTCCTTTTCAGATCTTCAACGTTCTACTTTCAAGTTCAACATATTTACCCATTCGAAAACGAATGAAACCTCGAAAGATGGCGCGACCCTTTAGCGACGCTGTGTCAACTACGCGAGCGTCTTCGTATTTTTAGATAAAGATGACAAGTTGTCGAGAATAAGTTCGTCCGCCTGAAAACGCGGCAAAGCAAGCTAGTACGAATCCAAAAACCCAAGTACCTCAAGCCATAGTGAAATACTTGTCCGCGGCCGTACGAGGATCTTTCGATTCGTTCTTGTGGACGCACAAAATACTTGAAATCACGCGTACTAGCACGGCCGGCTTACTACTTGTCACACTATGTACAATCGCGGTCACGTACATATACTTGATCTTCTGCTTCTTGTGGTTGTGATGCGCTCCTTCTGCAAACAAATCAACTCTGAATGCTTGACTTCTGCATTTGATCCTGCTTCGAAATCAGTCGTGCACGTACTGAAAAAACTCCAGATCATCATCGGCACATGATCGAATGAATGACTTGCCTCGTCTCTCTCTGTCAGTCTTTGTTCCGTGGCGGAAGAATGAAAAGAAGGGCTAAAATCTACGATATGAACCTTTAATTGAAGATGATGATCATGAAGAACAGCAACGACAACTTGCCAAATCCTCATGCCAGACGGATTGCGGGGCGCCATCGGCATCGCGATGCCGGCAGCCTCCGCTTAGGCGTATCCGTATCCCACGGCAAGTGCGTGTGCCTGTGGTGTTCCTATAAACATTGGGGTGGTTCTTCTACCTCGCGCAAGCGGAAAATTGATCGATGGGAGTCCTCGTGGTCTGCAGCATGTATTTATTTTGTACATTGATCAGGTCGACTTCGACGGGCCTACAGTGACGTTGCAGATGCCGTGTCTGTGTCATAGTCAGGGCGTCAGGGCGGTATATACATAGAAGCACTCTACTGAATAATCGAAATGTTGCTTGGAGGTTCCACGCAACTTACCTACTCGTGGTCGTCAACAGCGCCTGAGTACGCGTTGAGCCGATCAGAAAAGCTCACGATGCTCCTGTGCAAAGATCGCTACAACTGCGTTGACTCTAAGCTGGACAGACACAAGCGACGAGCTGCGACAAGAGACCAAAGTGTACGTGATTTCGAGCAACCATACACTGCATGTTGATTGACATTGCTTGAGCAGTGGTGACTCCGGATGCGATGTTGAGCGATAGTGAACGGGATGCGCAAACACTCTCTTGAGCAAAATAGAAGGAACCAAAAACTACCTATCGGAGGGAGGGAGACGTATATCCTTGTGACCTGGAATAAATTCACTTTCACACTATTCTGAGCGAAGAAAATAGCCATACCCCGGGTGGGAGAAAGGTAAAGCGAACCGCTCGGATTGTCTTGTTCTACTGTGGAGCGAATGTCATACCCATTTTTTTAGCGCAAGCTAGCGTTTGCGTTGATGGCAACGCAGGACACAATAAATGTCCCTCGATAATATTGATGTAAGCCTAAGCGTATTGATGATTGTCTGTGCGACGTCACCTACATAGTACAAGCCGTTCCGTAGCAGAGTAGCGGGGCTGCAGCGCTGCTTGGCCTCTTGAAAAAGGTGGCGTAACACATAACAAGAAATACGTTACAGGGGTGGTGTGAAATTATCGCTAATATCCACCGTGCCATATGAAATCTGAAGTTGCACCATTGACACGACCTGCTTCGACTAAGCCCTTCGTTCCCTACAAAGTAACTGTAGCGTTGAGTTGGTAAAGTAATTATTGCGGCATTTCCTAGGAAAGCGCAACACTTCTAGCTCTACCAGCTCCTCCGACAATAGTAATCGACCACAGGAGAGAAAACGAAAGCAAGCCTGTATGTCGAGTTTGGACAATTTCTTGACAAAAAAGTGGTAATGACAGAAACGCAAGAGCATAAAAAAGGAGGGTTGACATTTTCTGCCCCACAGCACCGTATTCTGCGATTTACTTTCAGGTCATAGAAACATACCTTCTGGGAACGAGACGGATAGCCATAGGAGAACGATCTTACTTTGTAGACGAGGGCTATCAGAGATTGCTCTTCATGGACAGAAAAGTAAAAGTTAGCGTAAGTAGCATTAGGAAAATAGTTTACATATTGCAATAGATACACAAAGCGTGCGAAACTTGAGTTTTTCTCTGAGATAGAAAGCAACATGTTGAAACCGCTGTAAAGAAAATATGACGTAGAATGTAGTGCGTTAAATACTAGGAGTCGGAGTGAAACAACAAAGAAACAGCTACTATTTTCTGCATCGGCCAAAATGACCATAGTAGTTCTGGACGAAAACTACATACGTGTCATCTTTGCCGAATTTAGTTGCCAACTACTTTCAAATTGTTTCCGAAATCTGATGACTACTAGCTGCGCATAGATCTGTTTATGTATTTCGTCACGTCGTCTCAACTTGGTGCTGTGATTGTTATTTAGCGTTTTGAGTAAATTTCAGACTCTGAAGAAACAGATACATCAAGGTGTCTTGATAATCATACAAACGAGGAAAGAATTATTTCGCCGCAATAATGTTTCCTAAACAGTTTTGCGAATTAAAAGAGGAAACATTTTCGATTTTAATCCTTGGTGGTCTTGGCAGCGGCAATCAGGTCGTAGGATGGGTCAGCCGGGCCCATGCCATCCAACAGGCGCTGCTTCTGCTTCTCGACGTTGCCCTTCGCGGCCTTCGCCAACCACCAATCCGGCTGGTTTTTAGTTTTTTGATGACATCTTCAGGTTGAAGCTCTACTTTCGTTGTCACTCACAACCAACGTGACTATGAAAAGCATCATGTTCATGCCGGCAACTACTTAAAAATTCGATTTCATTTTTTTTTTTACGACCACGTCATTTGTAGAAGTTTATGAACAGAAAATAAAAAACTAAATGACGCCGGCACTTGCTTCAAGAGGATTTATTTCATTTTTCAGAAAAATGCATGTACCTGCTTGTCCCCCTGCGGGATTTTGTAGATTCGCTCGCGCAACGCGACCTCGTACGCGGCAGCCTCCTCGTGGGTCTTGCACTTGATGAAGATCTGCAGCAGAGTGCAGCCCGCACCGGAGGCAGCATCGTCGGAGGTGATGGTGTAGTTGCGCTGTTTCACATGACGGACCAGCTCGACTTTACCTGTTGACGTTGATGAAATTATTTGTGCATGATGAAAAACGAAAAACCACATAAACTAAAGGGCAGCAGATCCACAACAAAAAAGGCAGTGGAAGTAAGTTGTAGTACTTAAAAACAAAAAACATCGGTGAAAATAACGCAAGAAGCAGTAAGAAAAAGAATAAGAAGCCTGCCTCGACGTACAGATTACAAAACAAGAACTCCAGAAATAGCAAAAACAAGCTACCAGTGCCCTCGATGTGGTCGACGAACTGGTAGTCCAGGATTTCGTTGGCCATCTTGCCTTCGCAGCCCATGACGTTGATCAGGGCCTGCAGAGACACGGCGTAGTCGTTGTCACGCCACTTGGTCCACGGGGTGACCTTCGGCGGCGTGTTGTCCAGGACCAGGTCGAAGTTATCCGCCCACAGGTTGGTCTTGTAGGCGATCTGGTACGGAATGTGGTAGGCGTGCGCGCACCGCGGGTTGATCTCGCAGAAGCAGAACTCGACCGGGCCGCCCTCCGGGGTTAACGCCCAGATTTCGACGTTGAAAAACTGCTGCAGGTAGCCTGATGGTGATGTTAAGGAGGTTTTCTTTCCTTTCTACGTGGTTCAAAGAACAGGACACTCGTCACGCGGCAAAGAAACTTACGTCGCCGGTGCCAGTATATCAAACAAAAAAGCAAAACAACTGCGAAAGCTGCATTGCAGCAACTGCGAAGGTTCAGGCACTGAAACTAAACATCAGCTCTGAGACAAAAATAAGCCGCTAGGACCACGTAAGTGGTATAGCGGCAGACGCAGAGAGACCAACGGCAACGCAACAGCAGCTATGGTTGATTCTATTTGAATAAGTTTCACATCAAATACACACATCATCATCATCAACATCTTTCTGGATTACTACCCTTTTCGATGAGGCCGCCCATGTAGCCGCTGAGGTACTCTTCGAGTTCCGGGATTTTGTTCCTCGGGTAGGACATGGGCGGGGTTATGTAGGCCAAGCCCGCGTGTTCGGTGGAGTACATTTCCTCGGTGAAGCCGTAGTGGTGGAGCGCGCCCTCCGCGGTGATGCAGCCTTCGTAGCAGTACTCGACCCAGCCCAGGTCCAGGTTGACGCAGTGCTCCGCCAGGAAGGGGGGCACGTCGCAGTCCAGCTTGGCGTGGTCAGCCTCGGTGAAGTACTCGAGGATGGAGTCGTTGGTCTTCTTGATGGCGGCCTGCAGCGGCGCGTTCGCCCGGTACTCGTCCAGGATCTGGGCCATGGCCTCCGGGGTCTTGCAGCGGAACACGCCGCGGCCCAGGGACAGGGAGGTGTTCTTCAGCATGCAGGGCCACTCGTCGGCGGGGATCTTCGCGATGATCTCCTCGTTGGTCTCGTTCTCCGGGGTGACCGGCGCGAACCAGAAGGGCTTCTTCTCGATCGTGCGCTGCATGTACTTGTTCATGGCCACCAGGTAGGCCAGGGAGGAGATGGACACCGAGCCCATCTCGCGGTTGATCAGGGCGTGTTGCCAGGAGTCCTTCTGCTATCAAATGTAAAAATGTCCTCTGGGTCTGGAAGAATGCAAGTTTGTCATGCTTGTCTCACATGACTCTTAAATTTGTCATGCACATTACCCAAGAGCCCCACTTTTCTGTCATGCAGAAACGCTGTTTGTCATGCAGAATAGGCAATACCTAGAACAAGCTCAGAAACTTGTCATGCTGAGCCAGCACTTGTGGCCTCCTCGTGATACGCCACCCAGCATCACAAGTTTCCAGACCCAGACATTTTTACAATCCATATCTGCGCCAGCCCGACCACGCAGGGCAGGCCCTTGTCCCTGGCCTCGGCGGCCAGGGAGGCGATCATCGGCTTGGAGGAGTCGGTCTCGTCCGGGGTCATGATGTGGATGTCGTAGCGGGCGCGCAGCTGCTCGATGTACTTGCTCATGTAGGGCTGCGGGTTCAGCAGACCCAGGGAGCGGCGGGCGGTCACGACGTGCCTCACGCGGCGGTCGAACCGATCGGTGGCGTTGATCACCCGCTTGGTCAGCTCCGCGAGCTCCGGGGAGTTGTCGTTGGTGCGGTGGTAGTCCGAGGGCTGCTTCTCGAGGTACGCGGTCAGCGCGTCGAGGGCGGGCAGAAACTCCCCGTTCATCATTTCGTGGGCCTGGGCGCAGGCGTTGTAGGCACCGGACTTCGACTTGTTAGCGGCGTAGTTCTTACGCGTTGGCGCGGTCGGACCGGTCACGGGAGCCGGGGCGGGGGCTGCACCGCCCGCCGGGGCGTTGGCTGGAACACTGGCACCGCAACCCATGGTTTTCAGGTGGAGGCGATGTTTCGGTTACTACGAACGGGAACAAAGCTTTAGCTTTACGCGTTAAGTGGACGTCAATCTTCCCGAAGGAACAAAGGGCAAACAGCTCGACTACTGAAAGTTTGAGTGGATTCGTTAAGAATTAACGACGAGGTTGCTGTACTCTATTCAGTCAAAGACCGAAAAGAGGTTGTAGTGTACGAGTTTGACTTGGGAGTCGGGTTATTCCAACTAGAATAACCAGGAGGTTTTAGTGGCTGTTGTAGTGGTGTTTGCGGCATCACGATGAAAATGAAGTTCTTTGTCTTGCTTGCGAAGTTTTGCCTCTCTTTGGTCACGGTGAGGGTCACGATGTCCCCATCCCTAACAACTACAAGAACGATTGATAATTCACGAGAGAGGTGGCGCGCACACTGGTCTGCACGTCACGATATTTACGAATGTGTACTTACGTTGGTCGTGCTTTTGATGAAGCGGCACGCGTATCGTCTTTTTCAGTCTCACGTAGTTCTACGGCCATGCTAGATACGTACCTCCTGCACAGACGTCGAAAAAAAACCGAGACAAGTTCTTGCACTTTTACCTGCAGATCATGTGCGAGAGAAAACGAATGAAACCGATATAGTGGAAGGTCTTGCTTCTTTTCGCCTCTGCTACTGCTATGATAGCTGATAGATCATCAAGTCTCCAGGCATGTCTTCTCGTACTAGGCGAATTTCAAAAGCAAGTTCCGACGACGATGTGGATTTATCTTTCTATTGCGTTTGCGCAGCAGCAGCTCGTCTCTCGCTATCAAGTACAATACTTAATCTTAAGTTTCAGTTTGTTTTTGAACCGAAGGAATGTCGATTTATTCAATACGTCGACTAAACCTCCTTACTTACAACCGACGATGCGTTCAGTTTGTGTTTATGTTTATCATCCTGCTCCTGGCATTTCGATATTACTATTGCATCTTCAAGGCGGGAACGTCGGTCGGCAGGCCGTGCTATTCGAGCGCGCACTTGGATTTTCATTTTTATAGTTTTGGTTTTTGTCTCATGATCAATTCCATTCTCACTTCCTACCTGGTTTTTAGGGCTCTTGAAGCGCGCAAGAAAACTACAGCAGGTGGAAAATCCCCCGAGTGACGATACTTCACTCAACACTAAGTCCGGCGTGCGTAACGCTTTTGGGCGTAAGCGGATCTGCATCTCTACCTTGATTTGCTTTATTCCGCCCCGCCCCCGCTGCTGTCATCACCATTTTCTTGATTTCGTTCCGCATCCTCGCGACGGACCACGTGCTTTCCAGTTCCTTTTTGTGTCGCTTCTGTAGCTCTTTCGCCACGGCCTCAGCGGCCGTCGGTTCTTTGTGTGCGTGGCGCAAAAGTTTTGGCGGCGCCATGCCAAATCCTTCGTCTGACATGGCGAGCGTCTCATCCTCGTCGACGTCGTCGACGTGCACAGAAACTTGCGTTCCGTCGGCAAGCTCCTCCGTGTGATCAGCATGGTCGCGGTCATGGTGCTTGGCGCCTTCCACCTTTTCGTCATGCAGCGTCGTCGTCCTCGGATCGTCTGTTTCGATCGCAATGTGTGCGTGCGTGTCCCCCTCGCTGGGCGCTAATCCGGCGGACCTCACAACTTTGTGCTTCAATTTTGGTCCACGGTAGGGACGCAGATCCAGCATCAGTGGGCCATCTTGTCTGTCCTCAGGCATAGCCCATTTTGCGACCACCGGCGGCTCGCTTGCTTCCACGACAAAATTTTCCTCTCCCTCAGTCAGTGCCGGCCCCAGTGCAGGTTCGTCGCCAGTCGGAAACGCGGGCGGCTTCCGCAGGTGGTTTTCCACCGCGCTTCCTCCGGTAGTTGTGCCATCACCCCCGCCACCTCCACTGCCAGTGACTGGGATCGAAGGTGGAGTCTGCTGCAGGCCCTCTGCGGCCATTTGCTGCGAGACAGGGTCGTCGGGGTCTCCCATCTGGTCTCCGGCCTTTTCGATTTTTTCGTCCATCTCGTCCAGTCTCTGCTGGTCAATGTTGCTCCATGTCCCGCTCTCCGACTGCTTCTCCATGGCGTGTTGATGCACAAGCTTCTCCCTGTGAGCATCTTGCAGAAAAAGCTCCGTCTCCGAATCCGGGTGGAACTCGAACGATGTTCTGGTGATCCTAGCGAAGCCAATCCCATTCCGCGTGGTCCTCCTGTGTGCTGAAAATTTGCCCGACTGAAGCTCCCCATTCGGAAGCTGCTGGCTCGATACGCCGCCCAGATTGAAGATGAAGTTGTGGAAGTGGTGGTGGTCTGTATTATCCAGTCTGTAATGTGGAGTGCTGCTGCTGGACGAGCTAGCTCCGGTCGCTCCTGCCCATGATGCGTCAGCGGATCCACCGGTGGTGCAGTCAGAGTGGAAAAAACTGCTTGCGGCGAGATTCGGAGTACCATCTCCATCGGCCAAAAAGCTTCGCAGGAGACCCATACGTTCCAGAAAAACAAACTAAAACGATATAGGCTAAGCGCTACCTATTTTGCTTTCTTCCCTTGAACCTCCAGGTCGTGTGCCACTTCCCGTGATTTCCTTTCTTTATCTAGGTAGCCCTCGATCACGATCGACCACCAAGCAATACCATCCCGATTCTTCCTCGGTCGTGCACAATCTCTGGCGATATCTCGCTCTCGAGTACTTGTCTTGCGGCCTGGAAAAAAAAAACTTCGGCAAGCAGGAGTACCATCGACGAATGACGAAAGAAAGTGCAAGAAAAGGACGACAGAAGTTGTGGTACGCAGAAAGCAAAAGTGCTGCGATGCGCCGGTGCGGATCACAGCTGCTTACTGCCAAGATAATACACACCGGTGCGGGGAGGCCTCAAACAACCACGGGAAGGTCTGCACCTTTATCAATATGTCTATTTGCTTGATTCCTGTTGTCGGCAAAACAATGCATCACTAGCGTCAGCCGCTTCTTGATTCATTGTTTGTAATGTGGCAAAAATCTGCAAAAATTTTGTGTGGTGTACACTCAACATCATCAAATTGACATTGACGAAACGCAATTAGTAGTTAATTTGAAATTTTTCATAAACAAAAAGAGTGCTGATCATGTATATACAACAACTCGCAAGCAGTTTGAACCTGCTGCTAGCTTGCTCAGCAACACAACATAATTCTACAGTGTAAGTTTGACGAAAGCATGTGCTATACGTGGTCTTCTATTCTCGGAACTGTGGTCGAATCACGACAACTCAACTTCAGCACTACACGAAACAGCGTACAGAAAACGGTAACAACATTAGTCAATGACAATGATCTAAAAAGGTTCCTGACAAAGACAAGTTTTGGCTTCATCCAGTTAAGGCAAATACTATTCTATCGTGCACCAGAAGAATAAGCTACAGTGTTCGTAAAAGGCCAAAGCGAGCTCTACTAGGTTATGATTGTATCAACAACGTGTCTACAGTGAGTCATGGATGTGATGTGCCCAGCTTCGCACTTCGGCACCAACATCAAATAAAGGTCGCTAATGCTATTAAGTCAATTTCCAGAGCATTTTACAGGATTTTGTTGCTATTCAATTTTTATTTTCTTCTCTTCTATAATTCTCAAGAGACTTAATACCTACCAGCATCGATCTGTGTAATTCGTGCAGCGAAACAATCAAGAAGAATTCAATCGATTTTTTCTCACATTGAAAAAATTTTTGGCTTCCAAGTCAACCCGAGAATTCTTGTGCTGGATCTTCTCAGCGGCGGTGACTAAACACGCCACTGTTGAACGTGTTCTCCATCGACGCGGCGTTCGTCTGCTTCCGGATGTTGCGGTAGGCCTGTAGGGAACGGGAACTTTGTGCGTGAAAATAGGGCGGTGCTTCAACATCAATATCTACGTACGGTCCTGGTAGGAAAAAGAAGCAAGTCAAACGAGCTGGCTTCGAGTAAAAGGAGTCTTTCAAATTTGAAAAAAAATTAGATGAACTGTACCCGCAGCCCCTTGTGCCAGAAGGATTCGTCGGCGTAGGGACCGTAGACCGCATCCGTCGGGGAGCCGAACCCAGTCCAGCGGTCCAAGCGGCGGCTGCCGGGCTGCCCCGGGTCCGAGTTCATGTAGTTGCTGTATTTGGAAGCGATTTCCGGGCGGTGGGGCAGCTTGATCACACCTGAAAGAGAAGTGAAATAGCAAGAATCTACTTCTGCAGAGTCAATCGACCAATCGAATTTGAAAAGTCAACCCTGCGGTCGAACAGAAAACCATCACTCGTCGTCGTCACGTACAAAACTAGCAACTGAAGACAAAAGCGTTAAGCGTTAATATCGTGCACCTTCTAGCGAAAGTAGAAGAAGTAAAAGCGCAAATCCAGAAGCAAGTACCGGGCAGCAGGATGTTCCCCAAGCGATCGATGGTGACCTCGATGCGCGTGTCTTCGGAGGTGCGGACTTCGCTGCCACCCGTGGAAGCGGGACGACGGTTGTACTCCTCCTCTTCGACGGGGGCATCCGTGGACGAATCCTTCGTCACGAGCTGGTCCTGCGCGCCGGACATCGGAACCTGGTTGTGGACAGGTCGAAGATTCAGAAAACGCTATATCAAGCCCAAGCTGAAGGTGGCCCAGTTTGGGTCAATACAAAGAACAGTTCTGCAAGGATCGTCTGCTCTAGTATTAATGTCATTCCCAGCTGCAGTGCGGTGTAGTTCCTCTTCCTTCTTCTTCTTGTTCTTCTATAAAAACTACGAAAACTACTTTTCATCCAGAACATACCGATCCAGACTGCTCCGACGTTCCGGTGGCGAGGCGGTACGCGACTTCGTTCAGGTGCGAGTCGTACCGCACCTTCTCAAAGGCGACCCCCGGAGTACTGGTGAAGAATTCGCTCAACGTGTCACTGCTCGCCTGGTTCCGCGTCTGCGCCTGCGGACCGTCTTCAGCTGAGAGATTAATTGCAGGTTCAGATTGCCGTTGGTTGGAGCATTACAACAGGAACATATGCATGCAGATACAGGGCACTCACACTCTTGCATTTGCATTTGATTTCATCGATCATATAACCACCAGTACTGCAGCAATTCATTTAATTTTGATTTTGAAATGACCGGCAACATGCAGTCGAAAGCGTATCATATTCATTTTCGCACTCGAAAGTCCATCATCGCCAGAAGATCACAAGAAATAATTAACGGAGGGGAGTGGACCCAGTAGGATGTAGTCCAACTATCTTGATCTTCACACAAACAAAATCAAAAAGCATCACATATACTTTCCATCCCGCTCGCCCACTCAAAGCCCATAGAAAGCTCGGAAAAGTCCTGCAATTCGATTTGGTTCATTTCCAAATCGGATCCCTCCGGCCCGCCATTTGCAGAGAGGACCGCATACAGAATACCTGAGGGTAGTGATGACAATCTTTTATTGTGCCGATCCCGATGGTCAATAAAATATTCATCAGAATGCATGTGGCATATATAAATTCATTGAGTCTGACATGACGAGCATGACTTGAGTTGACGTGGCATCGCAATGTACATGACATCAAAAAGTCCTCGCCGGTTTTCAACTAATTCACTTTCACACAAACTCAACATACAAAAAAAATGTGAATCAGGAAAAAACTGCAAAGTCGACCACGCACGGTGACAAAAACAAAAGCAAAACTCAAAAGAACCAGACATAATCATCTCAATACCGATCAATGCCAGGGTTGCGATGATTGCGAGTGCTGCGAGTTCCATCGCACTTGTGGCTCCGGCCTGTCCGCGTTTTTGCCCAGACGAGTTGAGAGTCTTCGTCGAATTCGGGCTTCCCGCCTTGGGTTTCCCCTTTGTGGCACATTTGTGGAAGCCCGTGTTGGTTTTTGTCGCCATGGTGCTGGATGTGGACTTGGAGTCGGCTCCGATCGGCAACATGATCACGATTTTGGTATTGGCGAGTTGTATTTCTGCGGTCGTGATGCGATTGAAAAATTCGTGTCCGTCGACGCCCTCCTGTTTAGCGAGGTATGGCTGGTAAGTTTCTCACCTCTTGAACGTCGCGCAGGCAGCTGTACTGGCACAGGGTGTTGCAGTGAGAAGAGAGACGAGTCAATGCTCTTATCCTCCTACGTTGGTTTTATTGCGCCGTCGAGTAAGTGTCTCGATCTCGAGGTCTACGATACGTATATACACAGTGTCAGTGTTGCAATTATTCGTTCTTGCTTCTACTTCTTCGAAGTCCGACTTTTCAGTATTGATTCGTACTTTTTTGTAGGCTAGCACGGTTACGTTTCCTCTACTAGCTTCCCCGAGGCCGCAAAGCAACGAAAAAAGAAGTTTACTTACTTTGACTTTTTCTATGTTGTATTGAAGGGTCCTATAAAGTTAAAGAATAAGCCTTCACCACTACTTTACTGAGGGTTACATGTATTGCTTTGGTATTACCTCCCAGATTACTTAGAAATTGAATACCAGGTGCGACTCGGTCGTGAGACGAGTGACGTCTTTCCCAGCACTACACGACAACGACCCGAATATCATCGCTCTTCATGATAGACTTCTTGGTTCGATTGGTTGCACATATACCACGACGATTACGACATCCCGCGAAAACACGTCGATGGTGCGACTCTCCTTCTCACAATCCTGCACCACGACTAGGACTACGACGAGACGTAAGTTTCTTCTTGCCAGCGACACAGCGAATGGCCTGTCGAACAACTTTTTACGACTTTTCTGCATCTGCTCTCAGTGGTACACGAAGCGAGGAAGAGGATTCTCAAACTCAATGACGAATTGGAATTATATTGCGATCAAGTTAGTTAAATTAGAATTACTTCACCGGTGCATTCAGATTCGGAGATAAGAAATGCAAAAACAGATGACTTCAAAAAATCGATGGGTTGCCAGATAGCGTGCGAGGAGGAGTATGTAGAACAAGAAACCATCGGCACGCGATGGACCAGTAGCTTGGTTCTACGTGCAGAAAACAAGTAGGTAAGAAGCATATTTTTGATTTTGCAGCTCCAGCAGGTCCCAACTACATAAACCTTTTTCATTTTCGGGATAGCTCAACAGCAACAGGCACAAGGACACGTTGACAGAAGTTCTGCTATGCTGCTCTCAAAAATCTATCAATATCAGGAGGGGCATCTGTAGAAATTATCTTTATCGTTGTCTCTCTGTAAGTCGTTTGTTTTCCGAGATGGCACGAGAAGCCCCTTTTCTACAATAACGGTGTAAGCGAATCCGAATATTCAGAAAAAATCGCACATATCGCACCTCAAAACCGAGACAATCAGGAGAAGAAGAAGATAGTAATCTAGCTCGCAGAACATAACCTTCTTGAAGATATATCTAATGAAGAAGAACTGAGTTTAATGTACTTGGTACTACCCACCATATGCGTGAGTAGTTGTGAAGCTGTCACTGGAAGGACGCTACGGCTACAGAGTCGCTGTCGTTGTCGTCGAGCCATATTTTCCATTCATGACAGACAGTCGCGAATTATTGTTGAAAAAAAGCTCTACATCGAAGTTTTGTGAATTCTTTGACAGGCAGCGCAGTTCGTTGTGAATTACCTGCAAACTCACGACGTGCCTCACAACAGCGTTGCCTCGGCCGAGACCACGGCTTCGGCCTCCGCTTCTGCCTCCTCCTGTTGCGTTAGCAGATTTTGCATGGCATTGGCCCCCTGCTGTGCGGCGGACGCGGACGATGCGTCTTCCCCGGCGGCGGACGGGCCCGTATCCTGGTCGGCGACACTGCCGAAGAAGTCCGCCAGCGACTGGTCATTCGCGGAGGCGGTAGGCGTTGCGTCCATCTCCTGGACCGCCGCCGAGGTGGAATTATCCACAGCGAGGTCATGCTTGTCCATTTCCGTTTGCAGGAAGCTGTCGTCCACGGTGACAGGTGCTGTGGATCAGTTGTGAAGAAATGCAAAGCTGCAACATACCGAAGACACTGTCCTCACTGAGGCTATTTGCGGGTGGTAAAACAAAAACTACAGCAGTGTGACCGTTCCGGTTGTCTTTGGCTTTGACTACACTTTTACATTCCATTGCCATTGGAATGTAAATGTATGGAAATCAATTGAAACACAACCCCACTGAATCGACGGATTCTTTTTTGTCCCACAAAAGAAAAAGAATAACGCGATTCCTGACAAAACTAGAATGAAAAGAAAAAGCTCAACAATCGTTACCTGCCGTGTCCGCATCCAGTGCTTCCGTCGTTCCACCAGCTATGGCGTCCGCACTGTTTGCGACCGTCGTTGTGGTGAAAATGATCGGGTCCGGGTTCTCCACCACGACGGCTCCTGCGCTGTCGGTTGCAGCGCTTGCTCCCGCCAAGACGGGGGAAACGACTTCCGCGTCAGCCCCCGCGCCCGACACGAAGTCGGCCGCGTATCCTGTGCAAAAGTATCGTACTCGTAGTAATCCCATTCATGCATTACAAGCTTCTTTCTCAAGTTAAATCCGCATTACAAATTTTCTTTCTCATGCTGAGGAAATTTGTATTGCAATTCATACTAGTACGATACTTTTGCAATGCATACCGCGGCACCCGCAACAACACCGGGGATGGCGGAGGAGCCCGCCACGTCGGACAGCCCGATGGAGTCCCCCAGGCCGAGGGGAAAAGGAGGATGGTCGTCCTCAGTCATGACCGGACGGTCGAGTAACCGAACGGCCTCCTCCGCGTCGTCCTCAGAAATCCCCGTCATCGGGTCGGTCTTGACGAAGTGATCCACCATGTGGCTGCCGTCCGTCTGCTTAAACAAGTCCCAATCGTCCAAAGCGATCCAATTGCCTGAAAAGTTATAGGTCGTGTGGGTAGGTACAACTACAAGATCGATGCCCTTCGCCGCAAAACTCAAACTTCACTTGGAAGGGAAATCAATCTCCTGTCTACTTCTGAAAACTTTTATTTCGTGGTGTTTAATGTCCACTAGAAGAGGCACGTGCTTTAGTCGTAGCGGACATCATCACTCTCCAATCAAGTACTATAATCAACACATTTTAGTCCTACCTTTGAACCCCGGATGCTCCTTGACCCAGTTGTAGATCTCTGTTGCGCGACATTCCACGCCCCGGCACAGGCTTGGCGTGGCCCCCACGATGCGGTCCGCCAAGTGGTTCTTTGTCATGGATAGGCGCGTGAAAAGCATGTCAACCAGTTGCGGCGACTTGCGCCAATGGGACGACAAAACGATCTGCGCGTCGCTGTCGCCAACAACTTGGTCCAGCCGGGAGATCAGCTTGTCGTTCAGCATCGCGTCCTCCGTTTCGTTATTCAACACTCCATCGACGTCCTGGAAAATCAGGGGTCGTGTGGGGTCGAGAAGATGCCGGGAAACGTCCCCGCCCGACGTTCTCGTCACGGCATTGCAGTCAATCTTGCGAATCGGGGTGGAGAGCTGGAGTTGGTGCTCGTCGTCGGGTGAAGCCACGGCCGACGTCGAGGAGGAAGAGGACGTGCTGGCACCACTACCAGTTGCCGGGGGCGTCTCGTGATCTTCAGCTCGTTCGTCGTCGGCAGCACCACTGCTGGTGTACTCGCGAGCCCCCTCGACGCTGTCCTGCAACTCCAATTTCTCGCATTTCTGCAGCGTTGTGTTGTGTGCTCGCACCTGCTCCTGGAAGTATGGCGCTTTTTCGATGCTCAAAAAGGACGAAGAAGAGGAAGATGCGCCTCTGGCAGGTCCAGTGATCGCTGCTCCGGAGTTAATCACAGGTGGCTCCTGGAGTGGTCGTGATGTCGCACCGTCTAAGAAGTTGCTGCGCAGAGATACATTTCTTGTCGGGTTCTTGGAGGTCAGCAGTGTTGCTGACGTTGCCCCAAAGCTGCTGTGGTCGTCGTGCGCAGTGGAAAGCAGTGATGGCTGAAGCTGATGCGCGGCGGCTGCAGCATCGTAATGACCAGCGCCGTCGGACCCAGCCGAAAGATGGTGCAACAGCTCGGACAAGATCGGCATTTTTGAAGATATGAAAAAGAAAATGAAAATGTATCGCAAATAAGTATCTCGATGCGATCGGCGCGCCTGAGGGTGAGCTTGAACGCTACGATTAACGTTGTTGTAGCCATATCCTTGTTTCGAAATACCGGTTGAATAATTTGTGAGCGTCCATTGCATCCTCGACCGAAGAATGAACTGAATCTCTCCGAAAGCTCGCGCTCGTTAAGCAACTGTCGAGCTCATCTTTATCAAAACCACGCTTCACCAGTTTGAAGAAATTTACATGAAAAATCATACCGGCGTCGCTCGTCTCGCTGCGAACTTTGGTTCTTCAATTCCTGTTGCATTTGCGTTCATTGGTTGATGTACGCGACTCAGTTATAAACTCAGAGACTTGGACTCCTACAATTGACTTCTCTTTCGTATTTTGCTCCTGCTCCTTCCCTCGAAGATCGAAAACTAGATACTCGACGATCACGATTGACGATAGCAGGCACTGAGAACTTCTAAAAAAATCAGAATGCAACAGAACGAGACAAAGCAAGGCCATATGACACTTAGCAACGCACGATAAACGATGGCCTGGGTCCAAGAAAGTCAAAGTCAGCGACGCAATCGCGGCTGCAAAGAAGTTCCTTCACTCGAGCCCCGTGTTTGTGGCAGAAGTGCCTAATCAAACTCATTAATGTTTTGTCTTTTTCGTCATGATGCCACGTTGCAATTGAAGCAGGCTGCATCTCGTCAGGTGCACACGAATATTCGAAAGAACTAGCAGCATGGAACCAACGAGCACAGCGGTCTCGGAATCGGAGACAGTAGCTTCCCTTGCACCTGCTCACACTTTCGCTTACGCAGTGACAGTGTCCAGTAGTATGCTCCTACGCTCGAAGATGGCTTTTGCTCGATGGTCTGCTATGTCCTGCTTCATAATACCTGTTGGGTTTTTTCGCCCAAAAAAATAATGACACACGATGTCAACACATACCCACAGCCAGACCTAAGGATTTCCTTCGCTGATGTTTATTTTCTTCCCACAAAACATGTATGACGAAGCTCAAACTTTTTGATCCAAAAGTTGTAACATAAAGCCGTACTCTTCTGCAGCGCCTCGTCTTGTCGTGCGATAAGGCCTTTGCGACAGGTATCGAAAGCAGCAAAGGCATCCGTGCATTTGGAATCCGACGCTTCTCCGCTGACCGCTGTGTCGCGTAGGCAGCGGAGGTAGGCAGAGCCTGAGAGATATTCATAATTTGATATTTCGTTGCATACGTCGCAAAAAAACGTCTCTGTCAACATCTTCACATCGAAGATAATTCAGCTGCTGCAAAGAAACATGACATCGAAATTGCGTTGACCGTCATTATCTATCGTAGATCATGCAGCTTATACCAGGTATTCTGCACAAATGGTCCATGTCCGTGGCGTCGCGGAACGTTTTGAGGTACATCTCGGCCTTCATGACCTTTGCGCTCTGGGACAAACCGCTCTCCAGGACCGGCTTGCCAAATACCAAGTCTCCCCATATGACGCGCTGCGTCGGCGGGAGAGCAGAATTGTTCAGTGAAAGACCTGCAAAGATACAACACGCTGCGTACCCTTCTTGTTCTCGATGCAGCTGCGACAGCGTGCAAGGTTGAATTCTTCAGCTTGACGAGTTTCAATTTTTAGAACAGATAAAAACGCGGAAAGAGATCTTCAAACTCATGAAGTGAGCATACTTCGTCATAGAAACGCCTTGAAGATGGATGTAAAAAAAAATCAAGTGATATTTCTACCAGTGAAGTTCTTTTCATCAAGAGCCTTCTTGATTGACAGACCGCGTTCCATCTCGATTCGGCGGCTGAGAAACCAGTCCTTGAGCTCGCCTGAGAGCCCATCCAGCTCCAGTTTCGTGTACGCATCATACTGGTCTTGGTTCTTCCCCATCTTCGTGATACTGCGCTCCCGCTCTACTGCCTCTGGTGGAATCAATGGAATACGTAAATCGTGATCTTTTCCACCCTCTGTGTTGATGCACAGATGCACTATCGTCGATCGTTTACCGAAGGTCTGCAGCTGTTGGTCAACCTACTTCTAAGCGCCGCAAGCAGAAAGAAAGCACTGCTCTTTCTAGTTCTAGTCTTGAAGCCGGAGCTGCTTAAAATTATTAACGGTAATCCTAACTAATAGCATTTGCACGAAAAAAACGACAAAGACGTGCACAGATTGTTTGCGCGTATCAACATCTGCATGTAAAAGCACAAGCAGCTCTGGTCAGCACGCACAAAACCAGAAACTAGTCATCCGTCGCCATGGACCAGAAGACCGGAAGCGACACCTAACGACAACGAAGTCGGCAAAAAACCTGAGACCGAATAAATCTTGTATATGTATAAGTTACTTCATCATAAAAATCATTGTCGGCCAGATATTCCTGAAGAACACCACGACGATTTTTGCCAACGACCAGAAACAAGATGCTTATGCAGGAGCAGGATGCACCAGCGGCCCAACTCGCGCGCATATTTTCGGAAGACCCGCGGACAGAGGCTGAGCAGAATTTGTTTCTAAACAAACTCGTTCAACCTGCAATTTTAAAGCATCAAACCGTTTTCACTTGCCGCTTCCCCGGGAGCGACGGAACGTCTACATTTTTTGCGCTTTGAATTCATCGACTTCAGTGCGGTAGTGAGGCTAAGTTTGTCTTTATTGTAACTCATAGATTTTGATGAGAAGTAGGGTTTCTTGAAACAGAAACTGAAACATCAGTGCCGGTGCATTTCTTGGCGGTTCATTATCATTTTCATTGCGCGGCCGCGACAAGCAACTTGCATATGCTTCATTTATCAATCTTGTGCTACTTGTTCGAACTCAAGAAAGGTCTAAACCAATAAACTAACGCCCTTCGCCGATCAACAACACCGCGGCCGCGATCACGATGGTCTGGTGGACATGGAGAACGGCTTGCTGGAGGGATTCTGGTCAATTGCGTCGCGGTTGAATTCCCGTTTCCTTTCTCGCTGCTCGCGGTCCTGCTCTTTTTTCCAGTACTCTTGCGCCATGCGGCCGACTGCGGACGTCGACTCGGACAAGGAGCCCACAACCGGCGATGCTCTCTTGGTTGCGGAAACGTAGGCGGGCTTCAAGGTCGGCCCGGGACCCAGGCCGCCGGCAGCGCCCGAAGGTGGACCGACCGGCGACAAGCGGGGCATTCCCGGTGGCACCGCAGTTGCCGCTCCGGACACCGGGATGCGGTGGGTGCTGGTGGTTGGCGTGACGACCATCGTGTATTCGTGGTTGTTTTTCTTGTTGCGCTCAGAAATTTTTGTGGCTAATCCGAATGTCAATGTATGTTTTCTTGTATTCGGCGACGGAAACAAAGAGAATGACTGAACGAATTGTGAAAAGAAAAAAATAATTTTTACTCGAGGTGTTCGAGGACGTTCTTGCCACTGTGTAGTAAGTGATTCGAACAAGTTTTCGTATCTTGTCTTCGTGGGTGTTCACATTCAGCAAGAATCAAAAAACGCAGAAACGAAGTGGCAAAGCGACACATATTGGTTCATGCGCTTGCTGCAAGAACATACTGCTCGGGCGAGGACGACATCAAATATATGAACGTGCTGACTTCCGCTCGTCTCATTCTCTCCCCTCTGTGGGCCGTCCTCCCTCTCGCTCGAATATTAATCAAGTTGTTCGGAGTTCCAAATCCAACTCACTGCGGGCTCTCCCTCTCGGGGAAGAAACCTTCGCATGATTCGCTCGATGTCGATCAAAAACTGTTAGTACTGCAACTGCATTTCAACTGTATGATCTATATGATTGTGATAACAGAGACAGAGAAAAATGATGTATGAACAAGGAGAGAAGCAAAGGCATCAAACAAGGGGTGACAGAATAATTCCACCCACAGCGACCTGCCTACACTCCAGAGGGTTCTCCGTGTGTGGCAGCTAGATCAGACGTATAGTTTTGCTTGGTGCAACCACACACACACTGACTTTATTGATGGCGTTCAACATAATAATTTCTAAATCGGAAAAAAAAATTGTTGTGTGGCTTGATTGGTCTCGCAGAAAGTCTGGAAAAAAACAAGTGCAAGTCCATGCAGTAGATGAAGGTCCACCATCATAGCATCACCAGCATGGTAGATCGTGAAAAAAAAAACTTAAACTTACTAGTATCGATTGGTCAATCGCAAGAAATAGAAAATCATACAAACGTAATCGAGCTCGTCCCACAGCTTCTCGTCCACTGTCTTAACCTGACATGGGTCCTCCATGATCTGGTACACTCACGACGTGCGGATTACAAGCGTAGCGCCTACTTTCTCCAAAGTCCTCCTTCTTCTTAGGCAGCCCTGCTCTTAATGAGGCAACTCGTCTACACGGCTTGATAGGTTTTTCGGATTACGCTCCCTCCAGGATCTTCAGGGCTTCCTGCAGACTCTGGATTTCCTCTTGCCTCTTGGCCACCCGATCTTCGAACGACGACGCGTTGATGCAGGAGGGTTTCAGGGACTCCTCGTACTCCTTCATGGCCTGGTTGAGCAACTCCGTTTCCATTTCCAAATCCTCAGTCTCGGCCTGCTTCCGCGCGATTTGGTTCTGGATGGTGGATTTGTTGTGCTTGATGGTCTCCTTCGCCACCGCGATCGCAGATTTCAGGTCGGTCAGCGTCTTGTTGTACTCTTCGATAGCCGCCGTCTCGGCGCGCTTGCGCTCCGCCGTCTGCTTCTCCGTGTCCTCGCCGATCACTTCCAGCATGGCCACAATCGACCCAAACCCACCGACGTACCTGATAGATTGCGGTTCTGGTTTGCTCCAGTTCGCTTTTATTGCCTGGACGAAGAAATTTGAATCTATATCACGATATCAAGGACAGCGATGTTGCTTCCCAACGAACCAAACTAGAGAGTGACAGCACGGCACGAACTTTCAATAACACATTATACTTATAGAAAGTCTTCGACTTGTTGCGCTTTCAAGAACGCTGGGGCAAAAGCAAATATTGGGCTGCATATATTATAACATCATCAAACCAGAGTGGTGTACTCATCATCCAACGCGGCCGGCTGCTTCTTCGCGTTTTCTTGCAGTTTGTCACTGGCCTTGGAGAAGACCGTGCGGACCTGCAACAGCATGGATTTCGTGTTGAAGGACTCCATGATCTGGATGGCGTACTCCACCGCTTCCATGACCTCCTTGGCGTCCTTCACGGCCTCGTCGAAGGCTTTTTTTTCCTCCACCCGGTCCGCCTGCAGGCTGGCCACCTTGTCGCTCTGGTCCTTGATCTGCTGGTCCAGCTCCTTGTTTTCCTCCGTGCGCGTCTCCACGTCCGCGGTGACCGCCTCGATCACGGACTTGTGGCCGTCCACCTTGGCGGTGCGCTCCTCGCGCAGGGCCTTGTTTTTCGCCAGCTCGCTGTCGCACCAGGCCTTGTGCGTCTGCTCCTGCGCGGCCTCGGTTTCCAGCCGCTGGATCAGGTCCTGGATCAGCTTGAGCACCTTGTCGAAGGGCGAGTCCTTGGCGCTCAGCTTCTGCTCCACCTCGGTCCGCGTCTCCAGCTGGGCCAGCAGTCGGCTGTTCAGCTTCGCGGCCTGCTGCTGCAGAAACACCTGCATCTTGTGCAGCCGCTGCACGTTGATCGTCTTTTTGGTGGCGGTAGCGGCCGCGGTGGACGTGGCAGAAAAAACCTGGAGAAACGACGCGGCTTGCAGCAGCGCGTCCTTCTCGCCCTTGCTGATGTCGGATTCCACCTGCAAAAACAGGGCCTTGTGCTTCACGGCGTCCAGCGCCTCCACGCACTGCGCGATCGCATCCAGCTCCTCCTGCATGGCCTGCGCGCGCCGGGCCGCCAGCTCCGCCTTCTGCTTGCAAACGCGCTTAGTGTCCGAGAGGGACTTTTTGGTCTTCTTCAAATCCTCGGCCGCGGCATCGCGATCGGCGGCCGCTTGCGCGCTCTCCTGCCCGGCCTCCGCAGCATCCTGCTCTTTGGTAGCGGCTGTGTTTTTTGACATTGACTTGTACTTGGAAGAGCATATTTCCTCTTCAAAAAATCTACAACACGTTGGTTTCGGTTTCCTAGCCCCACTCTATTGTTTTGGCTTTCAACTACATCTTGACTGTTGAACTTTATTATGATTACCTTTGCCAGGTTGTCGCACACACACCACTACCACAAAAACTGAAACGAGAGAAGAATGTAAGTAAAGCGCCAAAGTTACCGCATCAAGAAGTGGAGCTGGAGGCTTCCATTTATTACAGATAGCCCAATCCTACACCTACTCCTAGCTATCGACATGTTGACTTACCCTCGTTATTCGCGGTTTCGATCTGGTGCTCCAGGTCCATGCGCTGTTGCGTGTAAGCGTGAATGGCGTTCTGTTCGGCGACTTCCGCGGCGTTCTTCTCGGACTGAAACTTGTCCTCCAGCTGCTGCAGCAGGCGGATGACATCCTTAAAAACCTTGCCCTGTTCGTACGCCACGCCGGGCTCCTGCTGGTCCAGAGACGTGGTAGTCGTGGCGAGAAACGACGTCAGCGCCCGCATCTGGCGCGCCGGGGAGGCGGCACTTCCCGTGAGCACCGCCGCGAGCTGGTCCTTCATCTGCAGCAGCGCCGTGGCGGGAATGGACTGCACCTTGCTCTGCATGGTCAGGATAGCACGGTCGATCGCGTCCAGCGATTCGGCGTAGTCCGTAATAGTTGCCTTGGCCTCGGCAGCTTCTTTTTCCCGCACGGCGGTAATGTCGGCCAGCGTCTTCTGGTCTTCCGTCACCTTCGCCCGCAGGGCCTGGGCCTCCTCCGTGAACGCCTTCTGCTTAGCAGCTTCGGACTCTGACCGGGCACCATATTTGTCGACCTGAAGATAAAGTAACAGCAGAAACTGAAACAGCTCCATTAATAGAGCATTTCAAGTGTAAGTTTGATGATAATCATGGTGGCGATGCTTACAAGTTCATTTTTTAAGTAAGTACTTATTTTCCTTTTCGCAGAAACAAGTTTAACGTTGCAGTCGTGCGATGGAAATTACGATTACATACACGCAGGCAACTCTTTTTCTACATCAACATCACTCATGGTCACCTTCTTTACCTTTTCCTCCAAGTTCTCAATTTCCGCTTCGAGCGAAGTTTGTTCGCCGGTGCACCACTGGGAATAGGCAGCCGCAATCACGGCGTCTTCGTGCATCATTTTTTTCGTTTCATCCTCCTTTGAGCCCAGCAATTCGATCACTTTAAACATTCCCGTGGACTGGGCCCGGCAGCTACCGACGAGCAGTGCGGCACCGACGGCCGCAAGCTTCGACATGGATGGAGCCATCTTGGTCTACTTCACAACAACTGCAACGTGGTCGAGGTCTTGACACAGCTCGGAGAAGTGAAGCAATTGCTACGGCTAGTGGAAGAGACAGGAACGACGCTTCTTGGGACACTAGGGGTGACGTCGAAAAGGAAAAGACTTTTCTTGGGACACTAGGGGTGACGTCGACTTTATTGTTGTTGTTACGGAAGCCAGTCAGTACGTATCTTCTGTCGGACCAAATCAATGCCTAGACTAGACAGGGCGGAAGCTACAAGTCCAATTGAATTCAAAACAATTACGGCCTTGACCATCAATGTTTTCGAGCACGAGCTGGTGGTCTAGACTTGCTTACATCAATCCTACCTCGCTTGAAATGCCAATGGGTTTGGTGGACCTTGTGTACAGATGCATGCTTGTAGATCTTTACTCAAGCGTAACTTTCAGCGTGACCACGACGTCAACCACACCAATGTTGAAGGTATCACTGGGACGAATGGAACCAATGAATTAGCAGACGCAAAAGACACAAACACAACTACGGAAAACATACACTTACGGCGCACAAGTGGATTTATTTTCTGAAGATGCGTTGACCTGCCTCCACGGCGAGGCGAGTGAGGTAAACTTTTTACTTCTTGTGAACACCCTTGCTGCAACATCACATTGTTGGAGCCGCATGCGATGAGAATGGCAATAGCCACGTCGCGTCTACTAATTGGTGGCGGACGTGGAGGTGCCAAAACTACACCTGCTCCACCCCCAGCAAGTACAACATCGGCATACTCTAACTATGTTTCGCATCTTTCATTCACGGTGGCAACAAACCGGAAGTAAAAGCTGATAAAGCAAAACCAAAAACGAACAGAATTGAAGCATTTTGTCGTAGGAGCATTCATTTGTAAAGTCGAGGACCTTCACCTCGTGTTCCTAAGAGTCGCGCCCTTCTGCGGCGGTTATAGACGCACCCACTACCGCGGCCCAAAGGAGGGCATAATGACACAGAAGCTGGCCGAGGTGGTCAGTCTTCTTTGTAGCTGTGGCTGTCTGTTACTGTGTCGCTGTAGTAATGAGACCAGGGTTAGAGACCATGACCCAGAGGAGATAAGACATAGACTCAGATCATACACTTCTTGTTCATCGACGAGAGTCGGAAATCGAAAAAGACTCGAAGTCGGGCAGAGGGAGGCATTATTCATTTAGCAATGGATATGCACTCTATTCTCTCTTCAGCTGCAATAAGCAAATCTGACTGCTTAACTAAAGACTTGTGCTTCTGGCAGCTTCGAAGATTTCTTTCAGGTTGAAGAGGTGGGCTTCTTTCCCACGCACAGATGCAACGACGTCCCCCTCGGCGGAGATGCTTCCTTTGAAAACAATTTTGTTGTCGTTTGGAATAGTTTCCTCGTGGTCCTCATATCTTGCGGGGACCGGCCCCTGTAGCGCGTCTTGGAAAAAGTTCGATTTCCCCGTCGACGTCGAGCACGCACGGTTGTCAGCTGCACCGTTCTCCGGTGGTGGTAACACCACGGTTTTTACGTGCACCGCATCCTGCTCGCTAATATCGGTTTCGGCAACAAAAAATCCGAACGTGGACTGTCTGGAGTCCCATCGGCTAGGCACCGGGACGACGAATTCTTCGCCGAGTCTGGCACCGCGCGGGAGCAGAACTTCTAACACAGCTGCCTCCGGCCGTGCCCGTGTCGCGACCGCTGAGGACCTCGCAGTATTTTTCCTGCATGCTGAAGATGAAGATCCAGAGGCAGAAGCTGTCAACACTGTCTTGGGACGATGGTAAAAACAGTCTACCGTCTTTTCGTCCTCGAAAAAATCTTCCTGTTCATCATCCGGACTTGCTGCCTGGTGAAGTCCTTCCATGAATTTGGCCCTGCCGACGTCGACCCACGTGCTGCTCGCCCACCTGTCGTCACTCCTGTAGTTCTTACTGGAAGCTGCGGCAGATCGCACAACACGCTGAGGGATGTCATCAAAAGAGGACGCTTCGAGTGTCGAATCTTGTTCACCATGTCGTGCTGCGACGGCGCTGGCCTTACTGTTTCGTTTAGCGGTAGCAGGAGGACCGCAAGTACTAGATACGGCTCCGGCAGGTGGTAAAAGTCGTGTTGTAGCCCGGTGGCTCGCAGGTCGGCTGCTCGTGCTGGGAGTGTGATACCACCGGCGCCGTTGCTCCTCGTATATGTTGCTTACTTCCGAAAGGGTTGCCGCTACTGTGTCCTTGTCGGTCTCGACCTCGAGGTCGTCCAGAGTGTCGGCGGCCACATAATCAGGGCGTGCAAAATCCTCCTCTTGATCGGCTAATACACCTTGTTGGTCCTCGTCCTGTTCAAATCCGCGTGTAAATTCTGCGACGCTAACACCGCCACTAATCGGTGTCGTGGTCGTCCCACCAGCAGGTGTCCCATCACAACTTGTCCTTTTCTTCTTCGTTCTTGTTGGCGAATGAAGTCTGCGCTCGAGGAGCAGATCGGTGCGCCTTCCCTTGTGGTTACCGTTACCTCTGTTCGTGGCAGCACCAGTGCCCGTAGGACGACGTTCTTCTATGACTATGTCGTCTTCCGGCCCATTTCTCGAGGACGAGCTGCTGCAGTAGCTCTGCGAGGTCGCACTGGATGTCGAAGAGCTTCCGCCGCTGCTGGCACTGGAAGCTGGCGAGGAATATGGACTCGCATCAGGCGAAGCACGGGAATAACTTCTGTTCCGCGAGGAGGACGAAGAATCGCGTCGACCACGACGAGCTGTGCTCCTTCTACAAGAAATCAATTCTCGCCCGCGGTGCTCATATCGATCTCGATGCAGAGAGGCAGTTCGATTTTCTGCAACCTGCCGCGTACTTCTGCGCTCGTGCGTTTTTCTTAGCGCGCCAGGCCTCCGGGCGTCGTGTTGATCGGCTGAAGAAGTGTTGTTTACACAACGCCGATTGCTAGTAGTACCCGATCGATCCTTTCCATAATCCCTTTTCGTGGAACTTGTGATGCTGGATAGCAATTGGCGCGCTCTGCGCACGGAGGAGCTGTTTCTAGTTCTACGATTTCCGTCTGCTGAATGCACAGCTGACCCGATCGTTGGATAGGTGGCGTCGCTTTTTTGTTGCCCTTGGGGCTGCTGCGGAGGTGCTCCTGGTAACGCTGACTCGTGCGCATCAGCCGCATGAATGTCGTTCCGGTCGTAAGATTGCAGTTGCCTTCCGCTTTCCTTCCCTATTCCTTGCACCTGCGAACCGCTGTCGGGCATTACACAAGACTGGACGACAGTTGGTGTCTTGCGCTTTGTCTGCGGCACAGAGATTGTCGACGAACACGGCTGCAGTCCTGATGGGTGTTGCTCGCTTCTATGCCGCTGTTTCCGTACGTGAAGATCGTCAGAGTTATGCTCTTGATGCGGTGTTTGATGTCCTTCTGCTGCCGGTTCTCCGCCGGCCTTGGAGTTGTCATGCTCCTGCGTATAACTCGTAAAACTGGAGTCGATTTCCGCAGTTCTTGTTCCGTCATTTGCGATTCCAATTTGCTTGCTGAGCAGCGGCGCTGACGATGTCGCGTGGTATTCACTCTGCTGTCGCAGAGGGACCAACCTGCCACCCGCGTGCTGTTGTTCGAGGACGATAGGCGTGCTGGGAACCATTTCTGGTGCATGGTACGGTCGTCGGGAGGAACTCAAGGTAGTTGGTGCGCCGCTATCCTGATTAGCGGCCCACTGTTGATGAGAAAATGATGCTGCAGCACGGTGACGGTGAGGGTTACTTCGTTCAAGTACGCCTTCTTGGGACGCTGAGCCACTGAGCACACTGTGTGAAGGACGGCTCAACATCTGCTCTCCACCGTGGTTGCCGTTCACCAACCGGACGGATGACGTCGAAGGCGCCGCTGTTCTTCTTGTTGTGCTGGTTTTGCTCATCACCACTTCGGGTTCGTGATAGAGCGAACAGGAAGACGAGTGAGCAGCGGGAAGGTCGTGTGGCGAATCAAGGATGAACAGTTTGATCCGCAACGTGAACGGCAGTCGCAGATCGTGTGGATTGAGGGCAAGCGCGGCTGGGTTCCGCAACAGAGGAAGCAGGTTCTGCAGCGTTGTTGCCGAACTGGAAGGTTCTTTTTCTTTTGACAGCATCACTGTCCCTAGCGCTGCGTCACTGCGAAGTTCATTGGTGTTTGTCGTCGTCACAAGTAGTGTTGATGAGGCAGTGGCCGATGTTTCCTTCACTCCTAGAGGAAGTTGGTGCTGCGTCGTTTGATCTTCAAAGTTGTTAGTTGCTTCCCGATGGTGTCGCGGTGAATTCAAATTCTGTGTGCGATGGTAGAATTCGCCTCGATGCTGGCGATCGAGTTGTTGAGAATCCCGTCCGACTTGCGGCGACAACGAGTCTGCTTCCAATAGCAAGAGATTGACCGACCGCGAGAGCTGGCTCGAGCAGTCAAGCCCTTCTTGTTCACGAGGAGACCAATCTCGCTCCCCCGCGGACTCCTCGGGAATTGGATCAGGTATGAAAATCGGTTCACCTCCTGCGGGCGGTGCACCACCAGGAACGCGAAGTGTAATGTTTTCTCCTGGCAGAAGCGAGGGCCCGTGGGCGATCAGCTGCTCGGTTTCCCTGCCGGCCTGACTGGTGCCTAGAGGTAGACGAGCAGGTAACATCATGTTAGAGTAGCTTTGAGATTGTCTTTTCTGCTGCTGCTGCTGCAAAGACAACGCAGCGAGGCGCGGCACGAGCGGCCGCTGATCGTGATCGTTTCCCTCTTGTTCAATTGCAGCATGCTTGAAGACATCTGCCGCCGAGTGGTATCCTTTACTGCTTGTGTTTGGGTTTGCGTCAGCAGGGTTCGATGGCGCGCGTGCTGTTGCGTCGTCCTCTTGCATGTTGTTCTTCATTGCTGGATCGCTAGCTCTAGCATGGATCTTCTGTTGGCTTGTTGAGCCTTCCGCGCGCCCTCGCTCCACCGCGGCTTCACCAAGAAACTCCTGAATGATGTCGGTACTCTGCTCCGCATCCTCGCTGCGCGCGCTCTCCGCCTGCACATGATGAGTGATTGTGCCCTGTTCTCGCGCTGAAGTTGGTGGCACTCGCAGAGTCGAGCGGAGAATTATGTTTTCGATGTAAAGCTTTGGGTCCAGGAGCGGCGAGCGTGGCGCTTTTGTCGTTCTGCTATTAATGTGGTCGTGGTCATAGTCGCCGAGCATGTGAGTCCTCTTAGCGTTGCTGGAGAACAAGGGCTTCCTGCTGATAGCCATACTACCGGGCGCAACACTCCCAGCGAGCTTACAACCCGGACCACCCATTGTTCCAAGTGTTCCACACGAAACTTGCGGTCCGGGTGGAGCGACATTTTCGAGATATGGTTCCAGGTCATTTTCATGCCGCTTTAGCTCTCTCATCAGGGACTCCCAGCCGCCCTGTCCGCCTGCGCCTGCGTTTGCTGCGGAGACCTGGTGCAGCCCTTGTTGTTGGGGGCAAGCCTTCTTGAAGTACGTGTTCGTCCGTGACGAGTTGCGACCTGCTACATGACTTTCAACGGGCGACGCCGAAGGTGGTTCGCGGGAGGTGTTTCTTGTGCGATCGGTTTGGTCCTCTTCCTCGCGACACTCGTTCCGTGCTGCAAGTGCTACCCGCCCCGGAGATGGAGGAAAAAGTGTTGTTTGCGGAATTCTTGTGTTCTCACCGGCTGGAAGATTTTGCGCCAGCGATCCACCTTCAAGTTGTACCGAGACCGTACCCGCAGGTAGGACGGAGCTACCAGACGAGCCAGAAGGACAAATACCTGCTGCGGTTGCCCCAGTGTTCGTCTTCGACGAAGCGTTTGAAGGTGGGTACTCGATCGTGTCTGAGCCAGCCGCTGCTCTCTCCTGTTCCTCTAGTGCACAGGCTGAGGCGGGGGCGGGCTGCGGCTGCTCTCTCTCTAGTCCCGCTTGTTGCGCACAGTTCCGTGTTGTACGCGATTCGCTACTAGATGGAGGCGCATCTTCCAGCGAACCAGAAGCATGCCGCTCCGCCTGCTTCCGGTTCTTCATCTCCACTTCCGGTTGCTCTTTGCTATGTTTCCTCGACGTGACGCCAGTCACGTTTTCGTTTCGGTTTTCTTCGACTGAAAAATTTGTTGTCTGTCCAGAATCAACAGCAGCACACACAGCACCACGAGCAGGCACCTCGCTGTTGTTTTCGTTGGCGTCAACATTATCTTCTTCATGAACAGAGACCGTTCTCGCGACGCAGATTTCGCCTGGTGCCGTCGCCGTCGGTGCGGGTGCAGCGCATTGCTCTTTTACAACCACGTCTCCTGCGCCTTGCAAGTTGGAAGCCCCATCTTGAGCCACGATCTCCGCCTCTGCGTCTAGCCGGTGAGCGTAGCCATGCCCGCCTGGATCGACGTCCTCGGCGAAGCCGAAGCTTTCTTGCACGGGAATGGTGCTACAGAAGGACGACTGATCCGCGGCCGCCGGCGAGCGCATCGACGAAGAGGACGTGCCACTGTTTACCAAGCCGGGTGGGGAGCCGGAGTTCAGCGATGCGAGAGCATCCATTTCCAGTGTTTCTTTCAACGTCGGCACGTACAGGACTGGCCGAAAGAACGTCGCGGCAGTGGTTGTTGCAGCGCCGTGACTCTCCATGACTTGGCAGGATTCTATTTGGGGCGGCGCATGCAGTTCTGCCGAAGCAGATGATGAATCCACTTGTTCAGCGAGGGTCTCAGCTGCAGCTGGCGCAGCCGCCGATCCTGCTAAAGTCGTCGTCGCTACGGAGGGTGCGGAAGCACGCGTTGGACCCGAATATCCCGCGCCGGCGCTGGACCCCGTATCTGATCCAGCTCCTCCACCACCAGTAATTCTTGCGAGTGGCTGATCGTGTTCATGGGGATTATTTAGTACTGCAGCAAGAATTTCAGTGCCGGGGACGGTCGCCGTGCCTCGAGTTTGACGTTGATACTGCACAGATGGTTCTTTCGGTGGACCATAAAGAGCTCGCTGCTCGACGTGTTGTGGCGCACTAGTAATGTCAAGGAAAACACCAGTGCCTGCACTAGGCGCAGACGGCGCCAGACCTGGTGTCGGCTGGATCCCGGTATAAACCAGCGGGAGTGGCTGCGAAAACGCAGGAGGCATCAAGGTCGGCTGTTGCAAAAAGGGCGGCTGAATCATGCCAGGCCGAGACGAGAGGCACCGGGAGCCACTCCCAAAAGGACCCGGCGCCGACGATGCAACGGTCGAAGAACTGCCACCAGGGCCTGAATAAACTTGCTGCGTCTGCTGCATTGGAAACCGAAAGAAACCACTTCCACCCAGAGAGGCAAAGTTCGTAACTTGCTCTGGAACAGAAGGAGTGCTTGCATTCCCATTTACAAATCCTGCAGACGCATCAGAAGAATGAAGATGCGCTTGAACGTGCGATCCTGTTGCTGTCGCGCGTGCGTGTAGTCCATTATGCATTTGCAACGTATTGCGCCCTCGTGGTGCTCCGTGTGTCATGTGGGGCTCCTGTGCGCCGCCTGGGCGGTCGAGAGTCGTTGTACTAGTTGTCGTGCGCCTTAGTTCGTCGTCGTCGTGGTCCTGCTCCTGCGAGGTTGAACTTGAGGAGCTCGTGTTCGAGCTTGCAGCCAGACTCTGCGGACTTTTCCCGTGTCGGCCCTCTTGTTGCAGCGTTGTCCTCGTCGAAACGTCGTGTGCAGGGCTCTCACTTTCGGTCGTCGTATACCTATGCATTGATTATGATTTTTGTAGTAAAGCAAAATATGAACCCTAAACAAGATTTGAAACCCTAGACCCCTATCTGCGTCGGCCGCTGCTCTGTGCCAGTAGTATGGGAAGTTTTTCTATTTTTTCGAATCAATACATCAAATCTTCTTCAGTCCGACTCGTTCATCAATCTCACCTGATTGACTCAGCAGGCTCGACGACCCTGACGCGACTCGACGATTTACTTCTTGATGATTTCGCTCCATTGCGATTATCGTCAATGGAAGACTTGAGTACGGAGCGCCGCGGCGTCGAAGTCACGACGAGCGGCTGCCTTTTCTTCAACGGCGGGGTCTTTAGAATTTGACTTTCCGATGGAGTACTTGCGACGCGAGCCTGTTCAGCAGCGTTTTGTATTTGTTCGTGGAGACCATAGCTACTCTTATTCGCATTCGTTCTATCTGCTCCTCGTACTTCTGTCACGGCCGAGTGCTGCCTTTTTGCCTCGGCATCCCCGTCGATCTCGATTTCGGTTGCGGTTCGGTGAGACAGCATGACCGGTGGTGGCAGGGTCGTAACGGAATCGCGCAGAGAACAAGAATTCGAGTGTGTGCGAGCCGAACCCGCGTCGCCGACGGACAACGGACCAGGAATGCGTGTGAAACGCGCAGGGATCGCATCGACAGTAGATCCGCTGGTTCTTCCCGTACTTGCAGCAGGGACCTCCACGATAGGTGTGAGGTGATTAGCAGGGCCATCAGCTGTGCGTGTTCCTGCAGGTCTTGTCTGACGAAAATTCCAATGCGCGTCCATGCTTTCTTTGGAGCTTTCCGAGGATGCCAGCCCGGGGGGCCCGCCGGTGGATGACGAACTGCAACTGCTGGCAGCAGACACCGATTCTGGCACACTCCCAGAGGACCCAGCGGACGAGGAGTGACCTCGCGCGGGCGCTGACGCTCCACCGAAAAATGCTGAAGCAGTAGCAGAAGTACTACTAGCTGGCGTCGTTCGTGGTCGTGCGGCATGAGAAGGAAGTCCTCGTCGCTGGGGACCGGCGTTGTGCTGGATAGAAGTGCTGACGTGCTGGTCGTGTGCGGCCGCACTATTGAGGTCGGCATCTATGCCCCCTCCGCGCGCCGAGGACCGGTTGGAGTAGTTGGAGTGCGCGAGGCCACCACTGCTCCCGAAATTCGTCATTTGGCTGTAGTTGACGAGCGAGTCGGTGTTGAGACTGGACGCGCCGGGCGGATTGCTGTCGACGGAAGAGACCTCGCTGTGCTCCTCTGAAATGCGGTCCATCACCATCGAAAATCTGGCGATCGGGGAAAACACATTAGGCTGCTGATGCGCAGACGGAATCACGGAAGGAGGTGCAGCCGGCATGCCGTGATCATGTGGCAGTAACGTCGTTGGCACCGGTCCGGTCGGCAGTTGGCAGCGTGGCTGAGAAGATTGACGAGCCCGTGGCGGGGAGAGAGTTTCATCTTGACCTTGGTCGCGCGAACTAGCTGGCGGGGTCGAGAGCTGCGGGGAAGTCACGTTGCATTCCTCGATTGTAGCAGGCCGCCCCCGCAGCCGCAGGTCCTCGGGGGCACCTCCTGCAACCTCAACGTGATCACCCTTGTTCGCTCGTCGGCCATTTTTAGCTGGCGGAAACGTAGGCAAACTCCGTGGCGTGACAGTCGTACCGACTCCGGGCACCACTGCGGCTGCAGCGTCCTGCGGCTTTTTATTTGCCTTTTTGCTTCTACTTCTGCGACGAGAAGACGAGGAGGAGGATCTGTTGGCTTGCTTCCTCTCCCTCCGGCCTTCTGCTTTGGCTTTGGCGCCCACTTCCGCTCTTGGTGTAGCGTGCGAGTCCACCATTCGCCCTTGCTGCTGAACAACATCACGAAAAGTCGAGATTGGCGGCGGTGGCGGGTGTTGGAGTTGGTGGGAAGATGCCGAGGCGGTTCTCCATCCGGTAGTTGTACCAGTGCCACCTAGTATACCTACATCAACATCTCCCTCCACCGCCACATCTTCATAATTTACGCGACGGAGCTTCATCCTAGTGCTTTCGTTTCCGTCTTGTTTTGAGCTCGATGAGGAAGTCGACAGGGAAGGACTACTGGTATTTAAAATGTTAATGCTGGCAAAAGGAGCTGCTGGCCACGCCGGCCTCGGCCGCTCTACTTCTTGGAAATAACGGCTACTAGTAGAGTTTGAGTTCGTTGACCTCGACGCATGTCCTTGCTGCGCCGCCCCATCTGCGGCAAAATAGGATTCTCTGAGATCGTGCGCATACCTTGGAGGTCCACCTCGTGCACGTGCTGCCGCTGCTGCTTCAGCTTCGTCGTCTGATACCCGCAAGTCATCTTCTACTTGTTGAGTTCTTACTACTTCTTTCGTCACACACGCAGCTGCACCGCGAGAAGCGCTGCTGCTTTGGGTTCTTGCTGTTCGTGCGCTAGAGCCGCTCAATGTGAACATGAAATTTCGCAGATCACTAGCGATCGATCGACGTGTTGGCTGCAACGGAGACGACCGCTGTGTACTGTCGAACTGGCCGAGCAGCTGGTCTCCCTCGAACTGTTTGCCGCCTCTTTCATGATTGCTGGTTCGGTCTCGCGCACCTCCCGCGCCTGCAGCTCCGACCAATAAAGCCGGTGTACTAGTAGAAGAAGTGGTTGCACTAGTAGAGGCAGTGCCAGTGGCAGTGCAGTTATAACCAAAATTACGAAGGTCTTCGAGCTCCTTGTAGTCTGCATGTGTTAGACGAGGCGGCGCCGGGACGGGACTTGGTTTTGCCTTGTTTGATGCGGTCTTGGTATGCGTACTATGCTGAAGAGATGCCAACGGTTTGCTACCTGCTGGTTCCAAATTCAACTGCCTCTTGTGCTGCAGTACCATCAAGTCTCGGAAGTATCTCTCGTGCTCGTCCTCTGCGTCACTCGCTGCTGGCGGCTCTGCTCCGTGCCTGCCTTCCTTGAGAACTACGGCGCCCGAGAGACAAGAAGAAAGCTCACGCGAGCCTTCATTTTCTGCTGTCAAGACGATCTTGCTCGCTGCGAGTTGCTTTCCACCATTCTCAAGAAACAATGTGTCCTTAGTCGCAGAAGACGTGGAACTGATTTGAGTTTGAGTGCTGGGGATGTTTCCCGGTGTTTCAAAGTGACTTGCCGATATCAAACTATTTCTGACTCTGCCATTGCTAGTAGGTTTGGATTTTTCCATCTTCATTAGTGACGATGTTGGTGGATACATCTTGAACTACTAAGAACTTCGACTGCTTCTTCAAATTATGCGTAAGTACTGGCTCAGTATGTTCCATATACAACACGCCTCCTTGTCCTTCTAGTTGTACAACTAGGGAATAGCGGCGGCCTTTCGTCACTTTCTTTCAACTTTCTACAACATCAATCTTCAGCCACACTACATCAGCATTGCAATCAGAATCACCCTTGCGCTGCAGCCGCAGGATGTTGTGCCGCTGCAACAGCAGCACAGAGACAGAATCAATAAAACCATACATGCTCATAAGTCATTTCTTGGATCTGGTCTGTCTTCAGTTGCTTTGTCTCCAAAGCTGTGACACACATCTGAGTGACTCAGTGCGCACTAAACATCTATCTTCTACTTCAACCGCTTTCGCTTAGTGCTCATAGTATAATCTTCACGACCGCATCCTGGCATTGTACACGACAACGATCCCTGTCCGCAGCCGCACGATCATGTATGATCAAAGAATTACAACTGTTCCTCCATGTTTTCCTGAGCTTCACATGCTATACTACGTCACACTTTGCGCAAGCAACACCAAGCAAAAGTACGCACGAGAACGCCGGAGGTAAACTCCAGTCAATAACAATCCTTTCGCATTCATCGCTCGCCCTATCATGATCCACACACATGCACAAAATGATCGCTTTGACAATGAAATCGATCCTTTTTCTTACTTTTGCAACATCTTTGATGTTTCACTTTCATGAAATCGCGACGAGAAGCGAGCTCCTTTTTACCCTTGCCTCCAGGCGCTGGCGCTGCCGCAGATCCCTCTTCATCAATGATCCACCGGCACTGCAACTTCTTGCAGACTACAACCACATGTTCATGTTCCTGTACAAGCTCCAGAAAATAAGCGATATCGCATTTCAACACTTCATCATGCGGGGAGGGGAAACGCATACGCGGCAAGAACTGTGAATCATTGAGCCCGAAAGTGATCTTCTTCTTTATCTTCAAAGATGATCGTCAACACGACTGCAGACAGTACATATGATGTTTTGTCGAAGTGCATAATCTACGAGACGATTATCTTTCTCATCTTCTTGCCCTACAGCGTAAATTTCAAGAAGTAGATTCTCTGTCGACGTAAGTTGATGTACTACCGCATTTTATTGCCGCAAGCATCCGAGGAAGAGTTGGTAATCAGCTCAACACGATCAAGTTGGTGAGTCTTTTTCTGTCCACCGGCGACGTCTTCGTCGAACTGGGGAGAAAAGAAATGCCAGTTGCAGCAAAAGGCTTGTTTAAGAAAAATCGCCTACTGCTACTCTTGAGTCTTGGCAAACAGTTCCTAAATTGCATTTCAATTCCGCAACCCGGTGCCGGTGGCGTTGCTTCGATCTTTTTACAAGATGAAACGTCCCAGCGGAGTGTCTTTTGTCATAATTGGAAACTACTGAAACATTCACATTGAATAACGATAGCGAAGATCATCTCGCGGCGTGCGGTAGTGTTCGCGCAGGTAAAAAATGCGCTAAACCTAAATTAAACTGACTTTGCGCCAGTAAATAGTACCATCTTACCAATACCACTCTGTCTCAAATATTAATGTCCTCCCGAAATACTTAGAATCCGTACAGGTACACTCAATGTCAGTGTATCCATACGTAAGAAGCAAAGTGTTGGAGAGGACTCCTCTGCTGGTGTCGCATTTGCATACGACTTCACATCATCATATGTTTAAACTTGCTTTCAACATCAACGCTACTTTACTATGTTGTAGCTGGAAACTTTTTTATGCCATCTCGATCACGATAGCATCTTCTTATTGTGCTAACACTGGAACTGGTATACAGGAGCAGGACAACTCCAAAAGTTCTTACTTTTTCAAAAAAACGGCTACCACTGCACTAGATGACTGTGATGAGCTTGTTGTATGAAGACGATGTAGAAGTAGTAGTAGACGACTACGACGTATTACTTAAAATAATTGTTTGGTCTGCAGGATGAGTGCGTCATGCACCAGGGGCAGCAAGCTGTTGCTCCTTTTACCCGACTCGCTTCTTGGCCGTTGACTTCGCTTCCTGCATTCGATCAACCGGTCGTGGTGGATTCTTATTTTCCTTTATCCACCAGGTCCAGGCCCTAAACTCCCTATCGCTCCGGACATCACGGCCCCCCCGCCTGCTGTTGGCACTACTCCATTTCCTCCGGCGCCATCCTCAGTTGTAGAATTTGGGCTTCGATTTCTACCGGAGGCACTGGAGAGCACCTTTTTCAGCTGCAGACCGATCTTCTCCGACACGCGCGTGACTCCGTCGACGGCCCCAGTAAAGCTGCGACTGCTGCCGGAAAACTGCATCTGCTCCTGCTGTTCTTGCGAAGACTGCATTTGCTGGTGGCGCAAGAAGTCGCTGGTCGAATACAGGTCGCTGGACCCCCGAATGTGGCTCTCCGAAAGCAGGTTCTGCAGCACGATCTGCTCGTGCGGAGGCGGCGAAGAAGGTCCTCCCGCTGGTGTCGTGCCACGATCTCCTGACGCAGTGGCAGTCCCTGCAGCACTCGACGAGGATGATGCGACGACGAGTCCCGCAGCACTAGCTGCACTTCCTACGATATCAAATGTAAAAACGTCTGGGTCTGGAAAAATGCAAGTTTGTCATGCTTGTCTGGCATGACTCTTAAATCTGTCATGCACATTACCAAAGAGTCCCACTTTTCTGTCATGCAGAAACGTAGTTTGTCATGCAGAATAGGCAACACCTAGAAGCTCAGAAACTTATCATGCTGAGCCAGCAATTGTGGCCTCCTCATGATATGCCACACAGCATCACAAATTTCCAGACCCAGACATTTTTACATTTGATATACGAAGGAGCTTGAGGGCCGCAGCGGCCCGGCGAAGGACCCGGACCTGGGCTGGTGCGCGTCGCTGCCCCCGACAAGCGACGTATCAAATGTAAAAATGTCTGGGTCCGGAAGAATGCAACTTGTGATGCGCATTTCACATCACACAAAAATCTGTCATGCATGTACGCCAAAAGGTGCACATTTTCCGGTCACCGAAAGAAGGGCTTTGTCATGCGGATGACGCATTAGGAGACCTTCTCAAAACCTGTCATGCTAGGGCGTGCATGGTATACCTTCTGGATCATGCCAAAGCTGCATCACAAACCTCTGCATTTTTCCAGACCCAGACATTTTTACACTTGATACGACGAGGCCGGCGGCAGTGGTTGCGCAGAAGACGCAGATGCCCCGGAGCCACTACCACTCGCTGCTGCTTGCGCAAATGGTGCACTGCTCGACGAGGAAGAACTCGAAAGCGTTCCTTGTCCTTGCTGCAGCGCGCTGTTGCTGTTCACGAGCAGGTGAGCAGGTGTTGCAGAGTGCACTACGGTTCCTGCAGATGATATCATGCCACCGACAACCCCAGCTCCACCATCGTCAAAGGTAGACCCCGCCACACTGGTGCCTGTTGAGGATCGACCACTTGGAACCATTCCTCCGCCGAGCGTTGCCGATTGGTGGGAAACAGACGCCGGTATGGCGGGAAAATTCACGTTACTTGCTGACGAGCTCACACCTCCCAATGGCCCTCCACCGACCGTGGTGTTCACCGTCGTGCGAATGCCCTGAGAGGCGAGCGCTGGCGCAGCAAACGGGTCGACCGAATGCCGCAAAGCCATGCTCTGGAGAGGACCGCCACTGGTAGTGATTTATTTTTCTTTTTGTGAATATCAATTTTTTTGAAAATTTATCACAGATCACAGATACATTCGTTGCTGGAGTAGTGAACTCTTGTGGTACCGTGCGGTTGCCAGCGATGCTCGTATCATGGCGTCCTCTGCGTCACGCGTGGATCTTCGCAGTGGCTCCGATTGAACCATAAATGAAGCGGAGTTATCGAGGACCGTGCTGCCCAAGTTGTCTCCACCCCCATGCTCCATGACCCCGTCGAGCATTGTAGCGGAACCCCCTGCGAGGGGTCCCCCGCCAACTCCCCCCGGTTGCCCCGCCCCGGGTCCTCGCTGCGGCAAGCCGAGTCCGAGTTGCTGCTGGTGCATGGTATTCAACACCTCGGGTTCGGGTGTGGGGGCAATCTGGTGAAACTGTGAAATTCGGTACACGATCTGATTGTACGCGTCTGGATATTTTTTCTTGACAATGTTGTTCAACGCGTCCGCGGTCAACTTCTCGGCAACCGTGTAGGTCTGTGCGCGGACGTACGCCGTCCGCTTCTGCCCCTTCTGGACCAGCGCAGTCTCGCCAAAGTAATCACCTAGGTTTGTTCGTTCATGACTTGTTTTTCTGCTCACTGGTGGCGGGTTGGACAATCCTTCTGTATCGGTCCATACACACATTTCAAGTTAGGTTTATTGTAGGTTCTGTTTCATATATTGTGCGTCGTGCGCAGCTGTGGCGGGAAAAATAGGTGTACGTGTATCTATAAACAGGGAATACTACACCACGCAAGTTCGTGCGATAAACATCGTACGGTGGAGACAAGGAGTAACTTCTACTCTAACACCAACTCTTGGAAGGAATATTTTTAGCACAAGACCACGACCAGAAGCACCTTCTCTTTTCTGTGCGACGACGAGCTTATTTCGTGCGGTGGGAATGCCATTGGGTCCCGGCATGGAGTTTCGCCGGATGACGACGACGTCACAGAGACCGCGCAGAATGAAGTACATTTCGAAGCCCTCCTGCCCGAACCGAATGATGTAGTCCCCCGGGGAAAACACCTCCTCGGCAAAGTTGTCGAGAATTTCAGCGACTCCGGCGGGGTGCAAGTCGCGAAAAAAGGGCGCTTTTTCAATCAGCGAGGCGAAGAGGCAAATCTTGATTTCCAGCACCAGTGCCTTCGAACTCGTGTTGTAGAGCAGATCGCAGGCCTGTTTGTCGTGCTGGACCTCTAGAAACTGGTGGTACATATTGATCCGCTATCAAATGTAAAAATGTCTGAGTCTGGAAGATTGCCAGGTTTGTCATGCACATTTTGCATGACTCCTGATGTCTATGATGCATGCCCTAGCGTCACAGATTTTCTGAAGGCTTCCTAATGCCTATTCCGCATGACAAATGCTCTTTCCGTGTTGCAAAACTTGGACTCTCTTTGCTGCTCATGCAATACAGATTTTTTTAGAATCCAAAATCAGCATGACAAGTTAGATTCTTCCAGACCCAGACATTTTTACAGTTGATATCCGCTTGTGGAGATTGGGCGGAAGCTTAATCTGCGTATGGGGCTCTCAAACGTTACATTCTCAACTGTTACATGATTTGTCATGCAAAAACGCTATCACTTTTCATAATTTCAAACCTTCTCCGCATGACAAGTTCTCGACGCGCTAGATAGCATTGTAATCTGCTCCAAACCTGTAACGCAAAAGGAGCAAGCTTTTCCCTTTCACTTTTGCCATTCTTGCATTACAAATTTCATGTAACAGTTGAGAATGTAACAGTTGAGAGCTCCATACTGCGTCATGGCCGCGTTGATCGCTGCCTGTTGCTCCAAAGTTTTACCTCAAGTCAATTTAAAATATGTTAGCTATGGCTGTGTATTGCGTGACGTGGACGTGAGCCCGAAAACGAAATCGCCTTTTTGCACATAAATTTGCATACTCATCAAGATGAATAAGAATACAAGACGAACCCTGGTGCACCAGGAGGTCCATGACTGAAAACAGCAACGCAAGATCATGTACGCTGTACTTTTTAAAATCATCATCCGCTGCTCGATGAGCACGATGCGTGCGAAAATGACGGCTTCGGCGAAAGCTCCGATGGGCCGGAGCATGGTGATGCAAAGAACCACGCTGCTGTCGTCTCGATCTGTCATAGAAGTTGGAGGGGAAGCCGAGAACAGGAGTACTGCATCGCGCAGGGCCAGAATGTAGAACCTGTAGTTTTTATTATGGAGGAACTGAAGCTGCAACTAAGCTGATACACTGATAGCGATTGATAAAAAAGATAAAACCCTGTTCTGCTTTTTCGCACGCCCGATGTAGAGGATGAGCGATGAGAATGGCGTGGAGGACGAGGCTAGTACTAACAACATCTTCACAAGACGAGTTGCATTTCCAATGCGCCAGGCAATCAAGTAAGTACTGTCTGGTGCACCTCCTAATGATCCTGATTTAACCACGATTCACACATACTGAAATCAGGCTCAAGCACAGCCAGGTAAACAAGAACGACGAGTCAATACTTCCAGACGGATATGTGTTTGACATCCGCTTCGTAGGTGGTTTCCTGATCTGTGTCATAGAGGACGTAAAACCAGGCGACGGCAAACAGGTGCACAAGCAGAAACATCATGAAGACGAGCTCTGCGCCGGCCCACACGCCCTGGCGGTAGGGGCTGATGACGACCCCGCCCTGACTGGCGGCCGCGCGGTCCCGCCGCACCGTTTCGTACCGCAAAAGCCGTAGCAAACCAAACCAACTACAGGCAGTCCTGGTTGTCGTAAATTTGATGTTGAATCAAAGGAGCGGTTTAAAAGTCACTCTTGGGACGAAGTAGTCGTCGTATCTACAGGCCGACTCTGCAACGAAAACTGGAACAAGGGGAAGGGCAACATGTCAGGACCAACGAGCATAATTTTTCTTCAGGTTCAGTGTAATGGAGGTCCCAGCCCAACTCGTACTACGAATAGCACCTCCACCAGGCAACAGCATTTGTCTCTGCCTCACCTTTTTCCGGACTGGCTCATGGCATCCACCCAGAGGAGGTTTCCTAGTAGAGTCAGCCAGTTGGCCCAGTACGCCGTTTTGCGGAACAAAATGCGGCGGATGTCCGCTGGCTCCACGTATTCCCGGCCCTCCTGAATCTCCACGATGCTGGTCCGCAGGGGAAAGAGCAACTCGAAGATCACGAAGGCAAACTCGGCCACCATGTCGAACACGAAGACTTCTAAAAGGTTGTCCGACCATTTCTTGGTCTTGTCCCCCGCTAACGGGTAGAAAAACCCGAGGTAGAAGGTGGTAAAAATCGCGTTGTACAGCATCAGAATGGAGCACAGCTTCCGGCCGAACAGCAGCAAGTCGGAGTGCCCCGCGCGCCAAAACACGGACAAATGCGTGGGCAGCTTGCCGTACAGCTGCGTGGCAGTGGGGTTCACGCTGTCGGTGTCGGTGTCGCGAATCTCAAACTGGTCGAAGGAAAACCGGCTGAACTCCACCACCGCGCCGAGGTCTATCGTCGTGCTGGCCCGGGCGTGGTGGCCAGTGGAGAGCGACATGCGGCGGCCGATCGCCGCGCGCGCGCCCGAGCCCCCGCCGGGCCCGCTGCCGTGGTGAGCGCCCGTGAGCTGGTTGATCCGGCCCATGCTGCCCGGGAACATGGAGATGGAGAAGCTGCGCTTCCGCCCGAGCGTGGGCGGCGCGGTATGTATCTTGCCAACCGTCACATTTCCGTCCACTGGTATTGCAATCAAAAACGCCCCCACCCCCGAACGTGGAAGCATTTGTATTGCAAACCTTTCAAAGTGAAACACTCGCCCTTTTGCATCTCTCAGCATCACAGATTCCCGATCGTGAATAGCAAAAATTTGCATTGCAAAAGATCCCTCCAGCAAAAGCGGCGCTTGTCATGCAAGCGATGCGATACTTACACGCCTAGACTCTGCATCAGAAAGGTTCGCACTCCTTTCATGCATGACAAAAAGTTTTTATTTGGAAACTTCGCATCACAAATTTTTGCAACTTTGCGGGTGGTGGCATTTTTCCTCGCGATAACTGGCGGGAACTGATCGTCCTCCTCCCCGGTTCCGTCCGTACTGGCCGTTTCGTGCGACACGATGCTCATCTTTCTGGACCTGTCGCCGCCGAAGGGCTCGGACTTGCTCGGGTCCACCCCGGTTTGCATTTGCTTCCCATTCAGCTGCTTGCTCATCGCGTTGCTCGCCCGTTTTTTCACCTGCCGCTTGCTGCAGTGGTGCAGGTCTGCGGAGGCCATCAGAAAATCCTCGGAGGAACTGCTGGTATTCGTCCGCGCGTCTTTCCGCGGGTCCTCAGCACTTGAGCTCGACGCCGCGCTTGTGTGCTGTGTGTGGTCCACCTGCTGTGCGGAGGAGCTACCACCGGCCTCGTCAGGATCGGTCTTTTTCTTGATGGTGATGCCCCCCTTCGAGGAAGATCTCGTTGATATTGCCTGACCAGCCGCTCCGCCCGCGGCGGCGTGACGCACTGAAGGTTCCACAGCCTCTTTTTCCATTTCGTTGTCAAAATCCTGCAACAAAGTCCTCCGGCCTTTCGTGTTGCTACTTTTATCTTCATGGTCGCGCGGATCTTTTCTGTGTCCGCCGGCACTCCCCGCTGGTAAAAACGGTGTTGCGTAGGAACAGCTTGCCTCGAGTCCCAAGTGCTTGTCAACTCCTGCGCCTTTTCCGACTGCACGGGCTAATGTCGTACTAGCTGTACTCGCGCTGAAAGGTGTAACGGTCGCTGGACCAGGTGCATTTGCTCTACCTGCTGGTGCTCGATCTACTTCATCGGCGTTTGGATTTAAAAATCCTGTTTGTGTTTCCAGCCCGGTCGTGTTGTAATTCGAGCTGTTTGTTGCATTTCCATACTTGCGTGCTTCCTCGACGACGACGCGGCCCGCTGGTCCTCGCGCTCCGGTTCCGACCCTACCGCCGGGTTGACGCTCTTCAATATCGTCCGCGCCCGCCTGGTGACGGAGCGGTGCATGGGGAGATTGAAACCCACTGTCGGCATAATCATCTTCCGTCAGCGACACCTGGTCATCGTGTAGTACCTGGCCCCGTGGGGTTTCCCTTTTCTCGTTCTCGCCAACCCTCGTCTCGTCCCCGACCATAGTTCTTGCCACACGGATCGCTAGCCGCCCCCGCCTACAACGGGACGAGCTGCAAACCCCCTACGCAGCTGCAGTCCCGACTACGCTGCCCCGAGGCGAGGACAAACGCAAGCTCCTTGTTGTCATCTGCTGCTCGTAGCCGTAGCTGCACTGATGAACGGGAACCGGATCCAACATCTTGTCAGTCAATTTTCCACCTGCTCGATGTAGTTGCGCGACCGTCGAAATTCGACTTTTGTCGTTGTCCCCACATCTTGTTGTACTTGTGGTGGATTTTTTTCTCTTCTTGATGAGGAATTTTATTGTTTGACGTTCTTGATGATCAAATTCCAGAAACGGAGACGAAGGACGCATAATTACCGGGTGCAGAGATAATTTCCAAACTTTTCATTCAATTTCAATGGCGAGCAGCTGCCCCAACGCCAATTCCGCCGGTTGCTCTAGCCGAGAGTGCTGGGCAATTTCGTTTTTCCTCTCGTCCTCATCCATTTCCTCGAGCGGCGCCTCGGTGTGCGTGTGCGTAGAAGGATACGATAGATCATTCATCATTGCTATGCATGGCACGACCACATGCACACGTGAACATCGGGCACGACCGCTTCAACTTCAAGACCTTATTTACAACAGAAGTGCCAACATCACTCGGAGTCACTCACATCTGCAGCTACAATAGCGGCGCCTTTGGTAGTTGAAGAACAAGGTCTCCTGAGCGAGCGTCGCTTTGGTCCAGTTGCAGTGGTTGAGACCGTCTCTCTCTCCGTCTGCCGTTGTACCAGCACCGCATGAAGATTCATACCTCCAAGACTCGTTTTGCACGTCTGTTTTGGGCATCAAGGTCTTTCCGTCCTTGATGAACGACAACAAGAAGAAAACAAGTTCTGGCGCGGCCTTGCTTTTTCTTGTTTTGCGACACTATGTGTTCAGTGGAAAATAAAAAGCCAAAAAGAACCATGATATGCACTTTCTCCATGTCTAAACTTTTTTTCTCATTACCGTCGAACAATAGATCAGTCATTATGTACTTGGAAATAGAGAGGTAATCACATATATCACTCGTCTCGTTTGGAGATTTGAATTAAGCACTATAACATGAAGTTCATGTTCATCTAGAAAGAACTACTTCAACTGCTACTTATTCATACATTCGCTTGGGCTGTCGTTCTCGTTACAACGAAGCGCGCGAGGGATGAAATAGTGATAGAACAAGACAGAGGACGAGCTGATTCGGCCGCTTTCTCCTGGAGTCACAGTGAGGAGCCCGTCACACTCTAGAACCTCCCCGTGTCGCGTAGTTATACCCACTAGTACCGCTTACACCGTTGTGGTTGGCACCCACTGTGTGGACGCCCCTCCGCCTCCTCGTTGGTGTGCTGCTGCGGTTGCATTCACATTCACACCTGCCCCTGCAGACCATGATTCTGTTACAACGTTATAACTCGTAGATCCGCCGATGCTTGCCGCTGCAGCACTACCTAGAGCCAGAAGTGACTGTTGATGAAAGGTTCGCTTTCACTCGGTTGCGCAACTGCAGCTCCTCCGCCAACTCACGCAGCTGCCTCTCCCGGTCGTTTCGCGTGCCTAGCATCGACTCTGTGTGTCCGGGGACGGGCCCCGCACGGTAAATCAGATCAAAACCGCCGACCCGGGTGATCTGATCGTGGTAGTCCAGCGCGTTGCCATTTTCGTCTACCTGCGCCAAGTACTTCTCCAGATCCAGAATAGTCAGCACGTCGTCCAGTGTGGCGAACTTCATTTCGTAGTCCGCCTTCGTGTTGGCGGTCAAGGACGGGCTGGCGTTCACCTCAATCAAGGTGGGGTTAAAGTGCGAATCGATCATGATATCGTAGCCGTACATTTCGAAGCACTTGCGGTCTGCAATCATCACCCGCTGCACGGCCAGCAGACTGTAGATGATGATTTCCTCGAAACGATTGAAGAGGTCGATGGTGCGCTCACGGCCGATTTTGGAGATCAAGTACTGCTTCATCCGCGGGATTTCCCACTTGCCGCCGGTGCGCTGGTAGGTGTTGTCCTTGGAGAAGAGGTTTTTCTGCACCGCCACGTTGGTCAGGTGCGAGGACAGCTTGGTCGGGTCCCGCACTGTGTCGACCGAGTATCGGGTCAGGGAAAACCGCGCGAACCCTTCTCGACTCAGCCACACGGTGAGCGGCTGGTAGGAGGTTACTAGTGCATAGATGCGCAAGTCAAACTTCCGCCCGCCGATCAGCAGCGGATTCTCGATGTACTTTTGCACGATGTAGGATTCCGCCGGCCCCTCGTCGGGGTCGAAATCGTTGCCACCCGCGCCCGCGCCGCCGTAGCCGCCATCGCCCCCGCCGCCGGCGCCGCCCCCGGTCGCGGGCTTCCAGTTCGCCAACTGGCTCAGCTTGGTGACCATGAAGATGCCAGTGCCCTGACTCCGGCCGACGGGCTTCATAATCCACACCTGCTTCCCGCACCGCCGAAACTCTTCGACGAACATGCTGTATTCCTGAGGCAGGAGAAACGTGATGGGTATCATCTCCTCGTACTTTCGGGCCGTTTCCAGTGACTGCGCGCTACCTTCCTTTTCCAACGCACGCTTGTGCCGCTTCACGTTCTTTGCTAAGAGGTCCTTGCGGGTCAGCTCGTAGTGGTTGCGAAAATGGTTCACGCGCTGCCAGGGCTCCAGGTGCAGCTTTTCCAGCTCCCCGTGAATCCAGTCCTTGTCTGCCCAGTGGATGTGCCAATCCTGCTTCAAGTGCTTCGTGCTCACCGCGCTGGTACCCGCAGGAGCAGCCACTGCACCTCCGCCAGCACTCGCGGATGTTGACGTGCCTGTCGCTCCTGTAACCGCAGAGCCACCACCGCTGGCAGTACTCGCAGGACCTCCCAGCTGTCTGGCACTTCCGGGCGGAGACGTCGTCGGGGGTGTGCTCGAAGAAGCAAGGAAAGAAATCGGTTGACCGCCCATACCAGATGCGCCGCTAGTACCAGGTCGCGCAGATACAGATGAACCTCCTCCCTTCGTTGCGGCAGTAGGTGTTGTACCCGTTGTACTGCAGCTGGTGGCAACTACCCCCGGAATGCTGTCATTAGTCGTTGACGCAGACGCACCGGCACCAGATCCTATAGCAACGCCCCCAGAAGTGGACATTGTGGTTGTTGACGAAGCCGATTGCCCCGCTCTCCCGGTTGCACTCCCGCGGCGAGCGACGTTTGAACTCGACGCAGCAGCACCACCTCCTCCCGTTCCTCCGCCTTCCGTGCCGGCCGCGGCCGACGCAGACGAAATCACGGACGCGCCGCTATCCTGAGTAAAAACGTACCCACACCAGAGTCAAGATGGGGAATCGGCTAGACAAATCCACAAGTTTTGGCTGTTTTGCATGACAAATTTGGATTCGTAGTGTAGTGCTGTTTGAGCTAGCTCAGCAGCATGACAGATCTAGCATATCATGCTGATTGGAGCATGACAAATTGCAAAACACGACTAGAAAACGCTTCTCATGGGGCTCCGCATGAGAAACATTTTCAGCATGCAGATTTGCATGACAACTATGGTGTGGGTACGTTTTTACTCAGGATAACCGCTGCGCGGGGTCCGCGGCGACGGCAGGTCATCGACGCCCCATTCCTTCCACCCCCGGCTCTTGAAAACGTCATTATGGAGAGAAAAAAGTTTGTCACAGTCATGTCACTAAGTTGCAGATTTTGCATTACAAATTTTTTTAGCATCACAGCTTCTCCTTGTATAATTGCAGAAACACTAGGGAAATCCCTTATGAAGTGTGGCTGTGATGCATTTTTACGCATGACAGACAATTTTGTATTGCAAAAACGCCCATTAGTGATCGTGACGAACTTTTTTCTTTTGATAGTCATAGATGGTGTTGTAGTGCGAGCTTCCCTCCCCCGTAACCGCGTCCGTGACGCGATGCAACTTGGCGCAACGAAATTTGATCTGTTGCCACGGCGCCGGATCCCGTTTAATGATGCGGCGAAAATGCTCGGACATGGCAACCGGAAAATCTTCTCGCACCACTCGAAATCGAAGTAGATCTTCATGCAGCTTCTAGATATTGTCTTCAACACTGAGTCATAGAAGCACGAGAAAGAGAAAGTATCATCTTGTCTGGAACGGAATCGGAAAACAACATTGCTTTAATAAACTTTTCTCTCAGCAACTCTTTTTTATTTTTACAGTCAGGCGTGTCGATGCATTTTCTTTCTACTATCCTCAATGCTACAACAAACCCGCCACGCCGTCAACTACTCCATTGTCATTGTGGTCTTCTCTTCTCCCCGTTCTTGGTGTGAATTAGTCTTAGTGACATCCCGTTGCCGTACGTACCACTTTTCAAATCCTTGATGAATGTTCATCCGCCTCGCCAATCCGACGAAAACCAAAACACGACTATCGTGGCCGCCAAGTCTCTGCATGGAACTGACACTGTATCATGGAGTGTCAGCTTGCTGTAAACAAAACTACAACGAACTTCAAGCTCCCAGAGCCAGACTTATTTTGACGAAAAAAACTCCATCGCGTTAAGACTGAATTCGATGTCAAAGATGATTGGCGCTTTTGTCTCGTCAAAAGTCAAGTTGCATGCTTCACCACGCTCAGTGAAAAACAGGATGAAAGCTACTTAGCCCGGCGGAGAGCTGCCAAAATGCTTCACACGAAATTGCCAAATTCCCGAGTGCCCATCGTATCCAAGAAATTCCGCGCCCTTTTCGACCGTCATGTTGCGCACTCGATCTAGGTACGCCTGGGGGTCTGCGAAGTTCGCCGGCGGCAGACAATTGTACATGATCACGGAGGCCGGTTTGTTCAATCCCTCACCAACGGGTGGCTTCGTCTCCTCCGAGAACAAAGGCGGAGGGTACACCTTGTTGAAGTAAACGGATACGGATCAAGTTGAAGTTAAAATCTGGATCTCTTGCTTGTGCTTATCATATTAATGCGAAAACATAAAACTGAAAAACGATAACGACGGGATTGCAGATATTACTTAGGGCTTTTATCTTCTATGTATAATCTCTATCATCCCCGACCTCGAAAAGGAAAACAAAGAATCAAGCCGGCAAATTCATCGTCTACTAAGTTAGTTAATACCACGACACATCCCCTAGACAGCTGCACGACCTCGCGGAAGTTGATTCCGCGGACGTCTGTAACGCCGTGGAAGGTGACCTGACCGACGTCGCGCTTGTGGACGGTCAACTCGTGCACAAACAGCGAGGAACCGTGCCGTCCCACGACGTCCTCCCGGCTGGGATCTAGGGTGTCCAAATCTGGAAAGAGTTCGAACTCCCCCGGATCCACCAGGAACCGGGTGTAGTTGCTAGCCCGCCCGAATTTCCGCTCAAGGGTCAGCTTGCGCTGCTTTTCCAGGTGGTACTCGGAGAATGGCTTCTGCTGCTTGAATTTGGTCTCCTCGTGCTGCTGCACGACACGAAACCGTCGGTCTTCGTCTTGTTGGAGGTGCTGCCCCGGCTGTTGTTGATGCTGTTGCGGCGCAGCCGACTGAGCGACCGATAACTGCACCTGCAGTTCGTCCTCCGCACAATACGGGACCGGTGTACTAGTTGTAACACACTCTTGGAGTCCTCCCGCAGGGTCCAGTGGGCGAGTGTAGTAATTTTCACGTGCAACTTCGTCGTAAGGACGGGGCGCTTCGCTTCGGGGGGCGTCGCTTGTCGAGGTGGACGGACGGTGTTGCGCTGCGTTTTTCTGCTGCTCTTCGTCGACATGAAGCTGGGACTGAGATATTAAGTGGTCATGTCGAGCGATAGAATAAGAATATCATCATAAAGCAGATCGCTGGTGATGTTGTTTTTTTTCACCCACGCATTCTTTTGTTTTTTTTTAATGATACGCGTACTTCCACTTTTTTGCAGCAAGAGCCGTCTCACTCGATGTACTCGTACAGTACTGAAAGTCAAAAATAAACAGATGTACTCCTCGGTGTTCGAGATTGTTCCCCTGTTCGACGCAGAGAGGTGGCTGTCCTCCCACGGACTGATCTTGAGAAGCGCTAACATTCCGATGCTCATGCTCTTCCGCATGTGCAGGATTCGCGGCTGCGCCGGCATTGCTTTGACCAACAGTCCCCTGCAGCTGCTCAGATGACTCCGTCGAATCCTGCACAGCGGCCAGGTCGGCGTTAAACTGCGCCTTTACCGCTTGGTACCATTCCCGGTACTCATTCACATTAAACTGCGGAATCTGCGAGTGGGCCTTGAGATTGGCGATCTCTGGGCCGGGCAGGCTCTTATGCCTTGTCAATTGCAGATAGAACATCGCGCTGCGCACGAAGCGTGCGTAGGGGGCGAGGATCGCAGACACCTCCAAGACCGCCTCTTCGTCGTACGCCGGGGGGCGGGGAACAGCGGAGGAAGTGGCTCTTTCGCGATCCTGCTGGTGGTCAGCTTCTGCGGCACCTCCGTGCTCGGAACCATGTGGATCGAGCAAATATTCCTTCACGCGGAGGAACGTCTGCCGGGGCACTTTGTTGATCTGAAACAGGTTCAGTCGCTGCTCGAACATGCCCTTGCTCACGTAGCCCAGAATCGAGGCCCAACGCAAGTCGTGGAACTGCAGCAGTGCGCAGACGGACTCCACCACACGCTGGATCAGCTGCCGGTTCTTTCTGTGCTTCAGCGACGACGAAGGAGAGGAATTCGTCGAGGTCGGTTGCTCGCCTCTGCTTTGTCCTCTTTCTTCTTCTGCCACTTCTGCTGCAAATGAAGTAGATGAGCCGCCGGCGCCTTTTGCTTTTGCAGCGCGAGTACTGTTTGGTACTGACAAGTGCGCGACCATTTCGGCAGCACTGGCGACGTCAACTTGCCCGGGAATACCCGCGGCCGACGTCGGCGCCACGAACTCGTACTGGTGTGACAGCACGAAGTTGCGAAAGTCAATTTGCGCGTCCTTGCGGCGGATCAGCTCCAAACTGACGCGGATGCACTCCAATGATTCTTCCACCTGCATGGCGTTGTAGTCCTTGAATGACAAACCGTACTCCCGTTTCATGTAATGGTCCATGATCAGATAATCGGGGTCGTTTTCGGTGTCTGCCGCGTTGACCTGCCCGCTCTGGCTCTGGCCCAGATGCGACACTGAAGCAGCAGACTCCTGAAGAAAGTCCCGCGGTGGCGGCGCGTAATCGTCGTGGTCAGGAGATGAGGTAGAAACACCACTTGTTCTCTGGTGCTCGCTTGCAGCTGCAGGCAAGGCGGACCGTGTGGAGGCCCGGTCGTTTTTGATTTCCTGCTGCGGCTTTAGAGTCTGATGGGCAGCTTGTTGTTGGCGTTCTGCAGTCAACGTGGACGAAGCGGTTCCCGAATGATGCAATCCAGCTGCTGTAGCACCAGGACGAGAGCCAGGAGCTACGTTCAAAACAAGTTCTCGGTGCTGTGTGCTCGGTTGCGCCGGTGGAATTCTGTGCACCAAATTGGAGCTCTTCGAGGGAAATGAAGCTGCTGCACTTGCAGCGCTAGACGAGCCCCCGAGCGCGCTACCCGTCGGCGACTGTCGCTTCGAGCTGTTGCTCGATGTCGTTGTCGGCGAGGACTGAGCGGACTCCGTCGCGTTCACTGCTCCTGCTGCAGCCGTGGCGGAGGTTGTGCGACCGGGCGCATCAAACTTCACATTCTTGTTTCTCGTCTGGTGTGATAATTTGGCACTTGCTCCTCCTGTTGTGCTCTTACCACCACTACCACCAGCAGCACCGCCCGCGCCTGTACTTGACGGCACCCCGCCGGTAGAAGCAGTTGGAGGCACTTTCTTCCGCACGGATGAAGAAGGAACTGCTGGCGCTAAGCTGCTTCCAACGGCCATGCCTGGTTGTTGTTTCAGCGGCCGGCCGCTCGCTGCTGATCCTCCTGTGGCCGCGCCAGTGTTGGATCCGTAGGAGCCCGTACGGCTGCGGCCACGAGAGGATGCGCGCGCGCCTGCCACGTTTAGCGAAGTTCCTGGCTGAGCTTTTCTCACAAGCGCGGCGCGCGGTCTAGCGGTCGCGGCAGAACTCGTAGTGGTGCTGATACTATTTTGAAAGTTTGCCGACTTGACGGTCTCCAGAATATGTGGGGACTTTGTGCGTTTCAGCGTGCTGCCCTGCTGACGGTCGGGCAGCGCCTGCGGTTCTCCATGCCGCGTGACCTGCTCACCCGGATGATAACCCGCTGAGGATGATGAGGACCTCGTAGCTCCTTCCCCCGCACTCGTGCTGCTCGTCGCAGTGGATGAACCTTGCTGCATCGTGAGCTGCGGCTGGGGATGCACCGGATTCACCCGTGCTTGGAAGGAAGATGCTGCTTCGGCAACAGCTGCTGGCGCTACCTCATCGAGCGGAAGTGCGACAGGAACGGTAGTCGACACGAAGCTGGGCTTGGTCGGTTCGGCGGGCTCTGTACCTGTCATGACCGCCAGTCTTTGTCGCAGCGCCAGCGCTTTCTGCTGCACCGAAGAAGTGAGCGGCCTGTAGTTGCTTTGGATTTTCGGACTGTAAGTGATTCGCAGCACAGGACTGCCCTCGTCGGGACTGGGTTTCGACAGTGTGGAACCCCCTCCAGCAGGTTGTGCTGAACTGCCGACATCGTCACTCTCCTGGTCCTGGCTTGCCAGACCATGCTGAAGAACCCCAGCCGCGGTGGTCGCAGTCGTGTGTCCTTGTGGAGCTCCTGCAAGCAGAACGGATGACACTTGCGATGCTGCGGACGACGACGCGGGCCGCTGTAACGCAGCGGCAGCAGCAATGCTATGACTTTTGTCTGGGGTTGCGAAAGTGACGTTTGGAGGAAAATCATGGCACTGCGTTGTACCCTCGGTATACGCCCCACGTCCAACGGCCTGTTCTGAACCCAAGGAAGATCCACTGGGGTAGAGGTGCACGGCACTCTTGTCGTTTCCACTTACCTGAGTAGCCTGCACGCTGCCAGGTGTATAGGCTGCTTTTGTCATGTCGTCACGACCGGCGCAGGATGTGCTCGTGCTAGCCTGTAGAAAGATCGAAGTACTTTCTTAATTGCGATCGTGTTTTTCTTATGCCGCTCAATATCTTCGCAATCGCATCAGAGTCAGACTCAAAGTGAAGCTGCATGCGAATCAAATAAAATTTTTCTTTTTGTTCCTGCCACTGCGGGGAGTAAGCGTATCTTGTAGAAGATGAAGAACATAACATCCGTGTCATTTTCGTATTTCTATAAAAAAGCGTTATCTTACCTGTGCGAGCGGGGCTATATTCAGTGACGGCGCAGGACCCGCTCCCGCAGCGGTCTGCGACCCCTCCTGGTGTTGAGCAACGCGGGGCTGTGTCGCCATGACAGTTCGTGTCGGCGATTGCGCTCGTGGATGCATCAGCGCTGCTGACTGCATGCTTCGAAAGTGCAGGCCGGGCGACGCGTTTGTTTGAAGAAAGCCTTTCTGCGGGGTTACTTGCAAACTCGCACTCGATGGCGTTCCGGACAAACCCTGGCTCAAAGCACGGATTTGCGCGCCGCCACTGGCTGAAGTTGAGGTTGACGGGTGCTGACCGCCTCCCGCGATTGTTGGCCCGCCTGAACCCAGTGACACTTGGGCTCCAGCAACCGCAAGCCCCGCCTGCAGCGTCCTCTGCTGCGCTTGCGCACTGTTCGGGGGAACATCGGTCGTGGGTAAAGCACCAGTCGAGGGCGCAGCGGATAAGCTTCCGTACTGTTTGTTTTGCGGGCTGAAGCCCAAGCGTGTGAGACTGGATGACCGAGAGGAGTGTTGAAATGGTGTTCCGCCGAAGAGTTGCACTCCCCGGAGGACGGGCCTCGGGGAGAGCTTCGGCGTGTGCGCAAGTGACGTGGGCGCTAGTTGACCGGCCGCGCGGTGTAGTTGTTGCCCGCTTGTAATTGTACTTTCCGGGGCAGCAAACGCAGCAGGCACAGATGACCCTGCAGCAGCAGAACATGCATCAGCAGAAGTTGTTCCGGTTGCTGGATGAACGGCCAATGTTGTTGTACTCGTGGCAGCACCCACGTTAGCTCCCGTATGCATTGCAAAAGCATCGTACTAGTATGAATCGCATCACAGATTTTTTCAATAACAAAAAAGCAATTTGTCATGCTAGTTCAGGTAGAAAGTTGGATTTGTCATGCATGACTGCAATTACTACGACTACGATACTTTTGCACAGGATATCCCGCCGCCCTGGACGATGACGAAGACGATTCCGACGCCGAGAGGCTGGCTGAACTAGCAGCCCCTGTTGTAGCTCCACCTACTTCCGCAGATGCAGTTCCTGGTGTTCCGTTGCGCTGCTGTTCTTGCCGCTCCTCCTGCTTTTTAATCTGCTGCTGTGCGGCTCTGTGTGCTTTGCTGGAGAGACTGACAGGAGGTCTTGGCGGTACCGGTGCGGTCTTGACGCTCGAATTCGACGGCTGGTGCCCAGCACTTGATGACGGTAGTACTGGTGGTCTGTGCTGCTGTGCAGCCGTCGGGTGGTAGGTCGTCCGCGCCCCACCACGAGTCACCATCTGGAGGTTGCCGGAAGCCAAACCTCCTGGCTGCAACCCAACAAGCCCCCCGGAATGGCGATGGCCAACGGCAACTCCGCGGGTCTGCATACCGGGCGAGTGGTAGGCTGGTGGTCGATTGATGTTGCCGCTGACTAGCACATTCGCAGTCGTCGGCGGCGCAACCGGCCGCGTTGGGGGAGTGCTGAACAGAGCCGCGTTGTTGCGATATGGCGAGGTCGACCGCATGGCCAAGGGCCCGTCCGCCGAACTGTGGCGGACCGCTGCGGTACCCGTGACCGTCACCGGCTGTGCCACGTTGATCGGCGTCGCTCCTGTTCTGGCCGCTAACTGCGGTGCGGGCGAGTTCGACGTTGGGCGAGAAGAAATACCCGCTAGGCTCACCGGTGTCAGTACATTTAGTGCACGCCCGCGCTGCGGCGGTGTACCGTAAAACGGCTGCGGTTTGATGAAGCTTGGTGTGGCGACGCGTTCCTGAGTCGCGCCAGATGCCGCTGCAACAGTAGTGGCAGACGCGAACATGCTCTGCAAAAAGCCATCGGTGCCACCTCCTGGACTCGGCGCGGCGGGGCGCGCGCTTGCATAATGATGCTGACCCGCAACCGTTCCGGCCGCTGTTGATGCTTGCTGCGGTATCATGTTCTCGAGTGAACAAAGCAGGTGAACACGCACTGCCACAACTTGCGCACCTCTTGGCTACCTGCCAATGCAACTGCTATGGGTGTAGTCGGTACTGCATTTGCCTTCGCGTTGTTCGGGGGTTTGTTTCGACATTGCTATTATTTCATTTTCATCATGCCTCTCTCGCAATTACGACGGCGAACGAGGACGCGGAGTCGCAGTCCAGGTCAATTGCCTTCTAGGACGTAGTCCTCGTAGGTCTGAGCTTTGTCCGTCGCAGGAGAGGTGGTGGAGGAGGATGAAGAAATTTTGAGAAGATGACGAACAATCACTTCACGCCTGTTCTTTCGCGCGTGAAGATCTGAGGCGGGCCGCCGTGAGGACCTCTGTCTGGTTATACACATTCGAAACGAAAACTCGCACAGATATCATGCGGACAGCAACGTCGTCTTCGCCTTTCCAGACGAGGTTTAAACGTCGACGAAACAACAACCCTTTTTTCACTATGACAAGTATGTCGTGCCTCTACTTCAATATGTATTTGTGCTCTAGGGTCATCTATTTTCAATTTATTTGATTTGTTCTTTATTCTCTTGATGGTAAAATTGATTTCAACAACCTCCCGAAGGTCTCACGATGGTAGTCGGTTTCCATTTGGCAGCATATTTGAGCGCTTTTCTCTCTCATACTCGATCTGTCTTCTGTTGCTGTCGAACTCGAAACAAATTTGGTTTTTTCCTTCCGCCACGACTGCAGTAGTCGCACTTCTCGCAACAAAATAAAGGGTATTCGATTCTTGCTCTTGGACATGGACTTGGTTGAGGATGTTGGAGCGGACAATAAATATTATGTCCAAGTGGTATGTAGCGGTCAGTATCTTTCAATAAACAAAAAAAGTTCTTTCCCCCGCCCGAACACGAAGACAATGCTGCCGAAGACGCCATGAGAAGCACAACAGAGAAAGTAAACACGACAACGATCACCTGTGGCGCAGTTTTCTACTCGGTCAAGGGCAGCCCGCCCGTGTCCGTCGATCATAATAAGATGTCCTTGTCACGACAATGGTTTTTCTTTTTTCATCAGCTCCAATCTAAAGTATATCTTCATCTTGATGATGATCTCGATAATCTGCCGCGGTAGAAGTGCCCACCAGCACTTGTACGACGTGCGAAAGCAGAAGTGGAACAAGTACGAGTGAAACTTGTTCGTGCACTTCTGTCCATATTTCGAATGATGGGGCGTAGCGCATGATGGACCGACGAACCACAGAAAGGAAAGCAATTGGCGTATCCCGGCAGCGCGCCCTTCACGTTCAACGTGCATCCAAGACCCCTAATGATGAGCGGTGTGCGGATCCACGTAGCCCCACTTGTTTGCGAGCCGGGCCTCGATCATGTGGTCGATGGCGTGGTGATCAAGCTCCTTTCCGTACGCATACAGATCGAAATTGTACCAATACCTGGAGACCAGAACGACAGGCAGCTACATTGGCATCAGGAGCGTACCAATATTGCCATATCAAAATCTTCAATCATGGACGACTGTAAATCGAGAAATCAGAATACTGTGCCGGCTATTTGGACGGTTTCAAAGTAGACAAAGTTCAACATATGCCTATATCCGGAGGAGCGTAACAAGCACGAACACAAAAGTGCCTGCTCAGCTTCCATCACAGAAGTGCGCACCAAGAAATCAACTTATACTCTTCGGAGTCGCAGTAGTGCTCTGGAGGTTCTCGGCGAACGAAAAACATGAAGTTGAAGGCAATCGCGGAAAGTGGCATCATTACCGCCCAGAGCCAATATCGCTCGTTGTAAGCCTGCACAAACATCAGCTGCCAGTACTGCTTCAAAGACAGGGCGTGGTATCGGTCTGGGGTACAAGTGTTGGGTCGGAAATTTTTATCTCCAGAGCTGCAGTGCTGTCGAAGTCGATCAACTCTGGAACTGAAAGGACCATTTCATGTTCATCGGCCGGCGCGACAAAACAATTTATTAATTTGCAAAATCAGAGTGGTTGTACCTTGCGCGTTGAAGTGCTTGGTCAAGTCGTAGGTCATTCTTGCGACTTTGTGGTTGTGATCGAGCAGCTTCGGGTGCCCGATCATAGGTTGGATGCCTCGCATGGCGTTGATGAGCGAGTATGGAGCCTGCCCGGGAAAGACGAAGTAGCCACCCATTTCTTTGTGCCGGTACGGAAGATCCCCGGTCACACAGTTGATCGGACCAGGTCGCGCAGGCCAGTTGGGACCACCCTGTAAATATTCGATGTCTCTCGTGCTGCATTTGCAAAAACCAGTCAAAGAAAAGAACGCGTAAGAGAATCTGTGGCTCGTGTGGATGTGTGGTGCGGCTGCTCTTTCAGTATAGAAACTTAGGCCGTCTTGACTTTTTCGAGGAGGGCTATGTAATATTCAAAATAATGTATTGAAGACTTAAAATAGAAAAGGACGCCATCGTCCTTACGTCTTTCTGATGCCACCCGAAAAGCCGCATAAGGGGAGCTTCCCCTCTTCGCGCATGGGCGACCCTGCTAGACTGCAACATTGTGCGTGAGGGCAGCTAGTACAACTTGAGGTCGACGACTGCCGCTGGGTATTCTCTTTGACGCTGAACCTCGCGTGCCGTCACTCTTCTCGGCCAGGGGCGAATTTGGCAAAAATTGGGCGCGCGACCCCCGCCCGCAATAGTGAGAACAATGGATTGGCGCAGTGCCACGGTTCTCGGTCGGCCAAGATCACATTTTTTGAGAGGTATTATATATATTAATCTGAGTAGAACAACTGCGAACTACGACTCTCCTCCTGCTACTCTCCCCCCACAAAGCAAAGAAGCTCAAGCTCTTAGATCTCTCCTGTTGTGCAATCGTAGTACTGCGAAACACCTACAAGGTGGCAGTACAAACAACTGGAGTAGATTTTTTGGCATTTCCATTTGATGTACTTGAAACCTACCATCATCATGAAAGAAGAAAAAATAGCAGCTGTCGGGGCATCGCTCGTCGACGTCTTTCTTGCCTAGTGTAGTCCGCCTCTGCTCGCATGTGCTGGAAGAAGAGCGCCGTGACACATAATAAATACAGCTGCAAAGATAGAACGTTTCTCTGAACATCGAAAAGCAGTCCTTTGCTCAAATGAACAAAGTAAAGACGTCGTTAATCAGACACGACGAGCGACGTGTCGGCGCTGTTGGATGATTTTTTTATTTTTTATGTAGATTATTTTTGAAAAAATACACATGCAATGTCATGGGAGATTAAACGTTGTCAGCCTTCAGAATTTGAATTGCTGCATTTTTTGTTCCTCTTTGAAGTAGTTGTTGACTAGACCTGTCTCTAATATCATCAGCAGCTATGATAAAGTGCGAATTTTACGCGTGCGTCGTGAAAACTGTTCTCGGTAGATTCAGAGCGCCGCCTCGTGCTGAATCCACGACAATAATCGATTCCCCTCGTCTACGTCGTACCAAGCTACTGGTAGCAAAGTACAACTAATCTTCGACTTGTTTACTTTAGCAGATGATACGTGATAGATCGAAAATCAACTCCAATTTTTTATGTTCATGCTTTATTCCTCCTGATGAGGTATTTTTTTCAACTCTTGTCCTCGTTCTCGTCGTATTCACGAAGACACAGCAGAGCGCGAGTTTCCTCCTCCGGATCGTAGTGGGGGGACGGCGCGGTAGACCCCGTCCCCGTTGTGGTCGCCGGACTAGGATCGTTGCGTTTGCTTCCCCCGTTCGACACGTTGCTCAAACGTGGGTTCTGCCCCTCCCCGCGGTTACCTGAATTGTGCGCACCGGCACCTGCTGTTGCTGGTAGAAGATGTTCTTCTTCTTGCCCATTCGTCAGATCCATTTGCAACACCGGCCGTGGCGACGATGCAGCAGAGCTGTCAACCGACAACTTCTTGTGCAATTGTGGAGGCGTGCTCTGCAATAGTACGGGGTCGGATGTTCGTGTTGAGTTGTTGAGCACGACATGTTCTTGCGGGCCGACTTGAGGACCCGCAATCCTGCCTTCTCCCTTCTCTTCGTCTGCTCCACCCTGAAAGGACTTCAGCCTTCCGACGACCTGGTCGTAGGATTCCAGAACGTCGCCTCGGGACTCGAGGTCTAATTTCGACGCGACGTAATCCAGGTCCTCTCGGTCGATGATACCGGCATGGTCCTCGCTGGCTGCTTCGTCCTCGAGCTCCTCGTATTCGTCCTCCTCCAGCTCGACGTCGGTGGTCGAGTCGACCTTCTTTTGCTTGATCTTCGCGAAACTGTATATTCCCACCCCTACCGTGACGCAGGAAGCGCCCACGGTGCCGAGAACGGAGAACTTCTGTATGTCCGGCCACCAGGACCACGAGACCCAGGAGAACAGCTCGGAGGAGAGAAACACGACCGCGACGATCTTCATCATCTTGATCACGACGAAGGTGACCGCGCCCAGCTGCTTCAGCATGTACATCGTGGACGCGCGCACCACGATGCCGGCCATGAACAGAAACAAAAACCCGGCGAACAGGTTCTCCGGCTTCCCCAGGGTGTTCAGCGGCTCTTCGTTCGCGTAGATCCACCGCATCGGCTCCACGATAAGCTCGTCGAACCGCGGCAGCGTGTACGCCAACTGCCAGATCAGCAGCAGGCTCAAATTTGTGAACCCCATGATCGCGGTCAGCAGCGGTCCCGGGATCTCCTCTTTCCCGTCGTTCGAAAATTTCTCAATCAGGACAAAGGTCACACCGTCCGCCACCGAGGAAAGCAGGATCAAGATGCTCCCGAGCATGAAATCGCCCATGCCGCTCCCGTTGGACGCTATGCTTGCCATCGCACCGCCATAGAGCCCGACGCCGGTGATCATGACAAGGAGCCCGAACCACATCAACCAATTGGCCTTTTTTCCCATGATGAAGCGCGCTGCTAGGGCCGTGAAGAAAATCGAGCCTCCGGAGGAAAAAATCGTGTAGAGCGCGGGCGAAGTTTTTGCTAACCCGTTTTTTGCCAGAACCTGTGCGACCAGATCAGCGGGCGCGATAATCATCGCGCGAAAGATCTGGCAGCCGGTAAGGTCCCAAATGGTCTTTTTGCAAGGCAGGTAGATCACGAAGCACATCGCCAGGTAGCCCGGAATGTCCTGCGCCAGGGCCCACATCTGTTCTGGCGGTGCCCCTTCCTTGCTGCTTCCCTTCCACGGAAGTCCGTTTTTCTTCATCATGTGAAACGCAAAGGTTTGCAGGATGTACAGCGTGAAAAAGATCGTCACCATCGGAATCAAGAAGCACCAACTGGCGGGGATCTCGGACACGTCCATGCGAGCGGAGGGGCTCATGTTATTTGCGATGTTACTTTCGCCCTGCTCATGATCTGCCTCTTCTATCTCCAGTGCGTGTTCTTTTCGCTCGTCTTCGATTTCCTTTGCGGTTTCAATCACACCCTCCAGGTTCGTGATCTCGTCCGCACCCGAGTATACAGACAAGCGCTGATGATGCTGCGAACTGCGCCTCTGCCGCAAGTGCTGGTTGTGGTCAGATATTGCAGGAGGGTAGCACAGGTGACCATGATCGCGACTCTGCCTGCTTTCAGGATGAACACCGTTTGGCAGCAGCTCTCCCGGGACGGCAAGATGATGCTGCTGGTTGAAACTGTTTTTGTCAACATGACTGGCGCGGAAGCCCCCACTGCTCTTTACGGTGGATGCCCGTCGGCTCCCAGTGTTGCTAGCGGCTGCGATCATGGGTGACCCGGCTGTGCCTGTGCTCGTGCGTCGACGCACCATGGCCGGCAGTTGACTACAAGTGTAGTAGCTACAAGACACCACGACTTCTCCAGGAAACGAGCCTACTGGTCTACGCCTCCGAGAGACTTCTCCAACACCAACATTTCGTCTACTTGTGGTGCATGTACTAGCGTACTAATTAATTCCCTACAAATGTTGAAGATGCGTCAACAAATGAAGATGCGTCAGCGTTTCAATGAATAGTGTTCCAAACAGAAAGTGAAGAACCATTCATCAAGCTCTTCAAGGAAGCGCTTTTCTTGGATCGATTGTACTCTTGAGAGAAAGTCGATCTTCGTATTCCGTTCCAAGAAGAAATACAAAGCAAAACAAAACCCTTTGTGCGTTTCCTTGATAAGGAAAGAAGGCTTGGATTGCAGCTTTTTCAAAACAAAACACTGAGCGCAGCGATCAATCAGGCGTCAACAAAAAGCTGAGAAAAAATTATCTGCTTATGTGCGAGCGTGCGTCGAGGTACATAAACGCGTGATAGATGAATTAGAGATGATTTTCTATGCGTCGGTAGAACTAGGATGATGCAAAGATTTACTTTTGCGTGAAAATAGTTGTCATAAGGATTGTACAGAACAACATCACAACAAAAACAAACCTGTTGGTTGGAGGAGAGAATGAAAATTTGCATCTATTATGTCATTTCCCACACAGCATCAGCAAAAAATATGCCTTTTCGTCTCATGATCTCAGATTTTCTTTGTTGTTGCATGATCAACTTTTGATGTTGTTTCATATTCATTTCATCGGATCGTTTGAGAAAAACTAAAGACGTGGCGAGCTGATCCATTTGTCGTGATTCGCTTTGGATTGTCATCTTTTTTATTCCCAAGATTTACTCGGAGATGGAGATGCAGAGGCAGAGCTAGAATTTTGTTCATTTGCTTTCTGGGCGAGAATGATTCATATCTTTCAGCGACAGTGCAGCAACGGTCCATGGTATACACTCTTGAATCGTTGGTCGTGGTTGTGTGAAGATCCATCATGTAGCACTATGCCTATGACAACTATGTCTAGTATCTAATCCTATTGGCATTTCTAGGTGGCTGAGAACTACGAAGAGACCGAGTTCTCGCTTGATTCACCTCATACTTTTTCGCTGCGTGTCAATTTTCGCATGTCGCTCATGTTGGGATGATCGCATATTCATCGTTGGAGTTGGTGTTCTTGTGGTGCGCAATCCAACTTGCGATTCGCTCAAGGTCAACCGTCCCGTCGGCATCAACATTCACCCACCTTCCCTCAGCGACCACCGCGCCAGCGCTGCTCGGCATGGGAATTCGTGCTCGCATAATTCATTGGTTGTTTTTCGCAAGGAACCCACAACCACCAACCTTCTGCGCGCAGGTTCTTCCTAGTGCAGCACGAAGCCGGCTATAATTGTTCGTTCTTTCCCGAATTGCTTGATCTCGCCTCGGTAAGGTTGCTATGGACGAACAACCCACGCCCGTTCTCCCGTCGCCTACCGACCAATCGCGACTACACTCACTCTACGGCTAGCAGCCGCACAAACCGGAACTCCTGAGCCACACGACACGCTGCCAGCAGCTGCCGCCGTTCCCGTACCAAGGCAACGAGGTGCGCCACGACCTGTGCTCCTCGTCTGCTAGACCACCTTCTTCGTGGTCCCCTACGTCGCCTGCCGGTATTTCGTGAAGATTACGTGCGACAGCACCCTTACGGTGTGGCGAATCCTTTTCTCCAGCCACTGCACCCAATTTCTTGCCCGCACATTTCCAGCCGGAGGTAGTCGGTCGAGGCCTTGATCATGTGATTCACGATGATGATGCAACACGAGTGCAGCCTGTGCGAAATGGATTCTTCGTCACTGTCCCGGCGGTACACGTCCATGTTTCCTTCAGTTTTCATCGTTTTCTCCACTTGCGAGGTGAATTCCACCTCGTCCTTCCGTTTCCAACAGACTTCGTCGTCCTCCAAGCAGCACTTGCAGCAGGACAGGGGCGGCTTGAACTCGCAGTAGTACTGTGCCAGTACCTGCCGCAACACTTGCCCGCCGAGCGTGCAGATGTTCGGCGGGCTGATCTCGCGGCTCCCATCCGTCGCGATGACGGACTGGTGCTCTTGGCTGCTGTGCACCGCGATCTCTGGGTCGGTCAGCAGTCTCGTCACCTGCTGCATCGAGGAGAAGACGTCCGAATGGTCCACCAGAAACTCGTGCTGTTGCACAACGCCATAGATGTTCGGCAGTAGGCAGTACCCGAAATCCGGTATCCCCTTGATCCGGACGGGATGAAGGGACGTCGAGAGGAGGTCCGCCATGGTGCTTGTTTGCGATGCTGTTTGTTGAACTGTATCGCTTTTCTCCTCGTCACCTGAATGACGAGTCTGACCCGTAGTTGCCGAAGGGTCTTCAGCACCACCAGCTGCCAGTGCAATCGTCCCCTTTCTTGAAAGTATCCTTTGCTGCACGGCGCGGTGAGTCGTCTCCTGATCAGCCAGGCCGAGGGTGTGGGCAGGATGAAGGGACTCTAGAGAACTGACAGCTGGGTGGAGCTGGAGGTGGCCACCTATTACCCTTGAACCATCACTCGGCACGCCTGACACATCGTCTACCTCGTACAGCGTGTGGCCTGGAAAGCTGTCCGTCGCTCCAATGTAAGGCTCCGGCAAAACGCGGCCCGATCGGCCATAGATTTCCCGCAACAGCCTGCGGTGGACACCCATCTGGTCACGAAGCATCTGCTTCTGGAGCACGAAGGAGGATTTTAGATTCAAATGCTGGCGAGGAAAATAGCTTGCAGTGACGCGCCTCTTTCGGTGGCGCCCCCACCGCCACTTGCTCCAGTAGGAGCGGAAAAGCGACGTGCTACTGTCAACTTTCAGTAATTCCACTTGTCGCTTCAGCCAAGCTTCAGCGGTCGTGGCACGACCATCAGCTTCAAAGTCTTCGCCGTTCTCTCTCTCTGGAAAGAACCACAGCCTGTGAAACGCCGCCGCTTCCTTCCCGCTGAAGGATCGTTTCCTTTTGGTGTCGCCGTCCGCGTTTTGTTTCTCTACTTCAGCATCTGACCTTGACGCTCCGTGGTCTTCACCATGATGGTGCGTCGCAAACTCCAGAAAACGTCTTGCTGCTTGTCGTTGTTGCCGGGCGTGCCAGAACACAGGCGCAAGCTTGTTTATCTCCAGTGCCCGCCTCTTCACGCGTGCCTCGGCGCGCTTGCTAGTTGAGAAACACGGATGTCCACCTTCTATATCCAAGTCAGGAAAGTGCTCGCTCCTTGGCTTACTCGTGGCGTTCTCCTGGATTCCTTCGCCTGTCGTGCGTTGCGTTCTTTCACTCTCCGGTTGAGGTATGATTGCATCCTGGCCGACCCTCGCCGCACTTTCGTCCAAAAGCCGTTCCAAGGGGCGGCGCGCGCGTGTGGGAAACAAAGTTTCAAGGAAGGGAAGCAGCTGTGACTCACAAATGTCGAACTCGTGTGGGAGGCGCTTCAGCTTTACGTGATGCCGCGTCTTTACATTGAACACGAAATCGGAGAAGGACGATGAAGCTTCCCTGGCACTGGTAGTCGGCAGCGCAGCAGCATCGTGCGTGTAGCTCTGTGGCTCGCTTTCTTCTCCACTTCTGCTCATGGTACTAGCCTTATGTTGGTCATACAGAAAACGAACCACATTCTGCAACGTCTGCTGGGGTTTCCGTTGCAGGCTGTAGGTGCTAACGTAAAATAGATTCTCGTCCTGAATCTGGTTCGCGAAGACCTTCGTGTACTTCTGGAAAAATGCCGGGAGGCTTAATGCCCTCTGCGTTTCCGAGGAATCGCTCTGGTCCAAATTAGCAAGAACCCCAGCATCGGAATCGGATGAAGCTGAAGATGCGTCACTTCCCGCACAACTGGTTCTGCTGGAAAAGACAGTGAAGCGCAGCTTCCGAGCGTCCTCTGTCCCTCCGGCAACGTGCAAAATCGAGCAGATGAATCCTCGTCGATTGTGTCCTTCGTCCGGAATGAGCTGGGAAAACCGCGAAATGCACAGTTTTGGTAGTTTCTGTAGTGTGCGAGCAAGGTATTGAGCTAGCTTACTGTCTTCATTCCAAGAATCATCAGGCTTTTCTGCTCCGTCAGGAACGTCTCCGTCAGATCGTTGTACTAAGCGAATCTGGAAAAACGATGCGAAGTCAAGTTCCATCGTGAGCGGGTCATGAGGCGTGACGTGATGCACCATCGGACTTCGTGCAGATGTGGGTGTCGCTTCAGCGGAATCCTGATCAGGAAAAAGAAGCTCCAGCTTGCCTTTCGCTTTGCACTCCATCAAAATATCGTCCATGGACGATGGAGACGTAGCTCCTTCTTGCCCACATAGCCGCTCGTCTGCAAACTTTCCGGAAGTGCTTCTACTTGTTCCAGCAAAATTTCCTTGGATTGCGCCGCTGGTCCCGAACACGGTTTTCAAACAATCTGCTATCTTTTCCGCGAACTCGCTGTTTGCCTCGAGGTCATCCCACAGACGAGCAGGCGTGTCACGATGAGGATCTGGAGCAGTTTCGTTTTCGACTTCCTCGTTTAGCACATGCATGGCGGCCTGGTTTTCGTAGAGTAACCTATCCTGGGCAACTACGTTTCCCGCACGACCTCGTTGATTTCCGGCTGCTCGCACAGCCAGCAAAACCGCTTCCGCCACCACAGCCAGCACCCCACGGACAAACTTCTCCTGCAAGTTCCCATCGAGCTCGGGCGTCAGAAGGATTTTCTTCGCCGTTTGGATTTCTTCGTGCAACAAGCCGACGGACAAATGAATGGGGTCGTCCCAGTGCATCAGCCACGGCGTTCCCGCGTGCAGCCAGGACAGCATCATCCCCAATGGATCGCGGATTAGAAAGATCACCTTCAAATCATTGGGGTTCCGGACCCGGTACTTGACGAAGTGTAGCACCTCCGCGCTGAAGGCGAGCAGTGGGTCCTTGATGCCGCATTTCTTGCGCGCCTTGTTCCCGGCGGTGGTCCAGCCTGGGACAACTTCTAGGTCCTCGGGTCGAACAGGATCAACAACACCATGATGTGCCTGCAAAAAGCCTGCGTATCCGTTCTCGTTCCACCATTTTTCGTGGTCTTGCTGGGAGATCCGTCCGCGCCAAAAGATTGTGTCCTCTTCGTGGTACAGATACAGGAGCGGGTGCTGCCGGAGGTACTGCAAAATCGACGTGGTCCCAGACTGCGGAAAGCCGACAATGACGAAATCAATGTCCATGTAGAAAAAGTCAAAGTCCTCCGGAATTTCGGTCGTGGCACCTTCAAAAATCAAGGGGTCCCCAGCAAGATCGCGATGCTTCTCAGAAGTTGCAGAAGATACCGGGTAGAGCTGGGAATCTTCCGTGGTTGCCGAAGATGGCTCGCTCGATAGATCACCGAGCACCTGCTGTAAAACAAACCGCAACAGGGAAAAAAGGCGCAACGATGCGACGAACGAACTGAAGCTCGACCGGACCATTTTGTCTCTTTCCTTCCCTTTATTGTGTCCTTAGTCTTGTTTGCTTCAGGGACCGGACGTGACTGAGAAAACATTCGCAAACTTTCTCGTTGATCGGAATCCATCTGCGAATCTGACAATTGCTGGTACTAGCAGGGGGGGCCACAAAAAGCGAACATGATCAAATAGGCCTTGTTGAAGAAGACAGCGCCTAAGCGGCGGGGTTCCAAAATGTAGCTTCGTCCGATTATTCTTCAGTTGTGCAGCGCTTTCAAGCTGCTCGTTGCAGCTGCAGTTGTTGCAGCATCAGCACTCCTTTTTTAAAGATCTGCGTTTCTTTTTTGCGCCAAGTCAATCATGCTCATGCTAACTCATGCGCCATCAAACATCACATCCATCAACTCGCCTGTCGCTGCGAGTATCCCAGTATTCCGAATGGCTATCCGCAGATCAAATTATCGTAGAAAAATTTTCAACAGTCACGAGACACCAGATGCTTCAATTTTTTCCTTTTTCGAACGCCGAAACCAGATATGCCGGAACGCAGCGACATTGACGTCGTGCACGTGGATGCAAAACAAAGTATCAGAAAACTTGCAACTCCAACTTGACAGCGACTGCAGAAAATTTTTGCCAGCATACATATCTCCTTCCCAGCCCCACTTTCTTTGCGAAGCCAGCTCGATAATTCCGCACGCAGGTGCCGAATTTCACGCGTACCCAGCCTTCTTCTTCCGCAAACTCGATGATCTTGCCAATCTGATCTGTGAGATGAGTTTTGCTCCAGTGAAAAATCAATTGTGTGCTCGCTTCTTCAGGCGAGCGAGTAACTGTTTGTCATACTAACTATGTTCCTGTTTGTAAATAGCTGGCAACCAGTGTCTCAACTAGTCGCCACCAGAGCTTGACGAAACACCGCCCGTTTTAGTAGTGAACGGCCAAGCTCGGGGAGTTACCAGGTAAAAATCAAATTTTTGATGTGTGTTTTCTACTTAAGGCAAGCTAAAAGTAAATCAAGGCACCACAGGTAGTCGTAGTTTGTCTTTGTTGTGTTCATCACCACCTTCTTGCATGCTCATAAAGCAAACCACTGGAACGCCACAGGTTTCCAATTCCACTAGTACTTGGGTACAAAATAAAGTGTAGAGATTGCATTTGAGGCCTACTTCATGATTATCACGCACCTGGCGACTCCCGGTCTTGATCTCCCCAAATCCAATCGGGACCGCGTACCACCTCCATACCCACGTATGCCGCTATCATGTCTTTTGCCATTTGTCCAACCTGTTGGTCCGCAGGATTGGCCGTTATCCTCGGTCCGTACCCTATCACGACGTCTGCCACCGGGTTTTGTATCTTCTTCGGCATGGCGAGCTGCTGCATTTGCCTCTTCTTTGCCGCTGGCTTCAAATTGTTGTTCGGCGCTAGCGCGGAAGAAGAGGACGATGATCCTCCCGCCGCGGGTACAGCTCCGCTGCTGGGCTTGTTTAGCAAGCCCGGAGCTTGTGGTGTCTCCCTTGCAGGCGTAGACGGCATGGTCGTGAAGGAGATCTCTATTTGTATCAAATCGGTTTCAGGTTGTCACTCGTCGAGCAAAGTGTTGTATTGTAGTAGTAGCAGTTTGAGATTCGTGTGCGTGTGGGACGCAGTAGAATCATCAACTTCAAAAATCAAGTTGTGGGACGCAGTAGAATGAATGCTCTTGTCGCCGCCACGTGTCTTTCTACTCCTGGTTGAAAATTATATCCTATCTTTGTGTGCATCGCATTTCAAAAATGAGCATTAACTAAACTTTTTGCTTTGTTGATGATACAGCAGGTGGTCCAATGTCGCGCTCGCAGTCGCAACCGGCACGTCTAACAAGAAATCATCGAACAGTAATCTACCTCGAGTTATCTTCTTCATTTCACGAGATTCTCCGCCTGTTTCATTTTTTTCTTCTATCCAAAAGAAAAGCGGCGCCACGCTTTCCAGGCGTAGGTCCTCCTTCCATCGTTTCTATATCTGTGTAGGTGCGTCGTTTCAGTTTCTTGCTCTTACTGTCTTTGTTTTGTAGGCAGCAACAGCATAAGAACATCGGCAGCCGCAGCCTCACGAACAAGTTCTAAACGGAAACGTGCACATGGACATGCAGCAAGGTCAGTACAGAAAAATTTTTCAGAACTGAACCCAGTACACGTAGTCGCTCACAACATGCATGGTGAGCCCGGTATTGCAGTATCGGCGGAAAGAATGTAAATCTTGTGTACTATTTTTATCGCGACGGACTACATCGGAGTTCCGCGCTTCTGCGTCCTCCTTATCTTGTTCGAGAGCCAGGACGCCACAGTACCCATTCAGGAGCTCGTGGAAGAAGCCCAAAACTCCGTGCGCCATGCCGGGAAAGGTGAAGAGCCCCAGATCGTGACCCGCGAGAATGCCACCAGGTTTCTTGACCTTCCAGAAGTAGTATTCCAAGTCGCTGCGCACGCCGGCCTCGCTGTGATCGCCATCTACAAAAATGAAATCGGCCGAGTTATCCGCAAAATGCTGGTGAACATCCTGGGCGTACTCCTGCAACACTTGAAAATGGAGCGGGTCACCACGGGAGGAGACGAGCTTCTCCTGGCCGATGGTGATTTTTTCTACTATTTTTTGTTCTGCATTTTTACTCTCCTGGTTCATTTCCTCCGCTGCAGCTACCGGCTTCATTCTTTGATGACAAGGTGACGACTCAACCGGCGCGCCGGGTGCTGCCGTGGTCGAAAGGCCTTGTGCGATGCACCAATCTTCCGTCGAGTGGTCCAGACCATTGGCGTTCGTGTTGTGCAAAAGTGTGTCCACCCGGTAGTCTCGGACATAGTTGCAATAATCAAGGATCCGGCTGTTTGAAATCGTGTTCATCTGAGACACGCCAGATGAGATGATCTGACGGCTGTCCTCTTTTTTGTTCTCGCACTTTTCCCATGCGAATCCCTGCTTTTCAGCATCAGTGCGTATGTTCCCAGCCTGTATCTCTGACGGCAGCAGTGCCACTTTCTTCCTGATCTCCTGCACAACGAGTGCCGCACAGGCCGCATCTCCCCGGCACGCGTCCACGCCAAGCTCCTCAGTGGTTGACGTGCGCCAGTCCTGCAGGCCGGGAATGTTCCGCTGTCCCTCCGGCCACGGATCGACTAGGTGGAAGAAGATCTTGTCTTGGAGTAGCGGGTCCTGCAGAACTCGTGTCTCGACCGCCGCGAGGAAAACCCCGATGCTGATGGTCTGGAGCTTTTCATCTTGCGCATGATGTCCTCCTCCCTTGCCTGTCTGGCCCTGCCGTTTCGCGACGAGCTTCCGCAACAGAAACACCACCCAGTCGTAGTGTGTGATGCACGTGTCGTCGTGAAATTCGAACTGCATCAGCTCACGACTGGCTGCTTTCTGGTACGCGTCCAGACTCGCAAGGAGAGATATGCGCTCTGTGTCTTGTTTCTCATTCTCACGACCGTCTTTTTCTGCTGTGAGTCTCTCCACGATTTCCGGAAAGTCTTTCCGGATTCCCTGCTGCAATGCGAAACCCAAAAACTTGTGTTTTGTCTTCGCGCCAACACGCAACTCGTTGTCGTTTCCAAAAAAGCGCGCAAGACTCACATCCCAACGCGCGCGTGCAGCCTGCTGCAAAACTTCGTGCCACGTGTGGCTGCGTACTAGGTCCCCGAAGTAGCGCAGCCGATCTTTCTCCAACAAGCAGGACGGTACGCGGAGTAGCGGGTAGCTGCACTGCATTCTGACCTCAAGGTTGCTGAGAGGCGTGACGGTTTGCAGAAAGCTGTCGTCCACCGGGAGAATTTCGTCCTGCGGCGGAGCCATCATAAACGGGTCGGAGCGCGGGATCGGAGCTTCCGTCCCGTTGACAAACAAACCCTGCAAGCCCGAAAACCAGCGTGGAAACTCCCGTGCGCGGATGTCGATCCTCGGTGATATTCGGTGCCCGCGCTCGTTCCGGACGTTCGGCGACGAGGCCCAGAATTTGTCCGCGGAAGAGGCATCCTTGGAAGGCGTGGACAAGCCGAGCATGTTCGGTGTCGCGACAAAGTCCAAAAACGGATTGAACTTGTGTCCCTTGCGGAGCATCGCTTCCTGCATGGTAGGCGACATGAAGCCGTTGTTCGGCTCGTACACCGGAATGTGCTCGTGGTCCGCTGTGATTCGGCCGAGTAGCAATGCGCCGTGGAAGCTTTTCTCGATACCCAGCTCCCGATGGTCGTACTCCACACCGAGCCACTGCCTTGTGTACTCGTGCGGCGATTGGCCGTTCTGCGCGAAAGAGATCGGCGACTTTCCTTCGCGTAAGTGCCGCACGTTAGACTGTTTCACCATCGTGAAGAACGAATGCAGCGCCCGCCACTCGAGGATATCCAGCTTCGTCCGAGCCAGGTCGGTCGCGTTGCGAAAGGCAATTTCGTCCTCAGAAACGAATGTTGCGTCGTTTTCGTCCGCTGCGGCGCGCTTCGTGTACTCGGGATGCACGTCGGGAACGGCGACAAGCCGAGCGAAAGTGGCGCCGAGGCAGTTGCTGCGCAAAAGGGAATCTGCAATGCGGTTGGCCATTCGCTTCAAAAACTGCAGGTGTTTTTTCTGGCGATCGGCGTTTTCCAACACAATGCGTGTTTTCGTCAGCCGCAGAAACGCAGCGAGAATGCGCTTCGATTTCTTCTCAAACGCAAGTTCTTCGACCTCCGCTCCGTCGATGCTGGGGACCACATCGGAACGCAGGTCCCGGACCGCAAGCAACCCACGCTCGTGGGCTTTCGGTCGTGGTGCTGCGTTGGAAAACTTGAAGTTTTGCGCATCGCTCGACGACGGAATAAGGAGTCTGCTCTTGGAAAGCACGGCGGTAGCGATGATTTTTGTTGCCTTGTTGTCCGTGCTGCCCGGGTCAAGGAAATCCGAAAACTCTTCGAAATCTTCTTGTACGACCTGCCCGCCCGCTTCTTCGTCGAAGTTTGCGAAGTACGGCGTCAACGCTCCCTCTGTGAAAAGCCGTCTCGTCGTGCTGGTGCTGCTGGTGGTCGAACCTGTTTTACTTGTGTCTGGAGACTGTGTGGCCGACGAAGCAGCTCCGTCTTCCGCATTAATCGCGAAAGCCTTCACCCACGCGGCTTGCAGTTTTTCGACCTCTCCCAACATCGCGTCCACCATATCCATAACATCCGTCAACGACGACGCCCACATTTCAGCTGCTTGGCGCAAAAAGCCGCGGAAGAGCAGCTCGCTGCGCGGACAAAATCGCAGATCCAGCGAAAAGTGGTCAGGAAGAACTTTGTTTTTTCGCAAGCTGAAATCAGCCAGCAGCAAATCTTCCTTCAGAGCCGAAACCATCTGATCCTTGAGCCCATGAACCGCTGCACGTGCCTGCATTTTCCTCGCATCCGCATCCTCCGCACTGTACGACGGCGCCTGCGCTATCTCCTCGCCCGCACGTCCGAGTCTGACAAAAATTCCGTGCGTTATGTCCTTCGCGAACCTGTCGGCGAGAAAGGGGTTTGTGAAGCGGAGCTTCTCCGTGCAGTACAGCTTTTCGTACGACTTGACCGCTTCTTGCATGCTGTAGAGGACTTTTGCGGCTAGTCGGTCGAACAAAGACGCAACCTTGAACAGGTAGAAATCCGCGAATGCGAGGTCCTCGGACACCCAAGCCATCGTTTCAAATTTTGCAAGATGCCCACGCAGTCTCGCCGTCAAAGAGCTTAATTTTGCTTCGTCAGTTTGACCGCTCTGCCGAAACTGCAGGATTTTCTGAATTGCTGCCAGGGTCTCTCTGATCGTGCTCTCGCTTGGAAGGTAGTCGTCGGCGGCGGCAGGTGGCCCGTGGCGCTCATCTTCACGATTTGAAGCCGTTGTCGAACTGGTCCGTGTCGTTGCTGACGTTTTTGCAAAAATCTTCGTAGAAGTACTTGGCACCGATTGCAGAAACTTCGAAACCACGTTGTTCTCCAAGTACTCGACGGCGTGCTCAACCAGTTTCGTGAGCCCCAGGCTCTCGTTGTGCATAAACTCGGACTTGCCGACGCCACCGCCGGAAGTGAACCTGTCCTCATCTTCCCGCGTAACCGGCGGCACCACGTGCATCACCCTGTACATCACGAATCTCTTCGCCAGCGCGACAAACCCCCCGGCCAGCGGTGCGAAGTACGCCTGAACCTCTCTGTCGTGGAAATCCTGGGCGAGAAAGTCGACTTTGCCAAAATCGCGAACGAGCGAAAATGACTCCTCTGCTGTTTGTCTCTCTGAGAAAGTGTCCACTTGCACTTCTGGAGCGGGTTCGACGAGCGTCCTGGGCGACCAAATCTTCGCGGCCTCTGCACCGTGCACGGAACTCGTCACGCTTCTGGGCGGGTGCAAGTGGGGGTCCGGTTCGAGGTCGAGCGCTTGTAGCTCTTGCAGACCCCCTTTCGCGAACGTGACGAGTGAACAGCTCGCGCTGCCTGTCAATACCACGAGATGAAGGCCAATTTTCCGTCTCCATTTTGGCACGACCGAAGCGCTTCTGCATGCGTATGCAACAGATGATCTGACTGACGCGGCGCCTCCCCAAGGAGGCCGCTGATCGTGATTCTTTCTAAGCAAGGTCATTGACGCATCTCCGTTCTATGCTGATTTTCCTTTACTCAATTCCAGATCGCGGTGTCGAACTAGCATTCGTTTGTTCCCCTTTCTCAATGACGCTGTCAAAAAGTATACAGCCACACGCAACGTACAAAGAGATTCGCGTCTCAACCGGAACAAGTTCGATTTTTTTTCGAATTCAGAGGTAATGCCTACCAATCTTGCATTGTCTGCTGCAGTCCGTCTCAATATCGTCTCGTCACGTCGTGGTGTACAAGTTCATCTTGCACAGTTGCAAGTTGTTCGCGGCAATTTGTTGTACTATCGCTAGTCTTGAATTGTACAAGCCCACAGGGGTAGTCAGCTGCAAAACTTATTTTAGAGGGACGATAAAACATAGAGTTCATCGGAGACAGCCTGTTCAGCTAAGTTCTAGCAGAAGCACTAAACTTGTCTCTGTTGCTTGTGGTGCGTGCTGTCTTTTTTTACGAGGGTCGCCTGGCTAGTGTACGTCGTCGTGAAATACGACGCAAAACTAAAGACAAGTTCATCAGAGAAACTTCCGAAGAACCTCTCGTAGTGAAACTGTGGTAGAAGTAGACCTAGTTTAGAGAGAGAAGAATAAGGGTGATTATACAATGAGTTCATTTGGATTTGGACAGAAATGTCGCGAAGATAGAGTTAGAGAGACAACATTTTCAGGTACTGCTGTAAACATTAACATAACTTGTTTCCGTAGCTGCTATATCAATCTGTCAGTCTTACTTTCTGCAGCACAATTGCGCCGCTTGCAAAACTTCGATAGTTGAAATGCGAAGCGATGAATCATTTTTGCTGAGACCCTTACCGAAAACCGATGAATCATGTCTGCTGGTTTTTGATTTCTTTTGTCTGATAGCTAATCGAGAACTAATAGTTGTTTCAATCTGCTAAAGTCAGTCAGTCGACGTTCATTTTGCTAGTAAGAAGAATAACGGATAGGAGTTCATTTCTTCTCGTGGAAGAGTTTAAACATTTGGAAACGGTCCTTTCTGGTAGCTGTGCTTGTGCTCCTTTCTCGACTCCAAATTTTTTTCGTAGAAGTAGCTTAGCTTTAGTTTCAATTTTTGCATTTGTTCCTGCAGTATTTTTTACCTTCTGGTTCTGCTCAGAGAAAGTTGCAGTTGCATATCACATACCTTTTCTAGTACAACTCCTCGGTTTCATCCGCCGGCGTGATCATGTGCGTTGCCTGCGTCGAGTGCCCAGAGGCCGCGGACTGGGGGCGGCCGGTCGCCGTGGAGGCGGACTGCGGGCGGGTGCTCAAACCCATGATTCCGCTGTCTTGGGACTCGTAGGCGGCTTGACCTGTGGATTAGATTTGTCCAAATGATATACCTAGAGGAGGAGGAGGAGGAATAAACTCTACAGTCAGCTTCTAACTACTAAGCTACTCTCTCTGTGTAAGCTAACCATAGGAAAGATTTTCGCTGGGACTAGGTGCTGCCTGCCGATGGTTTGTAACGCTTCAACTTTCCAGATAGCTGTAGCCGGTTGTCTCTTTCGGCTGGTATGCGACCCCCTCAGCAGGTCTGCTCACGAGTGTCCTTTGTCGTCTTCGCTGCTTCATAACAGTGGCTCTGTGGGACGTGTTGATTTTGTTGCGATCTGCCTCTGGGTCTTAGTTTTGTGACGTTCTGACTACCCAAGGGTGGGCAGCCGAAGCCGCCGTGGCCAAGAGATGTCAGGTTGCCCCTGAGGGGACTTATTCGCCACTGCGGTAGGAAGAAGTGAGCCACTGCGACGGTTAGTTGTGAGGACGCCCGAGGTAGAGTTACCCGTCGCGTGCCGCCCGCTGCAGAGGATCTAGAGTCCCTCCGCAGTGACCTAGAACTTGTCCTACTCTCTGATTGGTTATTAGAAACTGGATCAACCCGCTTTAGATCGCACATGATTTTGCGATCTGCAAGAGAAATATTTTTGGGAGCATATGCTGGACACGGGCGAGACAACGAACAACGCAGCTTCGGTCACTGTTTTGGCCAGTGCTCGCCTTTCTCCGACCTGTTTCTGTGTTTTTGTTTTCGCTGTTTTCTAGTTCTAGTTCTCTTCTGCCTCTGGGCCTATTTTCTATCGTTATAACTCTTCTTCCAGCGTTTTTTAAGAACCTAGAGCTAGTCCGGTGTGGATGACCGCGTCCTCGTCCTGGTGCAATTTGAAAAAATATCGAGAGAAGACACACGAAAAAAAAAATCAATGTCGTGCAGCCTCACCTTTCATGATCAGGACGGTTTGCGACGTCTTATCCAGACACTGATTCGACGCCCATTCTTTCATGTCGATGAAACCGCTCATGTCGGCATCCATGGTCTGCCACAGCTGGTTCATCTTCAAAGCCGAGACTTGTTTTCCGACCAACGACGGAAACCTCTCCATGAAATCACCGTAGGAAACCTTGAAATGATGATGAGAGTCTTTTTACTGTTTCTGTTCGTCATTCGTCCACGATTTGTTTGATTGACACTGGATCATTTCGATCCTCCGTGGTCCCCTCAGAATAGATAGAAATCAAGTTCAAGTACCAAAGCTGCTGTACTATTTATGGGCTCTTCATCATCTACTTACCTTGAAGTCGCTGCTGTTTACTGCCATCTGCCGGAACGCAACGAGCAGATTGCCGTGTTTCTGCAAGCACAGCGCTCGAATCTCGTCGCCGGTCATAGTTTCGATGTCTCTGGAACTGAGGTCGCCGCCTCTTGCTATCATGGGCACCGTCATCTCATCCGGCTCGTCTTGGTTCTCGTTAAACTGTTGCATTTTAGCATTGGTGTGGTTGTTCTTGCCGTATATTTCGATAAATTCAAAATTTTTTGCAACTAGCGTGCTAGTTGTAGGGACGAATGCACATGATCGTCTTCTAGCCTATCCGCCAAGTCAGAAAAAGCTGTTCCTGTAGCAGGAGGTAGAAGAAAAACTACGAACAATGTTCAAAAATCTTACCTCGTCCTTGTCCATTTCGAAGTTAAGTTGGGTCTGTGTTCTTGACACCGAATGCTTCGTTTGCCTTCTGCCCGCCCCGGAGCCGTGGAGTTTCTCCGCGAGTTCGTCCTCTTTCGTCTTAAATGCGACGTCGCGATGCAACGAGGCGGTTGCCTGGAAGTCATTTCATAGGTAGGTTACGTTAGGGTTGCCGTTACCGTATTAGAGGTCGTGTTAATAAAAACAGCTTATCCACAAGTGCAAACAACCAGTGGCCTTCATCTTGCAGAAGTGAAGCTGTGAAAGTGCAACACATCCATGTAGTAAACTCTCGTGCCGCAAAAAAGTACTCTGACTCTACTTGCTTACTCCATTAGATTAAGATTAGCACCTTGTAAGCGGCGAATTTCCTCGCGAATTCCTGGTAGGCAAGCGCCCCCGTTCCGTCGGTGTCCGCCATCTTCCAGATGCGGTCGACTATTGCCGGTGGCAAATCGACGCCCACGTGTTTCAAGCCGACGCCGAATTCCTTGCGGTTTACCTGTCCGTCGCCGTTCTTGTCGAAGGACTTGAAGGCGGTCATCAGTGTTGCGAATTTTTTCTTCATCAACGCTCGCAACTCCTCATCCGTGATCGACATCTTGCCGCCAATACCCTTATATCTGTGGTGTGTCGTCGTAGAAAAGTAGATTGCACATCTAAGTCAAGAATGAACTGCAACATTTTTGAAAAATTTCGGTACGTTTCGACGTCATTTTTCAATTCAATTTTTCATGCGTGATAGTACACCAAATTAATGCGATGATCACAAAAAAAACTGTACTTCTTCTTCGGTTTTGGCACTTCTGCTACTGGATGCCATCCGCCCATCTGCTCGACCGTTTCCAAAATTTTATCGACCGCAAAGTCAGGATTTGGCCACTTGCCCTTCTTGAGTTTCGAAAAGACTTCCCGTCTGTTCTTGCCTTTGTTCACGAAAATTTCGAATGCGCCAATGCGGGGATACCTGCGGAAAGCAATTAGTTGTCACTCGAAGGATTTTCATTCATGATCATCGCAGTTTCGTTCCTCGAACAAGGAGGACCTTCTACCTAGGACGTACAAATCCATGCTCATGTTGGTCCTAGAAATGCAATTATGCTATAGCTGTTTATATTTTTTTTTTTGGATTCAAACAGAACGCAAGTACAAGAGCTTACCTGAAGACTTGTGTCTGGTACCACTTTCCCGTATTTTCGTTGAGGCTGTACGCTGCGTACAGAAATGGATTGTATTCGCTCCTTTTGCAGTTCACGCCATGACTCTTTGGCCCCGGGTTTTTGACGAACTGGCAAATTTGGATATTTTCAAATTTGTTCTTCGTCTTCACCGGTCTGTGTCAACATGAATTAACTACAATACATAGTTCGAGTTGAAAGATGAAAGTAGGTCGTGAAATTGGAAAAAAAACTGAAATTATACCTTGTAGGGCATCCCTGCGGGTACTTTTCCGTCGAGTGATTCAGATATTTGTTTCTCGTAGTGGTCATATTTCTTCTCGTCGTGTCGCGTGCAGTACTCGTGCGTGTGACAATCGAAACACCTTTCCAGTTCGATCCAGACCCCGTTGTATGGGTTCTCCTTTGTCGGAGCCTCCGTGTCCGCCGGCATGCTGGGCAGTTGAAGTAGCTTCTACCTCTTAGGTCTACAACGTCAGACGAGCCGTAATGTGAGGCAGGTTGTCGTGCAAGTTGAAGTTAGTAGGAACTGCGAATTTGTCGGACGTTCCTCCGAAATAAGCTTGATGCGCCCTCGCTAACGCTTTCTCCAGTCTTCTACTTGTCCCCGCAAGAGTGCCGCGGGTGACTGCAGCTGATGTGGTCCTGTCGGGCCTCACCTCCAGACCAAGGCACTTTGTTGAGACATCTTGCTCCTCGTCGAGCCCGTCTCCTTCGAGAACACGGCTAGTTTTCTGATCGAAACAAACAAAAACGCGCAGTAGAAGTTCGATACTTACTTACCTTCGTTCTCTTTCAGTGCGACATGTATTAGCACCCGATTCTCAAACCATGACCAACAAACAGAAACATGAGCATGTGGAAAAATTGTATCGGGTGGTGTGTCTGACGCAATTGAAATTGTTGACATCGAGTGCGAAGGAATCGAAATCGACACACGAACGACCAACTGAGGAGACACAACTTGAGTGACACAGTAGACACTTTACGACCTAGTGCTGCCTGCTCTCACGACGATTGCTAGCTTGTCACTCACGATTACGAAATCGAAAACGCTGTTGACGGTGACGACCCTGTATAGTAACATTTCGAGTCAAGCTCGAGCTCGAGGTAACATTCATGGGCCCTTGATACGGCGCATAGTACAGACTACATGGAACACGAAGAGAGAATCTAATATCTAGCAGCTCTTCTTTTCGTAAAATTTGGTCCATCGACCAGGGAGTGCAGCAATCAATCATACGTGCAGGTGAACGTGAAACGCAAAACCATCATTTGTCTAGAGGAAACAGAAACGTTCAATTCTACTACCAGATTGGAGGTGGTCAGCTCAGAAATCATTCATTCTACTTGGTCCGTCAAAATCATCGAAACAAAGTTCACCAAAAGATCCACCTCGGACAGTGGTTTTCATCTAACAGGCACAGGACCGCACTACAGAAAGGCGACCCCGAGCGCGCTAGACGATTCGGGAGAAGCGCCCTGTTGCTCGCTTCCAGCCAGCGGTTTTCCGAAGATGTCCAGGGATTCCTTCTGCAATTTCAAAACCGCGTTGGCTGCTTCTCGTGCTTGCTTGGCAAAAAGATCGGCTCGCTGGGTATACTCTTCCGCACGAGCATATGCTCTTCGCGCCTTTTCCAGGTCCATATCGGCACGATCGAGAATGAGCTTCGCTGGCCGCGGGTCGTCCAGGGGGTCGTACTCTGTTCATTTGTGCAAGAACAACGGTTTCAAACTCAAACGTAAGTATGAAGAGAGACACCACAGCACATCAAATTCAGCCCTTAGCAGCGCGTATCTTGTAGTTATGGTGTGCAAGTTTCAGGATACTGTGCAGACTATTTTTTGGCGGTGAATGACCAAAAGCGCGGGAAGTCGCGTAGCTAGTGTGACATTCAAAATCGCTCATAGGCAACATCCTTTCTCGTCATACTATCTTTCTGAAACAAGAAATAGCAATACTCTCTGCGCCAATGACTCCCATGACTCGCCCGTTTATCGGGTATTTTTTCCGCATGAAAATCCAATCTCGGTCCTCGGCCGTGATCGGATCCTTCTGCGCCGGGATGAAGATGTCCATGGGGTATTTGTCCACTTCCGTGATACGCAGCAAACCAACGGCGGCCTTGATAAGCTGCATCATCAGCGTTGCCGCCGCGGGCGTGAGCTCGCTGAGGAACCACATAAAAAAGTCCCAGATCTCGCTGAAGGCCTTGAACAGCATCTCCAGAAGTTGGAACGGGTTTGGGAGATTGTCGAGAAACACCTTCAGTATCTTAAAGGTGGCTTTTACCATGGCAATCAGCTTCGGGACCAGGGCCAACAGCTCGCCAATTTTCTTGATCACCACCTATCCCACAGAAAATCACCCTGCTCACCCAAAACTTGTATTATGATGCGAACAGGCGCTGGTGCAAAAAAAAATTCGGCTGCAGTACCTCATGCAAAGCAATGCAACGGAAGCGGAACGTCGCTTCCGCGCTACTACTTCACTTCTTTGCCCTGTTTGCAACATCACAATATCCGTCTATCATCATGAAGGTGAAGGTGCAGACTTCACTGAGGATATTGCCTGTGCGGTTTTGATACAGGAGCCGACCAGTTTAAAGAACTGGGTTATCGATAGGTCGTATGTCATCGCGGGCTTCGTGCCCAACATCAGTTTCCAGGGCTGGTAGATGAACGGCCGCACGTTCTCGAGCTTGGAAAGCTCCGCGGGTTTCAGGATGTGATGGTCGAAACGTGGTCCCGTTGGGTCAAAAATGGACTTCAGGTTCTTGATCTGGTCCAAAAAGTTCGAGGTGTCGGTCAGCATCCCGCTCCCGGCGCCCGCCAGGCCGCTCAAGGAATCGGCACCACCGTGTATGCCGTTCGTGATCGCGCTGCCCATGTCCACGCCCAGCGACTCGCCCGCGACCATCCCCACGGTGGACGCAGACGCCCCGCCCGTCGCCCCGGCAGCGTATCAACTGTAAAAATGTCTGGGTCTGGAAGAATTCATGTTTGTCATGCTTGTCTGGCATGACTCTTAACTCTGTCATGCACGTTACCCAAGAGCTCCGTTTTTCTGTGATGCAGAGGCGCAGTTTGTCATGCAGAATAGGCAACACCTAGAAGCTCAGAAACTTGTCATGCTGAGCCAGCATTTGTAGCCTCATCATGAGACGCCACCCAGCATCACAAGTTCCCAGACCCAGACATTTTTACTTTTGATACAGCGAGAGTGAAGCCGACGAGGGGGGCCAGGTTCTTCGCACCCCCCTATCGAAAGGAAAAATCCCCCCTCCCCATATCAAACCGGAAATTTGTGATGCTGATTTGTGACCACAAATCAGCTTTGTCTTGCAGTATAGGAGTGCAGGCAGATACAAAGCCTGGAAGGGGCTGGCTAGAGGTGGGCGCCCAGCATGGCAGACGTCTGCCCTGTTGGTGCAGCAGCATGACAAATCGCCTGCGCAAAGCGGCGAAAGCTCTGGCTTTGCTCTCTTGCAAGACAAACCTGATTTGTGACCACAAATCAGCAACACAAATTTTCAAAAGGATGCCTTTTCGATATGGGGAGGGGGGATTTTTCCTTTTGATACCCCCGCAGCGTCCTTCATCGGCAGTTGCTTCTGTAAGGCCTGGCCGGCTTGCTGCAGCGGGGCGGGCAGGGCGGCCATCACGTCCGGACCAAAGCCGTCTTCCATCACGGAGGGCGGCGAAACGGAAAAATTTTGCGGCTTCAGCAAAGACATCGGGTCAAAGCCTTTGAAAAAGTCCATGGCCTCACTCAGCACAAAACTCGTCGTGGAGAGTCGCTGTGGTCGTTGCCTGGTGGTGGTTATTCTACCCGCAAGAGGTGGGGCCGGAAAAGAGGAGGACGAACTCGAGCTCGACGGGCATTGTCGTGTGGCATGACGAACACTTGTCGCACGCTTGTGCGAAATTGATGGGGTCGTGGGAGAGGAAAAGAAGCTCGAGAACAACGATGTCGCAGACGAGCCACCGTCGTCGCAGCTGGTTGTATCCTCGCCGTACAAATGATCTGGAACGCCACTACCGCCTGGCCCCGAGATCAGAAACCGCGAGAGCACCATGATTGATGATGATGAAAACGCGCGGACTGAAACAACAAATCTTTGTGACTTTTCACGTCAAATTCTACACGGCGCTTCTACCTTTAATACAGACAATGACAAATACAATATTATACGAAAACAAACATACCTACTCGAGCTAGCGCGTAATTGCTCCGCGATTTTACAAATGTCTATTCTTATTTCGCTCTGGGCGGGCCTCGCCTGGTCTGTCTCGCTCTCGTCTGACGCAGCTGATCCACTATATAATTGTTGTCTGCTCCAACGGGGGCGATACGACCAATTGTCAACACTCGACGAGGGTAACGAACAGAAACATGGTCTCGAGCTCAATCCGAACACCACATCTTACATACGATGAGGGACAAAAATCAGCCAACTCAAATATCAGATGCCCACAGCCTTCCCCTATCGAATCTGCGCGTTTAGGATTTTCAAATTGACATTGTACATGGGGACTCGAAGTTCGTGATGCTGGGCGTTCATTCTTCTGGCTTTTGTCGCACTGGCGCTTTGTTTTCTGCCCATTGATTGCGAAGGCTACAAGAGGTACAAGTAGGACGAGGAGCGAGAGCTTTTATACGTTACAATTAGTATCTTGTTTGCTCTCGCGGCTGTGGCCTATATTCCCAGGGGGGGAAATACATAGGTCGGACGATAAAATCGCTCGCGACCAGCTGAGCGAGCGAAGAGGGCGGCCCGCATGATCTTCACGTGTTGCTTACGACCCTCCTCACATGGCTCAGCTACGACTGTCGCAAGATCCATTCCGATACTTTTTCCTCCGTTCTCTACAGACGAGGTGGAAGAAGCTACCCCGGCTTATTTTAGTTCTTTCGTATCTTATTGTATTAAATTCAGCGATGAATACGCTTTCTCGTTGCGGTGCATCTTGGTGTGGTTATAATCGGTATCCCTTAGTTACCCTTGTGCACAAGAAGTTTTCACAAACGTGAACTCGTTATAAGTACTTGTCTGTGGCAGAGAATACCGACCTACTACACACTTGATGGTTACGTTACAACCAGTGGCAGTCGCACCGATCCCGACAGTGAAAGTAGCCGGGATTCAGCGCTTGCGCGCACACAAGTTCATTATTTTTGCGCTTGCTTCCGAGAGGTCTAAATCTCCTGACAAAACATACGTGTGTAATGCTATCTATGCCTGTGGTTCAACAACCTGCTTCGAAGCTGAGTTCTTCTTTGCATAGCACGCAACATCGTAGACTCGCTTGAAATGGAACTGCTAGCAAGCTAGCAAGCCGTTAGCATTTTTGATGCAAACAACACCAAGTAAATCTTCGTTTTTGTCGTGCCTGATGTAAGTATTCAGATACTCAGAAGTAGCAGAGAGATGTCTTGTTTCTCCATGATCTGCTGTTTATTTGCAAACCAGCTACAACTACATCTCCTACCGGCGATGTAAAAGCGGCGTTCTTGCAAAACAAGAACCAACAACAACGAAAGTCACGTTGCGCAGAGCGACCCGCCTAGACCTATCCAGTCGAGAAGCAGGCGTCCCTCGTAAGCGACAATCCATAAAAGACCGAGCACATACAGATTGGTTTACTGACGTAGACGTTGACGCAGATACAATCCTTTGAAAGTACGAGCGCCAGCGGTAAATAAATATACCAATAACGGTGCAGCACAGGGAGAGCACAATTTATTGGCGCTCTTGTTGTATTCTCAAGAATTGTCAAGAACCTGTCAGAAGTTGTAATTGTTGTCATCCAAAATCTACAAATAAATGAGCTGTAGAAGAACATCATGAACATATGCTTTACTTGCGGAAAGCACTCCCTGTAGGCACATTTCTGGTCTCTATTTTTGTGCAACATGTACTACTACTAAAAGTAGAAGTCCTCTATGTGCTGGCGTCATGAAAATTTTGATATACTCGTCGAACATTTACATTTATGTTTGCTAATATGTGTGTTTTACTTCTATGCCTGCGGTATCGGTAAGAAGTAACTAGCGTTATGGTCATGCAATTTCTTGTGTGGCACTGACTCGTCGCTTCGGTGCAGCAAAATTTGCAATCAAAAACTTAGTACTTCTCCAAGATGGCGCACATAAACTGTTTCCACTAACACGAGCCTCTTCATCTGCGCAGTGACTACACAACAATGGACATCGCATCGATCTACATCTTGTGTCTGTCACCTATGCGATTCTACATCTACGGTATTTTTTTGCGGCGCTCTGGGTTTTGTATTATTTGCAGCAACTTGGACTTGCTCAATCCACCTGTGAGGAACCTAAACCTATGGGCGATGTCGTAAGTATGTACATGTAGTATTGAAATTGATTCTTGATATAGTTGGTGGTGGCCGTGCCAATGTTGAAAAGCACAACCACCCACTCGTCTTACCAAAAAAAAATTCCCTCCTGCTAGGTTCCGACAACCGGTTTCTTCGATGCTGCCTCTGCATTCATTCATCATTGTCTTCGTGGGTATAAAGTTGTGTATTACTTGGACTACAAGAATGAACATTACCGCCTGGTGTTCCCTTTAGGATTGGAAGTACTGGTAGTCGAGGATGAAGCTCCAGAACTTGTAGTTTCCGGTGGGTAGGGGCTGAAAGACCGGGATTTCAACCAACCCGAAGCGGGTTTTCATCGCATCCACACCGTCCGTGCCCAGAGCGACGAAGGCCGTTCCGGCTCCGTAGATGATCTGAATGGCAGCGATGACCAGCAGGACCCAGTGAAAGATGCGTTCGCCAAGCGATCGCTCCGTCTTGTAGACGACGGCGTAAGCGAGGAGCGGGTAGGGAACCTTCACATTTATGTATTTTTACGGTAAACTCGTGTCTAGTATGGGCGGTATCGACAACAAGTTCCATCTGTAGAACTATTTTCATATTGATCAAGCTGCAATCCAATGGCGAGTACATCACACAATTATTATGAAGAACTGCGAGTCACCTGCCCAATATGCAACCAAACCTAGCACGAACTTCGCGAAAAGTTAGAAGAGTACCTAGCTCTGATTCGCTATTTTTGGTCCTATGTAGTAAACGCAAAAACTCAGAAAAAGTACCTGAGTCAAAACACAGCCGAATGCCGCGACGAGATCGACGAGCTGGCCGAAAAAGGGAACGACCCACACGATCAGGGCGGCCATCCAGATGATTAGGGTACGGCAGACCTTCGATTTTCCCGGGGGCACGTCCTCCACGGTTTTTACCTTTGCGAACTTCATTTCCAGGTGCAGCAGCGTGCTGTTCATGATCAGGGCGAAGGAAATGAACACGTTAACCACGATCATCAGTGCGACCGTGATCCCCTGCCAGGAGGCGGCGTTTCTGTGGTTCGCCGGGTTCACAAAGTCGTGTCGCATGGAGTCTACGATACTGCTGTCAATCGCGGAGCCGTAGGTGAGGTAGCCGCAGATGCCGACCACGAAGTAGATGAACGCAATGGTGAAGGAGGACATGAGGATGGAGCTGACAATGGTGCTGGGTTCGACCATGCTGGTGTACAGCGCGGGGATCATCATGACGAAGGTGAAACTGAAGAACACTTTGTTGACGGGGGCGACGATCCAGGACAGACTGGCGATGGTGGAGGACCAGCCAGAAATATTTTCGGTTCGCGAAGCGGGGAAAACCAGTTGGTTGGTGATCGGGAGATCCAGGAGAATTCCGTCCGCACTCTCGTTGACGACGCCCGCGGTCGTTGACGCGCTCGAGAAGTATGCGGGATACTGTTGTCGCCAGCTTGCTGTGTCATCCGCGGTGTAGGCCTCCGCGCACAGAACCTTTCTCGGCTTTTGGGTGGCTTGTGACTTGCTGTCGAGGTCCGGAACGATGTAGGTGAAGTGCAGTGTTTCGAACGGTGCGGTCGTGGCGTCGGACTTGTATTCCAGCGTGCATCGGTTGTTGGCGCGGTCGACCCCGATGGCGGTCGGACCTGGAACGATGTCCTGCGGCAGCCGTTTTGCCGCGCTGCTCATGATCTGCAGCGCGTCCCGCTTGCCGTTCGCCGTGGACAGTGCGCGTTCCCGGGTCACCTCCTGCCAGGACAGGGTGTCGCGCTCGTCCGCCGACAGGGAGTCGTGAAAGTGTCGCAGCTTCTCCGTCAGGCCGGCCACCTTGATCGTCAGCAGCTCCACGTCAGCGGGCAATGCGTCAGCCCTGCTCGCGGCGGCGCACAACTCCTGATATTTGGCGCGGTCAGATTCCGCCTTCTTCCGGTCCTCATCACTGACAGTGGTTGTGTCGGTGTTTTTCGGGAGGGCGGGGTACCGCCAGTAATACAACGCGTAGTTGTCCATGCGCGTCAGCCAGCACCCATCAACGCCCTCCTGCGCCGCGCACACGAGCTCATTTTCTGGCGTTGCCGGATTGAGGCAGGCCTGCTCGATCTCCTTCAGCAGGGTGTAATCCGCGGCGACGGTGCCGTCTGGCCGCGTGTACTGGTAGGAAAGCTTGTTGCGCACAAATTCGGGCGGGGAAACCTCCTGACTTAAGTCCAGCGCACTCACGACTGGCAGCTTCTGCTTGGTGTCTGAAACTGCCACACGTTGCATGCGCCACTCGACCGGGCGGTCTTGCATAATCAGGTAGGAATTAAACTCGTTGCCGTTCGCTTTCGCGTTCCTCTCGCAGAAGTCCGCGTCCACGTCCAGCGTTTCGGGGATCGCGCCTGTAGTAGAGGTCAAAATAAAGTTGTGCGATGCTTGACCTTGCTCCTAACTGCAAAAGCCGTTTTATATATAAACCATCTTTACTAGAGAGCGAGAAACACAAACCAAAGTCGAAATTCGACAACTACAAAGTAGAAATACAGAAACTCCTCGACAACAAGAACAACAGAAAAATAATCGCTTGAATACTTCCATCCGTCGGCTTCTGAACGGCGACGCGTAAATATTCAAGAAAACCCTGCCACTCCGTTCTTCCGCTGTCCGCTTTTCGTGAGGTGTACCAGCTAAATTCACAGGCCTTCTCGCCATTCGTCTCAAAGTAGTAGGAGTCTCGCTCGTCCGGAAATGTGTCCCAGCGGAAAACCTCGCCGGCAATCCCGGTGCCAGAGAGCTCCACGACGGCGTCCTTCAGCAGGGTTATCCTTCTCGCCGACACGCTGGGCATGGTTATGGCGTTCTCAAACGTTACATTCTCAACTGTTACATGAATTTGTCGTGCAAAACTACCTTGAGCCGGTAGATGATCAAGCTGCTTCGCATGACAAATCTCCGAAGGGCTAAACAGCACCTAAATCGGTGCCAAATCTGTGATGCGAAAGCAGCAATTTTTGCACCTTTGACTGTTGCGGCTCTTGCATCGCAAATTCATATAACAGTTGAGAATGTAACGTTTGAGAACGCCATAATGGTGTCGGGCGGGTTCTGCGTCAAGTCCCGGTGATACCACTGTCCGGAAATCCAGGCGACTGGGGTGTAAAACGCGGCCTCCGTGGCGGGGAATTTGTGCTCCTCTACGACGGTGCCATCCGCGTTACCGCCGGTCGAAAACGCCAAGGTCGCTTCGCCCCGCACGCCCTTTCCGGTGTCGCTCATTTTCACCAGTTCCACCTTTCCGCTGTCCGTGAGCAGGCAGCTTTGGCCGTATTCACAGCTTCGGTAGGGGGCCCACTTCGGGAAGTCGAGGTACTCGTTGTTCACGTCGAAGGGCTGGGCTTTCATGTCCAGGACAAATTTCCCGCCCGCGGGCTGGTTTGCATCCTGGCTTACGGTTTGCAGTTTCCTGCCACTACTGATGTCCGGGTTCTCGCTGACGCCACGCGCACTGTCGGTACCCACCTCAGTGAGGCCCGTTCGTCCAAAGTAGTCGTTCACCTCGCCTTGCTGCGGACCAGCGAACAGCTTCAACAAGGAAGCAGACTCGGTGTAGGCAGGACCGTTGAAAGCGACCACTGTGAAAAGGAGTTAGTGTTTGGTGTATATTTATTTTTCCGGCAAATGCTAAACATGTCTTGTCTATAAGCAGCAAGGTCTCAGAACGCAGGAGAATCTGAATCAGGAACAGGAAGAGAGCGTGATTATTGAAAGTGAAAGTATACCGTACGTAAGCAAAATCATATTTTCGTGGCACAAAAGAAAACAATACTGGCATCATCTCCGGTCTTAGCTGGATTCAGGATGGAGTTGAGCGCAACCACCAAAATGACCACGATGCAGCTGAGCCATGCTACAAAGGACACCCGCGCGAGCACGGACACGTCCCTCAACCAGCACAGGAAGGTAAGAATCAGGGCCACCGTCACAATCCAACCGTTCTTCGTCAGAGCCGGAATGTAGTCGAACAGAATCACGAAGTTCATGGCCAGCAGCAGCATGAACACCGTTCCGACCAGAATAATGAAGGTATGGTAGAACTTGGAGTAGACTGTGATGCAAATTTATTTCGTAACATTTTATGAATTTATGTGTTTGAGGAAAAGCATAGCTGTACTTGTAGTACAACAATATCGGTACAAAAATGTATGAGCCTCAGCGTCCTTGCAGTAGTCAAAGTCAAATTTCGAACGTGAATGGAGATGAAAATCATAAAAGTTCAGTACCAGCCGCCCAGCACTTTCCGAACAGGACCTTTGTTAAAGATCCCATCTGCGACATATCCTCTTGATCGACATTCAGGTCTTCAATACGCTGCATCACTTGTGCCTTTTTTATTGCCGCCACGATGGATGCAGCAGTGCAGCTGTCATATTTTTTCATTTGCATTTTATCAAGTTACTGATGTAATTTGATCGGCATTTGCAAAACGTTCAACATCATTAAGTTTCTGCTGAAGATGGACATCACGAGGCCACGCAAAGACGAAGACTTTCTTGTTAGAGCGCTCCGAGGTGAAGCAGTAGGTGCAAAAAAACATGTTCAAGTTCATCATCAAAAGAAAAAGATTTGCAGTTCCAGCACTGCAGCAAAAGTTGCAAATACAAGGCCAGGATGAAGATCGCTGGGACGTAACCCGTGGACTGGAAAACGCTTGGAAGGGTAACGATACCGGCCCCGATGTATCAAATGTAAAAATGTCTGGGTCTGGAAGAATGCAACTTGTGATGCTGCGTTTCGATGACTAAAAAATTTGTGTTGCATGAGCAGCAAACAGAGTCTAATTTTTACTACGCGGAGAGGGCATTTGTCATGCGGAATGGGCATCAAGAATCCCTCAAAAAACCTGTGATGCTAGGGCATGCATTACAGGCATCATGGGTCATGAGAAATATGCATGACAAGTGTTGCATTCTTCCAGACCCAGACATTTTTACATTTGATACGATGGCCGTTGTGACGATGGAAAAGATGGACTCCCACCAGGTCGTAGTCCTTCCGAATCCCGCGCCTGGGTCGGAAAGGGACCCCCTTGATATCATATGCAAAAATGTCTGGGTCTGGAAGAATGCAACTTGTCATGCTATATCTGAAGCATGCAAAAATCTGTGTTGCATGATTACCAAAAGTCGTCCAGTTTTGGACAAGTCGGGAGGGAGTTTCTCATGCAGGATAGGCATGAGAGAGATCGCACAGAATCTGTCATGCTAGGTCCTGCATTCCAGGCTTCATGGGTCATGGAAAAGCTGCATGACAAATCGCGCATTCTTCCAGACCCAGACACTTTTACATTTGATACTTGACCTTGAGGAACCATCGCTGTCGCTCTCCGCATGGGACTGCAGAATGCTTTTGTGGCTTTTATACGAAATCCGGCTCAGCCCCGAGGGCGGGATCAGCGGTGCCGTTTCCTGTGAAGATCAAGATTTTGATGTAGTAGATGAATTGGCATTGGGTTCTGGAGGTTAATATGGTTTCTATCATGTAGGTTTTTCTCATCTTCATGATCATCCCAGCAGTGATTTTGAAAGCGTTCCATACGAGAGCAAAAAGATCAATACGCTCTGCCTGCTTTTTCGTGAAGGCATTTTGGTTCTTTTGTTTGCGGTTGCAAAGAGGCACGAGGCAAAACAAACTCACATAGGTGGAAAGAATCGGTCGTAAGGTGGGAAAGCTTGTCAAGAGTTAGTTTTCATTTTCAATCTTAAGTAAGGTTATGTGAGTCGTGTCAACATGAATGCAGCGAGGTAGGAAAGCAGTACAAGTGGATGTCAGATCGCAAGTTGCATGCAACAACGTCTTCACATGATAAGACAAACCCTGCAGAACCATTCAACTTCTAGGTTTTCATAAGGAAGAGCCTTGCTGAGCCAGAAACTCAGCTTGATCTTCCATTTTTTCTGCGCAATTGCAAGTTGAATTTGAAACCGACAAAAGTGTTGTACCGGATCCATAAGACGGAGCGCAAGATCTTTCAATATTTAGCAATGACCTTGTGGGGCTGTTTGCTGTCGCGATAGACTTTTTTTTCAAATTGATCGCAATTTTTGCAAACAGAGGCGCCTAAGCTAAGTACTTAAATACTTTACAAACGAAGCATTTACAGAATCTGATCATCTACAGCCCCCTTTCTTGCCTCTCAACAGATGGAAGGCTTGTTATTTGCGATCTGATGTATTCAGTACACTCTAAAACTCAATGGCCGATCTGAATTATGAGCATGCCTCGACAGCATGGTTTCTGCCCAACACTACTTTGGCCTATCGTGCAAGACGCGCTCTGTTTGATGTGATCAGAACCGCAACAACGGCTTCTAGAATATTGCGATATATTGGTATTGCGTTGTGTTTGAACCGAATGCAGCGAATCATCTTCCGTTCCATCAAGAATCATAGATGGCAACAGTATTTTTGCAATCTTGCGGTGGTTCTTTTGCGCCTCTCATCCTTCTCCCTCAAGTCTGGGGAGGTAGTTTAAGCTCATGACCACACAACCTGCAGAGAGCAGGAAGCTACATGAAACCCACTGGTTGGTTCCCGTGGCCGCAACGAAGCTTTCCCAGCCCGGGGGCGCGGCCTGTGCCTCTTTGCTTTCCATCGTCGCCAAAAACAGTATGAAGGAGAGCACCATCATCCCGGCGCCGCTAAGAAAAATGTACGCGCTGCGGCCGGCTCGGAAAAAGGCAAGAAGTCGCTGGACGGTGTTCTGTCTGTACTGGATCAGATATATCACGAACTTCCGGAAATATTCTCGGAATACCGACATGATGGTTGGAGATTTTAAGACTTTTAGTAAATGGCTCTCGCTATCAAGTAGAAGTCAAGGTTTAAGCTTTACAAGGGAAAGCGGCTAATTGGCGGGCGATTCGAACTTTTCCAAAACTTTTCATTTGACTTTTCAGGATTTCAGGGCATTGAAAACGATTTGATAAAGCGAGTCAGAACGAAAAAACGCAGTGAAGATACTCCAAGCGACAGAACAGGGGCGCTTGCGAGGTCTTGGGCGCCGACGCCTCCTCTTGTCCCGCGGGTGATCGGCGAATCCCGAGCGACCGCCTTTCCACCCGCCGAAGCGTGCGCGCGCGCCGGGTACCCGCCGACCGCACGCAGCCAACGGCTGCCGGCGCGGGCGCCCTAAAGAAAAAGGCCATGACCGCCCATCGCACCCACCCGCCCCCCAGGCCCGGAAGGCCTACCCGGGAACTGACTAGGAGGAGGGCTACCGACACAGGGAAGGGGGCCGGTCCGCCAGACCCTAAACCCGACGCAACCGGGCACCCGGCAACGCGCGCCCTCGCCAAAAAACGCGCGCGCCCAAGCCTCACAAACACCCGGAATCGCGGCGCCAGCCCGCGCCTCCTGCCGCCGGCGGGCCGCCACCGCGAAACGGCCCGACCCTGGCAGCTTTCTTAATGCAAAGCAACCACCGGCCAAAAGCTGCCGGCGGTGTGTGCTGCTGTTTCGCGCTTTTCCACATGAGGAAGATCAAAGCGCGCCAGCCTGTTGGGCTTTGTTTGACTTCAACGAACCGCCGGCGCCGGGTTCTATCGGTCGCCGGCTGATAATACTAACGACACAGGAGGGCCGACAAAGAAAAGGGGCACCCCGCTGAGGCGCCGGCCGCGTGGGGTTCTGGCGATTTGGGGCGCGCAAAAGAGCGCCCCAAAAAACTCGCGGCAAATCAGAAAAGCGAAGCCGCACGACAGGGCCGGGGCTCCGTTCGGAGCATTTGGCCGGCCGCGAAAGCGGCCGCCGCCTTTTCGCCGGTTTCTATGCGGCGGAAGCTTTGCAAAGGGTGCCGGCGCGCAAAGAAAAAACACAGAAAAGCAAAAGCGCGCCAAGCGCGCGAGGCCAATCCCCATGCCATGGGACCGGTTTGCCTTCGGTTTCAGGGCGCTCCACCGCGGCGCCCGGATCGGCCCCATACCGCCAGGGCTAGCTTTCGGACAGGGGTTCTGAAAATTTGGCAAAGAACTACCATGCTTTCCAAAAGACGGCCAAGCCACGCGGCATGGCCATACCAAAAGCGGCACGGGGGGCCCAGAAAAAAGACACAGTGGCTGGCCAGGGCAACGGCCGGCGGGCGGGCAAGGCAGCCAGCGGCACCGACCTCACCACCTCCGCCACGGAGGCTATATTTGGCACGCTGGGCACACGCAGCAGCGGCTTACCGTCCGACAGCCCCACACGTAGCAAGCAAACAGGCCCCGAGGGTAACTAAGCCCCCACGACGTCCCCTCCCCTACGTCGCACGCAGGGGCGCAGTTCCGCCCGTGCACCAACCACATCGCCCGGCGCCCCAACATGGCTCGCCCCGCCCGAAACGGTGTCGAGCGTGCCATGCGGTCCGACGTCGGACCGCACGGTATGCTTGTCGGAAAAGCAAAACAGCAAACGCACAGGCCCCGGCTGACCAGATAGAGACGAAACAGATCGCCCAATCCCGGCCCACAGGGTGGGGCGCAGGGCGAGCGAAGGGCGAGACGAACGACGGGTGGCAATCGGGCCGCCGGCACGTAGGAAGTAGACCCGCGGCGGCGCCGCCCGGTATTCCAGGCGCGCAGGCAGGCCGGCGGGGCCCAACATGCAGGCGCGCCCCCATATCAGAGGGCGGGAGGCCCCCAGACAGGCCGGCCCCGGCCGGCTGGCGCCTGGCGGATGCGGCGGAATCGCTTCGGCGCCCCAATAACACGCCTCCCCCGCCCGGGCTCAGCAGTGCGCAGGGAGGCGCCACGCCCGCGCGGCTGTTGCCGGCCGGCACACTGTGGCCCCGGTCTAGGTCGGTCGCGGGCGGGGGGGGCGAAGGACTGGCGCGGCCGGGCCGGGTGTTCCTTCCGTCTATGGGTTTGGGCAAACCGACGCCAACCCCAGCGGCGCCCGGGCCCCCAAGAGCCCGCCGGCCGCCGCAAGTGTGGAGTACGCGGAGCGCATGCCCCGCACGCGCCCCGAACGGCGCAACGCGCCAACCAAGTTCAGGGGGTCGGTAGCAACCGCCGAAGCCCGGGCGCCCTCTCTTGGTTCGCAGCAAGCTACACGCGCACCGGCGCCCCCGGGGCGTGAATCCGCTGCCCGGTGGCGCATGCGACAACGTAGCGCCGGCCGCCCGCCGGGGCGGGGCCGGCCGCTTGCCTGGCTACGTGCGCAATAACCGCAGGCGTGCCTGCCGGGGGGCTGTGCCTGCCTCTTTTCGGGCGCAAGGCAGCCGCCCGAGGGCGGCCCGGCTGGCGGGCAGGAACAAAGGGCAGGCGCCGGGCGGCGAAACTTTTCCGCCCCTCTACCGAAAACTCTGCCGGAAACTTTGCCGAGAACTTGCCGAAAACTTTCCCCCGAACTTTCCCGAAAAGTCGGCGAAAGCCTTCCGCGAAACCTTCCCGAAAAATTCTCCCGTTGAAAAGTCGACCAAAAGTTACAGACCGGGAGTTGAAAAGTCAGCCAAAAGTTTTCGAGTCCGAAAATGATCCCGAAGCGGGAAAGTTTCGGGAAAGTTCGGGGGAAAGTTTTCGGCAAGTTTTCGGCACTCAAGCAGAAGACTTCGCCGCGCCCTCAAAAGCCGAAAAGCCTGAAGGCTTGCGCATCCGCCAGGCTTGCGAAGAATCCTGCTGCCCCCCCCCTTTTCTACATGGCTGAGGCGGTCTCCCCGAAAATGGGGACAGAGCCTCCTGGGCGAACTTATTGCGCGCGCCGGCGGGGCAGCATGTGAGTGGCGCCCCGCGCGCGCCCCTGCTGCGCCGGCGCCCTTTCTACTCGCGAAAAGCCGGCCGCGCAAGGCCGCCGCGACCGAGGCGGAGCACTCGGGAGCGGCGGCATGGTCTCGGCGCTTTGTATGTAAGTGCGGGGGGGCGGCGAATATGAAAGAGAAAGGGGCAGGCCGGACGGCCTCTAGCTAGCGCCCAAAGAAAGGCGCCGAGCCAAAACGTGAGGCGCGGGCAGCTCCACCGAAGCGTAGCGCGCCACGCCATGCGGCCCGAACGTGCGAGGCCGGGCCGCCCGCGCGGCGTGCTGCGCGCCTACTTCAATGCGCCAAATATGGCCGCCGGGGCGGAGATAATGAGGCCGGCGCCGCTTCTTTGCCCGCCGACCTTGGCCCACACCACTTTTTTGCTTTTTCTGGGCCCGCCGTGCCGGGGTGGGTAAGGTTATGCCGCACGGTATGGCGGCCGGTTGGGGAAAATGGCAGACGTTGGGCAACTTGCCAAAACGCCTTCCCGAAAGCCAACCCCGATGCTATCGGGCCGGCCCGGGCACCGCGGGGGGCGCCCAAAAACCGAGGGAAAAGCGGGCCCATAGAATGCGGGCTGGCTTCGCGCGCTTGGCGCGTTTCTTCTTTTTTGCGTTGTGTGTTATTTTTCGCGCCCGCGCCTTTTGCAAAGCTAGCGCCCCCCCGCTGAGAACCCGGCAAAAGGGCGGCCGCTTTCGATTCGCGACCGGTTTCGCGGCCCTGCCATACTTACGGCTTCGCTGTTCTGGCTTCGGGCGGGTTTTTTGGGGCGCCCTTTTGGGCGCCCCAAGTCGCGCGCCAGAATCCCACGCGGCCGGCGCCTGAGAAGGGTGCCACGTTTGCCGACCCCCCTACGTCATTTTTTCAGACAGTCTTTCCACCGGCGGCCGACTGAGCCCACCGGCGACTGCATTCATTGAAGACAAAACCAAACAGGCGGGCGCGCTTGGGTTTTTTTCATCTTCAACATGCGAAAAAATGCGAGCCAACGCCCCAAGCCCCCGGCCGTTTTTGGCGGTTCTTGTCAGGAAAGCTGCAGAGATAGAGCCGGCTCACGGGGTCGCTGCGGTACATCTTACAAGAGAAGGCAAACCACCCAGGCACACAGGCTCGTGCTGGAGGGCAACATACCAGAGGGGCCACGGGGCCCCGCCCGCCGGCTCGCTTGTGGGGCGGGCCACCCGGGGGAGTTGCGTTATCCATTTCCTGAACCAAAGAACACCCCGCCGGGGAAGCCCACCCAACCGGGGGGGGTCGGCCCCACATCGCGATGCATGCCGCACGCACGGACGGCCTGGCGCGAGAGGCCGGCCCACCATCGCGCGCCATACCATGCGGTCCGACGTCGGACCGCATGGTATGCTGCCTCTTTGCTTCTCTCGTTCAAGCAGGCGAAGCAGAATAGACGGGCAACCGAAATAGACAGGTGGCGCCACCACAGCGCGCCACAGACCCACATCACGCGCCGGCCATCGGGGTGGCCCCCCGACCGCAGGCCCTTGACACTTCTGCCACCGCTAGCGAGACGAGCGGAGGAGCCGCCTCTGCCCGTTGGTTGCAAAAGGGGGGCGCCTTTGGCGCACGCTTCGGCCGCGTCGCGTAACCGCGGAAAGGCGGGCAGGAAACAGACGGCCGGGGCGCGACGGCCTCTATTTTGTAAGAATGGGCAAGCGGCGGGCCAGAATGTAGGGGGCCGAAGGTACGTCGGACAGCGCGCGGCCGGCGTGCCATCCAAGACACCGCGGCGGGGCGGCGCGCCCATTCGGGCCCTGGCAGTGGCAGCCAGTGCCATTGCTTATTTAAAAGGCGCTCAGGGCGAAGAGGGCCGACGCGCCCCGGCATTTCCGAAGCGCGAGGCGGCGATCAACATCCGGGCGAATACTGAAAGGCCAAAGGCCAGCGCCCGCGCACCACTTCAAAAGGTGCACAAAATGCGCACAGGGCCCCACAGCGCTCGCGAATAATCGCGAACAACCGACCACGGAGGCGCTGCCCGTCCGATGCGCGGCGGGTGGCATTTCCCGCAGCCTGCTTGGAGGCGTCGATCAAAATGGCAGGCAGCTGGCGGGCACACGCCGCGGCGAAGAGGTGCCGCCCTTTCATGCTCTGCCACTCCCAAAGTGCGGACTTACCAGCAAAAGGCAGCACGGTCCAAACAATTGTCGCAAAGCATGGATTGCCGACGATCAAAATAGCGACTTTGCCAAAAGTCAAAGTAAAAGTTTTGGAAAAGTCGCTATCCCGTTTCAATTACCCGTTTTCCCTTGTAAAAGCTTGTTGCCTGTAATACTTCACCTCCCTCCAGTAGCAGCGTCTGAAGTCTTTACTTGTACTGGGCAATACCAGACAAGAACAAATGGGCAAATTTTGATTACGACCACTGTAGCTTCACACTGGTCGACGCGAAGTCATTGCAAGCGCTCGTCCTCTCCTGAACCAGCCTAATCAACTTGCACCTCCTTTCTTTCAGATGATCATGATTCAAATCCAGTAGTGCGTCGTTTAAATCGCGCTAATTCAAAGATACAAGCGCACGGCACGCGTTTGAAGCATCATGAACAACAACTTCAATTTCAATTGCTGTCACCGTCGTGCGGCATTAATGATGGGCGTTTCAGGCGAAAATGCGACAGGGCGAGTCATTGTCTCCTTACCCGTAGTTTAGTCGGTTTTTTTTTCCGCTTTGCGCCTGTCGTGCACTGGAATTGCTCCCAGGAACTCTGACTCTGTAGGGATCGCCCCAGGTAGCGGAAAGAACAAACCAAACGAAACTTACAGTCAATCACAGGGATCACAGGAAAGCAGAAGCTTTTGAGTTCATGTGTCTTTGTTATCCTGCTCCACCAATAGCGCCAGAATATCGTCCCATCTCTCGTCGTATCCGGCCTGTTGAAAGTGCGCGATGTACCGCGATCGGATCAAGCGATCCACTGCTGCGGGCTGCTCCAGGACATCTTTGAAAACGCGTCTCTCGATGATCCGCATCACGTCGGCAAGGCACAGCGTGTTTCCGGTTAGCAGCTGCAAGGAGTCCAACACGCGGAGTATCCTGAGTAAAAACGTACCCACGCCCGAGTTGTAATGCAGATTTGCAAAGACAGGAAGACTTGTAATGCGCATCCCCATGAGAGCCATTTCCAGTCGTGTTTTGGAATTTGTGATGCTGTGAACAGGATGAGCAGACGAATCTGTGATGCGGCTGCACTTGCTAACCTGCACTACACTGCATAGTGCAACTTGTCATGCGTGACTCCCAAAACTCCTAGGTTTGTGTTGCAAAATCCCCATCTTGACTATGGGGTGGGGACGTTTTTATACAGGATACGGAGAATGTCCACGTGCGGCGTTACCGGCTTCGGACCTCTGCCTTGGGCTGGTCTTGCTATCCTGTGCAAAAGTATCGTAACGTACTCGTATGGAAATCATGCATTACAAAATCCTTTGTTAAGGTAAATCAGCATTACAAATTTTATTTCTCATGCTGAGGAAATTTGTAATGCATTTATACGAGTACGATACTTTTGCAGTTCATACTTGCGCCCGCAACACCATGCGTTTTTGATCGCGAATCCACGACTCGTTGTCCCCCTCCTGGCGAGCTGCAAGAACCTGCAACACCCCCAGATGTGGATCCTGCGGAATTACTCTGGGATGAATGTTGCTTGATTGCATTGCACAAGATCCAACTCTGTCCGGAGACAGACAACAGTTCCTGCTTTCCACGGGCTGCAAATGCGTCAAACGTTTTCTGATACTTCTTGGACACAGAAGAGTCATTGGTCTGCCCAGCGTGAGCAGGGCTCTGCAGGCTTTCCTCAGTTGTAGTTTCGTTCCGACGGGAAGTGGTTGGAGACATGGAAGAACCGCAAGAAGCCCCCACGATCTCCTGACTGCGGGCCCTTTGCTCGCGTTCCGCAAGCTCCTGCGACATGCCGCGAGTGTACAACAGGGCCGTCGAGTTCAGGAGCTTTGCAAGCTCCGCCGCCGGGAAGTTGCTGTGTGGACTGTTGCTCCCGGCGCACTGACTATCCATCTCCTGCAGCACACGATTTGCGAACACCGCCAGGTCGTGCAACGGAAAAGCTATTTCCCATCGACTGAAGACAACCAAAACCGCCGTCAAGTCCTTCAGCTCGAACAGATGCAGCGAGCTCAGAGAGTACTTGCGAATCTTCGCGTATAGGGAGCGGAGGAGAGAAAGCTTCTGCTCTACCTTCGTGCTTGAAGTGGAAGGATTTTGTGCGTTGCAGCTGACCACTGCAACATGTTGACCAGTGTCTACAACTTTGCGAAGCCCGGTTTCGTCAACATTGCTCCTAGAAGTGCTGCCCGTCTGACTAATGTTGTCTGGACTAGGCGAGGAAGAGGTTGATGTCGTCTGCGCAGTGTTCGCGAGCATTTGCGTTTGCTCCAGTCTCTGCGCTACGGCCCGATAGTACTCCAGCAGCATGCCGAAGGCGTATGCTACCGTTGAGAGCTCAGCGGGGGTGTTGAACAGAAGTTTCTCGCCGGCGCTGCTTACGCAATACCGTACGAATTGTTCCTCGTCCATGCCGCACCGTGCGAACGAGTGGATCACGCGGGCAATTTCAAGTGGCGTTGCCTGTTTTAGGTTTTAGCGTGTACCAGAAGTAGTCGGCTCGAGTGACGAAGTTTTGGTTATGGTTCCCCTTCATCACTCCAATCGGAATATATTAAAAAAAAACCGTACTCTATACAATTGCAAAGACGTATAGGAGTTGTATGTCGACAAAAGCAAAGCATCAAGCTTAAACTCGTGACGACCCAACAACATCACAAACGGGTTCGGCTGTTTTACCTCGCCGATTGTGAACTTGGCGTGGTAGGCAATGCTCTCAAAGAGTCTCTTGTCCTGCACTACAGCGGCGTCCGCAAAAGCTTTCGCGATGACGGACAGGTCGCGGATGTGAAACGGCTCCACTTGCATGCGGGTTTGCAAATGCGTGGAAAGCCTTTTCCACAGTTCGTCGTCATTCAGTTCAAGCTTTGTAATTGCGTTAATGAACATGGTTTGCTCCGTGGTCTGTTGCAAGTCCGGCACCTGTGATGTTTTTTGTGTTGAGGGTTGATGCAGCAGCAGTGCAGGCAGTCTTGGCTGAGTCTCAATTTTGGCCACTACAAGTACCAACCAGCGTAGCTGGCCCACATAGGAAGCATAATCAACAGTGGGTCATATAATCAGTATGATCTTCTTCATGTTCTATTATACCCGTATTTTCAACTCCTTAACCATGACCAGCCGCTCGGATTCTGTCAGTTTCAGGCCGCATTTTCCGAACGCCGATAGCATCATGGCCAGATAGGTCGCATTGAAGTACGCGATCTTCTCGAAGAAGAGCTTGCGAATCTCGCCCTCGGGCCCGACAATCATCGGCAAATACCGTTTATCAAATGCAAAAATGTCTGGGTCTGGAAAAGTGTAAACTTGTCATGCAGGTTTTTCATGACCCATGAGGTCTGGAATGCGGGACCCAGCATGACAGAGTCTGCGAGGTCTCTGCCATGCCTATCCTGCATGAGAAACTCCCTCCAAACTTGGTCTAAAGTGGACAGCTTTTGGCACTCATGCAACACAGATTTCTGCATCGTTCGGATTTAGCATGACAAGTTGCAATCTTCCAGACCCAGACACTTTTGCAATCCATACCGTTGCCGAAGCGGAACCTGCCGCGAGGCGGACGACGAGGAAGATCCGCCTCCACCGCTCTGGGATTGTCCTACAGTTAGAGCTTTAACACTCGTTAGCATGAGAAGTGGTGAGTTTGTAGTGAATTTTGCATGACAAATAGCAGAGGAGACTGCCGGGACATTGTCCCTTTTGCTCTTCTGGGAAGTGGGTTCTGCACACCGCAGAAGTTAGTTGTCCAGGCTTATGCGGCGGGCAGCTGGACATGGCCTGGGCGTCATTCTTTGGCCATGTGAGTTTCGTCTTCCTGTGCTTGCAAAAGAGCAAGCACTGCAGCAGCCGCGGCAAACACGCCAAAAACAAGAGCCGCGAAGCACATAAGCGCAGTTTTTTTAGGCAAGATGAAGGCGCGGAAGCAAAGGCGAAAGGACCCGGCCGAGAGCTTTGACGCGTCTATCCGGCAGGCGCGTGAACTCTCCAGGCCTTTTCGGCAGAATATAGATTAATCCTCCAAAAAATGCATCTCTACCGGCATCATTGCAAAACATAGCATACCACATCCCAATACTGCAATCTCCGGGCGTCATTCTGAACGACGAAAACCATCCTCCGAGCGCAGTTTCGGCTCGTTGCGGCTGGTTGATCCTCGAAACCGGAACTGTGAGGCCACGTCACCGATCGAGAGCCATGGTTGGCCGTGGCGTCGCGCGGGGTCGTCTGGAACTGCGGAGCTGGAGATGTGGTAGCGATGGCCCACATGGTTCGGCTTCAAACGTCGGCGGGAGGAATCTGATATAAGCTTGCTGGCGGGATAGCTGTGATGGTGGATTCGTGGAAGCTCTCCGAATTGGAGCTGATGAGCAGGGGCCCCGCGAAGCGTCTGCTACAGAACCAGGCGGATTGAGCAACGGAAGGTAGTTGATTTTAGTACTTGTCATGCAGTACTTCTAGCGATTAGGCTTTGGCAGGTCTTGAAAAAACGACGCCCGCGCGAACGGCTCTGAATCCATGTAGTCGAGTGGTATAATTCCCCCTTGTCATTTTGCACGTTAGCTTCTTCAATTTCCAGGCCCGTAGCTGTTTCCCCTATGTCATCTTCCTCTGCCAAAACTGAAACTAAGATACGCCACCCCGCTACCAGCCGCGGAACCGCCCCTGGCGTGGGTCTGTAGAGTGGGGCCCTTGGGAGCGGCCCGGGCAAGAAGGTTTGGTCCATCAGTTCGGCGTGTTACTTGGCGGCGCTGCTTTGGTGAATGCCCACTCGGTGGGACCGCGTTGCAAGCCGCGACACGTCTTCCCCGGAGCAACTCGACAAAGTCTGCTGCGCGAAGGCTTCCCTACGAATAGGCAGAGCAAGCTTGGAGCTGTTTCGTTTCAATGACAGCAGTGGCGGGCTATGTCCCGGTGAGCAATGGTGGAAAATCGGCAGACCCTTAGCGCCGAAATTAGTAGCACAGCCTAGATGTGTTAGATTCAGAATTTGAAAGAATAAGCGGCTGCATTTGTACAGAGCCGCCCGAGTGGTTTTATTTTTTCCCATGCACAGGTCGAGCCTCGTGAAAGTAATTATGGATGGACACTTGCCAGTTGCGGAACCATCCAGAGTTCGATACTGAGCGGAAAATAATTGCGCTCAGTATCGAAAATGCGCGTATTCGCAAGGCCACAGAGACCGAAATCGGGTCGGGCCGATGGGTGTGACGCGTGGCCCGCAACGAACGAAGTCGCACGACCAAATCCCACACCCCCTGGCCCGCCCCAGCAGCCAAGGAAATTTGTAGTGCTGCCGACCCATTGCACCTACCCAAGTAATCGGCCGTGGGCGACAAGAGCTTGGCGCGCATTCCCTCCGCTGCAACGAAGCTAGCAGGTGGAGCCAGGACAGACGCACCACGGGCGCCGCGCGCGCCGCCGTTACAAAACCAAAGTCAAGGATAGCTTTGCTGCGGCACGGTCCGCGTCACAAGCTGCGGCGCCGTGAGTCAGTGCGACGGCAAGCAAGCAATTCCTCGGGCGCGGCTCCATCGATGCCGGGTGGGGCGGGCGCGGGCGGTCTGCGCTGCTCGGGCATTAAGGGGAGCAGGCAGAGGGCAGTCTGGCAGGCCGGCCAGACCTCACGGTGGCCGGCCGCGACGGACAGCCACGCCCTGGCGGCGGCAACGCAATTGACCAACGCAGACGCTTTTTTTTGGCGCCGCGGGGCTGCAGCAGGGGGCGGGGGACCTCGGGGCAGAGCGGTCGCAACATTGCACAGACGGCCCATGCCGCATGCGGCATAGAGGGGCGCGACCCCTTCCTGGCCAAGCGGAGCGCGCAAATTTCCGCCGGGGCCTGCGCAAAAAAGGTAGCAGCGGTGGCTGCGAAGCCCACACATTCGCAGGCGTGAGGCCAAGAAAAACGGAGGCGCCACTCGGCATGCCCCACCGGCACATTTTGCGATCAGAGCGAAGAAACAGCTGCTGTGCGGGTGTTTCTTCCGCTGATCGGAAGAAACACCTGCACAGCGCCTGTTTCTTCGCTCCGATCGCAAAATATCGGCGGTGTCACGCGTTTCCGAGCGATCGACTTTTGGCTTGCGCGAACGCTGCGACGCGTTCTGCGCGGGCCGGAGTCGGGCGTGGAGGTGCGGCGCTTTTCCCCAGTGCGCGCGCGAGGGAACGGTGGGTCACGGGCGAAAAATATCAGCACATGTATACAATAAACGAGTCGCGACGCTGCCTCGGCCCGACAGGCCACCTAGAGTGCGCGCCTGCGCATGCACGCAACAACAATAGGCAGCAAAATGGGCCCAAAGGGGGGCGGCGCCGAAGCTCACGCACTGAGTTGTGCCAGCACACGCCCCAGGCAGAACTAGTCGCAGAGACCCGAATCGCCGCGAGTGCGCTTTGGGCGATGCGTGGGTGGGACGGGGGGGGCGGGTCCAAGCAAGGGTGCGGCTGCGGCGCCCGGCCGGGTATAACCCGATGGCGGACCCGGCCAGATCGCGCCAGCTCGCACACTCGCGCGCGGGCGAGACCTTTTGCAAAAGTTGCGTCCCCCGAGCTGGCGAAGCAGGCACGACGGGAATAACACACGCTGCGGGGCTGACGGCTCTGTTGCGGGGCTTCAAGTGGCGCATGAGCATGCGGCGCATCTGCTAGCCACCACCCAGGAAATATCTTACACAGAGATACTGCGCGGGGCCGCGCGGCTAGGGCCTTTTTCCGGGCTAGGCGCGCCTTACCACAGTTACGTTGCAGTTGCGCGGGCTCTGGGAGAGCGCAGGCGAAGCGCCCGCCATAGCTACAAAACCCTTGAAAGTGGCTGCTTTTTTACGACTGCCCGCAAGCGCCTTTTGCGATTGATTTTGCGCTCAGTAGCGAACTCCCGATGGTTCCGCAACTGCATTGTGTCCGTGCATAAAAGTAATTCTGTATTGAAGGCCAGTAAGACGGCGTCGTCGTTCGTTTTTGTTTCCAAAGAAGATGAAAATCATACCGAGGGAGGCGTCGTGGCTCCTACAAAGAGGAGTCGCGCAAAGCCTTTTGCTTTTCTTTTGCCCGGGAATCTTCGGTTGTTTTTTCGTGCTCGCCGAGGGCTTCATCTCTTCCGGATGTTTTTTGATGTTTCTGAGTTCGCGAGTGATTTGTGGCCGAGCTCCGGGCTTGAATAGTACCAGGCTGGCATTGAGTGTTTTTGATATTGGCGCTCTTTTTTTCTTGTTTGCCTGTTTCCGTGCCATCTGTACAGCTGCAGCCCGGTCACGAACTGCACAGGATTTTCAGAACGCCTTATATGTCTAGAGGCTTGGACTGAAGACGTTTTCTAGAGAAGCCATTCCGACTTTCTGATAAGGTTTGTGGCAGAGTGTCTCAGCCCGCAGGCTTTGTAGATTGGGTTTTCAGCACAAGTAGAACACTTCAAGATGAGCGACTCCGATAGCGGCTCTTTTTCCCAGGTTTCCGTCTCGGCGGACGAAAATCCCGAACCCACGGTGGAAGAATGGGTGCTCATCACGCAGGTGATGACCGTGCCGGAAAAGGTGGAGCCGCATGCCGACGTGCGGCGGCGGGTGGTGAAGAACTTCTCGATGCCGGAGGCGGGGGGCAAGCACCCGAGTTCGTGGATGGACGACAAGGGCAAGGTCAAGGGGTATCATCAATTTCGTGGAAAATTTGTCGCGAATTTTGTCACGATCTCGAATCAGGGAGAGTACCCGGCACATTGTTATTATATTTCTTCAAGGTGATAACTTGCTGATGCGTAGGCTTCTTAGATCGTATTACCTTCGTAGTTGGCTCCTTGGTCTCATGTGTGGTCCTCTGATTTTGTTCTTTGCATGCGCTGTTACTTCCCTTGCGCCGCAGATCAAACTGCGGCGCGACACAGTTTTTAATTTCAACAAAATGAACAACAGTGCGACGAACTCGCGTCCCTGTTGCCCCGGGACGTTGAGGGTTTTTATTACGGTTTTTACAACACTGGCGGCTTCCCGGGGTTGGGGTTGTGGGTACCGAAGCGGTTTTTTCGGGGTTCCTCGATGTTCTACGACGGGGCGTACGAGTCGAGCACCTACGTGATCGATTCGATCGCGACGACGCACGCGAGGGTAAGAGCTTTTTGGCCCGTGCTAGTATGTTAGTCTCCCTGTGTGTCGGAAATGCCATTTTATTGGCGCCTCGGGTTTCGGATCCTCCTGTTCAGTTTCATGCCCGTGCTCTGTGTACTCTAGTCGCCAGCCCCAGCGCATATCCTCACTATAATCCACGGAATTGAAAACAGGCCCTCGGTAACTTGACCATCATGAAAACCTGGCGTGACGAGAAGATCTGGTGCTGCGTCATCGGGTTCGTCTTGAAGTTGCCGAAAAAGATGGACAGCTTCATCAAGGTCTTCAACCTGTACCGCTCGGGCACGAAGAACGGCCTGTCGGAGTACCTGAGCGCCCTGATGTCGTCCGTTTCGCCGGGCCGCCGGAGAAAGCCGGAGGATTCCAGTCACCCCGCGCTCCAGGCCCTGGTCGTATCCTGTGCAAAAGTACCGCATTCCTAGTAATCGCAGTCATGCATTACAAATCTCAATCCCAAGGCAAAGCAGCATGACAGATTCCTTTTCTCGTGCTCAGCTAATTTGTCATGCGAATTATACTAGTGCAATATTTTTGCAGTGCATAAGGCGACGGCAAGAACAACGCCAAGGCCCAAAACGTGGCCAAGCAGCACACCCAGTTGCTAGCCATCGCGAACACCCCGCTTGGTGCGTCGTCTTCCGCGGGCTCTCCGATCGTGCCGCAGGTGCTCTCTGGCCTCGGCATGCAGACCGGGAAGGGCAGCGCCAACCTGGAGGAGAGCGTCCTCCGCTCGATCATGGGTATATTTGTTTTTTGTTGTTTTCGTCCATGCAAGACGTTTGTTTATTTGCATTTTCCTACGATGATGCTCTGTATGACCGGCATTTCCACTCACTAAAATTGCCAGATTTGTCGGCCTGCACTTACTTGGAGTCCGGGCTGCTGCATACCAAAGACGATTATGACCTGCTCGACCGGGGAATCAAAGCGTTGGGCACCAAGTTGGGAAACATCGTGTCGCAGAAGAACTTCGCGGCGCGCGGTGGACCGTCCTCCAGTCGTGCGGGGAACCTGGCGGCCGACATCAAGGCGAAGAAGCAGCAGGAGCAGCGTCTGCAGGCCCAGAAGAAAAAGGAGTTGGATAAGGAGGCCCTGCTACAGCGCGAAATCAATGAAAAAAACGGAGCAGGTACATTTAAGACGCGTGTTGTTTCTAACATGAACGCGCATGGTCATGGTTCGTGTGAGTCGTTCATGAGGATCACGCGCACGCCAAAACTCAAAGGTGCCGATAAGGCGAAAGGCAAAGTCATCTCCACGGGTCTGAGCGGGGCGCAGTTGAAGGGTTTGAAAGGCGCTACCATCGTGGTGGAAGAAGATGCCGATGGGAGCGAGGTGGTCAAGGTGGTGAACAAGGCGGGCGCGGTGGTCCACCAGGATTCGGGCGCCGATTTGGCGGGCGCGAAAAACGCCTCCGACCAGGACACGACGGCGAACCTGCCCTCTGGCACGGCCGGGGATGACGAGGCCAAGCCGGTGGAACCGGAGGAAACCAAGCCTAAGCCGACCCCGATGAGGCGCAAACGCGGTGCGAGCAAGGACGTGCAGGATGCGGACGGCTCGGAGGTGCCCGCCCCGGTGGACGCGAAGCTGAGCAAGCGTGCTAAGAAAATACGCATTGCAAATTGATCGCAGTCGTGCCAATTGCATTACAAGTTCTTTTCAGATAAGACCTGGGAGGCTTCGTTGTTGATCTTGCCAGCAGCGCAAGTCTGTAATGCAATAATGCGATCCGCACGACTGTGATTTCTTTGCGTAGCATACAGCGTTGCCGCCGACGCCGCTGCTCTAACGGAGAAAGAAAAGGCGAAGGCCCTGATCGAGGAGGCGGATAAGAAGGCGGAGGTCGAGCCGGAAGAAAACGGGAAGGGCAAAAACAAGCGCAGTACGAAGGCCGTCCCGGCGCCGAAAGCGGCCTCCCTGGTCCCGGAACCGTCGGCGAAGGATACAAAGAACGTCTTCGCCGATTTTCTGGCTAAGAAGAACGCGGCCAAGGGCAAGCTCGACACGGTCGGAAAGACCCCCCCGGGAGGTGTCTCTGCGAACAACAACAACGGCACGCTCGGCGGCGGGGTGAGCAAGAAGGGGAATTCGGAGGGGAATCACACGGAAGGCGTCTCCAGTCCCCCGGCGAAAAAATCCCACCGCGACTACTCCAAGTTGGAGGACTCCTCCGACTCCTCCCTGAAATCCGGGTCCTGGTCGTTGTCGTCCTACGATTGGGACGCGGACCTCCGCGCGTTGTCGCAGGAGGAGGCCGGGCACTCGTCGCACGTGCCGTCCCACCCGAGCCACTGGCCCGGATCCGATAGTGAGGAATACTCTGGTCGCGCCGTGGACTCGAGCTCCGGCGAGATCGCGCCGGGTTTCGAAACCAACGCCGACCAAGAAGAAGCGCGGCGCGTGAGTGGGGGATGATTCGTTGTTGTGGCAGGAATTGCACTCAGTGTTACGAAACTTAGATAGACGAGACATCTTAGAAATCGGAAGCACTAAAGAATGAAAGGTTGTAAAATTTCGTCAAGTATTAATTTTGTTGCGAAAGACTTATCATCAGACTTGTGACCTCAGCTTCTTCCTGGAGAAAAATAGAGCCAGACTGTACCGCGTCGCCTCTTACGAAAAAGAAGCGACAATAACGACAACAGAGCGAAACGATTATGAATAAAGAAAGGAACTGCCGCAGCTAATTCGGCAGGTTTATATGAATGAAAAAAATCACAGTGATTCTAGAGTTATAGGGTGCGCAATAAGTATGCATAGAGTAAAAGACAAACACACACACACACACGGCACCAGCGATCGTATGGAATTTTATGGGATAGTGAAGAGGCTCTATTCTGCTTTGATGTTTCGCAGGCGATTCGAAACGTCAGCACTAGGCGTCTAAAAAAAGGTCCGTCACTATTAGATTGTAGAACATTAGTGCAAATTTGAATGCGGGAATCAAGTGAGGCGCTATAAAGCTGGGCCCGAGACTAGAGCAAGGTAGCCGCAGTATAGCCAGGACTGCGGCGGGCTTTACCTGTTTCGTTTTTGGTTTTTTTTCTGACATGGAGCGCAGCACACTCGTTTTTTTGCTTTTTTTTCTGCGTGGTGCCGGATTGTTTTTGGTTGAGGTGCGTTCGCCCACAGACGAAAAAAACCACACCACTCATTCGCAAAACACAGTCGAGCAGTTTCAGTTGAAGACCCGAAACTACAAGAGTTCTCCCCACCCAAAAAAACTAGAAAATGGCCGACGTGGGCCCGGCTCGTCTGGAGCCGAATCGCGACGCTTTCGGTCTTGAAGCCGAGTTGTACAACGAGAAGGCGTATTTTCGCATCCCCTTCGCGTTGCTGGGTCAGAAGGCCGACGATGTCATCGACTACGCCAACCGGGACACCCGGTTGGGATACTACCAAACCAAGCAGTTGTGGCGGCTGCGCTCGGCGGTTGCGGACCTCATCGACGCCTGTGAGTCGCTAGATGGCACGGAGATCATCCTGCGGAGCATGCACAAATAATACACCGGCTTGAAGGACCTTGTTCCGTATCCTGTGCAGAAATGCCACTCCTTTACTTTGCAGCCACTACTCCTCAGCATCTCGCGCCGAATAAAAATAGGCCAAAGAAGCCTCGTGTAGATATTGAGGAGGACTGTGACGCAGCTACAAAGCGAGTGGCATTTTTGCCATGCATATTCCAGCGAGCCAGCACGATTTCGCGGCCAATCCGGACGGCCACGATTTAATAACGGCGGAGGGTCTCCTCTCCTTGATGTCGCACAAACTGGAAAATATGAAAAACCAAAAAGACTGGGCCATCAAGGTGGAGGCCTGTGCCGCGGCCTTCAGCGAGGCGATAGTAAGCACAGTCCGCGCAGCAACCGACCACGGGGACTTCATGCTCGCCCCGGGAGTGTGTATGGATGACGCAGCGACTACCCACCACGAGGTGTTGACGCTGATCGGGGAGGATTACCTCGGGGACATTTGCGCACAGTGTACTATTGACATACTTCGTTGCTTTGTTCTTTGTGTTGGCGCCTGCATCTGGTGGCGCCACGGGCAGGCAGCCTATTTTTGGGCGATGTAGGTGCGCGTGGCCAAACGCCTCGCGCTGGGGCCTTTGGGGGCCGGCCGCTTTGAAAAGACGCCCGCGTATTTAGCCACTTGGCCGCCCAAAGCGGTTTGGCTGATTGCCGGCCTTCGGATCAGAAAAACGCATCGGTGCGAAACGCATCGGAGCAAACTTTGCTCCGATGCAGAGGGGCCTCGCAGTGCCGCGTGCCTGGCAGGGGGCGTGGCCAACACAATCGAGAAAGCGTGGCCGTTTGTCATGCTGTTCCGCTTCTTGACCCCATCGCGCTCGGCGCGCGCGTTGGTCTTTGCATCGAATGCGGACAAAACGCATCGGAGCAAAACACAGAAATCATCAGGCAACGGCATGCTTTGATGCCGTTTTCGCAACAACTGCGGACAGCACTACAAACATTATCCACCTCCGGGCAGCTCGATCCACAACCGTCTCCAACTTCCACAGCTCACAAAGGTTCCGGCTCCCGCTCACTTTTGTCGAGCGGGAACTGGAACCTTTGTGAGTTGTGGAAGTTGGCAACGTCTGTGAAAGTTCGAGTTCCCGCTCGACAAACCTGAGGTTTGTCGAGCGGGAACTGGAACTTCCACAGCCGTTCGGCTGTGGAAGTTCCGCTTCCCGCTCGACAAACCTTCAGGTTTGTCGAGCGGGAACTGGAACTTTTGGCTTTGCAACGTTTTCAAAAGTTCCAGTTCCCGCTCGACAAACCTTTGTTTTAGGTTTGTCGAGCGGGAACTGGAACTTCCACAGCCGTTCGGCTGTGGAAGTTCCGCTTCCCGCTCGACAAACCTTTAGGTTTGTCGAGCGGGAACTGGAACTTTTGGCTTTGCAACGTTTTCAAAAGTTCCAGTTCCCGCTCGACAAACCTTTGCTTTAGGTTTGTCGAGCGGGAACTGGAACTTTTGAAAACGTTGCAAAACTAAAAGCTCCAGCTCAAGCTCGACAAAACTGCTCTCGGTGAAGAGCAGGTCGAGCAGGGGTTCGCTGCTGATCCAGTTCCCGGGAGTTGGATAAAGGGTTCTCAGACGCGGCGCCGCTGCATTAGTTCTGTTCGCAGTTGTTGCGGAAATGGCATTAAAACATGCCGCTGTCTGATGATTTCTGTGTTTTGCTCCGATGCGTTTTTTCCGCATTCGGTGCAAAGACTAAGGCGTCACGCGATCGGGTGTTTGCGCAATACAAACGCTAGATTGAAAGCGCAGGCCGGTCGGGCGCCGCGCTTTGGTATTTCTGTCCTTTTGGGCCGTTGTGTCGAAGAAGCGCGCCGTCGCTCCGATGCATTTCGCAGCGATGCGCTTCGCGCCGATGCCAGCAGCGATGCGTTTTTGGTCTATCGGGAGGCTTTTGAGTTGTGGCCGTTTCCCCTCTTGTGTTGCCTGGGAAATGGACAGCGCCATGGGGTTTTCCGTAATTTCTGACCAAAAAGAGCTTCCTTGTGGAGCTTGCCGGAATGAGAGGGGCCTGCCCAAAATTGAACGAATACCTCTGAAAAGAGGTACTTTTTTGACCTCGAAAATTAGTTTCCCCGCATGCTATGGCACGATACGAATACCCCTGACGAATACCTCTTTTCCTATGTATTTCTTTAGACTCTCTGTTGTTGGACGAGACTCAGTATCAGTTCTCAAATCAGTGTGTCCGGATGGTTTGACGAGTTGCGAGGAGTACATTGCGACGTGGTTACGGTATGGCGTCGGTTGCCCCCAAGAGCAAGGGGAGGCCTTGGAGTACATGTTGGAGCGGGTTTTAGCCAAGGAGTCCGATCTTGTCGATGAAGGTATATAGTTCAGCAGATGGATTCTGTCCGGAGTGTGGTGGTTTTTTGTCCCCAATGGATCAGGGCGGTAATAGATTCATGCCTTCGTAGGTCTATCGAGGCTTCACTTCATAAAAAAGCGCCAGGTTGGAAGTTGATCGGCGGCCCAGGCGAAGTAGTGGAAGATGAGGAGGGTGAGGATTTACAGCAGGACGAGACAGCCCCCGTCGCAGCGGTATCCTCTGCAAAAGTACCGCGCCCGTATAGATGCAGTTCTTGCATTACAAATCCTTTTCCTAAGGCATATCCGCATGACAGATTCCATTTCTCATGCTAAGGAGATTTGTAATGCAATTTATACTAGTGCGATATTTTTGCAATGCATAAGCGGTGGCGGAAAGCAACACTCCGGTCAAGACAACGGGCCGAAAGCGAAAGGACCAAAAGCAGAGGGTCCAGCCGTTGGGGAATCCCGCCATGTCGGACAAGAAGGTGCACCAGGCCCGTGTGGCGTTGATATCTCAGCACATGCTGACGCTGAAATGCGTCAAGCTGTTGAACCTGGGAAACACCACAGACCCGGTGGGCATGTCGACCGACGACTTTACCGTCAACGGCAGGGGCACCAGCCTGGCGCGGGTGCGCGCGCGGCATCTGCGGCACCCGCTGACGAAAGGGAAGCCGATACTCACAACGCTCACTCTCCCAGCGTTCACCCAGCGGAAGGTATCTGCGAAGGAGGTGAAGGACGCAGTTGCTGCTATGGCGGGACACAAGAAAGAAGACGGCGACTTTTTCATCTCCGCGATGGAGCAGGCGGCCCTCTTGAAGGCCATCAACGAACTCCTCCTCGACTCGCCCGCCGGGACGATTAGACCGCTCCTGATTACAACCGACAAAGGCAGCAAGCAATTCCGTTTCTGGGCCTGGAAAATGTGCCGGTCGGACCCGACGGGCTGCTTTTTCGACGGTTGTCATTTGGACACGAGCCAACTGCTGTCGGTGGCCAAGGTTTGTTCACCGAGTGAAGTGGTAAAAATGCTGAAATTGAGGAAAGCAGCAAACAGCACACACTCCGCGAAGTTCGCCGGGGTGTTGTTAGCAATGCGGGACTTCACCGACGCGGAAATCCTCGACGCCATCGGGGATGATAACCATGATCTGGAGGACGAGATAGGAGTCTGCGCGGATGCTCAGGAATTAGTAAAGGAATTCCGGAAAGCCTGCGAGCGGTGCCTGAAGGATCTCTACCGGCTGCGGAACAAGAGGCTTTGCAAGTATGCTTACCTCTGCGCCAGTTTGAAGACGAATTGGACCACGTTTCGGCGTGCGTCGCGGATCGTGTACTACCGGGAATACGGCAACATCAACCCGCCGCTGCTGGCCAAGACCGACTTAAAACATGAAGTGGCGCCGGGCTTCGCTGATCCCGTGGCGCGGGTCTCGTACAACCGCGAGGATATGGAAAAAGTCTTTTCCGCTCTGTGCGCTTATGCGGAGAAAGACCGCTCCGGGAAAGGTATATATCTCTTCACATCTGCTGGCCATGCATAAATCTGTATTGCGTGAAAAATCTCCATCTTAAAAATTTCAGGTTTTTCCGGCCTGGTGGATGAGTTGTACGACTCGGAGAGCGAGGAGAGCGCTCTCGACAAGGAGGACAACGCCGCGGCGCCACCAGCGGCCCAGGTCTTGAACAACAATAATGACCAGGAGGAGGAAAACGAGGAAGACGATTTGTTTGAAGATGACAACAAAAAGCCAACAGACGGCGACGTGGAGATGGAAGACGCGTATCCCGCGGAGGCGGAGCCCAGGAACAAAATGAAAACGAAGATGAAGAAGGCCGGATCCTTTCCGGAAGTAGTCGAAGTGAAGAGCAGTGTGGCGGTGCAGAGCAAGGTGGAGGACCAAGAGGTGGAGGCATTCCTTTCAACTATTACCGCGGGCGACCGGAAGAAATACATCCCCGGGCTCTTCTGCCTCTTCAACTCACCGGCGTCGCGGATGAAGTGTCTTGTGTACGAACGCCTCGCAAAGCCAGTCCTCTTCGTGCATGCGTTGAGCATAGTAACAAACCATACAAATCTCCACTCGAAGGCGGTTTACTTCAACGTCGGACCCATGTTGATGAGCGAAATCGCGAAGAGTTTTCGTTGTCCGTTAGACAACGCATTGACATCGTGCGCGGACAATCTGCATGGCCTGCCCGGGTTGCTGGGAACAACCATGGAGCACATGGTGTCCAGCCGGCTGCGCACCAACCTGGAACAATTCTCGCAATACCGCCGCCTGTTCTCCTACGCCCGGAACGACGAATTAGATCAAACATTGGGACACGCGCTGAAGAACCTCGACAACTACGAGAGTTCAGTACAGTGGGTTTTGTCGGCTCCGGCCGAGATGGTCTGCTCCCCCTACATCTTCGGGCTGGGAGGAAAGCGGGAGAAGATGCACAGCTCGGACATAACAGACCAGAACAAGGACTTTGTCGGCGACACCGAGATCATGAAAACGCGGCGATCTCCTCTGAATTGGGACGCCGAAAAATGCCCACCAATCGCGGAGTACGAATTGCGCTGCGCGGAGCGGGTCAAAAGCGCGGCGGCTATCACCGACTACAAACCCTGCCAGCAAATCTGCAAGTATTTGCTGCAGGAGGACAAGCATTGGATCATCCAGAAGAGCATGAAGCTGCTGCACAGTTTGGAGCACAACACCTTTACGGACTGGCTCACGGATTTGCAAGCGTGCAGACAGATGTCGACGAGGGAAGAGGAGGCCCGCGGAGGGGGGCTTACCCGCGCCGCTTGGAAGGGCCGGGGGGTCGGCCCCATCAAGGACGTACTTTTTTTTGCATCTGCTTTCGCATGTAGAATGCCACTTCTTTGCGTCGTGTCCTTGCGTGAAGGCCTACTTGACAGACTTACAACCATCCAATCCTTCAGCACGTCGCCTGGAGTCAGTGCCAGTCAGTCGCCCCCGAGTGGATTCCGTGGCTAAGTGCGGACTTTATTCCCGTCGAGGGTGTGGCAGAGCCGATATCCCTCGCAGTAGTGCCGTGCTATGATATTCAACATGAAGAAAATTTGCAACAGACCTTGCAGAATTTGTCATGCAGACGGACCAAATAGGCAGGATTGAGAGGGCAGGGATGTCAATCTTCAAAGCGCGGGGCTCTTGCGCGGGATAGCCTGGAAGTGCTGGGGACTTATCAAAAAACCCGAAAGACAAAACATCCTCGCGGCCCCTCGGAGTAGTACTCTCGCACTCGGAGCTCGATGGGCGGGTCGGAACGGGCGACGCTGCAGAATTCCGTGCGCAGTACTGGAACAAAACCAAGATGGAGGAGGTGATGCCGAGGGTCGCCCCCGGCGAAGCCGATCAGTACATCAAAACGGTCACTGAGCCGATCAGGAAGGAGGGCGATGAGCAGAAAATCAAACGGAGGGAAGCGAATGCGTACGACAACTTCTTCAACCTCCACAAGAACGACAACGTGGTGAAGGACACGATCGTCCGGAATGATATTAAAAACGCACTCCAACTCGAAAAGCATGATCACGGTTTAACCTCCGCGCAGGCCGAGGATCTCCGGGATTTCGTCTTCAATCCGGACTTTCTCCCCCGCATGGCTATTGCGGAGCAGATTCTGTACAAGCACTACTGGCGGATGACCTGGAAGTCGCAGGAGTTCTCCTGGCAGTTCTTCCGCGGCCGCACCCAGTGCGGTTGTGTCTCTGGAAGCTTCGAGCGTAATCGCCTCATGAACAAGCCCACAGTCTTGCGCTGCTCGGTGCAGCAATTCTACGACCCGGTCTTCTGTCTCGTTCTGGAGGTGTTGCGCGACCTCGGCGTCATTGTCGTGGTCGAGCTCGATCTCCTCCGCGTTGAGGATGTTCCAGATTACAACGCCAATTCGCCCTCGGCTGCCAGCGGGAAATCGAAAACCGGGCAAATCTATTTTCCGCCTTTGCGCAAAGACGGCGACGTCGCGGCGGAAAAGGACAAGGAAAACGCCCAAGAAGGTACTACTCGTTCTTTTTCTTTGGCTCATGTCTCTAGCGTGTCCTCTACTGATCTGTCATGCTGTGCCCGGCGGTAAATTTCAAAACCTTAAAACTCCCAGATGACATTGATGAGCTGGACTCGCTGTTCGGCGCCCCAAAAGATGAGCGTGGCGAGCTTCTCCGGGAGGAAACTTTTGCGGAAGATGTCCGGCGGGACGGAATTTACTTAACGCTGCCGGCGGAGCCGCAGGAGTGGACGCTGCCCTGCCAAGGAGGCGGGGGGAAAAGCAACAAAAGCCGCGCCAAGTTTCTCTTTCTGGACACCCTGAACATGGCGACGCTGAATTGTACGGGTGTGGGGAAAATCCAAATCGCGCAGGATGCGTTCTACACACGCGTCGGGACGAAGCATGTCGCCATCAAGGTCTCGGTATGTTTTGCAAAATCATCCCACTAGCACCGGAGTCGGTGAAGTCTTGGGGCAGAAAAGGTCTACAGATTTGTATTGCGAACGCCGGACAGGTGGAGAGTCTGTCACGCATAAACTAGATCGGTGCTAGTGTGGTGGTTTTGCATGGGATACCCGGCCTGGGATAATAAGTTCGTCAGCCCATTGCAGAAAGCCGTTGAGGATGGTTTTGGGTGTGTGAAGAAGTTCCTGCCACCCGGTGTGGCCTCGACAATCGCCGACACGAAAGACACCGCTGTCATGCTGCTGAACGAAAACCCGGGATTGTTGCAGTGCCTCGAGCGCGAGGAGCCACCAACGGTGGGGTGGAGCCTGGAGGACAACATGCTGGCGGTCGCGTCGGGACTTTCTGATCTTATCAAAGAACACTCCACACCCGGGTTCGAAGATTGGCAGCCCAACGCCATGATTCGGCACCACCTCCAGCAGGCCGAACGGAAGGAGCGCTTGTCGCTGACGCCGAACCGGAAAAAGGCGGACGAGCAGCTTCTGGAAGACTCCGATATGCCGGACGCAAATCCGAGAACCTCCACGGCCCGGCTTCTGGGAAGTGACGACCTGATCAACGAGAGTCTCGATATCAACAACATCTACGACGGGGATTTTGTCCAGAAGGCCTTCGGCGTTTCTCGCGAGGATGCCGACGTTGAGGACGATGAATGGGGCACCCTCGTGGACCACTATGACCCGCGTTTCGGAACGTTACTGCCGCGCCCCGGCGCAGCGGCGGTGGCGGGAAGCAGTAGCAGTAGTGCGGCGGTGAATTTGGGTAGTAGCGCCGTTAACCCGTTGCTTGGCGGAATCTCGGGGGAGTCGGAATTTCTGGACAAGCAAATGTCGCACTTCAGCAAGTACCTGCAGGCCCGCAACATCTCCAACCCCATACGGGAGCAAGATAACGCTTTTGCGGAATTTGTCGAGGACGGCTTCATTTTCAACGACAACGCCCAGGCGGGTCTGCTGCTCCCTCCGGATGATGGCAAAAAGGCCAAACGGCTGAAAAAGGACGACCTCAAGCTCCTGCCGGAGACGGAGGAAAAGCTTCTCGTAAATCAGGTGGATTCGGGCGGCATGTTGTTGCAGCGGATGTTCGCCCGGAGCGCGCAGAAAGCGAAGTTGGTCAAAATGGAGACCCGCCAGTGGGTGGAGGTTCTCTACTGCCTCGTGTACGGCGGGCTGCGGACGGGGTCCGACGCCTTGCTCAATCGCGGCGACTTCTACCACCTGGTAAACTGCAAGAAGAAGATGGGGAAGGTTCATTTGGTCACCATGGAGGAAACCTGCCAGTACTTCCGCGCCAGGTTGCTGGCGATGGTTGCTGAAGATGTCCGCGAAAACAAAGTCATCGAGCAAAAGGTGGAGGAAAAGAAGCGCGTTTTTGATGAGAAGCAGAAAGGACCAATCAAAACCGCGGAGGCCCTTGCCTCGAAAAACGCCGTCAGAGCTAGCCTGAAGAGGGCGGCGGAGCAGTTCGAGGACTTTGCCGGCGCCGTTCCGGGTCTGCGCGAGGGTGCTGCTGCCGAGGAACGAGAGAAGGCTGTTGGCGACATCGAACAGGTGGGCCTTTCTTCTTTTTTGTCATGTGGATTGGGCACAAATTTCGCTCATTGTGGAGTGCATGAAAATGGCATGTGACGAAATTATGAAAAAACACAGGACGACGATAGCGACTACGAGTTTCAGTGCGAGGAGTGTGATGACGACGGCCTCGTCGGAGAGGATGCGGAGCAGAGGCGTGCAGAGGCGATGAAAAGCGAGGTCATGGAGTTGAAGAAGGAGCACTTGTTCGGCGGGGACAAAAAGAAAGAGTCTCTCTGGGCCGAGATCCAGGAGAAGTCCCCGATCGAAATGGACCCTGCGGAGGAGCACGCGCGGCTGAAAAACAAGAAGTTTCTGCAGAAGTGCAGGCGCGGCATCCATGTGGTGTACATGACCCTGAATCTGCTGGGTTCTGGTGCTCCGCAGGCCATCTCGCACCGGGCGGACACGGGGGCGCAGGTCACGACCCGCCAGCTGGGCCAACGCAGCCACCTGCGGGTGAAGCTGACTGCCGCGGAACAGGCGATGGAGAATGGACCCAACGCGCGGTGTGTTTGCGGTTACTGGCGGGATGGCCAGCTGTATACCGATGCAACCTGTACAACGAAAGCAACTATCGACAGAATGATGAAGTGCGCGAAGTATTACCTCATGCACAAGGCGCGGGGAAACATCCCGGAGCTGTGCAACTGCCCGGCGGGAATCAAATACGAGAAGAAATACAAAGAACTGAAGGAATCCGAGACGTGGATCTCTAAGCCGAGGGCGAAGAAAATGAAGAAGGCCGCTGCGAGTGAGTAAATGAGATTAGTGATCTACTATACAAAAAGTTCTTTCGGTGAGTTTAGTCAGTTTGCTGCTTTTCGATATATATCAAAATCATAGCTGAGATTCAGAATCAGACAGAAAATCTTTGCCAGCATTTCGAAGTCCTTCCGCGAAAAGCAGAATGAAAACGCCCTACCACTGTAGCTGTACAACTTCGATCAGTAGTGAAAAAATAAAAGTGATTTTTATCCTGATTAGGCATATGGGAATATGGAAATGAGGTCAACACATAGTAAAAAGTAGAGCATAGTTTCTAGTAGCATAGAGGGTGAAAAAGATCAGCAGAGAAGAATCCACACGATTGGACCAGAGGACAGACCATCGCGTAGAATGTTGGCTGCTGAAGTTGTTGCAAGCCTTGTTTTCGATCCCCCCGCGCAAAAGCGCACCCGGAAGACCCGTGCTCCGCCCGTGTTATGGGGCCGCTCGGCGACTCGGTTAGTTTTGGTTCATAGCAGCATCTGTGAGATTCGGCCGCCCAGTGCATTCATCGGTCAAGGCGTCGGCGTCTTCGGATTTTGGTGATCAGCTTTCATACACCTGCGCACCAAGTGTCGCCAGAAATGTCCCTGTGCTTCGGTCTTGCGTGTCGGTAATGAAGCAGAGTCGTTGTCGTTTGTCTTGTCACAGCTTCGGTGCTCTCCGTCGATCGTTGAAAGGTTTGGGGAAGTTCTTCCCACCAGTTAAAGTTTTTCGTTCAGATTCGGAGTCGTATTTGGATGTAAATAACATAAAGCGCGATCCGCCATACGCTACATTTTGCAATGATGCTCGCTCAGATGGAAATTTTGCAGCATTAAATAGAGGCGCTTAGGGCAACAGCGGGCGCCTGTCTTTTCCCCTCGGCCCCACTTCCCAGGGTCTACTTGTGCGTTTTTTTGAGCACTTTTCTGCGCTAAACTTTGCTTATCACGGTCGAAAAGTGGCGCTCGGTGAATTTTGGGGTGAATTTTGAAAAGGACGCCGGTGAATTTTGTCCTCCGGCTCTTTTTCAAAATTCGCTAGCGCGTGAGAAACTCCGGTTTTTGGGGCTTCAACAAAGTGTCGCCAAAACAAAAAGTCCCAAAATTCACCAAGGGAATTCTTGACCTGGGGATCACGTCGAATAAGACTTGCTCCGGAGGCAACAAGACACGTAGGGAGTTGTGAGCAGAGCACAGCAGGCGAAGCAAGCTAGCGTCCGCGGCCGAATCGTGCCTCCCCTTCCACCCGAGGCTGCTCCCAGATATCCAAGTCCAAGCCGAGCCAACCACAACTCGTGAGAGCATACATGTTGAACTAGTGCCCCTGTGTTCAGGCGTCGCCCTCCCTTTCGACCATTTCGGAGAGGAACTTCTGAGGCAGACGCGCAGAAGAATAAGAGCTCCCCGACCCACCTTCTCTGGTCGCTAGATACGCACTACACAGCCCGGCGATCCCCCGCAAGACCACCTCTTTTGGTGCTGCAAGCGCCACCACGCGACGAGCAGCCCTTCAGGCTATGTGGTATGCTTGGGCTCGTGTGTCTAATACGTAGCGCTCTTCTCTTTTAAGTAAATGCAAGTCATGCAATACAAATTCACTGCAAATTCACACTTCTGTACGCTAACGACCGTTGAAGACATAGAACCTGCCGCGACGCGGACGACGAGGAAGATTGTCTGCTCTGGGATTGTCCTACAGCAGTCGAACAACTACTCGCTGCGCAATAGATTTTGCAGACTGCGTTCACCAGTAAAGCCGCGTCCCTCGGGTCCAGCTGGTGCAGCTCCGCCAAGTGCTTCGCCCGTTGCATAAACGCGTCCCAGAGCCGCACGGCGTGAATTTGTTCCCGGCTTGCGGTCACAGCGGCTTTGCCCAGCGTTTCGCTATCCATCACATTCGGGTGCGGAAACTGGTCCAGCTGACTCAACAAATGGCTCGCCGCGGCGGTGGCGGCGGAGCTGCTGTTGTAGAAGATGCCGGGCTGGCGGACAGGAGTAGAACTGCTGCTGCTCGACGGGGTCGTCGCACCTCCCAGCCGCCCTCCACGGCCGGTGGACATCCGGTAATCGTGGTACGTAGCAGCTGCAGAGGAGCTACCATTATATCCATACGAAGTACTACCCGCGGCACGAGCGCGCGCACCAGCAGAAGTGTAGGACAGGGAGCGGGTCTGAACTTCGTGCACTGTGGCCCTCTTCTGCCCCCGCAGCTTCATCTTAATACTGCAGGGGTGAACTGCGAGCGCGACGGGCTTAGCGCAACGAGTGATAGGATGCTTGTAGAAGTCAAGAATGGTATAATTGTCGTATAAATTCTTCGTTTACTTCGCATTTCCAACATTCTCCCCGAATAATGTTTTTTGGAATTGCCTCATACGGAGATGAAATTGCGCTGCAAAGGGTCAGTCTCAGTACTATCACATGCATCACTTTGCTTCCGATCACGATCAGTGAGGATCGTCATCGCCGATCATACGGATCTTTATCTGTAGCTGCGCGTTTATCGAATGAAAACAGAAGACGCAGAAGTGGTTTTTCAAGAACAGTTAGAAGATCCTCTCTGTCCCCATGTCCTCGGTGTGATCAGCAAGTGGGGGCCAAAATCGGTATTCTCGGATGCAAAAAGTTCATAAGTACGTGAACCTAGAAAGAGGGAACAACGTGAATGACGACGAGAAACAATGTCAAGAAAAAAATAAAAAACAGGATACTGAAGCAACTATACTAAACACAGTGCGAGCACGAGGTGATCAGACATAAACCAATGACACGCATCAAACACGGGAACTGGAGTACGGAGGCCTCGTCGAGCGGAAGAAATGCACCAGCTAGTGCATGCTTCACCACCAGCTTCCTCGCTTTATCGCCCGCATTTCGTTGGGACATATTCTCGCTATTGCTTTCTTGGTGTACAAAATTACTACGTTAGAGGAGCACGCGTAAGTTGTGTTTCATGTCGTTGGATATTGGTCCGCCTGTACATGGAGATTCAGATCGTGTGCGGGAGTCGGTAGCGGTACCACAACCAGTAGAAAAAATGCGAAAAATAACAATAAAAGACATACTGGTGAACGAAAGTAACATATAAGCGCCATAGAAGATTCGAGATTGTTCAAGAAAGTCGTCGGCTGAAAACCGCCTGGGCTCCCAAGCCGAGCGCAAAATGTTTAAAGTACATTTGGTGGCGATGGAACGTAAGCGACCATCGGGTCGTTTAATTTCGAGGCATTTGTAGTTCTAATCGCGGCAGCATCGAGTTTTAGCACCGAACTCGTATGGATGTGTCAGGTTTGAAATCGACAAAGTTGAAATAACTTGTAATGCATAAAATCGATACCAGTTGGAAGCCCAATTTCTAAGCGGTGCATGACAAATTTCGGCACCGTGTAAATCCAGTTTGTCATGCTGTTCAGGGACAGAAGGCGTCTTTTGTCATGCTGCTTTAGCATCTCTGTCGCAGACCCCAAACAGGCTGACAGTCGGCTTCACTTGCCATCCCTGCAAGAGAGGCACTTTGTGCCTTGCATTTTATGCATGAGAAATTATTTCAACTTTGACGATTTCAATCCTATCACATCCATAGAAGGACCACCTGAAGCATCGTGCAGCAACGAAGCCTGTCCTCCTCGCGCTTTATCAAATGTAAAAATGTCTGGGTCTCGTCTGGAAGAATGCAACTTGTCATGCTAAATCTGAAGCATGCAAAAATCTGTGTTGCATGATTACCAAAAGCTGTCCACTTTTGACCTAATCGAGAGGCCCTTTCTCATGCAGGACTTGCATGACAGAACTCTCACAGAATCTGTCATGCTCTGTCCTACATACCAGACCTCATGAGTCATGTAAAATCTGCATGACAAATCTGGCATTTTTCCAGACCCAGACATTTTTACATTTGATACGCTTCCTCCAGGAAGTCGGAGTAGTTTGACCGAGTGTTATCACTACTCCTTGGTGCTTGAAAGCGACCTCCGCGAGCTGATTTTGAAAAATGTTCCGGATATTACTACCCGACGAGGACTCCTCCCTCTAGTCCATAACGGACTTTCTTCCATGGTGACCAAATTGAGTAACTAATATTATCTGTATCTGTTTACTATTGCGCAACTAGTGTAACTATAGGTTTGAAATTCTTTGGGTATGATACCTTCGTTTTCGATTCGTGTAACGTAATACTTACTAGAAGACCTATCGCTACGACGGTCGTGCCGTCCACCTTCATCTTTCTGTAACTTACTATTTACAGCTCTTTATTCTACTTATTCTCTGTTTTCGCGACTTGCTTAGCTGCATGAGCTTCTTTCTGTTCTCCGAGAGAATACAGAAGTTGAAGCATCTTCAGGACCAGCATGCCATCGAACATCATGCGTCCTACAGGTCTTGTGTTTCGTTGTTTGCTTATCGCACCAGTATTGGATTTTCTCAATATCGTAGGAGTTTTTTTTTACTGGCACGATGTCCGCAGCAGGCGTTCGCCGAAAGTGAGTGATCCCCTACAACTTTCTTGGGGTTCCGTCGACCATCCCGTCTGCGGTTGGTATGGGCAGTTCGGACACTGCGATCTCCGGCCCCATGTTGTCCAGATCGTGGATCCCCGCAAGGGGTTTCGGAGAGCTGGTGTTCGACTTGATCACGTCCCCGCGGGCTTTCAGGAAGGATTTGAATTCGTCGAAGGAGATGAGCTGGTCGCCGTTGAGATCCTATCACACAGAAAAAAGCTAGCAGGGCATGTTTGTAATGCAAAAATAAATACACAAAAAAATCTGTATTGCAAATCCGAAGCAGCATGCTATGGGGCCACCCATGACAAGTCATTGTGTGTGCTTATTTTTGCATTACAAATATGCCCTGCCAGCTTTTTTCTGTGGGATAGATCCGCCTCCTTGATCATGTCCTCGACCTTGACGTTTCGGAATTCCGGGCCGAACAGGTTCTGCAGGTTGGAGATGGAGATCTCCCCGCTGTTGTCCACGTCGAACCGGTCAAACGTGGCCCGGATCAGGGCGTCGTCGTTGTCCGCCGTGAGCCGCTTCGAGACGATGGCGGTGAGAAAATCGGAGAAGTACACGTGGTTGTCCCCGTTTAAATCCAGTTCCTCGAACACGTCCTGGATCATCGTTTCGTTCAGATCCCCTTCTGACGTGGAGAGCCGCTTCACGCCCCGAAGGCTCGCTGTATTGGGTATATTAAGTCTATGTTTCAAGGTCGATTAGAAGTGGAAAAGTCAACAAGGAAGTGGGACCCTGCGCCTGCCTGCTAGTGCTACGGCGCTACCACCTCACTATAGAAGATTAATATATTGTACTACTTCATCTGCCTCAGTGACGCACCAATGTGCAGCTCCTTTAGCACCTTTTCAGAAAGAGCAAACCCGAACGGCGTCGTGGTCGTCCGTCAACAATGAAAATAAAAGAGAATAAAGATACTGTTCTTCTGGAAGGCTTGTTGGAGCGCCTGCTTCAACTCCCACAGCTGTACTGACCCTTCCCTTGTTTTGTCGAGGGACAAGAAAATCTTTTCCATCGCGGCGACGTCCGCCCGGGGTAGGCACTGCACCATAATCATCGCCGTTGCCTTTTCCAAAGCGGTCTTCTGTCGAAAGGTGGCCAGTGCGTTCAGTATGTCACCATCGAGGAGGTGTTCGGGATGTTCCCTGCTGTCCTGGTCTAGCTGCTTGATCCAGGAGGATTCCAATGCTTTTCTCGCGGTAAAACGCTTTGCCGGGTCTTTCTCAAGAAGCCCCATGACAAACACCTTTGCCATGTCGGAAACCTGAAAGAAAAACGCGGTTGAAATTGGATGATGTAAATGGTAAGTATAAATAATGGAATCGGTGCCGTGTTTCGTTGCAGTTAATCTTTGACGCGGAAGCCGCGTACATTATCCTCAGCTGTATGGTGATCAAAATATCAAAAATACCAATACGGATACAAAAAAACATTAGAAAAATGATCGTACCTTTTCAAACCTGCTGCGGTACCACTTGATTTGGTTTTTCCTAATGGCTTGAATGATTTCTGCGTTTGTCTTTCCGCTGAAGGGCGGATACCCTCCGAGAAGCATAAACACGATGACTCCGACCGCCCACAGGTCGCCGGCGTAAGTGATTTCTGACTGGTGCGCCAAAAGCTCGGGAGCGAGGTACTCAACCGTGCCGGCAGTCACTACCATCTTTTTGTGCGGATCAAGAACCTGCAGTGGAGAGGTGGGGATTCATTTGTAAGTAGTGTTTTTGTTTTTCCGCATGTAGCAGTGGCGTTCAAACTAAAAACAAACAAAACCAAAATTAGTTCCCGTGCTTGTTCAAAATCTTTGTTTTCACTTTAAGTACCTTTGAAAACCCGAAGTCGATAAGCTTGACCTCGTCGTCGGCTGATTCTGGACTTGGGTAGAGCCAGTTTTGCAGCTTCAGATCTCGATGCACGATGTTCATGGTGTTGTGTATGTAGCTCACAGCAAGGAGCATACCCCTTGTCGCAGCCGCGGCCGCGCGCTCGTTGTACTGTCCCCGTTTCAAAAGTCGGTCGTACAGCTCGCCGCCGGTACAACAGTCGCATACCTGTGAATGAAACCCGAAGAGCAAGAGATGTTGAAGCAGTCATGCTTCGTATCTTGAATCAGGCGATTCAAGCTGCTGATGGATGCATGTGCAAGTGTGGCACCACGAGTACTTTCATTCTTATGATGAAACAAATGAAAAAGTAAAAAAGTTGTAGTCTTTTACCAGGTATATTGTCTCTTCTGTTTCGTACATATCACGTAGCCGGACGATATTTGGGTGGTCGCAGTTGAGATAAATTTCGCACTCCGCCCTTACCCGCGCTATGACTTCCTCTTGTGTCTCATCTGCTGAAGCGAGGTTATTTTTTGTCAAACTCTTTATGGCCACGTGTTCGTTTGTGACCTTGTTTCGTCCCATTATTACGCTCCCACAGAATCCGGTGCCGAGCACGTTCTGCTTTTCAAAGTTGTACTCGTGCTCGAGCTTGATATTTGGGTCATGCGCCCTTGACATCACCGACGCCGGGTTTTTGGTTAGTGACGGATTGGAGGGCAGGGTCTGCAGCTCCCGGCTGCTCCTTCTCCTTTCCACCGTGCTGTCCCGTATCTGGCCGCCGATCCCGGCCGACCCCTGGGACGACCGCTTGCCCGGGGATTCGCTCATGTTCGTGCTTGCGCGGGGGTCTGGTCCACGGTCGTTGCCACGACTCTTTGATGGGCTAGACGCACAGCAACACGCCATCAGGTAGGGATAAACTACTGGTGCTCCGCGAGAAAAGAAGAGTTGCGCTGTCCATTCAGTATTTCCTCCGTGCTAAGTAACCAGTCATCCAAAAGTTGTATGTATGTCCGATGGATAGTCGGTGGAATCGATGATCGGTAATATCAATAGGACCAGGGCGTCGCACAACTCGTATATACAACGACCGCGAGGAACCGAGGACCGATGGAGAAATTCTCGTAATGAAGTTGAAAGCTTGTCGTAACAACACTCTTGAAAATGAATGTAGTAAAGCTGAGACAAAACTTTGTTTTTAGCAGTGGAGGACGACTTGCTTCGACGTTTAATGCTTTGCGCTTGCTTTTCGCGGGTAAAGTCTATTTCTTTTTCTTTATTTATTACCAGAGACGTATACATCAAGTCAGGTTCGTCACCAATTGATTCAACTGGAGAACCTAATGCTAATACTCAGTTTCAGGGGGGGGCGATGGGTCACCTGCAACAATCAGTTGAAACTTCGAAAGAAAATTGATATTCACTGAGCAGGCCAGGAGCTAGTGATATTGCTATTGCATTTCACCAGCTGCTACAAGTACGCTCGTTCTCTCAATCGCAATATCTCCGTCCTTCAGACTCTAATGCGCGCGTACGCGTTTTATCACCAGGGATAACATTTGTGCGCGGAAAGTGCCAGAATAGGAAAGCACAAACCCGACACACAATAGAATGCAGATTCATTCACAATCGGCCGACATCTTTAATTCCGAAGTAAAAGCCATTTTATCCTGCGTCCGCGCTCTTTGGGAAGGAAATCGAAACACCACAGTAGCTCCCCTACAAGAGCAAGTGCAATCGTCACAGAAAATATGTTATATCGAACACGCGTAACCAATAGCAATACGGAGCTTTCATTTCATCTCTTCACTTTTTTTTTCATCTTTCTGTTTATCCTTGCTATCGTTTCTGGCATGGCCATTGATACACATAGACTTAAGGCGAGCGTTCAAGGTCATCAATATTCGGTACTTCTAGTTTGGGGAAATCAGGGTAGTTTGTGTTTGCGTTTGGAGAACCGACGCATATCTGCATTGATGTGAGCCACGGTTTGTGATTTCATCACGTTCCAGCCAGAACGGCCTGCTCTTGCGTGATAAACAGTAGTTTTGCCTTATCTGTGGATACCTCCACTATCACCATTTGTATGAGCATCAGTTTTTATGTTTTCATTTCCATTCGTGCGTCACTGTTGTATTTATAGCGATTGCAAGATGCGCTCCGAATAGCGTATTGACAACAGTGCTGTTACTTAGGCTTCATGGTTTAGGTTTTGCTTTTGCTTCCCTGCCTGTACGATAGGTTTGCAGCAACTTTTTACTTCCGACGAGCGTCCTCTGAAATGTTGGACGTTGGTATCGCACTCCGTTGAGCAGAAAATCGCATATGTGCTGTTTATTCTGTTTACGCGTTCCCCCGGATGGTACATGATGCTGGAGGCGGCATAAACGAAGAACCTTCAAAACGTCAAAACAGGAAAGTAACTTCTAGTGCTTCCCGTCGCCTCGCTGTCACCGTTCCCGCGGCTGGGAATCTTTGCACGACAAGGCTGCTCCACCTCGCAACTCTCGAGTCGGTTCCTCCTGCTCCACACCCTGGACGACATTAGTCACTGACACTCTTGGTGATGTTGCACTGGTGCACGTAAATCTGCCCTGAACACAGCTGGCGCAGCAGTCGGGAAGATAGCTCGGCAAAAACAGTCGAAGACTCACGTCGTACTCAACGCAGATTGTCCTCCAGGGCAGAATACGAAACCTCGTCTAGGAATACAGCACGACGTCTTGGCATCTTCGCTCGCGATCCTTGACGGTGATGGCAGAACCGCCGGGGAATGGGATGTGGATTCGCAGGAAGCAGTTATCCTCCGGTGAGTAGATTTGGTCGTTTTCGTCACCTGCATTGCTGGCGGCGGAAGCGCTCGGCGCCCCCAGAAACAGTTGCTGTCCGACGTTGCTTCCCATCTGCCTCGGACCGCCGGCCAAAGGTTGCGGTCCGTCCATCAGGAGACTAGAAAACGCGGACGAGTTGGGACCAAGTTCACTCATGCGCAGTTTTCGTCGCTCCAACGCGGTAGCCCCGAGCCGTCCACACAAGTTTGCGCCCCAGTCGGTGGTGCGCCCGTCAAACGCATGCCCAGCGACGTTCTCGAGCTGGTAGAAGAAAAATCAAATGTACCACGGCCATAAGTACATAGAAACAGGATCGACCTTCGAATGCGCCCTAACTAGGAAATAAACTCGTCAAACTCACTGCTGCACTTCTTTACAAACCCATAAAACTCAAACAAAATAGACAGATTCTTGATGTTGTCAATACAGATACAGAAGACAATGGACCACAAAGGTTTCCGGCAAAAGACGAAGAACAAGAAACTTCGGCGTAAAGTTAAATACCTGCCGAACGAACAGGTTGGCGATTCGCATGAGATATCAAATGCAAAAATGTCTGGGTCTGGGAGACTCCGAGATTTGTCATGCAGTTTTTCCAAGCTCCCCCACGTCTGGAATGCAGGGCCTAGCATCACAGGTTCTGCAGCTCCTTGGTGATGCGTATTCTGCATGAGAAATGCCCTCTCAGCATGGCCAGAAGTGGGCACCTTTTGCACGTTTATGCATCACAGATCTTTGTAGGATCCGAAACACGCATCACAAGTTCGGATTCTTCCAGACACAAACATATTTGCATTTGATATGAGAACCCGCCATCTTCCAGCGTGTCTTTCGTTAAAGAAGCCGTTTGCAGGCTCTTCCGTTTATCAACTGTAAAAATGTCTGGGTCTGGAAGAATTCATGTTTGTCATGCTTGTCTCGCATGACTCTTAAATCTGTCACGCACGCTACCCAAGAGCTCCGTTTTTCTGTGATGCAGAAGCGCAGTTTGTCATGCAGAACAGGCAACACCTAGGAGCTCAGAAACTTGTCATGCTGAGCCAGCATGTGTAGCCTCATCATGAGACGCCGCCCAGCATCACAAGTTTCCAGACCCAGACATTTTTACATTTGATACCGTTTCCCCGCTTGCAATTTTGCGTAGCTCGGACTCCGAAACGCAGACGATGCGCAGGCACAGTTGACCCACATCCGCCTCGCTATTCACCGGCTTGGAAGGAGTGACAAAAAACCGCCCTCCAGCTTGATTTCGAGTGCACGTTATTGTGAAGACATACCTGAATACAAGTCCCGGTTTTTCGGTAAGTAACATGTGGATACCTTCTAACATTACAGGCATGGTCGGTGGCGCGAACGAGTCAAACAGAAACAAATCTGAACAGTAGACATGTGCTAGCCGGAGATCAAACAGACTCCATGATCCCTAGCACAACAAAAGCACGAAGATAAAGAAGAGTAATCGTGTACCATGCGCTCCTGTAAAAGGATTCGTTTTGCCTGGCCTCGTTGAAGAAGATGTGGGCAGGTGAAAAGAGTTCCGACAAGGAGTTTGTGCACTGGTTCAACACTTGCCACTTGTCTTTCACACTCATCTTCACCGGAAGCACTACCTCCTCATCCGGACTGTCGACGCACTAGGTTCATCAATGATCAGTGTGGTTGCTCCTTCAAATTCAAACACGAGGACCCTTCGGGTTGTATAAATGCGTTTGCGTACTCATGCGTATCGATAAATGTGGACGATGCTCCACGTTCACTCTAAAACTAAATAAAAAAAATAAAAATCACGACGGCACAGAGACTACAGACATATTACCTCTAGGGCTGCTTTCATGATCTTCGCCCGGATATACTGGTTTGGAAACAAATCGTCGAGGCGGCGGACAAACAATGTCCGTTTTTCCACCCGCCCGATTTCCAAATGCTCCGTAGAAAGCAAACAGGCCTGCATTCGATTGAAGTCTACCTGGTTCCGATACTCGAGGCGCGCATCGAGCAGCTCCGGGAACCCGAGCCAGCGCAGCAGTAAGTTGCGCACCGCCGTCCGGGTTTGCACCCAGGCTTGGCTACTCGAGGTGTTTGCAGGCAGAAAGCCGCCGCTCTTCAGAAACGAAACAACCGCAGCGGAAGTGGAGATGAGCAGCGCTGCGAGAAGCAGCTTCGCTTTACGTGTCGAGGGAGAAAGGGTGCTTAATCGTAGGAAAACGGACACCGCTACCTGGGCGAGGCTGGGAGGCAGGACGCGAAACAGTACGGCAAGCGCGGCTCCCCCCGGAGGGGAGGGAGCGGCTAAAATCGCAGCGCTAGAAGACGAGCCGCTCGTTGCTGTTACCATGATCTCCGACGTTCGCGCATGCGTATGTCTAATGTGGATCACGCAATGCTATCAGAAGCCCTCATCTCGACCACCAGCACGCAAAACTCAGCTTTGTCGTGAAGGACAGACCAAAGCGTGTTAACCTGCAGCTGCAGCTGGAAGTCGCTGACATTTCTTGATTTTCTATATTTGAATACTGCTCCTAGCACAGGGAAAGAAAGCAACCAAGAAAACAATCGTCAAGGTCATTCCTTTGCTACACTTGTTCTCACTCCCTGGCTTCTGACAGCGAAGCAAGTCAAACACTACACTGCTTGAAATCCTTATCCTAGGTAGTCTGTTATTAGGTACATGTAACCACGCTATCTCTACTTCGCCCCTCGAACTCGATGCAGGAGCTAATAAAGCTAATGGAAGTATACTATTATCAGCACCAACGACAACAACCCGCAACCATTAAGAGCGCCACCTGCTGCAGGAGTCTTGGTGGAAAATTAAATTGATGGTGCCAGGAAGGTTTCGTATTCGTTTTCGGTTTTCCACCTCAGCGATGTGAAAATAAACTCTCATTCTCATCGTTCTCATGATTGACACCGTTGGTCATGCTCACCCTGTTAAGTGGGCTGAAAAAAAATCACATGATGCACAAAAACCGATGGAAATTCTCTGCAATTTCTTCGCAAAACTGACAGCGCTGAACACCTACACCACTTGGTCGCGATTGCACGTACTCATTCCCGAAGGAACTCTTCGGGCAGAAGGCACATGCCCAAGGAGCCAACGTCTGCACTGCCGTACAAGGCTCGCTTTTTGTAGTTTTTCTTTTTGAGGAAGATAATTTTGATAAATTGTTCAGATCGAGCAGCACGGGTTTTAGCGCAGCCAGCTACACGGAATCGGTTTCATTATCGGCATTTTTTGTCTGAGAATTAAAATTATTTCAATTCAATTGCTCATCCTGATATCTACATATTTCTTGTTTCAGGTCATCTTTAGGTCACGTGCGTGGTGAGAGGTTCGTCGGGCCTGCGCTTCCGACGTGAAAGATTTTTTTAGTTGTTGGATAAGGGTAGTAGTACCTAATAGAGATGAAGCTTTAGTCTGTACAATAACATTTGGAGGTCACCTTTAATTTCTTTTTGAATTACCACAGAGCATTTAATTCTTTGCGTAGAAATGAAAATGATACCGACTGTATTGACATTTCTACCAACTGAAATTGAAGTACAGCAAATTGGGGCTGGCATTTTTTGCTGCGTTGCTAAAGAGCTAATGAACTGGAGACAGACACTGGTGCTGGATAAACAGCAACACTAAAAGCTCCATCGACGTAGTTGCTGTGCTTCCGGCTGTGTTGATGTTGAAGTTGATTACTGTTTCTGTTCATGTTGAATCAGTGGCGCCGGCAAGCGAGCATTGCATAGATCAATGCAGGCGGTCCGTGCAGAATGCCAGCAGGGAAAGCTGCAAATCTCAATTTTGGTTGAAGTAGGAAATTAGGGTGATAAGTTCATCTTTGCTAAACTGGAAAGCACAGATAGAAATAGGCATAGGAACACTCATCGATTTCGATTTCACACAGACATATAATTAAACGTATTGAATTTCTACGAACAAGCGGGCTCGTCTTATTCCTGTGCCTTTCTTAGCGCTACGTCTTTTTGTAGTGTGAACCTGCCGATGCAGCCCGGAGACTACCAGGCAGAGGAAGCCACACGATGTTGCGAGAACCTTGAAATAGATGCCGCGTCTAATTTATTATTGTGGCAAAACAATTATTTGCGATATTAAAGTTCAAATCAACGTTGAGATAATCTGTAAATGATGAAATAAACTAGGTTGCGCTGTATCTGTAAGCAAATCAGTTCACTACCTTCTGTGTCTGTAGTCATCAGTGAGAGTGAAATACTAACGCAGGCTGTGACAAGGTTGCTGGGGCTGGCGATATCCGATTCCCATCTTCCTAAGCCTGTAACGCGACAACCTGAATCAATCGATGATGGAAAGAAGGATGGTATTGCTTCCTTTTGAACTTCATGAAGAGACAGCTGCAACTCTGCGCATTCAGTCTTCCAAAAGTGAACAAAGAAGCCCTATATTCACGGTTACAACGGTATAATTCTTCTGCAGCTTCAATAAAACCAAAATCCTGACTCGTCTTAAATACCTGAGCAGCTGTCGCGTCACCGCGTCCGCAACCATTTCTTGTCACCCATCTTCATCATCTGCACTTCTGATTTGTAAAGTTTACAGTGATGAAGCTACTACAGGTAGTATTACTAAGTGTGTTGAGCAAATCTGTCTGCTTTTCCATTTAAATTTATTTTCATCTCGACTACAAGAAGACGACGCAGGTCGTGATGTTGTCCGCGGACCCGCGGTTTTTGGCTACGTCGCACAGATTGGAAGCCACCCGGCGGAGCTTGTCTCCCTTACCGCTGTTGTGCTTGCTGGCAAGCACGATACGCGCGACATCGTCCTCGTCGAGCACGTCCCAGAGACCATCAGTAGCCAGGCACACACACACATCATCCGGCTTCAACTCCCGCTGGGCGTAGTAAGGCTTGCAGGTCACACCCGATGTCTTAAACGCAAAGTCGCCCAGTGCTCTGTGTAGAAGTAGTTGTGATAGTGTTTGTTACATCGATTATGTCGATGTTCGAGTTCGTTAATTATGCTTGTGCTGAAGGAGAAGGTGAATTCATAAAAATCAGTTTCTACTCCTTCTTGGAGTATCAATCTTCTCAAAAATCGCGAATCGACAAAGCCAGAAAAAGTGTGGCAGTTCCTCCAAGTAGAACTAGAAGCAAGTGCAACTACTTTACATACATCTTATCACCAGGCTTGTTTTTGATCGTTGCGCGAATAGAATAGCTGCAGCACCGCGGCATTGCTTTTCGTTCTTTATCGTTTTTCATCACGTAATCAATAGTAAACGTTGAGAAATGTACTACCTCGTCAGCATCAACTGCCCACCAACGCGGCCCCTGCTAATCACGCCTCCCTCCGCGGTGACGCGAGCGTGCTCTGCCGGGTCGCTGGCCTTGTGGTCGACGGTGAGCCGCTCGCCGCCGGAGGTGCTGTTTACCAGACTGGCGCGGCTGTCGCCCACGTTTCCGATGAACAGGGTGCGGATGGGGGGCTGCTGCTGGTTTCCCTGCCCCGGCGGCGAGGGTGGCGTGTAGATTAAACCGACCGTACACGTCGTGCCGCAGTGCCACGCGCATCCGAGATGCCGGAGCTGCGTGTCGATCGTTTGAAAGGATCGCTCAAACACGCCGCGAATCTGGGAGTGGGCAAAGTGCACATGCTGCAACTCCTGGAGGAAGATCTCGTGCAGGTGGGCGAGGGTGTAGTCCACCACGGCCTTGCCGCCGTGCCCGTCGTAGCAGCCGTAGTAACTCCACGAGGGATCGCATCCTGAGTAAGAACGTACCCACACCAGAGTCAGGATGGGGATTTTGCAACACAAACCTAGGAGTTTTGTGAGTCACGCATGACAAGTTGCACTCTGCAGTGTAGTGCAGGTTAGCAAGTGCAGCCGCGTCACAGATTCATCTGCTCATCCTGTTCACAGCATCACAAATTCCAAAACACGACTGGAAATGGCTCTCATGGGGATGCGCATTCCAAGTCTTCCTGTCTTTGCAAATCTGCATTACAACTCTGGTGTGGGTACGTTTTTACTCAGGATAGATCGCCGCCGAAGTTGTCCTTTATGATGAACGCGTCCTCCATCGCCGGGCGGAACCCGGGGTTTGCATCCTCGGCGCCGATATCAAATGTAAAAATGTCTGGGTCTGGAAACTTGTGATGCTGGGTGGCGTATCATGGGGAAGCCATAAGTGCTGGCTCAGCATGACAAGTTTCTGAGCTCCTAGGTGTTGCCTATTCTGCATGACAGACTGCGCTTCTGCATCACAGAAAAGCGGAGCTCTTGGGTAACGCGCATGACAGATTTAAGAGTCATGCCAGACAAGCATGACAGACATGAATTCTTCCAGACCCAGACATTTTTACAGTTGATAGCCGAATGCACGGGGCTTGATGACGTGAGCATTTGCGTTCGCGTTCTGGTTTGCCTGCTGTTGCGCCGCGTGTTGGGCCGCATGCTGCTGAAACTGGGGCTCAAAGTGGTCGATGCTGGACGTTCCCGGGTGCTGCCGGGGCGGGTTCCCGTGGCTGCCGTGGGACGCGGACCGCTGCACCCCCCTGTTTTCGTGCCGGTGGTTGCCGCGGGGCCCGCCTGGGTGCCCGTGGTCGCTTAGTCCCGGGAGGGAAGAAGTCGACTGGTGAAAGGCGTGATTTCTGCCGCCCCGGGCGTGCTGCAGGCTTCCGTACGTGTCCAGCATGGGCTCGACGTCTGACTGGGACTCGCCGTGCTGCAGCATATGCGATTGGTGCACCCGCTGCTGCTGGCTGTGCTGCTGGCTCGAGTTCTGGTTGCCGCGGCGGTGGCTCGGCTCACGGACCGTGCGGAAGCCGAAGCCGTTTGCGAGCGTCAAGTTCTGGAGCCTCGACGGCACTTGTTGCTGTTGCTGCGCGTGGCCCTGCTGGTGCGCGTGCGGCAGCTGATTCCACGGATTCGAGGAACTTTCGAGACCACTGGTTCCGTGCGGCGCACTCACGACGCGATCCTGCTTTGTTCGGTGGTGGTTGGCATGGTACCTCGTCGCAATCGGCGTGCTAGTTCGCCCGCGGCGCGGGTCGTGAACCAAGTTCGGATCGTCTACTGATCGCCCGCGGGATCCGCGCCGATTCGTCACGTTCAGGCGACCACTCTGCTCGAGGCTCCGCATTCTCTGGCCGTAAGTTGAAGTGCGCACACCCTCGAGAAGACCTAGAGAGACATGATAGCAAAAGTAGTAGTTGTTTCATCTTTCATCACAAAAAAGACTTCTTTGACTTCAAGTCATGCGTCATTGATTCGCGCAGCTGATGGTGCCGTTTGTCTGACGACAAAATTCTAATTCATAAGTAATTATAACTAGGCGGAGATACACGTAGCCGTAGGGCTAGGGGCAGCCGCCGGCGCAGTCGCAGGGATGTAGATGATCATGTTGGTTCTAGTGATAAAAATGAAAAAAAGACTCGATTTTTTTTTGTGTAGTTACCTTGCAAAGCGTCCTTGTCGTAACTGTGCCCCCCTCTCTGCGACGAGAACATGTGATCGCCAGAGGAGTGGCGCAAGTGGTCCTTACTGGTTAGCCGGCCGAACACCATGTTGCCAGTGGCGGCCAAGGGCCGCGGCTGTCCCTTGAGCCAGGACATGCTCTTCCCTTTCGTTTGTTGCTGAGGTCCACTAGAGGAGGACGAGGAGGAACTCGTGGCAGGATGATGCAATGCCTGGTACTGTTGAGGGTTCTGAAGGAGGAAATGCGGTAAGGCGGTCGTCTCAACTTCAGGCATGTGGAAAAGAAAAACCCGAAGATCTGAAGCAACCTCCGCGGGATCTCGTTCTTGCACGAAGCTGATTCAACATCTATCTCGTCTTTATCGTTTCACAGGAGTGGTCAGGATTTTGATTTTCTTGAATGCGAAAATATTGCATCTGCAATTGCAAATGCAACGTTCCGCCCGCTAAAAGGTTCGTTTCGTGGTGAATTGAAATGGCCTTGCTTGCAAACTTTCGTGCATGTATTCGTGACTTTCTCGTCTTCCTGGCCCTGGAGGAGCTTGAGTACTAACGAACATAGCTAAGCCTAAGCCAGAAATGAGAGGGTAGGGATATTACTCTAGCCTTAACTTTTAGCGGTGGAAGAAGTTGTTGTTATTTGGTCGTAGTCACTTTTATTTTTGGAAAGTAGGTCATGAGGTGAAGCGTAGACGACCCAAAATATCTGCTACTGCAGAGATATACTGCCACACGACCCACAGAAATGCCTCTCAATTTCAACCTGAACGTACGCAAAAACGATTTCTCATAGCTGCAGTCACACATGCACAAACCGACAGACAGGGCTAAATTGCAAGCTCTATCGATACAACGGTCGCAGCTGGACAGATGAATTTGAATTCAATTGATGTACCTCTAATAATTGGCTTAGTTTTTGTTGAGGGAAACGTCGATCCATAAGGGGAGAGAGTGACAGAAGAGTGAAAGCGCGACAGTGTTTGTTGAATCCTAGCAAGCTGCGATGTATGTGGAACAGAAATAGTGGTGCGCAGGAGGAGCTACTTCAGGAATGTGTACACGAATAATTTTTAAGCTGTGTATTTATCGTGAGTAGTAACTTCATCCACCGCAGTAAACGACCCAGTAGCAGTATAGTACTATGGCTACTCGATTACAGGACGAACTCGAGTTGTTATAGCGAAACCAATTGTTTGTGTGCCGGGTGGGCGTAGGCTAGATTTCAAACGAAAAGACTTCGGGCGGACACGACAAGTACTTAAACTAAAAAGTGGACGAGTGAGTATCTTCTTCATCGTTCTCGTTTTCTCGCTACTCACTACCTGTTCTACTGCTCGGCAGTCTGCTACTCTCGTCAACTCAATCGCAAACCCAATCGCTCTTTCGTATATTACTACATCGATATCCTTTTGCTTGTCCCATGTTACGACACCACGCACTCTACTCTCGACACTCAACCTCGACTCGAGTACTAGAATTTCATTTTTGCGAAACAACGATACGGTGGCCCACATCCGTTCGACGTCGACGAACTACTGAACATAAGTGAAGATGCACGAGAAGTGCGTAAGCGTGGCCGGCGTCTGCGTTGACGATCAGATCTCTAGCTTTATTTCCTTTATCCGGTAGCTCAGTTGACGAGAAAAAGCGGACGAGTCTTCTGTCTCCTCGGAGAGGACATCGTACAAAAAAAGCTCCAACAGGCCCGCACTCACGCACTTGTTGACCACGTCATCGGTAAAATACCACAGGGGGGGTCCTTCACCAGTGAGAACTTCGCGTGCGTCGACGTTGCCCTCTTAATGTAAATAATTCCTTCCAGACAGATGAAACGGAGGTACATACAAGTACTTACTTTTTTTTCAAGTGGTATCCTTGCGAAGACGAAAAGACAACCAAAACCGTATCCCTTTCAGATTCAAAAAAAATGTATGTCTTTGCACTTTTCCTTTTGTTTCTCCAAGGCAATATTCTCGCCCGGAAGGCGTCCAAAATTTGATTGATTGTCAAATAGCACTAGTTGTAGGATGAGCACGAAAAAAGCAAAATCATAGAACTGTTTCTGTTTGAAAAAAAACCTGCATTCTCTCGTGATTTAGACGTTAGCGTCAGGGATAGTTTCCGCGAATCGCCTTGCCGTAGATTTCGACTCCGCTTAGGCCCAGATTGTAGCTGCCGGAACTATTCTTGCCCACTTGCACCACCCGGAACGCACGGAATGCAGCATTTGGTAGTCCTTCTTGGTCGGTCCCGTTGATGGGCAGTGTGCAATCAAAGTACCTATTTTGTATTTTCTTTTTCATGTAAAGCATGAGAAGGAGCACTGTATGCATAGATTCGATAATTTCTATTTATGATCGTACTGCGGTCCTCACACGACACGCAGCAACACAATTGAAAAAAAATGTATAGATATTGGCTTGCTCTTATTCACGTCATCAATGGAGGAGAAAGCGGGCGTGAAAAAAAAAAATCAGATGAAGTACGCAGTGGCTCCGCTCTTCCCGACGAGCAGCTTCGATTGCCGTTGTTCATCCAGCACTATCCACTTTGCGTTCGGGTCTTGGGGATCCTTGCTGCCCTGAAACTGCCACGAAACCAGGGCGTGGCTCGTCGTGTTCCTGGATCGTAAGCAATACCCAGCGCAGACAAACAGACGGTCCGTGAGCAAGTCCACCCCGAAGAAACTGTTCTCCGTATTTTGCGTGCGCAAGTTGATGGCCTCGCGCCCTACCAGGTCCTCCGACTTGCCAAACCCAACACCGGACTTCAAGACTTGGACTTGACCTGAAGCCATCACAAAATAAAAATAAGTAGTAAAGGCTTTCCCCCCGGTGCCCACGCGCCCGCGAATGAGACTGCCTCTGATGGACGTCGATCGGAATCACATTCGATTCTCAAAAAATCCCACTCTCACAAATTGACAGTCAAGCAACCCCTACTTCTTCTATCTTGAACTTTTCTAATTGGGGACGTCTACTAGGCGGCAAAAATGCATTCCTTTGTATCCCAGAAAGTACCTAGTCCCTGCGGATTTTTCCACGCGGCTGTTTTTCCCTTGGTCGCCAGAAAGAACAGAAGTCCGTTGGTGTCGAAGTCCTTCTCTTGCTCGAAAACGAACGGGTTATCGAGACTTGCAGCGCCACCGAGCACCGGTGCAGGTTTTGTCTCGATTTTCATGGTCTTCAATGGTGATTTTGGATCTGCTAATGGCAAGGATTTTCTCCTACCGCCGGGCTTCACTGGAACCAGTGCGCGCATCTGTAGTTGATGTTGATTGATATTCCATGTGAACCTCGTCAAGTGGAAAAGTGAAGATACACGCGGCTAGGTTGTAGATTGGTAGACGCATGCATAGACCTTCCACATGCACATATAATCAAGCAAAAACGATAATTCATAAATCAATTGTTGTTTACGAGTGAATTTCTGGGTTTGCATTCGTCGTGCACGCCACCGGGCTCGTAGGCCGACAGCCTCGAGGACAACGCTTCGACCACGAGGTGTTGCGCGTTTGCCTCGTGCAAAACCGGGTCCCGCGCTGCGTCCACGAGCGTTTGATGTTGCAAGAAGGGAAATCTCACTGCGTCCAGCAACGCGTCTACGTCGACTTCGTCCAGCGGCAGACCTGCTTTCACCTCGGGTTCCTTGTTCGGGTCTTCTTCTGCCCCGCCCTCCGCCCCCTCTTCGCCTTCTGCAGGCGCTTCGGCCGGTGGTGCGGCTTCTTCGCCGGCGCCCTCCGCAGCCCCCTCGGCTCCCTCCTCGCCATCGGCCGTGCCCTTCTCTGCTATGGTGACGCTGAACTGGATCTCGCCCATCGGCTGACCCTTCAGGCTCACGGTCACGCTGTAGACGGGCTGGTCCTCGGCCGCTTCCGCATTTTCCTCGCCCGCGCCGCCCTCACCGGTTTCTTCCGCTGTGGAAACCGGCTTGGCCTCCTTGGACGTTGCGTCCAGTGCCGGAAGCCCGAGCCTCTTCCGCGCGCTTGGAGACGAGGGCTGCTTGACGAAGGCTTCCCGCGGTAGGACACCTTCCGCAATGACTTCGTACCGCAGCGCGTTGTCGACTTTGACTTCCTCCGACGCGCCCTCCGTTTCTGCTGGCAGTATTTCCTTCAGCGCGCGAATCACCAGATCCGGGGCCTGCAGGGCAGAAACGTTGGTGTTGTACAGACTCGGCATCTCGAGGGACAATGCGTACCTGGCGTCGTGATCGAGATCGTGTCAGTGATAATCAAAAATTTACGCTTGTTTATCCAGCCAGTTACCTAAATTCGCAAAACAAATACTGCGTGTTACAGTTACTACATGCGCACATACAATGAACCTCCTGTCGGTTGTAGTTAGTGCGCGGTTTCTCAGTTTTAAGAGGCGGCCGTAAAAATAGCAGAAAGAAAGTCGGCATACCCTTCCTCCTCAGGAAACGGAAATTCTCCACGGGTGCCGGGCTCGATGGTTAACCTCTCTGTCGTCCTTGACGCGTACTTTTCATTTTCCGCTGGGTAATAACTGCCTTCGCAGATTGCGCAACCTGAAAAACATAGGAAAAGAAACAAACTGGCCCTCTGCCTCTTGCAGTAACACATAAACAGGTTGGCACTTTTGAAAATCTTCATAAAAGAACAGCAATAGTTGTCGTATCAGGTGCGCATATCGCAACAAAACAAATACAAACAGCTAAGATTGGCATACCTGACTCCACCACGAGCACCTCGAACAATGCGGGCTGATTCACGAAGTACTGCGCTTCCATGATTTTCACGTTGTTTAGCGTCAGGGTCTGCTCTTTTCGCGGTAACCGCGTGCGCAGCACTTTGTTCACCAAGGAATACACTTCACCTTCGTCCTGCACCAGCAGATCGTCGTCTTGCAGCAGGGGCAGCAGCGTGGTCATCGGCAAACGCACCAGTTTCGCGTGGTCGTCGGCGTTCAAATAGCAGTACTCGTTCAGCAGAGCCTGCCGCGCCATTTCGCAAAGATCGGCGGCACCCGACCCGAGAAGCGTAGCGTGATAGCTGTAGTTGTGAATGTTGATTCTTAATCGGTCTTACTTATCAATGCAACTTGTCGTCCCGCGTACATTGGAGTTTTACTCGAATTTCTTCATCCACATTTGTTTCGATCAAGTTCAAAGAGAAAAAGTCGAGCTGTACAAAAGAGTGGCGCATGTTTCCCGCGACAGCACGTTCTCCTCGATGTGCTCCAGCGTCTTGGCAACGAGGGATTTGACTGTGGTGCGTTTTTACGTCCTTGCTGCTGATCGATGTATCAAGCAAACCCAAACTGAGAAAGGCTAAGGCATCATACTTATATCTTGGTCATCATGAACAAGGTGAAGATAGAAGGATAACCGAAAATCGGAGTTTTAGCGGAGCAGTGAGCAAGAACGTGCTGCATCAAAACAAGAATTTTCTACTTTTGAGCAACGTGGCCACCGCGAACAGCGCTACGGGATCCATGATGTCCGGCTCTATTTCTGTCCAGTCTTGGTTGCAGTAGCAGTACCGCAGTGCGAGTGGCACTGCGTCGGTGAGGTCCAGCTCCTTCCGGACGATCGGGTCGTTTGGCAAGCTAGGAATAGTGATCTCATCTCCCCCGCCGCCTCCGCCTTCCTCGCCGCCACCTTCGGCTGGAGCGGCTCCTTCTTCGCCGCCTGCGGCTGCACCACCAGACGCGCCGCCGAGAATAAACTGCTCGTAAAAAAAGTCGCTGGCGGCACAAAGGATGACTTTATGGCACTTCCATTCTCGCGGTTTGCTGGGCGCAGCCGCCTCGCCTTCCTCACCTTCCGCTGGAGCCTGATAGATTAGATCAAGATAGCCACGATTTCATGTTGTCTTCGTCTGCTATCGAATTAAGAGTGCGAATCCAATGTGCTTGCCATTGATTGTGATGGATTCCATCTGCTTGCGTGCGATTCATTGCCATCCACCTGCTTGACACTTATGCTCTTATTTCTCTGCTTTCATGCATGAATGTTGTGTTCTTCTATACAGTTTTTTTTTGGTTTATTGTTTTTACTTGAAAAAAACACAAAAAAACGCACTTCAGCAGGCGGCGGAGGCTCCGCAGCTTCCCCTCCCTCTCCACCTTCCGCTGCAGCTGCATCTGGATCGGCTTCAACTGCTGGCAGCTTGATCAGGCAGTCACTCAGGCGCTCGTTCTGCCAGAAAAGCGGAAGGGTGAGCTGCTCGGGCACCGTTTCCTTGGGGACTTCCTCCTCTTCTCCCTCCCCAGGTTCCGCCGCTGCGGCTGCTTCGTCTGCCATTCTTTCAAACGGTGGTATTTGTATTGGAGGGCGTAGTACACTTGTCTTTTTCTCTGAACTGCTGCAGCTAGGGTTCTTTTGCGCGCTTGCGCTAGTATGAACATCAATATCATGAGTACGTAGCGCCTTGGTGGACTTGGTCCACGACGAGCAGTACCACTACTCAAGTACTTGCATGAGCAGGTGTTGATGCCCCATCATTTTTCAACCAACACTCAGATAAGAAGTATGCCACTCTCGTGCACTCTGCGAATGCGTCACAAAAACTTCATCGATGCTGAGTTTTGCTGTCGCTCGGCATGTCGCTCCTTTTTCCATTGATTGGGCGGTTGTCCGGTGGCTTTTTATTTTTTCGCAGGGCGCCGAACCTTCGTCGCAGCTCAAACGTCAGCTGCTTTTTCTTTTTGGCACCAGGAAATAGATCACATTCAGTTTCAGGTCAGGGCACGGAAAGCAAACTCAATGGAAATTAGTCAGCGATCTTACTGCAAGTTGTACTCCGCAACTGCGAGGAAAAGAAGCGTCTTTATTTTCTAGGACGAACCTCGCGCGGGGCCGGCGCCGAAGACGCTCATGATCGTGTCGGAGGTGGGCATAAAGTCCCACCAGTTGCACCGGCAGTTGCAGGGCTCTTCGTCGATCAAGACAGACTCCTCACTCACCTCCTGCTTCCTCTCCTGCTGCGCGCGTACCTGTGTTTATGATTGTGGATGATTGTGTTATCCATCATCGTGAGCACTGACCAGGTCTGTGCATGTTCGGCGTGATCTTGATTTGCTCTAGATCTACGTTTGTATTTTCTAAGTTGGTGCGTGTGTAGTTTTGTTGATCTACTCGCGTCCACCTTCTTCAGGGGGCGGAAAGTCCGATCGCGGAGCATGGGCTCGCGGGTCTCCGATTCTGAGCACTAGTTTGCACAGCGGTGCGTAGCGCGCGGAGTTTTTGCCCAGCGGGTTTGTGACTTGTGTACGTGAGGACTGTGTTTGCACATCGAGCGCATACATTGTTCACATTTGCATGTTTTCACTTTTCCCTTCTGGTACGACCCGCCGGCTGTGAGCCAGCCTCATGCTCGCGGGGGCGTTTTGCGCGCGAGGCGTCCGGGGGACGCGAGTTAGCCCTGTCAGCGCCGGAGGCGGCGTGTTCTTCCTCAGTGGTCTGCATGGTGAGCAGCCAGAGGTCCCGATCAGAGAGTGCGAGGATGATCGTCCCCGTGAGAGCAGGGTGGCGCTCCTTCCAGGCGCGGTGTCGCGCGGCCTGGGCCGTAGAGTCTCTGTCGGGTTTGAAAGGGAGCTTGCTGGTGTCGCGGAAGATGTCGTCCGGCGGGAGGGGCTTGCACTCCGCGACCACATAATCCGCTACGTCCGGCATAGACTTAATTTGGGCGAGCTCGTCGGGGCGCCAGAAGTTGAGGGCCTCTTGCAGGAGGTCCTTGCGGCTGAAGGCGTCGGCCGGGTTGCGCGCTGTGTTGGTATAGCGGTACCAGCAGCGGGCGTTGTTTTGCCTGTTGGCTATGGCTACCCGGTTCGCCGCGTTGCAGACGCGTCCTTGGCGGGAGCTCAGTTTGATGAGCGCGAAGAGCTCGACGGTGTTGTCGACGGAGACCATCGCCATGGCGTTTGCGAGGTCGGCTGCGTAGAGGCGCTGCGCGACTCTGACTGTGGCTGTCTCCAGAGTCATGATGTCGTAGCTGGCCGCCTCGTGGGCGTCCGGTAGCGGGAAGGTAAAGGCTTTGACCTTGCCCGTGTGCGTGACGATGACCCCCCCCATCCTCGGCGGGGCGGCGGGCCCGCGGTCAGCGGCGTTTGTTGCGTCCGGTGAGCGCCGGCCGCTAGCGTCGAGGTAGAGGAAGTTGACCCGGTGGTCGTGGTGTGCGAGCTCCAGTGGTGGGAGGTGGTCGATAAGACCACGGAGCGCGCGCACTGCGGTGGCGAGTGCGTTCCGCATTTGGCGGCTGCGGATGTTCGTGTTGAAGTACTCGTCTGCTGCCCACGGGTAGAGGTGTCGCACGAATTCCGCGCCGGATCTGCTTGCGTGGCAGATTACGTACTGGGACATGCCGAGTAGCTTCTGGATGTCCTTGATGAGGAGGGGCTGCTTGGAGTCGTGGGCTGTGAGGATCTTGCCACAGTCCTCCTTCGCTACTTGCACTTTGTCGGCCGGTGCCACCGCGTAGAGTGCGGTGGGGTCGCCCTTTTCGTCCCGTATCCACACATAGCGGATGCCGAGGGCACGGACGGAGTTGCGGCGGTATGGTCCGGCCGCGTCGCAGGAGCCTTGGTTCCCGGCCGCCTTTTTGCTGAGGGGGATGCCGAGGGCTTCTACGATGGCGATGTAGAAGTCTCGGCACAGGTGGTAAGTTTGCGGGTCAACCCCGAACAGCATGGCGTCGTCTATGTAAAGGCTGGAGACGCCCCCGCCCGCTTGGTGGATGCTGCGGATGGCCTCAGAGACGCGGCGTGCTGTGATGTTTATGGGGGGAGTTTTGTTAGGTTTTGGTCAGTTTGGTTTGCGTTGTGCGCGCATGCCCGTACTTGTATCCCGCCCGGGGAGGCGGCGAGGGTGGAAGCGGATATACCTCCGGGCACGGAGTGGGTGTTGCCCATGTTCAGTACGTACGATTCCACGCGTTGCCATACCCGCATGTCGGGGTCGTAGAACGCGATGCCGTTGAGCTTCGGGTCGCGGCATGCGAAGGCGTAGTAGTACTTCTCGAAGTCTTTAGTGCCCATCTCTGGGATGACTCCTCCGCCCTTGTGTTTTTTGAGGGCTGTGTTCCAGTGCTGGACCTCGGCGATGACGTCGGCCCGCGAGGCCACGCTGGGCGGCTCGGCCGGCTTGCTTGGCGTGGCTGTGGGTTTTTGGGCTGCGACTTTTTCCAGCGTCTCCGAGGTTTGGCGCCAGGTTTCTTTGGCCGAGACGGAGCTCGGGAGGGTGTACGCGTCTTCGTGGCCGATCGGTCGCATGAAGATGCTAATGATTTCCTGCACTGTGCGCGTGCCCTTGATTTGGACTTTTTCGACGAGGCGGCTGTATTGGTTTTGGTGCCGCGAGTCGATGACTTGGCGGATCTTCTCCAGCTCGACTTTTGGGAAGGCGGGGCTGGGTCGGATTTTGAGGCCCTTCCGAGCGATGGGCTTGCGTAGTCCTTTCTTCACCATGTCGGTGCAGCCTTCCAGCAGCTTGCGCAGTACATCCGCGGGGAAGGTGCTGGACACGGGGGCTTCCTGGTCGAGGTCGAGTATGACCCGTTCCGCGTCTAGGAAGTCCTGGACTTCTTGTGGGTCGATGGCTGTGACCGTGGGGTCGAGGTCCCACACTCCCTCGGTGGGGTCTGCGTTTCCGATCGTGAGGACCCCCCGGGCGAGGATGTTGGGGAGTTTGGTGTCTCGGTGTCCGGCCCAGCTGATGAGCCTGCGCAGGGCGACGAGGTTGCGTTTGCGGTCGCCCCAGCTAAGTGCGGTGCGGACGTGGTCCGGTAGTGCTGCGAGGGGTTTCTCGCTCTCCTGTTGCGTGGATTTGCCTACGTTTTTGACGTATGCGGTGGCTTCCCGGATGCGTTTTCTCCACTGCTCTTTGTTGGCTTCATCTGTTTGATATTGCGGATAGTGTCGTCGGGCACTGTGATGCTACTGGCCATTCTTGCCGCTCGTATGTAGTCTTTGACTACGAACAGCATTTCCCACGCCGCCCACCGCAGCTGGTTGGTGGTGGGGGGTTCTGCCGCGGCGGCCTGCGCCGCCGTGAGCTGGTCGAGCTCTTTTGAGGCCATGGGTTGGCTACGGGGCGAAAAAAGCGGGAAGTGCGTGTGGCACGTCCGTTCACAAAAGAGCGCAACTACTGCACCTGTCTACACTACGGCTTTTTTCACATTACTACTTTGCTCACATTACGTGGCAGCACGACACTACAAAGATCTTTATACCTCGCGTGGCAGGAGACGGGTTGTCCTCTCCTGCTGCGCGCGTGCCTGTGTTTATGATTGTGGATGATTGTGTTATCCATCATCGTGAGCACTGACCAGGTCTGTGCATGTTCGGCGTGATCTTGATTTGCTCTAGATCTACGTTTGTATTTTCTAAGTTGGTGCGTGTGTAGTTTTGTTGATCTACTCGCGTCCACCTTCTTCAGGGGGCGCGGCGGAAAGTCCGATCGCGGAGCATGGGCTCGCGGGTCTCCGATTCTGAGCACTAGTTTGCACAGCGGTGCGTAGCGCGCGGAGTTTTCGCCCAGCGGGTTTGTGACTTGTGTACGTGAGGACTGTGTTTGCACATCGAGCGGATACATTGTTCACATTTGCATGTTGTCACTTTTCCCTTCTGGTACGACCCGCCGGCTGTGAGCCAGCCTCATCTTTTCCCCACTCGTGTCGGACGTCCCATTGCTGCTCCTCTCCTTCCCCCAGTCGTTATTGGGACGCCTCTGGCGCCGGTGGGGCGTTCGGTTGGTTCGCGGCTGCTGCGTATTCCGCGAGCAGCGCTTATTTTTCATCCCGGGACGCGAGCCGCAGTTTGTGCGTTTCTCCATTCTCGGGGAGGAAGTAGATGCTATCAGCGCCGCCCCCCATGCGGGCGACGTACGTTTATGTGGTGGAGGTAGAAGGCTATCTTCTGGAGGGGCTGGGCGGAGCTTCCCGCGCCCTGCCAGAGTTTCTTCTGCTCCGCCGGTGGGACCTCGTGCCACGGTTTCCACGTGGTGCGTGGTCTCTGGTTGTCTTTGGTGCCGCAGCCTTGGATTTTGCGTTCCGCTAGGGCGCGTTCCTTGTGCTGCGGGGGCGCGTTATGGGGGTCATAGATGTATTTTTGTTGCGTCGCGTGGGCGAGCTGTTCCCATGTTTTTGTGGAGTCTTTCGGCTGGACTTGGTAGGCGCCCTTCGTGCCCTGGACGATGACGCCCCTGATCGCGCGGCTTCCCCGTGCTAGGTTGGTGTGCCTGCTCACGTGCAGAGGGGCTTTGCTGCCACTCCCTGCGGCCGTCGAGGCGGAGTGGTTTGCGAGTTGTTTGATGTCGTTGCACGCTGCGCGCTCCGCGAGGAACTGGGCGGGGCCTTGCTGGCGTTGGCCAGTTGTTGGGCCCGTGCTTTCGTGCCGTCGTCCCGTGTGGCTTTCGTGACCTTGTTGATGTCCTTGAACTTGACGTGGCGGCTGGTGTTCTCGTCGTTCGGTTCCGGGTACCAGACGGCGTCGATGGGCGGCAGGGTGATGTGCTGGAAGTCCAGCAGGTCGCAGGCGTAGTCCGCGAACCTAGATGCGGCCATCCATCCGCGGTCGCGGAGGAGCAGGCTGATGTCAGTGCGTTTGCCGGCTTGGATGCGTCGGCGTGCTTCCAAGGCATGTCCTCGTCGGACGCTGTGTTCGGTTTCGTCACCCCCGTACGACGCGAGCTGCGGCAGCCATTGCGCGCCGGCCTGCGTGCAGAGGGTTTGGACTGCTTGCTTCGTGCCTGGGTCGCAGAGGAGACACAAGTCGGGCGCTTCAAGGCAGTTGTGCCCGATGTGTACTGTGCGTGCGGCTGTGGCTGCCACCTTGTCGGCCAGGATGAATACGGAGACGCGGTCTGCGAACACTTCGACGTCCTTGGGGAGGATGCTGTCGATGGCTCGTCTACGGCACCCGAGGAGGTGCCAGAGGTTGAGGGCCGCTCGCTCGGGCATTGGGATTTGGTACATGCGCGCCAGCGTGAGCGGGTAGGCCTTTGCGACGGGGCACTTCTCTGTGGAGTATGCTATCTTGAGTCGTTCGCGGGCCTTCTCGTAGGCCAGCGGGATGAACGCTTCGGCTTGGTGCAGCAGCACGGGTTGGGTGCCGTCTGGGCGCAGCGGTGGGCTTGCGAGGTGTTCGATCAGTTGGATGAAGAGTACGTCTGCTGTTTGGTGCCCTTGTTCGAGGACTTTGCCCATGCAGAACATCTCCACATGCTTAACATTGACCGGCCACGCGTCGGGGTAGGTAGGCCACTTCTCCTTCGCGAATCGTCTCAAGGCCTCGGAGAGGCGGGCGTGGCACGTGAGGGCGCTTTCCTGCACGGCCATGGTGCTGCACTTGATCTCGATGGGGGTGAAGTTGCGTGTGAGCGCGGTGTCGCCCTTCTGGCGCTGCTGTTGTATTTGTAGCGCGACTGGGTTCTGGTTGACGTAGGCCGGGAGTGTGCCCGGCGTTGGTACCAGTGCGCAGGCCGAGCGGCCGGGTTGTTGGTGTTGCATGGTGGTTGTGGTGCGGTGGCAGGTTTTTGCAGATGCCGGCAAGGGCTCCGATCGCGGTATGCGGGGGAGGTGGGTAGGTGATCCGGGTGGGGGGGTGATGCGTGGGGAGGTGATTCAAAGGGGTGGGGAGGTGATTCACACTCCTACCGCAGGAGACGGGTTGTCCTCTCCGGCTTCCCTCCCGGCTTAATGTCGCTGTCCTCCGGGTAGAACCATCCTGCAGCACGACCCCCTTCTTGCCGCCGTAATTCTTCCTCTGATGCGGCACGCGAGCCGTTCTCTAGTATTACCGGATCTCCGGCGGGGGTCATCGGTCCTGGTCCCCAGTAGGCACCTAGCTCCAGGAAGCTCGTGCCGCCATTCTGCGAAAAACAAAAGCCCCGCAGCGCCTCCGCGAGACTCAGTTTCTTGTCCGTGTTGCGATCCGCACATGGGCACCAGCACGAACCCATCTCCGTCTCACTGAGAAACGTGTCGCGGTCCGTGTCGTTCGCCGAGAAAGCTTGAAAGATGCCAGAGCTGCAACCAGCCCCAATCGCATCCGCCACCGTCGTGCCGACGAAGTTTGCCACCGTTAAGGCCATGCTCATTTCGTACTTGGAAACGTTGTGCTCTTTCTCCAACTTCTTCGCAGCGGACTCTGCCTCTTTGCGGGACCGCTGCACCACTTTCTGCGCTTTGGCCTTCTGCCGGTCGGCTGCATCGGAAACTTCCTGCGCATCACTCTCATTCTCTTTCGCCGCATGCAGTGTGGAAAACAGTGACTGGATCGCGGACCATGCAGGAGTGGTGGCTTTGGACATGAAGGAGGCGGGTAGAAAATCGGTGACATTGCTCGCTACCTGCAGGTTAGTTCGGTAGAAGTACTACGTACTTACTTCATACGCGTAGTAAGACGATGCGCTTTGTCGCGGAACGGTTCACCAGGAGCGGTACCAAAACGGAGCCAGCTAGCATAGAAGATATCGACGCGTGGCACAGCGACAATCTTCTTCCTCAACAGGGTTAGGGAGGCATTAAGATAGAAAATGGCCTAGTACATACTGCTGCTCATCCTGATTCTCTATTTCTTTGCTCCGAAAGTTCGCTTACGCTTCCAATAACAAATACTTAAATACGAAAACATAAATCGCTTTCGCTTTCCCCACTGTCAAGCTCAGGAGAAAATCTAGATCTTATTCTTCAACATGCGATTTGTACTGTGGGCGAAGAAAATTTCCACAACAGAAAAAGAAAATCAATTTCAATCTTTCAGATTCTGGCTACATAAGTATATTCATTTACCTTCGACGACGACTCTGCACCTGCATCGCGCTCGTTGACATTCACGACTTCCGCCTTCTGGTCTCCATTGCTCACAAGGTGGAATGCGTGCGGTGAAGCGGTATTTTGGACTGCACCCCCCTCCCCGTCCGAAGGCTCGGAAAACTCGTCGTCCTTGGACGCGCCGGCGCCGGCGGTGGGCGGCGTTACAATATTCGCGGAGACGAGTCCGGAATGTTTAAAGCAGCCGCCCGCCGGGAGGAGCGCAGTTAGACGAAAAGTAAGACGCATCTTTTGCTGCCGGACCCTCAGCGTTCTGCTGCCGCCGGTGCAGGCGGCTCAATAACGCGTCTTCCCTTTTCCTATTTGCCTCTTGTTGTACTTTTTGTGCTAAATTCTACATCGTGAAGAACAAAATCCAAGAAGATTGAGGGGGATCGTTGTTCATCTTCTTCATCACGTTGAAAGCAGCGCAAGTGGGTTAAGAAGTACAAGCACACTGGCTCTGCTTCCCTCAACAATTCATTGTCACGCGCAACACGATGATGGATCGTAACGACCTAAAAATTTGTACTTACTAGAAGTTTCGGTCTTGATATAGATGTGGGTCTTTTGGCTACATGAGTGCTCATATTGAGAGAAGAAAAACACACAACTCGTTCTTTCCCTCGAGCGGTGCAAATTGCTGCAGAGGTAGAAAAGGCACCGGTTGGCACAACTCGAACTCTTCCTGTCCATCTATAGTCAATCGATACGAGTTTGTCCTTGTCGATACCCATACGATTACGAACTCGCAAACATGGGTACGTCGCTCTCGCTGGAAAAGAAGATTTACGTCAGTACGATCATGAAATGAGCAAACTCGACGTTGGTTTAGGAATCCCGACACGGGCAGAAGCAATTGCAGCTGCCGACTTCGGGACAAAAGCTCCGATCCACGGGCGGTGGCGGCTTCGCAGATGCAGTTTCTGCTTTCATCATGGTACGACCAGTCTGCAGCAGCGCTGTCTTCTTCGGTGACGGTTTGTCCTCGGATGAACTGGTGCTTCTCCGTGAAGCTGCCTTCATCTTTTTCTTCAGTTGCAGAAAAAGACTAGGAACCGGGGCTGGGGTTCCGTAGGTAATGGATTCGCAGTCGCATTTGCAGTTACACGGCACCGGCGGAGGACAATCAAGCACCGCTGCAACTAAAGCATGATCCACAAAGATGATGGTAACAAGTAAAATAAGCGAGCAGGCCCACCCGGTAGCTGCCATCTTGCTCGTTTTCGAAAGCTGTCGAGCGCTGGAGGACTGAGCCTCCGTAGCTATCCTAGCTCCATGGTTATGCCCTAGCTACTCTTCTTGTCCATGATCACGAAAATCAAACTCAAACTCAGAGAATATGAAGAACTCCACAAATTTTATTCGCGCCAAGGCTTCCAAAGAAACTCAACAGGAGCAAACACAAAGGTAGCAGCGCTACTGTATTTTTGCAGCAACAGGAACACAAGCACAACATTTTTCAAACCCATGTCTTTGCTGAATTTTTTCTAGTATGTAGTCTTGGTATCTTCGTAGCGCGGTGGTTTCGCGGGTTCGCGAACTTCGTCATAGTGACTTGGTTTCGCTTTCATCGGATTCGGAAGATATTGATATACCAAAAATGCTTCGCATATCATAGCACGGTCGTCACACAAGTACAAGACGGACAACATCAATGATCCCGCGAAGACGAGCACTCTGGAGTAGATGCTCTTTGATTGCTTGCATCGATGAGTTGTCCAGCTCGAAGAGTACGTTGCAGCCCGCTCTAGCGCCGCCGCGAGTCTGCGACCCAAGTCCATGTCCATCGCATTCCCCCTACTCTTTCCCCGTCCAGGGGTACGAGAGCCACCGCCACCTCCGAGCTACCCAACACAATGCAGCTCCGGCTCTTCGGCAATGAATCCAGGGCTTCAAGAAATGGCACGACAACACTTCGGCAAACCAACGCAAGCCGGGTCTTCCCGCGGCCACGCATTGATTCCGATAGCCGAAAAAGCAGACGAAACGCCGGACACGTGATCAAACAGGATATTCCTCTGCATCCACCAGATGAGATGCGGGCGTGCGACTACACCGTATAACGTTGACCTTTTTCTTCCTCCCTTTCCGTGCACCCTTTCTTCGACCTGATACAGCTTGTCGTCCCGCAGCGCCGCTCAAGCTATCCTCTGCGTGACCAGGTGTTCTGGCGAGAAACGCCGGCACGCTGGTCGATAGCTCGGGGTGTTGACAAAGTCCCGGCGCTGCGACGAGCATGCGGTAGTGGCAGAGAGTTTCGGACAATCCGACGATTTCCATCCCGCGCGTGTGGGCCGAAAACTTCTCTAGCAGCTTTTTTCTGCGGTCGCTGGCTTGAATGAAGCGGTTCCGTGCACTGGATCTGGAACCGCGCGTGGTATCAACCGGCGACGAGGAAATCAGTCCACTGTAGTGCACGAATTCGTTCCGCCTGGGGCGCTTCGAAGATTTTGCTGATGCAGACGCCGCGCTCGAACCGGTTCTAGCTGCGCGATTCGAAGAATTCGTTGCAACAGGTTCTCCAGGACGAGCTGCCAAAGATGAAGCAGCTACGGTGACTTCTCTCCACTGCGCGACTTGGGCCTCGAAATCCAAAGGAAGGCGGTCGGGATCTGAGGACGCACGCGACCGGCGCTCTAGCTGGCGTTGGGGTCGTGAGTGTGTGGCTCCATGCTCACTTGTTCCTGTGTTCTGCTTCTCGTTGTTCACGACCTCCGTGCGGAGCGTGCTATCTTCTGAAGTACCAGAAGCTGTAGCACGGCCTGTCTCTGCATCAAGAACTGGCGGCACGTAATCAAAGTACTCGACGCTGTTTTCCTCCAAGTGCCCCTCTGTGTGGCTCTCATCTGCTTCTTCCATCTCGGCCTCAGTTCCCCAGGGATTCTTGCGACGGCGCCGGCGACCGCGCCTCTTCGACGGGCTGGTTTCCAGGTCCTCTGGAGCTGCAGGAGCGGTGGCGATACTCGGTCGCGGCGAAACGTGCGCGCTCGAGGTGAAAGGTGGTGCCCCCCCTAGATGAAGATTTGGGTCTTCCACATCTACATGCTGTGGGCGCACACCGTGCTCGTGGTCCTCGTCGGTGAAGTGGTCTGAGCTCATGGACAACGACCGCACCTCTTTCAGGTCGTCGAAAAAGCCCCCGCCCGAGGATCCCTCCTGGTCGTCCTCCGTCTCGTCGTTTGCTCGCGCGTGTCCACCGCCCTGCCCAACCGGCGGACACATGAAGAAAATTTCCGTTTCCCGCGCCTTCCCCGTCTCCTCGCAGGGGGTGCCGTCGGTCAGCCGTTGCCACGCGGCGTACAGCTTCGGCGTCTTGCGCCACTGGTCCAGATAGGGGTGCTGGTACGTGTTGCTCACCATCGACAGTAAAAGCTGTTTCGGGAACGGAACAATCCGCAGCTCCGCCAAGTGACGCGGCCGCATCAGCTCCACAATGCCCAGAACGCCCATGTCCAACTTGGGCGCCAGTTTCTGCACCAGGAACTTCCGAAACTTCTGTTTCTTGCTCGCATCTACCTTCATCTTTTGCGCGCTGTCTTCATCAATTTTCACTTCTCCCGAGGTGGATGCAGAGGTGGCGACAGCTTCGGTTATACCTTCCTGACTAGGATCTATCGTCGTGCCCTCATAGGTCTGCAGAAACTCCCCCGGCTTCCAACGGTTCTCGTGATCGAAGTACTCTACTTGACGAAGGTACGAAGGGGCGCCGGTCGCAGTCCACCCGGAATATTGAAGCCGTTGATCCCGCTCGCCCGCCACAGCTTTACTTTCTTCATCGTCGCCCCCCCCGCGTATCGCTGCAGAACCAGCTTCTACACCTTGCAGATGACTTTGACCATGTGGCCCAGTAGTTGTTTTCTCACCGAACACCTCCCAGACTTTCTCCGCATGGAAGACCAGACCCATAAAGTGCGCGATCATCTCAAGGATCTCTTCGGCATCAGGGCGATTTAGATTTTCCGCTTCGATTTCAGATGCTCCAGCACTACTAGGCGCGCCAGAAGTAGACAATCCGGAAGATGATGTTGAGCTTCTAGCCTTTTGCTTCGTCTTCTTGGCGACATGTTGCCCTGAGGACACAACACGTCCTCGTCGTCCTGCCATCGAACCACTTTCGCTGTTGATCTTGAGTCCGAGTTCTTCGTTGAAAGTCTCATTCAAGAACCTTTGCAAGGAAAAGATTCGTGTCAGCTCCTGGATCTCTTCGAAGTAGACCTTCGCCAGTTTTGTTATCGCACCCGCGAAAGAGTCCTTGGCTTTTATCCCAGTGGCGTACGGTGTGGACGATTCGTAAAATGCGGACGTCTTGTTGATTGATTGGAACACCAAATTTCCGTCGTACACCTGCCAGTTTTTCTGTCGCAGCTGGTTCAGAACCGACTCCTTGGACTTGGCACTCTTTTTCCTCCTTCTCTGGTGCGTTTTCTCAAAGTACCACTGCAGTTTGTCCCACACGTGAAGAAAAATGTGGGTCTCGGGGTCGCGAATCTGGCTGTCCCCATCGGAAAGGAGTCGCGGATTCTCCGGCTTCATGTTCACCGCGGCGCGGAGGGTCTTGGGGTACTGGTCCGGAGTTTCGGGCACCTTGTCGACAAAAGTGCTCGCATTTTGCGAGGCGCCCAGGGGGAAGCTCAATTTCTTCGCCAGATGGAGCAGCCTAGTGCGAAGGTTGAAGATCTTCCCCAGAATCGATTGCGACGTCCCGAGAGAGTAAGCAACTTCCACGCTGGCAGCGGGCGAATTCGGCAAGTTCTCTTGCGTCACTACCGCGCCGTTGGCGTCGATCGTCAAGCCATGCTGTGCCTGGGCCGCGTGGAACTGCCGCATGCCGTGTGGAAAGCAATACTGGTACGACCACCAGCCCTCGTTCCGATCCAAGCACTGCCCGAAATGGTTGCTGAGTAACAGCGACAGTGGGAGAGACTCTTTAAACAGACGCATGCTTGGCCGCAGCTGCCGAGTATTTTCATACTTTTGCCTTTGTCGTTCCTTCAGTCTTTCTTGCTCCATTTCCTCGTGACTGCGACCAGAGATAGCATCAACCTCCGGCGCTGTCGCGGTTTTGTTCCTTGCGCTTTTTCGTGTACTTTGCGCGAAAGGCAACTCGTCCGTCGCAGGCGAAAAGAAAAATTCCCTTGGCGCTTTCCAGAGAAAAAAATGGACGTTGCTGAAGAGGTTCGTGAAACTTTCTAGCAAGTTTTTCGGCCCATTTGACGGCTCGGACCCGTCGCTCCTACTACTGGCCACCTTCTCTCCCTCGGCGCTACTTGCGTCGTAAGCGGAGCGCTCGCCAGTTTCACTACGGACGGTTGATTTCCTGGAACCCGAGGCTGCAGCTCCCTCGTCGAGGAAACTTTTCGTCGAGAAGCCGGCCTCGTCCCGATCTTTACTGTCGGCGAACAGGTTCTGCTTTGCCTCAGCGACTACGTAGTCGAGAAAAGACAAAGTGCGGTCGAGGTCGTCGATGTCCGTCACTTTCAAATGTGAGTAAGCCGTGCGAGAGTCCTTCAATGGGTCGGCTGAGCCCACTCTCGTAATCGCCGGCTGTTTGGGTGAAGGAAACGTGCTGAGGTAGCGAACTAAGCCAAAGCCCTGGAGGTCCTGCATACTACACAGACTCGGAGAATTGATACGAATCTCGTATTGCAGCGGTTTCGGCTCGCTAACTTTGCTGTAGGAAGGGGCAAGCTCAGCTCCTGTTTTTATTGGAAAGGAGTTTTCATCAGTCATTTTCGTGGGTCTGGGTAGGAAAGAAATCTTTATTTTCCGTGGGAACCCAAGAATATTAACGCATGAGAGTGTGCTTCCTCGGTGCTGCTGTTGTTCACAGGTTTTGATATTTGTGAATGTCGCGAGAACGTTCGTGCTCGACTCAAACAATTACAACAATCGTTGATTGTCATTCACTCTACGTAAAGAAAATGTACCACAGTCGATGAGGACGAAGGTTTCGCGGCCGTCGGTGCCCCCGCTGTAGTGCTGTGCAAGTGAAAGTGTCGCAGCACCCCGCTGCAGGGCGTCTGCGAGCGCTGCCTTCTTTTGCTCGGGTAAGTGGTCCAGAACAAGGCTTGGACTTGTTACAGTCGACGTTTTATTTCCATCTACTTGATGGCTCGTCCGATCGGGCACTGGCTCATCTCCGGCTGCTCCTGTCTGTTCGGCAGAGTAAAAATCCGATGCAGGCAGCACTGCATCGAGAAGAAATCGCCACGACGTATTCTTTGTTCTAGTCGCGTCCCTCGGTTCGTCGGCCAAGCGGCTCGCTGTGTCTGAACCCCCCCGTTCATCTGTTCGATCCGGCTGTGGCACAGGCACTCCATGCACCGTGACAATTTGTGCGGAAAATTTTCCAAGGGAGTACCCCGCCGCGAGAGGATTTCCGCGCTCAAACTGGCGAACTTCATCGCCGAAACAAAGCGTGAAGCCCCAATACCCGTCCTCTTCCTTTCCGAGCCGCCAGCAGGACGCCTGGCGGTCCATTTCTTTCTGCACGCTGGGAGTTATGGAACCACCAGAAGATCCAGTTGTAAGACTACTATCTTCCGTATCGTCCTCCGCGTCGAGGTCATTGAGCTCCTCCTCCTCTGTCTTTTTTCTTTTTTCCGGTGGGCGTGCCTGCTGCGGTTGGTGCTGAATGGTACTTCCCTGAAATGCAATCCCATTCCCGTCGGCGTTAATGAACTGAAAATCCTTGATCTTTGCAAACAGCAGCTCGCGCAGGTACGCGGGCTCCGGAACGGCGAGTTGCAGCTTGTCGGCTTTATCGGGTCGTTTTGAAGAAGATCCCGGTCGAAGTTCAGGCTCATTCCTTCTCTGACGGTGGTCACGACCGTTCTTTTGTGTTTCTTCGCCACTGTTGATGTGTGCTTCCGTTTGCAGCGCCGCTGAATGGACTTGCGAAAGGGGTCTTGCCTGCTCTCTCTCCCGATCTCGTTCGTGTTGTATCGCGATGTAACGTTCTAGACCGGGGTACAGCTTCGAAGAGTCGCGCTTAAAGAGGTCGTCCTGCGAGTCGTGATCGTGATGTTGCGCTGGGTTCCTCGGTGGAGCAGGTGGAGGAACAGGGATGGTTGCATCTTCCGCCTGTTCCTTGACAGGCTGTATCCCGAGCCTCGACGGCGACGTCGTTGAAGATGTATTGGAGGTGCTACTTTCATCTCCCAGCACATCAGTGACTGTCGTGCCAGGTCGAACTAACTCGGACTGAGAAGTACCAGCCTGTGCACTTTCGCGCCCCCGGTCGCGAAAATGATGATCGGCAATGGGATTTTGATCATCTGTAGTTTCGTCAGAGGGACTTGTATTCCGTTGTAGTTCAACTCGAGCAGCTTCTGATTGTGATTGCCCCTTCGTAGTAGTTCTAGGATTCGCGTTCGTCGTGAGCCGGTGCTTTACTTCAATGTCACACTGGAGTGTGTGCGGTCCGACCTGCAGGTGCCGTGTTAGTGCGACTCTACGAGGATCCGAGACAACTGTAGCATTCTTGTTGGGCCACTGGTTTTCTGTGCTACGTGCACGAGAATCTGTATCCCAATACTCGCCATCGGGTCGAACCAGACCGTTGCCGACGTGAATTACCAAACGCCGGTCCCGAGCCGCGGCGAGCGTAGAGGCTTCATTTCGGTGCTTGCCGCCCCGCGTCGTGCTCTCGGTCACTGCGGCAGCGCCGGTCGTGTACCGCGAGAAGGACAGGAACGATGTGAAAATTGTGCCGGAAGCGGAAAGCCAAATCCAGACCAAACTAGACCCTTTAATAACTTCCAAGCAGCCACGACGACTTGCACGACATGCTCTTGTTCCCACCATCTTCTGCGCTGCCAATGCTTCGCGCTCGGTCGTGTACCTAGTACTGTATTGAGCGGACCGGCATGGGTACTTAGCACGTTCTACCTCTACAACCGCCTAAAACTCGCAAACCTAGAAGAATCATGCATCTTACTTTTTCAAAGTAAGCGCTACATGATGTGATGTCTTTCATACGTAATAATAAGCGCTCCGGTATTCAATTGAAAATGTCATTCACAGGGTGGACCTGACGACGCAGGAGATGAAGACTCTCCGACGTTCAATTGCTAAATGCGCAAGCGCGGATATTGGTGCCTTTTTCTTCGCCTTCTCGCTGATGTTTTAACAAATTGGGCTCTCCAAACACTCGAGTACTTATGTACTTAAATAAGTGGTGGTTTAGAGTTAGAAGCTTCGCTCGATGACACATCGGCACGACATTTTTTGAACACCTGTAGTTGACCTCGACGCACGCCCTCTACCAGCACCCTTCGTAGACGAAAACGGCATGGCGCTGGATATCACCGTGCTTGTATCTATCATAGTACACACAACCACTGCAAGAACGCAGGAGCCGTGCAGGGCGGCACCCGCCCAAACATCCACTGTAGACATTTGACACGTTCAGTACTCGTTCATTTCATGCGGGAAGACGATTCAGTGACGCTTCTTAGCTTTAGTTTCTTTTTTCGTGGGCCCTCCTGCAGTCGAATTTCACAAGTAAAAGTTAGTGAAAAGCGATCGCTTTTTCTTGCGCTGGCCAATTTTTGAAGATTGGTGACGCGCAGCCAAAGTGTAGTCGGCTGGCAGAGTCCAAAACTCCTCTGTATCCTGCCCGCAATCGCGCCGAGCGCGAGCGGCGCTATCGTTGTACGGCGTGTATTTTTTTACTTCCATGCAGGCTCGGATAGCAAAGTTGAAAGGCACTGCGATTTTTATCGGGAAAAGTGGTTTTTTCACAGCTTGTTCGCGTTCTTCGCCGTGGACAGTTGTGGACGAGGTCGTACTTGCAGTGGACAGAAGTGAAAACTGCTGCCTTTGGCTGCAGCTCTTCCAGAATTCTCCAATCTTTCGGAAGGTACGGTGCCGCTCCGTGATCAGCTGCAGAATAGGCTCCAAATCCTTCATCAAGAACGGAAGGCGGTCCGTCAGCCACAGATCGACATGAATTCTGCGTGTTGACGAGCCGACCTTATCAAACTGGCTCCGTTGGTGCGTCGGTGCGTTTTTGTTTCCACTATCTTCCGAGGCTTTGTGCGGTAGTTGCGACTGCGAAACCCGACCCCTAGAATAATTTCTAGCGCCCGACGAGTCTTTAAAATGGCTCCTTGAAGCGGTTTTCGCACTAAATCCGTCACGCGCACTTATCGTTCCCCCTCCAGCAACTTGATCATGGGGAGCTGCTGATAATCTTTCTGCCCCGATTCCTCGTGAGGGTCGGCGCTTCGTCGCAAAGTTCCTAGGTCTTTTCGCGAACTCGCCCGTGTCTCCTCCCGGTTTCGCAAGGCTGTTGGCTCGACTCACCGTACTGAAGACCGAGGGCTGCTCGGAGAGGAGCGAGAAATCGTTCGGACTGGCGTGCAGCAGGTCATTCGCTGAAAAGTTGTCCTCGCCGTAAACCTGCTCGTCCCTTTTCGCCACCGGCGAGAGGAACGCAGTTCCGGTGATGGAACTGGCAGTATCGATATCCAGAGCAGCAGCATAACGCGGCAACAATTCATCTTCATCTTCGAGATTGTTGTTGTAGCTGTCAAAGTCCAGCACGACCTCCTCTTCGTCGATGGGCTCGAAGGTGGCGAAGTCCCCGCCCGGCTTTTTCAGTGCGAAAACAGAGGGGTCGCCGAGCGAGTTGCTGAGGTCCACCTCGGAGTACGTTTCCCATTCCTCGCTGGTCCACGAATCATCATTAAGGATTTCATGCAGCTCCGCCTCGTATGTGCCTTCATCGAAGCAATGCAACTCTGGATTGTCTTTGTCAATCTGGCTTTCGCCATCAATGCTGCGGGGCTTGCTACTGTGCAACATGCTCGAAGCGACCACCTCTGGCAACGCCTTACCCATTGGCAGAGGCTCATGAAAGTAGGTCTCGAACATTTGGCCGCGGATCCAGTTCGACTGGCCCTTCTGTCGCAAGTGCAGAACGGAATCGATGTTCAGCTCGAGGCGCCTACAGGGAAAGCTGTTCACAAATTGCGTCTGCGGGTGAAAATGCAACTCCTCTGTGGAGGGCGCCTTGGAAAGCGAATCCGGAGTGTCGGTCGGCAGATCGAGTTCCCAGCTGAAAACGTCCGAGGCCATGAGCTCTTCGACAATCACTTTCCTTTCCGCTTGCGACAGGTTCGTGTCGTCAGCAAAAGAGAACGACTTCTTGGTGTGGTTGATTAACAGCAGCTCTGCCTTCCGGGGAGACAAAGCTTGATCGTGCTGAGAACGAGGGGGCAAAGGCTCCCAACTTTCTTTATCTTTATCTCGCTCAAATCTTTCTACAACGACGTCCTCGGCGCTGTCGATATTTTTCATTTCGTTCGGAGAAAGTGCGGCAGAGTCAGGACCGTGCTGGGCGACGTTCATCTGTGGAATGAACAACGTCGTGAGCTTTCTTCGTTTGATCCTTGGTTCGAAGAAGCTGGGTCGCTTTTTCTTGTAGGACGCCAATGTGCTGTCGATGCGGAGCTTTCTGCCCTGCTTGTAGACTTTTACCGTGTCGGAAGGGCCGAGATCAAGGTGAGACAAATTTACGCTGAAGAAACGATTGTTCCAGGGCGCAAGTTCGAGTCGGTAATCTAACTCCAGGTAGAAATCGGGGAGTACGGCCATCGAATCCGCGAGCGAAGCTAGCCGTTTCTCCCACCGTTTCGCGGCGGCTGATGCTCTTCGGCGGCGAACCGTGGATCGCGTTCCGACGGAAGACGCCGGCGAGTTCGTGCTGATCGTAGAATTCAGCGCGTTTTTATGCGCCATCCTTCCTGCAGGTGAAGGAGAGTCGATGTTCTCGTCCTGCGGTTTCCTTTTGGCGCCTGCCTGCTGTGCCTCGTCTAGCTCCTCCATCTCTGCGCCCTGGTTCACGAGAAGCTCGACGAGTGCCCGATTGTTTTGCGAGACCGCTTCATCTAGCGGAGACCAGAACACCTGCCAAGGAAACTGTCGCGTCTTTATTCCTAGTGAACTTGTGCTGTCGAGGACCCCTGGCGCAGGTCGGGAATTTAGACCCGAAGAATGCACCGGTGCAGACGAGCTACGCACACTGCGATTCACGCTGCGCACTGTGGCAGAAGAATCTTCCCCCGTTAGACAATTCTCGGCACTACCTTCGTGCTCCCCAGCGGCGTCTACGCACGGCGAGCCCGCAATCGCTACAGGTGGCATAGAAGAAGAAGTTGATAGCGCGATACAATTTGCAGCTTCAGCAGGTTTACCCTGAGGCGGGGAACCAGCATGGCTGGGAGTTGCAGCGCTTGTTGGATTCAGAAGCACCATCTTGTGTGGCTCTTGTTGGCTGGGCCCAGCGTCGCTTGTTCCGGTTGTTTCCGCAGGCTCTTCTTGACTTGCCATGCCTTTCCTACAAAGCATCTTTCGTTTCAGAAAACTCAAGACACGCAGTGCCGTTCCCCTTTTTCTACCAGCGGCTTTGGCACTAGTGCTACGCTCCCGCCGGGCCAAAGGCGAACATCCACGGGGCGGCTTTTTTTTCTCCGTCGACGCAGAGGACAGTGCGGTGTTCATTTTGATCTGATGTTGCTCTGAGGCAATATTCATCCGAGCGTGCGACGCAGCACCAGAAGCTGAAGACACCGCTCCAATACCAGGTCGTTCTGCAGGCACTGGAGCCACGATATTTTCGATGCCCTCAAGGTCAGAAACTTTCTGTGTAGAGTACCCAGCACGTGCACGATCCTCTATAGCGGTTTCTGTCTCAGACTCTGGCTTGTCCGTCTCAGACTTTATCGGTATTTGCGGAACTAACCCTTTTTGCCGCTTTCGCTCTCCAACCAGGCGCATATCCGCTCCGTGCTGCAACAAAAGCTTTGTGACCTCTCGGTAAGCTTTCGGACAACGGGGATACCGTGCGACCGCAATCATCAAGGCTGTGTGCCCATACTCGTTGATTGTGTTCACAAAGGTTGCGACTTCGTCCAGCGCACAAGCCCGTTCTTCCGCTGCGTCACCAGCGATCCTCTCGAGCACATGGGTTATTTCAGTGACGTCCGCAAGAAAAACAGCCTCGTGAAATGCCTTCAATAGCCGCACGTCGACCTTCGCACTGTTTTCGTTCTTCTCCGGTGAAGTGCTTGCACTTGCAATTGCTCTGCTGTTCCCCGCACCCAAAGTGATCGGCTTTGACGTCCGCCCAGCGGTCTCTCGATCTCGTCCGCCACCGTCCCTTGAAGGCAAGCGCTGCAAAAAGTCAGAAGGCAGACTCACCGGAGCTGGTTCCACTATGAGCGCACCTGCACAGTGCCTGTTAGTGTTTTCCTCGTCTATCTCTTCTTCAAGCAACTGCAAGGCATCGCCAACACTGTCATCCGGTCGTCCATCGTAGCTATTAGGCGAAGCTGCAGCTGCGCCACTTTCTACGTTGCCTATGTGACCTCCACCTGGCGGAGTCTCTATCACGCGGGAACGTATTTGCGCTACCTTCTCACCCACTGAGGGTACCGCTTCAACGCTTTCGCTTACTTTTTCATTTTCACCATCTTGTTGCACAGGCAGTGCGACTTTCTGTGCGGTCTTGCGAAAGAAGTGTGCGACGCCCGGAGCTGTCTCTTCCTCCGGTACCTCCAAGTGGTCGCCGTCGTCAGCGTTGTTGTCCTCACCGGCGCCTCTGTACTCCTCGGGAACCATCACTGTTAGTCCGTTAAGGCTCCTGTTTCCGCTTGTTCTCACGACGCCAGGCGAACCCACAAAGTGCGCATTTTCGGGCATGGCTAATGTTCTACCTCTACGACAACAATTGAGGTTAGTACCTGGAGGTGGCCGCTGGTTCAACTGTAACTCACTGAAAGTGGCCCTGCACTATAGACCACATTGTTCTTTCTTTTTTCTCTGTGTCCTGTCCGAAGCGCAGACGACAGGGAGAGCAACCGAGCGGACCAATGCTCATGAAGGAGGGGGATAAACATCATTTCAATATTTTTAAATATCATCCCTTGTCATTGTGTGCACGCACCATCCGTCCACCTGTCCTGTCGCGATCGTCCCTTGCAATACCGGAGCCTGTGCGTGCCACACGCGTTTCCTCTCATCTCTTCTTGCAAGCAGCTCCGAAAGCCAACAAAAAATATACTATGCAGAATCTATTTCTTTGCATACTTGTTGGGCAACACTTGACGACCTTCTGCGTCGACTCGTGCTCTTTGCACCACTCGGGTTTCTTTTGCAATTCACATTCAGAGTATGCAAGCACAAGCAAGCAACTATTTGAAAGAACTTTCAGCTGTCTAAGTGGTCTATATTTTCTTCACAAATTCATCATCAATGTAGAAGATGCAGAAGCAACTGCATCAATTGCAGCCACGACCGCCTCCAATTTTTCTCCTGTTGGTCTAAAAAAGTGCTTGCGGCAACCTGCGTCAGTATTTATTATATACCCGCTACTCTATGAGTCACAGCCGCACTCAGAACAGCGGTTTCGCCAAAAAGTCTTAAAAAAGCAAAGTAATTTTTTTCCCCGAAGCAGGTAGACGTTCTGAGCAGGTGCAGCGCAAGACTTTTCACATCCGTGTTCGCTTTTTAGAAGGAGCAGGGTACGACCATAGAAAGGAGTTCGCCCGGCGTCAAATTCGCAAAACAATGTTTTATTTTTCACCGAAAATGTAAAAAACATTTTTCGTCAAAGCTTTGAAAAAGGAGTTGTGAAATGAATCATCTAAGAAGTTGTTGTTTTGTATTCGCTTCCGCGTCCGCTACGAAACTGCGCAAAGAGTAAGTACTAGACCACCCAGTTTCATCACTGCGATGATAGATGATCAATCGATTGCGCAGAAGTAGCGGACGACGAAGACTATCGCAAATATTGAAAAGACTAGCAAGACCATGTTGGGGGGGTTTAGGTGCGGGGGGCGAAGATTGGAATAATGTCATCGGCGAATTCGCGCTTTCCCATCACGATCATGTTGCAGATCCACCCGATGTTGCGGATCTCCTGCTCCTTGAGCTTGGCGTAGGCGTAGAAGACGCCGTAGTGGAACTGCTGATCGATATGGGAGTGTCAGAGTTGAAATCGACAAAGTTGAAATGATTTGTGATGCATAAAATGCGACACAAAGACTGACTCTATTGCTGAAGGCGCAACGGAGGCAGATTCTACTGCTGGCAAGGGTCAAGAAGTGGGCTGCTGACTAGCATGACAGGGAGCAGCCATCTTGCCCTAAACAGCATGACAGACTTGCTTCAGAGACCAGGAAAATTTGTCATGCGCCGATTGGAAACTGTGGGTCCAACTGGTATAGATTTTATGCATCACAAATTATTTCAACTTTGTTAATTTCAATCCTGACACTGCCATAATCGAAGCTCAACTCGTACAGTTTCGCGGTCTCCGTGAAAAGCATGTCCTCCATATTACAATGAAGAATGCCCCCACCCCCGAACTTGGGAGCATTTGTATTGCAAACCTTTCCAAATGAAACATTCGCCCTCTTGCATCTATCAGCATCACAGGTTTCCAATCGTGAATAGCAAAGATTTGTAATTGCAAAAGACCCTAGCATGAGCGGCGCTTGTCATGCAAGCGATGCGATACACGCCTACACTCTGCATCAGAAAGATACATACTCCTTTCATGCATGACAAAAAGTTTTCATTTGGAAACTTCGCATCACAAATTTTTGCAATTTCAGGGGTGGGGGGCACTTTTCACTGCAATATTCCATCGACTTGATGTTTCGCCCGATCTTCTGTTCCTTCCGCGCTTCCTTGTCGTAGTACATCTTCACGCTGTCGAACAGCTCTCGGTAAATGTTGTACGGCTCGATGGCGGCGCGGACGGTGGTCTGGTTCCAAGCCTTGCACAACTTCTCGGTACCTAACAGGTGGACCATCGTGATTTAAAGCTAAAGCAGCTAAAGGTAGAACCACAAAAATCGGGGAAGTAGCGATGCTATTTTGCGTACGAAGATAAAGAATGAACGCTAAGATGCAAAAAAACTCACTACAACATCGACAGGACAGAAACTGAAAACAAAACCGTTCTTTTCTTACCTTCTGGATACAGGTAGCCAATGCTTGGGTAGAGCGCATTTCGGTCAGCAATCTTTTGTTGTGAGCCAAGGCTTGTGTTCAAACTGTTCAGGGTGATGTTCAAAACTCGAAAATCTGCCTCGGACTGCAAGATGTGACCCATGATCTGTCGTTGTTGATTTTGTGTATACTGCATCTATATGAGGTGTCCTTCAGAAGCAGTAACATGATTTGCAAGGCAATTCCAGAGTCACACGGTAACCGGGGTGGCGCAAATTTATCTTATTCAGGCAAATAAATCCTATACCCGAGCTAAGTATCAGTTGTACCTCTCCCGTCATGCCGCCCAGGCCGCAGCAGAACCCGTAAAAGTTCTCCAACCAGGTCTTCTTCAAGAGGTTCTTTAGTACTTCCAAGTCCTGCTCCGTCAAAAGAGATCCGACATCTGTTGTGTTGACCACTTTTCTTCTTTATCCCACTGATGCCTACGTGGGTGTCTGCAGCTCCCATCTTACTTTACACACAGTTATTTAGTAGAACCAAATAACGCTGCGAAAGACTATAAAGCATGAGAAACTGGCTGGTGCCCCTTTCTTTTTTGCTGAGATGATGACCCTCCGACGTTCTTAAGGTGAAAACATCATCATGTAGTTGTACTGCATCAAGTATATTTTTGACAATTACCGGTGTCTCTTCCCAACGGCTTGCCTTCGTCTGACAGGGACTTCAAGACCGATTCGAAGTACGGGCCCACCGGGGTGTCTATCAGGATGGTCTGGTACAAATCTTCGTAGCCCTGGGACAAGTCCAGAGATGGAATGGCTTTCATCTCGTCAAAGAAGCCCAGCGGATCCGCCTTCGCCAGCAACTCGATAGCTGGCTTGCCGTTCAGGGCGCCTGGGAAATTTTTTTTTGCTGTGCATCAACTTGCTTTTCAAAACGTAGGACTTCTCCACCCGAGAGAGCAGGTCGTAGAAATGAACTTTGTTGCAATCGATTGGCTTGCGGCTGTGGCATTCGAATCACAGGCATGGCAAAAAAGGTCGTAATTTACCTTGCAAGAGGTTAATGATGTTGTCAATCATTTTGTCGATTTGAATGTAGTTCATAAAGGACACTAGCGGCTCCACACTCTGGGCCTTGATGTACTCAAATTCGTCTGCGAGCTTCTGCTTGGCCTGTTTTGTACTTTTTCAGATTCGAAATCTTCACGAGCAAGATGTATTCTTACTGAACCGTGGCCATGCACATGCTCCTGTTCATCATGCGCCTTCATCATGCGCCGACGTGACCTTTTCTGGTGCATCTTGCTAGTTACGCGCGCGTCATCGCACGGCTTCAGATGCTACTGCATCTTCCAAAATCGAAAAGTTAAAGTAAGATGGCATTGCATGCCTTTCTCCTTTACCTTCGCGACTATCGTGGAAATTTCCAGTGGACTCGGTTCGTCCTGCAAGAAGCTTCCGTAGTCGGTGTCATCCAGCGCCGTTCGCACGTCTTCTAAAGATTCGCAAGCACCCAACTTTCGGTAGTCATCGGGCGTGAGGAAGCCGCACTTCAGACCGCGGAGGATACCCTCGGAGTAGCCCCCCGTCATGTTGAAAAGGGACTCCTCCATGGTTGCACGGTTTACTTCAAAAAAAAGCAAATCAAACCATACAACTCTTTTTCTACTTCTTTGCCTTTGTAGTTACGTCGAAAATTGTAGTTCCTCCGCCGGAGTTGATCTTGAAGCCCCAAGCCTCAGGCTCGTGACAGTGAAAACACGACGAGAAAAAACAAGGCCAAGGAGGGAACTGAAGAAGAAGGAGAAACGATGTATGTATGGTTATCAGTGAGCGTGCAAGAACGACGACAGCGTCACACTTTGTTCATACAAGTACTTACTTATCTTGTTAAAGAAACAGAAAGTAGAAGCAACTCCATGTTGTAAATCAATGAGCCTGAATGCCTCTGCTTTCTGTATTTTTGAACACAGGTCACAAAACGAGAACACGCGTCGCCGGTGTGAATAAATCCTGTAGCTGTGCTGTCAATGTTATTTTCGACGGGGTTCCAGCACGATCAGATTGATAACTACTCATTCATCGGCCCTCCCAGAGGATCAGTACACTCATAGTGCTGCAGCACGTGCACCAGTCACATTTTTTCGTGCGCTTCGAGAAGATACTTCGACCTTGGCGGGGTAAATCAACTTCAACTACATCGTGGTGGGCGTGTCACATATTATAGGGAGAGAGCTCCGGGTTTTCTTGGAAGGGTCAATAGCGCATGTTCTGGTTTGATCGGGCTATTTTCACTTGTGTCCTGCTCCTACAATGTGGTCGGGGCTAATCAAAAAAGACTTAAACGGCGAGGCAGGCAACCATATACAACTAAGTAGAGTGCTAGACTACAAACGGTCGGCTCGGCGTTCATTTCCGCGCAGCCCGGCCACGTCCGCGCTGCCGCGCCGTGCCGCCGTTCTGCTCCTCAGCGGTCGTCGTTTCTTCGTCACCGTCTGCTTTTCCCCTCATTTCTATTTCTGTCTTTGGCTTGTTGCCGAACACGTGCTCGTCCAGCACCTCGTCGAGTGATTTGCCATCCTGTAGAAGAGTGTACTGCATCAGCGTTGCACCGAGAACGAGCTGGCAGTACTTTGCACCGGTGACCACACCGTAGATCTGCCACTCGGGAATCCCGGAGAGCATTCCAGTGATCACCAGGATCGCGGTGGGCACCGGTGCGGGGGACACTTGGATGAGAAAAAGACCAAACATGCCGTACTTTTGCCCGTAGTCCGCAGCGGTTTCGATCCAGTCCGACCCCATCAGTCCGGTCTTTTCCAACACATACTCGGCGCCCCCGGACTTCATCAGCGACATGTAGGTATACGCCGCGACCGTGCTGCCCGTGCAGAGCGTCATGGGACCGATCAAGATTCCCTTCAACCCCGGGTTCGACAAGAGGAACGTGGAGTAGAGCGTCCCCTGCATCACACCAACGCACCAGATCAGGGCGCCCGCGGTGAGGCTGTTTGTGATGGAAACAACGCAGATCAGGAAGGGAAACCACCAAGATTGTCCATACTGGACCACCGAGAGGGCAAACCCTCGAGCGGAATCACGTATCGACATTTTTAGATTTTGATGAACAAAAAGTGGCGACGTCGAGTGAGTGCGTCGAGCTCTAGTTGTTAATCTTTACTGTACTACTACTCCGCCCTCTTAATTCAGGATACTCCTTTCCACCTGAAACGAAAAACAATCGACATCTAGTGAGAGCGCGATTTCGCGTTTACTCATTATATTAAATTTGGGATCCTGTAGTCATGATGCATCCATACCTTCTAGACTTTCTTTGCAGCACCGAATGCAGCGATCATATTGAAAAAGGATCCTCTTGTATGTTGTTGCTCTTCTGTTCGTTGCCAGTTGTATTTGGAAATGATCGACACGTTCAGCTGTTTGATTTTGATGATCACGTTTTCCCCCAATAGTCGAATCGTACGAACATTGTAAAGGTGGAGCAGGAGATCTGTCCTGACGACTAACTATACATGCGCTATACGCTCATGCAAATGAGCGTAAGCCGACTCTCTGGGGTGTCGTAGTCGTCCGTCACCATCGAAACCGATAGCGTAAGAACATATCATCATAAAAATGGAACAACTTTCAGAAAGTTCATGCACGTGTACGCAAGCAGCTGCTATAGATGTTCTTTCGCGTCAGTGATTTGTTCCAACAAGACTAGGACCGCTGACACTACTACTCGCGCCTATAAAACGCGATGCTTTCCCGAACCCAGGAAAGTTCGCTTTTCGCACGAAGCCTCCGCGTTATCCTCTCGTCAAGCTTGAGGCCCAGGGCTTCGAGTCTTCTCCTTGATTCTGCTGGCGGTAACGTGTTGACGTGCCCCTCGCCGAGAATGTGCGGAGGCGCCCACGAAATGATCAGCCCATCCTTTGCGAAGTTGTTCAGGTTTGCCAGAAACTCGGCCTCGCGCTCACCTGGCGGGATGTGCTCGGCAACCTCGATACAGAGCACGAATTGCTTCGAAGTAGAAGACACAGGAGTGGAGGTCCGTTCGGCAGCTAAAAGACCGTCTTCCTCCGCAAGCCAACCGGGAAGCTGCTTCCGCAAGTCCTGCGTGAGGTCTGCCGCGTGTACGGTACCTCCGGAAATTTCGTTCACATTCGGCGAGCCCTCGACCGCGTGCGCGACGAAAATTCCGGTATCGTTCAGCCACCGACTGTACCCGCCATCCATGGCCCCAAAGTCAAAAATTCGAACCTTGGTGCTATAATCACTGTCGGAATCGCTTTGTTCGTCAAAAATGTCTTCCCCAGCCTCCGTTGTTTGCCGGACCGTGTCTTGCACGAAGGCGACCCCGAGCTCCTGGAGAACGACCCGCAACACGCCTTTGTCTATCAGTGCGGTCTCCGGGAACAGATCTCGGTACAGAAGCGTGGTGTTCGTGAACATACCCTTCTCCGCGTCGTGGCCCCAGTGGTGGCGGCTGTCGATGAGGGCGGGCTGCAACTTCGTGATGAGCTCCTCCACCACTTTGCGGCTGGACTCCACGACCTTTAGCACGGCAGAAAAATGCTTCTTCGGACTGTTACTGTTCGAGTACATGCCAAGGTCCGCCATCCAAAATTGCAGGTCCAGAAAACTCATCCAGCCGGTGCGCCAGTAGCGGAACACAGAATGCAACAGATTGCGGACGGAGGAAGCGAAGCAGTGTTTGAAGATCATCAGGAAGTAAGTGACCCTGCTGAGAAAACCGCTCAGCTGCTCCATCATGGCCTTAATCGGGCCGAACAGAATGCTGTAGTCCGGCTTTACCATCGCGAGCCTGGACGGAGATCCGGAAGAGGACGCAGCAGGAGCTGCTGATGTTCTTGGGATTTCGTCTTCTGTGGCCTGCTCGCCTTCATCCGCAGAAGTAGAAACGCTCCCGGTTAAGCTTGCCGGTACTTCGACTGCCATTCTTGGCGGCGCTCCGGGGGGCTCGCTGTCGACGTCTGAGCTCATTTCCATGAGCCAGGCCACAGTCTCGAAGCCCTTGACCTCGAGCTCTTGGTGCTCGAAGACAATGCCCTCCGTCGTCGCGAGCTCCGCTAGTATGTGTTCGTGCAGCTGCTCACACCGGGAATCGGTTTTGCTTGATGCAGCCGTCTCCCTCTCCGTAGTCGTGGTCTGTGCCCATGCGAATCGGTAAAGTTGCTCGCTGTCCGAAGCTCCGACCGTCTTCTGAAAACTTTGCTGGTGCAGAGCTTGCAACTCCGCGAAAAGCTGTTGGCGCATCGGCTCGCTACCATCACTGGGGGACTGCTGCGCAAGGACGAGGTCGAGGGGGAGGACATTGAAGACATTATTTGCCAACGGGGAAAAAACAAAAGAGGAGACGATAAAACTGAAATAATTTCGTTTGCGGCCCAAATGCAAGAATGATCGTCCCATTTCTTATGCACGCTGCTAACAGGATCAGGATCCCGTTGACGCGCCTGCACCAACTGGTTTATGTTTATTTACTTATTTTGGAGGTTGGTCAAAACGGTAAATAAATATGATAACGACTGAAATGAAAACAAGACGCACAAAAACGAGCACTTGAGAGCAGCAACGAAAAATATCGATGATGTTCTTGTTGTAGTGCCACACCGAGGCCGCGATGTCTTGCGGAAGCGGAAAGCTCCGCTGCAACCCTTGTTCAGTGTCCTGGTTGGAATACCATATAATGCCTAGGTCAAAGCTTGGAAAACTCGGTCGAGCGAGGTATGATGATCGGGGTCGTAGACGGGCTCGCGAACAGGACCGGCGGCGTACCGAATGGCGTCAGGATTTGCTTTCTTTCTCTTTTTTTTACATGATGACGTTTCACTCGATATTTGCCATAAGTAGACTCATCAAAGTCTACTAAGTAGCACTGTTTTGTCAAACAAAGAGATTCAGAGCGCCATCGGTCTTGAGCTCAGTGTTTGTTTTTCAGACGCACCGCATCATCTCTGCAACGTCCTTACTTGCTCACTGGATCGCTGTCGTTCAAAAGGGACTGATTGAAGTTGAGATTGATTGTCATGCCGTTTCGGAACATCGAGACAACTTTTGCACCGCTTTTGTTTCCTTCATGATCATGCGACTCTGCGAGTCGCCATGGTATAATCACGTATCGCGGTGAAACCATACATCTCCAAACTTGATGCCGGTGCTGCCACCCGTCGGACAGCGGCCTTGATCGCCGAGGACAGTATCCCAGAACGTCCCGCAGGCCTGTTCGACTGGTCCTCCTTCAGCGGATGCATGATCCACCCACCAAAAGGCACGAGCTTCAGAAAAGAGACCAAAGACCAGGTTGCCAATTGTGTAATCAGGTTGGAGCACCTGCGCCTGCGTGGTAGCATATTCGCTGGAGGTCGGTGCGAGTGCGGAAGGAGCGGTCCTAGTACTATAGGAACAAAAGAGTTCCATAGCCTTGAGCACTGGCAAAAGAAAGACCGTGTACATGGCGAGCACCTCCAAGACAAAGACGAGCGAGGGCCAGAACAGGGACACTGTGACCGGCACAAGGGGGCCGGACCGCTTTTCGGACATCTGGCCCTGCCTGAAGTTGACACAGGACTTAAGCACCACAAAGAGGGAAGCACTGACCCAGCCAAACAGCAGCGTGAGCATGCGCGCGGCAAGGAAAGGCTCGAAGTAATACGCCACACAGACCTCCCGTCTTTGGCAGGAATCCATCGTGCTCAGCGCATGGAATTGTGCCATGTCCTCCACTCGTTTTGCCAAAAGCGGGTCATGCGGAGTCGGGTCCTCAAAGAAGCGAAACACGTAAGAAACGGAGACGCCTTCCCCAAACACAAGTTGCACGGTTTCGAAGACCAGCATCAAAAACATTGCCAAGACCACAAACGCGCCGTGCCCGATAGACAAATACTTCTGCGACTGTTGTAAACTCATGCGCGTGGCCTCTGCCTGCAGTTCGATTTGCTGTGCCCGCGGAGCTGAAATCCTTGCTCGTTCTTCTTCATCAACACTCTCTCCTGCCTTATCCGCTTCTTTCGCACGGGAGGAAGAGTTTGCTGCCGGTAGTGGCGTGATCTCGTCGTGGTCAAAGGACACGGAGGGAAGACATGCAGTGAGTATGAATCCGCTCGCAGGCACCACGAGAAGCAGCAGTCGCAGACTCATCTCCAGGTAGGACTGAGTCACTGTAAAGCCGGTTCCGAGATCCGTCACCAGCGAATGCTTCAAGAAGCACCAGGGGCTGTGCAGTTCAAAGGTGTAACGACTCAGAATCACGAATACGCCAAACATCAGGAGGCCAGACGTGAAGATGATTCCCTCCGGAGAGCTCTGCACTTGGCACACGCTGCTCAAGGTCCCGTGTTCGTAGAAGTTCCAGGGTAGCAGGTAGAACTCCTCTTCTTCTACGCCATTTAACAGGTGGCCGAGCCCCCGCTTGCGCATCTTCTCGGCGTGCTCTCGCGTCGGAAACCGCCGCGGACACAGCACCAGTCGCGCGGGAAGCAACGTGATAGACACCGCAGCGAGGTAGGCCAGGCAAACAAACACAGTGCTGAACAAGGCCTGGCTCCGCATCCACCCGAACAGGAAAGCGACGACCAATTCCAACACGTACTCGTTGGTTGCACCTACGTCGCGAATGCGCTCAAACGCGGCTGTGGTGTTCTCCCGCAGAGCCAGCGCGAGTGATTGTGTTCTAGAAATGGCTGAGTGGTCCTCCAAACTATCTTCGCGGGCCCGTGCCTCCTGATTTCCGTTGTCTTCCGTCGGGGCACCCATGTTGATGCGCCCTGTTGCACCCCTCGCTTCCAGCGCGGCCTCATCCTTCTTGTGCTGACGCATAGCAGGGGAGGGCAGGCGACTGTTTGGCTCTCTCCCGGCTTGCAGTTTCTCATTCTCGACCTGGGGCTGCAAGAATGTCTGTTCCATTTCTTCCATCTTTCGTTCCTGTAGCAGTAGCTGCAGCTTCGTCTCCAGTTTTTCCACCTTCTGCGCCAATTTCGTAAGAAAAACCTCCGAAGGAGCGCTGCTAGACGATAGCTTCTCCGGGGTGGATCCATCACCTCGCGACTGCATATGCAGAGCAGCCGCTCAGCGAGTGCGGCATGAGATCCCAATTCGCCATCCTTTACTTGAAGAAGCGCTCCGCCCTCCGCCTGTGCGACGTTGCCCTGTGTTCTCTGCGCTTCTACTTCACCTGTAAGCAAAAAAAAGTCCGCGCTTCTCTCGGACATCATGTCGCCCGTGGCGTCCGGGTTTTGTGCGATTGGTTGGAAGACCTCGCCATCGTCTCCGAGGATCGGGGCCGCTTCTCCAATTTCTTGATTCTCAACCTCTTCCTGTGTTGCGGTGCTTTCCGCGCCTGTCACAAAATCATGCTTGGCGCCGGACCTGCGGGAAGTGCTAGCACTAGCGGATCGCAGCACACGCGCTGCTTCCAGACGGGCACCAGCGTGTACTTCTGCGTCGTGCTCCACTTGCTCTTCGGAGTAAGAGCCTCGACTCTCTCCGACCGCATGAACAAAACCACTAACGCTTGCGAAAAGGTAGAGCAGTAGAACCGAAAGATGCAGTCGGAGTCGCAGTCGCGCTGCCGCTCGTCCGCAGCGACGCGCGGAGGCGCACGAGCACGAGAAAACAAACACCGTGGCAGCAAGATTCATGCTGTCCATCAAGTAGATGTAGAATACTTCTCCATAAGTGCAGGCAAAAAAGAATATCTAAAGGTACCTTTTGCCTCCTCTACAGTAGCCGCCCGAAAAGATGAACAAATCTCCCTCCTCGTCCTCCTACTTTACTAAGACGTCGATGAAAAACAACCCAACATCATCTTAGCGGATTCATAAACATCAAATCGAAATCATGAAAAAGAAAAACACGTTCGGCAACTGTCGAGAAACAAACGGCATGTGTCCAAACTGCTTCATCACCAGTGACGGTTGGGGTTGAGGCTTTCCAACCGCACCACCGACGACAAAAAAATCATAAAGTATCTGAGGCTTCACGACAACATCTTAATTTTACAGTGGAAGACTCAACACACAGACACATGTGTACGAACCATCCTCGGTCCGAAATTGTACAACTGGTATGGCGATTCCGATTTTGCACTATTTCTACTAGCGAAACATTGCCGCTAGCGTATCCAAAAAGCCCCTCGCGGAGCCGGTAAAGGCGGCACCTTTCTTGTTCAAACTTTCCATTGTGATGTAGGCCAGGCCGCTGGGTTTCTCCACGTACGCGAGGAACTCGAGCTCATGCTGGTGCAGCTCGCCGGCCGGTATCTTGTAAATGCCGCCTTTCCCATCGTAGCAGGTCTTCTCTCGGTCCACGAGGTAAATCTGCCCCTCGCCGTCGTAGGCAAGACCCTGCGGACTGATGGCGTCTGCACTGACTTTGACCGGGGCAAGCACTGTTTTCGCGATCTTTTCGCCTTGCTCCGAAGCGTCCTCCTCGTCCAAGACAGCAGAGAGCTTTTCCCGCGCGATCACCGCGTCCCCGCTAGAAAAGAACGCCAATCGCCTGCCGATGGCGAGGCCCTGATAGAAAGAAAAAGAGATGTAGTAACTCTTGATTTCTCTCCTTTTCAGTCTCATCACTTTGATTTTTGATGTAGCGTGCAGCATTCCTATCGCTACAGGTGCAGACTCATACTCAGCCTCACCACACCGACCAGTATAGCCTATCGATACATTCTCAATTCAATTTCAAATTGAATTCCTTTTTTTGAATAAACAATTTACATGTTCGAGCATGTGGCGTGCCAAAAGAACCTCTACCCGTGCCGGTTCCGCTCCGATTTTTGCGTCGGCTTTGACTAGTGATTCCAGGGACTTCTCGCTCGGACTGACCCGGAAAAACGGCAGGCTGTGCGCGACAGTGGTCAGCGACGAGAGACTGGGCGGCGGTGCTGTCGTGGCAGGTACGGCGGACAGAAAGACATCGCGCGTCAGCTTTCGGTCACCCGTCCCGTACTCGCGATGCTCCCGCATCATGGGGTCCTTGTGATGCAGAGCGTCGCCCGAATCAAAACTGCTCAGCGTACTGTCGGGCAGGTTTGACTTTCCCAGTGCTGGCGCTTTTGCGTCTGGCGGGGCGGAGCCGAGGTCGCCGTTCGCGAAGTAGAGATCTAGGTCGTCCGTTCCCACGGCCCCCGGGGCCCAAACTTTGTTTCCCGACGAGGTGCGGTCCCAGACCAGCGCAGGATCAAATTTCTCCCCGCCGCCAATCTTCTTGCGCGATTGCTTGAAGATGCCTCTGAAAAGTTCCGTCGTCATTGTCTTATTCTTCGCGCCAGAATTCGCGTCAGAAGAGCCCTTTGCTTCCTCTGCTCCAACTTGCAAAAATTGGAAAGTGGTACCAAGCTGTGGATCAAAATCGTCTAACTGTGGACGACGACGACCCGTTCTTGGAGAAGATATTTCATTCACGATCTTGTTCGTTGCACTGTTCGCGAACGAAAACAACGGCGGTGCGAGTCTTGTGGTTCTCATCGTCTGCCGTTCTTCGCTGGTGTCGCTCGTCCGCAGAGGCCTCCTGCTAGGCAGAGGCGTCAATGACGGTCTGGGCGATCCCAAGATTTCCTTCAAAACATTCCCGGCGTGCTGTTGTTCTTTTTGCTCGTGGTCATCTTGCTGTGCCTCCAGAAACGCGGCTCCTTCGGCAGTCGCTGGCGGTGTGGCAGCTGGTGTTTCCACGATAACCTGACCCGAAAAAAACAGATCCCCGTTTGGTGCCACGGCCAGATGCTCTGCTTCGACCTTGTCCACCGCGGTTTTTGCGATGCCGTCGGTGGTCAGACGTCCCTCTTTTGCTTGTGAAAGGCCGTAAAACAGAATTTTCTGCTGTCCAGGGTCGGCCACGTAGAGACGTGATATTTCTGGATCGATAGCGAGCCCCGTAGGTCGAGAGAGATTTTCGCGGACCAAAACTTTCGCGGCCTTTCGCACACCAAGAGGAGGGTTCAAGTGCACGTACGAGAGCTGGGCCAACTCCGGCTGTGAGACGACGAGGTACTGCTCGATTTCCACCGGTCCGTCCGCACCAGCTGCAGTTGCTGCTGCGAGGAAGAGAAGCCCACGAAGAAGGAGAACAATCCTTGCCACCATTTTGCTCGACGTGGTCAACGTGAACGTTGACAAGTTCTTGTAGTTTCTATACGTTCTGTAAATGCTTCAGCTTTTTGCTGGAGGACGTTTCAATCTGCTGGAGGACGTTTCAATCTATAAACGCAAAGGTCAAACCGTGCGCACGGAAGCATAAGTATATTACTTATCATACACCACACAAGTCAGCTCTAGTTCAGTCCCGCTTTCGCTTGTGAATCTCGCTCGGTGCTTGTGCTTGACCACCAGAAAATGCACGTACACCACAACACTGCTACGCACAATTTGAATTTACACTATTTCTTCGCTGGTACTACGGTAAGTATGTTAACTAATCGCCTCGTGGTACGAAGACATCATTCACGCCAGTTCACTAGAACTCTCGTCTCATGATGGGAACACGCCAAACAAAGCTTGTGAAAGATATACTTAAAGTTAAATTATCAAGAACATGGTTCGCATTTGTCAATGCCGATGCAAAGCTTAGCAGCTCTAAGACGATGGCTTTCTTTTGCGATTTCTGTGGTGTCGATGTTGAACAAAAAAGTTTTGCGTTTGGGAAACTGCTATGGAATTGGCACCTATCATGCCTGCATCTGCAACTTCTACCTGCATGATGCCAACGGGAAAAACTAACCTAGGTAGAACGTTTTGTCCTTGTTGTTTCCAGTCGCAAGACGATTCTCGTCCGTCCGTGCCGCTGGGGTGTACTGAAACGATTGATCCGAAGAGACTCTACTTTCCCGCGGGTTAGGAAGCGGCAGACCACTATCGGGCGACGGGGAGTACAAAAATTTGTTGTCCTCTTCGTCGGTAACGGTTCCTCGTGGCCTTTTCAACGGCGGCTCTTCCGCAGGATCCGCGTCAAAGCCCGCGGCGACTTCGACAACGACAGCACTCTCCCCATACAAGTATCGGATGGCCTCGTTGCGGTGTTTCTCTGCGGCCAGTTCAGCTTTTGCTAAATCGCTTTTCACTGTGGCGAGCCGCGGCGAGACCAGTGCGGGTCCGTCGCCGCTCGATCGCCGTCTCTTCATCAGGAAAGCCTGGAGTCTGGCGCGGTTTTCTGCCTGCTTTTCATCTTGCAGCATGTCCTCGTCGTCCTCTGCCTGTGGAGAAACGTGTTCATCCGACCGCTTGGTTGCTGTTCCTGCCTTTTCTTCTGGCGCGAAGAAATCTTTTACAAGACGATGCATCGGAGCATGCAGCTTCGGGAACTTCTCGAACATGCGAAGCCGGTCACCAATTTTTTTTCGTTTTAGCGAGAGACTCGCATTCAGAGGCGCTTTCTTATTTGCCTCGTTCGCTGCGTCCATCTTCTTGTTCGGCCTTTGCACGACGTCGCTCCTGCTTGGCGACCGGTCGCGCTCCTCAAGTGCTCTTGGAAATTGGTCCGTCCGCAATTCGTTCTTCGCAAAAAGCTGTTTGCGTTTCGACGCACAGACTTTTGGCAATCCGAAGACCGTGAATTTCTGCAGTAACTCGCGCAAACTGCTAGTAGTATACGAGAGGCTGTGCGCAGCGGCAGCGCGTCCCTCGGCCCCGGCTCGCTGCCTCGCGAGAACTGGAGGCCGACCTATTCCGGCAACAATGGTGTGATACAGTCTCTTATCCGTGCCGGCTTCCCCCGCAGCTAGCAGGTAGCTCTCAAGTGTGTTTTCTGCGGCGTGGACGTACGATAGCATCTGGATTTTCTTGACTGCGGCGTGGTGGTCAGGGTTTTCGCGACCCTGCGCGACGGCTTTTCCAAACAAGTAGGTGGCGGGGGAAGTGTCCGCCTTCGTCCGCGACGCCATCTGTATCGCCCCACAGCTCGTCTGATCGAGGAAATACTTTTGCTGTATCCGGTGCAGAACATCCTTGTAGAATGACAGGGCTTCGTCCGATTGCCGCTCGTGCATCCTCGAATGCGGATGATACGCGCCCCCCCGACTGAAGAGATCCCAGTCCCGCTGCGATTCGATCCGCTCGCTCTTCTTCTCGAGCGCCGCAACGCCAAAGTCGGAGAGCTTACTTTTGAACCGCTGCACAAACGCCTTCAGGCAGTGCGAGACGCGCAGCACGTCGTCCTGCATCCACTCCCGCACGAGGCACCACAGGTGGTTTCGCAATCCAAACTTCGTGTCGATGTGCTCCGTTCCGGAGGCCGCTGCAGAATTGTTGTGGTCCCCGCCCAGGAAGGGGTCGAAGGAGCTCTCCACGACAGCTGCAGCGCCACTGGTCGCTCCTCCACCCGTCAACTTCATCGCTCTGTCCGCGGTCCACACTTCTGCAACCAGGGCCTGAACATCGGCGTCCTCCAGCAATGCAAGGTCCCAGAGCATCTCGTGTGCCGTAACCCACTTCTGCTGCTCGTACGTCGCGAACCAGCCAAGCACCTCTCTCTCCAGTTGGTAGAAGAAGTTGTCACCGACCTTGTTCTCGACCCACTTCAACGCGTTTTGCCCGGCGTTCTGGATCTCCTTCAGCGTCTTTTCCAGCAGCAAGTCGTCGTGCAACTTTTCGGATTCCCGCCAGAATTTCAGGCAGGCCAGGTTGGTGGCCTGTTGTGCGGTGTCCGTGGAGTCGAACATCAGATGCAGGGTGTCCGCGTTGAGCACCGAGGACCCCGCCACGGTCAGGTCCTGCTGGGCCGCGGAGTTGTTTCTGAAGTTGAACTCAACGCCGAACTTTTCCGCCAGCAGGTCCCGGGTATCGAGCCCGCGGTAGGCGTACTGATAATTTCGCCGTTTCTCTTCCTCGAACCTTGCGACCAATTCGTCGCGCTTTTCCAGCTCTCCGGGGAGGCAGGTGTGCGGCAGCGTCCCTGTGCTGCGGCCGAGCAGGAACCCTTTGATCTCGAGGTCTACGCGGAAGTACTGCGTCTCCACCGTGTTCAGAAGGAAGGCCTGGCGGTTGCGCGTCATGTTCTTCTTTTTCGCCGTGGTGTCAGTCACGCCCGCATACTCGCCCTTCGACTTGATCACCGGCTCCGGGTGCAGCATCGCGTCCGGAAGCCGCGTCTTCGGGTCCAGGAACGAATCGTACAGCTGTGTATCAAAGTAGGTTTGCTCCATTTCCTGCTGGTACTCCCGCAAGCACCGGGACACCTTGGTCGTGTCTCCGAAGTCAAAGGCGAGCGTGTGTGCGGGCGGCTTCCTCTCCAGACAGATCAACACTTCCCGATCCTGCTCTTCCAGCGTCAGACTACCGCGGCGATGGCGCTGCTTGTTCGCCGCCGCCGCCGCCGCAGCTGCGGCCGCCTTCGGGGTCAGATTCTGCTTGGTCTCTTTCTCTTTCGGGGGACTGCTCGACCTCATGATGAGAGCAGAGGAAGTTTTTGTCTTAGGATCGAAGCCCCGCGAATTAGCGTTACGCTCGAGAAATCGCTTCTGTCTTGCTTTTTCCATGTCGTATTCTTCGATGGTCTGCTTCACAGAGTGCACTAGGGTCTGGCTGCTGATTTCCTCGCCGTCCTCGAAGTTGTTGATCGCACTGTCGACCTGAAGGTCGCTCTGGTACACCGACTGGCAGACCTTCTTGCAGTAAAGGGGGAGATCGATGCAGTGATTGGGGGTCAGGTCGGAGTCGTGGATTTCCCTTTTGTCCGCCTCCGTCAGCATGGGCTTGTTGATTTTGTTGGGATGGCTGTCGTACAGGCCCCAGTTTTTGCGGTCCGAAAACGCGTGCATGTAGAGCCGGAGAAAGTTTTTTGGGATTGACTCCGCCCACTGTCGCCAGGTCGGCTTTACCATCGTCGTCGCGTCGGCCACCCTGTCCCAGGCTATGTAGAGCTTCTCTTCGAATAAATCTGCGTCGCCGTGATGCAACTCGTCTCCGCTCTGTGGCGCACTGCTTTTGGCGTTCACCAGCGGAACATGCCAAACCCCCGGGTCCGGCAGAGATTCCAAATCGCGCTTGTTCAGGTGTTTCATGATCGCTTCGTGCAAGGAACGAACCCCCTGGTAACACACTTCCCGGCGGAAATCGTGCTTGACGTCGTGCGAGGGTACGTCCGTCCGCTTTGGAGGGCGCTGGCGCTTTATCAGCGGAATCTTGGGCGCCGTCTTCTGAAAAAGCTCGTCGTGGTTCTGGATGTGTTCGCTCAACCAGTATTTCGTTCCTTTCGGTAAATTATGTTTCAATGCCGCCAGACCGTGGAGCTGCCGCGGCCGTTCTTTCTGCTGCGTGTGCCTCTTTTGCTCGTCCTCAATCTCGTTTTTGTGCGACCGTCTTTCAGGCGACTTCGATTTGCTTCGCCGCCGTGGAGATTGCGATTTCGATCGTCGCCGGGGAGACGCGGCAGCCGCCTCGTGCGTCCCTTCCTTCATTATCTCGGGAGGAGGTGCAGCCAACGATTCGGCCACGGCTTCCTTGTCAGTCTCTCTACTTCCCCGCTCGTCTTTTTCTTCGCCGGCGCTTTCCTTATTTTCCTTGCCCTCTCTGCTCTCGGCGGCTCGCTCGCGCTCGAGCCGTTGCTTTGTTTCCCGCGCGGCGCGGTCCCGGGCCTCCTGCTCCTTGCGCTCTTTCTCCTGCCGTTCACGCTCCCGCTCCTGGATGGCGCGCTCCTTTCGCTCTTTGGCCCGGGCAACGCGCTCCATTTCGATGTGGATGATGTCTTTGGTGATGGCATCCTTCTGGAACATGAAATGCATCAGCAACGCGTCCTCCGGGTGCAGAAATTTCGGCTCGGCGTCTCCAAGACTTTCCACCGCCTGCTTCCGGTCCAGGACGATCTTCTTCCGCAGCCGTGCGAGGTTTTCGTTCGCCAGAGGATCCTTGCTCCGCCGCTGCCACGGCAACCCGCCCCAAAGCAGCTCCAGTGCCACGTAAAAGAGACTCATGACGTCGTCGAGCGGCGTCGGCTCGTAGCCTTTCAGCGTGTCCAGACTCCCGTAAAGCGGCGTACCGCGGTACCGCGTCGCATCCGGCTCCTCCAACAGTTTCTTCGTTTTCTTACTTTCGTACAGCTTCGACAGCCCAAAGTCCACGAGCATCAAACGCATGACCCGGCGGTCGGTGGTGGTGCGGAGCATCATATTCTGCGGCTTGATGTCGCAGTGAACCAGACCGGAACGGTGGACGTGGTCGAGTGCGCGCAGGCCCTGGAGCGTCAGCCAGGTCACTAGGGGCACGGAGAGGCGCTGGGCGACGCTCTTCAGGTAGCCGACCTCGAAATCACAGAGCGTCATCACGATGTACGCCGAGCCGTCTGGCTCGTTGGTGCTGCTGCGGATCAAGCGGACTACGTGGCGCGTCCCCGCGATTTTGGCGACCCGCTGCAGAAACTTGATTTCTGCGTACAACCGCGGCCGTTTACCCGCCGTCTTGCGGCTTCCCTTCTCCAGCTTCAAAGCGTGCAGCTCGCGATCGGTTATCTTGTCCATCAGTTCGCGTGGGGCGACGCGGTAAACGGCGCCAAACCCACCAATACCGATCTTGCCGCAGTTTCGCCACAGTTTGCGCACGCCGGGCGGAATCTCCTCAAAACTAGTCAGCAGAGTATTCGAGTTCGCAGTGGACGTCTGTTGAAGTTGCGCAGACGCTGCTTTGTTCGGAGCAGGTTGCACGTCATGTCGATCTTCGTAGAGGTACCTGTTGTATGGTGAAGGGACAGCGACCCGTTGTGCGAGGTAATTGTATTGACCGACGTACCGTACGCCTTGCACTTGCTAGATTGATAGTATACATGACAATGACAACGTTTCGAAATCACAAAAATGCTGAAATCATTTTTTTCAAATGTATGCAACAAAAAGTAGTACGCTTCGTGTTGCTGAGCCATATCTTCCGCTCGCTTTGCCGCATCCGGATCCGCGTACAAAATTTTTTGCGGCCTGATGCTTCCTGTTGTACTAGCCGCGCCAGATTCCGCACCGCTCTTCTTGAACATGGCTTGGTTCAGACGCGCGGCAGCACTCGCGTCGGCGTCGGCGCCCTTTGCTGCCGGAGTACCTGCAGCGGAAGCTGTGCTGGCGCCGTGTTCGTTCTGCGTCGCGCCAGATGTCGCAGTGGAAGAGCCTTGCACATTTGCCGTCGTGCTGGCCATCTGGTCCCGTTGGGTAGCGGCGCCGGAGGAGGCGCTGCCGAGCCCCACTTGCAACCCCAGCGCCGCACGAAAAGACGCGGGCTGGCTGCCACCGACGCGCGTGGCGTACTTGTTCACCTTTTGTGCTTTTGCGGTCGCCGCCGGCCGGTCAGCGGCGGTTCCCGTGGGGCCGGAGTTTCCGGTGAAAATACTCGCCGGTGCAACAGGATTGAGGTTGGTGACTTTGTTTGGCGGTGGTACAACTGGTGCACCTGTCTTGCCGGGAACTGGCGGTCTCACGACCGTAGATACACCGCGTGAAACTTTCACCGTCGCGGGCCGATCTTCGGGGTTGGGGGAATCGGATTTCAAGACGCTGGGGAAGGTCTTCAGTGCCGGAGCTGGGGTGGAAGCTGCCGACCCCGAAGTTGTTGTCTTTGCGGCAGCGGGAGCGGCTTTTGCCTTGCTTTTTGCAGCTGCTTTGCCTTTGCCTCCCTTTCCCTTTGCCGCAGATTTTGCTTTCGCAATGTCAGACTCCTTCACTACACCGAACCGCAGGTGTGCAGGCACGGCTTTCCCTGCCGCCGCAGCAGCGGCTTTTGCCGCTGCGGGACCGGACGGCTTCGCTTTCGCTTTCGCTGAATCCATGATATAGTGGGGGCGCCGGAAAAGTTCTTGTTGTAAGTGTAAGAGGAGCAGAATTACGAACTACTTTCTTCTACAACTATGCAGGTCGTTTGAAAAATTCGGGCCTGCGTCTGCGGAGTCTATCGGTCGCTGGGTAAAACAACGTAATTGTAGTCTGAAGCAGAAGTGGCTGCTCTTCGAGAAACAGCTAAGCAGCTGTACTAGCCTTAGAGACATTACTGTTTGTTACCAGGTCGGCAGAAAACAAAGAACCACGTAGTAATCTAATTCGATAAAAATCATATCGTCGCCTGCTAATGAACATGAACATGAAGTTATTCTCTTTGGGCAACATCTGTATCTATGTATACGTTTGATCTGCTAGTATGGCGAGCGTCGTCCGGCTCCAATTCTAAATATTTTTTCTTACAACTTTTGGACAGGAGAACGCGATTAGATGCTGATGGATGAGCAGTGCTTTTGTTTGTGCAAATCATGAAGGTCTTGTGCCGCACGCTGACAAACGTTGATGTTGGAGGCACACGCACATCAACGCTTCCTCTTCATTGCTTAGCGTGGATCTTAGCCAGTCGCGGCTAAGACTAAGAGCTGTGAAATATATGCAACAACGCTGCAACTTGGGAACATAATGCTGCTGGCATGACAGATACGTCACTAAGTGGCTGCGTCTTCCGGCGAAATCGCTGAGCCTTGTTCCCTGGTATTTTCATTTCAAAAAGAACCAAGCTCGCAGAAAAATTTTGTAGTTTGACTTTGTTTTACATGCTTTTCGTCGTTGCCGTGGAACGAACCTACAGGGATCAACCTGATGAAGCGGGGACGTCACTCCACATCCACAACATTCCTCATCCGCAAAAATGGAAGGGAGAGAAATTTCCTCTCGTCTGTAAAGTTCATTTTGACAGGAAAATTCAATGTAGAGCAAGCTTCTTAGACAAAACATAATTAGTCAGGCGAGCTTGAAAAGCTGGAAGGAAAATTCAAAAAAAGAAGTTCACAAAAAGATATGAAATCAAATTCGAAAAACAAAAAAAGTTCGCGAAAAGTTCTAGGCAAGAGATACACATTATTTCAATTTCTCTCGCTATCTGAAGGGCATTTTAATCTTTTGGGAGGTAAGACCAAACCATCAAGCTAAAAGAGGATGAAAAATCATACAGCAATCCTTACTGTTCGCGACGAACCTAGAGCAGAAAACAAAAGCAATGAGTACTATTATATCTTTTGAGAAAGGCAAAACTTCTGCTATACCATTTTCGATCCAGATTTGTGTGAAAGCAGAAGTAGTGTAGTTTCAGTTCTCGCTGTGAGTGAGAAGCGCGGCGATCTGAATCTAAATCTAAAGCTCACTGGGGGAAAATTCTGCTTCTATTTCGTTGTTTTCTCCACAAAAATCATTCAAAATCCCTGTAATAATCCGAGCTTCGTCTTCGGTTGAAAGGAATTCTTCTTGTCCTGAACAAAACGAAACAAAATTAGTACTCAACATTGTTTGATGTAACTTCACCTCACCCTTCCTTCGGCGTCAAGCTGGCCCCTGACATGTCGACTTGCATTTGATGATCTTCGCCCTCGACACCCTCGATTCCCGCCGCCTCGAACAGGTCATCGGCGACAGCAGGGGTGATAGCACCCGTAGTCAGGCCACCGGACACAGTGGCGCTGCCTGCAGGAGTCAAACCATTGGTCACGACTGTCATGCCACCATCCTGGATATTTTCACCACCTGGGGTCAGATCGAACGCCGGGGTAAGCGTTTGCCCATTTGACAGGTGCGCGGAATTCTTCGTCATGTCGCCACCTGGTTGGAATTTCACGTCTTTCGTTCTATTGCCCTTTGCTAGTATCATGCACTTGATGCAGTGTGAAAGTGAAATCACGAGAGCGTTCGATACACATACATCAGACGGCTAGGGCTACTACAACAGGATGGAGCATTCATTGATTCAGAGGATAAGGAATGAAAATACCAACGACATTTTGCAGGAGCGAGGCATCGAAGTCGTTACCCTCCCGCGGCTCTGGGAGGCTGAGGTTCAACATGGGTCCGCCGGTCGGCTCCTGGAGACCAAACATCTTCGAGGGATCGGGATCCTCACCCGGATTGAACACACTCGTCAGCCCTGGCGTCGCTTCACCCTGGAGCTTGTTGACTCCTAACGGGTCCAAGTTGGGCATCGGGTCGACGGTCTGAAACAGAGAGCCCATCGGAGCCTGTTGCTCCCGCATGTGCTGCAACGCCTCCTCAGAGTTCGGAAAGATGAGGTTCGCTGTGGTGTAAAGTTGTTTTCGTTTTGCTTTCCTTTTCTTTGTTTTGATACGCATAGAAGATCCTGTATTGCAAGTAGCAGTATTTTCATCCTTGGATTGAATTTCCTGGAAATGCAGATAGAAGCCGTACGTTTCTGCGACTTGCACAACATTCAAACTCAGAGTAGCAGATCAAGTAATGCAGAAATACCTGTGTCCTTCCCGTACTGCACGGACTGGTCGTACCGGCGGATGTGGTCACCACGGATCCGCATCGTCAACAAAAGGTCCCGGACCATCACGGTTTTGCGGCGCGCGTGCTTGGCGCAGACGTTCATGTCCTCCATGTACCCGATGATGTACCGCTCGGTCGCCTCCTGAAAAAGGGTGAGCGCCTCGAGGTTGAACCGATACTTCTTCCCCTTCGCGTTGCATCCCGTCCCCTTTGTGACCTTCATCAGCACGCCCTTCGCCATGCGCATAAATGCCGCATTCGGAATCTGAAACCGCTTCGCTTCAAACGGATCCCTCCGAGCCACCTGGTGGAACAAGTCGGATTTCTTCCCCGCCAACAACGTGGCGTTGGTGTAATTTTTCGTCGAAATGTAGTCCACCTTGTCGAATGGCTTCTGGACGTGGTCCGTGTTCAAAAATGCCTTGTTCTTATTGGCGTTTCGCATCTTGATCTTCCGCCCCCGTTTGTCCACAACCCCCAGCTCCTGCAGCAACTTCCCCGTACCCAAATCATGCAAGTGGCTAGCCAGGTTCGGCGGACTGGCAAAAGGGTCCTCGCTCGGGAGAACCATTGCAGCTGCACCATCATCCCCCGGCTTCAACATCGCGTCCTCGGCCGGAACAGCGGGCGGCTCGGCAAAAAACTCGCGCAGCTCCTCAGCATCCTCTTGCGACTTGGACAGAACAGGCGCATTCTTACCTGTGGACATTAACAATCTATCTTTCTGTGGACCCGGTCATCATAATGGAATCAATGAATATGATCACTATACCTCTACATTTATCTCTACGGCATTCGCAGAGTGAAACTAATCGATGGAGCATCGATCTGCACCAGCACTAGTTTACTGCCAACTCTGACATAGTGGATGCTGCACTAAAAACGTACTTTTAGTTTTACCTTTCTCTTCAGCCATATCCGCATCAAACTCGTCCTGCTTTTGCTTCTTGGCTTTCATCTTCATTTTCGTATTTCCTCCGCCGGTGACCGGACCTTCTCCGTCGTTGGCGACCGAGGCAGCACCGCGCGCACCGGTGGGTAACTTCTGCATATCCTCCTGCATGTGCAGTGCTTTTTCGTCGTCGCTGTCGAAGACCGGCTGTTTTCCCAAGCGCCGCAGTTCCGCGCGGATTTCCTTGTCGTCGTATTTCGGGGGAAACTTCGACTGCCCATCAAAAGGCGAGAAAAACAACTTGCGCGGCACCTGCGGCTCATCGGCATCCCAAAGTCCGGGGACTTCCCAGAGCGGGAATCGCGTGCCATTCACAATATGTGACATCGTTTTCTCTTGACTTGTCTGTGTGGCGGATTATCGGGTTTCAGATGAAAGCGAGAGACAAAGAAGAATAGATAGAGAGCCCTCTATCTGTAGTTTCTCTTGTTGTCAAAGCGGGTTTGAAATGACAAGTAATAGATGCAAAATCCTCACTAACGCCTCTTGATGATTTGGGAGTAGGAGGATATTAAGTGGATGAAGCAACGAGTTGCAAAAGCTGTAGGTACTCCACGTATCTTCTCTGCTGTGATGTTAATCTTAATGCACTTTTGAATGAAGATTTTTGCTTGCATTTTGCTTCAGTTTTGACTCCATCACCTCTCTCGCTCGCTCGAAACAAAGTCCCCATTTTTGCACAAAAAAAAAAACCCAGATATTTGAAACTGCGCGACGAGCTGCGACATAAGAAAGCAAGAGAAGACTGTGCTGTATTGTAGTTGGTTTTGTTTTTAGCAACAATTTACGACGACCACATCGAACACCAACTGCAATTCCAAGCAATATTCGTGTTTCTCAAAAAAAAGATATCTCGACGGCTTTTGCCTTCCGCTTTCCTTGATGTGGGGCAACTATTTATCATGCTCCGCGAAAAAAAAAAGAGAGCCGCCTCATCTCATTGGGCGGGTCGGCTTTCTTCGGGAAAAAACAAACAAAAACCAGAATAACCTGAGAATGAGGAAAAAGTTTGATAGCTAGATGCAGCATGGGATATCAAAACGCACTTCTTGATCTTGATATCCCAGATACAAAGTCCTTGTAGGAAAGACATGCTGATTTGATGGTGAAGAGTAACTTAAGAAGATGACGTCATGTTTATGACGTGATCTTCATCTTCCATTTTTGTCAAATAAACGCAAATTAAATATGAATCCTAGACAGTGAAAAGGCAAAGATAAAGGCAAAAACACATCACACAACTAGGCTGTGCGGTAGATTACTCTAGCTGCTCAATTTCTGAAGTAGCCGCTGCGCGTAGCGGTGAAGCAAATTTTCGCCTGTTGTTGACGACGCCGTGCTAGTGTTTGTAGATTCGTTCGCCGCAACGGCGCCCTTGGTTCGCAGAAGGCCTTGCGCAAATTGCTCTGTTTGCAGCTCCCGCAGGCGTTGTTTGCACAGGGGATGTACGGCGAGATTTCCGAGGGAAAAAAGCGCGATCTTCACGGAACTGTCTGACTCAGCCCGTGCGAGCACCGTGCTACTGGATGTCGACGTCGATAAGGAGCTGGTGCTGTTGAAGTTTTCGTTCCTGGGACAGCCAATAAGTTCCAGTAGGGCTTCCAACACTCCTTGAGTGACGATTTCCTCGCACAGCTCGCTCGAGTTCCGCACCAGGTTTCCGAGTGCGCCGGCCGCGTTCGCTCTCGTTTTCTCGTCGTTGCTAAGTTGCAGCAAGTCGCGCAACAACGCGACGGAAGGGAGGAGTTCGCGGTACAGGTAGTTTGAGTGAAACGCCGAATTTCCCACCGCGAAAGACGCGAACTTTCGCGTCGTAGGGTCCGGGTCGCGACAGAGCGGCACCAGCTTCGCTAAGACCCCGGTTCGCGACAGGTGCGCGTAGAAGAAGTCGGAGTGCCGACTCATGTTTCCGACCACGTTCGCGGTCTTTGCACGAATATTCGCATCATTGCATTGCAACAAGTGGCAAATCTCCGTGTACATGTTCAGTCGATGCAAAGCAGGGTAGAATTCTTTCGAAAGCCTCGACAACTGCGATAAGATGAGCAGCACGTCGACGACAACATGCGGTTGCTTTTGGGCGAACTCGGGTACCAAGCACTTTTTCTCGGTGCAAAGAATCGCCAGGCCATTGTGCTGCACGAACTCCTGCGCCAGGGAGGGGTGGTGCAAGACTACCGTCGACAGCAGCTGTGTCGCCATGGAGAAGGTGCTTGCGGTGTCGTTCGTCAGCGTACACCTTTGCACCCACTGTAGTATGCCCTTGATCGGTTTCCACAGCCCCGTCTGCTGCTGCAAAAAAAGCGGATAGATGTTTTTGTTGCTGCTCGCCTGACAGAGTGCGCGGTTCACGAGGTCGTAGAGGACGCGGAGGGCCGTGAGGTAGTGCGTTTCGGGAACGGAATACACCGCAGAGTCAAGCTGCGACTGTGTGGTGCTTGACCTGGTAAAAAAAGTGCAGTTTCATTATCCGTGTGGTGGTAGTGCTACTCCTACTTTCATTTGTTTTGACATTTTTGACTTTCTGTTGCCTGTACTACCATTTCCATAACTGTCTATACTGGCGGGCCGTCGTCCAAAAAAAAAGTTTTTGATTCTGGCACTTACCCGGAGTAACACGATGCCGCACACTCCAGTGCTCGCAGAAAGAATTTGAATTTGCTCTCTAGGCCCTTGCCGTCGATTGCCGATCGGAACGAGTAGAAGACGTCCAAGGCGGCAAGTAAACCGCGCCGGCCAACTAGGCTGCAGAAGTCGTTGGCCGTGTGCGACGAGGACGACGAGGAAGAGGATCCGCCAGCCGTAGCCGCAGCGCTCGGGCCTCCCCCATTCGGTGCAGGACTCGCTGCATTCGACTGGGTTGGGCTGCTGCTGTAGCAGGAAAAAATGGGCGTCACGAATTCACGCAGCACCCAGTCGTCCTTCTCTTTAGCGAGTAGCATTCGCAAGCTGAGGCACTGCAGGACACTGTCCAAGACCCCTGAATCCGCGAAACCCAGAAGTAGTCCTTCTGTGTCACACATTACGTCGACCTTACATATTCATCATATTTGTACATTGGCAAATTCAAAGTTCACACAAAAATACCTGCCTGTGTGTAGAGTTACTGGAAGCTCCCGTCCACGAGCAAAAAGAATTTACAAAACCATATGAAAATCTTTTGAATGTGGTTTTGTTTGCCGCTTGCAGCACCACTAATCAATTATGACGCTGCCGAAGTCAAGGTAACTCACAGTATGCTTTGTACCCCAGTTGGTGACAGCTTTTTTCCGCCGGCAAGCATGCTGTCTTCGGGCTCTATTTCTGCGGACAAGGACTGATCCGGCACCCACTTATTTCTGTTTCTTGCTGGTGGCACGAAGTCCCCGGCGCTAGAGCAGTGTGATAATGAGTACTGGAACAGGGCGTGCAGCCATGGGTCGAGCACTTCGAGCGGCGCGTAGGTGTCCAGCTTGCCGGAACGGTAAAGTATCACAGCGACGCGGAAAATCACCTCTAGAATTCGGGTGACGAAGCACACAACGGGGAGGATCTCGAGGCCCCCTGTCTTAGACTGTATCCGCTGCAGCAAGTTGCCCCGCGCCTGCAGCGCCGTCACCAGGTGCTGGAGATGGTAGGACTCGCACCAGGGCCGCCAGCTGGCCTTGGCATCTTCGAGGTGCGCTCGACTGCTGCTCGAGGAGGTCGTGCCGGGACTGGAAGTGGCCAGAAAAAAACACTGCTGCACGGGAAGCGCCTCGGCGAGGACCCGAGCCCAAAGCGCGCCGCGCAAAAAGCGTTCGGGACAGTTGGCTTCGAACAAGAAGCTCAGCTGCGAACGGAGCTGCGTGCTATCACCTGGTTCGTTATCAGCAATTATTCTTTGTTGATTTAATTTCTGTGCGACGAGCAAATACCACTGAGCAAAGCACATATCTTATGAAGCCCAAGCTGCTGCTGCGAAAGCCTTATTCATTAACCCAATATCACGATACACAATCCTGTCCTTACCATATGTCCTGCTGATGATGTCACTGAGCTCCTGGGGCCGATCCAAAGCGAGGAGCACTTTAAAGTTCCCACTTCGTTGGAACTCGGTACCCGTTTCGAATAGGTGTGCGAGCAGGTTGTCCCCGGTGAAGGTCTCCCGCACGACTTGCAGCGTTTGCCGCGCCGCACTGAGCCCGCTCGGCGAGAACGCGTCGCCGTCCGCTTTGGGCCAAGGCAAAAACCTCGGCGACGTGGAGCAGTGAGGGTGCACGAGTTTTGCAATGCACTGCACGGCGAGGTGACTCGCGGTTTCCGGGTTCAGTGCGCCCGGCTGCGATGACGTGGGATCCGATCGGTCCAGAACCAACTCCCACAGGACCGGCAGCACACACCTCAGGTGGTTCGTCAACTCCGTGCGGTTTTTCGCTAGCCACCGGTGCGCAGAGAGCGTCAGGTAGATGTTGGAGAGACACTGCAGGTGCTGGGCCAGCAGCAGCGTTTGTTTCGGGTCCGGCGCGGCCGCGCCTTCGCCGCGCCCGGCTGCGAAGAGCGGCATGGCAAACACATCCATGTACTCCTTCATCGAGGGAAGGATGAAATCCACGCCGACCGAGCTTGAGAAATTTGTGTTCGCCGCCGGAAGCCAGTAGTGGAACGCGCGCAATACCTCGATGATCAGCATTGGATAGGCCTTCTTCTGCAACAGATGCCGCAAGATGCCGAAGAGTTCTTTGGGAAAGTCGTTGTACAAATCCTGCTGCTTTCGATCGTCTACGTAGCGCAGCTTCTTTTCGCCGGCGATGCGCAACACCCACTGCACGCTGTTCAGGATCTTTCCCAACGGCGGCACCCCCGGAAGTTGCACGTCCTGTTCCGGGAGTTGCTTACAGCTGGACAAATTTACCTCCCAATACTTCTGCAGGAGCTGGTGCTGGAGCTGCAAAAACTTTTCGTCCTTGTACAATGTCGTGGCATAGTGGTTTTGAGGATTGTTCGCAGTGCCGCTGCTAGAGGACGAGGAACTGCTGCCACCGGCCTGGGTGTTTGAGAACGATGGGGCGCTTGGTGTCCCGGCGGTCAGAAAGTTTGCGCTGTTGAAGGCGAATGCGTACTGCTTCAGGCTGGGCGTGGTCGCCGCGGGGTCGTTGTCGTCGAATTCGAGCTCGTCGACCGTATCCACCGTGCCCATCTTTGCGCCCATCGACGGACCGTCATCGTTCTGGCTCACCAGCAAGTTCTCCCCCGACGTGTTTTCGCCTTGCTGATTGCCATTGCCCCCATCCGCGTTTCCGTTCTCGCCGCCCACGCCGCCGTTTTGTCCGCCCTGTTGCATCATCATCCCGTGCTTGGCCCCCGCGCTGGGTCGAGACTTGTTCGCGGCCCCGGCCACAAAGGGGTGGTGCAGCAACCCCGGCCAGGAGAGCCGCTGCTGGGGGTCCTTGCGCAGCAGACCCTGCAGAAAATCCTTGAAGTGCGCCCCCATGTTTGAGGGGTAAGAGACGGTGTCCTTGACGATGAGGTGGATCAAGCTGTACAAGCTGTTAGCGTAGAACGGCGGTGTACCGACGAAGAGCTCAAACAGGATCACGCCCACCGACCACAGGTCCGCGGTGTGGTTGTAGGGCAGCTCTTGCACCAGCTCCGGCGCCATGTACAGTGGTGTCCCCTTGATGCTAGTCAGCACCACCGTGTTGCAGCTCATGGCGCGTGCAAACCCGAAGTCGCAAAGCTTGATCTGCTCGTTGGGCCCGACAAGCACGTTCTGCGGCTTCATGTCTCGGTGGATGATGCGGTGGGAGTGCAGGTAGTGCAGGGCCTGAATCAGCTGCACTGCAATCGCCTGCACCTGAAGTTCAAATTTTCTCAAGTACGGTTTACAGAAGTAGAGTTCATCTTGCAGAGAATGTCAACATCAATCTGGATCATTTTGGCCCGTCCTCATCAGGTCGATGAGGAAAACTAAATAAGGGGTACTTCTTCTTCATAATCACGATCTTTACTTACCTCTGGCTCCGGGAGGTTTTTGTCGTCTTGGAAAACATCGAAAAGCTCTCCGTGGGCGAACTCGGTCACGAGGCAAAAGTCCGTTGTTGTCTCGAAGCTGTCGAACAGACATATGATGTTTGGGTGCTCCAGACGCTTCAAAATGCTGATTTCGGATCGCAAATTCCTTAGGTCCTTGTCTGACTTGCCCCGCTTCGAGATGAACTTCAGTCCGACGATCTGTCCGCTGTACTTCCGCCGGCCCTTGAAAACCTTGCCGAAGCAGCCCTCGCCCACCAGATGAAGCACATGATAGCGATCCATCACGTCGAGCCGGGTGCTCCTCCTCCTCTGCGGAGTGGAAACCTAGTGTACCGCCGCTCCCGCCCTCGTCCTCGTGACTGGTGTGCTCATTAACGCAATTCCTGCAGCTCTGTTTCGCCAGCGCTTCCTCTGCTACAGACCACGCAGGTGGTCGCTAATGGCGATAATTGGGATGACATGTTAGTCTATGCGTTACCGAAACCTCATCGCACGCACTTTGACTTCATTTCCTTGATACTTTAGATTTTCTTTACTATCTTTTACTTATACTTTTTTCTTCCTTCATCTTGCATTTGGATTTTCATTTTTGCTATATCACGTCTACGGTACTGCTATCGAGCCTGCAGCGCAGGCGTCACCATCATTAATGTTCAACATACCGACCACACTTCAGCAACCTGAAAACGAAAAGGAGTAACACAGCACGAACACCTGGAACTGCGCGACAGACACAAGCCATTTAGAATTAGAATGAGATTAACATTAAGATTTACGAAAATGAGAGAAAAATAAAACAAAACCGCGCTAAGAGCAGGCGTGGCCAAACCCAAACGCGAGAACACGGACCATAGAACACAGACCCGCTTGCGTTTGCTCAAACGTCCATGAGCATCGGCCTAGGACGAGCATGGTGCTCAAAGTAAAGTGTGGATGTATGATGGCGACCACGTTGCGCCGCCATCGTTTTTCGACACCAACGACGACGTTCTGCCGTAACCACTAAGACAACTTTGCAAGTTCTTCGGAGAAAATCGCGCAAAAACGTGCGAGGTCTGTGAAGGTATTGTACAATGGTGCCGGCGTAATGCGAAGTGCATCTGGCCGCCTGTAGTCCACGACGACTCCGCGCGCTTCTACCGCCTCGTGCACCTTCTTACAGGTGTCTGATTTTTTGAACTTCAAAGTCAGCATGGAACCCCGGCTGTCTGGGTTTTTTGGCGTAATAATTGTGAACGGCTTTATTTGTAGTTCTTCCTCACCTGCTGCCGCAGCACCAGTTGTCTTCCGCGAAATCATCTCCGGCACTACTTCGTCCAAGAGTTCAAATAAGAACGCGGTCAGCCTTTTGCTCCGAACGCGCAAGTCCTCCATGCTGGTTTGGTCGAACACTCGGAGGCTGGCGATCAGACACATCATTAGCATGACACCGGGGTTTGACAAGCTGAACGCTTTCGCCCCTGCGGCCGGCTGGAGTTTATGCTTCATCTCAAATCTTGTGCTTTTGTCGTGGCTCCACCAGCCGGCGAGCCGCTTCGTGCCCACATCCTTCGACCACTCACGGTTCAAGACGTGCTCTGATGTGCGTTAGCAGAGAAATCATTCTTGCCTTTAGCACTTGACATCACTGCGCTTGCGTACAAAAAAGAATGTAGGTCTCAGCCTTAAACCTGTAAAGAACCAAAGAAAGAACAAGAATTGGTTCCTTACCGTCCCCACTACCGCCGTGCATCGGGGGCACCTCGGAAGCCTCTCCAGCTTCTTCCGATATATGTCCTATCGAGGGTGTGCTTCTCAGCTTTATCACCTGCTGGTTAGTCGGAGTGCTTTCCGCATACGAAGACCTTTCCCGCAATACGTCATCCTCGTCAATAGTTCCTGAACTTAACGCCGCCCCGTGCTCGCTCGGCAGTTTGGTACTAGTCGTTTGTACCGCTCCAGCGTCCAGCAGATTCATGGTTTGCAAGTGCCGTTCGTGCACAAAAAAACCTCCGATACAACCCGGTCCGCTGTTCAGGTACTTGTACGTGCAAAACGAGGCAGCGTCGACGTTCCACTTGTGCAGCTCCAGTGGCACGTTGCCGACCGCGTGCGCAAGATCGAACAGCGCGACCACACCGTTTTCGTGGGCGACTTTGGTGATTTTAGCAACGTCGAAGAACTGCCCGCTGTAGTACTGGACTGCGCCCAGGCAGAGGACCGCGATCTCGCGGTCTTCGCGCAACAGTTCGCAGAGCCTCTCCTCGTCGACGAGATCGGTATCAGGGTCCGCGGGAACGGGCAGCAAGGCCTCCTCCGGGTCCAGGTCGTGGAGCTGTGCTTGGCTCTGAAACACGAAAAAGTCACTGGGAAAGGCCTGGGCTTCGTACAAGATCTTGAACCGCCGGTTGCGCTCCGGCCGGTAAAACGTCGTAAACATCAGGTGCAGGTTCACAGAAAGCGTGTTCATTATGCAAACCTGGAAGAGGTGTGCAGACGGTTCTTGTGGTGAAAACAATGATAGTTGTTTGCGGTATCCTCAGGGCGAGGGCGCGCCCTCTGTCAGACAGTTGTACCGTCGGAAGTTGTTCTTCCGATACCAGAATAAGTGGGAAAAATTTTCAAAAGATCGCAGCAAAGAAAAGTGGTTGGCAAATGAGTAAAATCCGACTACCTCTTCCACTTTCGCACCGAGCACCCTTGCGGCCGCCGGGGTTGCAAATTCGTCGATGGGCATCCAGGGAAAGTCCCCGGAAAAGTGTCCGTTCACACCGAACTGCCCCCATTTGTCCAGCTCGTTTAACAGTAGCTCCCGGGTCTCCTTTGGTTGCAGGCCCAGGGAATGCCCGACGAGGTACACCGATTCCTCGTCCTCGTCTACCGGCGACAATGGTCCTCCGCCCCCGGATTTGTTCGCCGCTGGAGGTGCCGCGAAGCTTTTCAGGGGAGGTATCCGAAACCTGTCGCGAAAGCATCGACTGGGCAAAGAACAGCTGCTGCTGCTAGACGACGCCGTGGTGGACGACGACGAGAGAATGCTTTGACTCGCATCCAGCTTGCCAGCGATCTCCAGTGCATTACCGGCAAGGAGATGCTCCTTCGCAGCACCCTGCTGGGACAGCCACTGGAACGGATCCTCGCGTAGCTGTAGGCTGGGGTTTTCAACGACCATGCTGGTGGAATTGTCAGATATTTTTGTTTGGGCAAGTAGGACAAGGTCGTGAAATTTTCGATGCAAGCTTAGTAAAGTTTTTACACATTGCCTACAAATATCACTTAGCAGTTCCTCTCCACCTGCTCTCTAGGCAAAACACGCCGGTGGCGTTGCTCTTGCTGTGAACATAAAAAGCAGCAACATAAAGCAACCACACGGCGTGGGACTACATGATCTGAACCTGAAATACAAACAGTGCATGACGAAACAAAGACAACTACATGTGTGCTCGCTTCTTCTAATACATAGGTGAGCGACAAAGAACCAATGTACTCAACATGCTACAGAAACCGAACACCGAATCCCAAAATCTTTGAAGCGATATCAATCGTGTCTTTGGATTTAATTGTTTTTCCCCATCAAGACGCACAGATCGCATGGCAGACAAATAGCGCTGCCACTGAAACCATGGCGTCCGACAAGTTAAAAGCGTATCCAAGACAAACAACTTCCACGTAATCCACCACGTAGCCGCGCGTTGCGCGATCAAGCAAATTGCTCGAACTCCCTGCGCAGAAAAAGACAAGCGGCAGAAAGAACCTCGTCCAGTCGCTTCTAGTCCTCGTCGTGCAAGAACAATTCTTACTGTTTTGGACACGGAGAATGTTTCGCAGGAAGGAGAAGTGTTGCAGGGCCGGAGCCGGACAAAACTGCATTAGCAGTGGAATAGAAATGATCCCAGCGAGGACCGAAGCGTGCAATGCGTTTGCATACTGTGCCGAAAGCAATGCGGTCCCGTAGTTTCTTCGGTACGTCAACCGGAACTGTCCCAGAGCGAACGACTCCTCCCAGTGCCTTGGTTCGTTAACCTTCTGCTGCACGGCAAGCTTCAACCGCTGCTCGAAAGCATTCCACAGAAAGCAAAGCCCAGCAACTGCAACCACGAGAATCGAGGGAGACACATCTTTGATTTTTCTATTTCTACCAAAATGTTGGCAATACATAGGATCTGCACCGGATCTCCATACGCTCGCACGAAGTGCTAGACACTGCTCAGTATCATATCAAGCTGAAGAACTTCCATTCACTTTTTTGCATTGCACAGGGCAGATTCCGAGGCCACGGTTTGCTGCGAGAACCCATCTAGACGAGATATGCGAGGCAATTCTTCCTCGAACAACCTCCGCAAAACACGTTTTTCGTTACTGCAAGAGATCTCGGTTTCATTTTCTTTTCCTCGTCATGCCCGACCCGTCTGGCAACGACGCGAATTTGTAAAATGAACTTGAAGTTTCTAATTGTCTATTTTCTATGAATTCGCGGTCTCCGCTTGAAGGGTTTGCTTTCTACTGCTAGTTCGAGAAAAACACTGTGTGGCAAAAACGTCTTTGGCTACCTGAAGAAACGAGCATGTATTTCGTCCGGTCGAGACCGTCCGATAGATACCCGAAGGCCCAATATTTTCAAAAGTCCGAAGACTAGCACTAAATAAGGAAGGGACCGCCTAGTAGCATTTCGTCCGGTCGAGGCCGTCCGATAGTCACCCGAAGGGCGCTTATTTTCTAAAGTCCGAAGACTAGCACTATATAAGGGATCGGCTAGCGTCTAGCTTCCGAGGAAGCATAATCGAATAGTCTCCGAAGAGGATTGCATGCAAGCGCTTTGATGGTGTACCTTGTGCCAACACTAAAGTAGCCTCCGAGGAGTGCAGAGATCGTTTTGGTTCGAGGTCTTTTTTTGCCGGTGGTTATCTACAAATAACTAAAAATATTAGTTCACTACCTTCAAGTCAGAGCGTACACGAACTGAGAAAACTACAAGTCAAAATAAACAATACATTAATAGGACTCAAAAAAACGAACACTCATTGCATTTCGTCCGGTCGAGACCGTCCGACAGTCACCCGAAGGCCAGTTATTTTCTAAAGTCCGAAGACTAGCACTAAATAAGGGATCGGCTAGCGTCTAGCTTCCGAGGAAGCATAGTCGTATAGTCTCCGAAGAGAATTGAATGCAAATTTTTTTGGAGGAGAATCTAGAGCCAATACTAAAGTAGCCTCCGAGGAGTGCAGAGCTTGTTTTGGATCGAGGTCTTTTTTTGCCGGTGGATATCTACAAATCATAAGCTCACTACCTTCGAGTCAGAGCGTAGAGCCGAGAAAATTTCAGGCCAGCATGTACGTTATAGCAAAACTTAGCTCTCTACTTTCAGGCCAAAATAAACATTAATTGCATTTCGTCCGGTCGAGACCGTCCGATAGTCACCCGAAGGCCAATTATTTTCTAAAGTCCGAAGACTAGCACTAAATAAGGGATCGGCTAGCGTCTAGCTTCCGAGGAAGCATAGTCGTATAGTCTCCGAAGAGAATTGAATGCAAATTTTTTTGGAGGAGAATCTAGAGCCAATACTAAAGTAGCCTCCGAGGAGTGCAGAGCTTGTTTTGGATCGAGGTCTTTTTTTGCCGGTGGATATCTACAAATCATAAGCTCACTACCTTCGAGTCAGAGCGTAGAGCCGAGAAAATTTCAGGCCAGCATGTACGTTATAGCAAAACTTAGCTCTCTACTTTCAGGCCAAAATAAACATTAATTGCATTTCGTCCGGTCGAGACCGTCCGATAGTCACCCGAAGGCCAATTATTTTCTAAAGTCCGAAGACTAGCACTAAATAAGGGATCGGCTAGCGTCTAGCTTCCGAGGAAGCATAGTCGTATAGTCTCCGAAGAGAATTGAATGCAAATTTTTTTGGAGGAGAATCTAGAGCCAATACTAAAGTAGCCTCCGAGGAGTGCAGAGCTTGTTTTGGATCGAGGTCTTTTTTTGCCGGTGGATATCTACAAATCATAAGCTCACTACCTTCGAGTCAGAGCGTAGAGCCGAGAAAATTTCAGGTCAGCATGTACGTTATAGCAAAACTTAGCTCTCTACTTTCAGGCCAAAATAAACATTAATTGCATTTCGTCCGGTCGAGACCGTCCGATAGTCACCCGAAGGCCAATTATTTTCTAAAGTCCGAAGACTAGCACTAAATAAGGGATCGGCTAGCGTCTAGCTTCCGAGGAAGCATAGTCGTATAGTCTCCGAAGAGAATTGAATGCAAATTTTTTTGGAGGAGAATCTAGAGCCAATACTAAAGTAGCCTCCGAGGAGTGCAGAGCTTGTTTTGGATCGAGGTCTTTTTTTGCCGGTGGATATCTACAAGTCATAAGCTCACTACCTTCGAGTCAGAGCGTAGAGCCGAGAAAATTTCAGGTCAGCATGTACGTTATAGCAAAACTTAGCTCTCTACTTTCAGGTCAAAATAAACATTAATTGCATTTCGTCCGGTCGAGACCGTCCGATAGTCACCCGAAGGCCAATTATTTTCTAAAGTCCGAAGACTAGCACGAAAATAAACATTAATAGGGCGCCCAGTCCCAGAAATACATGTTTGTCCCATTCTCGGTTTGGTTCCACCCCGGAATCCATTCGCACAGTGACGGATCCCTCCACGTGTGCGTGCCCCAGCTGGTCGTGCACTGATAGTCTATCAAGCCGGGCGCAAAACCGGGTCCCCTCACCCTCGGCTCCCGCCATTTTACGGGTGCTTCTTCCTTATCGTGCCAAAAAATGTTGTAAATGTGCCGAAGATTTTCACCACTGCCGATCAGGATTTGCTGGTAGTCTTCCGCAACGTGTCCGGGCGCTAGGGCAAAGCGAAAGGAGAGGTTGTACATCACGGGGAAGAACGGCAAGCAGAGCACGCACAGTATTGCTGCCACTTCGAGTACATAGGAAATCTTCGGAAGCAGAAGGCTGGCGCTTCCGTCGTACGGCAGGAAAATCGGAGTGGATGTCGTCGAGAAGGGTCTGCGTTCGCGATCATGTCGCTGAGGAAGCAAGGAAACGAGAATCGCAAATCCACTACAGAAGATCCACGAGAACACCAGGAACAGAGCGCGAAGCCGGAAAATCATTGGTGCCCACTGCACACGCAAGGAAAGCTCCTGGGGTGAGCAGACTCCTTCTACGCCAAGAGCCTGATGACGTGCCCAGTAATGTAGAACCTCGTCGTCGAAGACCAGTTGCTCGTCCATCGTTCCAAAAATCGCAGCAGTTAACGAGATCCCTTCGCCAAAAGTAAACTGGTAGGTCTGAAAAAGTACCAACACTGCCATCGCGAGAGGAGACCACACCGCGTGTAAGACCACTTGCCACCGCGTGTTTCGCAAGCGAAAGTACTCTATCGCGTCATGGGATCCCACTTGTACACGATCGGTCTCCGTTTCGCGCATTTTAACATCTTCTTCGGCTTTGGTAGAAGAAGGAACAGCTTCTCTGGCTTCTTTGGTGCTTTCCTGTTCCATTGCACGACGAGCGTCGGCTGTGGGGCTGGGCACAGCTGCCGTGAGCATGAAGCCGACACACGGAAGTACCAACCACAAAACGCGAAGCAACATCTCCAGGGGGGAAATCCCGGAGAAATTGAGCAGAGGAGAAGCGCTGTGCCACCACGTGCGCAAGCCCGAGCACCAATGCGGATAGAGGCCGGCAATCACCGTGTAGCGAGAGAGGAGCGCACACACAGCGTAGACGATGAGGCAAGAGGTCCAGATATTTCCCGCGCTGCTGCCTTGAAACTGGCAGACACTCGACAGAGTGCCATCGGCCGCGAACGCGTGCGGCAACAGCATGAATTTTCGCAACGGTCGCTGGCGCTGCTTGCGGAGCGCGTCGTCTGCTGCATCTTCTGTTTGTTGTTGTTCACTGTGGTCAAGAACATCTTCACTGGGGTTCTCGGGTGTCGGAAGGTAAAGTACGGGCGGGAAAAACACAAGCTTGGTGGGTAAGAGCAGACCTATCACAACAGCCCCATAGCCAAGGAGGAGAAGCACGAGCATGACGAGGAAGTCCCTGCGCATGTTCGCAAGCGAATGCGCGATTTGGTTTTGCTGTATGATCTCGCTGACTGCACCCGCACTCGCGATGCGAGCCGCGGTCGTGTTCTGGAAAACTTGCTGGGTTGCCAGCTCTTTCCGCAGGTGCCGCACAATTTCCCCCAGTTCGCTTACCACGTCCTCCAGTCGCTCCACCTTTTGCTGCCACGCGAAGCCATCTCCAGCTTCAGTGCCGTCTTCCGCGGAAGTAGGCACAGAGTTTGCACCTTGTACTTTCTGGGGCTGGTAGTTCCTGACGACTTTAGTATTTGACGGCGTCCCTCGGTGCTGTTCCTGTTGTCCCTCTGCTAAAGGCAGACGTTCTCCGAATCCCGCTTCCAGAAATTGAACTGCGGTTCCGGGCGATCCCGGGGGTTCTTCTGCAGTTCCTTTCGCTGTAAAACTCGTGGCATGATTGTACGCAGAGGTCGGCTCTATTTCTTCTAGTTGCTGTTGCTGCTGGAACGAGTCACGCATCTCGATTCTGTCGTCAGCAAGGTCACCCCCGGTGCGCTTTATCATTTTCTCTGTCTCGGTCTGCGCCCACTGCGCCGCGCCAGTCCCCTCGTCCTGGCTCTGCTTGATTTGCGCGAGAACACTTGCGGCCGCTTCTTCTACTTCAGCTCCTCTCCAAAACTCCGCTGCTTGTTTCTGCTTTGCGGCCACATGGTGACCGTCGACCTCCTCGGAGATTTGCGTGTTCTCGTTGGCCAAAAACACATCATGGGTCAGGCGCGTAGCCAGAAGTCGGCGCTGCTCTTTGCGGTAGTGTTCGTCTCGCTCTTCCCAGATACCTCTCCCTGCTTCAACCGGGTCACCAGTACTAGTTGAACCTGTTCTACTACTTTCCGCAGCCACTACAACAGCCTCTTCAAATAATATTGCCCAGCGAGCAGCGAAGATCGAGAGGTGGAGCGCAACGCAGCGCAGATGCGCTTTTTTGTTTTTCATTGAAGTAGGAGCACACATGATAAAGTCAATAAGATGTGATTGAGTTCAGGTTTACATTTGAGTACTACTCCCGGGTCAAAAATGTGAATCGGAAGATAGTCATGTCATTCCTCGGGAAAACCCAACCCATAAGTCGAAAAAACCAACCTTCTACCTAGGGTAGTACTTAAAAATTATTGCACCATGAAACAGAAACTGCAAAAGTCGAAAATAGAAAAGTGTTTTCTTCATCAAAAATTTTTTCAAAGATCCCAGGAAAGTCTAGACAATCTACAGTAGATACCTGCACTTTTTTGTTTCCCAACACGACCACGAGTCAAGAAGGCACGAATTGCTGCTGTATCGAGTAAATCTAAGGCGATGAGAAAATGTGGAAGCGAAGATGATCATCCCGCAAAAGCTATTAAGTACGTACTATAAAACCATCCTCAAGATTTTAGCAGCACGACGGTGCGAAGATAACAGGTCATGACTCGACCCGATACGACGTGGCAGCTGCCCGGTCCACACACCCAACTTCCTGCACGTCGAGGCACGATGACGATACTAACGAGCGAGGAACAAGAGTAATCGGTAGCGGAATCGAATTCTCACTTCACCCAAAAGATAAAGTTTTCCTTCCGGAATCCGTGTTTGTAGAAACCGATAGTACAATGGGATGTTCATGTTGATTCTCCAGCTATTAAATGATAAACTGTAACTGAAACGAAAAGCGCGCTGAACATTATTCATGTTTTTCCGTTTTTTTGCTTCCCCTGGTGAACATGTTTGATTTTTTGTTTACGTTTTGCGATTGCGATGTCGTTTGCAATTTCCATCCGCACGTGTCATAGCGAGTTGTATCTACTTGCAGGTCGTCAACACCATCAACCCTGCAAGCGGCTTTCAAGGTTCTTCAAAGTGTCGTGCGTGTGTTGGAAAATTTTCGCCCACTCTGCGTCCATGATGCCTTCGTCCAGTTTGTTAAAAACCTTTTTCGTCACATTGCGGATCGAGAAATGCAGTGCACGCTTGTCCTTCTGCTTCTCGACGTACAGTGTGTCCTCTTCTTTCATGTGCTGCAGGACGTTAAGCACCAAGTCCGTCAGGCCACACAGATTTTCCACCAAGTTGTGGAGCCGCCGTCCGAAGGCGGTGTGGCGCTTGGTATTGACTTCCGGTGCTCCGTCATTTCCTTGACCCGCGTTCTTTTGCACCTTTTCTTCGCCGACGAGCGTGACCATTTGCGTCTCCATGTTGCTCCACATGCCGGCGTTAAGTTGGCGAAATTCCTTCATTCGGCTTTCGTACGCAGCGGAAAAATCGCCCTCGAACATCTGCAACAACCCCAACAGTTTCCACGCCATGGCATCGACATTTGCCGTGGCCGCGGTTACGTCGGTCAACAGTCGCAATACAGACTCCCGCTCCCTTTTGATTCGCTTTTCCCTTTGTTCCAGTTTTTCCTGCTGTTCCCTCTGGTCCTTTTTCTTCTGAGCTAGCTTCTCTGCGGCCTCAGCCGAAACGAGTTCTTCGTCTTCATCGGCGGTAGTGCGCCGAACTTCTGGTTCTGTCCCCGGTGAGTCACAGCCAGGTCCTCCTGTAGTACTCTTGGGCGACTGCGTCGAGCACGGACTGGCTTGGTCATCATGGACGTCGACCTGTTTCTGCTCCCCTTCTTCGCTCTTCGCCTCCAGAACGTGGGAAACGAGCAGAGCCAAGATCTTCATGTCAGGCAGTTTTTTGAGGTCCACGACCAGTTTCTTTACTGCGCGGCAGCACCCTACGACATCGCGCACGTGAAGGCAGATGCTCAGGTTGCTCTCCCACAATTTGTAATTGTACATGCTGCGTCGGCAGGCTTCTCCGATCGCGGCCTGCGCATCCGCGTACTGACCAAGCCGCGCGTAACAAGCAGCCAAATTTCCGTAGCACTCCGCTCCTGCCTCGTCCTCCCCTTGCGCCACGGGGTCCACGCTTGACGCATTCGCGCGCCGGTACGTTGCGGACTTCAAGAAGGCAACCGCGGCTTGCTGGAAGTCGTCACGTCGCATGCGCAGGCATCCCAGAGAAAACCAGGCTGACGGGTGAAAGGGGTTGATCTTCAAGGCTGTCGCGAATGCGCGGTCTGCCTTTTCCAAAAGAGTATCGCGGTCCATGTCAGTCTGAGACTTCGATTCCTCTGAATCCTCTGCGTCCCCTCCCATTCGCAGTGACTTGCGGAAGTACAGAAACCCGAGACTGCGACCCGCGCGCGGATGGTGCTGCTCGGACAGATCCCAAGCTTGTTGGTAGTAGTGCTCCGCGGGGTGCGGCAACAGGTGGTCCTGCGCGTGAGAGCAGGACTCCTCGTCTTCCTCGTCGACGGTGCTGAGTTGCTGGCCCATCCTAACCACACTCTGTGTCACCTGGTCGTCGATTTCGTCCTCGGCCAAGTCGCCCAGGCAACAGAGCAAGCGGCACTTCAAAGTACGGCTGGACTGCGACTCGGACAAACGTCGCAAAATCAGCTGCACGGCGTCCCGCCTGCGGTCCGCAGCAATCAGACAGTCCACCGCCTCTGCCCACATCTTTAGCTGCTGGAAGTGTTCGCACGCGGTCAGTGCCATGCCGCATTTCATCATGTTGAACCCAAACTCGCGCTGCAGCTCGTGCCGAAGGGGGTAGCCCGTGGCGTGCAGAAACTGTAGGCGCTCCGTTACCTCGGCTGTGAGGTGATTCTGCTTCTGGTGGTTTTCTTGCGCAGGCGACATTGGTTCCGCTCCATCAACTTCTTCGCCATGATTGTACAAGTTGACCAGTTCCTGGAGTTGTAGCACCGCCCGCTCCTTCGTGTGCACGCGCGTGTACTCGTGCTTACACCGAAACCAGAGTCCGGTGGCGGAGCACATCCAGTTGGGATTTTCCACGGCGCCCAATTCCCGTGCCTCCTCGGCGCTCTCCGCGAAGGCAATGCTGCTCCGCACGACCCGCTCAGCGATCGCGCCGACCTGCTCTAGCATCAACTTGTCCTGCCTCGTCGCCCCTGTCCAATACAGATGCGCGAACGCAAGCAAGAGACACGTTTCGACCGGTGAGTTTAGTGCGGCGTCGTAGGACCAGTTGTCTTCCTTGTCCTCCACACACGGAGTGGCGAGCTGCGGAGTTTCCAGAATGTCGTTATCCGGATTTACCTCGTCCAGCGCGAGAATCTGTGGCTGCTGCTGTTGAGGATGCTTATTTGCGAATGCGACGTTCTCAACTGCATCAGGCTTTGCTCCACCTGTGGTCCTTTCTCCCTGCGTAGTCATTCTGTTTCCCTTCGTCACGACGACCAACTGTGCCACTTTGTGCGTTTGGTGCTTGCGCCTGATGCCCTCGATGCCGGTGAAGCGAAATTGGAAGTCTTCTAGCAATTCTCTCCCCGCAATCTGAAGCAACTCTTCCAACTTCTTTGCAATGTTAGAACTGTTCGCTTGCTGCACCGAGCATTGGTACCACGCCATGCGCACGCAGAACTCCGCAACAAGCTGTGCAAAGAGGGTATTGTTTGCGACAATCAGGCTGCTTCCAGCATTCGCGTCCTCGTACTGCTGGACGCTCAGAACCGGAGCTCCGAATGTTTTTGACGACGAGTTTACCTTACCCGTAGAACAAACTACAGATTTCGCAGTCTTCGTCTCACCTGCCCTGTCGGACTCGTTCAGGTTCAGCTGATTCATCAAACCGGCTAAGCGATTTTGCGCTGCAACGTCTACTTCGCCATTGTCGGGCTCGGGCGCTGACGCACCACAACTGGTTGATTGAAAGACATCTCCGCTTTTGCAACCTAGGACCTGGAGGAAGCCGCTATGGAGATCGACCTTCCCGGCCAGCTCGAAGTAGCTTGCCAACCATGCTCCAAACTCATTCACCGAAGTCTGTCGCAATGATTGTACATGACCCTCCCCTCGATCGGACGCCTCTGCGAGCGTGCGTTGCCATACGAAGGCAAGACGGCTGTGCCATATCGGAGCACTTTGCAGTAGTGCACGACCATCCTGCGTAGTTGCAGATGATCCACCTGCTGTCGTGCGACACAAGGATCGCAACACCCGGTGACTCTGGTAAAGGAACGCCGGTACCAGCGTCAACTCATGCGCTTCCTCGCCGTCGATTTGAAGCAGGTCCAAAGCGGTGGTCTTCTTCAATATTTGATTTTCATTTTCCACCTTCTCCAGAACGTCCTTGCAGAGCTCTTCGTCATGGAACCTGAGCACCTCCGCCGACAGTTTCGGGCCGGTCACGTTCGCCTGCAGAAAGAGCTGAAAGCAACAAACTGCATAGAGTAGATGCGATTCTTGCTGTGCCACCTCGCTCGCAGAGATGTCGCTAAGATCATCGCTTTTCAGCTCGCGGTGCAGTTCCCGCAGCACCGGGAAATAATTCCCTTGGCGAAAGTGCTCGACGTGCTCTTCCTCGACCGCTGAATTGGCGTTTCTGTTTTGCTCGTCGGTCGTGTGATCGCCGGACGTGCACTGCAGCAGAATGCGCTCTACCTCAGTCAATGCCAAGCGCCGGCTTGCGGAAGATGAGGTCGCAGATGATTCTGCTTGCATTTTCAATTTTCTATTGTATTCTTGAATTTGCTAAACAATTATCGCACAGAATGCACGTATGCGGACGCACCAAAACAAAAGTAAATGCTGTTATTTACATCCAGGATTGACTGAAAGAAAAGCATATACTCGCTCTGGCCTGTTAAAGGAGAAAGAGAGTGCAGATGAAGCACAAAAGACGAATAAACTACAGGTACATGTCGTTATAGTTGTTCAATCCATTTTTTACCTTACCATGTGAAAAAAGATGAACCTAGAGCTGAGGGATCACGCGTAGCGGATTTTCAAGATCGACAATACTTGATCGGAATGTCGTATCTCTGAAGATCTTGCACGGAAAAACATTTCACGATAGTAATCATGATCTGCTTCTATGTGCTGGCCCTGGGCCTGGCTCAGTCATGCACGGCTGCATGATCTTTTTCGATGCCAGGAGCTTTGTTTCGATCTTCATCTTTTTCTTTACTATGGCAACATCACCATTACCTTCACGGTACAAACTTGATGAAATGAGGGAACACAAATTGCCTAGCCCCATTGCAATTTCACTTTTCAGTGACGAAAAGTCACCGGCTCACTCGCGCGAAAATCGTACTCGATTTTCGAAGTCAACATCAATATCAAGCGTGATCTCAACTAACACAGACATTTCAGATCGGATTCTGTGCTAGGTGACAGAATCATTCGCGCTTATGTCGTTTGCATGGGTTCATGCGATGTCGCTGCTTGTGCGAGCTTACGTCGCTTCGACTTTTGGTCTTTGGGATTTACTCCGTCCTGTTGCTGTTTTGCGGCCATAAATTTTTCATCCAGCTCCCGCTTTTCCTCTGCCGGGTCTGTTTCGTCCTCGGTCCTGCGGAAGGGCATGTCCAGCAAGTCGTTCGACAGCCTGGACATGCACCGCCGGATGATGTAGGCCACGCCACAGTTGCGCACGTAGAGGTCGCGGCTGAACACGTCCAAGTCTCGTCGGAACTGCTTGTTTCCGGGCAGATTACAAAACAAACCGAGCACCGGCTTCAGGCACCGGGCAACGCACCCGGAGCTCACCTTGACGTTCGGGTTGTTGTGCCGGTTCTTGCGCGATTGCTTCACACCCAGGGCCAGAAACTCCTTGTCGGAGCTCTTTAGCGTCTCAATCGCCTGCGCGGTTGCATCCTCGATCGCCTTCGAGGTCTGGTCGTTCCGCTGCTCGGACGGCACGCTGTACAAGCAGCGACAGATTGGGCAGAGGCAGTGCTGGTGATGCCTTAAACAAGATTCTACAACTCCGGTCTCCTGAAGAACCGGCGCTGCTGTCTCCTGCGTGCCGTCACTTTGTCGCGACTGCTCGTGCTCCGGCGCCGTCGACGGCGAAGATGCTTCCGTGCTTTTCGGTGTTCCCGCAGCTGCGGCCATGGCAGTCGATTGCTGGGCCTGCACGCACTGCGGAGGATAGAGCTGCTCCAGGTACGCACAGTACTTGTCAAGGACCTGGCGTCGCGTTTGGTTCGGATTCTCAGTGTCTCCGTAGTAGTACCGGTCGGCATCCGCGAAAATACTCGGGTTCTCCATAGCCGCTCGACCCAGCATCACCCCGCGCAAATTCGCAGGAGCGTGCGTTCGCGGGTGGCAGTTTGCGTTCGGGTACTCTGACAAGAATTGGCCAGCAGTTTCCTCGCTTCGAGCGGAAGTCGTGTCGGCCTCCATCTCCAAAGATACATTTTCTGCAACAGGAGTGCTAGGTCGCTCTACCTTCTGCTCCTGCTTCCCTTCATTTCGAGCTGCTTCTCCCGGAGCTGCACTTGTCTCCTCGTTTTGTTTTTGACACGTCTTCCTTCGCTTCTGCGCTGTTTCCCTTTCCTCGACCGTTGTCGCGGTTCCGTACGCAAGCTCCTTTGCTTGGCGCAGAGTCTTGACTCCGCCGTTGAGCCAGAACTCGCAGTCGGGAAATTTGTCGCACATTTCAAACACTCTGGCGTAGTTCAGCGGCGGGATGCTGCGGTTCTGCGCCGGTGTGAGGCCTTTCAAGATGCACTTCCTGGCGTGCAGGATGAATTTTCGAACTCCGGACTCCCGCACGACGGTGATGAACTTTTCCAGAAATTCGCTGTTGTCGCAGTCGTCCACTCCAATTCGAGTTTTCACCGAGAGATCGACCGCGAGGTTCTTCTCTTTACATGCCTCTGCGATCGCCTGCATCACGTCGCGCACGGTTTCCGGCTTCTTCATCAGCACCGCGCCGAACTCGCCCTTCCCGGAGACACGGTCCGAGGGGCACCCGCAGTTCAGATTCACGTGCTTGTACTGGTACTTTTCCCCGGCAATGATTTCGGTCGCTTTTGCGCAGGTGTCCGGGTCATTGCCGCCCAGCTGGAGCACCATGGGCTCCTCGACGCGGCAGTAGTCAAGGTGATAGTCGAGGTTGTCGGAGTGCAAAATCGTTTGGTCCACGTGCATTTCGGTCCAATTTACCATGCGCCGGGACAGAAGCCGCATAAAGTACCGAAACTCCCGCGTCGTCACGTCCAGCATCGGAGCCAAGTCCAATGTCTTCGTACCAAAGGTGGGGTCGTGGAAAAAACCCTCATGTTGACACCGTTCTGAAGATGCTTGGTCGGCAGCAATTTTGCCGGCGGAACTTTTCCGTTTTGGGGTCGTCGTCGATGTTATCGTTGTAGTAGGCGGGTTACAATTTTCTGTGCTGTTGAGAAGCTCCTCTCTTGGGGAAGGCGGGGCCTTCGCCTGTTGCACCGCCATTGTTTTTGACCGATGTGTTTAATTTGACCAGCAGACTGGCGATGTACACGATATGTATGGGTACCTACTAACTTGTGCTTGTGGGGTAAGAGCTTACTTCTAAAAAGATTCTGCTTCTCCAACGCGTTGAAATCCATGAAATAGAGAGGGTCGCTGCAGAGTAGAGAATTATGCGACAAAAAATCTAAACTCTGCTTTGTGCATGAGGATCTTCTTTGTGGATCTTCAATCTTTTTTTCCTTTTCGCCTTACCATACGCATACACAACAATTTGTGATCCTGAAGACTCCACTAGATCCAGCTATAACGCGCTCCATGATCATGAAGATCTGTGAAAAGAATTTTCCCTACCAACATCAGACATAGCGAAGTTGTATGCTCGATTTTTTCTTTTCTCTTTCATCTTGTTCGCAAGCTGCTGCAGCTTCAGCTCGTTGTACCGACCGACATAAAAACTGATCTCTTTCAGTTTCAGTTTCTCCTACCGAGGTATAAAACTGACCTTTTTACACCGCAACAAGTATTCGCGCGGCCAGGGAGTCTAGATGGAGTGGATCTGAACATCATTTCAGAAGACAGCATACGGCGGTGGAATCCTTCCACACGTTGGCGTCAAAGTGCTGGATACGTGCAGCGCGATTGCTTTGCTAGTAATGCTGATGCTCTAGATCTTTCTCATTCTCTTTGCGCCGTACCAGTATTATCGACTTATGGAAAAAAGCTATAAATGTCAAACGCATGCTTTTCCGTTGAAGAACAAGGTTCCTTTTGGCACTTGTTGCACAACAGTGGAGCAAACCTCGTGGTAGGATGGGCACTGTCCCTTCGGCGTCTCCAAGTTTCGAAACGCATCGTACTTGTGCTCGTACTGCATTTCCGTGCATCCGGCCGCTTCGTAAGGACCCGTAGCTTCGTGGTAGCACTGGCGAAGTATGGTGCATCCCAGCTCGCTGCAGTCCTTGCCCTCGTCGTGCAACCCGGTTATCTTTACAAATTTTTGAAATTGAGCTTTATTTTCGAATGCGTCATGTTCAAACCCAAAGATGAAAAAAAAGAAAAACACTGTAGGAGCGGGGTAACAAATGACCCGTTAACTCGCGCCCGCGAGTTAACCGTCCGCCCGGCCGGCCGGACGGTTAACTCGCGGCTTGGAGTGTAGACAAATCGCAAGGTCTTAAAAATCCACCCCGAAGTGCTCGCCAATCCTCATTAAAGCATGCTGATTGAGAATTTTCTCGCGCTTATTTTGAAATGAAATTGATTGCAAAACACGACGGAAAAGCCGTAACTGGATTCATTTTTTGCAATTCGAAACTGGGAAAGATTTTCAGCAACACACCCAACACCAGCAGCAGGAACAGGCCGACTGAAGCAAGATCTTAGCTCGCAGGCGGATTTTCGCTCGCCCTGTTCTAGCGGTGACGCATGAAAAACTTTCCCAATTTCGAATTGCAAAAAATGCAGCCTCTTGCGGCTTTTTCGCCGAGTTTTGCAATCAATTCCATTTATAAATAAGCACAGTAAATGAATTCTGAATATATAAGCACGCTGCAGTGAGGATTGGCGAGCGCTTCGGGTTAGATTTGCACCACCTTGCGATTTGTCTACACTCCAAGCCGCGAGTTAACCGTCCGGCCGGCCGGGCGGACGGTTAACTCGCGGGTGCGAGTTAACGGGTCATTTGTTACCCCGCTCTAGTAATATGTACTACTTACTGCATCAGAAAGTCCACCAAACGTGGTACTAACATCAATAAATGAATCACTCTTACCCTGACTTTGAAGAGATCGTCTGCCGTTTTTTCCAGCATTTCGACCCGATCTACCTTTAGGTTCCCGATCACCAGCGCCAGCCCATCGTCCACCGCGTTCAGCGGGCAATCCGGTGTGACACACCGGGGGTCCCGCGTGTCATTTTCGCAGGAGAACCCCGCGTCGTGGACCTGATCCAGGTAGCGCGCCACGGGCTTCGGGATGTAATCTAATTTTCCGACCGTGTTTTGCCAATTTTCGATGACCCCGCGCTCCCCGGGCGCGACGATGGGCAGCTGGTCCCAGGGGATCCGCTCCGCCGGCCCGGCAATCACGGTTTCGTGCACGCCGCTCCGGCTGCTGCGCGTGGTGGCGTCGGGGACGACGGCCTTGTTATCCACCTTGGGAAACAGCACGTCCCCGTTGGGCCAGGTCCCGTCGGCCGGCTTGACGGCGTAGTCCAAAATTTGGTGCCCCCCCTTGCCATACTTGACGCGGTGCGGCTTTTTGTGGTAGTACAGCACGTCCTTCTTGTTCGACTCGTCCGCCCCCGGCTCGTCGGAAGGTTCGTTCGGAAAAGTCTCGGGAAGGAGGTAGGGTGGGAACACTTGCGAGTTCATCCACATGCCACTGATCGTCGATGGCACGACGGGGTCGCCCACTTCGTCCATCGGCGCTGTGGGATTTAAGGAATCCAGGTAGGGGTAGAACCGGCTATACGTGTGCACGTTCGTCGTCTCTTCCACATCCAACTTTTTTCTGCGTGTCTTCCCATTCCGCTGCTGCTGCGCTTGTTCAGTACCGCTCTCTGCCTTCCTCGAACTGGTCCTTCCTCTCGACGCGGTGGAGGTTGTAGTGCTTTTTCGTCTACTGGCGCGGACTTTGCCTTTTTTCAGAAAGGACACGGTAGCGGAGCTATTTTCTTGCTGCCTACTGCTGGCGTCTTCCGCGTTCGCTGACAACACGAACGTGCTGCTTAGCAGCAGGGCGGAACTGCAGATGAAAAGCCCCAGTTTTGTCCGCGCAGTTGAACATACAGTCCTGCATGCTCCGCCGCACATTTTCATTTTGGGAGAAAACACTTGGCTGTTTTCCCCTGGATGAAGAGGCATAAACGGCATCACCGTAACCGTTTTTCGTCGGTTCCTCTACTTCGCCCACCGAAACGTTATCATCCCGTTTCGGCGTAAGCGTTTCGCGGAGGTCGTGCCCAACGTCGCGCCATGAGTTTTCATGCGACTTGTCCTGGCGCTGTGCAATCACATTGCCGATGGCAATCACTCCTCAGACGAGTCCCTCTCGCCGGGGGGGGGTGGAGCAGCGCGAACTCAACCTAAAATGACGATGATCATGCCCCGCTTTATTGCTTTTGCTGCGTGAAACTAATCGTCAATGTGGTGACGGTGTCAACGCACTTCTTTGGCCGTTTCTTTACAACCAACTCGAACTCCGCTGCGCGCTTTGAGTGACGATCTATCGCTCTGGCAGCGCCCACAGGCCCTTGTTATTACGTACTTAATTCCTCTTCTGGTTTTTCCGCTCTCGCTCTCTTTTCGATTTGCAATTTGTAGTGCGTCGAGTCCTCCTGCACTTCTATGTATGTCTCATCACTTTCCCTCCTGTCTTTGCTTATGGCTTCTTGTGACTCTGATTGCGTTGATCAACAACCAAAATTCACGGCGGAGAACGCGTCGCAAAAAAACACGTGTTCGATGGGCGGGATGCCCGACTATGCTGTTCCTTGCAGTGTCTTCTGCTATGTTCATTTTCCCATTCGTTCGCGCCCTCGCGTTCGTATCACCCCACGAAGCCTGCCAGAGCGGTATCTTCTGTGTCTCTATTTCGTGCATCATGTTGCGAATAGCAACACAGATGCTCCTGTTGCGAAAGAACTACGCCCTCAGCAGACTCTGTAGTTCTGACTGAACCAAAGCTTTTGATCTACATCTTCTGTGCTTGTTGTTTCGAAAACATCCAAGAACTCAACTTTTAGTATTACGTGCTCATGGTGCAATTCCAGTGCTACAATTCGAACTCCGTGGCGAGCAGGAGCAGCAAGGCAAGAGTGCAGATGGTGAAGAAGATGACCGTGGTCCAGGCGGACTCCGCTTGTTCTTCGTACTCCTCAATGCAGTCCTGAATTTCCTCATCGTCGAAAACGCTTAGATCCTCCTCGAATCCAGTTGACCAATGGCTCCTACTCGGTGGTAGCAGTTTCTTCAGCACTGCGCGCGCGCCGATCGGCCGAAGGCGCTGCTTGGAGCTGCTAGAGGAAAAACTCTTCTCGGTCGAGGGCCGCCGCTCCAGCTGCTCGGAGGCGTCGCTGCGGCAGGAAAAGCAGGCAGATTTCAGAAACCGACGCCCCCCACGGCTGCTGCTGTTGTACCCATACTGGGTGTCGCGAATCCAGGCCATGCCATCCTGATAGCCGGACCAAAAGATGCCCCGTAAAACTTTCTCGGACGGCGGGAAGCCAGCCCACCAGAACGGAATGATAATGCGCGGGACGATATCCGCGGTCGGAGCGGAGAGCGCACTCACTTTCACCACGGAGTCGTCGGGATGAAAGGTTCGCCACGGAACGAGAAACGTGAGCCACGCAAGCCCGTCGAGATACCAGTTGTTCACTTTCGGGATGGGCGTGGACGGCTCGGCGGGTCCAGTGCTGCTTGTTGATGAAGATGGTTTCGCGCTGGAAGCAGGAGCTCTGTTCCCTACTATTCTCTCCGTTTCGGGAGCTGTTTTCGAACGCGTCACTGTTTTCTTTGAAGCAGAACTTGACGCCAGAACGCCCGCTTTAGGACCATCCTCGTCTTCTGGCAGAGGCGAGGAAGCTGGTGTACCAGTTGGACCAGCTACAGGAGCTGTTCCCGAGACCATTTCTGGCGTCATCTTGAAAGGCAGCCATCCTGCGACCAGCGGAACGTGCGAGGAAGCCTTGAGGCAATTCCGCAAGTGCGCGTCGGAGTGAAATTCATGGATAACCTCGGCCGTGAGAAACGGCGGCTTGGTGATGCGCACGTTGGTCAGCAAGATGCGAATGCGGTTACTCGCGCGCCGAAACATGTTCGGCTCAAGAAACTTCGCCATCGCGCCGTCTAGTGCCCGTACGGCCAGCACTGGGTTGTGTCCGATCGTCGGAAAAAGCGAAATCGCGTACTCGGCGAGCGCCCGCACGTCGACCCCGCAAGCCAGGGCGCAACCGACCAGAGCACCACCGGAGGACCCCGAGAAACCGAGACAAGCTGGGTTCACCTTCTTACCATGTTTGGATCCAGCGCTTTTATTACGCCACCTGCTGTTCGGCCTGCTCCCTGTGGTCGTGTTTTCGAGTAACTCTTTACTCAGCGTGCGGGTCGGTGTGCTGACATCAGTACCACGACGATCATGGTCTAGCCCCTTTGCTGGCTTTGAAGTACTGGACGCAGGCTCGCTGCGCTCCGTGAATGTGGAAGAAGCGGGCCTCGAGGACGAAGACATGGACGGCATATCGTCGGAGGTGGAGGAATTATGGGGCACCGCAGAAGGGACAGAAAACATGTTCCCTGTGGACCGCCGCCGCAAGGTTACTTCGGCGGTGGGATTCACGGTTTCCTCGTCAGACGTCGTCGATGACGAAGACGTTGCTTTCGTTCCCGCATCTTTCGAAAGAGCTTTTGTAGTCTTTGATCCTCCTTTTCCTCTGTCTCGCATGGATGTTGAGGTGGCACTATTTTCCTCCAGCGGGCCCGGAGCGGAGTCGTTGTTGTAAGTATCCAACAGGTCCTGCGTCAGGCGCCCGAAGTGGGATTCGATGGCATAGGCCACACCAAAGTGGTAAAGATACAACCACCCGCTACTGTCGAACGAAAACATGAGCTGGGGGCGGCGGTTCTTTCGTTTTCGCCGCAACCGCTCCTCGGCCATCTGTAGTGACAGCCTGATGTCGGGCATCGAGGCGGAACGTAGTGCGAGATGTGCCGGCCCGGACGTTCCGGCGGTAATTGTAGCTCTGCGATTCCGGAGAGTCGCGGCCGGATGTGCTGTAACCGGTAGCACCTGCGGCGGCATGGTCGTCGAGGCATCCGCGCCATCCTCTGGGGATGCTGTCTTCTTACTCGATGTTGCTGTACTAGTGCCTGGTACAGCTGGCGATGATCTGCCATTCTCATCGGAGGAACGCGCTAGGTTCTTCGAATGCGTGAGTTCACCTGATTTCGATGTAGTTTTGTCCGCTGCAATTTTTTCATCGTAAAGGTCCACCTCGATATCGTCGTGCCGTGGCGAGGACCGCGTTGAGGAGGCGTAGAGCTTCGGCGTCAACCCACCGCCACCAAGTTCGCTAATGTCGGATTCCGTATCGGAAAATAAAGGCATGCCTTCGACGAAGCTCTGCATTTCGGTCGCCAGATCTACCTCTGCGGTGTTCGCTTTGGAAATATGGTCCTGGTGCTGGAAATCCGAGTAGAGAACCAGGCCCTGCAACATGACGCCAATCTGCCAGAGACAGGCTAGACCCGGCATCTTGCCAAAGAACAAACACCAAAGGGAATGCACGAACAGTGTGCTCATCTGCATAATCTGCAATCGCACGACCTGGGCCTTGTGCTTCACGGCTTTGGCGGTACCTCCTGGTGGTTCTTCACCCGACTCCCCCGTTGCTGTGCTCGTACTACCAGCATTGGCGTTCTCCAGGCTGCTGGTGCTGTGCAGCACAGCGGCGGCGTAGTACCAGTACACGAAAAAATTTGTGGCCGAATTGACCAGGACGACGAAGCCGACGTCACCATACGCGTTGTAGCGCGCGACGAGGAACCAGCTCCAGAGGTTGAGGATCCGCAGGTAGATGTGCAAGGATGTCATGATGCGCTGGAACTTATTACGCAGAATGACGAAGATGATGTCGCAGAGCTCCGTGACGTGCAGCATGTAGTGGAGCCAAACCAGAAGCGTCAGCCACGTGGACGAAAATTCCCGACCGTTGCCCCACCATTTGGAGAAGTACTGTAGATCGAACCCGAACACGTCTTCAAAGACCGGCTTCACGACAAACGTGCGGACGGGGTAGGCAAACAGCATCTCGAACACCGGTTCCGCGATGTAGCTGATAAACAGGGCAAACGGGAAGCTGAAGATGCCCGTAGTGTTTGTTCCAGTAATGCGTCCCTGCAATGCCTCTGCAGCAGCCGAAGAGTCGCTGGGAGCTGTTGTTCCTTGCTCCTGAGTAGATGACCCTCCTATAAAGTCCATAATTCCACCTTGCTGCGCAGATATCGTGGCTTTATCACCTACCGTCTGTGGGCCGATGAAGGACTGGAACAGAAGGCCCCCGTAGGTTGAAACCGTTTCGTGGTTGGCGAACAGCGTCGGGAATTCCTGCAGCCGGCGCACCTCGAAAAAAACGTGGTAGCAGACGAACAAGTTCGCCAGCATCTGGGCCACGTTGTAGAGGAAGAGAAACTCAAAAATGTAGTCCGAGAAGGCGCTCCGTCGCTTTGCCATGAACCGCACGCCAAAGTAGATGACCACGAGATACATCCACGTCGCCAGGATCGGCGAGAACCACCAGGGCTTCAGGGAAATTCCGCGCTCTGTCCACTGCGTCGCCTTGTGGTAGAGGCTGTAGAACCACGCGGAAAAAAACACACCCGCAAACACGCAGCGCTGCCAGAGAAACCGGGCCTGAATGTAGTCCACCAGCAGGCCGGTCTGCGTCGTGTAGATGCGCCGCAGCTCGGCTGCGGACACCACGGGCGATTTCTGCTGCAGCATCTCCTGTTGGTACTGCAGCACCTGCGCGCGGAACTGCCGGGCGCGGACCAACGCCTGGTCTGCCTGCTGTTCCAGCGACTCCGAGATGCCCTCGAACCGTTCCTTTGCCAAGTCCGCCGCGGTCTCCAGAGATTTGGACGCTGCCTCGGACACAGTTTCGAACCTTTCCTTCGCAGCCTCGGAAACAGTCTCAAACCTTTCCTTCGCTGCTTCGGAAACAGTCTCAAACCTTTCCTTCGCCGCCTCAGAAACCGACTCGAAGCGCTCCCGCGCACGCTCGAAGTCGAACCCGAAAGGCACATCGCGGACGGTCTCCTTGACATCCTCAAGCAGCTCGCCACTGCGCAACCGGGTCAGAAGCGAGCCCGGGTTGGTCGTACCGCCCGGAGTGACAGGGCCGTCAACGTCGTCATGTCCATGAAGATCATCTTCGCCGTCGGGGCGTAGTTCAGCCGAACCTTGCAGTGATCTAGTGGTCGTTAGCTTTCTTTCCCCATCGTGGAACTGATCTTGACCGGAGGCATCGTCTTTCGCTTCCTTTTGAATACTTCTCTGCTCGTCGTCGTCTCCAACATCTGGCTCGGCCCTTCTGTGGGGGTCAGCGGACTGCACTTCGGCAGCTGCTGACGAGAAGGCGTCGCTTGGTTGTGCGGCCTTCTCGATACTGTCGGAGCTCTCTGATAGTGCCGCCTCGCCGTGCTCTCCTTTTGTGTTGTCCGGTTCACGACCCGTGTCCCTCTTCGGTGCGATCTGTGCCGCTTCACGCTCCCGCGAGTCATCCTTTCTTGCTTCATTCTTAGTGGATGCGATCTGCTCTGCCATTCCGACGAGCAGTGCTCGTATAAAGCAGGCGATTCGTGGCGCAAAAGAAGATACGACTACACATATACCAGGATGCAGATACGCATAGCCAACGGCATGGACGACTGGGGTTGTCGTTGTGGTTCGAGCGGGAAAGAGGAAGGACAAGGGAAGGGATGCAAAAAACATATATTTCAAAAGATAAAAAGGGTAAGGCGAGTATCACGCTCTAATTGAAAAAAAGGCAGCCGCTGTGGACCTTGTGTTCAACACTTAATTTGATCGGACGTGTTTGATTCTCCGCGCGGAAAAATTTAGCTCGAACAGGAGGAACCAACGGGTTTCAACTTCTTCTATTTTCATTTCACATGGGCATTGATGATGCTACTCCCCAAACTCCGTGACCAAAAATCCAGTTGTAAGTACAGAATTCATTTCGCGTCCTGCAGCAACTTGTTCTGGTCCTCTTTGCCTAAAAAACCAATGGGAAAATTGACTCATCAAACCTCGGAATTGCTCCTAGCTTGGTAGTTGAAGGCAAATGCGTAGGCAAATCAGAGCGCAGGACCAGGATTATCTACTTCTCCTTGAGATAATGCTCGTGGTAACAAATCAAGCAAAAAAAAACAACGGCAGATGGCGCCGGCCTGGAAAGGTATGTATGGAATGTAATTTTCGAAGAATTTAACATATCTCTGGCCCACCAAAGAGATAAGCGTGTGTCTGGTAGCGGTTAGACTGCATTTTGATGTTGATATGACCAAGAATAAGACCAAAGCTACACACAAGAACCCACTAGCTACGGCGGTCATGATGTTTGAAAAAGCGTAGGTAAGAGCAAAAGTATCCGTTTTTGCAACACCAGCATTTCGTTTTCTTCGGATTTGCTGAAAAAATTATGAGTTTACCCTGGTTTGCTAGAGCTAGTATACCGCCAGATACTACACTAGGTGATGGTCTCCTTCGTCAGGAGTCAATGAGTATGTCGCTGTCGGTATCCGCAGGAACTTGTACTGCTTCTCCGAAAAGAGCGGTGCTAGTAGAGTCTACTTATCTTCTTCTTCATGCGATTCATTTGGAAGGAAAATCGGAGTAGTAGTCAAATGGAACAAGAGCTGTATAGAAATTGCGTGTGATTCGTCTTGATGTTCAAGAGAAGGCGATGAAAGCTAGCCCGATGAGGAGAAAACTCATGAAGCACGCCACCCAGCTGGTCTCGATGTGGTGATCTGCGACTGCGATGAGGCGCTCGACCTCCGCAGAATTTGCTTCCAGGCGCTGCTGGCTCAACGATGCGTGGTAAGTGCCAGAAGACCAGAGCGCGATGGCGGGGTTGATGTTCACGTTTGCGCGGGACAACACGTCTTGGTGGTCCTTGCCTATCCCAGGTCCCGCTGGTGGATGAGGCTCCTTCATCTCTGATCCATTGGAAAACGTCGCTCTGTCTTGCTCTGCAGCGGCGCAATTTTTCTCTGATGCGGATGCTGTCAAGCATTCAGACGTGTTTCGTGCTCTCTTCCCCCGTTTGCGCGGAGAGGTCCTCGACGCACTGATCTCCTTGGAAGTTGTTGTAGGACAATCTGTGCTGACACACCGCCCTTCACCTTCGTCCACAGAGGCAACGGAATTACTGTCCGGATTTGGGATCAGAAGACCCGGGTCGGGCTGCGAGAAGGTGATGCTGCTGCGGTCTCCTGCTTGGTCAGAAAACGAGGACGACGTCAAGTTTTCAAAACCTTTTGACCCGCTTCGGCTGCTCGGTTTGTTGTCTAAAACCGAGCGGCGACGCAAATCCTGAAACACCAGCGCGGGCGGCAGGCGTTCGTCGGGCTCCTCTAAGTCCGAGTCGGATGACAAAATTTCGCCCTGTGCCTCGAGAAAAACCGCCGGCGTGGTCGAGGCGGTCCGAGGAAATGACAGCTGCTCTTCTTGTTCTTCAGAAACACCAGCAGCTCGTCCTGGCGCTGCACAATCTTCCCGCGAGATGAAGCTACGCGAAAGTGACCTCGTTGCGAAAGCTGTAGAATGACCGCTGTGCAAGGGAGTCCGCTGGTGCGCTGGTTGCAAGGCTTCCGCGTTGAACGCACCACAGTTCTCGTCTTCATTGCGGATCATTCCGTGGTAGAAAGTGTCTTTGGAGCTCGAGCGCGAGCCGGTCTTCGAGCGCGCCGGAGACGAGCGGCACGAGCAGCCACAAACCCGCGGAACGGTCCGGTGGTTCCGCTCAAAGTGCGCCTTGCAGTCCAGGTAGCCCTGCCAGAACATGCCCTCCAAAACTTCCTCGCCCGGCGGAAAAATCGCCCACCAGGCGGGAAACGTCTTCCGGGGACTGATATCCGCGTTCGGGTACACCCCGGTGGCGCTCACGCGCGTCACGTAGTCGCTCGGGCTAAAGGTCCGCCAGTGGACAAACAAGGAAAGCCACATCAGCCCGTCCACGTAGTAGGCCCTGTACTTCTCCACAAAATACGGAAACAGCCCCCCAAGCAGGGGAATGTGCGACGAGGCGCGGAGGCACTGGATGAAGTGGGTGCGGTCCTCGAACTGGGTGACAACCTGCACATGGTAGAAAATCAGATAAAACACGAAAAATTGAGTATCTATTTTGCCATCAACTACACGATCACATTGACATAGTGCGGGTCCATGGCGCGGTTCCGGAATCAATATAGCACTCGTCACGAAGAATGAAGATGTCTGAGGTACTTACCTGTCCCTTCGCAAAGGGTGGGCGCCAGAAGGACAAGCGGGTCATGAGAATGCGCAACCGGCCCGTACAGTGAGACACACTTGCCGGGACCCACTTCGCCAGTGTCCGGTCGCACAGCCGAAATGCCTCAAAGATGCTCCACCGGCAGGGGCCCGACTGGCGGATGGTGTCGAAGCAGACGTCCATGGGGTTCAACCCCAGCGCCAGTGCCCCAGCCACCAAAGCGCCCCCGCTCGCCCCGGAGAAGGCGAGCTCCGCCGGGTATTCGCCCGTTCCACAGGATAAGTGGTCGTAGATAAAGGTCGCGACGCCCCAGTGGTACACGTAAAGCCACCCGCAACTGTCGAAGGAAAAGCAGAACCGGGCCTCGGGTTGATGTTCCTTGCCGTCTTTGTTATGTCCGCTTAGGTGCTGATCCTGGCTGTGCACGTTGAAGTCGACGTACAGCAGCAGCAGCTGGCTGCAAACCAGCAGTTCGAGCAAAGGGATCACCGGATTGGTAATGTGCAGCAGCGGGTTTTTGTGCAACGGGCCGAGAGAGAATATTTGCTCGATTCCGAACCAACTGTCCTGGAAGAGAGGCGACGGAAATGAGGACGAAAAATCTGCATTCAAGGTAGCTGGGCTGCTCGTCTGCACAAGGAGAAGGCAGCTAAACTGAAACACCGCGTGGAGAAACAAAATCATGTGCTGCGCCCATTGCAGAGCGGGAAAATGACGAAGCACAAAACTGTTGCACAGGGCCACGACGGCCAGAATGCTCTCCTGCAACAGCGTAGCAACACCCTTGTGCTTCTGACAGCTTTCCGTTTGGTCGGCGGCTGCTTCGGGGGCATGGCAAGCGGACAGTGACAAAGTTCGCTTGTCGTCTTCTGCACTACAAGACACACGACTGGTCGTTTCGCTTGTGTCCTGCCCCGTGAAGATGTCGCCACTGACTTTGTTGGAGGTCCGCTTCGCGTTCAAGTCCCTTTTCCTGAATTTCGCGCTTTTCTTTGCACTCGAACTTGTGCTGTGCGATACAACTTTTCTTGTCCGCGGCGTCGCAAGTTTTTCTTCGCAGTTGTCCGAGCACGTGCCTGACGATTGGGGTGTGCAATCCGACAGAGACGGTGTCGTATCTGCGTCCTCGATCGAAACTCTACCTTTCGTATTTCTGCCACCAGTAGCTGCACTTGCCATTCTGGCGCTCGAGGTCGAAATAGCGCTAGGACGCACGGCAGCTGTAACGGTACCTCCGCGGCTGCTGTGGTGCTGCGTGTTCGAAGACGACTCCGCGGATCCGCACTCCTTCGCGAGTAGCATGGAGGCGATGTAGTAACCGTACGTGAGGAGAGAAAACAGGTTCATCACAAACAGGATCAAAATCATGTGACTCGCAGACGCGGCAGACTGCGGCACCTCTTCGAAGAAATTCAAGTCCGTTACTCTGCTTGGCTCCTGCTGGGCGGCACTACTTCGCGCCTGGCCTACCGCCTCTTCGGCGCACAGCATCAGGTGCCGCGCCGCTACATACCAGGCCCACATCAGCATCGTCTTTACGTACACGTTGAGCAAGCTCACCGGTAGCCGGAACTTTTTCGCGGCGACAACAAAGACAATCTCGAATACCTCGAACAAGGTCAGGTGGTACTGCAGGCGCATGATCTTTGCAATGTTCACCAGCTTTGTGACGCCGCGTGGCATCGGCAAAACGTCATCATTTCCGACCGTAGAAGCCTCCCGGCTAATGATCGGGTCGCCGGAAAGGTAGCCAAAGTAGTCGAAAATGCAGTTTCCCGCCGTGACGAAGAGCAGGAAACTCGCACAGAAACAGCAGGTGTCAAAGAGAAGTAGTGCCGGCCAAACGCGACGCGGCGTTCGCGCCTCCATGAAGCGCTGCCCGAAGTACAGTACGGCAATCAGCATCCACGTCGCGAACGTGGGATAGAACCAGGACAGCTTGAATGGAGACACCGCAGTTGGAGCTTCCACACCTGCTGCGCCCAACACCGTTCTGTTTCTGCTTGTCGTTTCGGCAGGTTCATTGCACGTGAAGAAAGCGACGACGCTCCAATATGCGATGCACGCGACGGCCACCGTACGGAACAGCCGCGGGGAGGGCTTTCCGCGCTTCGTGTAAATGGACAACTGCGCGTAGTTTGTCATAACGCGGCGCCATCTCGTCTGCTCAAGCTCGGACGGAAACCCGTCCTGCGAGACCGCGGGCGCCATGGATGATGTTGCGAGCCTCTTTTGCGACGATGATTCTTCTTCCGTGCCGGCAATTTCGTCCTGCCGCTGAGATCTTCTGTGCTGCTGGTGCAAAGCACTCGGCGCAGACATCCTGACAATCAAGGGAAGATCCACAAGCGCCAAGAAAGGCAGCGCATAATCATGTCGAGCTCACCCTCACTGGAGGACTACTTCTTTTTTCTATGTTGCACGACCACGACAACGACCGACGCATGCTTGTCAGGCTTGTATTGTTTCTGAAGAAACATATGTACCAATGCTCTTTGTTTCTGCTAGTGTTTGTCCATTTTCAGTTGGGCTCACTCTTTACTCAACACTTACACAAACGACAAAATTTGGATTTTCCTACGCAAGAATCGACTTTTTCTGCCTTGTTTGATCCATGCCGTTTTTCGTTTCCTTTTGAGCACCTACGCGACTACGCACCTATAGCGCTCCGGGCACGCGTCAGATGACGACGAGAACAACTGCTGATCTGCTAGAGTTGCACGGTATTTGAAAAGCGCTTTTAGCGAATGGCAGTAGAGGCCGATAGTTTCAATATTCACAAGCGACTACGCTGTTTTCATTCCGGTCTTTGTTTAACCACTTCATCTCCCTAAAAAAAACTATAAAAAAAAGTGCAACACAAGACGAAGCTGTGCCTGTGTCCGGCGGTCTTCATATCTATCACGGTCGTTTTTTTCTGTTTGATGGCAAACCGACGCCACTACGCTGTCTAGGATCCAAGCTGTTTCTTTGTGACCTACTAATCCAGATCGGAAATCGGGTCCTTGACGGGCACGTTGATGACCAGCGTTTTTTTCTTGGTCGAGGCTTTCGCTGTGATTTTGTCCACGTCGAGCACCTTTGACTTCAGTATTTTCTCGAGTTTTCCGGGCTCGACGGCCCAAGCAGGAGATTTTGCAACAGAGTTGGCTTGCAGCGGTATTCTGGTCACTCCGCCGTCGTAGGACAAGACAATACCCGCGGCCGTGGCGTCCAGCTCGACTTCGCGCGGTCGCTCGCAGTCTGTCACCGTGACGAGCAATTTCGGTAGCAGGGAAGCTTTATCGTCCCCGCCTTCAACCGCAACCGAGAACTTCAGACTCGCGCCGTCCTCTACTTCGGCGGCCGAATCTCCAAGTGTCGCAGGAGCTCCGCTCTCTGTTGATGCTGTCACCTCCACGCCATCCGGTGCAGCAGATTGCTCTTTTCCTGGCTTTTGGTCCAGAAAGCCCTTCGCCAGGCCTTCGAAATCGAAGTCGGCAAGGTCAAATTTAGACGGAGCTGCGGAGTCACCCGCTTGCTTCCCCGTCGCGCTCTTCTTGTCCTTGTCCGTCAGAGGGTGGGGCTTCCCAGAGGAATCGTAATACCTGCAGATAAGAAAAAACCAACAGTGCATGTTTTAGCACTAAATCACTGCAACCCTTTGTATGTGTTGTTGATAGATAAATCTTGTGGTCCTTGTGCTTAGCTTTATCAAGAAAGTGCTTACATCAAGTCTGTACCAGTCCCGTTTCGGCGCATTTGCGGCTCCACCTCCAGCGCCAAGGTCGTCCTCCTCGTCGTCCAGCATTTTGTCAAATTTTGAGTAGTCCACGTCGTACTTCCCGATGGGCTTGTCCTCGGCCCAGCGGTCGTAGGTTTTCGTTTGCTTTTTCGCCCATTTTTCCATGTCCTTCATCATCTGGCTGTTCTCGGCGTTGGTCTCCGCTGCCGCCTTCCGCTGCGCCTCCGCCGCCTGGTATTCCGGCGTGTTGGTGTCCACGATTTTGCAAGTGTTCCGGAGCTTCTTCGGCAGGAAGCCCATGGGGTCGCCGGCGTTCTCGGGCAGCACCCCCTCGGTGCTGCCGGCCTCGCCGTAGAGCGAGCCTTCGGCGCCCTTCTTGTTGAGAAAGCCCTTCATGGTCTTCTTCAGCGGTTTCGCCTTCGGCTTGCTCTCTCGGATCACAAACTCGTCCGGCTTCAGGTTCAGCGACTCGCGGTCGTCCTTGAACTTCACCTCCGAGGTCGCGACGGTCTGCTGCTTCAGCTCCTTCTCCATCTCGATCCGGATCTCCTCCACGGCCTCGTCGGTCATGATTTCCTGGAAGTCGTGCACCTGCCCGCCCCGTGCGTAGTCCTTATACTTGGTCTCTTTCACCAGTTTGATGTCCTTGCCCTCGCGGCTCAGCTTCACCTTCAGCTCCCGCTCGATCATGTTGAAAGCCACGTTGCTCAGGTAGGGGCGGAACGGGTTGGTGTCCTCCCCGCTGAAACCCCGTCCCGCGGTGTTGAAGTCCTCATTCATGAAAAGCTCGACCATCGTCGGGTGAAATACCACGTCGACCGCGAAGGAGCTCTGCTTTCCCTCCGACGCCAGCTTCAGCTTGCGGTAGCTCCCGAGGTCGAGCGGAACCTGCATGTTGCCCAGGCCGTGCTTCAAAATCCACTCCTTGCTGGCCGGTTTGCCGTTCGGCAGCCGCGGGGCTTCGATCAGCGGGTGGGAACAGAAATTCAGGTACATGCGACTCCCCTCCAGGCTGGTCTTTCCATCCACACTGCTCGTGATCTTCGCCTTCAGACAAAACCCCGCGTGCGGCCGCAGCGCAGGCTGCTCCGGGACCAGGAGCGAGTCCATATTGGGAGGGGCCATGTTGACACGCGGTGTTCGTTCGCGCTGTTCTCGTCCCGAAGTGCGACACGTCGTCTCTGGAAGGGCAGAGTTAGTTAGATAGACGATACATACGAACTCGACGCTCTTGTAAGAAGTTCTAGTATGACTTCTATGTGCAAACTCAAAGTACGCGGCAGCTTTTGCGAATGAAAAGCGCAGCTTCAAATGTGGCCGCAAAACAGAGAATTAGTTGCGGTGGCAGAGGTCCGGATGGGCAGTTGTCGGGATGTTGCCGAATCATGCAGTAATTTCCCTCCTGGCACTTGTGACTTGTCTCAACTCTCAAGGTCTCAGAAACGAGCCCGGATGAACACATTCAAACTAGTCATGGGCGTTTCTACTAAAAAAACGACGACACCGTGCTTTGCAGCACAGTTCGCGGGAATCCACCACTGATTTTGTTGTATGCCTTTCCCATTACTGTATCGAATCTTTACCATCCTGTGCCTCTGGGACACTTCTACCTCGTTGTAAGCTGTCGTGATTTACAGGGTACTTAGGAGATCGAACGTGCTAAGTAATTCTACAGTCTGGCACACATCCTCGAGCCAGAACTTGACGGGTATTTTCGAAATGCTTTTAGATTCATCAAGAGGCTGGGTAAAAAAAGAGTCGTGACGACCAGCACGACAAGAAATACATTGTCCTAAAACTCAGGCGCATGAACATTGGTACGCAAGTCCTCGTCCTGAATTTTACTTTATGTCGGAGACCATGACTGGCAGATTGAATCCTTCCTTTGCCGAAACGCTGTTGCGAAAGAAGTTCCCACGGCCTGCCGTGCTCGATCTCCTCTTCCCGAATACATCTGCTGCCGCCTCGGCTTTTCTAACGGCCGATTGGAATAGATTCTTGGAGCTCCTTACTGCAGGAGCAGCAACAGGAGCGTTACTCGTCGCTATTGTCGGGTTTGTGGCTGACAGTGACGACCCTGGTGCTGGTGCATTTGAGCCTCTCTTGGTAGTAGCAAGTGCGCCAGCACTAACACCCTTGCTTGTCGGGTTGTTGCTGTTGAGCAGCGATCCGGCAGCGGGTGCTATTGTTTTCTGGTCTGTGTCTTTGAGGGAGCTGCTGATCGCGCCCAGGGTGGAATGCAGAGCCGAGATGGCACCAAATGCGTCGTCAGTCGCCCCAGCAAAATCCTGGTGGAACTCGGTGAGCGTGTCGGTCTTCGCGTTGTTGGTCAGCTCGTCCAGCTCCGCCTCGCGCTTCATCAGCAGCTCCTTCAAGGACTTAACTTCGCTCGTGCGCCGGTCCAGTTTCGCCACCAACTTCTCCAGCACGAGCCGCGTTTGCCGCTCCGGCAAGTTGCGGTCGTCCAGCGGGTCCGCGTTGCCCCGGAATGCCAGCAGCTGCTTAGCGGCCGCCATCGGGTCCTTGTTCGCGTTGACGAGGTCGTCGTCCTCCTCGTCAGCGTCCGCGCTGTTCGCGTCGGCGGCGCTCTTCGGCGCGAAAAACTCCTTTCCCACCACCATGAAGGGGTCCTGCACCAGCTTTGTCACGCGGTTGGGGAACTTCCGCAAGCGCGCGTGCATATCGTGCATGGTGTCCAGCCGCATCAGAAAGTCCTGGTGCGAAAAGCTGCGTTCCACCCCGCTCACCGGGTCCAGCAACAAAAACACGATGAAGGGGTAGAACGGGTGCCCGTCAATCTCCGCGATGTGCTCAAACTGCCCCGGCGGCGCGCGCGCCAGTAGCGCCTCGAACTGGTACTGCGGCAGCTTGATGAGTTTGCTTTTTTTGCTCTTCCGCTTCTTGTTGCCCTTCGACGTTCCTTGGGAGGTTTTGGTTTCTTCCTCCTCGTCCGAATCCGACGAGGGTTCCCCGTCTGCGGAGGTGGCGGACTTCTGCGCCTGCGCGGTCAGCGCGCACAGTTTTGCGTAGTCCTCGGAAGCCATGGCGACCAGTTCCTGTGCCTCCACAAAGTCGGTTGCAATCCGGGCCGTCACGTCGCGGCCAAACTGCTGCCGCTGCTCCAGGTCACTCAGATACAGGTGCAGCTTCTCGACGCGGTGTCGCTTCCAAGGATGGCGCAAAATCTGCGTGTCCTCCAGCTGCTCCAGAGTGTCCTCAATAGATTTCTTCTGGTCCTTGCCACCCTTGTACGCATTCGCCGTGGTGTCGAAGTAGTCCACGTCGCCCTTGCGGATCTCCTCGCCGTCCCGCGTGCCATCCGTAGCAGCCGTGTCCACGACATCCTGCGCCGCGGCCGCAACATTCGTGGGTGGGCTTGCGGCAGCCGTGCTGTCTGGCACGGGTGGGTTGTCGTCCTGCAAGGGGACCGGCATCTGCACGGAGCCGCGCTCGGAAATCAGGTGCTTCTGCGGAATCGTGACGCGGAGGTAGAATTCGTTGTTGATCAAAATCCGGTTTTCTTCCATCGAAAACGCGTGCAACAGCTGGTCCTGGTCCGCGAGCAGCGTGACCCCGTCCTCGAGCAGAATGCTGGCGTTGGTGGTCGAGCCGGATGTGAGGTCTTTCAGCAGCGTGTCCATGGGCTGCAGCGTGGTTTCGCAAGCGTTGTCGTCGTGCAGTTCGTCGACCAGTTTCTTGTGCTCTTTGCGGACCCGCGCGGCGACCGTCGGCTTGGTGAGACAGATGAATACGTGCACGCTGTCGTAGTTCAAGATCTGGCAGCAGACCGTCTGCGCCGCCGGGCCGGTGACGCGCACGTCTGCGTCCGGCGCGCCCCCGATCGTGATCGGCTGCCCGTCCTGCAACTGGCACACCACCAGGTCGGAGAGTGCCTGCGTGGGGTGGATGATGCTCACGTAGGGGAGCTTCTCCGCGCGGCATTTCTGCGTCAGCGCGGTGCGCTCCGACAGCGACCCGTTTTTGTAGGTGGACAAGATGGTGGCGCCCCACAGCTGTTGTTGCGTCTTGAACATGAGTTCGGAATCCGCCTTGGCATCGAGGTAGGCGTACCGTAGGTTGGCGATCTTCAGGAAGGTGTCTTGCAGCATGTGTGGCTGGAACACCAAACAGCTGCAGCTACCGGCGTCGGTCACGCGGTGCGTGTACTTGCGGAAAAAGGTCAGGCCAAGCGCCGCGCTCTCCCCAAACAGCGCGTTGGCGCCCAGGGTCGCAATCACCTCGTTCTTCTCGTTCCAACGCTCGATTTCCCCCGACAGGACCAAGTACATGCAGTGCCCAGCGTCGCCAGCCTTAAAAATGAACTCACCGGCAGCGAACACCTCGAGATCTCCGTTGGGAAGCACCTGCTGCGCCGCGCCCCCGGATGAACCGCCTCCGGACGCACCAGCAGGTCCACCACCGCCTCCCGCTCCAGGCCCGGCGATCGACTCCGAAACGCGTGGCCCACCACCTCCCTCTTCCAGCATTTTCTGCATCGCCATCATGGCTTCATGCTGCTCTTCGAGCTCCTTCTTCAGTCGGTCAATCTCGCCCTGCGCCGCAGCTTTCGCGTTCGTTGTCGAAACCTGAAATTAGGAACGAAAAAATTGGAATTGCTGAATGCCGAGAAACAGCACCAGCAGGATGAGAAAGTGATACAGATACACACAAGTCGAATCAAGAAAAAAAGAACTGAACGTACGTTCGCCACAGCCGAGGTTTTAATGGACTTGACGGACTTCGCGAAGTGCAGTGTCGAAATAGTTTCCTGCACATTGTCCTCCGCCGGCGACAGAGCGGTGAGCATGATGGTTCGACTGTTTCCCGCCAGCGCGTCGCGCAGGATGAAGGTCAACTTTGAGTTTCGAAAGGGCGCAGTTTTCCCTTCCCCCTTCGCCAGTGCGGCGATCACCATGGCCAACGCGGTGAGCGACTTGTTGATATTCGTTGCCTCCTTCATCCGGTCGCCCGCCGCGCCGGTCTTTTTTGCGCGCTCGGAGCCCGCCAAATCGACCAAGTTCACTTTGGAGGTTTTGGCCTGCCCGCCCTCCTCCTGGTCCAGCTCCAGTGCGAAGACGCAGTGCGACCGCGAACTGACCGCGTTCATCTTCGTGGCCGCCACGGACCGGGTTCCGAGTCCGCGGTCCATCTGCACAAGGCACTCGTCGCTGGACGCCGTGGGGACCTCCGTGAGTCCCGGGATAAAAATCCCGAGCTTGGGGTGCTGCTTCACCTCGAGCTTCGGCGGTTCGTACCCTTCCGTGCCCAGCTTGGGATCGAGCAGGTCGTGCACGATCTCGTTGTAGATTTCCAAAAAAGACACCTTCGTCCCGAACTTGAACCGGCTGGGGTCTTTGTCCTTCATTAACGACTCGTACAGGTCCTCCAGCATCCGCGGCAGCAGCCCGCGGAGGTCGTCGGGGCCCCCGATCACGGAGTAGGACTTGCCGGCCCCGGTCTGTCCGTAGGCGAACATGGAGACGTTCAGGCCGCTGTACAGGGTGTCCAGCATCATCCGCCCCAAATCGGCCATCACGGTCTCCTGGGTGATGAACTCCCGCTGCTTGTCGTGGCTCCAGTACGCACGGTCGAACTCAAACGTCTTCTCCTGTCCGTTCTCCGTGACCACCACGTGCCGTCCCTGGACGGTGTCGTCCGGCATGTCCACGCACAATTTGCTGTCCAGGTCCTTCTCGCGCTGGTTAAACGGCCGGCACCGGGTCACCACCATAATATTGTTTGCGTCCGACATCTTCTTGTTCCGTTTCCGTGTTGGCAAAAATTTCTCGTCAAAGAGTTTGCGCCAGGTTCAAGATGCTGCGGGTCCTCGTCGTGGAGTTGTAGATCAATGATCTTTTTTCGCCGCAAAGCCAGCTTTCTCGGATTTTTTCAAGATTTCTTGCCGGAATAACGACTAATGCTCAAGATTTTCTTTATCTTTCAACGCGAAGATAATTACCAGTTACTGTATTGATGCAGATGTTGCCAAAAGCGGGATGCGCGAGTGATGCAAACATCTTGAAGCGTTAGAAGGGGAGGAGAGTTTATTGGTTCCTGGAAACAAGTCAGAATGTGTCCGATTTTCCTTCTTGGAATGGTGCGTTAATTCGCATGCTTACTGCACAAACGTGCACGCGTTTTCGTGATGATGTATTCTATCTTCACACGACATCATCAACCATGTAATCATAGATACTTTTCTTGTAGTTTGGACGCTTTGGCTGAACGAGAGGAACGGGTGGTGTGTGACAGCCATCCGCTGCAGGGCGTACGATTCACCGAAGATTATCTTATGCCAACACAAGCTGTACGTCACCGAATGAACAAGTAGCGCACGACCTGTTTTTCTATAACCGAGTTCCTTGCATTTGCACAGACATCAAAGAGTTTGTTGTAAGGACGCAGCGACCCAACATGCATGGCATTTGTGGAGACCGAGAACAGCATTCGATTTCGACCGACGCTTCTGCTTGCCATTGCTAATGTAAGTATCGCTGGCGCCGCACTACAAACATCAACCTGCCACCTTTCAAAGCATGAATTAGCACGACTACCACGACCACTTCAAGACCAACGCTTTGCGCAACCAGAACCGAGTCAGTTCGATTCCCAGTTCGAACTTTGGTCGTAAGTACAGAAGTGGACTGAAGGCGCCACATCATGGAAGCCTCACGCGTCGGTGAACAAATTAGGGCCTGCCGCGTTCCACAAGTAGAATCTTGTCACCGCGAGAAACAATCGTCCGAGTTTTGCTCGCGCCCCTTCGGCGAATTGTTGTCTTTCATTTTCTGTGCTTCTTTTTTTTTTGAGGCTAAAAGCCTCGCTCACTTGCTTTCGATTAGAATAAAAAAACATTCGTACACTTCAGGTTGTGGAGTCGAGACACAGCGATCTATCTCGAGCTTTTGTTCTTCGTGGGCACACATTCTTCGCGATCTTGATTTCTGATTATATCTGTCGCCTCTACCTAGTCAAGTCGCACGAAAAACATATGTTGGGGGCTGCTTGTTTGTGCTTCCAGTGGGAAAAACAAATTGAAGTTATGCTCTAACTCCATGTTGCGCTGCGCAACACGCAAAGCATGGCAACACTATGTCTACTACTTCCTACATCCATCTGGCGAGACCGTGATGTCGCACCATGAGAACGACCCTGCCGGGCACTCTCTAGTCGTTCCTTTCCGTACTAAAGTAGCTACAAGTACAAGCGCACGAGCCACACAATTTCTGGTTGTTAGGTCAGACGGAGAGGAAGTGAGAGACACAGAAAAGTTTGGAAAAATTAGGTCTGTGATACACAAACTAGGAAAAACCAGGATATGGATCATGTGGCGCACCGTCCAGAATACGCTGGACTTCCGAGAGAAAACAAGGTTCATTTCCCAACGGCGAGCGAGCCCTCTGTTCCTCTCCAAGAGTCGCTTCGCCTCCGCAGTCCTAGAAAGATGAGGAGCACCAGAGCCAGTGCCAGAACATGAACGGAAATAGAAAAATGAACGAAATCCATCAGGATTTTCGCTTCATCTTGTCCACTATTTTCTATTTCAATTTCCGTTTCTCTTCTTGCTCAAGAAACAAACAAAAACCATACCAAACGACACCATGCGTCACCGCTAGTATGGTCATGCTGAGAATGTCGCTATTGTAAATGTGAAAATTTAGTAACGCTTAGATGAAATAGAACGGAAACGTTGTCGTTTTGGGTACACCCATGAAAAAAATCGCCAAGTCATAATCCATCTGTAATATCCATTAAGTTTTCTACCCTACGAAACAATATCAAGTACGTGCCACTTTTGGGCCAAGTTGCCAAAATGGAAGTTCCATTTGATGCTGCAAATCGCAACTGAAAAACTCAAAGCCTTCTATTTCATCGCCTGACCTCTTCTGCTTCACAAGCAGTGGGTCACTGTTTAAAAGGTTCAATATTACGCGTTTGTCAGATGAAGATGTCTTCAGCATCGTATACAAGAAGAATAATTGATGTGAATCATAAACATAAGTAATCGTCGTCAATTATTGGGTTCGGTGCTCGCCCAAAGACGCTTCAAATGAACGTCTTCGCATTCGTTTTTTCTTTTCGGGTACATACATTTTCATTTTCACGAACCCAAATTTTTCAAATGTATTACTAGGTCGAACTTTTTGATTTGATGATGGTATACAATCAATCTCCACGAATAGACAACTGGAGAACCAGGAAATAACAACCTAGAATTACGATTAGCTTCTTTGAATTTCAATTTCTCATTGATTTGTCAATAGCGAAAAAGGAAAAGCAACATCATCAGAAACCCATGTTTTGAGTTTTAGATTTGAAGATTCATGTGTACAAGTGTCATAACGGAGCAGAGATAAACTGAGATTTACCTCTTGTTGAAAAGAGAGTTGTATAAGCAAAAACTATAGGTCGCTATCAATCACGGACAGCACAGTGTGCTGCTGCTGACGCGCTTCGTATCTGATTACTGGGTAACGAGGATCGGCAAAAACGAAGCCGTCCGTGTCCGACTTGTTATTTCATCTACAATATCATCGCTTTTCTTTGTGAAGTAGTACTTAGGTTTGTGTGAAAGATATGTCAAATGCGATTGCGAGAGAGTTCTTGTAGAGATAGTGAAAACAGATAACCATTCAAACAGCAGATGTGTCTACCGTCCTTGTTTCGGCTCTGAGCATGCGCCGGGGGAAAGATGGAAAGGGTTCCTAGTTCCGCTTCAAAGAAATTCCACTGTCAAAAATCTTGCTTCGGATGTGGGATCGACAGCATCGTGCAGGCACGTTGGTGTCAGACACGGACACACCTGGCAAGTTTTTCCAGTTCAACATCGCCATCGGTTTTCGATTATGCTGCGAAGGGGGTGACCTCTGTCCGTTGAGCACGATGGTGAAGGTGGCGTGGATCATGTGGAGAAAAAATTACTACGTAAGTACGTTCCAGGGGGCAAGGGAGAGGACTCAATGAGTTCTGGCACAATTCAATCTTGCAAGAAAACTAACATCGAAGACGTTGTTGGCTCTCAGAAAGGGACGTATGGGAAACATCCACGGAAGTGAGTAAATCTTCTTGCGGACGCTGCGCATCAACTTCCGAATTTATCTCCGATAGCTCGACGCCGGTACGTTTGGAAAGGATTCAAAGGGCTCCGCCGGATGTTTCCATAGCACTGAGAAAGGGAGGAACTCCATGTCATCCGTAAACCGCATCTTCAGTTCCGGCTTGAAGTATCTGAAAGTCAAAATGAAAATTTACTAGAAAGATATAGTAGCTTGAGAGACCTACCTCATAGATGTATGAGTCAAAGCAATACGCATTGACAGCAGCTGCTGCAACAGCATCGGAAAAGCGAAATCGATTCCGACAAACATGGCACGAGGCAAAAGCGGAGTGAAGTTAGATAATCAATTGCTAAATACCCTAGCTGGTGCCACTGCAGCATTTCCTCGAGTTCGAAGGGCCCTTGCACGTTTCCTTTCGGGTCCACATACTGCCATCCGTTGGTCGGACAGGGTCGGTTGTCCCGCAGAGGGCCCGGCCCGCCTTTCCCGGCGTCCTTTCCGCCGTTCGGCATTCCGTAGTGTCCCATGTTTGGTGGGTGATGCGGGAACGGCGGGGCGCCCGGGTGGTGCGCGAAGTGGGGTGGATACTGTCCGGGGGGAACGCCGCCCGCTCCCGGGTAACCCGGCGCTCCCGCGCCGTAGCCGTTGTACGGGGGTCCTGGCGGCGGGCCCGGGATCATACCGTGTGGGTAGGAAGGCGGCGGCGCGCCGGGGTAGTTGGGATAGCCCTTCATCGGGGGGCCACCCGGCATGCCCGGGTAGGGCCCGTTCATGGTTGGTGGCGGGCCTCGAGCGTTCGGTGCAAACTGGCTCGGCGGCGCACCTGGGGGTCCTTTCGATGCTCCGGGGGGCTGCGCCGTTGGTGGACCACCCGCGCCCACTGTGCGCAATGGTATGCTCGAATTCTTTGGATCGTTCGCTGCCTGCTGCTGGGCCATCGCCGCTGTGGTTGGCGGCTGGTGCGAGGGTGGTGGTGGCAGGCCGGTACTGCTATTCTGCTGCTTCCCGCCATTCTCGGTTGCTGCCAAGGCACCTCCCTTACTTGACGAAGAGGAGGTGGCCGGTTGCCCGGGCTTTCCATTTGCTGTTTCGGCACCCGAAAAACCCTTTGCGCCCGCTTTGTTCTGCAGTTTGCTGTTCATTTTTCGTATTTTCCAAATCTTCTTCCAATCGATTCGTGTGCACGCGGCCGTGAAGCTCAAAACCATGTTACATCACGAATGTAGAGCCCAATTTGACTAGTATCTACCTCAACAGAGAGCAATCGCGCGGTCAGAGCCAATAAAAAATCACGGTCTCGAAATCAAAGTACCTATCGCCCCTTTCGTCGTCGCTCTGTGGTCTGGAGTTCGAAGGCGTCTTCTCCGGATCCACTCCGTTCTGTGACCTTCTTGCCGGAGGAACTGTAGAAATTTGTGGAACATTCATTGTGTACATTTTCATCAAGTCAGGTGGTGGTAGAGATGAGCTTATACACTTTGCGACACAACAAAAAGGACGAGCGCTCCTAGCCCAATAAAACAAGAGCAACCGAATACCGTCAGCGCCACCATTTGCCGGCTGCTCTGCTGATGTTGAAGTGGTTGCAGAATCTCCTGCACCAGTCTTGTTGGCCTTCTCCTCCTTTTTCTTTCCGCTTGGAACGGCCTGTCCTCGAATCCATGCCTTGTCAGTACGCCCACTGGGCTCACTACTCGAGTTACCCGACTCCTCCTTGCCACTAGCGACGCCGGTGGCGCCCCCGCTGCTACCGTCCTGCTCCTGCTTCGCCGCGTCTTTAATATTGCCCGCCTTCGCGCCACTTGCTGCGAGCAGTGCCTTCTTGCCGTCAGGGCTCTTCTTGTCGGGACTATTGCTCCTCGGGGAACTCTATCAAATGCAAAAATGTCTGGGTCTGGAAGAATTCATGTTTGTCATGCTTGTCTGGCATGACTCTTCTATCTGTCATGCACGTTACCCAAGAGCTCCGCTTTTCTGTGATGCAGAAGCGCAGTTTGTCATGCGGAATAGGCAACACCTAGGAGCTCAGAAACGTGTCATGCTGAGCCAGCATCTGTAGCCTCATCATGAGACGCCACCCAGCATCACAAGTTTCCAGACCCAGACATTTTTACTTTTGATAAACTCGCGTCTCCGGTCTGCCCAAGCATGAAAGCCTTGATACTGTTATTCGCCGGCTCGCCCCGTGCATGGGGCGGTCGGTACGCGGCCTATCCCGTGTAAAAACGTCCCCACCCCAGAGTCAAGATGGGGATTTTGCAACACAAACCTAGACCTTTTCCGAGTCACGCATGACAAGTTGCAGGCTGTACTGTAGTGCAGTTTAGCAAGGGAAGCAGCATAAGAAATCCGTCTCCTTATCCTGTTTACAGCATTACAAGTTGCAAAACACGATGGGCAATGCCTCTCATGGGGATGCGCATTACAAATGCTCTTGTGCTTGCAAATCTGCATGACAACACTGGGGTGGGGATGTTTTTACATAGGATACGGCCTTTTTGGGCTTTTCTTCTGTAGTCTTTGAACACGCAGCAGCTGCCTTCTTGATGTCCTGCCTCTGCGGTCCTTCGAAGTGGCTCCCCTTGCAGTCGTGCGGACGGATGCCGACCTGAGGTGAACATGCAGATGAAGAGTGGGGATATCGTAAATGTGCGCCATATTCCAACCAACGCATCAAGAAAAATACAGGTACTAGATATTCATGTCCCAGTCTCAGAAGCAAAAGATCATAGCATATTAGTATTACGTGTAGAGCTCAGAGGTAAAAGAAAAGCATGAAAACTCTGTACCTCGTAAAGTTCTTCAAACGGCTCTGTGTGTCGCCCGGCTCCAGTCAAGCAGTTCCAAATTGTGAAACCATTTCCGACGCGCATCCTTGGCGCAAGCACGGCAGTGATGATATGTATGCCATCCGCACTCCATTCGACCTGTTGATGTTTGATGTCGTCGGCTAATCCAAAAACACACTAGTTGTAGAAACACGAGAATGCGCAGAACTTCCGGTAGTTCCGGGAGCGTCTACAACTCTACGTGTAAGTACGTACAGATAAAAAAATTGAAATAATCAATGCCTCGCATCACAAAATAATTATCTTCCCAACATTGGAAGTGAGAAAGAAAAACGCTACCGAAACAGTGCAGTTGGCCTGGGATGTCGCCATTTTCTCGAGTTTGTCGGTATCGGTTTTTCCAAAGAAATCCAACTCCCCCGCTAAGTTTCCAAAACCGCCGATGAGGCAGACGGAGCCAAATTTGTTCCATTTCACACTATTTCTGTGCGCCTTGTCCGCGAGAATGGTGAGGCATTTTGCCTGCTTTGTTAACCGGTCGTACTTCCACAAGCTGACATTTGCGGGCTGAAATCCCCGAATCAGGACAAAAAGGTCTTCTGCCGGCGACCAGGACACCGCTTGAATGGGTTGGTATCTGAGATTGTGTAGGAAAATTCAAGATTTATTTCGTAGTTGCAACAGCAGCAGTACTTTGCTTTGACTTCCAGTGTTCATCTTTCAAGTGGTACATGACAACCAGAATCTCACCAAGCGTACCAAGTAGTTAAAAGTATTAATGCATTTCAAGTTGAGTTGATACTTCCCATCCGCGTCTTTATTGAGCTCCTGGACTTCTGCATCTGGGTCGTTCGGGAGCAGTAACAAACGTGTGGAGCCGTAGTAGCTCACCCCCGTTTCGTCTACTTCGGTCTCCACTAGGGCGAGCAAAGCGTCGCCACTTGCGCTCCACTGGAGATCTGCGGACTCTCCGCTGGCGGACTCTGCACGCTTGGATAATACGAGCTTTGTCGACCCGGCAGCCTTCGTGCAGTCGTATATCCGTATCTCGGCGGGAGACGACACCCGCTGCATCTCGTTTCGCCCGTCAGACACAAACAGGGCGAGTTGCAGCCCGGCGTTTTTCGGAGTGGCCGCGGTTTTTGCACTCGCGGGAGCCCACTGGGCCACCAAATTTGCGCGCTCCTCCCGAATCTCGAATAAAGGCGTCGCATTCAAATCATGACCGGGGAGGAGGTGAAGGACGGACTCCCGACAATTTTTCTCCGGCGGAAGTATCTGTGGTGTAGCGAAATTGAGAATCTTCTGGTTTATTGTTATTCTTTGACGCTCAACATCTACCAAAAAATTAAGCAAAGCTGCATACTCTGTATCAAATCGAAAAAATGTGCATGATATTGTGCAATAATCATTTCTTGATAGTACCCTAGCGCAGACAGATTCATCCGGAGCCCAAAGGAGAGGGCAGGCTTTCTTGCTGCTCCCGTCACCCTTGGGGACACTGAACTGCGCTTCGATCTTCAGAGTTTCTGCGTTCCAAACGAGCAGGTTCGGTGGTGCCGTTTCGCCTTTCTCGACCTTCTCTGGCGGGTTTTGAGTCACCAAAAACCTGTAATTTCGTTGTTTTTTGCACTTTTAGAGAAACGCTTTCTCCTACTTTGTGGGAAGCCGAAGCGGTAAGCATACTTACATACACATAGCACAGCAAGAAATGGCAGCAGTCAATGTGAAAATACTTTGATGATGGCGACCACCAGATGTGCTGGGTGTTCGTGGAACTGCCCTGCAGAATTTGCACGGTTGGCTTGCCCTTTCGGAGACCGATGATCACCACGCCCTTGACGGTATCGCCGACCGCGAGACATTGCGAATCGGGAGACCAGGAGGCGGACTTGGGGATGTGCGGAAGCTTCGCGAGCTCTTTCGGGTTCAGCTTCTCCTGGTTGGCGACGCTGGCCTTGCCGAGAGTGAGGATCTTCAGGTTCTGACTGGTTCGCACAAAAAAGGCGAGGGCCGAAGCCTCCACATCCATCGGCATTCTGCACTTTCGCGGTCTCAACAAACTAGGAGAAGTCCGAAGCTCGTCTCGCTGTAGAAGGATGGGTCAAATACTTCTCCGACGATTGCTGCTGGTCCACGTCTACGTCCTCAAACAGCTGGAACAAGCGGAGCTGCTGTAGTATTTCTTCTGTGGCCCGACTAGTTGTACACCTGTGCGTCCTTCTATTGTCGTTTCTTCGCACACGTCAATCGATGTCGCTACCACCACTGCACCCGCCGGATCGGCCGCTTGATATCGTGGGCAGTGAGGACCGAGCGACGCAACAAAAGTTGTTGTTGGTTACGGTATGAATGCAGCTATTCTAGCAGTAGCCAAAACCGCAAACCGCTTGAGTTACGCACGGGTAGAAATTTCGTTTGAAACAAAGCGTCTGTTTCTTGTTCCCGCCTTTCAAAAATGAAAGATAGATGAATATTATTCTTAGTTGCTCACCACGAGGCACATTGGAATATTTGTTCCTGGGTTGCCCAAAATCGTCACTGCTAAAGGCGGAGCACTGACGAGCTACAAGTTGGACAGCGGCGAAACTTTTTTTATATTCTGATTGTAGTCGATTGGCAACGTTTTTTCTACTAATTTTGGCGTCTTCGGTATGGTTTGCATACGCAACCACTATTAGAGAAACTTCTCAGAGCTGCCAATGTTGATTGTATACAACAGGATATCACAGTAGCAAGCAGCCACGGCTTCGGCTCCGGCTGCGTGAGAAGCTATAAGGATATCGCTATGAGGCCAAGAAGGAAAGAACCCAGGTGGCGGCGCTACGGTACACTAATTTAGGCTAGGATAAGATAACCAAGCTAACTATGTGTTCTTGAGGTTGTTCTAAATATCCACCCTGTGATTGCGAGACGGCTATTGTTTTAGGTAGAAGCAAGTAGAATCTGTACGGAAGTCGTTCTTCTTCTGCTTGCTAAGGTAGGATCTTCATGAAAAAATACAGAGGTTTAAATTGTAGTACTTTGTGGTCGTTAGATCTGAGAAGAAGCTTTCCAGCATGGAACTAGCGTTGCGTCCGAGCAGTACCGCGTACTTGCTGGGTGGGTGAGTCCCGTAGTGCTCGGTCTGCTTGGTGCTCGGACGTTCTGCCTTGCGCCAGAAACAAGGGAACGGAGAAGTGCAACTCTCTGTTTGTCCTCTTCTATCTAATCGTCCACAGCAGTTCTAGGAACGACTACAACTTCAGTATTTTGTTTTTCTGGAGTTGATGTTTTCCTTTTGTTATGCGGCTCTACTTCGATGGTGAAAGACTTCTGATTCCAAAAATCCAAGACCAAGAGCTTCGTTTACTACGCGAAGAACTCTGACAAACTGCGACAATACCGTCTGTAGAGCCCACCACCAATGGTAGTCGAGGTGATGTACGGGACACAAGAAGCTACAACAATACCAATGATCGCACAAAGCTCTACAAAAAAATGTCAGCCGTTTGTTGATCTTAATAATATCTCGGCCTTTTTCTTTTTCAAGAGAATACCTATAAACAATACTGAAACAATACCAAGGAGATATTTTCAACAACGTAGTAGATACAACAACTTTTTCTATGCGTTAGAATAGTACGTGGTCGGCTCGTTCTGATTTTTCAAAGTAAAATCTGATACATCAACGAACTTCGACGGACATTAAGTACACTTTCCGCTAAGCTATTGGTATCAGTATTAGTGCGGTGCTGGCGAACCTGGAAAAAAAAAACTAAAGGAAGCATTGAAGTTTCAACATTCTGTTTCTCGACCGTAGCTTGTTTGTGATCATTTTTCATTGATTGACCAGCAAGATTTCGAATTCATTGCAGTAATGCAGCAGCGCAAGCGCCAGCGCATCCCGATCCTCTTCATTTTCAACATGTGCAATTTTTCTGGATTTCATCGTCTTCGTCGGTCGGAGCGGATCTCAAATTTTCATCTACTTCATTTTCAGGTTTTGGGTCATTGGAATTTGTCTTCTAGTTGATTCATTAATTTGAACGTCGGCGTACTAAGGTCTCACTCAGCCGTCTCCGTTTCGCAGATACAATCAAGGTCGTAATCGTATGAAGATCGCGCCCGGAGGGCGATATTGGTAACCAAATGCGTGCGCGAAAATCTAACCAGCGCGAAAGCCAAACCAGCCGCGCGGCGAGAGCGCGGCCCGCGGCCCGCAGGGCCCTAAAGGGCCGCGGACAGCTACTGTCGCCCGCGGCGGCCCGCAGGCTCCTGCGATAAGCATTGAAGGCGATATCCGGTCTGCTATTTCGCAGCGGGGCATCTTTTCTAGCCCCCTGCATGACAAACTGGCCACCTGGCCCGGAAGGTATGTGGCCAAGGGGGGCTAGCCCCCCCCGGACCCCCCCCCTCCACCTCCGCAGCGGGCCATCCTTTCTAGCCCCCTGCATGACAAACTGGCCACCTGGCCCGGAAGGTATGTGGAAAGCCGAAAATCCGGAAACCCTTCCGAGCAACCAAATTCGGGCATTTCAGACGCGGCGGAGGTGCCGAATTTGTGCCCACAACCCAGACCAAATGCGGACTTTGGGACATGCCTCCGCCCGCTTCTAGTCCGACTTTTTTTCCCAAATCGCGATGGTATGGCGCAAGCGCGCGCCCGCCGGACCGCCCTTGGTGGCCAGTTTCTAAGCCTGCCGAGGGTTCTCGACTTTCGCCTATTTTTGCTTTTTTTTCAAGTTTCTAGGTGGCCGAAGGGCTCTGCACATTTTCACCGCCCACAGATGACTGGCAGTTTTCAAGCCTGCGGAGGGATTGCGCTTTTGCGCAATTTTTCATCTTTTTTCATTTTCCAAGTGGCCCGGGCGATCTGCACATTTTCACCGCCCGCATCTGACTGGCAGTTTTGAAGCCTGCGGAGGGATTGCGCTTTTGCGCAATTTTTCATCTTTTTTCATTTTCCAAGTGGCCCGGGCGATCTGCACATTTTCACCGCCCGCATCTGACTGGCAGTTTTGAAGCCTGCGGAGGGATTGCGTTTTTGCGCAATTTTTCATCTTTTTTCATTTTCCAAGTGGCCCGGGTGATCTGGACAAAATCCGACGATTGCTTCCACCCACGTTATGAAGCAAATTTTTGCCATTTTTTTCCAACTTTTTCCAGTTACGAAGCGGCCCAAGGCTTCCGAACAGGTCGCGGACCTGCTGCTCCAACGCAGCTGCCCAGCGGGCGGAGCAAAAAACAGTCCGTCTCTTTTTCAGATATCAAGTGGGCCAAATCGCAAAAATGCTCTTTTTCCACCTTCTCCCGCTTGGTTTCTGCCGTTTTTGCGACATTTTTGCCCTCCTGGCCATTTTCCCATCTGGTCCGCTTTTTTTCCCTTCCCCCGCTTCATTTCTGGCCATTTCCCTGACCTTCACGCCTCCCGGCGGTTGCCCTATATGGTAACGGCAACTGCCTTCGCGCTGCGTTTGCTAAGCAATATCGCAAGCGCGCAGAGCGCGCGCGCCGGCTTCGTGGGCCGGCGCGCGCTCTGCGCGCGCGCGCGCACGCATTTGGTTACCAGATAATTTGAAACTTCAGCCGATGCAGGCGTCGATGGCTGCAGATGTTGAAGACACCACAGATTAGTAGGAATCTGCTACGGGTAATAGCGGGCAGTAGATACAAATGCGACTCAGAGTGAGTGATAGTGCGCAAATATGCTGCTAAAGCAGGTGGCTATAATGTTGCCTTGCAATGGGTTTTTGGCGTTGACCTGCTTACAGTTGTCGTCAGCTTTCTGTGGACAACGCGCTTAGTCTTCGGAACACTGTCCGTACCTGTGACTGAACAAGATCGGAATAAACCTCCCGTGCTTGAAGTTCGAATCTGTGAGTGGAGGCCCGCTGCAGCGCGCTTCAGCTTCTTCATCCATTCTACATCCTCAGCGTCGTCATTTTGCTGAAGATGCCTTCTGCCTTCGACAAATGGATTGTGTACACGAAGGTACATGTGAAGTCTTTCCCCTTCTCGTTGTTCAATGACACTACATAAAATACCCAGTAGCAATTCGCTCTTACCGTCGAAATTACAGGCGACAAGAGCCGGTACACATACTTACAACACCGGAGGAGAAAGCGAATAAAGCACTAGCCTTTGTTGCAGCGATTCGCGCACGTACCCTCGATCCAGCGTGTTGATTTCTTGCTGTGCACCACAACACACACTATTCCCTGTGCGTGGCGACTTTCTGATCATAGTTGACGCCCTGCTTGTAACTCTTGTTCACTCGAGAAAAATAGAACTTCTTCTCGCGCTCGCGGCCCTCCCGGGGCCAGATAATCATCACATACATCTGAACCATGCCGTAGGACAGGATGAGCAGCTGCCACCCCGTCCACCGTCCGAACATACTGATTTTGTTGTTCCCGAACACAAGCGGGATCCACGCAAACCACTTCATCTCCGCCCAGGGCTTGATTGCCAGCAAAAACCGTGCTCCCGGAGAGGTCACGTCACCACCGGACCGACCGTAGAAACCACTGACGGGTAGTTCATGGGATGCTTCATTTCATTCTTGTTTTTCTCTACAAGTCAGAGAGCAGCCTGCGTGTCGAGCGTTGTGTTCATAAGGTTTTGTAAATCTAATTTACTTTGGTCGACTACAGCATGAATTTTGCCCTTCCTTCTATTCATTTCTGCCGAAAAACTATCTGCAATACGCAAGAATATTTATCATTAAAAAATTTTGCGTACGTGACGTCCGCACTGTATCGGCAATCGTGCGGGAGTGCGTGGGTGGGACAATACTCGCGGGTGTTGTCCATAAACTCGCAGCGCTCCTCCGCGCTCATCCACCAGAAGGGGTCTTGCTTTCCCTCCGCCTCGAGCTGCTTGCGCCACTGCTCCAGGTTCGGTGCGGTCTCGTCGATGGGGACACCCTGGGGCATGACGTGGTTGTCCAAAATTTGAAACGTTTCCGGCCGGTTGTGAATGTGGGTGCGATCGAAATAGTTGTTGTAGTAGTCGGTGTAGTTGCTCTCCCCCATATCTGAAATGCAATCGGTAGCGCAAAGCAAAAGTCGCAGTGAGCGTTCTTATTTCCACCTTTCAATCTTATTCGTACATGGATCGATCCCCAAGATCATGAACGTGAACTGCGCTAAGGGCAGGAGTAGAAACACACAAAAACAAAATGGAATTCGACTTACATCTGCCCAAATTCGCCATGATCCCGGTGTTGCGGACTTGCTGAGTCTGCGCGTGCCCACAGGCACGCCTGGCTAGTACGCGTCCGTGTGCGGCCAACATCCTCGTCGATCAGTGACGCGTAGTCGAGTGCACTCGCCCTGTCGGCCTCCGATCGGCGCTAACGGGCTCTCAAAGCAGCATTAGATTATATCGGCACCTACCTCAGGGGTTCCTGGGCAGATGGGAAAAACAACTATCCGTTTGCTTTCTTGTGTGTCTGGGTGTACCAGGAGGAAAAACTCTCCTTCGGAAAAAACGCTGGCGAAGCCCCCTGTCCCAGCTCCTGACAGCCTTACACCTAGCCGGCATAAATAAGTAGTATCCCTCATTTTCCACTCCTTGCGCCCGTAGTTGCGCATCTTCCATCTAATCGTAATCTCGCTCGATGCTAAGCTGCAGCAAAAAAGTCTGCGGCAGGATTCTGATGCTGCAAAATACATCTCTCACGAAGGACTCGACCTGCTAGAATCATTCTGGTTGTTCGGCGCGTATGCACCAGATTGAGAAGAAGTTGAACTCCTAGACATCATCATAGACGCTCGCGCCATGAATTCCAACTTAGAAGTGGGAAACGATTTTGGATTTTCACAACCACAATGACCTGACATGCTTTCACAAAAAACTGCCTCACGCAGCCGCCCGGATCCAATTTTGCAGTTTCTCAAAGAGCTCCGCACGGACGCGTTTTCGGAATGTGATCAACTGCTCGTACACACAATTACACCGCTTTTTGTCCTCGAAGTGCAGCACGAGCAATCGCGTTGCACTCCCCGGCTTCTTTTCCGCGGTAGCGCCAGAAGACAATCCGCAGCGGATTTGGAGCGTCAGCACCCTAGATTCCGTGCGTGACTGCACGTCCACGTCCCGAATGGGGACGCTTTCGGAGACCACGGCAAAATTTGCCCGAGCCAGGTCTGGCTGGACGAGAAGGAAAACTCTCGGGTGGATGACAAAGTACCTCGTCACCTTACGTTTGCTCGGCGTCACAATGGTGCACACGATCCGGTCCCGTTTGCCGAGCTCGAAGCTCTTCCCGACAGCGAACGCCTTCGCGAACGAAGCTTCCTCATCGTGCTGAAGCAGTGGGTGTGGCAGGATGGCCCCGGCGGGGTGCTGCTGATAAAAAGCACTTGTTCCGTTATTCTTGTTTCTCCCGAGCCTGTTGCGGAGGTCGTAGCAGGCAAGAAAAACCTCGAAAAACGTGCGCGCAGAAGATTCCAAGTTGCAAATCATCCGGCTGTTGGAGCCGGACGAGGAAGCGGAGACCGTCGAGGTAGTACCAGGTGGCGCGCGCAGAGAGAAAAGTAGCTCCTCGGTACTGCCGCTCGCTTGCAGCAAGTGCCGCTGTTGCGAAGGCAGCAGGGTGGTTCCGCCACTGGTACGGTGCCTTGCTTCCCACGCCTCGGTGAAGGCATCCAACGCGTCGTCGGGGTCGAAATTTGTGTGCATTCGCTTCAGCGCCGGAAGCATCTCGTCAGACAGATGGGCGCCGACTGCGTCTCGCCCGGACGGGCCCTGATCAGCGACCTGCTGAAGCATTGCGAGGCGCCACTTGTGGTAGAGCGGAAAGTGAGCGGTCAACACAGTTTTCGCAAGCGCACTCACCATCTTCGGAAGCACACTGGAGGATGTTGACGCAACACTAGACGATGAGGCGGAATTATCTCGCTCAAGTGCGACAGCGGTTTCTTCGTATTTCCAAAGAATCGAGAAGTACAACAGCTGTCCCATCAGATTTCTGGCGCAAGTAGCGTGGAAGGCTTCCCTATTGGGCTGCTGCTCCTTGGGTATCATCGTGTCGTGCTGGCTCCTGCTGTTTTGATTCACCCTGCTTTCTATCTCGTGACCAAAAGCAGCTACGGTTTTAACTTGGCTGGCAGCCTGGTCAGACGACAAGTAGTTGTTCAGGAACTCAGCCGCGTTTATTGGTGTGCGAGGCGCGTCGCTGGATGGCGTTGGCGGGAGTGGCACGACAAGGTCGCTTTCTGTGCAGGACCAGCATTGACGCAAAAACCGTGCCCGAAATGGGTTTGACTCCTGGTCCGAAAAGGATTGCTGCTCTGTCGTTACAACGCCGGATGGAGTTCTTGGCACGGCAAGTGCCTGCGCAGGAGAGTCAAAATATTCCAAAAATGATTCTCGCAACATCGCCTTCGACGCGGTGGTGCTAGAAGCTAGTACCGATCCGAACGTAACCTCTTGATCTACAGGGTTAACGCTCGCGCCTGCGATATTTCCGTCATCGTCGCTGCCACTTGGTTGCAAGGAGGCATGGTCCTCGTCGGTGCCGGAAGAACTAGCCTTGCTTCCCGCTTTGCTGGTAAGAAGGGTGTGCTCGTCCACAAAGGGCAATAGGGTCAGGTCCACGAATGCCGCGTCCTCACACAGCTCCTCCAGCTGTCGCGACGACGCATCCTGCTCTTGTTCCCGCACGCCTCGTGTTCTTCGCGCAGAAGAGCTTGCAGACGAAGAGCTTTTCGTCTGCGCCAGTGTCTTTTTCAGAACCCTTCCCTGGAACCTGCGAAGTCCGAGTTCTTGCGCCAGAACGAAGGCCTTCGGAAGCCGTTGTCGCAGCACCGTGTCAAATGCAGGCTTCGTTATCAAGGCATAGCCAGACAAGGTAGGCGGTTTAACGGTACTTTTGCTGCTCTGAGCATTTTTCTTCACCTCAACTGCCGCGCCGTCACTGGGTGGGAACTCTTGCCAAAGCCGGTTCAGTATCCTGTGCAAAAGTATCGTACTCGTATTGCAATCATGCATTACAAATCCTTTTGTTGAGGTAAATCCGCATTACAAATTTTATTTCTCATGTCGAGGAAATTTGTAATGCATTTATACGAGTACGATACTTTTGCAGTTCATATTCAGTACCCAGCAGCCAACTTCCGGGAGAAAGGGCGTGTCGTCCTCCGCGGGTGAGAGGTTGATGACGGGCAAGCTGTGGCCTTTTTCCGCGCTTCGCGTCCGCCGCTTCGTTCCCGAGCTGGCGCCAGCAGCGGCGCTGCGCGGATGATTCGTGCTCGAGCTACTCGTTGCCGCACCAGCTGCTCCGCCTTTGGCATTTCTGCCCGGTGGGTTGAAAGCTGGAATCGATGACGCGGACGAAGGCTCGGGCGTAGAGGTGGCGGTCGTAGTGGACATGCGATCGACAGCCGACGCAGGCGTCATCGTAGGCGTTGTCGCGCCGTAGTCTGAGTTTGCTGTGGCTCCGGACGTCGAAGGTATCCACGTGCCCGCATTCAAGTCGCCAAATTCCACATTCGCAAGGGTATTCTTTCCCCCCATAGGCGAATTATTCGTTGAGCTCATGTGCGTCGTGCTGTCCGCGTTGCTATCCGCGGCGCTCATCGGACTTTCCGGTGGGTGATGGTTATCGTTGCCGTTGCTGCTCGGGTCCGCAAAGTAGTTTGCGACCGCGGCTGACGAGCTCGCGGACCGAGGCATGGCTCGCGCCGTGGTTGCTGTTGAGCCACTGCTGGATAAAATCTGCAACTCCATTTGCTCCCCATAATTGTTTCCTCCGTTATAATTTACCGACGACTTCCCGAAAGCTCTCTCCAGAAGCAACGGGAAGAAGCAGTGCTGCAGCAAGTTCGCGGCCAGGACCTTTGACAGCTGTTCGAAGTCGCAGGAAAACACATCGCGCACGTACCCGAAACAGTCCTCCACATTGTCCAGCAATTGCGAGATCTTCGCTTTCGCGATACCGTCCCGGACGTTCGACATCACCTGCTCGTTCAGGTCGAGAAACAGATTTCGAAAGTAGCAGGCGAAGTAGATGAAGTACAGCCGCGAATTCCGGTTCTTCAGAAGAAACTGCTGCAGCGCAGTATCCTTCGCGTGCTTGAAAATCGCTAGCGTTAGGGTCCGCACTGCCGTTTGGACCATCGGATCGGAGTGGGCGAAAAACCGAACAGCCTCCGTGTACAGCGGAAAGGACCCCGTAGGGACCAGGCTTACATTCGGGCTCATTTGATAAGGACTTGATGTAGTAACGCCCGGACTGCTGGCGCTACTCCCACCCGCACCCCCCGTGGTGGAGAAGAAAAACTTGATGGTTTCGCGGTTCAGTTTCAGCGTCAAGGTTTTCAAAAAGGAAATGTAGTAGGCGAGAATTTCCTCGTCCAGCCAATTCATGGGGGTGCGAATCAGCTGGTTCACGTGGTTGTTCGAAAACAGGTAGTAGAGGTTCGTGTCTTCTTGCATGTTGGATACCAGAATGGAGAGCGTTTGCAGAATCTGAATCTTGATTTTCGACGGGACTTGCGGCAGCCCGAGGAGCGCGACGAAATCTTTCAACAGGTTCTTCTCGCAAAAGTAGTCGAAAAACGTGGAGTCCTTCTTTTTCTCGCCGTAGATGAGCATCTCGGTCATTTTGCGAATGCATTCCTCCACAATCAATTGCTCATGCATCGACGTGAAGTCGTGCTCCGGTGTTGGTCCCTGCGTCGCGTTGCTGATGGACAGTTTCAGCCTTTGGTAGAGTTGCTGGAACTCGTGCAGGTGAAAGGAGGGCGCGGCCTGCTGCTGCGTCGGGCTCCCGCCACGCCCGAAGATCAGGCCCGTGATGAAGCTCATCGTGTGCGGAGGATCCGATCGCGGTGGTCAAGCACAAACTGTAGAGAGAATTCTCATGATTTTATTGTCAATTGCTTGGATGCTGCACAGCTGCTCTCAAGAGGGTAGTGCGTTTTCTTGTGACTCATTTGCCGCTGTCTCCACACCCTATTGTCCATTCCTTCGATAGGATATTTTTGAACATGGTGAAAGATGCTCCTCAAAACAAATAAGCCGAGAAACACAATCACGAACAGAGTCAGAGACAGAGACAGAAACTCGGTCACTCAAGCTAGCAGTACAAACGTGAAACATGCGAACTGCCTGCGTGAACGTACGGACCATGTTGACGCACACACCGTGGGTCAAAAGTAACTGTAAGCCTCAATGAACATCTAACATGATGCTCTTGCGCTCGAAAGACCGTCGACAGTACGTTCTGTGTCCTTGCTTTGGGTTTCTTACTTTGTCGTAAAAAAAATTGTTGTTCGTGCTGATGGGATCATTCATCTCATGCTTGTCCGGATTCGTTTTGGTGACCAAAAAATCATACAAAGAAAGCCACAGCTCGCTCCACCTGGCTAATCAGGGGCGTGCTTTCGGAAACTGTCAGTATGAAGTACGTCATTTCAAAATTCATCTTTACATTTAATAATCACTTGTGCCAAAAAGCAATGGGCTGCCACGAAACAAAAAATTTTTGGCAGCACTCACCGGGGCAGACCACAAGGGAATGTGAAGGTGGGGATGTCGCCAATCAATGCAGCATGTCTTTTCTTACAGATGTGTACTTCATCCCTGATTAAAAATAAATGCTTTCTTCGTTTAGGTGGATAGATACTCCACGTCCTCTCCGAGTCTGATGCAGATGATACCCATTCTATCGAATCAAATTCACGTGGATGCTAACGCAAGAATAGGTGCGTTCCTGCTCCTTCCGTAGCCGGCAGCAGTACCAAACGACGACCGTTACTATAGTCGCAGCTAGAACCAATCCGCCGATGAGCAGGACCCACATCCACGCGTTCCAATGCTGAAATCCACCTTGGCCTTCTCCATTCTCTGGTGGTTCCGGATCAGGATCTCTCTCACTGTTATCGCCTTTCGGTTGCGGTGGGCCATCGCCACCGATCACGGAGCCCGTCGTTGTTGGCGTTATTGTCGCGTTGGCAGCTCTGTTCAAAATTTCATGTCTGCTTGGTGGGCGCACTTGTCCCTGCTGCAGTGTCTGCTGTGTTCTACTTCCTTTGTGAAGCGCGAGTGCATCCAATTCTGGTTGTTCGCGGGTCGCTGCTGCATCATCCCCCTGTACGTCGGAAACAGACCGTAAGGTTATCGTGCGGGCTTTCGCTACTCCAGGTGACAGATGAAGCAAACAAAAAAACATCACCCAATGGAAAACAGCTTTGCGAGCGCTCATGGTTGTGGTACAACAAGATTGAACTTTCGAGAAAAACTTCTTATCGTTATCCTACAAGTGGCATATACTGGTACTGTACTTATACATGGAAACACTCTTCATCTTCAAAATCATGTGGATGAAGCTCAATGGCCGCGCCTGTTGATGTTATTGAAAATCGCGGGATCACAGGTTTCCACACTACACAGTCAGGTGCAGTTATAATATCAAGTTATCGTATTGGTGGCACCGAAAAACGGCATTATAGTGCTTGGATGTGAGCGCGGTCATTTCAGAAAAGATTCAGCCAGTTCCACACCGATGGTCTAAAACTAGCCATTAAGTTGTCCTGGAGCAAAGATATAGCAAGCATTTTTTCCGTGAGATCTGTACATTTGCTATGTAAGTAATGTTGATTTCTTGCTTGAGCTTGAGGAATTTCGAGTTGGCTTTCTGAATCGATAATTTTGAAATGGTGCCGGCAGAGAAGTATCGGCACCACATTGTCGCTACAGGACTGTGGTCTAAGTACAACAGATTACTCTGCTTGCCGTACTGCTTCTTTGTCTCTTTCTAGTACAAGCTCGCACCTAAAAATCCGTTGGCGGCACCACTCGCTTTCCCGAAATCCCCAGGTTGGCCCCCTGTTCCGCTTTCTCGTGCGCAACAACGTCGAACTTGAAGGTCTCGCGCGTCATCATCGCGAACCCGGACCGCGTGTCCTCGGAGAGCTTCTGCCACATGCCATTTTTCTGCCGCAACACCCGCACCCGGTAAAGCAGGCGATACAAGATCGCGTAGAAAAAGAGCACCAGGAGAATCCCTCCCGCAATTCGATCCAGCATCTCAGCCTGATCCTTGTCGAAAAACACCACCGTCCGCAGCAGCTTTTGGAGTTCCTCGCTCAGATGGGATGTGCCTTGCATCTGAGGCGCGTTTTCGTCAAGTAAAACGGTCCCCATAGACCGCTTGCAACGCCGTCGCGGCGTTGCAAGCGGTCTATGATCTTCTGCACTGAGACTTTTCCGCCTTTCTTCCCGATGTTGTGCGGACTTTCCCTTGCTTTGTTTTCATCACTGTCCGCTCCGGCATCGCGGGCCCTACTGCTTTTATCATCTTCACCACCCCCGAACATCGGAGAATCCGTCGAAAGCGTGTAGGTAATGTCTTTGGTACCCTCCAGACGCCGCTCGCCACCGGCGACGACGGCGATGTTGACCCGCGTCCCGTCAAAGGGAAAGGCTTTGAATCGTTCCAAGTCCTCGCTTAGATCGCGCTCTACCAACACGGGAACCAGCATTTGCAGCTTCCCCTCCGTCCGCTCCTTCAGTGCGAACGTGGGCTGAATTTCATAGGTCGCGGCACCGCCAAGCGTGACCGAATTCAGATGCTCCAAGAACTCCGGGCGCCAGATGTCCGCGGGGATGTCTTTTTCCTGTGGATAGCCCTCGAGGCGATGGTCCGTCCAGAAAAGAATCAGGCGAAGGTCGAAGAGCAGCATTTCCTTGCCATCCTTCACCTCTACCTGAAACCGCATCGGTTGCATCAAGAACTCGATCACCGTTGGCACCGGGCTGCCGTCTTGGTCAAGTAGTATGGGCCGCTGGGTCCAGTCAATGTCGCGGAAGTGGGGCGGTAACTCGGTAGATACAGTGGACGTCCGCCGGAGAAAGCTATTTCGGGACTTCCGCTCCGTTGCGGTTCCGCCTGAAACGCTCGCGCTAGAGGCTCCTCCTCCGGTGCCGGTGTAGTGCTTCTCGTTATTTTTGTCCTGCTCGTCGTACAGGCCGACGTTCGAAACAGAGTCCCGCGCGTCCACCTCAATCTCCGGCTCTCCCTGCTCGGGGGAAACCTTGTTCGCCAGCTTGTCGTCTTTGGCTGGCATGGCTTTTGACTCTCGAGTGATCTTGTCAATGAAACAGAGAAAGTCTGCACTACTCTACTGGTGCAGTTTACTCAACATTACACTAGTCTTACGATGTTCCGTGTGTTTGTGACGAAACATCTATTGTCGTAGTGGGTAATCGTTCACTTGCAAGCATCCTTCATGTTCAGTGTCCAATTGCGGGAACTATATCTGAAAAAATATACAACCGACCTGGAGCTACCGACCACACCGACCGCCGATCGCTTACCCGTACGACAGGAGAATCTATCAGACAGCTTGACGACAAGATTAGAAGCCCCGACCAAGAAGAAATTGATTCTGACCCTAGCCCGCATACCCCTGTTCCCGGCGTGGCTAACCAGTTGTGGCCGCAATCACGATTTGCAACTATTCTCACCAAACCCTGTCTTGCAGCAAGGTGAACACGCTATGTTAGGAGCACAGCAGAAAGAAGCCTGTTGCTCCAGCGAGCAAGCATCAATGCGAAGGCAGCGCAAATGGGACTGTAATTTAGGATTTGCTGCTGTGCGACAAAATGAAGGGGGGTAGTAAGAAAGTACTTTGTTCGCGTCAAATGATTAAAATTCAAATTTTTGGTTTACTTTGCGTGTACGTATGCATGTATAAAAACCGTTACCGCATGGTTTTGAGTTTCTCTACCGCTTTGTCGTAAAACTGCGTTTTGTAATCTACGCCAACCGGGTACTTTTTACACTCCCACCACGCACCGGCCGCGGCGTTAATCGGTCCCATCGCAGAGATCAGCGACCGCGAGTGATCCGACGAAATGTCGCACCGGCCTGCCATCGCGGCGGAGATCCCGTTCCCCTCTTGCAGCGTGACGCTGATTTGCGTCCTTGGCTCCAACGTCGGCTCGCTGTACTCCAGGACAAAGACGTCGTCCCGGCCCTCCAGGTTCGCGCCGCCCTCAAACCACAGCTCCAGGTTCGCGTCCTTCTGCACGAGAAAGGTGTAGCCCTGCGGTCGCACCATGTGCTGGCAGCCGCCGGCGTCGTTGTTGCAACCCGGGGTGATGATCCCGCCGGACCACCCCTTGCTGTTGCCCCAGAACGGAACGTCGTACTGCTTGTCCCCAGATGACCCCAAAGACGAACTGGTGTCCCCAGAACCGCCCCCGTTCTTCACTTTCAAAGTGCCCCGATTCGGGGTGTAGATCCGGACGATCCGGAGCTCTAACTCGGCCGGACATTCGTGGAAATCGCCCTCGGTTTTGCATCCGCTCGTGTCGTATCAAATGCAAAAATGTCTGGGTCTGGAAACTTGTGATGCTGGGTGGCGTATCATGAGGAGGCCACAAGTGCTGGCTCAGCGTGACAAGTTTCTAAGCTTCTAGGTGTTGCCTATTCTGCATGACAAACTACGTTTCTGCATCACAGAAAAGTGCGGCTCTTGGGTAATGTGCATGACAGATTCAAGAGTCATGTCAGACAAGCATGACAAACTTGCATTCTTCCAGACCCAGACATTTTTGCATTTGATATGTCGAACACCCGCGCCGCGTCCTGGTTCATCAAAAACTTGTCCTTCAGCAGAATCAGCGCGTCCGATCTCCCGCGGTCCCGCGGGTGCTGCGACCACCACTTCACCCAGGGGCTACTGAACGTGCTCAAAGCCGCCCCGGTGGGCGCGCCATAGAATTCCGCCCCCCGATAGTCGAAGTGGCTCGCGCACATCCCGCCCGTGTCTTCGGGATCGTTGAGGTTGCAGTGGTGATTGAAAGACACGGTCATGTCGTTCCACTGGTTGTCCTCAGCGGAGGAGTAGAACCGCGACCCCGGGAATTCCAGATGCCCGCTGCCGCCCGGACCCTCCATCTGCTGGTTGTTGGCCATGAACACGCAGTTCTTGCAGAAGGGCGCCACACCCAGCCCCCGCCGGTAGGTTTTCCAGTAGAACCCCTTCAGATTCCCAAACGCCACGAAATTCTCGAACGCAATGTCCCCCATACTGTAAGAGCCCGCACCGAAATCCTGGAAGGCTTCCAAGTGGTTCAGGACGAGAATGGGGCTGCCCTGGTCGTTGCCCTCGCGGTCGAAGGGCAGGCAACTTCCCCAATTGGACACGAACCCGTTTGCATCCGTCTCCACCCTCCGCGGCCAGTGGTTGTTCGTGCCGTACCAACCGAATCCGTTATTGTTGTGGAAACTGTTGTTTTCGAAGCGCGCGAACGGGAGATTTTGCTGGCAGATTTTGCCCTGCGCGGCGTCGATGCCGAAGCCGCCCGGACCGCCCTGGTTGTTGGCGTAGAAGGCGTTCTCGTGGCCCACGATGTGGTTGCCGATGATGTGCTGCGTTGGGGAAACGAGGTACATCGCGGATTGCTCCTTAAAGTCACTATCCACCGTCTCGGGCACGTTCCCGCCTTTGTCCAGGCCACAAGTGGCCTTCCACGTGCAGATCAGCAGGTTGTTGCGGATCAGGTTCATTTTCTCGTTCCCATCCTCGACGTACACCGAAACGCCCTTCACGTTTACGACGATGTTCCCATGCACAAGTGCGTTTTGCGTTCCGTGGATGGTGATGCCCTTCCCGGTGCCCGCCTCGACCACGTTGCCGACGAAGCGGCACCCCGGGCAGTCGCCGACCTTGTGGAAATGCAGGCAGTAGTCGCCGCGGTACCGCCGCCCACAGTTTTCGACGCGCGTGTGCGAGATCTCCATCACACCTCCTGGGCTCGACCCCGAACTCGCCATCTGCATGGTGGTCAGTCCCTGCGCACCCTTGTTCGAGTCACCACCCGTGTACCAGTGGTACGGCCCGGTGATCAGGAGGTCGCGGGACAGGTTCCCGACCTCCGACTGCAAGGGGACCAAATCGAGAATCCACTTGCCGCGCTTCAATCGGTTCAGCCCCTGATCGAATGCAATTTTGCAGTACGTCGTGGAACACTGCGGCGTTTCGTCCCTCCCGCGCCCCTTCTGGCTCCAGCAGATCTCGGGTCCGTTCGTAACGCGGTCGACTTTGGTCAGCGTTCGCTTTTCGCTCTCGCTGTCCTCGCCCTGGTTGCGCGCGCCCGGGCCCAAATGCTCGCCACCGGTGGCGCCGAAGATCAGCGAGTCCCCCTCTTTCCAATTGGCGCACTCCAAAACGGTTGCGGTCGTCGCCCCCGCAGCGGCGTCCTCGACCAGCAACGACCAGGAGGTCTTCGGCTTCCCGTACAACTTTACGATGCCGCCGTCGCTGATCAAGTTTCCCTTTTGCAAACACGCGTCCGGACGAGGATTCGGGTCGAAGCCGCAAAAATCGTGGTTGAGGATGATCTTCACGTCGGAGACGGAATTTTGCTCGTCCGTGCCCGCAAGCAGGACGCCACTGGCCGCGACATTTATCGACGACGCTTCCACAGTCACCCCGGACTCAATCTCCAGTAGGCCCGCAATGTCGATCGCGTCATTCTTGCACTTGTCGAACGTGTCGCCCTGTTTCAAGGTGACGCAGACCCCGACGTCGATCCGACAGGGAGCGTTGGCTGCACCCTCGATCCTCTGCCCGGTGCACAACGCGTTTTTGTCCACTACCCGAGGCGGCGTGGTGGTTGTCGAGGTCTGCGTCTGCCCATCCAATGCAACGCCTACATCCTGCACCTGGCCGCCTGGCGTCATCCCGACAAGGCCCGGTGGAACCCCAGAACCTGTACCGCCTTCTTCCGCAAGCACGCCAAACGCTAACGGCAGGGACGGGGGTGCTGAAGTGTCATCTGCACACTTTGTTTTCCTTTTGCTCAAAAAAGAGACGCCACTTTTTCGGTGCCGCTCAGGTGCGGCACGCCCCTTCCTTGTTCTGTGAGGACTGCCTGCATTTTCAGAATCTTGTTGTTTTTCGCCTCGCACTGTTTCTCTCGCATTCATAGGCGCACTGGCTCGTAGTGGTTCCCTGATCGTCTTGCCACCTCGTGAGGACAAAAACGATAGCTGTGAAAAGCCGGACCCGCTAGTACTGGTGCCAGAAGTAGGTGATAGAGAATCGTCTGAATCTTTCTGCTGATTAGTCCGCGACCCTAGCGGCGCAGACCCAGCGGTAGCGAAAATGTCGTCGTAAGTTTTTTCCCTCTCGGCCAACGGCATCTTGCAGCTACGCTCATGCATGTAGCACTGAAATTTGGTGCAGTATCCCTTCGCCCCGTGAAACTTGATGCAGTTTTGCAGGCATTTTGTGCAGCTCTCGCGGGACCAAGTGTCCGTCGCTGCTGCTGTGTGTTCCATGATTTGGCTTTGATCTTCTACCTGTTTAGGGCCATTTTTCCCGAGCTGCTTCTCCCGGTCATTCAAGAACTCGCTCGCTATGTAGCTGTGGTCTTCGTCGGTTCGACCGCTCGAAAGCGCATCCGGTCCCGCTGTAGTGGATTCTGTCCCGCTACCGCTTGAGGTGTCCGCGAGGGACCTGCATCTGGTCCGGCCAATGATCCCCACACCGAAAGCACAAAAGCGCAGGATTCGTCGCATGCCGGGCAAAATCCCACGCTCTGTGTTAACCATCTTAGTAAAAGTATTGTTTACCACGATAAAATTCAAATAAACAGCTGAAAAACGAAGACGATAGTGATGAAAAATTAAAGCGAGACGCACAAATGGAAAAATGTAAGTAAACCCAAGCTATGACTGCTTCCAACTGAAAAATTGTGCTTCGGGTGTCACATCCAACAAAGCATCCTGCGTATCTATTTAAATTTGCGTAATTGGTTTCACTGATGAATACAATTCGTATTTGAAAGAACGACACGATCGCAACACCAACAGCAAAAGCACAATTAGAAAACGATGATGAAGAACGACAAATGCGCACGAGAAAATGGACGGGGCGGACGCAGAGATCGATGCACATGGAACGAATGATGCATGTTCGCGCCTGCAAAAAAAACGATTGACGATTTCTATTTGTATTTTCAAACAAGGACGAGGAAAAGATATGCACGACGTAGAGGACGCAGCTGAAAGCACTTGTAGTACTTAACTAAGCATCCATGTAAGTAAATTGCAGAGAAGTCAACGTTACCGATGCAAGCGCGCGCGGGAAGCGAGTGGAAAAATACGCGCAGGCGATAGCCATTTGGCCAACATGCTCCAGCTCGAGCTCCTTTTGTTTCGCTGTACTTCATTTGCTCTTTTTAATACGCGTTCGTGAGATAAAACTTAGACTTCAAGTTCAATCAGAGAAAAAGTTTTGTCGCCTGCGCTTTGAAAACGCGCAGTGCACTGTTTTCGCCCGCGGTCATGAAAGGCAGTGCGGGCAGCGCCTGTTTTGGCGTATGTGAGAGTGAGGCGTCCACTGGATCGTGACCTCCAACCGGTGTGGTGGTTGTCCTGCCGCTACTGGCGTCGTCCGACTTGCGCCCGATAAAGCTTTTGTCCGGGACGCAAACAAAGTTCACATCGTTCCGGTTCGCACTGGCCGTGTTCTCTTCCAGGTTCTCTACCACGCGATTGATTTCGGCGACTTGGTTGCGCGGCCGGTCGCCCACCGTCAAAACCAGCTTCCGTGCACCATCCCGTGTCCGAAAGTAAAGCGGTTGGCTCTCCCACTGCCGCCGGTTCCAGTTGAACATGCTTTTGTCTCGATACCCCGCGATAATCCGCGGTCCGCGCACGATCCGCAGCTCGCGAACCTCCTCCTCGTTCGCCCTTGCGGCGGCTTCTGCGGCCTCCCGACGCGCCTGCGTCCCGATGGACTTATAGCCCGTTTTCGAGGCACCTGCGCCAACACCGGCCGTCGCTATCGGTTGCAGATTGTTCACCCTCTCCGCGACCTCCTCCTCGTCCAGCTTCCACCTCGTGCCAGTTTTAACCATCACCGCCGTGGGCTCGCCCTCCGGTAACGATTCGTCGAGAATGCAGCCGTGCGCCTCCTGGCTTTGCGCTTCAAATCTCATAGCCTTCTTCAACGCGACGTAACTGCACGTGCCTTCGCCAGCCGCGTCCATCGAGCCGTCGCTCCGCGTGCACAACCGCTTGAACACCTCTACGCCCCTCCTCTCGCAGTAGCGGTCCTCTACGTGCAGACGCGCGCACGCCCCGTGTCCGGGAACGAGCTCGTGGTAGTTGCTTTCGCCGTTGTTGAGAAAGTTCGGCCCGCGAAACTTCATTTGCTTCAGCTTGATCAGCGGCAGCACATCCTGCACCGTCCGGCCAGGCACAGGGTGCGGACCCGCTTGTTCTGCTGCCGCTTGGTGGTCAACAGCATTTGGGTCCTCGACGGCAAACGCGGTTTCATTGTGAGGTCTCTTGTTGTTCCCCTCCTGGGAGGACTGTGGGCTGCCAGCAGCACTGTGGTCTTTATTACCCACCAGCTCGGTGAACGCACTACCCACTCCTTTTTTCCCGTTCTGCATGGCATTGCTCAAAGCTTTCTGGCTAAGCGCGTTCGTAAGAATCAAGTTATCCAACGGATCGTCCGGCTTGAATTCGTCATAGGACACTCCGGCCGCGCGTTTTTGTTCAAAACTGCTTGCGGCCTCGCCCTCCGCAACATGTAGTGGCGGCTTCCGTGTGCACTCCCAGAGGTAGTCGGTCGCCAAGGCCAGCGCCCCACCGAGCTTCTGGTGCTTGCAGATCCAGTCCTCATCTTCGTAGACAGGGGCTTGACTGCTGAAAGAAACCGGGTCCTCCTCAAATCGTGTGAGTTCCAAACTGTGCTTGCCAAAGTTCACGCTGCGGCAGCCCTGAAAGTCGAAATCTAACCTCACTGGCCAGCCGCCGATGAGTCCATCTTCGGCTGGCATCTCCTATTAGATCATCACCGTCCGTCGCCGTCCTTGTGCTTCATCGCGCTGATTTACATTTTTCTGGTGACTGTCTGTCATTACTTGTACTTTTTGCTGCGGTGGATGTGCTGTTCGAAGTTTCGATTCTTTGCCGAGCGGCGAAATGATGAGGTGGAAGGATGGATCATAGGTACAGAACTCGTACGCGACGAGTCACAGTCATTCTTCATCCAGCCGATCACGACGATGTCTCAGGTACAATGGCGAGGAGTTTCTGTCCCGCACGACGAAATGAACGACAAGGAAGAGCGATGCGACGATTTCGATAATCACTTAGCTGAGCATGAACAATGGTCTCGCGAATGATATCGAATGTTACGGCTTCATCACGACGGCTCACAGGTCCTCGCTGCTTCGAGCCAGTCCAAGTGGCAGGCTCGGCTTTCAGGGTCTTCTTGCCCCCGCTGAAACCGAACGATTTCATACTTCAGTCGCAGCCAGAACGCCAAAACTCTGTTCTTTTCCAAGAGCTGTGCTCCTCTTCGCAGCCTAGTCGTAGGCGTGGTTTTTTCACAGCCGCTTGTTGGGTCTATTTCGCTTGCAGCATTATTTTCCCAGAGGAGCAGCACCGAATCCGCAAGCTCCTCGAAAACAGGGAACAAGTGCCGAAGCTTCTCACCGTAGAATAGCAGTTCAAAAATTTCGCGCGCTAGAAGGTCCGTTCGACGAGCCTGGTGCAGTAAAGCATCACCGATGCTGCACTTCTTGCTGCTGCTACCAACCATCAAGACGGCCGCTATCTCATCGTCAGTAGGGAGCTCCTGCCACTTTGCTATGACTTTTTCTCGGTTCCGGTCGCTCGTTGTAGTGGACACACAGCAGACCGGACAGGCACAGGGTTTTCCGAACGAGAATCGCAAATAAGACTGCCGCACTGAATGGCTCTGCAGGATCAGAGCGCTGTCGAGCGACACAAAGGAGCCGCCGTCTTTCTCACAGCTTTGCAAACCCAAATAGTCAATGAAGATCTCCTCCCCACTGGCGAGGTCGCGGGTGGCTTTTACGCATTTCAGCGACCACTGGTCGTGGCCTTCAAACTCCTGCAATCGGGCAGTAATGTCAGGATCTGCAGCAGCGTTTGGGGCACAGGAGTGGTTGAAGCGACTGATCTTCTCGTACACACAGCCCGGTGAAGTGCCAAAAACATTTGAGAAAAATACCCCAGCCGGTGTTTTTTTGATACTGTCGGTCCGAGCATTAATATCCCGCACGCTCCACTGCCCGTCACTCCTCGCAGAAGCGTCCTCAACCTGCTCCACAGTTGCCATAGTAGAAGCATTCACCTGTCGAGAGTGCCACTGGCGCAGGTCCCCTGACGCATCATGAAGCTGCAAGAACCGCGACTTCTTGTCTTCGGTAAGCGCAGCGTAGTACTTGTCAATCAGAGAGGCATTGGCACGGATCTTTTCCAGTTTTGTCCAAGAAGTACGCACCAGCCCATGTTCCTGTCCATCTTCTGGTGTTCCAGCATGTATATTCCCCAACTTCACCTGCTTGTCGTCGACATCATTCCTCGTCCTATCGAGCTTCAAATCTGAAATTGCTAGCAGCGGCGCCTCGCACAGAATCAAGGAGCCACATCTTATGTTCCTTTTCGCGAATACACCAAGACCACCGGCGGAAGACTCGCGCACTTCCCAGTCGACGTTCTCCTTCAATGCGCCAAAAAGCGTAGGATTCGAGCGTTCTCTTTCCAAACCGGCACCGAACCAGAAACTGCCATCATGATCATCATCATTAGATGTCAATGACTTTTCTGGAAAGTAAAAGTGGTCAGCCATGTGTGTCTTGTGGTGTGGACGTTCCAACTTTTACATGAAATGTTCACATATGAATTCGAATTCCGACACTGTTTTGTGCTCGAGCTCTAACTGGACTGAGAACATTGAGAACCAAGGAAAAGTTGTTGTACGAAAACGAAAGGAACAAAATAGCAGAAAAAAACTATAGTAGAAATAAAGTACATTTTCATCAACGGATCCAAACACGTCGACAAAAGCAAAACAGACATCGAGAACCAGGAAAAAAATGTATGTTGTTCTTGAATTTGGTTATTTTTTGTGCTCTAGAAGATCGTTCTATGCGACTCGGACTCAGTACTTCTATGTATTTGGGGTTGATGAACACAAACACCTTCGTCGGATCGACACAAGATTTGCGTTAGATTAAGTAAAAGCGAGTGCAGTCTGCAGTCTGGTGCACCTGTAGCTTTTTTGTTAAAGTTACATAATTTCTGCAGCCCGGTACAGGTTCCCAAACTTCTGACTAGATCGTGATGCAGAGGGCGTTGCGTTATCTCCTCTTCTGTCATGCTTTCAATCGTCCCGAGTCATTTGACTTTTGTTCATTTAAAAAATCAGCTCGTAGAAGTACAAAGAAAAATTCACGCGGTTTATTTCGATCCGCTTGATCAGATTTCACCGCGGGCAGCGATAACCAGCCTGAGTCTGCTGCCGAATGAAGCACGTGACAGACGCCTTCAGTTGACCCTTACGGATGGTGGCTTCACACCATTCTTCTTCCCCGTCGAGGGCGGAGCGTGGAGGACGCCTTTGTGCTTGCCAGCCTGGGCAGCTGCGTAGCGGTTTAGCACCTCCTCTGCCTCTTTCCCGCCCCAGCGCACGCCAAGGACGCGGCCGTGCTTTTCCTGTTCGTCCATCAGCTTCTTGTCAAATTCCGTGTGGTCGGGCCAACCGATGTAGAAGCCCTGCTTACTCACGTAGTTCAGGAACGCAGCGTACTCCGGACACCCGTAGGGAATGATGACGTCGGGGTCGTTTGGATCGAAAAACTCCATCAGCAGCTTGATGTGGTCAGGCGCGTCCGGAATCGTCTCGCCGTCGGGGCGCTGGACGACCCGCACTTCCCACTCGCGCTCGACAACCTGTTCATCCGGGCCCCACAGCTCCTGGTAGACCGGCTCTTCTACCGGCGGGGACGAGGCACCGGCAGCTGCGTACTGTGGCATACTTGTTTGCGGAAGAAAATGCAAGGTTGGTGCGCCAGTGCCAGCTACTTGAACCTGCTGCTGGGCGGCATTCAGTTGTAGAGTGCCGTTGTTCAGCAGTGGGTTTGATTGTATAATCGATGGCGCCACTTTTGGCCGTCCTCGTTTGTTAGCAGTACTGTTGGCACTCCTGAGCTGTTCCTGTTGCTGCTGAAACTCCGCAGCTACCGCGTCCTGTTGCGCGTTTCTTTGTTGCCGCTGCGTCAGTTGCTGCCCGTCTTCGCCGCGTTGTCTCTTGGCGAACCGCTCGGACGCTGCGCTTACTACAGGCGCACTTTGCTTGGTCTTCGCCTTTGCTTTGCTTTTGTTGTTCGCACCGACCGTGCTGCTCGCCGCGGTAGCTGTTCCCGTTTGTTGTAAGGCTGGCGACTTCGGTTTCACGCCGACGCCGGGCGGCGCTTGTTCCGGCTTGACCGCGCCATGCTCGAGCAGCCACCGCACGGCTCCCACCTGTTTCGAGTCACATGCCGCCACTAGCGGCGTCGCCGGTTCGGCGGAACGGTCCACCTGGTTAACCAGCCAGAGTTGCGCCGCGGTGAGCCCCGCTCGTACTGTAACTGCACCACCAGCCGCTGCCTTCTGGAGTATGCCTTCGTGACCCGCTTTCTTGGCGGTGCTCGTCCATCCTAGTTTCAGCGAAACCCCGTCTACGGCGTCGATCGTCGCTGACCGCTCTTGAGATTCGACGAACAACTTAGGTTGCGTCAACATTGACGACTGCGCAGTTGCTGGAGGTGGCCCAAGCCTCGAAGTTGCGCTGCTGGCCGCTGCTACTGCTGTCGCTGCGCTAGATAGACCCGCTTCAAGTTTTCGTCGCTTCGCGCTCACGACTGACGCGTCATCAGCAAGGGCAGGGCTGATTTGGTCCTGTCGAGGTGTAGGAGGCCGCGTACCCCCCGCTGTCAAGCTTGGCACGAAGACCGGCGGAGGCAACATTCGGGCACGGGCTTCGAACTGTTTGCGTCCGTCGGCAGTGGCGGCAAAGTCCAACAACACTTGCATCACCGCTGTAGCTCCGCGTTCCGCCGCCAGAAAAAGTGCCGATCGCGACAGTGTGTGGTCCAGGCGAAAGAGGTCCACACGGCAACGAGGGTCTTCGTTTTTCAGCAGCCACTCCACAAGCTGTGCGCCCTTTTTGTGTTGACCTTGTATGGACGATTTCTGCTGTGCCGTTGCTTTCTCATCCAGCACCGGGAGCAGGCTTACCGCGAGGTGCAACAGGGTTCCACCACCACAGTTCGAATTTTCTTGAGGAACAGTGCTCCCAGGTGGCGCGGTGAAGTTGTGAATGTCCAGAAGGCAACCAAGGCTCGGCAAGTACTGCTCCGATTCTGTCGGAGATGGTTTCGTAAGCTGGCCCAGACCCAGTCTTGCGCCGAGCAGACCCGAAAAAGATGTCGGGACCGCGATCTTCTTTTCGAGCAAGCTGCGCATTTGCTCCGCGCATTGGCGTAAGAGAGAGGAATCTGGGTCGTTGTTTGCAGCGGTTGCCGTGCCAGTGGTCGGGCTTGCTGTAGACGCGGTTTTTGTATAGAAGCTGGAAACAGCTCCCGTAGCCATCTTCCATAGCGCTGGCATCTCGATATCGATTATTTTTTTCAGTTCGGCTTTAATGAGGTCGGTTAGCTTATTCCTGGAATCCGGCTCCAGCTTCTTTAGACACGCCCGGTCCCTTGTCCGGGAGGTTACGAGGCCCGGCACTGCGCCGCGCAGCAGCAAGTGCACCACGCTTTCCGCTGCAATATCGTCTGGAATCCCGGTCCGCGACAGGCTGTTGAGCGCGCTCACGATTGGCGTAGCGCCTACTGCCGCGCGCGTGTTCACACTCATTTCCTCGAGGAGGACGTCAATCTTCGACAGGTGCGCCTTTTGAGGATGGCAGAGGAATTCTAGCTTGTGGCACCGAGCTTGAGCGAGGGCTAGTTCTGGTGATTGTACGCCGCCGCGGCGCTTGCTGGCGTCAAGAAAGTACCGCTTCACGTGCGCTTTCACATTCCGGAACTCGTAACCGACAAACAGATCCGGATCGTGCGCCACTTTTCCAAAGTAACTCGTCCAATGCAATGCGCTAAACGCCGCGCTGCCAATCGCCGACACGACGAATGCGAAGTTAACGTCTTGTGTGGGGAAGTGCCGCAGCATCCAGTGCAGGTGCTGCCACCGGGACACATGCACCGCAGGCACCGTGCCGGCGCGCCGAGGGGTCAACAATAAAGCCTCGGGGGCCGGCTCCGGCTCCTCCTTCTTACTTTCCGCTATTACAGGGGTCGTGGCCGCAGTGGCTGCTGCTTTCACTTCCTTTCTCCACGTGTCTCTTAGGTCGTTGTGCTGCTTTTTGAAAGTGGCTCGAGTCTCGTCCGGCGTCTCGTCTTTATTCGTACCCCGAAACCGGTCGGTCTTGATCAGGGACTCAGTCACGTGATTGGTCCACTCGTCTCCGAAGAAGTCCGTGAAAAATTTCACGTGATGCGTGCCGATGTCCGCATTTTCTGCAGACGCGCGAAAAGATTGCAGAAAACGCACTCGCGAGGACTCCGGGCGATCCAGAAGCAGTGCGCGTCCGCCATCGACTGGAGAAAAAATTTCCTTCTTTGTCACGCCAAACTTTTGCAACAGCCGCCGGTTCACAAATGCGATGAGGTGCATGCTGCTTTTCGAAAATTGTTCCGGCGGGTAAAACTTTAGCGACAAGGCGGGATACACTGCGAACACATCTTCCAGGACCGAAGGCTTCCGCTTCAACAATAGCCCGGACCTCTCTGTATTTGCATTGCGCTTTTTACATTGCGCGTTGGCTTCTTCAAAGACACCGGCGCGGTCCGGTACGGGCTCTCCGTCTTTGACGTCCGCGACGATGGCCGTCCACAGTTCCGACCCCTCCTCTGTATCAGGTTCGAATGTGTAGTAGGTAGCCGCTGCAGCTGCGTCCTCGCTGCTTGCCAGAGACGGTTCCATCTGAACCTGATGTTGGCTACCGTAGTGAAGACAAAATTCTTCTCCTTCCATTGGCGGCGCCACTTCGTTCTGCAGCAACATGGAGAAGAGAAGACGCTGCTGCTCAGCGGAAATCGTCCCATCCCCGCTGAGGGCTTCGCCAGAACCCAGGACCGCTTTGGTACCTTGCAGCAGGTCTTCTGCGATCATAGGTCGCAGCAACTCCTCAAAAGCCTCTTCTCGCACTCGCACTTCGGCCTCTTTTTCCTTCGCAGTCGCCTGCTTTACAACCGTACCTTTGTTGAACTGGCCCGCCGGTGCACGCATGGCGCCGAAGAAGTGCAGGAGAGTGAGAAAGCTCGGGAAACGCAACGTCTTGAACTTTACGGTGTGGGTAAGCCCATAATCCAGCAGTTTTTGGCCGTGCACGAGCGACAACAGGAAAAAGCTCACCGTGCCGGTACTGTCGTAGAGCAAGTTCTGTTTCGTGGTTCGCTTGTGCGCCAGGGCACGCTCCAGGAGATAAGGGGCGAGCTCGTAGGAAAAGTCACGGTTGGAAAAGCCCCAATGCAACGGGTTACGGTCGAAGGGTAACTGCATGCCGCTTTTCTTCAACGTGAGGGGTGTATCGTACACATCGAAACGAGCTCCGTATTTTTCGACACAGAGACGCACGACCGACAGTGGGGCGTCCCTGCAGACGTAGAAAAAGAGAGTTTCGCCCTTCGTGTTGTCGATAACGTGGTTTAGATCGACGTTAAAAGTTTCCACCGCATAGGCAAACAACTCTGCCGCCCATTTGGAGTGCGTGAAACTCGGAGAGACAGTAAGAGTGTACTTGAGTTCTTCTCGGGCAGCCTCTGCTAGAGTTTTGTCCGGCTCCGGTTTTTGGTTTTGCAAAGCCCCGACCTTGCAAATTTCATGCCACGCCTCGATACTCTCCCGCAGATGCGCTTTTTCTTTCGCCAAGTCATACGAGGCCGGTTGCTGCTCGCTGGATTCTCGTAAGAGCTTGTACAGTGCCTCGCGCGCCTCAGCAGATTTGAACCTGAGTTTCAATTGCTCATCCTGCTTCTGCCGTTGTTGCTGATCTGCGCCGAGAACGGGCTGCTTGCCCGTTGCGGTTCGGCTCATGATGTACTTGAATGGCGGTGGTATTCCTTCGTTACTAGCAGCCCTCGCTGCATCTGCGACTCCTGGATATTGTCGCTACTGCGCCATTTCCAGTGGAATGGCCAGTTCGGTGGTTGTGGTGTTTGTCATGTTTTCGTCGTACCACATCGATGTCGCTAAAGAAATCTAAGCCGTTTTTGAATCATACACTTACATTTTTAGCCATCGGACTATCGGAGCATGCAAGCCGACCTGGTCTTCATCTGGAGAACCTGGACTTGTGCTCCAGTCCTGTGTCGTGGTCGCTACAATTAAGTAAATCATCAATCGAAAAACCAAGGCAAACGCTTACACTCTTCTACAGTCACTGTACAATAATGATGTATTTCAATTTTCCTAGCTACAAGATTGTTGGACTTTTCTGGTAGAAGTAAGCGCGACGAGTTTTTGTTCGTTCTTGTTTCACTCGGAACAATACGAGCGCTTGAGTGAGTCCAGTCGAACTTCCAAATCAACACACAGTGCGAAATGGAAATTGCACTACTTGGTGATTTTCTTCGTCTCTCAACGCAATATCGAACAGGATCGTGCTTTTGCTTTCCCTTGCGGGGAACGAGGAAGATTGCCAACAAGGACTCTTGTTCTGACTCCCTGATGGTTCGAGGAAAGATCTTAGATACCAGATAGGACACTCCAGCTACGGAGGACAGCAAGTCCTTCGACTTCGCCGTCAAGGTGCAAAACCACGCCTCAACTGTTGCAAATTCGTATCGCGATTGCTTGACTGTCCCCCGCAAATACTTGAGCAATACCCGCTCCCGCTAGTTCAGTCTGCATGAACGTTGCGCTCTTATCGTACAAGGGAACATCTTGAACAGCATTGCTTCGTAGTCGCACTGCAACAACTTGATCTGATACTAGATCTTACTCGCGCTCGTCGGTCTCCTTCTTTCGTCTGCGAGCCATGGATAACATGAGGATCGTATATATTTTGCGCAATAGTGTCTTGCAGATGATCATCGTGTCGCAGGCGCAGCCGCGCGAATCATCATCATGAGAATACTTGTTTTGTTGCGTGACAAGAACTGCAATTTTTGAAATTCTTCTTCTTCATAGCAAAGAATTCGTCTTAAGCAAGGCCAAGAGCCTCCCTTCACACGACGAATGCTTGCCTCCAGGCGGCGAGCATGAGAAGGAAGAAGAGCACGACGATCAGGTACAGCACGTACATCCACAGTGGGGTGGGCGCACTCTCGTCCTCTCGAAACCGGGCGCACTTGGTTTGGAAGTACTCGGGGAAGACCTGCTCCCCGATTAGCTTTGCCGCGTCTATGTTCACGGTACACCTGGCGACCTATCCTGCGTAAAAACGTACCCACACCAGAGTCAGGATGGGGATTTTGCAACACAAGCCTAGGAGTTTTGTGAGTCACGCATGGCAAGTTGCACTCTGCAGTGTAGTGCAGGTTAGCAAGTGCAGCCGCGTCACGGATTCGTCTGCTCATCCTGTTCACAGCATCACAAATTCCAAAACACGATTGGAAATGGGTCTCATGCGGATGCGCATTACAAGTCTTCCTGTCTTTGCAAATCTGCATTACAACTCTGGTGTGGGTACGTTTTTACTCAGGATGCGACCACGAACTGAATCATGCACCCAGCCTCTCGGTAGTGCTCCACCTCCAAGTTCAGGGCCGATGTCCCCGTGCTGTAGACCGCGGTAATGTCGTCTAGAGAAGAAGAGATCGTCACTGGGCTCTTTATGGCGGAGGCTGCGTGCGATCTTCCGGATTCCGTTCCTGTTTTTGTAGTCTCAGAAGCGGCTGACGCACCGGAACCGCTTTTCATTCTGTCTATTTCAGTCGCCTGTCTGAGAGTCATTTCCTCCTCCCTCCTCAGTTCTGAGTGACCGACGGCGAGCGCACTTTCGAGGCAGTGGACGAGGCCATTCGTGAACGCTTTGCACTTGTCCACGTTGTTGTAGTCAAAGGCGCCGTCGAGAAAGAACTCGAGACGTATCTTCTCATCGTTGAAGCCGGGTTGAAACTGCCTCGGGCCCCAGATCCGAATGTCGGAGAGTGGAAACGAGGTGCCAAGCGCCGAGACCTGACGTAGATCGATGATAAAGTCAATGTGCTTGTTACTTCTTAGTGACTTTTTTTGCAATGAGTAATCCAAAAACAACCAAAACTAGTGGAATCAATAAATTAATAAGGTTCACATATCAAAAACTTGTACTTACCTCAAACGTGCCGGACTTGGCGTAGTCGCTTATTGGGGACCCCTCTGCGTTTTTCCACTGTTCAAAGATGAGCTCATTGGCGCTGCGGCATATCCTCTGCAAGTTTTCGTTGACCTTTACTCCACCGTGCGGGTTTCGTGTTATTCGGGAGGCCTTCCTCATCTTCGCCGACGTAGAACCTCCTGCTCCGCTCGACGGTGTGGTTGACCCCGAGGACGCCGTGTCACCCGTCAGCGACGCGAGCTCGACTTCCGTCATTTCTGCTGGGCGGAGTAGGGGCCGACCTGCACCGGCAAACGAGGTAGTTGGAGAGTGCACGTGTGCGGGAATATTTTTGCGAAGCTCAGTCTCGTTGCTTCGTGGTCCTCTGCTAACGTCGGTGTCGGGCAACATGAACGATGTTGTATAGCACACGGAAATCGCGGAGGATCGAGACCAAACGAACAGTACAAGATATCTTTTTGGCTGCTTATTTCTACGAGGCCGGGGTGGAAACTGCGCGGCGGAGAAAAGGCTATACGTATGCTACTGGAAACTCTGACACAAAACCTGTTCTTGGTAAAGCTGCTGGGCCTGACCACTCTACATCAGTCTCTCTTGCGGGATCCGCATTGGAAAAGTCAGCTATGAAGGTCAAGGTTTCTAGTTGTGATCAACGTCAAGGTAGTTATATCAGAACTGCATAACTTAACTGAGTCATTCATGAATGGATACAGCGTTCTGGAAATATCGAAAAAACTGAAAAAAACTTCGCCCTGTTTGAAGAAAGTCCGTAGATTGACAATGACATTGCTCGAAGTTTCCGGATAGTAATGATGCTGATCTGTTGTCGCTGAATACAGCTACGCCTCCGTCTGCAATAACAGTCAAAAAACCGAGAACCGAAACACCAGGAGGTCTGAGGTAGATGTTGACTCTTGGCCATTTGTGGCTTGAACTAGAACACTGGTGAGACTGCATCTCCCTGGGAATGCCATCAAAGGCAGAACTTCAGTCGTGCTGTCAAAAAATCGCATTTTGATTTTCCTTTTTCTCCGAGGAAAACTATTCATTGATGCTAGGCTGTGTTCTTTCAAAGTTGCATTTACGATGCTCATGAAAACGCCGTGCTATAGCTGGTTTGACCCAAGGCCAAGTTACACTGCAAGCACGAAAGAATGCTGCTTCCTTATCCTTTGTCTCATCCGTTTTTGGTACATTTTCCGATTATTCAACAAAATGTGTTCCGACACATGAGCCTGGATTATTTTGTGCGAAAGCTATTGAAGTCCAAAGCATTCACGTGGATACCCAAAAATCATTCAACCAGATGAATCAATCATGCACGTCGTTGTAGATTACGAATCAATGTGATGTGTTCGAGGAGCTAGTGCTAGCGTATGTCCGCCTTCGTGGCATTCATTTGATTTACCTTCTTGTTTTTAGGTGGGGCATTAGCAAGAATCGGTACGAAATGTTTCGCAAGAGGATCCTGCGAAAATCTTCGTTCCCGACAATGACAAAAAGCTTCTACACGAACGCTCCATGCAGCGTTTTTTTCCTTCCAAATGCTATTTCCATGCAGTAGGCGTCGTCGACCCTGGTCCCGCAGTGCCGCGCTGCTGCGACGTGCTTACCAGCATGTTTGCATAGTTGATCCCGGTGAAATTTGGCACTTGAATCTTGGGGTACATCCCCAAGAGCGGCGTGACTTGCCCGGGTCGGCTCGTCCCCGGCGTGCCGATGCTGAAAGCTGCGGCAGGAGGGAGGGTGCTGCTCGCGCTGGAAATGGCAGTACTGCCGTTTTTCGGTTGCTGTCCACTTCCAGTGGATTTGCTGTTGTATCTGGACGAAGAGGACGACGTCGTGGCAGACGGTGCCACCAATGGGTACAAATTAGTTTGCCCGCCAGCGGGCTGCGCTCGACTACTGGTTTTGGTCGGATTATAATTTGTGCCTGTAGAGGTTCCAGTTGTTCCCGTCGGTGTTCTTGAGCTTCTCGTTGCGGTTGCGCTCCCCGCAGAAGTGTTGTTCCAGACTCTCCGAAGGTCCATCGCGGTCAACGGCGACGTGGTGTTCGAGATCCGGCGCTGCGCTTGCGCTGTGGTGGGAGCATGTTGTTGACCGGTCGCTGTAGATGTAGCGCCAATGCTGTGCCTACTGACTGCCACGACAGGATGATCGGCCTTCGTACTACTCGACTCGTTTGCCACCTCGTGGCTGTCCGCCGAAGTTCCCGCGTCATGCTTCGTCCCGTCGATATCGAGCAAAAACTGCAGTCGCTCCTTGATGTCGCTTTCTGTGGAGGACAGTGACACCGTGTCAAGGTCTTTATTCACACCTCCTGCAGACGCTAGTCCGAACGCGCTGTCCGGGTTGTTAAGCTGGATCAACCCGGACGAAGGGAATGCAGTGCCGGTCCCTGCACCGGCGGAGCCACTTGTTCTATCGTCGCCCAACAGGTTCTTCATATTTCCCGCAGAAAGGCCGTGCAATTGGTCCAGGCCTCGATCCCGGGGTGCCTCCTTGAGCATCAGAGCCGGGCTCCCGTGGTTATCGGGTTCGTAATCCTTTACCAACTCGCGGGCCTGCCTCGAACTAATTTCCTGCACGAGAAACCTGGGCTGCTGTGGCGTCTTTCGAGCGGACGAGGAGGCGAGGGAGCTGCGCGCGACTGAAGTTGGAACCAATGGTGTAGAAACCCCGGACTGGTTGCCCCCCTGATTGTACCCTCCTGGTGTGCTGGTGCTTGTCCGTGGCGGCACGTCGGACTTCCCGCCGGGCAGGGAACTCATCACCGACTTGTAGCCGGACGAAGTGCGCGTCGCGCTGCCGCTCGCACTTGTCGTGCCTCCCGTGGCGGGTGTAACAAGCTGGTCTATTCTACTTCTGTAGTTGCTAGCGCCCGTCGTTGCTGCCGCCGTCATCGCCTCGACGGTCGAAATTTCCCTAGTTGTACTTGTCGCGGACGCCGCCGCACTGCCACCAGCTTGCGCCGCAGGTTGAGATTGGTTTGGTTCCCCAAGATCCTCTGTCCTTGACCCTCTCGCCGTCAAGAAGCCTTCGTCGGATGCGACCTTGCTAGCGCTCGGTGGCGGCGATTCGCGCTGTTTCCTTTCTCGCGCAGTCAGGAATCCCGCGCGACTCGTGTCTTCGCTGACAGTGCTGTAGAAGTGAAACGCAGGATCGGCCGGACGGGAAGAATTGGTCTGCTCCGCGGCGGACTTATGTTCCGTCGAAGCTGCTCCCACCGCATTCGGAGCAGCTGCGGTCGTCCTGGAACTCGTGGCTGCAGCAGCCGACGTGTAAAAGGGCTTCCCTTGTTCCCTCCTTCCATCAACCGCATTCTTCGCGTCCGAGACCGCGGACGAAGACGAAGCTGAGGACGAGGACCCGGCAAGAATACCGTTCCAGTCGTTCCGCGGTTTGAACACGCCCCCAACCTGCATCGGCGAAGCACGGTTTACCCTGGTTGTCAGTGCGCGGGGGGAGACGTTCTTTGCAGGACTGGACGACTTTGCACGCGGCGCAGAGCTAGAACCAGAAGTGCTGGCACCTTCATTGTCGAGAACAACATCTCTTCTACTTATTCCGTCGGCACCAGCGCGGCTCGGCCTCGCTGTCAGCGGCATCGCTGTCGTCGGGTAGTTCGTGGTAAACGGAGAGGATAATTTTTTCGGTTGGCCATGTTGATTTACCGCAGTCAGCCCCGCAAACAAGCGCTTGTTCGCATCGCCCGGTGGTGCCCCGATCGTGTTTCGGTCGACCATTCGAAACCCGCCTGAGGAAATGAATCTATTTGCTGCCATGGGCGGTCCAGGCTTGGGAATGCTTGCGGGATCGTCGAGGTCTTTGATGTCGTACGAAGTGCCGCTGGCGGACGCGTTGAAAGGGTCGTGGTTGATCAAAATGGTTTTCTCGTCCTTCTCCGTTGGGCTAGAGTTGGTGACGTGCGACGAGGAGGACGAAGAAGACGGAAACGCAGGGGTGCAGTACCCGTTTGCGCTGCGACTGGTCAAGTCCACGAGGTGCAGCTTCGCGCTACCGCCAAACTGAGAACTTCCCGAGAGAAGATCCTGTGTTGGCGAAGGCCGGGAGGAATTCGGGCCGCGGGAACCGCTCGAAGGATTAGTGCCGCTGGACCCTGATAGAATCGTGCAGTTGAGATTTATTTTCAACGAGCAGGGAATAATATCACTCAATCCCTAAAAACTGCCCTACTTAGAATTGCTAGCTTATCTTCCCTGCAAATACGGTAATACATAAATTTTCACGGTGAAAAATGCTGGGCCGGAACCGACTCACTAAGAACCTACCAGGCGTGGCTCCTCGCGGCGACACGAACTTCGAGACCGCGCTCAGGGGCGAAGCTTGAGACCGTGGCGGAAACTGGATTGGCGTCGAGTAGTTGGACGGCCGGGATGAGCCAGTCTCTACCTGCTGCACCTATTTTTCTTTTTGCTTTTTGTGGCATAGCAAAATGACGCAAAGGGGGTCGTGAAACGTATGACGATTAGCAGATCGTAGACACAGCGACGTGCACACGAACTTAACGAATGCAACCGGTTCTTGTTCTTTATCTTTACTTCTGCAGCACACGACAAAAATCAATAAATTTCTTTTTGTCTCGGTTAACAGCATAGACACGTTGTACCTGTTGCTTCAGTGCCCGGATCATGGTGTCCTTTTCCTTCATCTTGAGCTCTTGTATTTCGTAGTCTCTTCGAAGTTTCTCGAACCCAGTTTGCAAAGTTTCCTTTTCCTTTTTTTCCACGACCAGCATACTTTTGAGCCTGTTCTGCTCCACCGACTCAGCGCCGCGTTTACTCGCGGCAGAGAAATTCACGGAATTCAACCGACTGCCGAATTGCAACGTTTGCAGTGTCTCCTTTTGACACGAAACGCTGGGCGAAAGCGTGATCAAGATCACGGTTCTGCTATTCCCGTCGTGTTTGCCCAGACTGTCCTGCAGTAGATGAGTCAGCTTGGAATTTCGGTACGGAATATGCGCGATTTTCCTCTCGAAGGCCCAGATCACGTCTTGCAGTGCGGAAAGCGATTTGTTGATGTACTGTGCTTCTTTCAAACGATCGCCTGTAACCTCGGATTTTTTCACCCGCTCGGACCCGGCCAGGTCGACGAAGGAAAGCTTCCCGGTTTTCTTCAGCTGCGTTGCGCCGCCCGCAGCTCCTACTTTAATAGCGCCAGTCGTGCCAGAAGCCACGAGGTTTCGCGTAGCCGCGGACGGCGAGCAGGTGGTCGCGCTTTTCGTGTACGTCGTGATCCACAGTGTCAGAATCAGATGCGACCGCGAACTGTGCTCGTGCACGTTCGTTGCGAACGTCGCCCGATTGTCGTGGCCGAGCTTGAGAATCCGGGCCAAGCTTGACTGGATCCGCGCGTTGTCCAGCCGAAGCCGCTTCGCGCCCTGCACCTCCGTAGTCGCGTAATTGTCGTCGCTGCTGCTCGACGCCCCTTGTCCCACGATTTTCAGGCTCGAAGCCGTGTTGGCTGAGTTGTGGCTGGGGAGTCCCGCGGGTGTGGTTAACAAAGAGCTGCCGTTTGTTCCATTGCCGCTCGTGTCGAGCAGATCTCGGATGTTCTCATTGTAAATTTCCACCAGCTGCGCCTCGATCTCCATCTCCTCGCCTGCTTGAATGCACTTTTTCCACGCCTTGTCGATCTCCTTGATCGTTTTTTCCATGATGGCATTGCAACTGTAGGTCTTCCCGGTCCCCGTCGCACCATACGCGATCAAAGCGACATTCTGGCCGTCGAAGGCGGCGAGAATCTCTTCGTTCACCGCCTCGAACAGCTCCTGGTTGACCACCTGCGACATCCCGGACGAGGACCCCTGCTCCGGGAGCGGCGGCGCGAAAATCCGGTCGAAAAAGAACATCTTCGGGTCGCTGTTGGCGGAGTGCACTTCCAACTGCTTTTCCGATACGAATTTCAAGTGGCTCGCGTCGCTCGAACGGCTGTAGGGCGGGTCTGTGGAACAAGGAAAATGATTCTTTATTCTGAAGCTCAAATTATGACAAAGTTCAAACTCAGCACAGAGCGTCGACCCGCTAGTATGAGTATCAGAAAGGAATCCAGAACTTTACAAACAACTTTCCCAACAACTTTGATCTCTATACCGACGTCCTGCAGCTCGGGTCGCACCCGGCAAAAAACCCGAATGCTGCCCTTCAAGTTATGAAGCATTTTCTTGTACATCAGCCGCTCCTGCTCGCTTCGCAACAACCTAGCCGCCAGCTGTCGCTCGAGCTCCAAAGAGCTGAAGCGGTTGTAATTTTCGAGCAGGCTTTTGACCTGCGATTTGAAAACTTGAAAGTTTGACTTCAGCTCCTGCACCTCCCGCTTAGCGTCCCGGGCGTTGCGCCGTTTCTGGAGCGTGGTCAGCTGGTGGTGGTGCAGCATCATCGGTGAGGCTGTCATCTTGCTGCTCTTGCTTTTTTCGTTAGGTGTCGATTATAGTCGGATTCAAAAATTCACTATGTGTAGAAACCTCAGGCTCACCAACTTCGCTCCACCATCGAAGCCTACCACTTGGAATCCATAACTGCTTTATACATCACGGTAGTTGGTGTCAAACAAGAGCGAACTTGATGTCAATGCAGAATAAAGGCATCGGCGTGTGCAGTAGCTAACGAGTCACGTCGTAGCCAAATGAAAATGGAAACGGAAGGAGATCGACATGGATGAAAACTTGATGAGGTGCACCATCTTATCTTCCATGTCAATGATTTGCATTTTAGAGACGACGACGCACACCAAAATAATTCGTTGAAACGCAAGCTCCGACTGCCTAAGCTCCTCGTCACAAACACTATCTTCGAAACGAAATATTGCGCTCTTTGTCGAGTGAAGAAGACTCCTTTCCCAGTCAATTTGCTGCCGCGTTTTTCTAAACAGTAAGACTGACAGTACCTCTGCAAGTAAAAGTCGATAAACGAACACGCCGTTGTCAGCTGAATCGTGGAAGAGCCATCGACTCTCGCAGAAGTTCCGATAGTGTTTGAGCTTAATTTTCTCTTTCTGGAATACAATTCTGTGTGTCATGTGTTAGCTGTTGTAGGAGGTCTAATTGAAGATGATACGCTCCTCGACTACAACAAATCAATCTCTCATACGTACCACGGTAGTAAGAGAGCCACGACCCGGTGACATGTCTAACACAGTTGTAAGTAGATGTGGATCTTGGACCTGATTCGTTCGTCCCCCCTACCGTTTGGATGTCGTGTACGTGGAGCTCGTTGTGCTGGAGGTACTGGACGGGTTACTGACGACGCAGTTTTGTCTCCACGCCTTGGCTGCGTTCGCGTCCATCAGTTCCACTAGGGTCGAAAACAGGTCCCCGGAGACGAAGTCGTTGTCGACGATGTTCATCAGAAACCAGGTCTGCTTGATCGTCTGACTAATGAGCAGTTTGCTCGGCGAGTTTTCCGGGTAGATGCTGCTCCACAGGTCCCACAGCTCGAAGGCTTCGTCCTTCCAGGCCTCGAAGCTTACATCGTCGCACACCGTGGGCTGGATCACCTCGGACGAGGGGAAAACGCCCCAGGTGATGGCGCAAATCGTGTTGCTGCTGTTGTTCGTGTACTTTTTCGATCCGGACCGGTTTATCGCGGTGTACCGCCACGACTTTAGCTTTTCCTCGTCAATTTTTTCCAGCAAGTAGTGAAGATTCGTCGGCGAGATGAAGAACTCGATGTACCCCTTCTGGTAAACAAAGCCGCCCGGCGGACCCCACCCGACGAAGGGGTCGTTGGATAGCGTGGCGTTCACGCGCGGCTGGCTGTTGATCGTGAAAATCTCGAGCAAGTTGAGCTTGCACAGCTGGGGGAGGATAAAATTGGTTTCCTTGGTCGGCGCCTCGGTGTTCCAGGGCAGCTTCTTCACTTTTGGGTCGTTCTGCAGAAACTTGACGAACACCGTCGCGATGGACTTCAGCCCGTTGCTCAACTCCTCGCCCCACATGTTCCGCCGGTCCTGCCGCACTTTGGTCAGCGACTCCTTGCTGTAACTGACGAACTGCGTGGAGAAATCCCCGTAAGCCGGACTGTCCTTGTTCCCGAACCGGCCGTTCGGAAAGTCGTCCCAGGACGCGGTGCGGTACAGGTACGATTGCGGTCGGTTGGCCCAAAAAATCGGCCGCACAGACTCCTCGTTGGACGTCTGGTGGTGCAGCTTCGTTGCGTGGTCTGCGGGCGGCGACTGGGAAATAACGTCGCGGTCATTTTGATTTTGATGATGTTGTCCTCCGGGACTTGCATTTGACGTTGAGCCAGCGGTATTGCCATGGCCACTGCTGGTACACAAGTTCCCGCTGGAGCGGAAGCCCGGTCGCCAGGGCAGCTTGCGATTGTTTCTCCACCAGTCAAACAGCTCCATGCCGTTGATCACGCGCAAAACTGCCGTTTCGAGGTTTAGCGTGTAGAAATGCAGCCCCCGTGGCTTCACGTCTGGGTTCTTAGTCAAAAGCTCCGTGCACATTTTGATGCACTGCTCCACACCGAAGTTTTTTACCTGGTTGCAAATGTAATGAACAATAAAGTATCGCATAATTTTCGCTACCTCACTACTCTTGTTGCTCAATTATCATCAGAGCGAGTTGTGCTCATCTATGCGTCCTCAACTACATCTTTCTACAAACATACATTACAAAAAAAAAAATTACTGAAATAATCCTGTTGATACCATTTGATCGTTATCCTTAATCAGTTCTAGCTCCTGCACGATGTCGTCCGGCACCTGCGTCTTGCAGTTTTCCGTCATCCGGCAAAAGCCGTTGTAGGACTGGATGGGCATGATGCCCGGTAGCACCGGCGTCTCCTCCGTGTCCACGCCTATTTTCCGTAGGGCCCGCACAAATTTCACGAACGCAGACACCTCGTAGAAAAGCTGAGTGACGACAAAGTCCGCGCCGGCGTCGATTTTTTCCTTCAAGAACTTCATATCTTGCTCAAACGACGCCGCCTCCAGGTGCCCTTCCGGGTAGCCTGCCACCGCAATGCAGAAGTAATTCCCCTCCTCCTCGCGGATAAAGCGAACCAGGTCGACGGCGTGCTCGAAATCAGGTTTTTGTGTCGCTGTAATACCTTTGTCTTTCGCGGCCGTACGTTCCTCAGACGAGCTGCAATCCGATAGGTCGTTCACAGACAATTCTCTTTCTCCCTTCAGTTTTTGAAAGTCATCATTCCCCTGTCCAGTTGTGGATGGAATTGAACTGTTTACGCTTCCCACGGGTCCCGGCCCGCTGGTGCTCGGACTAGTTGTGCCCTCATCGGTCGGCGCCAGATCTCCTCTTAAGGCTAAAAGGTTCTTTATGCCTGCCTGCTTGCAGCACTCCAAGGCCCTCCGAATGCTCCGCTTCGTGGCGTTGGCGCACGTCAAGTGCATCATGACATTCACGCCGTAGAACTGCGATATCAACTGTAAATATGTCTGGGTCTGGAAGAATCCAACTTGTCATGCTGATTTTGGATTCTAAAAAAAGGTGTATTGCATGAGCAGCAAAGAGAGTCCAAGTTTTGCTACACGGAAAGAGCATTTGTCATGCGGTATAGGCATCAGGAAGCCCTCACAAAATATGTGATGCTAGGGCATGCATCACAGACATCAGAAGTCATGCAAAATGTGCATGACAAACCTGGCAATCTTCCAGACCCAGACATTTTTACATTTGATATGCGAGGCGATGCGGCATATCTCCAGGGTTTGGCCCTTCGTCTCCGGCTTCCAGGTCACATCTATCCACAGCGGATTCACGCGGCTCATGCGCTCAATCCGCTCGTACAGGTTCACCGTCCCGATGTCGGTTTTCGGCGGGAAGAATTCAAAAGAGAAAAACGGCCGGTCCGGCTCGTCATCCTCACGGATTAGGTCAATAATTTTCGCCATGTTGATTGTGAGTAGGTGGGTAGATTGCGAGATATGTGGATCGAAAATGAAGCAAGGCTCGGTAAAATCACTGCACCTGTAGTAGACCAAAGAACTCGGGATGGACAAGAGTACAGTGGCAGCGGGCACGCCTGTATTTTTCGCGAAGGTACTTTCAAACTGCGAGCATAAAGACGAGCGGGAATGAGAACAAAAAGATATTATTGATACGAGAGGAGTAGCTTGTCTTGATCAGTGCAACCTACTAGGACAGGGTATTCATAGTAAATGGGTGGAGGTCCTTCGGGTCCCTGTACAGAACAGTGGAGAAAGGCACGTGATGGCAACCGAAAGCTCTCGCACGAATTTGCTACGTTTGACCCGATGGTCAACAATCCAAGCAGAATCACAAACAAATCAACCGAAGAAGCCTTTTTCTTACTCGAGGTTTTGCAACCGAAAAATTTCAATAAGTGAGAAACTACGGCCGACCTTCTTCGCTCAAGAAAACAGATCAATCCGGGTTCTTGCACAGATATGTTTGCCGTTCTGGGGTGGACATGCAACGCGACAGTGTCATTTTCAGTTTCACCGATGATGAACTATTTACCGGGACAAGCATGTTGGGCCAACCATATTCGTCGAAAGCGCAGCCATATGAACACGCAATTCTGCAAACAGCCCCAGCGTCACGTAAGAATTTGCGCAAGCACTAGTCTGATACCTTCGGATTCCTTATCGTGCTTTTCACTTTCCTCGTCAGAGATCCATGTGACTGTCGGGTATCGCTCAGGTTGGTCTCTGTGCTTTTTGTAAAAGGCTTTGCGGCGAGCGATCTGTGCTGGCGTCATGTACACCGCGCCTTGCATACTTTCGACCATTTCATCAATCGCATCACGACCATCGGCAGTTTGGCTTTCTATCTTATCTGTCGCAACTTCAATGCGATCACGCGCAGCAGAGGACGAAAGCGTATCAATGTGCTGTCGGCTTGCGCGCTTCAAAATCTTCTTCGCCCGCTTGTAAAACTTCGCGCTACTAGAAGTTGAGGATGTCGACGCTTTCCGGGCCTCCGCAGGACTGCCCCGCACGTCTTCCGGAATCAGCGACGTTTCGTGCGCAAAAACGATTCGGCGGTGGAAAGCGATTTCTGGTTTTGTCAGAGGAAAAAACTCATGCACGATCGGGATGTCCGTAGACTTGCGCGTACATATCCCCAGGACTTTCGAAGTCGGTCCTCCGCTAGTCGTGTGGTCCAGGCTGTCGATCCCGAGGGAACACACACTTTGCACCAGATTGCGAAAGTCCTCTTCGCTGCCGCTAGTACTTTGTCGTTGTTCCCTGCTTTGACTTCCCCGTTTCAGAGCCTGCAAGCGAAGCAGAGGGGATCCGTCTGCAGCTTCGCACGACGTGCCGCTTTCTGTAAGCACGAATACGCTCGCGTCCACAGACGAATCTGTACCAGTTGTACTTTCTCTTTCCTCCAGCAGCTCTACAACCCCATCGAAGAGCTCCGGAAGAAGACGGGGACCAGTTTGTTCAGGCTTCGTTTGCCCATGCGCCACACCTTGCTGTGCGACTCTGTGCACAAGCAACGCCTGGTCAATCAACACCTCGGGCCTGTAGAACTGCAGTCGACGCCGAGTACTGCTCGTTCCATTTTGCGTTTTAGTACTGCTCCGCAGGACGTCGCGTTCAAAAGCCGCGAACTCCGCGTCCAGTGGCTTTAGGATATCTTCCACCCAGAGCGCGACTCTGGTCCGCGCCGTCGCGAAATCTGCCTGGCTGTCCGGTCCGCGACTAAACCGCGAGGAAAGCACCAGGCAATCGCTACCAAACTCCAGGCATTTCAACAGCTCAGGACTAAGCGGATCCACGACGTGCAGGCTGCGGCGGGGCCGAGTTGCGAAATCGTCGCTCACCACCTCTCCGTGTTCCGCTGGTTCCCCTTTTCCTGCGCTCGCACTGTTTCCGCTGCACCACCGACGGCAGATGGTGTAGTGGTAGGTCGACACATGGTTGTGGATGCGCTCTGTAGACGACCAACGACTAGCGTAAGAGGTAGCACCATGGTTCCATTTATTCCATCGATGGCGGTGGAGGCGGTGCTGCGATGCATAAAAGACATTGCGGGTCCGACAAAGCTGCAGACCACCTACTGCCCGACTCATTTATTTGCGAGATGATGATGCGGTGTCGTAACAAGCGAAAAACGAAAAAGGGCCCTGGTGATGCGATTACCACCATGATGAACACGAACACTATCTATAATGGTTTAGATAAGTGAAAGAAAGTGTTCGTTGCATTGCGCCATCGCAAAAATAATCCTCCTCCCTGTTCCTGGACTCTCGTCAGGCAACGCGAACGCCCAAGAAAAAGAATGAACAGACTATCCGAAGAGGCTATTGCTGCTGCTATCGCGGCAATTGTAGGTAAAAAAATCTCGTTTCTGGCCGTGCGCATCGAATTCAAACGAGAGTTGTCTTGAGTCTTGTACTTGTTCAGAGCTCGTCTGATTTACTCTTTGTCGCATTCGTTTCGTTCGCTTTCTGGTCTTCGCCTGCATCGGGTTTTGAGCTTCCAGGCTCGGCTGTCTGTTCATACAGCCACGAATGGTAATCTTTGTTGGCGTCGACGAGTGTGGTGGACACTTCTTCGACATTTCCCTGACTTTCAAAGAAGTTCTTGACTTTCGGCAAACTTTCCCCGGTGGTCTTCACAAACAGGAGCCCACCGTCGTTGTCGTGCTGGGAGCAGCCGGCGAACCGTTTCTCCACTACCTGCTTTCCCAAGTCCCGGAGGTCCGCAGCCTTGCTTGCGCCCGCTTTTCTCGTGAAAACCGCTTGGTAGCAGGCGTGCTCGGGAAGGTCGTTCCACTGCTGGTGTGTGAGCAGCATAGGAACATCGTCGCTGTGATTCTCGGTGATCGCCTTGGCTATCGTCTCAGACTGACTCGTGTCGCTAAATTCTACCTGGTGTGAATTTAGATTTACGTCATGCTCTTGATGTGCTAAAGAGAGTCAAGGTTCCCGTCCGAAGTTCAAACTTGCTTCGAGGAAACATGAGCTACTCACTGGTCAATAGCTACTTCAGTCGACACGTCAAAAGTAAGTACTTACTTAGCATGGTACGTGGTTCATGAAAGACACACCATCATCGCCTGCTCGCTTCTTGTTCTTTATCTTTTTGGAGAGCGCGAAAAATTATATGACGCACCTCAATCCGCGCCTCCACCGCGTTGTCAAGTTTTCCGTCCCACCAGAAGTGTGAATACACATTCCTCACGTTCACGGGCAGCCCAAGACTCGTCAGTGCCTTCTTGATATTCTCAGACGCGTCGTGGTTGTCCGTGGTGGTCGCGTACCACATTTTTTCGTCCGTGGGAGAACCGCGCACGAGATTCGTGCTGAAGCTGAACTTCGCGGTGGCTCCGAACAGGTAGCACAGGGCGTACTTCTTGAAAGCCGGTCGTGGAAAACAGTTGAGTCGAGCGCTGGCACGGGACGATAATGACACCACCATGGATGGACTGACTGTTGGGTTCTGCTAAAACTCACAACGCGTACGGTCTTTATGGCTACTTCCAACGTGATAGTGAAGCGGCATCAAAATATGCTCCGGAAAAAGGTCGGTGATTCGTTGTAAAGCCAAGGAATTGAAATTCGATACTGCCACTGCACCAGACATAAACTTTTCTGTATGGCATGGCTGCTTCGTAAATTCAGCTACGAAGCCGGCCTGCGATCTGTCTCAGAGAAGGCGTCATGCAGATTCTGATCGTGCAGACCGGCGGACGAACACACATCGATGAGAATGTTGAGTTACCCAGTTGTAATTCATCTAAGTGGCAGGTCGTGGATCCATCTGGTTTTGATCTTTCAAAGAAACGTGGCGGGAAACTGTTTCTGTTGTTTGCGAAAGAAAGTTCACGAGGAAAAAGTGAAAATCAATGCGGTGGCTTGAATTGTTTGCGGAGTTCTTCTCATTCTTGTGGTCATTTGATCTTTCAAAACGTCAATGTCAATCAATGAGATTTTTCGAATAACAGGAGCGGCATCAATAGGCATGCTTCGACTGTTCATCTCGATGTTGGTCGCAATAGCACTGCAGTTCCGTAGCCAGGATTGCTTTTCCAGCAGTGGTTCCATAGCTCGTCCAGGTCGCTTCACCAGCAGCAGCGCCACCGGTGTCTGCTGATTTGTCGCCAAAAATCTCGCCCGGTCTGGCTCCTGACAAATCGGCGAGCAGTGTCTGCAGTGAAGTCGGTTCGGTCACCGTCATGTCATTTTCGAGCTGCTTTGGTCTTCTTTTAAAAAGAACGAAATAGCTCGTGTTTCGCGCGTCCTGTTGGCAATCGCGCTTCAGGATCTGCATCTTGTATAGCGTCGCTGCCCGCTCGCCGGCAAGAGCGGCAGGGATTCTGATTGTCTCCGCGCCGCGACCGTCGCCCCCAGGAGTGCTAGTGAGCAGCTGCGCCGCTGCCGTCGCGGTAGAAGACGCTTCCTCGATGACGACGTCGGGCTGTAAAGCTTCCAAAAACGCACCACACTGTTTCAAGGCCTGGGGATGCGAGCGGATAACTGACAGGTTCTGTTTCAAAAACTCAACCGTCGGTGCTGCTGTAGGTGCATTCAATTTGTGACTCGCTCCGGTCCCATCGGAAGCATTAGTTCCCTTTTCCGGTGCTTCTGGAGTGTTGTTCGTCAACACGCCCGGTGCCACCATGAGGTGATGTCGGATACGCATTCCGACTGCGAGGGGAATCGCCGCGAGCCGGCAGCCCTCCGGCTCAGCAACGTGGCTTGTCAGCACTTCGAGTGCCTGCGTGACGACGCCTGCGCTGGTGTTGTAAACCGGTACCAAAGCGTAGTCCAGGTTTTCTCGGTGTACCAACTGGTTTAGCAACTCCGGAAAACCCCCGGACGGCACGCTGCGCGGAATGATCCTTATTTTACTCGAGTACTCATCGTGCTTGCTACTTTCTCTGGCTATTCTTGGATTGACCGGACTTGTACTGTAAGAGGAAGTAACAGGTGCGACGTAATCATTGAACAGCTGCAAAAGTGCGTCTTCCGCGTGCGCACCCTCATAACCCATGAAGCCCACAACAATTTCCGCACCGGGCGGAGCTCGGTCCCCGTGGGATGGAGCAAGCGGTGCCTTTTCACTGCGCTGATCCTCATAGCTCAAGGCAGTAACTGCACCGGGAAGTGGCATGATTGTCGTGAAGCGAAAAGTTTGCTTTTTCTCGGTCCGTTGCGTGAAGATATTTCCACATGGAGAAGATTTACTTTCTTGAACATGGATTTTTCTACGGCGACGAAAAAACACAAAATCCTGTGAGTATTTTTTTCTCTGCTACTATGACTACTTTGACCCAAGAGCAACACTACGATATTGCTGGACCTATGCAATCCACCAAATTCGACCAGCACGCCGTAATGTTGCATCCGAAAGCGACGATCGATCCTCTGCGAGAAACGAAGCAAAAATTTTCTGCCATAAAAATGTCATTCTGATCGGTCTTCCAACGAGCAGCAACGATCCGGCGAATCGACTTCTCGGAGATCTTCGATGTCACAGACCGACATGCGACTACGCACTGAAATGCATATATGAGACAGATCTGTGTCTCGCGCACAATCTTCTACATCTACCTGTAGTCGTGCTACTATCCCAAACTCTGAACCCGCAGACGAACACATCCATCGCCTGCTCCGAAGCCCTCACCCATAGAGGTCGAGTGTGCACCTGCACGCGTGGTCTGTGTCACGGTATTATTCGAGATGCTTTCATTCTTGTATCGAACGCAAAGCGCAAAAAAATTGAAATTCTGCACACAAACATGATTCAAAAATCGAGTTTCTCGACTGAATGTTGAAAATTGTCTCATACATATTTTTCAAACCAGGAAAATATTCGGGTACACACATGCTGAATACTAAAACTCCGTGAGCAAGAAGTACATCATGAACTATACCGCTCTAGCACTTCCTCTTTTTGGAAGGTGCGAACGTGAAAGTTGTCGCAACGCCACTTCCAAAAAGACTTGCTCCTAATGAAGACTCTTCAATTGGAAAAAAATACGTTCGTTCAAAAAAAGCTCACAAAATGAGACCAGTGCCTTCTCCATGGAATTTGTTTGGGGTACAAATAGAGAGCAAATTTCTATGCTGATCTTGTTCCTGGAAGGCATGCGCTGTAGGGCTCCGCTTTCGGAAAAAAAAGATTTAGCAAAACTCAACCCTGAAGGTTGATATTATCAACAGAGTGCGAGTGCCTCAAAAACATACACATTTCTTCAACACCTCCTGCGTACTGTGAGTAGGTGAAAAATACCTACATTCGTGGTTCTTTACCTGATCATATTCAATCAATGTTTCAATGGCGTTGGCTGGGCCCCGCTTTGTTTAACAAGTACTGATTGACCACTGACAATAGCATTTAAATACAAATAGCTCAAGATCGCACACTACGGATAAATCATGCGCTACTTGACACGTCATCGTCATCCTGAGGACCTTAGTTTTCGTTATGATGCCGGTTCAAATCACTTTAGCCAGACTGGCGGCGCAGGCACTCCCCGTATACACCACTGTGCGCCACACGTGGTGCGCGAAGGCAGTAACCGAGTACTGGCTCTTCACTCGATCCGGGCCATTTTGCGCCGTCCGGACCTCTTCCAGCAGATGCGTTTCAGCGTCCTTCTTGTGGTCGACTTCGTCGGCGCAACAGTGGTCCAGGAAGCGGGCGAGCTCGTGGACGTGCTGTAACTCCGAGATCGGCGTGCGTAGCGATTCCTGTCGCTTTAGCTCCTTTTTGCTGAAGTTTTTCCCGCTGTCGTCCTCGAATTGCATGTCCTTGCAAAACGGGAACGCGTCGGACAACCGCAGAAACACCGCCAGCGCGGACTTGTTCTCCCGGTTGGAAGCGAAGGTGGTGGAGTTCAACAGCAATCCCATCGGCATGTCCGAGTAGCTGTTGTAGCACGGACGCACCACTTTCGTCTCCTCCGTCGTCTGGGTTAGCTTCGTTGTCTTCGTCACCGGCACGATCTCGTACGGGTTGCGCGTCGATCGCTTGCGGCTGAAGGAACTCGTTGATGCACCAGTCGGTTGCTCCATCACTTCCTTCGCAGGATTCGTGTCATCTTCGCTTGTTTTCATCGCAACAAGTCCGTCAACTCCTGATGCTTTACTCTCAGAAGTAGCTGCGCACTGTTCTACTTCCGGCTTCGAGTTTCGGCGGACGAAAATGTTCTCCGCGGCGATGAGTTGACGGTCCATTTTCCGCAAATATCGAAGCTGGTGCTGGTAGTGCTTTTCGACGAAGGTTTCGACTGCTTCGACGGTGTGGTACAGCCAAACTCCGCCCCCGAAGAACGTTGGCAAAAAACCGAGCGTGAATCCGCACACCCGCCACATGGGCAGGAGCTTCGTGTGCTTGGCTGCCGGCAAGTCCGCGTAAATTTGCGTCAGCACGGACAAGTGCACCTTCTCGGCCTCGCAGTGCTTCTGCGAGAACGCCAGCACCTTCTCGAAGTGCTGTTGCGTCTTAATGGAACTGGTCGTGTGCCGCGAAAACAGTTTCACGAGATTCAAACGCTGCTGTGCCGCAAAGATCGCGCCGTTGTAGATCGACACAGCGCCGGTTTCTCCTGCCAGGTTGCTGCTCATCTCCTTGTCCAAGTACAGCCACGGCGACGCTGCGTCTTCGTAAACCGCTTTCTCGTCGACCATTGCGGAAGCCTTCGCGAGTTTGAAAACATTTGCCAACTCGCGCCGAATGCGAGGCACGTCAAAAACAGGAACTCCGTCGTGCTGCGCTGCTCCATCGTGTCGTTCTTGTTCACTGGCGCCTGTTGTACGAGCGCTGTCTTCTTTCATCGTTGTGAAAACACCTTCTCCTGATACCGGTGCAACAGAAAAAGCGGGCAATACCGGTTGACTCGCCTCCATCGCTTTGGCACTTCCGCTGAACGCCATGGAGCCAAAGTCCACATTGTGTGGAAGGTAGGGTCTTCCCGGTCGGTCTTGCAGCGCCACTGGATTGCAGTACTGCAGCGGCAGCATGTTGCTCGTCGTGGTGCTGTACTTCGCGTGGTCCGCCTTTCCGTACAAGGAGGCATTGAACGAAATCTTGCGTCGTATTGACCGCTTCCTGTGCAGCGGGTCCTGAACGTCGGTAAAAGGCTTTTTGGTTTTCTTCGCGACGTTCTGCGGAGTAGAGCTGGTGTGAAACGGCATTCTACGCTTCACGAGAACCGTCGATGATTCTTCAGCTGCGTCGGTTTTGGCAGATGAAAATACTGCCGATTCATTTCTTCCGGTCGGCGTCGAAAAGCCCCGAGATGAGCCGCTGGAAATAGATGCTTGCGGCGCCAGCTGACTGTAGTTGCAGGCTCGCCTGCCAACTAAGTGCTGCGAGAAACTGCGCGCAGCTAACATCGTGTTCCTTGTAGAGCCAGAAGTAGATTTTCTTTTTGATTTCTACTGTGGAAAACGTTGCAAAAATAGAAACTATTTCTTGCTCCTACTTAGCAGTTGTAGTGAGTTCAACGACGTCCAGGAAGTCGAACAATCAAGTGCAGAATGTTTCAATGTTCAACAGCGCTAAGATCTATCTGTATTTGGGTGATGCACCACAAATTTGGGTACGAGCTGGGGCACCGGGTGTGATCACTTTTCCCTGCGAATGTTTAAAGGAAGTCAGAACAATATCGACATATTTTCACGAATGAAATCGAAATGTAGGAGCGAATGTGGTTTTGGATGTGGTGCCGCTCGATGCAAAGATAAAGAAAGCTCTAGGAAATCTTGCAGCTTCATTTTTCTCCACAGCTTTTACGAATCTCTTTGAGTTTGACCGAATCAATGTCGAGCCCTTTGCTGCTGCCTCCAAGCGTAAAAAAAAACGAAATTATTTTGGCACGTCGAATTCAATACGAGATTTGTTGCTGCGACAGTATAACAGAATAGCTTGCATGTGGACCGAAGATATCACTGCAGGTTACGCAGGCTGATTACTTTTCATCACGAGTTGGTTTTTTTTCTTTTCATTGTGAACGTACTAGGCAACGTGATGCATTCTGCGTGCTGTCATCTACAGCACGATGACGATCTTCGGGATGTTTGCATGAAGAACGAACAACTGCTGTGTATCACACGAATCGCTATTGCGTCACATCGCAACAGCTATTCCTTCATATCTACGTCAGTCGGGACTTACATGTTGAGGTTTTGGCAAGTACATCGAGATCGGAACTTACCTCATAGCTTTCTTTTCTTGTTGTTTTTTTCTGACGAGCAGTTCGAAGCAGATGAGAAAGCGCTGGGAGCTCTCTGCGTCGTGAAACAGGAAAGCGAGTTTGCGCTCCTGAAACTCCAGGATAATAATATTTGCCCCCCGGTTTTCACTGGACAGGTTATACTGCTGATTGATCTGTGAGGAGTGGGCACTGCTGATGCGATAAATCTTGCTCAAGCTCGCAATCGGGAACTCGACGATACGGCCGCTGCCCTGGCTGAGGGCGAGGATGCGGTGGTCGTCGATCAGCTGGGCGTGAATCAGCTGCTTTTCCTGCAGCGACGTCAGCTGCGTCAAATAGGTTCCGCAGTAGAAATCGAAGACGAAGCCGCGAAACATCTGCTCCAGCCTTTCCTCGTTGGTGGCTCCACCGATACCGCTGTCCTCCGCAAACTGTGCTAGTTGCGGTAGCGGCTGGTCCCGCGTGGCATAGGGCAAGGTCACGGAGTTCAGCACCTGTTTTTGCCTCGGGGTTAGCAGTTTCGGATCGCGCACGATGTTGATTGGGTCGTTCAGCTGCGGGTTCGGCTCGGGCGACATCGCTTCCACATTGGCCAAGGGGTTTTGGTAACTTGGGTTCACGACGCCGTTGTACGAGTAGCTGTTACCCCCGGTGCGCGGACTCTTGGAGTCTGCGCGTCGCGGGGTCACGGAACCTCGGTAAAGCTCTGCCACAGCGGGGATAGGGCCGTCCTGCGCGTAGTTCACAGCAAGGAATTGCTTCTCGCTTTCCACGCTGCGCAGCGAGTTCTTTTGCCGCAGAATGTCGCTTGATGGTGCTCCGAGGGGGAAACTCCCGGAATTGATCCCTCCAAGCGGCAGCTCGCTCAGGGGCACAGGACCGCGACTGCCGAAGTTCAGATTTGAATTCGCGCCGAAGTTCAACGTCGGATTGTAGACCGGCGGTTGTGGCGGTAAGTTCTGTTCTTGCTGCAGTTGGTTACTGTAGCTACTGTTTGCCGCAGAAGCTGTCGCGGCAGCTGCAGCTCCACCCGGTGGTGCATAAATGAGGCGGTTCGGGGTGGTGTGCGGACTTGGTGACGGCGGCGAGTTGTTTCCGTACGCAACATCGGCATTTTGCTTCGAGGAGGCGGGACGGGGCGACGAGGGGTTCACGGCCAAAAATTTCGAGTCGGACAGCCCTGTGCTGTGCAGGCCGGTCGGCATCCCCGGCTGCCACAACACGTTTCCATAGGTGGAAACCGGGGTGTATTGCGGCCCGTGCCCACTGTGTGCTGGTGCCGACAAGTTGGGTGGTCCGCCGGTCGTGCTGGTTGTAGGCGTTACCGATCTTGACTGCTGCTGCAGCTGAAATTTTTCCTGGTAGTAGGGCGGTACCGGAGCAACGACGACCGGATCAACTGCGGGCGGCATACCGGTGTAGTAGTCAACGACGGAAACCACGTCGTCGTCCGCATCGGAGTTCTGTTTTGTAAACCCGCTACAGCCATTGTTCGTGTCATTGAGAAAACCTCCGCCAGCCGACGACAGTCGCTCCCGCCTACGGCGCACGCGCATTTCCTGCCCCTGGGAACTGCGGTCGTCCTCCCCTGCGCGCTGCTGGCCGCAACAACTGCGCAGCAGCCACTCACGGACCGCTGTAATCATTCTTGATGCAGCGAAAGCGATGGCAAGAGAGTTCTTCTCTTGATCCTTTTCAGATCATCAAAACGATGATAGTGAATCTGCAGAACTCACATACAACTGGCTGACACATGCACAACCAGTTGTTCTACAACGAGAAGGTAGGTTTGTTCCACATCCAGCTCACAAGGGATCATGCATTCATGATATAGGAGTACCTGTTCTCCTCGCTCTGTTTTCCTTTTTGCACTCACTGCTCTTTTCAAAACTGAACCGGCAACGAACAATGAAGACACGCTTTCGAAAAATTGTTTCTGTTTTTCGTAATTTGCTGCTGCTGCACCGGCTTCGGTGCGTTCGTCCCAGTTGCTCTTCCTTCGCACTCTCTCTTGAGACCACAGAGGGGACCCAGCAATCATCATCTACCGTGAATTAGGAAACGGTTGTGACTGTGCAGTCTGTCAACCTCGTGGTTGGACATGTTTTCCCACTGTTCTCTGTCTGTCCAGCGTCAAACAAGACAAAGACGACGAAGAGCAAAAACCCGGCGCCCCCGGCTGTCACAAACGTTTCGAACTCCCCGCCAATTTGTCGAAGGCCGCCCGATCGAATAGCAAGGGGCAGGGTGAGTCCCACTTGTGCGGCCGTCACGATGAGCAGCGACAGGTTCATGAAGCCGTCGATCCGCAAAACGTAAACCTGCGCCGTGAAGAAGAAACCCAGGAACAGAATTTGCGGAATGCTCAGGAGATTGAACACCGCCAGCCGCGAACACCGCTCTGTCTTGTTGCCGTCATACCCAAACTGTCAGTTTCATTTTGGCTTTCACCATGTGCAATCAACGATGAACTCGAAAATGGTCCAACTGTGCATCAACATTTGAACGAACAAGACTAGGCCGAAACCAAAAGACACGAACCATCGGCGAAATTACAAATTTTCGACTTGATGACGAGAAGTCGTCGATCAATACCTGTATTCTGGTGCCTTCGATTAGCCAGAAGAGGACAATGCACGGTATTTCCTCCCCGAGCCGCGTACTCTGCAGGTCTTTCGAGTTTGGAAAAGCGGCGAACTTGAAAAGCATGGACATAACCGTCACAAAAACGTACAAGTGGCGCACACTGTCGGAGAACCTCAACAATAGCTGCAGGCTGAGAAGCCCGTGCGGCGGTTGGGGCTGCTGCGGTTGTTGCGAGGACCCTGTGCTCAGCTGCTTGGCGCGGTAATTTTCCGTTCTTGTCTGCGACAATGAGTTTCCGGCTGCAAATGCTTCGTCATTTGCAAAAACCCGCCATGACGCACCCGCAGTCGCTGCCTGTACCTGCTGACCGCTTGGAGCTCCGGGCCCCGCTGTCGTTGGAGCCATGTTGGGCGGATTACCTCCAGGATTCATCATATTCATTGCGGGGCAGGTTTCCCGCTGACGCGAGTGATGCAGGAGCTAGTCGTAGCTAAAATGTTGACTCGCACATGAAACAAATACGCTCTCTGCGTTTCTTTCGTACGCTGATATAAAGATTCCAAATGCTTGTTGGTCTGCAATTGCGGTAGAAGCACTCAGATCTTGTATGAATCACTCTCTCTGCATCTCGCAAGTATATGCTCCTCCGGAAGAAGCTACCTACTCGCAGCTAACAGTTTACAGCGAGAAACGCTGAAGCGGTGACGTGAGGCTGTCTTCTTGGAGCAGTCGAGGCGATATTAGATGTTGAGGCTCGACGATTTACTATTTTCGCAGAGCAGATGAATGAGAAGGATAATGTGGGTGCAACTTGACCGTGATCGACCTGACTCTGACACCAGGACCACGCGCATGCTCTATGTAAGATCGACCATCATCTGCACCAGAGAATATAGGGCGACTTCTGAGAATGAGCTCCTGCAGGGATCGATCAACCAGGCCAGAGGCACAACTGTCTTGTTCTTTATTTGATTCCAGAGCCGCTGCGATCTCGCCCGCGTCCGACGCAAATTGGCGGCGCGCGGGTATGCGGCTGACGCAACTGACTCCGCATCCGCGGGTCGTGACGTCTTGGTCTTCAAAGGTTCATTTTTACAGAGTGATGTAATCCGCGTACTCCGTGTATCCCGGGCAGGTGTAAAACTTCTTTCCCCATTGATTGACTCCGTCAGCAATTTCCTGCAATTTTGCGGGCACCGTTTGGTCCCCGCGCTCAAGAATGTCAATCAGCTCTGCTGGTGTTGAAGCATACTTGGGATTGAACTCGAAGAAAGTCAGCGCATGCCCCACACCCTCGCTGCCCCTGGCAGTACGGCCGATGCGGTGAACGTAGTCCTGCACCTCGGGCATTTCGAAGTTGACGACGTGTGTGACCCCATCGATGTCCAGCCCGCGAGAAAGCACGTCGGTGGCAATCACAATCTTCACTCTGCCCTTGCCAAACTGGTCCACAATTCCCGTTCGCTGCGGCTGCGAAAGACCACCGTGCATGATCTCGACGCGACTGCCGGTGATCACGCTGCTCAGTTTCAAGCGTATACGGTCCCGCAAGGTCTCGCACTCTGCTCGGGTGTTCACGAATATCAAGATCTTCGCCTCCGGATTTTCCCCAAATGCCAGAGTCACGTACCGAACCTGCAGGGTTGGAATTCGAAAAGTGCTTTGGCGCGGTCAATCAATTCGCTCCTCGACCGACCGAGCTAGTAGCATAAAAAAAGAAACACTACGTGGCGCGCATTTTTTGCTCGCAGCTGCTCTGTCAACGTGCAAACAAACGATCCCCATACCAGTGCGCGCGTTTTGATCTGTACTCGCCTGGAGCTTGCCCCCATGGGTCGGTCGTCTCCCTCCTTCGCCCGTGAACTCACCAGCAAAATCTCTTGCCGCACGCGCTCGTTTGCGGAGTGGTGTTCGCCATCTCCGCTCTGGTCGCACTTGATCACCACGCGGTTTCGCATGTGCGTGAGTTGATCGGCTAGGGGCTGCACGCTGCGGTCCCAGGTGGCCGAGAAGAAGCAGGATTGAAATTTTTCCGGAAAAGAATACATGATCACCGCCAAGTCCTCTTCAAAAGAGCTTTCTTCCAACATCCGGTCTGCCTCGTCGAGAACAAAAAAAGTGACGTTATGGCAACCTAACTGTCCGTTTTCCACGAAATCCCGCATGCGTCCCGGCGTTCCAACCCACAGGTTCGCATACACCATTGACCTAGATGAACGCAACAAAACGATTCACGTTCAGCGAAATACGTTCGTCTTCCTGTTCCTGCTCATGTACTTATTTACATAAAAGTTGTCTTCTTCTTCGATGAATCAATGCTTGTACGTCTTGTTGCTTTTCGCTGAATTAGGTACGGCGGAAAGAAAAATCCTATATAGGTAACGAATACGAAAGCTGCTTCTCTTTTTTCTCGCCGCCGTAGCACATCCCCGTGGTCACCGGGAAATTACACCTGTCCGAAAGCGCCGGCGGGACGATTTTCTGGGCCTCGCTGTGGATCTGGATGACGAGCTCTCGTGTCGGGCCCATGATGAGCGCCCGGGAATGCGGGTTAGCAGTCAAATGGATGATTGCGGGGACGAGAAAGGCAAGCGTTTTGCCGGAACCGGTTTTTGCCACACCAACGACGTCGAACCCCTGGATCACGAAGGGAATGGTGAATTTTTGCACCTTATACGGATGGCCCAGTCCGATTTGCTTGAGTTTTGCCCCCAGTGTAGACATCTGGTCTCGCAAATACCTGAAAAGCATTAGCAGTATTATAAAGCGCAAGGTCATGCTGAATCCATGATTACGAAGTATTTGCTTCCCATAGTACCTTGGGCATGTCGCGACCTCCTACTACAGCTTTGATGCAAGAGGCATAGCATTAGTCTATTTACTTACTTTTTTCCGTTTTGGCGCACTTTCTCCTCCGGCGGCAGCGGAAGGAAGAGCGATCGGTAAGACCGGAACGTGATGAGCTTCGTGCAGTCCGGATCACTTTCTCGTGGATACTTGTACTCGTAAGTAATGTTTTCCTCGGATCTTTGCGCGTCGGGGCATTCATAGAACACCTCCTTGAAGAGACTGGACTTCTGTCCGAATATGTTGAATCGCACCGAATCCAGTTTAAATGCTGGAGGTCGCATGCTTGGCGGGTGACTCGCGTACAACTCAACCTCATCGTACCCGTGGTCCGAGCATCCTTCTAGCAAAGCTTGGGCGCCGTTCGGTCCTTGCAGACTGTGTGATGAATGATGATGTGGATTGGTGATCTGGACATGTAGTTCATGTGAATACAGAGACTGTGACTGGCAGACAAGCTGATTTTCATGTCATGTTTTTGTCTTCGCGGCGAAATAAACAACAAGAATAAAAGCAGTGAGTTGTACAGAGCGTGCGATTGTGGTGCGACGCTGGTGCTGGGCCGCCTATTTTCCATTTTCTTCGTGTCACGCCCGGTTACTCCCAGCAGTCCCTGTGGCGTCCCTGTACTCTTCGGCGGCATCGACGACTCAAGATTGCGCGCCCGGTTTGCAGACGGCTGTGATGTGCCTGCTCCGCAACGGCTGTTACCGGTCACAACAGAAGAGCTGCGCGCTCTTCCTTCGTTCTGGCGAGGGTATTTCTGCCCCGCCGTACTGCGGTTTGTTCCGAAACTGCCGCACACCTCCGAGCCGCCGTCCTGCTGCTGACCGCTTGCCCGACCGCTCTCAGCGAATTGATGGTCACGACCTGACAATTTCTGAGTTTGAGCATGCAAAATCTGCTGCTGCTCGGTGTCGTCGGGGTTATAGTTGCTTACGCTTTTTTGTTCTCCAGGCGGAGACCAACCACGCATGTCCGTGCTACAGTTCCAAGATTGAAATTCCTGACGTGTTGCTGTGTCCTGTTGTTCGCCATGTACTCTCTCTGCCACTTCTTTTTTTGTTTGCTGAGCATTATCCTCGTCATTTGCTTCCCACCATGGCCTTGAGCTGCTGCTTTGCGTTTGCCACCAGATTGCATCTGCGTCAGCAGCTTCATATTGATCATCAGACCACTTACCCTCCTGCTCCTTTTCCGGTGCCCACTTGGCGTAGTGTCCCCACGAAGAATCATCTTCTTGCTGCTCCACCGTAGCACGGCCGTAATTCCAATCTTTGTAGTTCATGGTCTGGAGGCACTCGCTTTGTACTTGCGAACGAGCGGCCTCCAGGACGCCTCCTGTGCCCGCACCGCCAGTTCCGGCGTCGAAAGCATCGCAATCTCTTCCACCTACTCCGGCATGGGACGCTTCCCGATCTTCATCATCAGACGACGCTGACACGTCTGGCACCTCGGAAGACTCCTGGGCTTCCTCGTTATCCGAACAAGAAGCGTCATATTGTACACGCTCCTTCTCAAAATTCAGCTCATTTCCTTCTCCAAGTATATCGGAATGTGCCGCAGCGGCAACATCCGCGCCCTGCTGCGCGAAATTGTAGATCTCCACCGTCGCCTCAGGGTCTTGGTCTTGCCAAAAGCTTTTCATGCCAGGCGTTCCCACAACGTTTGAAATGCCTAGCCAGGCTTGACACGTTACGCGAGGGTCAGCCGGTGGAGGAAGATCGAGATAGTCCGCAGCGTCGTAGACACGACGAGGGTCCGTGCCACGCAAATCCTCGCCGCCCTCATCTCGGAGGGTCGTTCCAGCAGCGGTACTTCGATTCGGTTCCGTTGCTTCCGCCTTGTAGTGCTGCTGTACGGCCGCGACTTGTGGTGTGGCGGCTTCTCTTACGCCTGTGACACCCGACGTGCCAGGAGTTCGGTGCAATAGGCCTGATATGCTTTGACTTCGATTTGATGTTTGTCGCTCGCCATTCGGTAAAGCCAAGTTTTGCGGCCCCTGCAGGTGTCCACGCTGCTGACAGACTAACTGGTCAGCCTCATAGACCTCGACCCGAAACTTGCGCGGAAAGGCTGTGCCTCCCCGTACCTTCAAGCGTACTGTTACGGGAACCTTCGGTCCATGCTGATTCACAAGAAACGTCTTCTCCAATAGCTCGTCTTCCTCCAGCACGGCTTGTCCTGTGCCAGTGCGATAGCCGAGATTGTCAACCATGTTCGTCGGATCTCCGCTCTTGTCTTTATTAGGGGTTGAAAGAATTAAGTTTTTGGTCAAGGTTTTGATTTGCGATTTTTCATTTTTTTTCTCCTCGCTCTGAATGGAAAAGGAAAGCGCAGACCATCCAGCCGAAAAAGCTCGCTGCGCCGATATCAACATCTCGGCCGGTATCCAGACCAGCAGAAGCCGGGCAAAATGGAAGCCGCGCGCTTGCTGCTTCCAACCTCCCCCCCGGGTGAATACGATGAAGCCGCGGCGGCATTTTTCTCGGCTTCTGCTGACCCGGACTGCTGGCCAAGATATTAGCCTCGGCACCTCCCCAGAAGAACCCCAGACGCATGCCATCCGCCGCGAGGTATTTGGGGCGCCGGGCTGCTGGCCCGGCTTCTCCGCCCCCAGATCTCATCCTGCGGTGGCGCGTATCGGGGTCCGGGGGAAGAGGCTGAGCAGCTGCGGGCTTGCCCGGCTGGAGGTTTGGCCGGGTCCCGGTTGCCGCCAAGGCGGCAAGTTCTCGGCTAGGCCTTTTCATGACAAAAGCGCACCAAAATGGAAGCAGGTTCTGATTTTTTCCGGGAGCTTTCCCCGGACTAACGCTTACGCCTTTGCCCCTGCCCTGGCCCCCCCCTTTCGGCCGAACTTGGTGGCCTAAAGTGGGCCGACGCGGGCGCCCATATCTTGGCCTGGCGGCCTGCCTTTTCCTGCGAGTTCCCTGGAGCAAATGGCAGGGCGCCCGGCTTCTCTGGCCCCGCATCCCGTTCCGCAATCTTGCGGGACGCCGTCCGGAGGCAAAGGTAGAGCACCTTCATCCTGGCCAACCACAGGGATGCTTGTCCCTGTAGTGGCTGCCGCCAAAGCGGCAAGAGGTTGGCCAGGGTTTTGCTCAGAAGAGGCTCACGGACATGGACGCAAAGACTTACTTTTCCCGGAAGCTTCCCCCGACCTGGAAAAATACGCTTTTGCTTTCGCTTTGTGCTTCATCTTGTGGCCGAAAGTGCGGAGCCGAGCTGCGCCGATATGCTCGCCCATATCGTGTCGAGGCGGCCTGCTTCGTCGTGCAAGCCACCTGGAGCAACTGGCAGGGCGCCCGGCTTCTCTGCCCCCGGATCTCGTTCCACAATCTTGCGGGACAACGGGAGGAGGCAGAGGCAGAGCACCTTAACGGCCAACGACGGATATGCCTGTCCCTGTGATGGCTGCCGCCAAAGCGGCAGGGTTTTGGTCAGGGTTTTGCTCCGAAAAGGCTCACCGCAATCGAAGCAAAAACTTATTTTTTTCGGGAGCTTCCCCCGAGCTAATAAAATAAGTTTTTGCTTTCGCTTTGCTCTCCTTTTTGTCGCCGAAAGTGTGGAGTTGTTCTGGGCGGGTTTGTTCGCCCATATCGTGCCCAGGCAACCTGCCTGGCCTTGCAAGTTACTTGGGGCGAGTGACAGAGCGCCCGGCTGCTCTGCCTCCGGATCTCGTTCCGCAATCTTGCGGGAGAGTCAACCATGTTCGTCGGATCTCCGCTCTTGTCTTTATGTTACTCCGAAAGCATGGGTCTAGATGTATGGGGTGCCGAACTTGCCCAGAACTTGCGCAGAACTTGTCGGACCGGTTTCCGGTTGGGGCAATACAAGAGGGCGCCGGGGTTCCAGGCAACGAGGGCCCAACCTTCCGCCGGTCTATACTGCTCAAGTGGATGCCGGCTGCACGTTGGTGCGAGACAGCAGCCCACCAAGATGAACCACCTAAACGACGGCCAAACGCTACGGCAACACGCTTGCACATCAACCGAAGATGAGCACGATGCAGCATACTTCCCCCACAGCCGAGCCCCCGTCCGTGCTCGCGGCTGTGGGCACGACAAGAAGGGAGGCCTTTCTTTGAGGTGTTGCACCGGAGGGGGGGCGCGAGAGCGAGTGTCGCCCTGTGGCGAGACAGCGCGTCTACGGCCGGGAGCATGCCACACCAGCGCAGCAGGAGACAGGATGAAGGGAGAGCGCCATCGTGTAACGCGCGTTACACGATGGCATGCGGCTTCGTTTGCTGGAATGCGATAAAACAAAGCGTTTCGGGAGCGCGCGCGATGACAACAAGATAATCCTCGGCGGGCCCGCCCGACGACTGGGGCCGGCCCATCCACGCCGGGCGCCGAGAGGGGGGCAGGCTTGGCAGGCTGCGCCGAGCCAACACCCAGGCGGCCTCCGATGCCGTGACACCTCGCAGCCTGCCCTCCTTCAGAAACCCAAAAACCCCCGGGGTGGCCCTCTGGCCGCTTTAGGGTTGCGAGGCCCCCGAACCGGATCAAACCACAGCGGCGCTCCCATCAAAGAGCACGTCGGCGGCTGGCGGTGCCGAAGGCCGGCACTTCGGTTCGACGATGCGAAACACTCTCGCCGACAAAGACAAGGCCCGGACCACCCTCGTGGCCCAAACTACAAGAAAAAGAAGTCCTCTCCGTGGGGGGCGTCAACATGACAGACAAAACAGAAGCTGCTTGAAGCAAGGGCAGGCAGAGTGGCGCGCCTCCTCTATTAATAGGGCACGAAGGCGAGGAGGGGCGCTGCTCGCTAACCAAGAAAGTAGCCGCAGCCTGGCAGGCGAGCCAGCGGCGCCTTGCCCCTCTCACTCGGGTCTAGCTGGCGGGCGTCTCACCTTGAGGAAAGATCGAGTTGCGTCCTCGATCTTTCCGAGACAAGTTCTGGGCCAAGTTCTGGAACAAGTTCTGTAGCCGAGATTGTCAACCATGTTCGTCGGATCTCCGCTCTTGTCTTTATGTATCATTGCATGACTCGCAAAAGCCCCCCCCTTTTCGCCGGAAAACTTCTCCCAACGCCCTCGGGGGACGCAATTCATGCCAAGTCGATCGGTTTGGCGCGCTGGTGTAGTTCTTTTGAAGCTTAGCAAACATCTGCAGCAGCACGAAGATCGGCGGCACAAAACAAATCTCCCTAGGCGGGCGATCAAAACCGGCTGACTTTGCGCGCTGTCAACAAAAGCGAAAACGCGTTGACTTTGCACTTCGGGCTCGCCTAAAGAACCCCTCAGGAAGGAAATAAAAAGCCCGCGCTTTTTCGCTCCGTTTTACGAATAGGCTGGAAAAGTGGGAGAGTGAAACTCCACCAACTTTTCGCACGCAGCGAGCTTTCAGTCTGCCTCCAGAAGACACTCAAAAAACCAAGTGAAAGCTCAGCGGTGTTTTCACTCGGAGTGACAAGTCACTACACATTCCGAAAGGCTTAGGGAAAAGAAGTGAGAAATCAGTGATTTCTCACTCTCGCGAAATCCTGACGGCTGGAGACCTTTTCTGGAGTCCGACTCCAGAGTGAGAATTTTTCAAAAGTGAGAAATCAGTGACTTCTCACTACTTTTCTCGAAGGTACTTCGGGGCTCGAAGGTCTTCGGGGCTCGAAGTACCTTCGAGAAAAGTAGTGAGAAATCACTGATTTCTCACTTTTGAAAAATTCTCACTCTGGAAAGAGTGAACGCGACTCCGACTCCGGAGTGAGAATTTTTCACAAGTGAGAAATCACTGATTTCTCACTCCGTTTCTCGAAGGTGTTCGAGAAACAGAGTGAGAAATCAGTGATTTCTCACTTTTCCCAAATGAAAATTTTTCAGAAGTGAGAAGTCAGTGACTTCGCACTTTTTTCAAAATGGAAACTTTTCAGAAGTGAGAAATCAGTGATTTCTCACTTTTCTGATTTCTCACTTTTCCAGAATGAAAATGCTTCAGAAGCGGGAGGTCGCTGACCTCTCACTCCGCTGTTCGAAGCCCTGCGGGAAACGGACCGGAGTGAGAAGTCTTCCAAAATGAAAACTCTTCCGAAGTCAGAAAGCGCGTTCTTCTCGTCCCGTTTCTGGACGGAATGTAGGCCCCTTGTTTCTCAAAAAGAAATAGCCGAGATTGTCAACCATGTTCGTCGGATCTCCGCTCTTGTCTTTATGTATCATTGCTTTTTCGGTACAGAGCCTAAACACTTTACCTTTAGATGTCAGTTAGCACAACATAATGAATTCTGATAGATATTGTATTTCTTCAAAGAGGCTATAGTGTAGTATTTTGTATCTGCTTTCAGTACAATTCTTTCCATTGATCATGTTGCTTCACATGCGCTGCTACCAGCACTCGAAACGGCGTAGGGCAAGGAATTCCAGGGGCTCATCTTGAGTCTGTTCTTCAATACATGTGAGACTTCTGATGGATCTATCAACCAAGCGACGACTAGGAGCGTTGATCCGTAGTTTTACCAACAGATATTCTTTTTTTTCCACAACCATACATGCTAAAAAAAAACGAACCACACACAAGAAGTGATCCATTCAATCTTTGAGAATGAACAGAAAATGATCGTCTGCAACATCTTGACCTTGTGCCACTGAGGCTACTTTCCTTTGGGTTAAAACGAAAGAGCGCTGGTCACACCCAGGAAGCGAGAACTGTATCCTAAGGAAAGTACAAAAATAAGTCCAGCTTCGCTGTCGCACGAAGATCATCTTTTGTAAGTATCTGATCGACGCGGATTTCTTTCGTAGTGTCACACCAACAGTCAAGAGAACAACTTTGCCGTGAAAAGTGGCTTCGGTAATTTGAGTCGAACACGCACCGACAGTATCTCTTCACTGTGCTTTATTGCTTCGCAATTAGGATGCAAAAATGCAGCACTGGCTCCGTATTTCACTGCTCAATTGTCAAAAAATCTCGAACTCGTAATTCTGCGCGTATCATAACATCGGGCCAAAAACGGAACGAATGGTTTTTTCATTTCACCTTATGGATACAACCTTACGTAAAAACGATTTCCGTAACGCGTTTCTCAGTGTCAGCTCCAGCTGCTTTGACCAGCTGCGAAAAGTTGCTTGTCTCGTCGCGAAGCAGATCCTTCGGTGCCCCGAATTCGGCCTTGGAGCCGCGGTCCAGAAAAAGCACCTTCTCGTAGTCCGCAATCGTTTCCAAACGGTGTGCAATGGTCAGCACGCAGCAATCTTTCTGCTTCTTCAGCCAAGTCCGTATCGCGCGCTGCACCAGTGCGTCGGTCTCCAGGTCGCAGCTCGCCGTTGCCTCGTCACAGACTAAAAGCTCTGGCTTCCGCAGCATCACGCGCGCCAAGCAAACCTGCAGAGATAATAAAAGTTACGTCAGCGGACCGTTTTTTCCCCTGAAATCTGAATCAAGAAAGAAAAAGACGCAAGAAAACATTCAACCACAAGCAGTAAGATTTGTAGAAAAATGTTGTTACCAGCTGCCGCTCGCCCAGACTAAGGTTTTTCCCCGATTCTTCAAGATTGGTCACCAAATCGTAGTGTTTCAGAACCTCCTGCTGCTCCTTTTCCCGTTCGTCACCACCGTCTGATCTAGAACGTTGGAACAAGCAAGCCGAGGCCAGCGCATCCTCGCACTCCTGATCGCTGTATTCACCGAAAGGATCCAAATTTGCCCGGACCGTGCCGCTGAACAATACTGGATCTTGAGTGATGATCCCCAGGCGCTTTCGGCTTTCGTTGACCGGCACGACCACGCCCCGGGTCGGGTCCGAGAGCAAGCTCTTCCCGTTCAGAAAAATGCGCCCGTGAATCTCCTCAGCGAGGTTGAAGATCGCGACGGCGATGGAGCTCTTGCCCGCGCCCGTCCGCCCGACCACCGCGCAGCGCTCGCCCGGCGCGATGGTCACCCAAAGTTTGGTCAACACGTAGTTTGGCAGATCCTTGCGGTATTTAAGGTAGAGGTCCTCTATTACCAAACCAGGCTGCGGTTTGTCAAGTCGATCTGGAAGTAGAGCATCCTTCGCTGCAGTTGTTGCATCTTCCAGTTGTTCTGCGGACCGCTGTACTAAAAGCGGCTGTTGACAACTGTCGTCGCCCCCATCTTCGTTGCTCACAGCTGCTTCTTCGAGTGAAGTCTGTGACAACCGAGCGCGCTTCCCGAGGTACACTTGCTGGCTGGTCGGAGGCGCGCCGCTCTTCTGGCCTTTGAAGCCGCGCTCCTCGTGAATCTCTAGCTTCGTCGTTTCCCCGGGCAAGGCCCTGTGGTCGCCCTCCACGTCGCGACTGTTTGCGTTGTCCAGATCGCTGTGCACGCCGTCTTTGGGCACGAAGTGCGGGCCCAACTTCCGCAGATTTTCCACCGACGCAACGCTCGCGTCCGCCTGTACGTAGTACAGGTAGCAGTACAAACACGCCTCCGAGAAGTTCATGCACCACCCGAGCAGCACCCCGGCGATCCCGGCGTCGAGGCGGGAGGAGAACACCAGCACCAAGCACCAGTACAGCAACCCTAGCACTTCGATCCGCACCCCGAGCCAGCGGAGAGCCAAATTCTGCGCGTACGTCACGCGGGATTGCTTGTTCAGCAACAACCGGCAGAGCTGACTGTAGACCTGCTGCCGCTGGAAAACCCGGATCACCGTGACCCCTTGGCACGTTTCGGAGAAGAGCGACAAGAGCGCCGGCAGATTCTCCAACTGTTTCAGTTCCGTCAGGCGACGCCGGGCGGTGGAGAGCAGGATGCACAGCGGGAGGAGAAACGCCGGCAACACGAGCACCAGGTACCACGGCCACAAGAGCCAGGAGGAAAACACCACCGCCGTGATGTTCCAGCTGAAGAACAAGAAAAAGGGAAACAAGGCAACCGGGAGACTGGCGTCGACCTGCTCCACGTCGAAGGAGAAGCGGGTTAGCAAAGCGCCGACGCTCATCGTGTCAAACCAGTGGATTGGGGCGCGGAGCACCGAACGCAACATGTCGTCGAACAGTTTCTCCGAGGCCATGCGGGCGAGCCGCGGGAAGGTTCCGCGGAGCGCAATCTGCAGCGCTTTGTTCAGTCCCATGAACACCCCAAAGAAGATCAGGTACCTCTTCCGATGCAGCAACCGCGTCACGTCGTCGTCCTCCGGGTGAAGCACGTCGGTCTGGCTCCACCAGGACATGCTGAGATCGCTGAACACCGCCAGAATCCGCTCGCCAGTCATCAGGATGCCCCAACCGATCAGGGGCACGAAAAGCCGCAGCGGATACACCGTCGCGGCGGACACCGGGTGCAGCTTCGTCGCGGCGAATTTCGCCTGCCGGCTCATGGCCGCCAGGTAGGTCGCGTACATGGAGAGTTTTCCTGGCACGAGATCTTTCAATTTCGCCAAAACCGCCGCGTCGGGCTCGTCGTGATCGTCGCTCTTTCCGTCTACAACAGAAGTGCTACAGCTGCCTTTCTTTCGCTTTAATGTCGCTGTTCCGCCTTCGACGTCAAACGGCTTGTTGGGGTCCTCTGGGTCTGGGTCGGGGAGCTCGGATATTGGTAGTCGTGCTGGTGAGTCTTGCGGCTGCCGCTTGATCGCAGCGGGCGTCGTGCACATTCCATTGTCGTCTTGGTTATCAAGTGCAAAAATGTCTGGGTCTGAATGAATGAATGAGTGACGCCCCCTGACGCACCTCGTCGATCCGATCGCTTCACTAGTTCTTCTTCTTTCCTGGACTGCCACGAATGCAAAACGCAGCCAGCTTGTCGCGCATACATGTTAACCAGCAAGCGATTTCCCGGTCCGACGGCCCCTCTTACTCCGGTTTTCGACGACACACGCTGTGTCGCCTGTGGGTGAACCAGTACGCCATGCGTACATGGACGAAACCCTGATTGGCCGTTGAGCCACCCCCGCGGCACCTACCGACTCTCCCCGAGCCGGTACACGTGATCAACAAACACCACTAGTGCCTACTGCTCCGTGGGTCTGGAAAAGTGTAAACTTGTCATGCAGATTTTCCATGACCCATAAGGTCTGGAATGCGGGACTTAGCATGACAGACTCTGCGAGGTCTCTCCCATGCCTATCCTGCATGAGAAACTCCCTTCCAACTTGGTCAAAAGTGGACAGCTTTTGGCACTCATGCAACACAGATTGTTGCGTGCTTCAGATGTACCATGACAAGTTGGCACCTTCCAGACCCAGACATTTTTGCACTTCATATTGGTCCGGCGAGTGCAATACACAGGCCTCCAGCTGTCGCATGCTTTTCACCGGGGAAGCGTTCCGCGAGGTCGCTCTGCTCACGGAGGCAGCTACTGCTGGCTCGTCCCGCAGCGCGCCGACGGACGACTTCAAGTTGCGCGTGTACGTGTCGTGCTGATTTTCGATCGTGTTCATGGACGTGCTGGTACCCAGCGGATGGGACTCGGGATCGCGAAGTTGCAGCTGCCGCGTCGCGGGCGGGGTTAAGGAGGCGCCGGAAGTTGTATAGCCCGGACTTTGGTCGTAGTCGCCATACGCGCGTAGCTGCAACTGGTGCTGCAGCTCCTGAATGTTCGCGGCATCCGTGCTGGGCTCCTGCGCGGCGTGGATCAGCAGCGAGCATTCAGAAACCGCGTTCCCGATCGGATGGATCACGCCGCCAACCAGACCCCCCGCAGCCCACATCAGCCCGTCGGTGGCTGGGGCGGTGCGGAGTTCGTAATTGTCGGCGACCTGCTGGTCGATCACCTGGTGCGGTTGCTGTGTGGGTGTGTTCATGTCGGTCCGTGCGTTACTACTCTCAAACGCGTGCTGCTGGTTCTCGTCGTCCACGTACTGGCCCGCGGTAGCGGATCCCTCCACGAGAGCGACGTTCTGTGCCAGTGTATCGCGGAGCAGACAGGCAGTTTCGAGGCGATCCGAGATCAAACACTCGACATCAGCTTCATTTGCAGAAGTATTCGGCACTTGTTGATCTGGAGGCAGCTGACCGAAGCTAAGCGCCGGATCCATCGGTTTAACGATCGGGCTTCCCCGGGGGCCTATCACGACTTCGGGCGATAATACTCGTGGTGAACGTGAGGGTGACCACCCATGACTTGGTTGTCCATCGGTTGTCCGTGTGCGCACAAGTGGCAAGCTCATTTCCGTATCTTCCTCCTCCTCATCCCCCTCAGGAATGGGCGGCGGGTAATTGTGGTGAGGCTCCTGCTCGTTGTTGAGATTGGTATTGTCGTCCAGGTTTGCTCGTAAGTCCGTGCCGAATAGACTATCCAAAGTCTGGGGCAAACCTTGGCGCGGTCGAACCTGTGCCTGGCGGCCAAAGAGAACCGCAGCCAGGGAATGGCTGTTTTCCTCCAAGCGACTCGGAATACCGTCCTGCAACGCGGCTTCTCCGTCCCCCAAAGGACCTCCACCGCACCAGTTATTCTGCGAGCTGGTGCTGCTGACTGTTCTCGCCAATCCGGTGGCGGATGCGGACGCACACGGGACGAGGTGCAGGTCCCGCTTTTGCTCGTCACTTCTGGCAGTGGGCGATTCGAGATGAACTGCGCCCGTTGTCGACGACGTTGCGCTGTGTGTGAAATACGCCGACCCGACTGAAGTTGTCGACATTGTTGGCGCTAGCGCTGTTCGACTCTGCTCCACCTCGGAGAGGACGTCTTCGATTAGACGTGGCGCCGTTTCCTCCCGCGGAACTGCGTGCGGCGAGGAAAAAAAAGCCGACATACTTGCAAGCGAATTGCCCGCTGGCACGAGCTCGAACTGCGGATAGCTGGAGGTTGCGACCAGTTGCTCCTCCGAGTCCAGCGGCGCGCCGCCAACTGTCGTATTCAGTGGGCGCAGGAAAACACCAGGAGTGGAGGACAGGACCGGAATGGAGGCTGCTGCATCTGCCGGCGAATTGTTCAACCCTGTTGCGTTCGCGGAAGACAGCACACCCACGGCCTTGCTCCCTGCAACCGCACTGGAGAAAGTCCGCGTCAGCATCAAATCGTCGGGTACCGCAGTAGTCCCCGCGATCTCGGTGGCAATCGCACCAGCGGGAGGGGAACACAGACAGAGCTCGTCAGCCGCGGCCTGCCAGGTCACCGACCGACTGATGGGGTCGATCGCAGACTCCTCCTCCATCTCCTTCTCCAGCTGCGCGTAGTCTGCATCCTCGACTATTGGAAACAACTGCTTAACGGCAGTATCGACCCGAAACTTCCGCACGCGTGCCCGCACTGGCCGGTCTACGAAGTCCGGAGGGGGATAGCAGGAGGCAGCTGCGGGTGCATGTGCACCCGCCCCGCCGACAGTCGCGGTCCAATAGTCCTTGTTCGCTGTGAAGAGAAACCCTTGCCAGGGCTTCTGGTTGAAGGTCAGCTTGTCGCAAATCTGCACCGCGGTGCGGTTGTCGAGCGCAGCAAAGATGTCGTCGAACAGGAAGAGGTCTGTCTGGTCAAAATCGTACAGAGCCCGTGCGAGCGCCAAGCGCATGCGCTGCCCGCCGCTCAGGTTGCCGCCGCGTTCCCCCACGATGGTCTGGTCGCCGTAGGAAAACTGAAACTGAATGTCAGAATCGAGATGCGACATCTGGATGCACTGCTGATATTTCCCTGCATCAAAATCGCGGTAGAACAGAATGTTTTCCCGAACCGTGCCCGCAAAGATGAACGGTGACTGAGAGACGTAGCTTACCTTTAAGATCTTCTTGGCTGCCGAAGTTCCTGGGGCTGCGGTCGCGTCTAGATCTACAGCACTGGATTCTAGCAAAGACGAAGCCGCTGCCGGTGGCCCAAATCGCATCTCTCCATCGCAGATCCTCGCTTCCCCGAGAATGCTTTTCAGTAAAGTGGACTTCCCACTGCCGACCCGACCCATCAGGACGATTGTGTCACCCTGGCAGAGTTGCAGATTCACCTTCTCGAGCACGGTAGCGGCGTCAGGAGCAGATTCGTGTCCTGCTCCTGGTGGGTTTGCAGGCGAGGGAGCTGCCGTCCCATTACTGTCCCAGCCGACTGACAGGTCTTTCAGATCCAGCAGAACGTCTTCCTGACGTCTACTACTTTTTCGTTGCGACAGGTAACTGGTGGTCGAATCTCCGGCGAAGCAAGACTTGAAAGTCGATGCAGAGACCGAGCAGGTTATGTCCAGCGTTTGTTGCTGCGGCGTTGCATTCGGCTGGGGTCTTGCAACGCTTCCGGGCGGCAGCGCAAGCTGTTGTCCCGCTTGTTTCACCTGTTCCGCGCTTTGACCCAGCAGTGGCCGACGCTGGTCCTCGGTTGCGTCTTCTGAAGTGGACTCACCACTCTTTGTCACGTCAGTGGTTAAAGCGGGATCTTCGTCTTCATCCCCTTGTTTCGTTGTCGTCGTGTCAGGCTCAGGCAAGAACTCCAGTGGCAGTAAATGCGGTTGCATTGGCTTCGTCAAATCTTCGGTTGCTGAGGGCTGGCTGCCCGCTGCTGCAGCTCCAGACATACCTCCACCTCCCGCGCCGGCGAGTATAGACGAGCTTGGCAGATCTTTATTGTCTTCCAATTCGTTCTTGCACTGAAGACCATATGCAGTACTGAAATCCAGTCGCTTTTTGTCATCCCCTCGCCGGAGAAAGTCTTCGATGCGACGAAGGCTATTGAGCAGACTGAACATGCTCCCCGTGACGTTCGCCATGTGCAAGATCGGCAGCGAAATCTTGTAGCAGATGTTGGTGACCAGAAACGCGGTGGCGGTGCTCATCTCTCCCTCCTCGTCGGACAGGGCGAACCAGCGGGGCGCCAGAAGGAAGAAAATCGACACCAGACCAGGCACGGCCGCCAGGAGAATCGTTTTCACCGCGAAAAGAAGCAGTTCCCGGCCGCAGTCCTCCAGCTCCTCCTGCCGCAGACTCTGCACTTTTTGCAAATACGGTTCTTCCCAGGTAAAGAACTTCACAATGCGGATCCCGGACAGCAGTTCGTTGCAAACCAAAATGCGCTTTTCCGACTTCTCCATCCGCTTTTTGCGCGCGTCGTCGCCCAGCCGGGAGACAAACACGTTGATGACACACATGCCGAACAGGAAAACCAGCCCGATCGCCGCGATCCAGAACCCCAGCAACTGGAAGAGAAACAAGCTGGCGCCGAAGACCAGCAGCGGCACACCCCAGAGCTGGTGGAAACCCGGGAGACACTCGAGCCACTGTGCCGCGTCGGTGGTGACCAGCTTCAGCACCTCCCCCGAGTTCACGGTCGGGAGCGAGAGCAGCTTCTCGTAGATGGTCACGACGGTGTAGGCCCGCAGTCGCTGCCCCAGGTTGGACATCAGGTAGGTCGTCAGGTTGGTGGCGATCAAATTCACGAACGTGAAGAACAGCAGCAGCCCCCCGTAGCTCCAGTACACGCCCGCGTGGCAGTGATCCGGCGTCCGCACGAATTTCGGCAAGTAGAAATCGACAAACAGCCGATCGTTCTGCATGCGCTGCGTTCGAAGTGTGGGATCTAGCGGCGCATCTTCGTCGTGCTGGCACATGTCGAGGTACTGGATGATGTGGTAGAAGGAAATCAGAAACCAGAACACGGCGGCAACCGCGAGAAATTGGTACGCCACAGCGAGAAAAAATATCCGCCGGTGCTCGGTACACCCGTTTACGACGAGCCAGAAGCCGAAACTCGGGGTCGCAGTCAGTCCAGCATTTATTGCCGTACTTTCACTTGTCTGCTCCTCTACTGTTGATCGTGAAGCTTGTCGCGGAGAACTGATATTTGAAGTCGCTTTTTTCACACAGGGTCGCTGCAGCACGAGGCCGCTTTTTTGTTCAGGTTGGTCGGCAGGTGCATCTTTGGAGGTTTCGGCTCCAGATGAAAGTAGCACCAATGGTGCGGATTCTTTGTTCTTTTCGTCACCAGGAGTAGCCTCCGCCGCTCGGCCGACCGTCACCGGCGCGTCGGGTAGCGCGTCTTGGTCTGGGAGGGACGGTAAATCGTCGCATTCGATCGCCGGGTCGTCGTCGCTCAAAAACCATGGCCACCAGACGCAGGACCGCTTCGACCGGCCAAACAGGGGGCCGATCCTCGAAAAGGAAAAATCATAGTAGTCCATCGTCGAGATGATAGATCGGGTTCGGTGCGGGGGCGAGATGTTAAGAGAGTTACAACAATAGAAGCATTTTGAGTAAACGAACCTAATACTATCGAAAAACTATTAAATAGCCTGAGATAAAGAATTGAGCTAGCATGCTTAAGGAGCTTGCAATCGGGATTTATTTCCTGGCTTTGGATTCGAAAAAGGAGCGATAAGCAGGAGTTGGCAGTTCTTTGCGGAAATCCTATGCGCATGACAGATTTGCGAAAATGAAGAAGAGAGAAAGAAGAAACGAGCGGAGATTTTCATTTGTATGGAGTTCTTGTGGTCTGCTGGTGGTGAACGTCTTCACTAACGCCTTAAGCACTGGCCTAAACCTTCCTCCCGTTTGCCGACAGGAGGAAGACCGATCATGATTACATCGGCGGAAGCGGGTTACGCTCTGAAATAAAAGGTCGTTGGCAAAAATGGATTTTCACCTTGAGATCAGTTCCATTTCGGAAAAATCTTACACAAACACAGAGGAAGACTGATGTGCACGTGAGAAGTGAGTCCGCTTGATATCAAAATTTGCACGCGAAATTTCTACAGTCAATCGCGCGACCATAGCTTGCAACCTCGCTTCATTGGGGACCACATACATACAAAATTGCGTGCCAAAAATCGCACTGTCATATGCATTCGGGTGACAAAAACCAAAAAACAATGACGTAAAGTGAATTCAGTTCTAACGTTCTATCGGTGCGCGTGCGTAATCAAGTGGATGATCTAAAAACATAAAACAAGCATCGAATGCCGCGTAATAGCTCGTCGTAGAAGATCGTGCACTATCTTCCACGAGATCGTCCACTAATTTTAGCATAAACTTCTACTTTGCCATGATCAGTGATCCGCTCGAGAAGTGTCCAGATGAAGATGCTGATGTATGATCATGGACGTCTCTGAGGCCACGAAGCCGATACCGGTCGCTTTCAAGAAAAGTGACACGGATCTGAAGTGCTGTATGTTGATCACTGTGTACACTTTGTTCGTCCCTTTTTGCACAAAAGCAGTGGGCCCCACAGCCATCGCTCTAAAACCGCAAAGATGCACAGTTCGCTGCAAAGCCAGATCTCCGGTGTCTTCAGTTCCTTACTTTGGGGAACCGCGTGAAGCAGTGCTCGTAAACCATGATCCTGGATCAAGAAAAAATGAACGCACTCAGAGTGGAAGATAAGTTCTTACTTACCACGTTATCCGAATTCTTGAAACGCGTGCAACCTGAAAGTCGCACGCTGGTGTCGAGTGAGTAGACGTTTTTTCCGAACAAGACGCCACTTCAATGCTTCTTCTGTTCAGTCCTTTTTCGGCACGTTCGGTGCGCCCGATGAATTCAGCTCCTTCTAGATCTAGCTGTGCCATACTCGCTCTTGTTTCTCAGCCAGAACACTGTTGTGAAGCAATCGAGCGTGGAATTACAGATGTGAGCTGACCAAAGGCCATCGTTTTCTTGATCCCAAAACGCCGTAGCTGCGGTGTGCGTTCCCGATTCCGCCTTTTCTACGATCACGCACGTGACCACGTACTTGTAGGGCCTCCGGAGATCGTTGAGTCCCCGCAGGGAACTATCCACAATTGTCTCGCACCACTCATTCACTTTCTCCTGGTCATAGACCGAGTCTTGCAGAGTCTCGTGCACAACTCGATTGGTCACTGCGCGAATTTCCTCCAGCTTGCCGGGTGTCGTGTTCTCGGTTTTTGTGGTTTGGCTCGCCTCAGATTTGGTGCTTCTTTCGCTACCTTCCAGTAAATCTTCGGTGGCAGCAGTACCGTGTCGAGCTTTTCTTACTTCGTGTTCTTTCTCAACCTGCAGCTCCGTCGATTCATCGCCTGTCGCAGTATGTGTTTCAGGAACTACTGTTGAAATGGCCTCTGAATCCGTGCAGCCAGTGTCGGACGGCTCTCTCGTCGCGAGTAGTGGAGGCAAGGCGTCTTCCTCAGTGGAGGCAGTCATCTTCAGGAACCCTCCCAGGCGGCGTGTCGGGTGTGCGAAAAACCGACGGTAAAGAGCGGGAGGAACTACTTCCTGACATCAAAGATGTAAATGGTTTCTTGCTTCTTCTCGTTTCTCGATGGTCTCCTGCAGTAACAGGAGATGTCGCAAACGCCATATTTATTCCTACTCGAAAAGGAAAACGCCGCAGAAAGTATAGCAATTCTGAATACAGTACTATGCGCTGCACAACCTCCGTCGACACCTAAGACTTTTGGCAAACGCAATCGCAGGGCTCTACAGTGTTACGCATCGTTTTTTTCATGCAGCGCATCTTGGTGCAAGACAAATGCAAATCGCCGCAATGAGCGGCTAAATTTTGACTCCTGTTGCACTTGCACGTGCATCCATGATTGTGCTTGTCGAGAGGCTACTCGGTCGAGTACTTGTTCTGTCGAGCTTGGATGAACACGACACAGATCAACACAGAACAAGAAAGTGCGCTTAGAATCCTTCGTACTAATGCGCCCGCTGCCAAGAATTTCAGCGTAAGCATCACATCGACGATTGTTTCCGATTCATTGAAAAGCCTCTATCTTCTTTCAACGCCGCTGCTACAAGACGAGCTTGCCGCATTATCTATTCCCGCAACGAAGGGGACAGGATTCGTACCAGTGCCTCGACTGGGCCTCGCGACGTCTCTCACACTCGTTATTTCACGGATCAGCCGTCGCTCAAACTCACCGGTCGGAGGTCCGGGCGATTCGTCGTTGCTGGACACATCAGCGGCTCCGTCCTCCTCGCCGTTGTTCCGCTCTAGCTTGGACTTGTTTTTCTCTGCTTGCAACAACCTCAGGTCGTGCCACAAGGCATGGGTTTTGAGGCCGAGCAACTTTAGCCAACAGCGTCCGCACTGGTGTCGCCCGTGCAGCTTGTAGAGCAGCAGGCCCTCCCGAACCTGCTCCTGAAATAGAAAGGCCGTGTTCCGCTCACTGCTGCAGGCATTGGCGATGTCCTGCTCGAATTGCATGCGGCGGCAGGGAAACCCGCATCGAAAGCACTTGATTTTCGGCTGATTCTGGTTTATCTGCAGGTTCACCACCACGGTCTGCACGGGGAACTGCTCGCTTGTTCCCCAGTGGAGCCCTCTCTCGACGTGAGGCGGAAGGGCCGACAAATCTACGCTTTGCAACATTTCCTGTCGTGTCAAGTCTCCCCGCTTCGCGTGCGCTGCTTGTGCCCTGTATTTTGTGAGTACTTATCCAATAACGCGCTGTAGCTTTTGTGAGCGGACCAAATCGATCCCTTTAGATCTACGAAAAGCTGCGTTATTCGACGATCAAATTGTAATCGATGTTGCTGCCCGATGGAGTAAAAATTTGAAATAGTTAGAATACAGTGCTGCTCTTTCCGCGAGATGTTCCAGGGAAAGTTTGGGCAATGCGGTCGACCTCCGCAGCCCGGCGCAGAGAGTGCTCACGTGCGCTGCCGCCGGTGCCCTTTTCGTGAACGAGAATGCTGTGGAGGCGCCGTCCGCGGAGGACTTATGCGACCCGAGCGCCACCGTGATCTTGAAGGGTACGCCGTCTCCTGGAAAGCGCTCGTCCGGCACCGGCTCGGGTAAAAATACGCCTTTCTGAAACAGCAACGCACGAAACTCGCAGTACAAAAGCTGTCGGTGCAAGCGGTCCTGAAACACCACCCGTTTGCAACTCTCATCCCACAAACGGACGACGAGAAATGAACCTGGGTCCAGGGCGGGCAGGAACCTTGGCAAGAGGACCGTGCTCGAGGTCGTGCTTTTGGTTCCGCGGGCTAGCGCTGGTCTAGCATCCGCCATCAACAGCTGAGGGCTGCCCCGTCCGGAAGAGGTCTCTTTTGCCGCTGTTCCTCCTGCCCCGGACGCAGGATTGGTCGCCGCGGATGCTGCCAGCGGGGGTGCGCGGCTTGCTGTAAGGTTCCTTGACGACGTCGCGCCTTGTTCACCAGCGGGCTTTGTTGTTGAGCTACTTTTGTTCGCAGCAGTGATACAACTTCTCTTGCCTACTTTGCTGCAACCCTCACCCCATCCATTGCTTCGGAACGCCGGCAGGGCTGCGCCCAAGATTGCGTCCCCCAGTTTTGCGTGGTCCAAGAACGAGAAAATGATGTGCAAAACGCCCTTTCCTAGATTCCGCTCGAACGCGAAGGCCGACCAGAGCGTGCCAGCCAGCTTGTTCCTCCGCTTGTTCATGACCCTGCGGAACACCACATCGAAGGCATTCAGCGAAAAGCGGTTCATGCGCCGCCCCACTAATGTGTCGATATTCTGCAGCACCTTCATCTTCTCGGTGGCCGCTTGCAAGCGGAAATCCTCACTTAGAACAGCGTGGCGCGTACCGCAAAGTGAGGGGGACGAGGATAGCGTGGACGAGGTTGAGGAAAAACAATGCGTTGAATTACAGGACCCGTCCGCAGGAAGTTCTTTACTTGTCCCAAGGGCTCCATCCATCGTCTCCTTCCGCTTGGTGAAAATGGAGGTCGAGGTCGTGACAGTGTTTCGTATCCCCTCCTGGTCCTGCCTTTGTTCACCGTTCTGGTTTAGGCTTTGCTGTTTTTCATTGACATTGTGCCTGCTGTTAACACTCGACGACGAACCAGATCCACCGGTTGCAGATGAAACGGGCATTTTTATTAAGGGGGCAATGCTAGAAGGTTAGTGCTGGTGATCCTGCGCGTCTTCCAATTGATTCCCGCATCGATATGTTGGTGGCACCAATGGCGTATAACTTCTGACTCAGCAACCCATTGCGACGGAGGCGGGGTTGGAAGACTGTTCGACTGCTTATCATAGACTAAGGGATACAAGCCGCAAACCATCTACTATTTTCATGTACCTGCTTACTTTTTTCTGTCCTCTGCACTGCGATATTAAGTATAAATTGACGCGTCTTGTCTTTCCTTCTTTTTCAACGCTTTGTTCTTGTACTGGCAGCGCCTGATGCTTATTCACGGATAAGAGAGACGACGACAATTACCTTCATGTTGCGAGCCTGTCCCCGGCCTTTCTTTGCCCTCGAAGTCATAAACGCCATCCTGACCTGGGCAAAAAGATACTCTTGCAACACAGCAAAAACAAACTAACACGATTCGCAAAATCGAGACGAGTGACAGAACCTACTTGCCGACGACTCGAACAATCAAGCCCACATGAATTAAATAAGGTCCGCCTTCCGATCCAAACCTTTTCCCGGAGCATTATTTTTTGATTTTGTGCAATTAGAATGCAGAGCGGGAAATCCCCCGATCTCACTCGCATTCGCAATGAATTCTGCCTCGTACAATGTACCGAACCCAAGGTTGCGGCAATGTCAATACGTGCGCTAGGCGCTAAAGTCTGTGTGGGTGTCACGGGTGCAGCAGTGCAGTGCACGAATTCGTTGCAATTGCATATACCAAAACTCTTCTAATTTCACTAGGGTTTCCAAGTCGTCAATTGCATGCACCAGCGGCTGCAAACGACTTGCGTAGGCTCCTCCAAGATTGACAGCCTGTTGTTGACTACCCCAAGTCTGGAGCCGAAAATCTCAATGTGGAGTTCCGCCTCATGACAAGTCACATGCTTAGCCTGAGTTCGAATTCATACAGTATACTCTACTACTACAAGGATCTGGATGTTAAAAAAGTGACTTCTCCAAGATGGCTCTTGGAGTGCTTCAAGATGGCCCTCGGGTAAAAAAGTGAGTTCATAAATAGGTCTCCCCATGAATACAGAAAAAAAACCTCCTGCTCCATCATATCGGAGGTCTACGGGCAGTTCGTCCCTTGTGGCATCAGGCCTTACTAAAACCAATAAATTATTCATTCATTCACTACCCTCGTGACTCGATGCACTTCTGATGGCACATGTGGAAACACGATTGGCACCTCGTCGCACTTCTGGTGGTGCGTGCAGGCACATCGCTGCGGTGACCCAGTGGTCAGCAGCTTATGTTTAGTGTATTTATGCTCCCCGACGGTGGAAGCAGCCACCATAAATTACTTAGAAAATACAGTAGAGAGTATAACACGATGAGCTTAGACAAAAACTAAACGTGAACTTTACGAAGTGCAACGTACGAGATGTGACGAGAGACGTCCTAGGACAGTGAAGCAGGGACGGCTACTGCCACACGGGGTCCCGCAGAGACCGAGTACAGGGTACCTGACCGTGGTACATCAAAGGCCTGGAGGTCTAAGCGGGTGCTCGCACAGATCGAGTCCAGGTCAACGAGTAGTACACCGTGGGTGCATGCTCACTACTACTCGAGGCCTCGATCTGTCGACAGCCCCAGCAACACATGGGCGCGGCAAAAAACGCACGACTGTCTACATACCGTGATGGTATGTACACTGTCGTCGCCAGCAACTGGCGATAAAAAACCTACCGACGATGGTACGAAACTACGAGCACGAGCACAGACGTACGAACCGATTTTGTTTTTCGTTTACGAAGTCATACCGATTTTTTACGTGGCGATGCAATACCGAAAGGGATTTTTTACGAAGTGCCATCGTGTACCGATGGGAAACAAGAAAGCTGCTGTTGCGTGGACGTATGAATCCTCGGATGCTGCTTGTAGACGAACGAGTTACCAAAACCACTACAGACTGGACGAGACTTTTTACTTTTAAACTTTCATTTTACGTACCACTGGCACAGAATTTCATTTCTACTTGTTTATGAAATATATTTCTTTTCACTCTTTAGTGCACCTGTGATTTGTGTTTTATTAGTATTTCTCCGCTTCTTACCTCTGAAACGGGGAACGACCACATAGAACAATCCATCCCATAGTTTTAAGTTTTGTCACAAAGTAGAAATAAATTTATAAATTTTCTAGAAATCTAGCTACTAGACCGCGAATCGAGAAACGGGGTCTAACCGTAAAACGAAAAAAGGAAGTTTGATGAAATTGATCTAGTACGCCAAGCGCCGGGTACTAGCTCTAGAAAAGAACAGAGACTTAAATCCTAAAAAAAATGTATACCTAGAAGAGGCTACAGCGAGGCCGGTGGATCTGTGAAAAAGTTGTAGGTCGCAAGTGTAAGGAGACGCCTATGCGTGAATAAGGAAATGAAGATAGGGAGTAGGAAAATCCTGGAGGAGGCTGGGGAGCAGGATAATCCTTGTTGGGTAGAGAAGAGTAAAGGGAAGGGGAACTAGGAGGAGTGGAGAATGGCAAAGAAGGCAACAAAACCTAGGGGGCCCGAACATACCCTAGGAGGCCCCAGCACAGCTCCTAGCTAAGCCGGTTCGTTGTAATCCATCGTCGTGTTTGTTTCTTCATAATCCAAGACCTTAGTGTACAGTTTGTCGTTGATGTTGTTGCGGTTTAATCTGCATTTACTGGCTCATTAACTCGTTTTCGTTATCCTTGTTTTTCGTCTGCTTCTCCGTACTTGGTAGTTGTACTATTATCGTGTTATCGTCGAGCAACTGCACCGAAGAAACTGGTTGAAGTCCAGAAGCTGCACCGACAACTGGCTGCGCTGCGGACTGGCTGTAAAAAAGCTTGATGCGTGACGTGGTGATGCCGAAAATGTTCTTTGGAGAAAAAGATGTTCTCGAGTCAGTATGATAGAAAGATGAACATGATGGACTCGATGCAGCGTGTGAGAACGTAGAACAGCAAGTGTAGGTTTTGTCGATGATGAACTGATGCGTTGGGGAAACATGCACTGCATTAAAGTGCACCCCTTGCCATAAGCGAATATTCCGACAAAGTGGGCGGCGCGGACCAAGACAGTCGTCTGATTTGGACCGGGTGGTAGTTGAGAATGTTGTTGGGATGCAGAGTTGTCGTAATCCCGGAATCCGCTGGGGCACTTGCGTTGGGGTTGAGCATGGTTGCATCCGGTGCGACATGCAGGATGTCCATGGCCGAGGTGTTCAGGCGACGGCGTTGTGCCGGTGGTTCCGAACTCAGTTCGTCTGAACCCCACCCAAACATCCCACCACTTATCCTGCTCCATCATACATTTTTGGTTCGCGTGTGGTTGCTCTGCAGGTGCTCCTTACTCATTGTCAAATTTATTCATTAAGTTTAATTGATTGCATCATACAGGTGGACTCGGACCTTGTCGGGAGGGCGTCTAGGGCAATAAAGCAGTTGCAAATATACTGAGAGCAAACAAAACGGCGCGGAATTCGCTAGTAGCCGTCAGCTTCTGCGTGAAACATCGAAGAAAAATTTTACACCTGGTCGAAAATCCTGCACTTAGTCACAAATCTTTTGTTTGTAATAGTTCGCAAATTATCTCTCCAGAGCCTCTGCGCTGAACACTAAATTAGCTGCTGCCCCCGTCTTGCGGATTCCCATGCTGCTGCTCGTTGAAGCGCTCTTTTGCAGCGGTCCTGCTCGTGATGTGCTCTTCTCCTCTCAAATGCGGTTCCTTCCTCGGCACAAAATCACCATGATGAGCCCCCTTTTCTGCGATTTGCCGGTATTGGTCCTCGCGAGTGATCCGGTTCCCGTTCTGATCTTGTCGAAAACACGGCTTCGGTCTTTTGTCCTTGTCGAGACAAACCTTACCCCGGTATGTCGCCCAGCAATGATCAAGCTTCTCATCATCTAGCACGTATGTGCCTGTCTCTGCGTCCTTGAAATAGCACGCAATGCACTCGTTCTCTTCCACCGGCGGAAAACCCCTCAATACGTACTGCTTCGTCGGTGCCAGTTGTGTCAATGCTTCCCTGCTCCCGATTTCGTGGAGATGTACCGTTTCTTGCTCGAGGCCTCTGAGGTTTTGTCTCGACTTCAACGGCGTCGCTTTCGAGTTACTGGCTCCTTTCAGAATGCTCGTCGGCTTCACGTTCATCTCTACCCCGGTGATCCAAGTGCAATGCTTACTTACGATGTGTAGGAAGTCTTCATCGGAATCGGACTCCGACCCGTCGGTTTCATTGCTGCGCGAAGCTATCACAGCCCCGTGGCGCGGCATCGCACCGTGTGGTTTCTTGCGTCCCAACTTCTTCGGGTGCGGACCGAAATTCACATATGCAGCATCTCGGCGAACAGGGGCAGGCTCTGCCGTCACCACGACTGGAGTTGTTTCTTCGCGCCGGCGCGGCATAAATTGCGTCGAACCTGCTTCCTTGTAGCGAACGTCAATGGTTGCGCCTTCAATCTGGGAAGTTTGCAACGCAAAAGCGAGCAGCAGGCTAAGCCTAACGCATGAGAAAAGACCATAATAATTTCTCGCAGTTGCAGGCGAAGGAGAGGCCATCATGTGAGAGACAGGGGAAATGAAGTACACAAAGCCCACACTATAAATGCTTCAAAAACTGATCTCCGCAATTCTATACGGGAAAAGCCGCCAAAAAAGCAAAACACTCGCACAAAAGTTAAGTGGCTTAAACTAAAGTAGTTGAATATTGTGTGTCTTCCAGAAATTTGTGAGCGTCGGGCAGTCGCTTTTCCTTGTTCGCAAGGAAGTAGCTAAAAGCTTAGGGTTTTAATAGACGTCAATAATCTGGCAGCGATAGAGACAACTCCTCCGCAACAGAACCAGGGACCCGAGTCAATAGCAAAACGGTGCACAAAATGACTAGGATTAGCTACGTAAACTGTGGCGATAGGTCTTTTTTTGAAGAGGTTGCGCAATCCTTATTATTTGAGGACACCATCGCCATCGCCAACCGAGAAGATGATGAACTTGAGCAAGTTATGGATTTTTGGTGAATGCTGAACTCCAGCTTCTACTTTCGGTCAAATAATGGATCTGAGTCACATGATCTTCTTGTCCCAAATCATTTGCTTCTTAATTTGGTTTCGGCTATCGGATCTGAATGTGACATTTTGTGCCACAGTAGCAAAGACAAAACCGATTGTAGTGCGCGACTCGCGCTGGCACTGAGTTGGATCTGCGGACGTGTGCGGGTCTGTTCGATCTGCATTTCACATCAAAGCCCGAGCCTGCGAAAATCTGCGACCTGCGCACACTCGCGATGTTATCATCGCACTGCTCTGATTGAAATCCGCATAACCACGAACAGGAGCAGACACAATCAAAACCGAGAATGCGGCCAATTTTCAATAGACCACACTGTCTGACTCACACAAGTACCACCCGCAAAAAACCGAACCGGTGGAGACCTCCAGTGACAGAACTCCGATCGACCATGTGTGCATCTAATGAAGCGACCTTCATCTATCTTTTCTCGAATTCACGGAACAACAAATATCATCGTATCATCTAAGTATGTCCATGCCTCGAACACATCAACGAACAGCCACAGCACAGCGTTTCCGCCGTCCAATCGAAGTCACTCTGCATTTCCACTGCGGGTTCAATTCCTTCTCAGTCTCGGTACGTTGCTTTCATTTTTGTCTTTCAGTTTTCAGTCAAACTCAGACTGTCGTGCTGAATGACGCAAATTGATAAAACACACTAGACCGGGCAAGTTTCGTCGAGACACAACTCCGGATATAATTTGTTTCCGACATTCATTGTCGTGCTCAGACATAAACTCCCTGAGAACTTTTTGAGGTGGGCGAATTGCTAAAGGATTTCTGGGGGAAGATTATAACCGCTCTTTTATAGTTTGCTTGTACGCAATTCTGACCTCCAGATTCAAAAAACCATTGGCTTGCGATTGTAGTTCTAGTTGTGGATGCGATTACAATTTTCATGAGGGGGTTCCTCTACTTCAATCTCAATCATACACGGATGCAAAACGAAAACTCACACGACTTCATCCTACTGCTCGCTAAAGTATTCAAAAAGTTCAAATACTTGCATCTCCCACGCAGTTCCTATACCATTACCACCCGCTCAACGACAAATTACTTATGAACAAACTTTGTACAACAGTAGTGCTTTTGACTGAGCTCCCGAGAAAAGATAGAATCATGATCGCGAAACGGGACAGTCAATGACAGTGTGGTGGTGGTTTCTGCCGCAATGAAGATGCCCATAAATTTCTGCCAGGAAAACAAAACTTAAACTTATGCCCTCATTCGCATACATATATCCCTTGACGCGCGTCCACCTGCGTGGTCTACGATGCTTTTCTAGTGGTCATCGCCCTCCTCGTCGTCCGCATCGTAGCCGCTTTCTTCGTTCCGAAACACGACCGCGGCGTCTTCATCATCGATAATATTTTTCCCGCACTGTTTCGCTGGTTGTCGTGCGTGAAGACTATCGATTTTACTTTTCCGGCAGTGTTCGCTCCTCACCATCAAGTGTTGCGGGAAGGGTAACAAAAGCGGGTGGCCAGGTTGACAATGAATAACGCGTATTACGCACTGCTCCCCATTTTCATTTTTCGATGAATAAAATACACCTCGCCCCCAAGAACCCTTGGCTTTTCGGCGTCTTCGTCCGCACTTAGTCTTAGAATGCTTCGATTTGTTCCGCTTCGGCACCTCCTGTTCCTCTTCCTCCTGGTCCGCATCATCGCCTCCTTTGAACTCGTTCCAAGCATCCGCAAGACGCTTGCCGGCCACCGGCTCCCCGGCGGCATCGATCCCGAAGGAAAACTTTGGCTCACCGTCCGGCGTGTCGAAGGTGAACGTGCAACCCTCGTACCCCGGTGGAGGTACAGCCCAGCGGTGCTTTCCGCCAACCTTTGTTGCTCCTTTGGTGGCCCGCAGCCACTCCTCCTCGCTTTCGACTCCCAGTGCGGCCCAGCCCTCCTTCGTCGTCGGAAGCTCATGGAATTGTTCTACCACGGGCTCGCGCCAGCTCCCCGACTTTGACTTTCGCTCTTTCGCAGCCCCAACCGCATCCTCGTCGTCTTCACAGACTGGTTCAAAATGGTCAAAACAATCGTCACTCCACGCAGTTTGGGTGCTGGCATCGGCGCTGCCTTTGCCTTTCTTCAAAATCCCGCGCGGTGGCGGACTCCACTCTACGTGTTTGCCTTCGTCAGTACTAACTTTCCCCTGCACGGGCGCTGCAAGCCCCGCAGAAAGGGGGTTCGTCAACGCACCTCCCGCGATTGGCTGGCTTTCGAGGAGACGAAGTCCCCACGAGAGCTCTGCAAGCAGAGCAGGAAGCAAGACTAACCCGGCCCGCATTCTTTTGACGATGTACTTATTTATTTCTAGTGGCCTACGCGATCATCAAAGTGGCAAGATCTGCAGCTTTTGTACCGTTCAAATTTGTTCAAAGCAGTGGCGATGCCGTCTCCATATGATATCAGATAGCTAGTCTATGGTAGAGATACTTTTTTCTTCAAGTTTGTAGATCAACTCAGTTACTTATACTACTTCTTAGAATTACTTCAATACTGTCGTCGACCTCGACGTCGCAGATACTGATATGCCACGCCTGGTCCTGTAAGTGTAGAAGCAAATGATTTTCATGTTCATCAAAACATGCGCATTTTTGTCTCTGTCTCACTTTCGCGGCTTTTTGGTGATCGATATTCTTTCCTGGTGATTTTGGTGATCCTTTGATTTGTCATCAAGAGCCTGGACGTAGCTTTTTCCATTTGAAAAAGAACCGAGCTGTCTATGCTTGCATGATCCATGCATCGTAAATTTCATGCATCGATTTCATCATTTGACACGAGATCTGTGATCTTTTCTTGACGAGCTTCACCTAGATATAGATTCATTCATCTTCATTGCGAACAGCCACAATACTTAGTCGAGTGGCCGATGGCAATGACTCGAGTGAACTATCACGATGAAGGTGGTGGACAAGATGGAATCAAGTCCTGAGGCGATTTCTCTGTGGCATCATCTGGGCAAAGACAGTTCGGATATACAACACATGAGCTGTACTACAAGTGGTGGTAATCGTTTGCCAACCAACATCGCGTCGACGCTGTCGTCTCGAGAAATCAGTCGCCACGCTGCTCAGAACGAACTGGAACAAGATGCATACGCGACCATTACCTCATCTTTAAATTACAATCTGCGTGCGCCCTTTCTTTACACACAACAAAGCTTGGCAAAGAGTAAGTAGTCAATATTTTAGCTTTGCTTCTCTGAGTCTAACGCACTGATCCTTGCATCGCCATTGCGTTTACGAATTCGAATGAAATCATACATTACAAGTTGACTGCAACTTGGTTCATTTGTCGAAGGTGCATTCGTGCCTCGCAAACAACACGAATCTTCTAAAAAAAGCTGGGGCAGGATCCCTTTCGTTGTATCGAAATCGACCGCCAGCATGTGTTGGTCAATGCACTGCGCAAGTGGTTTTGTCAAGAGTCGCTGGAGAAAGATGAACTCCATCTACCGCCTTGTCCCTCCAGTAAGTGAGGTCGACAGTACGGCTCTCCCGAAGACACCTACCTACTGTGGATGGGCAGATGCAGATATTTCGTTTTTTTCCGGCGTCTGCCTCGCTTTTAGTTCCGCCAGGATCTCCAACCTTTTTGTTCTCGCCTGCTGGGCTCGCCGAACGAGCTCGGCTCGTTTCTCTTCGGTCATTTGCTCATGCTTGTCCATCACGGGAAGGCGCTGACTGGCGCGGTAGGCGTTCCAAGCGGCGTCCAAGGTCGGATAGAAGACCGCATCCCCCGTGTGCTCGGCTCCGCTGCGGACGTAGACGAGAGAGCAGCTTGTACCTTCGGCTCCAGCAGTTTCACTCCTGCCATCAGCAGCAGCATCTTGATTAACTATTACTCTTTCATCGCTCGTTTTCTTCTGTAGTACGACGGCCTCGAACCCGGGCGGTGGCACGGCCCACCTCTCATGCATAGCATGGTGCCGCCATTTTTCGGGAATACCGCTTGGCTCCTGGGCCTTTGAGACCTCCAGGCTGTACTGGCACTCTTCGTTCAAGTGCTGATCCGAAGCGAACCACACCCGCAGCTTGGCCCGAGACTTCAAGGCAACCGGTGAACTACCAGTCGACACGGGACCACTCTCGTCAGCTTTCGATGGAACTTGTTCTTCTGGTGGTCGTGCGATAGTGACGTTATTTCTCGTGTGGTCTGCGCTTCGTGTTCGTGCATCTCTGCTTTCTATTTCTGGGAGCGTTTCTTGGCTGCAACGGCGCACCGCGTCGTCAAGGGCCAGCATTTGCTCGGGACGGCTTGCGCCGACAATGTTGTCGTCGCCAGGAGGCTCCGGGGTTATCTCCGGGGGACGCTGAAAGTCGTTGTACCCTCGTCTCTTAAACATTTGTGTGCTTGATGCAGGAGCACCCGATTTCTCGTGATCGGAGGTTGGCTCACCACCTATCACTCTTCCTGGAGTCCCTGTCGCAGAGCGCACAGGCGTAGCACGATCAGTCACTGGAATCTCCTCGCGGTCGAGAGAAGATGGACGGGTCGCAGCAGTGGCGCTCATCCGGTCAACATTTCCTTCTACCGGAGGTACAGTTTTTAATTCTGGGATAGGGAGAGGTTGTGCAAAATTTCTATCTGTGGTAATAGCGCAGTCCCGTATCTCCTCGGGGCTGCTCCTACGATGATCCTCGTCATTGTTTTGTGTGCGGCTCCGTGCAACCAACTGCTCTAGCTCGAGTTCGTTCTGCCCGAGTCCCAGAGACTCGTAAAACAGCTCGTGGTCTCTATCATATTCATCGTCAACACCTTCCTCGCGCTCCCCCGGCTCCCGGTCGTAGCTGCCCCGCCGCTCGCTACTGGCTAGACCGCGTAGCATTCTGTCGATCTCCGCATTGGTACGACGCCGCGGTGTGCTGCTCGTTGTGGTAGTCGTCGTCGACGCGAGATTCGTGGCGATAGGTAGCGCTGAAGACGCTAATACAGGTGTTGGCGGCGGGGCAGAAAAAGCGCCGAAAAAATGCGGCTCAGTGAGCTGCAACAGCAGGAGTGCAGAAAATGCCATCGCTGCTCTCAACACACTGCGAAGTTGCTGCGTCATACTAAGCCGCGTGGTCACCATCACGGTAAGTAGTGTCACGTGTCGTTAGTGCAGCGAACCGAAAGCGAACTCGATATTAAAGCACGCCTGCTACTTTTACTTCCGTGTCAACCGCGCCGCAACACAGTAAACTAGACAACACGAAGTTTTACGATCTGAAACGATCGTGTGCTGTTGTACCCGGCTGTGCAACACAAAGTCTACGACTCTACTACCTAAAACTGAAGTCCTACTGCCCTACATAAGCAAGGGGAAGACCAAATGACAAAAACGAAAACCATGCGACCTGCAGAAAGCATAGTGATAGATCGATATTGTTGAGATGGCACAAACGTACAAGCTGAAAGAGTGCAGATGTCGGTCAAATGTCGAGGTCTCTTGTCTACTTCTTAAAGTGCAAAAAGACTGACTGGCACGATCATCGCGCTCTACTATTAACTTCCGGTTTGATTTAATAAGCGATCGCATTCCAGTTTCCAACAGATCGGGAATGAGGAAGAGAACAACAGCACAGGCAATACAACCACAAATTCTCACATCTTGTGGCGCAGTCGCACACCACACCTGCCTCGAAGCATTTATATCGTGTTTTCCGTACTTAATGCTTCCGAATGGGTTCTTTGTTCGTGCTCCGGTTGATATAATTGGATTGTCAACTTTGACATGTCGCGGTTGCGTGCGACTGAGAAGCAATTTTTCATCTCTCATCTTCCCTAGGAGCACATCATGTAAAGTTTGCAGTCGTCTTGCTGTAACGCGATCGGGACATTTTTGATGAACCTGACGTCGCGCATTTGCCCGACCACGTTCTCGATCCGCAGAATCCAGTACCGGTCTGACCAGCGCCAGGCTGCGACCAGCTCCTGGAGACTTACTTCAAACACATCGCGCTGTTTCTTCGGCGTGGCTTTCACTTCCACGAGAATGTAGGCCGCCGCTGCTCTTTGCGCGGGCGCAGATCCAGTTCCCGGCCCGGCGGCGTTAATCAGGAAGAGTTCCTGCAGTCGCTTGTCGTTGATTTCGAATTTTTTCGTGGCCCCGCCCGCTGCGGGCAAGACCAGTTCCGAAAAGTATCGTTGCACGTCGGACAACCGATCCTCGGAGGCGAAATCGGCTTGATCGGCTTTGCGAATGATGAAGTCAAACGGCAGACCGGCCTCATCAAATTCGTTCAGCCACAAGACCGCGTAGCCCATCTTCATGAGCACGGTCTTAGCCTGCTGCTCCCCGAGTTCACCGATCAGGTTCTGCACTTCCGGATCGACATTCTGAGGGTTTTGCTGTATTTTCTTTTCCAACTGCTTCCTTTTCCCTTCTTCCTGCGGGTTGGCCTGCTCTTGTCGCACCTCCGCGTTCTGCGGGTGCCGCTCCCCGGGCACCTTTTTCTGGTGCTTGATGCGGAACATCAGGTCCTTGTCCTTTTTCGTCAGCAGCTTCTGGAAGTCCTGCCCCGTCAGGTCGACAGGGCGGTCCTGGTTGGTGGTTGTACCGCCATCATTTGCCAAACTCATGCTGTCCGCAGCATTTCGATCACCTTCTTGTCCCGTTTGCTCCGACTTATTTTTGGCAAGCTGTCCCTCTGGACCTGCAGAGCCTCCGCTATGCTGGAACGAGGGCGAGCCGCCGTGATCGTGGTCCCCCGGACCGCGCAGGTCCTCTTGCTTCATCACTCGCTGCGATGCCTGGGCGGGGAAGGGTGCATTCTGCGCGCCGGTCTGGCCCATGGCTTGGTTTCGCCTCGACTGGATAAAATGCTGCTGGGCCGCGTAAGCGTCTTCCGCGATTCGAGACAGCGCCCCCTCCGTTTTCTGCATTTTCCTTGGCGGACCTTTGACTACGGCATCAGCATCCTCCTCGCTGCCGAGCAGCTTCAGCTGACGCAGGGCCTCCTCTTCCTGCTTCTTGGCCTCCAAAATTTCGGTGAAGTCCACTCCTGCCCGCGTGTCCGGCTCATCCAGAGACGAGAGCCGAGGCCGCTTCGCCTCGTTTTCCGTCACAACTGCATCGAAGCGAACCGAGGAAGAAGCCCCTGCTGTAGTCCCTGGAGCACCCAGTTGCAGCTGCGAAAAGCTCTCGAATCCTTCGCTCCGCTTCGCTCGGTTTTGCTGCCGCGCCTGCTCCCGGGCCGCCTTCTGTTCCGCGTCGAGTCTTGCACGGTGCGCGAGTTCGTGCTCGTAGGCATCGTAAATAAGGCGCTGGAAGAAGTTCTTGTCGCGCTCGGTTTCATTCTTTTGTTGTTCTTGTTCATTTTCCTCTCCGATTTTATTGCTTTGAAATGCAGATACCGTCGTACTTTCTCGACCGAAAAAGCTCGCGAGCTCGTCTGGCAAGGCGGCATCCTCAGCCATGCCCTCGTCCTCGTGCTGCGCAGCACCTTCTTCCTCCGCACCGTTCTGTCCGTCCACTTGCCTCATCGCCGCAGCGAGGGAGTGCTGCACATCGTAGCATTTGTCGTCCTTTCCGTACACTGACGACCGCACGCAGGTATCGATGCGCTCCTCCATCAGACGCACTTCCTGTTGGACACCTTCCAGAACCCACGAGGGGATCAGTACCTCCTTCGCGTACGCCTCTGGGTGTCGCAGCATCTTTTCCGTCGGCTCTGAAATACCGCTCGCAGGGACGTTTTTCAACAACTCCGGAACCAGGACGGCTGCGACGGGTTCAAAGCACCGCGTACAGAAATAGTGCCAGAAGTTTTCCAGTGTTTCGCCGCTGATCGTCTTTCCATCGCGGCCGAACTCGTTCGCGACCAGCTGGAGCTGCGTCTGGAGGATTTTCGAAGCGAAAACTTGCGACTTTTCCAGCAGGAGCGACTCCGGAGACCATTGCGCACTAGTCGCGGCACCACCTCGTCTTCGGTTCTGAGCCACGGCCCTGCGGTTCCCGCGAAATGGCAAGGCGCACTCCACGGAAGCCGTGGCAGTGACGCCAACGAAGGGCTCGAGGTCAAACGCGGTGCTGGGAGGAAGTGTTGCGGTATCGGTGTAATTATCGACGTCGTAAAGAGACACTAAGCCGTTGCTATCCGTAGTGCGAATGATCTCTTGCAATCTCGTAAACGAATCCGCGGCTGCAACGTGGTTCGCGCCCGACAGCGGGGCGCAGAGAAACGATTTGCTCGTCTCTGCTGCATCTGCAAGCAGACCGCCAGCCCCAACAGCCGGAAGACAAATGCAACGCTGTTTAGAGATTTTCTTCGCCCCCGTTGCGGAAGCAGTACCTGCACTGCTGTAGTTGTATTGTTCCTCGCCTGTAATCATGTCATTCTCCTTTTTCCCGCCAGAAGACTGCTGCAAGACGTAAACTTCCAAATCCTGTAACTTTTCCCACAGCGCCTTCGCGATTTTCCGCAATTTCCCCTTTGCGTCGTGGTTCAAAGATCGAAGCGCGGCATTATACGAAAACTTTGCCAATCCGTGGTCAAAAAGGTCCAAGCTCAGCTGCAAAACGCGCAAAAACACACTCTTCAAGTAAAGCGCGTCACAGTTCGCCAACAGAACAGTGGCAGCCTTTGCCGCAAGCTTCTCTCGCTCCGGCTCCTCGAGCACGGAAAAGTCGGCGTGAAACAGCCGTCTTCTGGTGGTGCGCAAGTCAAACACGACGGCCTGTAGCGACACTGGTCGGCCTGACTGCTGCGTTCCCACCGCTTCAATCGTGCTCAACATGGCTGCCTCTGCTGCGCTCTGGTCATCTGCTACACGACCACTCTCGTTACTTTGTTTTTTTGCTGCGTCAAAGGTGGCAAGCAACGGTGCCGGAATCTGCCTTCCATCCCATCGGTACAGCAGGTCGCCCGCGGTGGCAAGACGTTCGAACTCGATTTGGAAAAGCGGCACGTGCAGCAGCCGCCAGGCGCTAAAAATCAGATCACGCATCTTGTTGTGGTCCGCAATGGCCAGCACGTACGGCTCCACGAGATCGTAACGAAAGTTAAACTTTTTGTGGGGACGACTCTTGTCTGCCTCCTTTCCCCCGGCCCAGTACGGCGCGGCGGGAAGGAACAGCCCGCTGGGGGATGTTGACGTCGTCCCCTCAAGTGGACTACTATCACTCTTGCCACCAGGTAACACCAAACTCTTCCAGCTCCCCGTCATAGTTGGTGCGATTTTGACTTTTTTCTCCACCACATTTTCCACAAAGGCCTTCAGAACCTCGGACGCGTTGTGAATGATCTCCAGAACCTCGGGCGTCAACTCTTGCGGCTTCTCCGAGAGCAGGGCATCGAGCGCGCGGCGCAAGTCTACAGTGCTTGTTGCATTTTTACCTGTACTATTCGCTAGCGCTGACATGCCGTGGTCATCATCTTGGTCCATCTCTCCGTCGACCCTATTTTCATCAACAAGCGCCTGAATTTCAATGCGCACGCATATGCGCAAATGCTCGACGACGCGCTCGACGACTTCTACCGCGTCCTCCGTTTCCAGTACGACTCGTGAGATTTGATCCGGGAAAGATATCTTAGCTTGGGACGAGTGCCCTGCAGTACTGGACGCAGGATCGTCTGGAGGCGCATCACCAAGTGCTGTTGTAGCCTCATTGTCCAGCAACACTGCATCTTCCTCGTGCGTCATCTCGTGCGCGACGCCGTGCAGGACCTTGAAGAAATCCGGCCACTGCGGAGCGTCCACAACGCCCCAGTCGGCGAGCATGTGGTGGAGCCGATTCTGTTCGTCCGACGCCAGGAACCTCTCCTTTTTCGGCTTTGGCAGCACACTCTTCGGGCCCCAATAGTAGTTGCCCACGCACCGCTTGCGCATGTACTTCCTCGCGACGTCGCAAGCCGAATCAGACACATACGAGTTGTACGAATCCAGCAGTCGTGCCTCGTCGTAAAAGCAGAGCTGGTCGAGCGCGTAAAACTTTCCCGGCATTTTCTTCCCCACGCCCCGGTCGTCAAACGAAAACCGAATCTGGTTCAGCAATCGCGGGTGGTTCGGGACCCACACCCAGGAGTGGGTGGCAAGGAACGAGCTGACGAAAGAACTGTCTGGCGAAGCACTTATTTGCGCTGTAGTGTCTTTAATATTTTCGTTTTGTTCCTGCTCGTCGCCCTTTTTGATCTTTTCCCTCGCGACACAGTGCGCCAGGTGGGAATACAGGTTCGTGCAGTCTCGGATAGAAAGGCGGACCTCGGCTCCCGGCCCGGCCTTGTTCAAATCCTGGATGATCCGCACCAAGTGCTCGGCCGACGGGTTTTCCAGCAGAAACAGGGTCGGCCAAAGTTGATGCAGCAATTTCACGGCTGGGTGCAGAATGTACGGTCGTTCCAGCGCATTGGTGTTGTCGGCGAGGATCGAGGCGCGGTGCTTCTCGTCGAAAAGCTGCTGCTTCTTCGGTAAAGGCTTCAAGGTCGTACTTGTCGCAGCCTTCTTCGACGCGGTTGCAGCGTTCGCACTCGTGGTTGTAGCCGCAGCAACCACTGCGGGCTGTCGCGCCGGAGTCGCGTGCGGGGCGAAGGGAACGCTGAGCCAGCTCTCTTCGGAGGACCGCAACGTGTCCCCAGTCACGTTCAGAAGCCACTTCGCCTTTCGCAGCTGCTCGTGGAATCTACTAAACCTCGTCTCATCCGCATAATACGAACTTATTTTGGAAGCAGGAGCTTCTTGCTGTTTTGTGGAACTGGTTCGCGTCTGCAAAAAAACATGGTGCGATCTACTAGACCCCGAATTCACGAAGTACGTTTCCATGACGGAGAGCCACGTGTTCTCGAAGATTTTTCCTTTCGGAACACCACTGCTGGTGATGGAGGTTACCTTCTTGCTTTCAGCTTCGGCCCCCGTCGCGCCAGCCGGGTTTTCCGCTAGCTTTTCGAGGCAGTTCACGATTTCGGCGAATTCCGAGCTCTTTCCGGTATCATCTGCGTCAACTGCGAGTGATGGCCACACACCCAGCTCGACCCAGAACGACCGCCAGGAAGCCGTCGCTTCGTCGACCTCAAGCAGGTCCCCCTGCTCGGCCTCGTGATCCACGTACACTTCCGGGCACCACCGCCACCAAGAGGAAGAGTTGAATGAAGTGCGCAGTGCGGGAAGAAGAGGGACCGCGTGAACCACCTTGGGATCATTGTGCTCTTCGTGCGTATTATCTGCTGTGGAAGCAGCTACACACTGTGCACTCTTCAAACGAATGATTTCCACGGTCTCTCCTTTTTTGTCGTCCTGCGCGAAGAGCCACGGTGAGCCTTTTCGGAGCTTCTCCACAAGATCCGCACGCTTCGCCGCTGGCATGGCACGGGGCCTCGAGGAAGCAGTTATCTTCGAGGAAGTTTTCGTACTTGAGGTTGTCGCTTTTCCTGCATCGGTAGCGGGGGAGGTTTTTGAACCATGAGCCTTAGTAGAATCGGAAGTACTTGCGCTCGCCGCGGTCCCCTCAATCAAAAGTTTCTTCAAATACAGGGTGCAGGCCAGAAGTTTCTCCTTGTCGGGCGCTCCGCCGTCGGGACTGTTGTCCAACAAAACTGGCAGCACGTGCTGCTCGCAAAAGTGCTGTGAATCTAGCTTCTGCACGCCGAGGCGCTGCAGCAAAACGCCCAAACGCGGCTCCTGGTTCACGAATTCGCGAAATTCCGTGTCTAACACGCGCACTTTTTCCAGAGAAACTAAAAACTCGGCGTCGTAAATGGACCGCCCGCTCTGCTGCTCCTCCTGAATGGATACGTACTGTATAGGGGAGCTCCGCGGGTCCGTGTGCATGATTTCGTCCTGCAGTCGTTTCACCGGGATAATTTTCAACGTTTTCAGTTTTTGGATGTCCGGCTTGTCCTCAAAGGCGATTAGTAACAGCAAGGCGCGGTGGAGGAGCAAAGTGTTATTCCTCTCGCTTGCGTTCGTCGTGTGGAACAAGATGTCCTCCGTGCTATTGTGAATGTTCAGCTGCTCGAGACACTGCAGGGCCACGGCACCGTCAAGGGACTTCAGATTGACCGCCTGTGCGAGTGGTTCGGGAACCTCACAGGCAAGATAGAAGAGGTTGCACGCATTCACCAGCGGCTCCACGAACTGCATAATCCGCGACTCCTCGTTGTCCATCACACCTCCAAACCCCCCGTCGTTCCGCAACAATCCGCCGAACGCTTGACGCGCCCCGGCGGCGATTGTCGGCGGCAACCGCGCCCGAAGCACTTGGTGTGGCGCTGCAAACAAGCGTGTGGAGGCACTAGTACTTGAGGGTGATTTTCCGGCTTTGCGGACAAACAGGAAGGGCACGCTCTCCAGCGCGGCAAGGACCGCGCGCGGAGTGCGCTGGAAGAACTCCAAACCCTCGTTCGGCAGCGGGATAACCTGATAGAGCTGGGACAGCATCAGATGGAGCACCTGCTTCCTCTTTCGCAAGTGGGTGTCGAAGTTTGCAGACTTTCCTTCTGCTGGAATCTGCAGAGTCCTGGTACCCGCAGCAGGACTGATGTCTTCATCGTCCCACGGACTTTGCAAGGCCAAAAACGCCGCTTCGTCCTTACTGGGGTTCACTGCGAGCTCGTAGTAGTTCTTCCCCACAATCTCGATGTATTTCCGCACTGCCTTAGCAAAGGCCGCCGGCACGTGGTCTCGCAAAAACTGGTTGAATGCGTCGGTCGAGGTCAGAGCCTCGCGACTGGTCGCGACTGCGAAGTCCGCCTGGATCACGAAGCGGAAGCCGTAGCTCCGCGTTGGCAGCCAGGCGAAGACGTGCTGCTGCTCCGTAATCAAGGCGTTCTTCTGCAAGTCGTGATATTTGCTCGAGTCCGGTTCGGCGCCACTTGAAGATCCTCCCTTGTTCAACGGGCTGGAAATGAATCCGCCGATGATAGCATCGTGATCTGGAACGGTTGAGTCGACGGCTTCCAAACTTTGCAGCTTTTGCAAGTAGCTGTTCACATCCGGAACCGGAATGGCAATCTTCAGTTCAGAATCCGCGTTGCCGCGATCGGTCGGCGAGACCAAGGATTCCGTGTACACAAACCACGTTTCCCGGTCCGCAGCGGGGGAAGAGTAGAGAACATTATCCTTCATCGCAGAAGAAGTGCCAGAAGTAGTAGAAAGGGTTTCCAACGCTAAGATGCTCGAGCTTGCATCGTCAAACAAGATGTTCTTCTGCATCTTGATTTTGAAGTACCCCTCGTGAGCGAGCACCAACCGCTGCAGCTTGCGCAGAAACAGAAGTAGTCTGGGCTGCAGATCTTCGGTCAACCTGCCCACGAGCTGCACCGAGGAGAGCGAGTTCAGCAGCGGCAAAACGGTCCGCGTCCCGCGATTTTTAAAACTTGATAGAGCTGCAGTTGCAGATCCCGATGTGCTCGCCGAAGACAGCGACAGGCTTGTCACGTCTGGTGACAGGTTTTGCGCCGGTCGCGCGAGCGGGAAGGGGACCAAATACCCCAGGCCGTTCAGCGCATCGCAGTCGAAGTGAAAGGAGAACGCGCCGGAGTGGATGATCGGGGTCTTTGTCACTTTGAACACGGACTTGAACCCCACACCCTTGTGCCCAATGAACTTTTTGTTCGTCTTCGTGGATTGTGCAATGTCGCACAACGCGCGGACGTCTTTAGCCTGAAACCCCTCCTCGCAGTGCTCCGCGATCAACAGCGCCTTCGCCTTGTTCTTTCCCGGAACTTTGTGCAGCGGGAAAGTGGTCCACTTGTTTTCCTGCTTCTGCTGGTCGATGTCCGCTACGGTGATGCACAAAGCAGGCACCACCTCGTCGGAAAAGGAGCAATCATCGGCGTTCTGCAGCAGTTCCAGGACGAAGTGAGATTCCCCGGAGTACAGATCCGCGGCCAGCCGACTCACCGCGCCCTGCAGCGTCTTCTGCAGACTGCGAATCCGCTCGTCCTGCGGCTCGCGAAGCCAGTGTCTCGAGACCGGATCGACGTCCTGCAGGGGGACCCCTTTGACCCGCGCGATCTCCGTGCACAGCGTCTCGTTGGAAAGATTACTCGGCGGGGCTTGTTCGCTTCCTGGTGTTCGCTCGTCGGTCTTTCCGGCTTGTTCCGGCAGCTCTGTCGGTTTGGCCGTTTTCGACGTTTCTGCTTGTTCTTTCGCCGCCTGTGCTGCGAGAAGTTGCTCCTCTTTTGAAAGCGCAGGCGCTGCTATCGCACTACCTTGTACTTCCGCAAGTTTCCGCTTCTTCGAAGGTGGGCCGTCGTCAGTCGTTGCAGAGACTAGTCTATGCTTGACCAGAAAACCCTCCCGAGCACGGCTATCTACAAAGGATTTTGAAAAGTCTTCCTTTGGCAGTGTCCACTCGGTAATCCCGAATTTCTTTCCGAGTTCCAACACCAAAACCCGATCGTTCGGCGACCCCGCAGTTTCCGCGAGCAGCAGCGTTCTGGGCCGCCGCAGCTTCACGTAGGGACGCAGAAACACGTCCGCCACGGCTGCCGCATCCAATTCGGAAGACACTGCAAGCAGCTCGTACGGAATCAAGTTCGCAAACCGCAATGCAACAGATTCCGGATTGGAAAACTTCGACGAGACAGACGCTATACTCGCATAGTATTCTGCAACTTCCTTTTCGTACACGCCAAACATCTCGACGGTGCTACTCGATCCACCAGCTGTGATGTTGTCAGAGGCATAGTGGCTTTCTATGTTTTCGCGCACGAACCTGCGCACCACGACAGCGACGGCGCTGCGCAGGTTGTCATCCTCGAAGAGAGATCGCCGCAGCTCGTCACTACCCGTCGCCGTACGGTAGTCGCCGATTTTGAAGTAGACGCCCGCTTTGACCTCGAGAAATTCGGTCTGAAACTTCTTCAAGTCTTCGCTTTGCAGAGTGGCGCAAAATTCCGCGATTGACCCCACGAATGGCGCAAAAACCTCGCTCCAATCCGGATTCGCAGCGGCCACATCCATCATGAGAGGAGTGTTCCAGAGCCGGGTAAGGGCGTCGGTCCTCATTTTTTTCAGTGCTGTCGCGTCTTGCTTCTCCGAGGTTTGGCTGTCAGAATTTCGTCCCGTAAGCATCATGGCTAGCCGTGGAACCGCGTCGGTCGATGCAGCAAACCGCGCTTCTTCCAGCCTAGCAACGTCGACTGCACGCCCCGAGAGATCCGGCATGCACTTCTTCAGCAGCAAATCTAGTCCATTACTCGAGGTTGAACTCGCATTTGAAGTTCCAGAGCCCCCAAAGTAGTGCCGCTGCATCGCAGCCCGAAGCCGGCCCTCCACTCTTTCCTTCGACGGTTCCGGCATTTTTTCTTCCTGCGCGGCGAGCAAGAGACCGATGTTCTTCCACCACTTCAGGTCGTTATTGGAAAAGTTATTTTCCGCAGTCTTTGCGGCTTTTCCTGCACCGCCCTCTTTGCTCTTCCCATTTGTGATACCTCGGACGTCGCAGAGCTGATTCGGGCCAGCAATGAGGCAATTTTTCTCCACGAGCAAATCCGCAAGTTTGTAGCCGTACTGCTCTGCCAGCAGAGCCACGACGGAATGCGCCTTCACGGCCTCGTGGCCGTACTGATCTTGCAGCAGCGACTCGCAGTCAGAGACCCACTCCAGGAATTCTGAAAGCCCGAACGTCGACTCGGTTGCTGCACCGTGTAGTTCCAATTCTTCGCCTATTGCCGCATTAACACCGGACTCCACTTTCGCTTTCGCGACTGCCACGACGCAGCTATCCACGCGCTCCGTGAGCAGCTGTATCAAGTGGTCCGCGAAGGCCGTTTCGGATACGGCGGTCACGCCCTTCGCACCAGGCGGTCCAGTTTTGCTCTGGCTGGAAGTAGATGTAACTCCTGCGTTGAGGCCAGAAGAAGAAGATTTTACGAGCAGTCCGGACGCTTTTGACGTTGCGGTCGGGACGCTTTTCCTCTGCTCTTGCTTCGTAGCAAGTACTGCATTCGAACCACTCCCGCCGATCGCAAGCATAGTACCAGCGCTGCCATTGACTCCACCAGTGCTTTGTTGCTCCAGCAATTTCTCACTCAAGATCTCCCGCAACGTTTTCGCCTCGTGTTGCTCCCCAGCAACGTCGCCACTGTGATCGGAAAGCACGATAACCGGCCCCGCGTGGACCAGGTACTCCAGTACAGAAACCGGCGCTTCGGAGTTCGCGGAACAACGAAGGAATTCCAGATACGCTTGCTCCGCCTCCGCCAGAATTTCGAGCAAGTCCGCATTTTGCTTCGGGAATTTGTCCAACGAGGCCAAAACTCGGCGCTTCAGCTCGTTGTTCAGGTACAGCTTCCGCAGGTTGTCCGCTTTCTGCACCGAGCTCTTGTTCCACACCTCGCTACTTTGTTTCTTCATCTTCGCCGCCGCCTTTGTCAGAGGAATGATGTTCGCCAAGGTCATGAACAACAGCGGAGACACCGAGTGCTTCACGAACCGGTCGACCAAAGTGTCCAGGTCCTGCTCCTTTTGCGCCAACACGATTTGCACCTTGTTCACGAGCTCCGCTACTTGGTCGGTTCCGGCTTTCGCCGACTTCTCGAAGTTTGCCAACACACTGTGCATGGACTTGAACGAGCGGCGAAAATCCAAACCCAGGTCCCGGGCGCAGAGCGCCTCGCAGAACTCCAAACGCAGTCCGTAGGTCTGGCACTTCTCGAACGCGCGGAACACGTGCTCCCACCGCATCACGTGGGACACGTGCACCTGCTCCTCCTTCACGCGGTCGTGCAACTGCTTCACGTTCGTGCTCAGCATCAACTGGTTCTCCTTCCCGGCGTGGTTGAAGTTCGACCGCTGCAGTTTCGCCAGCTTCCACGGCCGCGTGTTGATGGCTTCTATGACCTGCTCAAACGTTACAATCTCAAACGTTACAATAGAATCTGAGATTTGTCTTGCATGATCAACATGACAGACTCGGACAGCGTTCCACTTTTTGCAATGCAAATTTCGCCAGATTGTAGTGCGGATTGGAACTCCAGAACTTGTCATGCGCAATCCTGTGGGAGTAGGGTAGATCATGTTCATGCACTTCTTGCAACACAAATTCCAGATTCTATTGTAACGCTTGAGATTGTAACACCTGAGCGGGTTATAGCTTCCTCCAACACTTTCTGTTCGCGGTCGAACTTCTTCTTCATCTTCCGCATGATAGTCCGCACCAGCCCCTGGCGCTGCACGAAGACGCCCAGGTCCAAGTAGTTCGCCTTTTTGTAGATCTGCGCCACCTTCTTCAGCCCCGTCTCGATGGTCCAGTCGGTGTCCCCCTGGTGCTCGTCCCAGTTCTCCGCCGGGATCGTGGCGATCAGGTACCCCATCAGCCGCTCGGTGGAGAGTTCCGGGAACTTCACCACGGGCTGCAGGGACGCGTCGGTCTCCTTTTTGATTTTCGACGCAGAGCTGTTGTTGATCGTCGGGAGGAGATTCAGTTGGAAGTTCCGCCGCACCAACGGGTGGTATTCAAGTCGACCCAGGGCGTTCAGCGACTCCTGCGACTTGATCACGGGGTTGCGTTCAATCATGATCCGCAAGTCGTGCAGCGTCATCAACGCCATGCAGGAAAACGCCACTTGGCAGGTCGTGTCCACGACGAAGGAGACCTGGATCAGTCCCTTGAGCAGCGCGCCCACCTGGGGCAGGTTCAAAATCTGCGAGGGGTGCATCTGCTGCGCCCAGGCCAGGTTGTCCAGCTGTCCCTGGATGTGCGCGATGGTGAGGAACCCGTGGGTCTTGATGAACCGCTCGAAAACGGAGGTCACCGTTTGTTTCATCTGCTGAAAGTCGGCCTCGCTCAATCTCTGATTCTTCCCCTGCCCCTTGCGATTGTTCGTGTTGGCCCAGGGGTCGATGTTGCGGGAGATCGCGTACGCGACGCGCGCCTCCTCGCGCTTGTACTCTTCCACGTAGGACATGTTGTAGTAGGCCAGCACCTTGGCAAAACTGTGCTCAATCAGGTTTGGGATGCAGTAGATGTCCAAATGACCGTCGTCGTCGTCCAGGTCCAGTTCCGCTGCGTGCGTGATCTCCATGGTGTTCTCCGCGTTCAGAAACGTCCGCGCTTCGGCGAGGGAGTGCTTCCTGGGTGCCTTGACTTGCAGCTCCAGTTGCTGATTGTTCTGTGCCGCGCCGCCCGTGGTGGTCCCAGGACTTGCTCCTGGTTCTCCGTCCGCTTGCATCGCCTCGGCGGTGAAGTCGACCTGGGTCTGGTCCAACCGCTCACTCATCTCCGCTCGCACCTGGCTCCCGTCTTGTCCGAAGCCCTCAAAGGCGAAACCCTGGTCGCCGTCGCCCTTATTTCCAGATTTTTTCTTCGGGTTCACGAGGCCCACATTGACGCTCTTCACCTTCGTGTTCGACTCCGACGCGAAAACGTTGTAAACGTCATTTCGGACGGCGCGGTGCTGATTGCGGAACACCTGCGTGGCCTCAGCCTGGCTACCAACAACAGCAGGGATGCGGGCTGCCTCATTGTCTTTTTCCTGAACAACCTGTAGATCATAGTGACAGTCTTGCTAGAAGGGCATGGATGAAACTACATGGCCTTTTGATGTGGCATCTTGTCGTACAAGAGGTCGAGCATGTTGCGCCGAACTCCCACTTGAACAAAAGAGAAACAAAGTGCTGCCGTCGATCATCACTCTACTTATTTGATTCAAAAAAACATCTTCTTGAACAAAAACCACAACGGTGGTGTAGGGATCAAATGCCATACCTGTGTTCCCCCGGGCAGTGTTTGTACTTTTCCCCCGGTCTTGGCTCCTATCAAACCCCCCAGATGCTGCCTGAGCTTGTCCTTATTCGCGGTCGCAGCTGCACCAGGCAGCGGCACGAGCTTACTCCCCGTAGCCTGTCCTGCGGTGTGGCTTTTTCCCGTTACCGCGTTCCGCAGTTCCGTCGTCCACATCCGACCGTTGCCGGGGACAAACACATTTCTGTCCCGGGCCTCAAACCGACGGTGAAGTTCCTGCAGCTTCGAGGCCCGCGACTGTTTGCGGCCGTACCAAATCACCATGAAGCGGTTCACGTCCCGCTGTCCAAAGGATTCGTGCTGGATCAGCTCGCGGTACTCGCGGTGCTGGGCGACGATGTGGATATCCTTGCGCTGCTGGTTGCTCAGCGACGCGGGGAACTCGTATGTCGGGGACGCATCCCCGAGGGCGACCATCTCGGCAAGCAGGTGCCAAACATAGTCTGCGAGCTGATCACTCGTGTACGTGTGCAAGGGGTCCTCAATCACCTTGTACAACGGATCGTCATCCACCTCGTTTTCGGCTCGGAGGTTGTTTAGCTCCTCCGCCTCGTCCTCCTCGTCCTCGTCAAACCCGTAGGCACTGGGCTGGCCCCCGTACCCCCCGTCGTCGTGGTCTTCCGCAAGAGAAACGTGCGGTGCGGCGTTCTTCTGCCCATAAGTCTGCTCGTCACGCTGCGGCTGTTCCTCTCGTGGGGACGAAGCTGAAAAGTGGTTGAGAAGAGTGAAGTGATATTGAAACAATGCAATCATAGCATTTTATTTTCCATGCTGGGTACGGTGAGAGGGCACAGGTACTCAAAACACGCTACATTTTTACATCTCTATCTTGGTGTAATGTTGTAACCTTAGAGCATAAGTTATGCTCTAAATCCATAGCAACTACTATCTAAATCATGATCCGCCATACCATAATTTGGCTCTTCGTCATCGTCGAGCACGATGACGTCGTCATTCTGGAAGGGATTGTTTGTCGCAGCACCGCGCCCGCTGCGCTCACTTCTGGACGAGTGTGCTGACTGCTCGAATTGGTCGTTCTGAAACGGGTTGTTTTGTTGAAAAGGGTTGTTGCCGCTCGAAGAGGAACCACCCCCTCCGGTATTTTGATCGTAGTTCTGACCCCCCCGTCGCTGATTAAACGAGGACGACCCGGACGAACCTCCTGCACCCTGCTGCCCTCCGCCACTGAAAAGGTTGTATGCAGCGGCCTTGCCCGCGTGTCCTTGCTGATTCTGGTGGTGACCACCTTTCGCATTCTGCCGTCCCCGGTTGTTGTGCCGCGAGTTGTTGGCATGCTGCGTCACGCGTTTCGGCATTGGCAGATTAGACGATGACATGTTCGCAAATTATGGTCGGTGCGTGCGTTCGGATGAAGTGCGAGCGAAATTTAGGACATCGTGTGACCGGATTGTTTCGCAATTTAGTGGGAGGAAGTGAAGAGCAAAACTAGCTGCCTCTAACCAAAGACAGCAAAAAACTCTTCGTATAGATACAAGCGAGTCAACACTGCGATGAAATTGGTGTATATGCGCCCATGTTATGTATGGAGGCAAAAAGAGTACATTCATACATACAACTAGCTAAAAAAGCGACTGCTTATCACGGCGAATACGAATACTTACAAGAAAGACAGACTGATTTATTACTTTGACGTTTACTCCTGGGCGGGTTGTTGCACAATGAATCTGATGGTAGGGAGGTCGGTGTAACGCGAATGGGGATATCTGTATCTGTAAGGAAATGTGAGGCTGTAAGCATTACTTAGTAACAATCTTCGTTTTGAGATCCTGTTATTAACACAAGCACTCCGGACTGACCTCTGACCTGTCTTTTCACGAACCGCGCTCCTAATTTTCTGAACCGAGCGACAATGCATATTTTCGGTAGTGGACCTTGGTGACCCAGCTTCGCCCCTGGGATAAGAAACACGACAACCAGGCTGACCAACAGAACCCGAATAGAGATAGACTGTGAGTCGCTTGAGCGATCTGGTAAGTAGATCTTGCGTAAAGACAGACAACAGAGGAACTTCTGGACACGAAAATCACGAGCACAGAGACACAGAAAGATTGATTGACAACACAACGATACCATGTCAATATCTGCGACTTCATTGCGACAGAGAAGATCGATTCCGATTTATTCTTCCCGAAGACCGGACCAGGACCAGTGGATACACACAATTTCAAACGCGAATCAAAATGAATGTTCTCTTGCTGTGACCGACAAAATAAATCTTTGTACGGTTACGGACAGAGTTCGGCGAACACTGAGAATCAGGGAGGTAGAAGGGTGGACGCGGGTCACACCACTGAAAGTGAAAAAACTGCTTTTATAGGAAAACTCTTTGTCCGGGATGTTCTCGTCTCGATCAGTGGCGTAAAAGTTTGTTCGACACATCACTGCCAGAAGAACGGCGGCCGTTGGTACTGACATACGTTTCTCAACAGCGGAGGTTGTTCGCGGCGTTCATGCAACAGGCTGCGAACTGTTTTGTTCGATCGTTCCTAGCTACACGGAAGAAAAAAGTAGGGACGTCCTTGTGTAAAGTGCGTTCTCCTTTAGTTGCCTTTCCTCTCTCGCTACGCCACGGTGGCCATTTGAGTACTTACTTACTACGCTAGTGATGTTGTTTATCATAGAACTCCGGACAATAGATACGCTGGGGAAAGTCGGGAAATCAAGATTTTTGAGTATGTTCAACCTAGTAGCATTCTTGGAGTGAAAGTCGAAGTCGCGAAACGCGCTTCCACTTGACTGCTTGGGCGTAACCGGGATACGGTAATTGTGGGGGACACAGCAGGGGCGTGAATAGGCCGAAAAACTTCCCAGTCTCGGTATTCCTACAGTGTGTGGGTGGGAGTGCGCGGACGATATCTCTTAATTCTAATTTCAATTCGGGTGAAGAGAAATTCCAAAGCTATGTGTTCTCTCGCGTCTGGGGTCGCGTAGGTGAGGGTGTTTACTTACTGTTCTTTTGTAAGAAGATTGCGGGTAGTGCTTAAACTCGTAGAATCAAAATTTGGAAATGTATGTTATGCCAATGCCAAAAACACGACGAAAAAAAACGTAAAGATTTGAAACCAGTAACAGAATATTAATGTTGTTGAAAAATAAGTAAAATGCCCGGTGAAGGACACCCAAAGAATTCCACAAGTTGAAAATGATTCTGCTGCCTTGATTGCGTGAGTCATTCGATTCGCGGCCAAAATGACGAATAAAGTTTTATTCGTAGCCGGCAATGTGCGTGGTTGACATCAGCTGCTGCTGCTGGTCGGACACCCGCGGCTGCTGTCCCGTGTAGCGCGAAGCCGGGCGTTGCAACCCGCTTTGCTGCTGGGCCAAGAGCGCTTGCTGCGAGGCCCGCGTGGTTCGGCTGCCCTGCTGTTGGGCGAGAGGCGGTTGTTGCGAGGCCCGCATGGCTCGGCTCTCCTGCTGTTGGGCCAGCAGCGCTTGTTGCGAGGGTCGCATGACTTGGCTCTGCTGTTGCTGCTGCTGTTGCTGCACTTGGCTCGCTCCCCCCGCAGCCTGACTTTGCACGCGGGACTGCTGCGTAGTTGCGGGCCGGGCTGCAGTGGCCGTACCGATCGCACGGCCTGGGCTGGGACGCGGGCTGCGGCTCCGCGACCGCCCCGCGCGGTTGGACGCAGCGGCAGTGCGACAGAGGTTGATTCCGTACAACATCACAGCGATGATCAAAGTCAGAAGGATAAAGACGCCAGTTCCCTGACAGCAAAATTTGCAAAACTCAGCGTTAGCACCGGTCCCCGCCGCAGCGTACGTCGGTTTGTAGGGACTGGGCGTCGTCGTGGGCACAACACCCTGCTTGTTTTCCGTGTGATTTTTTGCCGCGCCGACCGGAGTCGCACTCTTTCCCGCGCCTTTTCCCCCATGTTGGACGTCGCCACCGCCGGATCCCGCACCATTTCCCGCGCCTTTCCCGGAGGATGAATCGGTACTGTTTTTGCCGGCGCCAACACTCGCCGAATCGCCCTGGTTCCCCGGGACGGCGTTCGCAGCGGCTGCCGCCGCAGCCTCGTCCGCCTGCTCCTGCAGAGTCTCCCCAGTGAGCGGAGTTTCCTCGGGCGGTTTCTTCGATTGTCCCGAAATGAAGTCGGAGACGGGGAGCTGGTTAGCAGGAGCAGGAGCAGGAGCAGCGGTCGCAGTTGGAGCTGCCGAGCTAACCACGGATTCCGTGGTGCGCTGGGTTGGATCGACATTCCTTCCCAACGTGGGCAGCTCGTCGCCCATGGCTCCTTCCAAGCGTGTCTCACCATCCTCATCTTCGTCGTCGGCGGGCTCTTCTACTTCCAGCGGTGATTCGGCGTCGGCGGCGTCTACGCTTGATATTGGCGCTTCATCGCCGGTACTGCCTGACGATGCGGTACCGTCGTCAGTGTAGAGATCGGGTGTGCTTCCCGACGACGCCTCTGCGCTCTCATCGGTTTGATCGCCGCTCGCACCTGCTCCCGAGGGGAGCAATGGTCCGCTGCTCGCGCTCGACTTCCCTCCACTCCCCGCGGAGGGCCCTGCGTCGGTCGGGGGACCACCCTCGGCTGATGTGCCTTTACCCTCTCCCTTCGCGGAGGTGTCGCCAGCCTCTGCCGCAGCGTCCTGAGATCCGCCATGACCGCCCGTCCCCTCGTGCCCCGAGGCCCCGGCGGGTTGCCGGCCGGTCGTCAAGAACGTGCCGGACAAGTGCCGAGCGTGGCCCTTCCCGTTTTCAAGATCTCCGTGCCCCTCGATGAACCGATCCAGCAACGCTTTCTGCCGCAAGTGCCCTCTTTTTTCAGCAGAGAGCGTTGCCACCGAGGCGCCACTGAGGAGAGTGCTGCGAAAAAGTCGCATTTGTCTTCTCGGGTAAGTAGGTGGACGCGGTTAGAACAAAAAGATAAATTTTCTTGCGCAGAGTAAGTTGTGATTTTCGAGGTGAAATAAGTCTCCAGTGGTACACATTTAATCTGAAAAGCCTCCTTGTCAAACGCTTGCGACAAAAAGAAAAGTCAAAGAAGTGCGTCTTGGAAAACGTGAGTGCATGACCTGTTTTTACTCAGTACATTTGATCGAGCACGGAAATCTTCACATTCTAGACCTTCGATTGCTGAGCAGCCTAATAGACGAAACATCGCTTTCCAGGTGAGTCCTCGTCCGCAAAAGAGGCATGTCCAACACTTGTTTTGAACGACACGAAACACCAGAAAAACGAAAAAGCAGTGGGATGCTTTTTCTTGCACGACGAACTGCGCACGAAACTTCTTGCAGTGCTTACCTGATACAGGACGAATACGAAAGACCTGGGTGCAGAGACAGTACGAGACGACACCCAAACACGTTTCGCCACTTTCTGCCCGATGTCTTCCAATTTTCATGAGCAGAAGGAAATTTCAAAACAACTAGATTGAACACGAAATCACTGTTGTACAGGTACAGCGAAACAACCCGCGCCCACCTCAGCCATGACAGTTCGGGGGCGGAGCCGCTGCGAGGATCTTGTGGACGTAGTTTCTGCAAGAGGAGTGATGGGTCAACTTGGTTGTCACAGGGATACTTCGGGTGATTCTGAAAGCATGCAATATCTGGTGTGGGATTGGGTCTGGGATGCAGACACAGTTGTTAAGAAGCAGTGCATCTTCCGGGTAAGAAGTGCATTTGATTTGCTTTACTCGATTCTGGGGTACGAGAATCGTATGTATAAGCAGGAACCGAGTGGCAGAAAAAAATTCAATTTGAGTACACGGGGAAGTAGCCATGCGGGGAGTGGTTTTCTACGTATGCTCTTACTGTTCAGAAAATGTAGATGTTTCTGGGGCACTACATCTTCAGGAGGTGGTGGTAGTGCCGAGTGGCGCTAGTGTACAGATCGTGCGTCTGTGCGGTCCGAGGGGCTTCGGCTCGCGGTGCTGAATATTTCTAATGTAAAAATTTTGTAAGCAAATCGTACAATGAAAAAAATCTCAACTGGTAAAGAAAAATGAATGTCTAAACAAAAAAAAAGCTGAAATTGGAATCGCAGAATCAAAGTATAAAAAAAGTAGAAGGTATGATATGCAAAATGTTTTCAATCAACGGAAAAAAATCATGTGGAAATAGGAATGGCACAACTACTAGTTACAACCACAGATTTGCTTTGTAAGTAGAGTGGTCGAGAGACAGAGGCAGAGCATGCATTTGTTCGATAATGCAGCTGCACCGTGCGATTACTACGGAAAGACCCCACCCGGTCCGCGCCCGGTCGTTTCCTGCCGCGGCGCCAGGTACGTGCTCTGCGGCTGCTGCATGTTGTCGTCCCCATCGAACTGAACCCCGGGCGGTCCCACCTGGTAAATAGCCACTTCGTCATCGTACATCATCATGGTCGGAGGTGGTCCTCCCGGCCCCGTGAAGCCTCTTCCGCGCGCCGTACCGTAGCTGTCCTGCCCCCGGCCTGCGCCTGTCCGGCTCGGCTTCGGCGCTCCGAGTGCGCCCATCACGCCGAAAATCAGCCCAACGCACAGGCCCATCACGACGATCCACACAAACCAGCAGAAACAGCAGAACCCGCTGCAGCATCCGGCGGCACTGTTGTTGTTTCCGCACGTACAGGGGTCGTTTTTGGTGGTATGATCGACCCCGCCCTGCGCACCGCAGCACCCTCCGCCACCGCCACCATAATTGTCCCGCCCGCGCAGATGCTTTTCGTGCTCGATCATTCTCATTTCCGACTCGTGGACGCTCTCCCGAATGCGGTTTCCCGCTTGCGCCGCCAGATACCCGCCTCCCAACCGGACCAGATCCGTCGCAACGTCGCCGGCCGCCTGTTTAAAGCCGCCCTTCGCTTCTGATTCTTGTTCCCCTTGATGCCGGGAAATCACTTTCTCCCCGGTTGCAGCTGCCCCGCCTGCCGCCGCGATGCCGTCCCCTTGGCGGCCAGCACCCGCACCGGGAGTGGGCGGATTTGCACCCGCACCCGGGCGAGGCGTGTTGGCGGATCCTCCGTGCGGGGTGCGCTTCTCCTCCTCTGCAGCCGCTTCACTTTCCAATACGGAGATCAAATGGCTCGCGCTGTTCGCGGGGGTCAGCACGAAAGGCGCGCTCGAGTCCACGAAAACGTCGTTGCCGCCGACTTTGTAGGACTGCGCCACGCCGCCGTTTTTGTTGCCTTCGCCCCAGGCAAGATCCAACTTCCGGCAGTTCAAGTGCCCAATGCCAACGCCCGTGGACTGCGTCGCCATGACCGCGTACGCTGCGCCAACATCGTACGCCATCTCCCCGTCACTACGCCACTGCTTGAGCAGCGCCGGGTTTGACAACGTTTCCCACTGCTGCAGTCTCTGTTCCTCCGTCACCGCATTCCTGTCGTAGTGGTCCGTCTTCTGGCAGTTTTCCCCCAAGGTCGGCAGTTGCATCCTGTGTTTTTTACATTAAATGTCAATATCGTTAGTGCGCGACGATGGACCGGCATCGGCAACTACCAAAGCAACAGCTAGAATAAAAGCAAAAGAACCATCCTCAGTATGTCTCTCATACACCGAGAACCAAGATCCAAAAAAATGTCTGTACAGTTTGTCCTTGAATGGCTCTTCCGGGGGCGGCAACAAGGATGGCTGCGTCGCCAGCATTCGCATAGATGGCCACAGCGGACCGAGGCTCTGCGGCATCACAACGGCGTCACGGAGCGGATGCCCTACTTCGTGCAGGCAAGTGCGGCCCGCGCCGGGAGTCTGCTGGCCTTGGGACTCTTTCATCTTCACCAGCCGCCCGATGTGCTCCTCCATCCCAGACTCGTCGTTGGCTGTTTTTTTTGGAAAAGATTATAGTAAAGGTGGCAATGAATTCTGTACCATAATTTCATTTTTCAGCTTGAGCACCTGAAAAAAAAGCGCGGCGAGAAGTGAATTAGCTTCTACAACTTGAAGCCGAAACTTCTGTGTCCGTCTTGCACTTGCATAGATTACTTCTACATCTCAAAACTGATAGTACCTCCCGCCGAGCAAGCTTTCGGGTCCCCCTTGAAGACGAAGACGACGTCGAGGGTCGGCATTTTGTGGTCGATCGAGGAAGACGGAGTGTACATGTCCACCGGAACGTACATTTTCGGCAGCATCACGTGGTACTCGCTGGCTTCGTCGATCGGTTCCCAGGTGCCGGTTTGCGAGTTCAAGCAGGCGACATTTGTCTGCGAAACGTGCAGATCCACGGTTTGGCTGTCGCGCATGTCGTGGACCAGATCGGCAAAAACGTTGGCGGGCAACTTTTCGAAGCGAAAAAACCGCATTTTGTGCGCCCCGTCCTGGGACAGTGGGTACAGGTGGCTGGCGTGCATAGGCTCCGTGGTGCCGTAGAGCAGGTCATCAAAATACACTACAATCGTGTTGATCCGCGACTGTGCCTGCTGCGCTGCGCGGTCGGCAACGGTGTAGCAGGCAACCTTTTCCCCGACACTGCGGCGAAGCTGCGCACTGTACAACTCATACGGATCCAGGGGCTTGTCGGATAAAGGAAACCCGTGGGGGGGCAGTCCTACCCGCGTCGTCGCTCGGGCATTCTTCTTGTAGTTCTGTGTGCCGGTGGCACTCTTGGTCGTCTTCTTGCTCGCGACCAATTTTTGCCTGTTCGCCACTGCGCTCTGCTGGGCGCTCCTGCCGCTGGCTCCGACGGCGGCAGTGGCAACCGCCATGAAACTAAACTTGACCACCATTATCCGGGGACGAAAAATGATGAAGATGATACTTAGATATTACAGCGGGGTTGTACTGTATTGAATTTATGAATAATTCAAAAAAAGCGTGTTGAGAGGCAGCCGGATAAAACTGGAGGTTCGTTGTCCTAAATTGAGTCCGAAAAATACCGAAGGAAGCCACGCGAGCTTCCGGGTGATCGCCCTGATTTGTTGAAGAGGCCTTAATTGAGCTTTGTCCAATATCTCAGATGGAATTGGAAACATCACAGCAAGAAGACGAAGAAAAAGACACGAAGCGCAAAACATTTAAGCACGAGGTCAACAGCACGATCGGGAGTACAAAGACGAACTGTATAATCAGGACGATTGCTGCTAATTTGTTCGAACGACGTGATCAGTATTCTACAGTGAACGAAAAAAATATTGTACTTTTCGCGACGCAGACCAACTGCAACAGTACGAGTTTCATTTCCTTTCCACAAGATAACATCACGACACATGAAATCTTCTTCATTGCGACGGGCACACAATAGCGAACCAACCAGCGCGAACAAAGATAAAAATTCATAACTACTGCATGAAAGACAGGCAACATATGAGCAGCCCTCCATTGTCGCCATTCACTCTTTCTTACTGATGTCACACTGGAAACCAAAATTCGACATACATTTTGTACAGGGTATCTTGCTATTTTTGGAGCATGCAAAAACTCAAATAATTCGTCGTGTACAACGTAACATCGAAAATTTTATGACATTTTTCCGTATGCGCAAAATCAAAGCTGAAGTCTTACTCATGGTCATGACATGTTCCACGTGAAATTTATTTTGAAAACATCAAAAAGTTTTATGACATTCTGACTTTTCCATACTATAAAAACTGAAATTACTCTACTTTATTAGGGGCGAGACACAATTACTTCACTTTACTCAAATATTACTCTTACTCATGCGCATCTTCTATAACTTTCCTGAGCTTTATGCTTATCTTTCCCGGAATGTATGTGATGAAATTAATTCATTTGTTCTGTTTCAGAAGCGAGTTATTTTTACTCAGTTGTACACATTGGCTATTTCGATCGTTTTTGAGGACGTCGATTCGTGAAGCTTCGACTCGAACTCGTTTCTGTGGTAAAGCTGAAGTACTTCTTCATCCTCGACGTTATTCCACTTCAACTTTTCCGAACAATATCATCTTTGTCGTCACGGAGACTCTTCAGAGTCCGGCTCCTCGTCATCACCTTCCTCTTGGCTCTCTTCTTCCTCGCGGCTATCAGTAGCCACCGGAAGTAGCCGCTTCGTCAACGCGTGCAAAAACTGGCGCATCACCCGTTTTGCGCGGGACCAGGACACTCTGTACACGTCGACTGCAACCTCTCTCTGGTCCTCGTAGTCGCGGTGAAAGTGCTGGCCGTAGATAAGACTGAACGGAACACCGAATGGCGTCAGTAGCGTGTACGAGTGTCGTGTTTCGAGGTCTATCCCTGCGAAGTAGATTTCCTTCAGTGGTCCGAACACGGTGCCCCGGCCGGTGTACGGGTCTAACAACGTCCGATGATCGGGACATATTTCGTTCGCGCTAATTCCCGCTATTCTTCTGGTTATTTCGCAGTGTGCCTCATCTGCTTGCGCGAACTTCTTGTCAAGCACGAGAAGCAGCCGCGCTCTTCTGCTGTCAACGGCTGCAAGCAAGTTCTGCCTCTTGATCTTTCCTCCCTCCGAATGGGCAGCAAGCATGTCGACCGCAATCAGCAGGAGGGGTTCCGGAGTCCGGTCGTCAGAGTGCCGATTGATCGGCACTGCGTCCGCTCCACTGGGGCAGTTGGCAACAGCTTCAATCACCTCCCACCGCTCGGACACGGTCCAGTCATCGAATGCGATCATGCCCGCACGAATCCAGAAGAAGAACTCGCAACACTGTTTGGCCTGCTTTTCCACGGCGGGATCAACACCGCGGCGGCCCTGTTTGGTGTATCCGTTGGCGCGCGCAAACAGCGGCATCTGTGCGCAATTGATCACACTCGCGAGGAAGAATTTCCGAAGCCACCGAGCAAGCGGCTTCGCGGCGGAGCAACCATCTGCGCGCAAAATGTGCATCCAGAAGTCGTCTGTTGTGTACATCTGGACGAAGTCTTCCAGCTCAGGAAGTTGAAGTTCCGCATCCACGGTTAATTGTTCAAGAGGATCAAACAGGCCGAGAAATAAAAACTCAAGGTCCATCCTCGGTCTCGGGTTTTCCCGTCCGTTCCACATCCTTAGTTCGAGCGCCGCTCCCAAGTAGTCGGTGGAACTAGACTTTTTCATTCTCCTCTCCTTCCCCCGACATTGTTCCCTGACTTTTTCAGCCTCTGCTCGTAGGCCGTGTCTCCGATTGTCGACGCGCTGGATTGGGTGGGGAACCGCCTTCCCGTCTTGGAGGACGAAGCGGCGCGGGTCTTCGTAGTCCATGGCCAAGTTGAGACATTTTGGCGCCCCAAAGTCGAAGCAGACAGACCACTTCGGGTCGGTCAGACGGAGTGCGCGCAACACAAACTGCACCGGGTCCACGCCGCCCGCTTCCATCTCGCCGTTGTGGTAGTACCAGCCGGAACGCTCGTACTCATCTAGCGTGAAAAACAGATCGGCGTTAGCGGTAGGGGTTTCTGCACAGAATCGCAAGTCCGGACCCTCGACCCCAACATGGAGCATCTCGCCATCCCGCAACTCATCCTCCGCAGTGATGGAGCGCGACGGTGTACTAGTATTCCTGTGCATGGGGCTCTCCTCAATGTCCTGGTGTGGCTCCGCCCTCTGCTCCTGGTCGGTGGCGCCGGAAGCGTCGCTCGCATGTTGCGGCTCTGCAACCTCCTCGATCTTCACCGCGTTTGCACTGCACCGAACCACACCCGGCTGTTCCTCTTTGTCCTGCAGAAGCCGGTGAAGCTGAATCAGCACTGGCGGGAACTTATTGTCTGGGTCATCGCTTGGGATTTTTGCTGCAATCTTGGTTTGCAGCTCCCGAAAGCGCTCCTTTTTGTTTTTTGACTTGTAGTTCTCGATGGACACGGTGAAAGAATCTTCTTCCGAACCACTTAGTCGCTGCACTTTCAACGAAATCGTGGATGCATTTGTGTTTTTTTCTCGACAGGTGGAAAGACCGAGGTGACCAGGTGTTTTCTTATTGTGCTCGTGGATTCTGGTGTTCCGATCGGGTTGAGAGCCGTCGTCGTCAGAGCTGTTGGTGTCCAGACCCTGAAGCTTGCGCCTATCCCTTTGCAGCACGTGCATTTTTTCTTCTTTATTCTCAGGATTCACATTCACCTCGTCAAGATCGATCTTATTCTTACGAGATGAAACCGTCTTCGCAGCGGAAGACAAGTGCTTTTTTCCGTGATGTTTCGCATTGCTCTTCCTGACGGTTGCATTGGGATTGCCACCCGTTGTACAGCCACGAGCAGGACCCGCTTGTCCGTGCTTCTCACATGTTGTGTCGACGATCTTGAAGAAATCCTTGTCCGGCCTCGCTTTCTCGGTCGCAATCCTCCGGTCTCCCGCAGCAGGCGACGGCGGCGCGCCCGTCAAGTAGCGCCGCAGTTTGTCGGTCAGGGACGAGTTATCGTCGTCTGCGTTGTAGTTTTTGAAACATTTCAGAAACTTGTCAGAGGATTTGTTGCCTTTCTTCTTGTTTGTACTTTCAGGTTCCTCTTCACCGCCTTTGGTTTTCTTGGCATCGGTATCGCCCGCTAGCAGTGGTTTTGTGCTGTTTTGGTTCTTACTAACAGCAAGAGTACTAGCCGGTCCTTCGCTAGAACAAGTTTTGGTGTTCTTCATTCCCCCTGCCTTCGGCATCAACCGGTTGTTTTTAGAGAGAGCCGCAGCTCCTGCTCCTTCCGAGGGGGCTTTCTGATTCTTTGCATCTTCTGTGCCTGTACAACTACCAGAAGTATTCTTCACTAATCCTTCCCCGTTGAACTTCGCACTGTACACTTCCACGGGACAGCTCTTCGAAAACCAGCACTTTTTCTTCGCTTTTTCGAACTGATACTCCGCGAACCTCGTTTTCTTTTTGTAGTACTCCTCCGGATTCGTCTGTTTCAGCTGCAGAATGGAAACGATTTCATTTTTTTGGTGGTTCAGGTTCATCTTGCTCCCGCTCGATTTGGAATTTTTGCCGTTCGAAGAGTTAGACGATTGCTGACCACCACCACTTTCTAGCTGCTCCATACTTTGTTCCTTAATCTTCACTTCCGTCCTCTTGATTTCCCTGGCCCATTCCTTGGCACAAAAATTCTGAAACTCCTGCACCGAGTGGAACACCTGCGGCTTGTTCTGTTCCTGTTTCTGTGCGATCTTTTCCTGCAGAATGATCTTCGTCGCTTCCTTTCGCAAGTACTGCTGTTGCTCCGGATTTGACAGAGCGAACACCTGCTCCGCGTTCTGGGGGGCAGAAACACCGCCTTGTTGGTGCGTCTGTTGTACTAGGTGGTCCACAGCATGGGACAAAGGGACTGGTGGTGGTGGATCAAGGCTATTTGTCTTCAGCATGTTGCCCATTTGCATTTTTGCCACGTCGCGCGGAAATTCGTCCTCGATCAGACGCTGCTCTTCGGTCGTTGTAGTTCTTGCAAGAACTACAGCATTCTCTTGTTTGTCCCCGGGTGGAGCTTCGCTTCCAGGAATAACTCCAGCAGGAGGTGGTGCTGCACCTCTCGACGAGGACAGCACCAGCTGCCCGGTAGAAGAGGTTCTAGTACTCGCCGAAATAAATTCTCCTGCTTGTTGTGCTTCTACTTCTAAAGCCACTGGATCATCGGATCTTCTTTCAGAAGCAAAAGGACCTCCTTCCTCCCCTGATTGCAGCGCCGTGGCGAAGATGTTCATGTTCAGGTGGTCCAGGGCCGCGGGGGCATTGGAGTTTTTAGTTTTAATCTCTGCGGCAGGCACATTCTTACTATTATTCGCAAAAGAGGACGAGGAAGAGGACGAACCACCTGCCGCACTCCCAGCTACTTGTTTACCTTTTTTCTTTTCCACCTGTTCCTTCACAAGCGGGGCCAATTTCTTGTAGACCCACCTTGCGTTTTTGTTCTGCGCCAAAAAGTCTTCCATCGCCTGGCTGTTCCCCTCCAAGTAATTGTGTACGTTCTCAAAGGAGTGGAGCAAGTCTTGCTCCTTCCAGTGGGCCAGTATCGTGCCGCGGAGCACCAACCTGGTGTTCTTCAAGACGGACTCCAGGAGGGCCCGACAGTCCGACTGCCGGTTTTCCCAGATCGTTCTCGCCTCCTCGAAATGGACCATTTCGTTACTCCAATTGAAGTTGTACTGCTCTTTATGTCAAGAGCTTTCACTTGTTTTTGTTGATGCGATTTGATTATTGACAACTTGCGAGCCGGAAACAGATTGTAGTGTAGGCGAAATGCCTTAATATTTCAGAACTCTCTACAAACACTTCAGACAGGGTGGGATGTCTGACCTGTTTCGTGTTTCGTTTCAAAACCCGTCCGCCTCCGCTCCAATAGCAGGGGGACAAAAATAAAGTAGATCGAGGTGTTAGCTAGACAACAGATGCATGCAACTTTAGCCAAATAATCTTCTATCTGTTCTAAAATGTAAATCTGTAAAAGAAGCAACGAAAGGTAGGTTTTATTCTGTAAAAGAAGCAACGAAGGGTAGCGACTCAAGGCCCTGTACTAGTGGTAAAAAGCACAAGCGAGGACACATGGGTGTGATATGAAGAAATTTGTTTTCCTAGAGAACATGCTTGCGTCCGCCGTTCTACTTTTTGTCTCCGGTCTCGAGATGAGACTGCAATCGCTCAAAAGTCAAAACGAATCCAAGGCCGAAGAAAAGACACAAAGAAATCTGATTCGTATCTACGTTTATACACGACTTGCAACGATGTGCCATAGCGATTAGATTTAGAACCATTAAGAACGAAGGCGAAGCCTCTGCCCTATATAAAAAAACCTCGACCAAGTATACTTCAGAAGATGCTGCGCATAGCAAAAAAGAAAAGCAAAAACCGACGTGCGGTTTCCCACGAATCCATCTCAAATAAAAGCCAGAAAGAAAAAATCCCAAAGCGAACTCCTCTACAAAATGTAATTGCTGACAACACCAATTTCTTTTCTTTGCGGCAGGCGCATGATACGTACAGAAAAAACAGGCACGAACGCATCATACATCATCGCGCAGGGACAGCTGCATCTAGAAGTACGAACACCAATTGAAGAACCCATCAGCAGAGCTCCGTCAGACGGGATCTTTACTGGAATCGCGTCGATTTTATTCAATTATGAAAAAAACAAGTCCAATGAGGAGCGCAATTGTACAGGAACGAAACACGTATGGTTCTTTGCGCAACAACGCTAGTGCGTCTACTGGCTTTTTCTGTTTTCTTCTCGACCAATTAAATGGATGATATTCATTACCATACACAACAAGAACAACATACGCATTTTATTACATTCTTGTCTTGCATTTCTTTGTGGGTTTGGTCTTCCAAAAAATCATCAAGGCAGAAAACTCCTCAGAAGTTGGGAAAATCTGAAACAGAATTCGAAAGCGTCTTTTCGTAGCTGCAGCTTCATCCCTGGCCATGATAAAATACACAAAGCTAATATGGTCCTTGCCAAGCGAAGAAAGTGCAGCTGAGTTGAAGGCACTTAGGTGCAGCCGGCTGCCCACGCCTCGCTTGCCGTGCCTCCATCGACGTCTTCGGAGAAATCTTTATGCCTCCTCGTCCAACTCATCGAGCTCCTCATCGGAAGAGTCACGGTCCTCGCCCGCGCTTTGATCGCCTTCCGCGCCATCAGTGTCACCCGGCTCGTGATCTTCCTCCGGCTCGGCGAAGGTGCAGGTAATTCGGATAGGGTCACGGACGGAGTGGCCGTCTGGATTTTGCAAGCGGTACGCGAACACGGCTGCGACCAAATCTTTCCACGTGGCGGCCTCGCCAAAATTCTTGGGGTCGCGGAGGTCTTCCGGAACGATCGGGGCGTGGCTGCTGTCCTTCTCTTCGTCATAGCTATTGGCGTCGGGCAGCTCATCCACAAAAAGCCGGACGCAATCGAATTGAATCTGCTTGTTTTTCTTCGGAAAAAGATACTCGAAGCCAGGACAGTGTGGCCGGCCAAAATCCGATGTGAAGGAGGTGACTTGCTTGAATGTAGCAGTTTGCGCATGCTCCAAGCAAATCTTTGAGAGAGTGTTGTAGTCCGCGACAAATGCGAGCGCCTCATCCTCGGTTTCGAAGAAGTAAAAGTCTTCCAAGATCTGGTCCGAAGAAATACCGATTTTTTCCAGTAGTCGGCTCGGTGTGGCGGCCCGCGCCAGTGACTCGTTGACGCGATCTTCCGCCGCGTCCCAAAACGGATTGATGTACCGCACCAGTACTTTGTAATTCTGGACGCGCCAATCCTCCGGGGAAATAACTGTGATTTGGCTGCCTGTAGCCCATCTTTTTTTTCCTTCAGCAAAGCTCCTCTGTCGCTGCTCCACAGAAAAGAAAAAAAAGTCCACTGGACGCCGACACTGCATGTGTGTGGGTAAGCTAGGGGAGTGCTCGAACGCGAAGCGTTCTAGCTCCCGAGTCGTGTTCATGCTGAAGGTCCCCATTCCTAAACGACACACTCCAAAGTCAACGACATCGCCCGTGAAGGGGTCGAGTGTGAAGGCGAGACAGCGCACCATTTTGTACTCCACCAAACGACTGTCTGTTCTGGTCTCAAAGCGGCGTGTCTGGGACAGATGGCGTGACGCACCCCTTCTATCGAACGTCCTCATTCTGTACTCCCCTGAAAGTCGATAGATCAGATTGAAGCTGCCCGGATGGCTCTTTTTCCACTTCTTCTCTTCGGTCCATCCACCTTGACTGCGGTCGCTGCGTTGCCTTTGGATCTCGTCCAGTAATCTCGGCACATTCCACACATTCATCTGGGCTTCATTCTCTCGGCAAGTCCTTTCTTGGCTATCATTGGCAAGCTGCTGAAGCTTTTCCCCGATGTTGGCACAACTGCGTTCTCCATCCGAAGAAGATGAGCTCAAGCATGCGGGGACGAAGCTGCCGAGATTAGGTGGGAGCTGGAACACTCGGCCAAGTTCTTCAGTACACACCTTAGCAAAGTTGCAAGCTTGTAGCGTGGTATTGAAACCAATCGCGCAAAGAATGGTGTTGCGCACGTTCATGTCGAGCACACCGCCGAACTCGTGGGACTCCGCTTCCGGTCCCGGAACAAGGAGGTCGAGTTCGCGCCACTCCGTGGTCCCAAAGAGGCCAACGAACTGGCAAGTAAGCTCGTCGAACTCGGGAGAGCACTCACCAGTCGGAAGCCGCGCAACACAGGGGGTACTCCCGGAGACAATCACGTCGCCAGCGCAGTTCACGATCTGAAAATCGACCATCGGGAGCAAACTCGCGAAACTTCTGGTCTGTTCTTCCGAACCAATAACCGGGCCAAACTTTTCCCGCATCAGGTCCGGATACGAATCGAGGGCCTTCAACTGCTCCCGGTGGATTCTGTCGGCCTCGTCAGCACGCGCCTCCCATTCGTCATGGATGGACTTCAACTTCTGGACGACACTCTCCTCAACGAACGCCTCCACCTGATCCGCTCGCCTCAGCAGTTGCGATGCGAAGTCTTCGTCGCTTGCTGCCTCGCTTTGTTCAGCAGTGGAGGTCGTGGCGATGTTTAGTAGATGCTTCACGTCACAATCTACCTGCTCTATGACCTCATTGAGAACATTCTCGAGTCGGTGTGTGACGGTCAAAACCGAATTCTTCTCGAAAAAAGCAGGTCGCCTCAAGCTTGAAGCTCCACAGCAGGCTGCTGCAATGTGTTTCGCTTCCTTCTCGTCGGTATCGGAAGGAGGCCCACGACACGCGTGATTTTTCTTCAGCAGCTGCTCAAATTCAGCGAAAGAATGAAACGGAGCGGAATCTTTGAGGTGCGGCAAGATGTACGAATTGAAAACAGATTCGCCAAAAAGCCCTGCAGCCTCCTCCAGAAAATATTGCTTCATGTATGACAGCTCCTCCCCCTGCTGCTGCTGGCCGGATAGGCTCATCTTGAAATTGAATACTAATTCGAATGGTTCTTATCTGAAATAACGATCTTGGATCTTGCTCCTGTGCAGATCCCACCAAACAAAAGATAAAACGCTAAATTTTCGAAAAGCATATCGACGGCGGTTTTTCGCAACGTTCATGTTTGGGCTCGTTTCATGTCTCGGAGAGCAAGTAAATTCCGGTCGACTTTAATTTTTCAAAATTGAAAATTCAAATTCTAAATCTAAACGTAAAAAAATACTCCCAGTATTATTGGTACGCTTCGATAATTGCAATCTTTACGATAACCCACAGCGTCAGCTCTTCACGAACGATATGTACGAAAACAAATAAGCAGGAGTCTACCCCTCTTCCGATCTGCCATTTTCTTCTGCCCAGTCCAGAATTCATCCCCAGCAGTGACTACGAAACGAGAAATCCAGGGGGCCTTCTTCTACGTAACCGCATCAGAACAACTCATACACAGCGAAATGTTTTCAAACGACGGACCGCGACTCGTCCAGCAGAAGCAGTTAAACTTAAGTAATGCCTTTCGCATATAAATCGCGAGCAAGTGCGGTAGTGGCATCTTTTTCGTGCCATTGCTCGTCGCCGGGCTGGCGATCTACTTGAACGGCTCGTCAACAGCATCTGTCAATCCCAAGAGTCAAAGGAGAAAAACTCTAGTTCTTCGATCACGAACTCTTCCTGCGTCGACAGTGTCGTGGAATTGAAAGTTGCGCAGTTCGGCGAGCTCGTGCCCCGCAAAAAGTCGGACTCGATCACAATGGCCGCTCGTCCCCCGCCACCCACCGCAAGCATGGTCTCGTCAGAGTACTGGATGGAGGAGTTCGCCGCACTCCAGGGATACACGCGGAGAAACTTTTGCCCATTTTCCGCTCCCTTCTCCGCACTCGTCCGTACGGCGAACACGAAGCTTTCTCCGCTGCCGTAGTAGGTTCCCTTGCACTCCCAGCTTTGCGCCAGAAACGCGCCGAACCGCGCCCCAAACTGGTCCTTGACGAACAACACCGACGGGCCCTTGTCGTGCAAATTCCTGTGAAACGTCTGCAGCGACACGCCGTGCCTCGACGGGGAATAGGCCAACTGCCAGTTGCTGAAACGGACAGAGAGTGGCAGGAAAGCAACTAGTTCAGCGAACAAATCCTGGTCTTCGAGCGTCGCCGCCTCCCAGATCCGGCTGTTGGTCGGCGGCTTGGGCAGCGCGAGGAGACTTTCTTCCTCCGTGTTCGAAGAGCCAGAGGAGGTCTGGAGACCGGTTGGCTGCGCGGCTGCACTCGTGGCGGTCGGAGCTTGACTCCCAACTGGCCGTCGATTTGCAGGGTTGATGGAACCCGTGCTGACGTTGTTGTGCTCAAATGCTTGCAGTTTCTCTGTCCCCGCGGTTTTGTCACTCCACAAGTTGTCATCTTCCTGCACCAATTTCCGCCGGTAGCTTCCCCCGATCCGTCCCTGCTCCTGCTGCTGCGCAAATGGAACTGCTGCAGCCGGATTCGTCGACGTGGCCCTGACATTCTTGTCGGCAACGCCAGAAGCCGCTGCCGCTAGTACGCCACCGCCACTTGTGTCCACCGTTGATCCAGGCTGTAGTACCTCCTCCTCTGCACTTCTACCACCCGCACTACTAAATCGGTCTTCGCCGCCGCGGCGTCTCCGGTCCTGCGTTCCGCTACCACCGCTTCTGGCCGATGAGGACGCCGATCCGGAAGAGCCGGAATAAGACGACGACTGCTGCCCTCCTAACTTCACTGCGTGCTCGTCCGACGGCCCGAAAAAAGTTTCCCAGACCGATGAGATGAGCGATGGCGGCTCCGGCGGCAAGTAGTGTTCACGCAGTTCTTGCCCGCGTTGGTCGTAGTTTCTCGCCCTGTTTTGTTCCCGTCGTGGGGCTCTGGATGACGAGGAGCTCGCTGCATCCTTATGGATTGTAAAAATGTCTGGGTCTGGAAACTTGTGATGCTGGGTGGCGTCTCATGATGAGGCTACAAATGCTGGCTCAGCATGACAAGTTTCTGAGCACCTAGGTCTTGCCTATTCTGCATGACCAACTGCGCTCCTGCATCACAGAAAAACGGAGCTCTTGGGTATCGTGCATGACAGATTTAAGAGTCATGCCAGACAAGCAAGACAAACGTGCTTTTTTTCCAGACCCAGACATTTTTACATTTGATAATCCTGTTCCTTCGACGACGTCCTGGAGGAAGCGCTCACCGGACCGCCAAAGAGCAGTCGCTTGCTCCGCTTCTTCTCTTTGTAGAGCTCGTTGACAGGAGGTTGTACTTGTGGCTCGACCGGCCTCGTCGCTCCGGTTCCGCGAGCACCGGTTTCCTGGAATTCCAGCTGCGCCAAGGGGGCACGAGAAGAACTCGAGCTAGTGTGCAGCTGCTCCTTGGCCCGTGGCGGGGCACCGTAGGTGTAGGTAGCAGAGGACGCTGCTTGCTTCTTGTCACTCCTGGCTCGCACGACCTTCCCCAGCCCCGCGCCGACAGACTTCGACAGAATCGACCCGAAAACGCCCTGCTTTTGGCGGCTCTCCTCCGCTTTGCGCAGCCACTCGTCGCGCTCCGCCTGATCCTGATTCGCGGTTACCAAATCTTCAAGCGAATCGACGGAGCCGAAAGCCACGGTCGTCAGGGTCTTCTGCGGCTTCTGCCAGTCAAGCATGTTCTGATAGGTGTCGAGGAGGTCCAGACAGAAGCGGGTCAAATCATACAACGTGTCGCGGGTGTCAACTTGAAACACCACAGATTTATGTGGGTCGCCGGTCAGCTCGCGACTCAAATTGCGCTGCTTCAACAGCACACTCTCATCGGCGCTGTTGTCCCGGGAAACTGGCGGTGGACTCGTGTTCGGTAATTCAAGCGGCGCGGTGGAGAGTAGGTTTTTGGGCTGTTCTTGGGAGTTTCGACCTTTGGTCTTGTCCTTGCCTCCTTTCTTGTTCTCACTATCCGAGCCCGAAGTAGAGCTTTCCGTGCTGGACCTCGTTGACTGGCGGATGAAATTCTCCAATCTCACGACCTGTTGCGGAAGCTGCTCCTCCTGTAGTTCCTTCGGAGTGCTAGAGCCGGTCGTCGTCGTGGCGGTTTTATTCATCAAGTTGCCTCTGCTACTGGCTCCGGAGTTGAAGTCCGTCTGTGTGATCGGCGAAGAGGGAAACAGCTGCTTTGAAGGCTGAGAATTATGCTGATAAAAACCACTTGTCACACTAACCGCAGCACCACCAAGTGACGTCGAGCTCGCGGCGCCTTTGCTGTGGCCGGAGGCCGACCGACTCAGCAAGGGGGAACCGGAAACGTTTCGCACCTCGCGCCGGCCGTCGAAGGTGCGCAGGTGCAGCTGCAGGTAGAACAGGTACTCGTTGCTGTTCACTCCTTCCTTTGGTAAACTGATGCTGCCGCACTGCAAAACATCGGAGAAGTCGATAAAAATTTGGAATTTCCCGATCCCCTGCGTCCGCACTAGTTCGAACCTCGGGTCTGGTTCGAAAGTGATGCAGCTGCCAGACACGGTCAAGCACCCCGGTATCGGCTCCAGTTCCTTCGGAATGAAAAGCGCAGAGCGTTTCAAGTAGCTCGTGACCACGTGGTCCTCGGCTGGTGGGGGGTCGGCCAAAGGCTTAGACATTTTGATCTTCTGCACAGTGCTTTCAGTAACAGACGCAGAAGAAAGCGCACCACTTCCAGCCGGATTCCCAAGATGCGTTTGCGAGGGTAACTGCTGCCGGTCCTGCCAGTACGAATAGAACGCCCAGGACTTCGCCCCAATGTGCGGATGCGGCAGGTGTCTCGACGAAGCTAGCTCCAGGTCCTGGCCCGTCGGTGGTACTGGTATGGGTTTCTTATTTCTGCCGCTCATGCACTAAGCGGGAATGTAGCGCGAAAACTCTTTCAGAGGAGGGTGGTAGACGAGACTCGAAAAAATTCGTTAAAAGCGACAAAGAAGCCCAGAACGTCAACCGTGCCCCTGTCGTTTCCCAATTCACATGGTGTCGACGCGGCACAGTTCATTCTTCGCCATCTTGTTGGGAACTCTGCGGTGATAGATCGAGCAACAAGAGATCTTTTTCGCATGCTCCATAGAGAGCATGACGCAACTATACATTGATTTGTTCACGTGCGACGTACCAGTAAAAAAGCGATCGGACAGAGATCCATTTGCGTTTTCCTTTTCGGAGAGCAGGAGGTGACCGAGAACATAACGTGAAGATGTCTACCTCGACATCGACATCGAAGCACGTATTTGATTTTTTTTGTTCATCTTGCAAAAGCAATTCAGCAGTCGCCAAAAAATTATACAGTCTGTCCTGAAGGGTTCCAACGTTCTGATATTTGATTTTTGTTGAAAGGATGCAATGCAAATGCTTACCCGAAGCCTTGCCGCAGATAAAACAAAAACGCAAACCACTATTGGTATTGACACAATCCTAGAATACAAATCGACGCGGTCCCGTCTGGCGGCCACACGATAGAACTATTAGTAACATGCATCAGAGAAGGGTTTTACTACTCCACGCAAAAAAGAAAAGTTCAAGCCAGAATCTGAATCTTCCGGTCCCGACTCCCTTGTACTTACTTCAGGAGCGTCGCTGCCACGAGCAGCGGTCGCCGCCAATGAATGAAACAAAAAATCCTACAACTTTTGGTACAAATGACGGAAGGTGACAAACAAAGCCTGCTAAAGTGTGTCCCACACTACAAAAAAAATATCGAAACAGTTTCATATTTTGAGGTTATTTTCTACACTGTACATTTCGAGGCGCGACCCTTTGTTTTTATGACAAAAAGCAATAAATCCGAAAGTGATTTTTGTTCAAAAAAATCTACAACCAGAACCACATTCCAAATTTTTTACAATCCTTTGTTACAAAAGATTTTTTCCACCGGTTGCCCGTTTTTGAGTTTCAAGTTGTGAAACTCCGGCTCCAAAGATTTCGGGTCCAGCTCCAAAGTTTGCTGACTCAACGCGAGGGTGAACGGCAAGGAGTAGTACATCGCAGCACCGACCACCGCGATCTCCGTGGCGATCATCATGGGGCCAGCCGGGATGAAGGGACGCAAACCTGCGAGCACCACTGGCGGAACCGCGAGAAACGGCAGCGGGGTAATCCACCCGCGGTTCACCAAGGTCTGCCACACGCCCTCCCACCCCGCTTTTGCCGAAATCCCGAGCCGCCGGCCGTCCTGGTCAAAAACCGGGACACCTGTCTGCCACTCCTCCATCCGCGTCGAGATCATATTCGCAGCGTTAGCCGCACACACGGCAAGGTATGGCGTTAAGAGCCCGAGACGCTGGAGAAGGACGACGCTGTGTTGAATGTTTGCGATGAAAATCAGGCAGCTATTGTAAGCGTTCTAGTCACACCATACTTCGCTGGCTTTTCCTTTTCCACAAGGATACGAGCGCAGAAAAAAAAGAAAACGCAACTGAAAAAACACCTTTTTATACTCAGTACCTCTTGGATAATCTGTTTAACCCGACCGCGATTCCGACGGCCGAAGAGCACGCAAGCACGTAGCTGAAGAGAAGCTTGTTATCGTCGATCGCCGCGCCGGAGCGGTTGACGTAGTTGCACGCGACGTTGATCGTCTGATTCAACCACTGCCAAAAAACCGTTTGTCCCAATGAGCGCTGACTGAGAATCACCATACCTGTGGTTTTCAGAGTAGATTGATTGAAGGTCATGCGTAGCAAAAGCACTGCTCAACACAGACATTCAGAGAACAAGCTGGAAAAATTTTATATTCATCTTCATCGAAGATCGCTCTCGTCTTTGACCAGAATGAAGCAAAGGCATGTAGTATACCACTGGTGACCGGCAAGTTTGCAGGTACGTAGGCGGACATGCGGCCGGGCAGGAACATGACTTCCCCGGTGACCGGGTGGATGGTGGCGTCGACGACCTTTTTCGCTTCCCAGAACTTCAAATTTTCCTCCTCGGAGTACTTCTTGCGCGCCGACCAGGACTTCAAAAGGTTCTGGTACGCGACCAGTTCTTCCTCGGTGCAGAGCAACGAACTCGGGTCCGTCATGTCGCGCATCAGCTTCACGCGGCCCCAGTAGGTGCTGACGTCGTACCTGGTTTTTTTCGGATCAAACGCCGGCACGGGTTCATCCGCGTCCATCTCGTCGAACAGTAAATAGTTTCCGACAAAAACGCCACCCAGGAGGACGGACACGCTGGCTGCTGCGGTTTTGTTACTGCCCGAAGAAGATTTCTGCTCGTTCTGGTGCTCTGTTTTCTGGCTGGCGGCCGCGGCTTCTTTTGCGCACTGCAGTGTCGGAGCTTGTTCCACAGTCGCGGAATTATGCACTTTTTCCGCAGCGCTCCCCGTCAGAGCCGCGTACTGGCGTTGGAAGGCATCGCGCAGTCGGTGCGTTTGCTCATGTCCTCGGACGATCTGCTCGAGTTTTGAAGAAAGCAGCGCATTAGCCCGGTGCACGCGGGTCGTGATGTTTGCGCTGGTTTGCCGTAGCAAGTTAGAGGACGAGGAAGTACTTGCACTGCGGTTGTTGGCATTCAGCCTCCTCGCTGTGAGGCGCAACATGATTATGGGATTCAAAAAAAGTCCAATGTGTAAATTTCCCGGGGGAGCCTACAACTTTCTTACAAAAAAAAACTGGGTCTGTGCCGTTCCTTGTGGGCTGAAAACTTTCACAAGTGATCTCGTTGTGCGATGGGATTGGACGGCAAAAACGAGCAATTTCATCGATCAATTCTACGGGATGAACGAAAGCGGAACGTACGAAGCTCTTTCATCTTTTCCGGAAGTTCACCTTCTTTCTTTCTTTCACACAAACAAAAAACGAAACCGACGGAGGATGTTGTCTTTTTCGTACGTTTGGTTTCACAAATGTAAAAATTTGTGGAAGGACGCCTTCCAGGTACACAAAGGTAGAAGTGCCAGAGTACGAAGAGAAAAAATGAATTGCGTGTGCGCTTCTTAAGGTGAGCGGGAAGAGAAAAAATGAAACTCGTCAGCGGGAAGAGAAAAAATGAAACTCGTCGACAAAATAGGAACGCAAGCCGTTCTGTGTCTCGGAATCGGGCTCGGCATACGACCTCACCTGTTCTTCTTACAAACAGTGTTCAAGAGCGTGGAGATCATTTCCAAAGCTTTTCTATCAAAGGATGACGAACCCCTGCTCAAAACTGTTAGATTAGTCGTCTCGTTTCGCTTGTGTCAATCTGCGCGATCACAGCGACAGCGGACGTAGATCATAAGCACCATCGATTATATGCTTGTCTGTAACATTTTTGTTTCTCGGACTCGGTGTGCTCGGCGGATGAATCAATTATCAGGTCAGATTCAGTCATTAGCGCCGGAGGGCAGTAGTAATTGCAATCTTTGAAAGGCGGTATTGTGAATGCGTTTTTCGGACGAGGAAGATTGCCACTGTGAAGCACCTATGAACTGCAAAAGTATCGTACTCGTATAAATGCATTACAAATTTTCTCAGCATGAGAAATAAAATTTGTAATGCTGATTTGCCTTAAAAGAAAGATTTGTAATGCAAGACTTGCATTTATACGAATACAATGCTTTTGCACAGGATAGCACCCTACAACCACCCGCGCTCGTAGTTTGTCCATTCCGGTGGAAAGTTTCTATCAAATGCAAAAGTGTCTGGGTCTGGAAGAATGCAACTTGTCATGCCAAATCTGAAGCATGCAAAAATCTGTGTTGCATGATTGCCAAAAGTCTCCCAGTTTTGACCAAGTCGGGAGGCAGTTTCTCATGCAGGATAGGCATGAGAAAGATCGTACAGAATCTGTCATGCTAGGTCCTGCATTCCAGACCTCATCGGTCATGCAAAAGCTGCATGATATGATAAGTCTCGAATTCTTCCAGACCCAGACATTTTTACATTTGATAGTTTCCTGGGTGGTGCCATTTCAAACACCAAAATCCATAGTACAAGCTCGTAATCCAGAGACCCAGTAGGCCCCAACCTAGCGCGGAATCCGGTTCTGTGATTTGGTTTTCGTGATTTCGTACGTTAAGACTCGTTGCTGTGACTTTACAAATAAAAAACTTTCCTCGCATTTCGCTTCTTCTTCTGTCCCTGAACCAAAGAAGTCTGAAACCGACAAACATGACAAGAACCTAGTACTTGAAACCATGCTTACTGATCATCCTCTGCCCGTTGCCAAATGAGGGGTGGTTCAAGCCCGAAGCGTCCAGATTTGCCACTTTGAAGTTGGTTACCTTCATTGCGTTGTTCTTTGGAATCGTTGCGGGCACCACACCCCACGAGAAAGCCCGAAACTGGTGCTGCTGCTGAACACCCACAGCCCGCCCGAATCCACGTCGGGCGGCTAGGGATAACATTTTCTTGCTGTTTCTATCCGCTCCGTCCTCTCACCATCAAACAACTTTTTTTTTTAAAGGCAAGCGACCACGCGAGGACAGAAACACAACAATGCAGAAAACAACAAGGGCGGATACCGTGTGTCGCACGTTCTATCTTGCGCACTCTCCTTTGTAAGATGTACAAGCAATGATCTCGTCGTGCTCACTTCTCGCAACGCTCAAATTGCAGGCCCTCGTTCTCAGAGGTCCGTCTTAGCAGGAACATCCTCGAAGATTCGCCACGACCACGTAGCACAAACATTCATTGTGCCTGTGCCAGTTCGGCTCATCCTGCTTTCATGAATTCGTTCTTTTCCAGGCGCTGTTATCTCAGCAACGCGCTTCCGCGCTGTGTAGTGTACGAGTCGTTGTATTAAACGAGTTCAACTATAATTGAACGCGTTCGGATGCATGCAGGCCTCCCTCCCTCTTTATCAATCTTGGATTTTTTCCAAATTCCGGTTTTCCGACGCGACGTGCTCAGACTGGGCTGTTCCTCTGGGACGACGAAAGCACGGGTGAATTCCCAGGCGACTTAACAATCGTGGTACTGCGTTTCATCTCGATTTCCCGCAGTCGCTTCGCGTGCTCCCGGTGCTCGTCGCGGATGGCGTTCTTGTAGAACGCCGTGGTCTCCAAAGCAGACACTGCGACCGGGTGTCGCAGCACCACACGGCAGCCGAGACATCCCGCACCCGTCGGCATCTCCTCCTCGGGTTCGTCGTAGTCTGAGATCTTTTTTGTCATATCCGCAATGATCTCCCGGACCAGTTTATTCGTTGATTTCCGCGCAGCGACGTGACTGTGCGCGTGCCGCAGGTTCTTTAAACTGTTGTCCAGGTACTCCGTGAGGTACTTGTTCTCCTGCTCGTAGTTTAGTTGCTGCTCGAAGATCTTCTTACTTGCTTCTTTCTGGCCATTTTCTGCAGTTTCAGGGCCTTCCTGCTGGTCATGGAGATTTTCCGCATCATCTTCTGCCACGACGTCCTCGTCCAAGATATTAAGACCGTGCTGCTCTTCCGCTTTCGGGGTGGCCTCCTGGACAATCAGGTCGCGGAAGAAACACCCGTGCACCGACACGTAGTCGGCTGCCTTCACCTTGCTGGCCAGGTAGTTCTGCGCGAGCGAAAACACCAAGTTCGGCAGAGTGTCGACACAGCAACAGTAGATGAAGCGGACGGGGTCGAATAAATGGACGAGGATCTCGGCGGACAGAGTGACAACCATCATATATCCTGAGTAAAAACGTACCCACGCCAGAGTTGTAATGCAGATTTGCAAAGACAGGAAGACTTGTAACGCGCATCCGCATGAGAGCCATTTCTAATCGTGTTTTGGGATTTGTGATGCTGTGAACAGGATGAGCAGATGAATCTGTGATGCGGCTGCACTTGCTAACCTGCACTACACTGCAGAGTGCAACTTGTCACGCGTGACTCACAAAACTCCTAGGTTTGTGTTGCAAAATCCCCATCCTGACTCTGGTGTGGGTACGTTTTTACTCAGGATATCATATCCAGCGTCCGCAGCCGGAACTCGAAGCTGAGCACACGCTGCGTCCTCTGCAAGAGGAAAATGGAGCGCTGCGGGCTCAATTTCTCCATGGCCTCGATCGACGCGAGCGTGCCAGATCTTGACAATTTACTCGGCGACGAAGGGGAATTTGGCAGGGTCGCCGGCATGAAATCGTCCTCCTCCGTTTTGTCCAAGGCTGTCATGGTGGACGCAGATTTTTTCTGCGGTACATCATCCCCGGAAACGGATAAATCGCCACCAAAAATAATGTACGCGAGCTTGATCCTGTGGAAAAACTGTCGGCGGATCACGCGCTTTTTGCTGAACAAACTCTCGTACTTCCCGCGGTAGTTCTCTGCAGTCGTCGTTTCGTCCATCAGAAAAGACAAATCCGCCCGCTTCGTCCGCTCCGCCCGCCCCTGCATGATCTGCTGCACGTTCAGCTTCCAGCTGGACAAGTCGACCGCGCCGGTGAGCACGCCCGCACTGGAAACCGCACGGTAGAACACCGATTTGTCGTTTTCAAAGACTACGGTGAACAGCCGGGAGTCCGCAATCAGTCGCGTCAGCATCTTCAGCGTGTCATCGATGACGACAGCAGTGGTGGGACCGGGCTGCATCCATTGAAGCACTAGTGGGCACTGCTTCACCGGGAGCTCTGTGATGATTTGTCGTTCTGCTTCAGGTACTAACTTTATGTATGCCAAGCAAGGAAGCAACCAGTACGCCCTTGGTGTCAAAAAATCACATCAAATAGAAAACAAACAATGCACTACCTTGAAAAGAATGTATGTCCATGAGCGGCTTGCTGATTTTTCCCTCGACTACTCCGTAGGCGGTGCTGCCGCCCATAAAGAAATCCGACGTGGACACCGGCACCGAGCCGGTGGCGCGGGTCGCACCCAAAACGCGCTTGTCCACATTGGTGTTGTAGATCGCGTAGATGCCCACCTCCGTGTCCTCATCCTCCGCTTCGTGATTGCCGAACGCTGCTCCTGGATCGAAGGTCAGTTTCTGGTTGACCCCCTGGTATTCCTGCAGTCGTGCCTTTTCCCGAATCTGCTCGTACTCCACGCACACCCGGAGCAAGAGCCGCACGTTCGCCGCACTGTCCTGCACCTGCTTTTGCGTCATCTCGCGCAGATACTCGATGGGCGAGCCCGCGGGCCGTCCGCCTTGCTTCCACGATTCCGTCGCGCCCATGAGGCCAAACGACGACTCCAACTCTGCTTCCTTTTGCCAATGCCGGCAAACCAGGTCCTCGTACTTCCGCTGCAGCAGTTCCGCGCGCTGCTCGAACAGCTTCGTTTGTCTCCCTTCGTCGTCAATCAGCTTGTTGCGCAAGTTCGGAACCACGACCTGCAACTCGCGGTTCGGAATCTGCGGCGGCGGCTTGGTGTCGCTGCCCGTGCTGTTGCCTCCGCCGGACGAACCCGAGTCCTTCCGCTTGATCTTCTTTCCCGGTTGAATCGGACTGGTGCCCAAGCCGGTCTTCAGGTCCTGCTCCAGTTTTTCCAGATTTACCTCGTGATCTTCAGCGAAATACTCGTAGGTCTTGAGACTCTCCACCTTCGACCCCTGTTGCTTCTCCGGCGACACGGGGGACACGCGCGTGATGTTTTTGTGGTCTCCGGCGACGGCGGCAGAGGTGGCGTTATGGGAGGAAGAGGTAGCCGCGATGGCCTGTGCGGCGGTACCGACTTTTTCCTTCAAAAACGAATCGGACAGCAGGGGCTGATCGAAGTCGAAGTCCTCCATGAGCGAGGCTGTGAGAAGCGTCAGGCCGAGAGGCCGGAACACGTCAATGTTCAGGATCGCAACGGTCTTGCCGTCTAACGGTTCCACTCCTCGAGGCAATGTCGAGGAAGTGGACGAGGATCTCCCACCAATGCCTCCCTCGCCGTCACTGGACTCACCTCCTTCGCCATTGTCCGCAGACGCGAGGACCCCGACGACGCCATTGCGCACGTCTTTCCACAGTAGGCGCACGGGGTCTACGTGCACGGACTTTTTCATGTTCCCGACCGGCTTGTCCTCTTCGCCGTAGCGCGATGTTTTGCCCTCGAGTTCCTTCCGTTTCTCCTCCTCCCAATAGTCGCAGGCGTTGCGGAAAATGGTGCGCGCAACGAACTGTACTGTGTCGGCCACGGCAAAATAGCACGTGAAAAACAGCGTGTGGTCTTTGCGCCGCTTGCACGGAATGCGGAACTTCATAGGGTAAAGGCGCATCGACACGAACGACATCTGCAGCCCGTGGTTCTCCGGCGTGCGGCCGAAGCGCAAGCATCCGGTCGTGCAGTGCGGATCCATGGCACCGTAGTGGTGCTTCAGAAGTGGCCGCGCTACGCCGAGGGAGGGACCCCAACTGCAGAATTGGGGCATCAGCTTCTGGATGTACTCCAACGCAGACAGATCGCTGATGTCCGCATCCGAAAGATCGAGTCCCTCGATGTTCTGAATTGAAACGAAAAAATTTGGTACGTCGTCGCAAGCGCATCGATCGTCATTATTAATCATCAAAGTACACAGATACTAACCACTAGCAAGAGAAAATACATATAGATGCATTTCAACATCAATCTCTCTGTAGTGGTTTGAACTCCGGATGCTATCGTACCACGATTCGTGAACGAAAACATCAGGAATTCTGCAGCAAAATTATGTCTATACCGTTGTCTTCATCTTGTACAGCCATGGACGGTTGGTTTTGTCGTCGGCCAGCCTTTTGGCGGCCCCGTCCTTCAATTTGTGGAAAAAAGCGAACAAATGCGGCGGGTATGCGATGCCCTGAAAACCCTGTGGCGCCTCCAGCACCCCGAGATGCCACGTGTCAAGCCAGCCCTCCCGTTGCATGATGTCCGGCGCGAGCGCTTTCCGTGTGGGCGTAAAGATGATGGGTCGCAACACCGGTGCGGTAGTGCCTCCCGTGGTTGTACCAGTCGCGGATGACGAGGATGTCCCAGCTGCCAATATTCCTGTCCCAGATCTCGTCGGCGATTTTGTACCGGGTGATATTGCCCTTCTTGCGGTGGAGCTCGAGGATCCGCCCTTCTGCATGTTCGGTGGCGGCACAAAGTCTAGCCCGCTCTTCACCGTAAACTTCTTGCCCTGGGTCGTGGCGAAAAATCGGCCGCACACATCGTGATTGCCCCGTAGAAATGGTAGACTGTGCACCAACACCTGCATGTCACTTGAGCTCTCCACCCGTACCTCGCTGGCGAGCGGTTCGGCGTCGTGGCCGTACTCGACGCGGCTCTGCATGTTGGCCTGGGCCGTGTTGCCCGTACCCATCCGGTCGAGAGGGACCGGGGACGGCCGTTGCGGAGACATCGGAGCCTTCCAACGCAAAAGGAAGTTATTTGCCTCAGAACTTTATACACATGTACATGTTGGGACTCGTATATAGAGTTCTAGGTCCGATATAAAACTCGCAGGCATTGATGCAGTCGCGTAAATGAACTTGGTACGGTTCCTGTTACTTTATTTTTTCACGGTCGAGGTGATTCATCGCGGTGTCGAAAACACTCTGAAGGAGTTCTATGACTACGCATGTATCAATCTCGTTGTACCACGAGTCTCCACTACGCGCTTCGCTCCAACAACTCACTCGTCGCTCTTTGCTGTCCGAACTCACACCTCTGCTGGACGAGAAACACCAAGAGCGACAACGAACATCTTTCATAGAGAGCTTCAATTAAATCGGGCAGAAAAAGTGAACGCTTGCTGATGTTCTTGTATCGCGCTTGTAGAAATCATGTATTTGGTATTCGAATGCGTCAATGCTGCAAATGCAATGCTAGTTTCGCTCTCACAAGTCCGGGTCGTCGGACAGCTCATCTCCTTCTTCGTCATCGTTCGCTGCCCCACCGCCGGTGACGCACAAGGCTCCCATCAGTTCGTTGAGCTCGTCTATTGGCACGTCCGGCAGCTCGTCGTCCTCGTCGCTGTCTGCCGCGGTCTGTTTCTCCGTATCGTCGTTCTCCTCTCCTGTCTCGCCCGAATTCGCTTGTTCCCCAAGGGCATCAAATTTGTTCCTCCCACTGTCCTGCTGGTTTTTCAGTAATTTGCCCCGGCGGTAGAGTTTCACGTCTTTTCTCAAATCTTCGTCTTCCTCGATGTCTTGCTGGAACTGCTCGAAGTCCCGTTCTTCGGTTGCCATCTTCGCAGCCCGGGCCCCTCTTGCCATGTCCTGGTCCTGCACGGCAAGACGACGCAGCTGAAATTTTCGCTTCGCGGTCCGACGGGCCGTGGAGGCGAGGTACTTTTTCTTGACGAGAATAACATCCGGGAGGTTCTCGGGCTTGACACTGCCGATCTTGTCGTCGTCCTCGCCACTCACGTTCACAGTGCGCATGTCATACCCGAGCACGTGGTCGCCGGCCTCCACCAAGTGACCCAAATGCGACCTGACCCGGATTCGTTCGTCATTCACGCCGAGGTCGCAGACGCGGGCAACCTCGATGTCGGCAAGTTGCATGTGTGCCCGCGGGCCCCGGTTCTTCACGGACACATTTCTTTGCGAGTAATCCAGCGGCTCCTTGTCCAGCACAACGAACTCCGTCAAATGCTTTCTCGTCATCACCGTCTCGCAGGGGTTTTCCCAGTACTTCACGCCCGCAACATCACAACCCAGGAGAGAGGTCGGATCCACCAGAGAAATTTGGGTGCCGACCTGGTAGTTGTGATAGAGTAGTGAGCGATTCATTTGTCTCCCTGGTGTGAGAAAAACACAAAGAGCCTCATAATTCAAAAGTCTTGCTCACTAGACAGACACTCTACAACTTCTATTTATGCGAAGCGCAATGACCCAGAGCAGAATTGTTATACCTTGTGCACGAGCAGAAGCTGACCAGCGAGTCCGTAATTCGCTGCCAATTTCTTCGGCAAAAACACTAAGTCGTCCTTGCAGATGGGCGCCAAGTACACCATAATGGTGTACTTGTAGTTGTACTTGTTATTTTTCGTGTCGTGGGAAACCAGCGTCCGACTGTTCTCGTGTCTGCAGGGGGCCCACTGCCGCACAAAGTCCGCAAACCGGTGCGCGTGAGACTGACTAAGAAAGTGAAAATCCAGCCCCTCGGGCGATTGCTGAAGAAAGAGAAGCTTCTCATGGGCGTCGTGCTTTAAAATCAGCTGTTCCAGGTGCATCAAGGTGCGCCGGTGGTCCACTCGTTGTCGCACCTGAAGTTTATTTTCAAAGTAAGTTCAGTGGTGATCAAACCAGGTCCAGCGAGGCACACCGAAGTAGCGGCACATTCATCGCCCCCGCTACGGGCGCAAATCCAATGCAACAATAGGAATAGTGGATAAGTAGATACCAACAGAAAAAAACGTACTAAAAGTCATCTACATGATCAGTACCTGCACTGCCGCCTTCCACGTGTGTGGCGTGTAACTTCGCTTACAGTCCTCGCACTGATGATTGTGAATCACGAACTCGATCACTAGCTCCTGTTGCAACGCCGCGCCGTTGCATCCGTCGATTTCTTTCTGCAAAGTCAGCTTCACCTTCAACCGCTTGCTGTGCTCTTCGGTCCAGATGAAGGCCGCGTCTGTCAGCTTGACCTTCTTCAAGCCCTTGATCTTCTTCAAGCACAGTGCGAGCAGCTCCTTGGACTCCCGATCGCATGTCATCCACCGGGAATCGCCGAGGTACCGGTTGCACTCGCGACAGTGGGGGAGCACGATAGACCGGGACAGGTGGTCGGTGATGTCCATCGTACTCTGCATGCAGTTCAGACACATCCCCGTGCTGTTGCTCTCCATCTGCATACCGCAGTTGCAACAGAGAATGCGAGACCGCTTCAACGCCGGCTCGACGGAAGCAGCGATGTTGTTGGCCATTGTGTGGTCCGAAGTCGTGGAACACAGTAGGGCTTGCTCTTCGGTTCGCTTCATTCTGATGGACTTTCTTCGGTGATGAGGGCGAATATTTTTTGTCTACGAAAGTCGTGGTAGTAGTTTTTACTCTTGTTTTTTTTTTCGGATTTTTACTCTACTTCTCTTCAACGTGATTCATCGGAAACTTGACTCTAATTGTAACTGTGACCACTACAACCTCCTTCTCCGGAAAATCGGACGCCGCACGTCCAAACCTGTGTTTAGTTTCAGAAACGGAAAACATCTTTCTGAAGAGCGATCCTAGCTACTTAAACGGAATCAGAATGTCTTGCAGATCTTCTGAGTTGTTCGGATAGCGTGGTTCCGGATTATGATCCAAAAGTATTCTACACCGTTCCTCTTTTTTTCTTTGCGATGGATCATTTGTAGGCATTCACTTCGAGTGAAATTTTCACTTTGGAACGCCGTGTGATCATCAAGAAACGCTACCTTACAAAATGAACCTGTGTCTGCTCCTGTTGTGGATCTTCCAGTCAAAATTTTCCTTGCTGTGCTTCCACTGATAAAAGTTTCTAATTGGCCGATCGATTTGCATTTAGGAGATCTTCGCAAGCGACGTGTCAGACAGCTTTCGTCCTCTATCGTTCTGCGACACGGTTTGACGCTGCAACTCGCCAGCGCTGTACTGGCGAATCGCGTCGATACGGAAAAATTTGCATCAAATTCAATCCCGTCAGTCATTTCGTGCGTTTTTTTTGTCATGTAAGTTCCTCTTGGGCACAGAGTTTTGTCAAAAGCATGTAAACATGTAAGTAACTTTTCAACAGTACAGCAATAAAATATGCAAGCTTAACGCGTTTTGCAGCTTCGGTCGGTGTAAAGAGCCAAAAAACGAACATCTATATTAGCCTTGTCTAGCACATGCAGAGAAAGTAGAATGGAAATAAATTGGCGGAAAAGTGCTAGCGCTCAAACACGCCAAGTGGATTCCGCACCAAATGGATTCCGCAACTTAATTTTAGACGCACGTACAGCGACGGAATGCTTGCTCTGTAAGTAATTCTGAAAATCAAAATCTTCAATCTTTTTCACTTAATCAAATGAATACTACAGCTCAGCCGGAGATTCGCAGAAACAAATCTCCACCACACTGAGAAGAGAAAAAACCGATATGTCACGGAAAGAACATCGATGAAATTCGTCTACATTACTGCACAAATGTATGTACCAACAGCACGACCCTCGTTGCGCCGTCATTTAATGAGAGCATTGACGAAAACTACATGATCGCGCATCTGCATCTCTGCTTGTGCTTCCAACTATCGATTGCATAACTTCTAGGTAGTGCAGCACATCCCGCAAAATACATCTTCGGAACCACCTTAACACAATACAGGAATTTTCAAGAGCAGCATCTTTGCAATTTAGACAATCAGAAGCTTATCAAAATGTCGTCTAGGCTGTGGTACTATACATACCTGACCTCTTTCCTGCAATCAAAAATCACAGTACTGCGAAACGAAAAGCGATCTCGATCTTGTAAGCGGTGCCTTTCTTAAATGGATCATGACCCTAAAATAGCGGCGCAACACTTTGAGACACATACTTCCTGTACATCTCAAGTCGCAGGCGGTTGGTGAGTTCCCGCATGCGATCGGTCCACTCGGGGCATGGCATCTCATTTGCAAGAACCTGCATGATATCAATAAAGCCGTCGACAATTTCCAATTTTTCTGGGACTATTGACGAATACCGATGTTCTTGCCCAGTGCGCAGTCCCTCCTGCTGCTCCTGGTCAAGATGAGATTCACTTGCACCACATGCCGAGCTTCCAGCTGCCTCAGGTGTTCGAAATGCAACTGCGCGGTCGATTCGTAAGCGCGTTGTGCCGGTGCATGGGCAACTACTCTTGCGGTCATGATGCTCATCAGGTCCTGAATTTGATGCGCGAGCCGTTACTGGTTCGTGCTTCATTAGATTCATGATGCCTTTGCGCCGGGTGCCATTTTCCGACCACACAACCGAGCCGCTTCTGTCTCGTCCCCCACTTGTGCTTGTTTTTCCAGTCGTCACTCCAGCCGAATTCGCACCGTCGACGAAGCCCGGGTCGGATGGAACTGAATCACTTGTGCTCCGGCCGAAGAAAAAGGCATTCCAACGCTCCTCCGTCCCCGTCAGAGGGCGTAATATGCGGGGCGCGCGGAAAAGGGTGTCATCCGTCGATGAAATGTCGTCTTTATTACTGCCAGCCTTGTTCCGAAACAGTTGAGACGGCACTGCACTCTTGCCGCCATGATCCTCCCGAACAGACCGATCGGGGCGGCTCCTTCCGGCGCTAGGAGAGAGCACCTCGTCTTCTCCGCCTGTCAACGTGTCGTCACCGCCATCAAGTTCCCCGTCGGTGAGGTGCGAAACATCGTCAGCAAAATCTTCCGGATGCTGAAACAGACTGATTTGCACGTCCTGTCTCGCCGGCTGGACGTAAATTTCGAAATTCCCCCGGACAACAGCCGACCGGGCGGCGCACCCTCGCCCATGCGTGTACACGAGCGCTCGGGGGCGGTACTGCACATAGCGCACTACGAACCGCGCAAGCATCGTCACGGCCTGCGAAAAAGCCTCCCATAGCGCCACTGCCTCCAGCTGACCGCCAAAAGGTGCACTATACAAACTGGACGCCGAAGCTGATGAAGTCGTGGACTCCGGCTGCGTTCCACCCCCGGATGGCTTCGTTTCGGGAGCTTCGCGCCCGCAAGGAAACAGCTCGCGCAGCCGCACTGCTCGCAGATGTACGTCCAAAATATCGCGACCGCCGAATACGCGTTGCCAGTCATCCGACGCGGGGAACTTCGTAGCGCAATCCTCTTCAATGGTGACTTGTCCGAACGGCTTGTCTTCTTGTGCAAAAAAGCGCACGAACGGCGCGTCGGCGGGGGGAAAGACAAAGACGTCGTTGTACAGAAGGATAACGTCCGGCACACACAGCGGAATTTTTCCGTTACGGTTCAGAGCAAAATCCTGAAGGTGAGAGGGGGCAGAGTCCTGTTTCTGGTGCTGCGGTTGCTGCAATGCGTTGGCACTTACGGAGCCGCGGTGCTGCGCCGCCAGAAGCAAGTTGTGCCGATCGCTCGATGCGCCTGTTCCAGGGGGAATGTTGGTGGACACCGACAAAGTAGTCGGCAAGTACGGAGGAGATGGCCAGGACCGCTGTCTAACTTGATCTCGCTGTTGCACTTCCGGCCTTCGCCAGCTGCTGTGGGAAGAGAAAAGTCCTGACGAGGATGATACCACGGCGCCTGCGACATACGACGATGTTTGAATTGCTCCCGGAGGAGGAATGCCGCTCCTGTGGCTACTTTGGGCCAATGACTGCATCGGCCTTGCACCCGTCGCGATCGGCGCCCATCCCTCTAACGCACTGCGCAAACCAACGCCTGACAGTGGTTGCTCCTGCGATGCATCCTTCTTTATTGCTCTGACAGATTCTCCTGAAGACCGCCCCACGTCCGACGCGCCCGTCGAATGGGGAACACTAAAGCCGGTATCGCTACCGCTTCGGGAAACCGGAAAGACAGACTGCTGAAGTGGCGAATAGCGAACTTGCAGTGCGCCGCGTTGCAGCGCAGCTAAGACGCGCCAAGCGCGTTTCTGTCTGCGGTATAGGCCGATAGCCAGTCGCTCCCTTGTCTTAGCGTAGAATCGGACCAAATTGCTAAAAAGCAAAGAAGAAAAGCCTGTCGCTTGCATCACGCCCTTGAAACGCAGGGTAATCCAGCTCGGCATGGTAATTCCGGCGACGCGGTGATCCTCCCCTGCGCATCCGCGATCCGCGGACCTTGCACGCGACGAGACCGTACCGACGGAGGCTGTGTCAGGATGATCCGCGGACGACACTGAAATATTTCTCCGCACTCCATGTTCCCCTACGGACAGTAAAACTTCGCGCGTCGAGCCGCTACCTGCGTCGCTACCTGTGGAGCTAGCTCCCTCGGAACGTTCCTTGTTTATTCTCGACTGGCCTCTCCGGCGCCATTCCAATTTTTCCAGATCTTGGGATGGGATCGGCGACAGTGGCTGAAATTTTCTACTTCTGGCTTGGTACAATAGGTCCTTGCAAGAATAAGCGCTGCCTCTCTCGTGCAAATGCAGGTCTCTCCCTGAACAAGCGGTGCTTGCACTGGTGGAACCCGTCACGCAGGAGCTGTTACTTGTCGTACTGCTTTCTGTGTTGGCGGTAATCTGCCGGCTCGACGGGCGCTCGGACGACAAGCGCTCGAACGCCGTACTTTGGCTGTCGGCGGATCCACCGTCGGACGATAAACGAGATGAATTCGTCGACTGCCCGGAGAGAGAGCGTCCGAAGCCGGCCGACACCGTTGCAAGTGCGGCGTCGGCGCAAAGGTGCGCACGAGTCATTCCAGTAGCCGCAGCTCCACCCGTACTTCTTGTTGCGCCGGACGAAGATGCCGAGGCTGCGACACTCGCCGTCGATCCCTGGTAAGGTGAAATGATGCGCGGAACTACTTGCGCTGCGCCCTCGCTAACACAGGAAGATGTTCGCTTTGCTGGAACAGGAACGGAGAGGGGTTGCGCTGGCAGAGCTTCTCTGGTAGCAGGCACCGCCGGACCAGCAGCTGACCACAGTCCGGCGGGTTTGGATTGAGGAAAATTACTACTCGCTGCACTCAGAAACTTTCTCGGAATGGGGCCGTCGCTGCCGGATGTGGTGTACCAGCACGACTGCATGGAATCTTCCGACCCCGAAGAGGATAAGCCCGAGGAGGCTGCTCCACCTCCGGTCGTTGTGCCGCCCGAGGCAAAGGGAACGCGACTTGTTTTGGCCGGAGAACGAGGCGACGCCGGAGCCGACGTTTCCGGAGTTGTGTCCCGCGTCCAGGGAATTGCGAGGCGGCTGTACGCTTCACCGAAAAATGAGAATCTCCGGCCCTGCTCCACAACAATATTTGCAGGGCGCGTTTTCGGCTGGTGTGCTAGAGCCGCAGAAGTAGTAGCGTTCTTGTTTTCCTCGTGTGTCGTGCTGTTAGAATCTACGAGGCGTGCTGGTTGAAACGGGGATGAGGATGAAGAACTTGAAGCAGGAACGCAGCTAGCAGAGCTGTTAAAACTACTTCCCTCCGGCGTCCTTCCCAGGCCCACAGGAAACACGTCCGACGGTGCAAGGCAGTACGGCGCTTGCTCCTCTACCTTCATGTTGTCCAATTCTTCCTCCGAGGAATCTGATTCGCCGCCGCACGAAAGACGCGCCAAGGCAGCCTCATTCGCGCGCGACATAGATTCAACAAGCCCGACGGGCTGCTCCTCCTGCTGAGGCGGAGCACCACTGTGAAAAAGTGCTGTAGTTTCTGCCGTCTGGTCCCGGTCACCGTGCTCCGTATGTTGTTCCGGCTGGTGTGGGTGCTCTTCCTCCTTCTCCGCCGCCTGTTCGTACCGCCGGACGGAAGCACGCAGCGCGTCGAGGTGCGCGTCTTCGACGTTGCACGTCACGCCCGTCAACGTAGCCAGCTGGTCAAGCTGGCACAAGTACCGCCGTGGAGCTGTCACTGTACTTGAAGGTGCTCCATAAAGCGCCCCGTTTTGCTTATTTTCTGTGGCGACATTAATATCTTGCGAGCGGTCAGGGATCCGTGTAGGGGAGGATCGCCCTCCGTTCTTTTGTTGTCGCTCCGGCTCTACCGCTTGTGGCATCTGCTGCAACGGATCTTCCTCTGAAAAATCTCGTCGCGCCCTTGTTGCCACTACATCGTCCCCAACAACGCCGACGGGTTTAAAACTCAGACCAGTGTTGTCCGTGTACCACCTTGTAGGTGGCGCTTTTGTTTCTCTTCCCCGCGTAGCTCCTCCTGTCGCGCAGCTTTCCTGGTTGGCCGTGTCCCCGCCTCCATCCGCTTGCCGATTGACTTCGCTCGCGTCGCACGCTGCGATGCGATACGCCAGCAGCATCGTGGCGATCCAGGTAGGCGGCGGCTCGCCGTCAGGTTGTCCCCCAAAATACGGTGCCCACTGATCTTTTTGACGCTCTGCCACGTGCTGCACGCTGCGGTGAACTTTTGCCCCCGTCAACAGACCGGTCGCCTGCACAGCCAGAGTGCTGCAAAGCAGCCAGGCATTTTTTTCCCGCCGTCGCATACTTACCGGGCGGAAAAGAGAGAACGGTCGTATAAAAATTCTGCTTCGTAAGCATCTAGAGGTTAAGAATTCCCGGACACTGATTCTTTTTATCTCAACGGAAGTGTCAAACGACTCATTTGGTGCAGATGCCAACCGCTTGCTCACCCGAGTTGTTGTCGTATGCATCCATGTTTCAAGTTGAACTTCCCATTTTTTTTCGAGTGCCAAAATCAGCACTTGCCTACATAAAAAGTAAGTCTATCTTACATTGCTGTCATTGCATCAAGTACCGAGAACGTCTACGTATTCAAACCATGATAGTAATTTCGACTTAATACTAATTCGTTTACCTAATGCGTCGGTTTGGAAAAATTGTATCTTGTTAATTTCCTTGTTTTGTTCCTTAAGCTTCTGTCAAAAAACTGCTCCTGGCAAACAATCCAAAACCTACGCAAAAAACTTTGTGAATGATCTCCGATCTGTTCTTTGGGAGCCTATCGACGGACTTGAGACTCAAAGGTTCACGCGTTCCACATACGGGGATATTGCAACAACATGCTTCTTCATGATTCGCCAAGAACAGAAAAGGAAAAACTTTGCAGCTCTGTCAACATTTAGTCAACCGGTGTGCTATGCGTGGAAATTATGACGTACCTATGTATTGATACACCACGAGATTCCGTTGATGCAGAGATTTTGAGCCTTCAGGCAAAAATGTTGAAAAGTTCCATCCAGACTCAGCTCAGGATCTTCAAAATCTCGTTCCGAATCTCATCGCCGAGGCGGTCTGGCGCCCCCGAGGGCCGCATCACGGGCTGATTTGTGCACTCCTTTTGTGCCTCCGCGAGCGCGATTCTCGCAACATGATCGCCTCTTTTGCCAACGAAGTTTTTCTTATTTTTCCCGATCCACGAGGCGTCCTCACTGCTGTCAGCGGACTTCTCTTCCGAATCGCTGCTCTGACCAGGTGGAGGGGGTCCGCTTCTTCCGGGTTTGTCTTTTTGTTTGATCATACCCAACCTCGCCATATCAGCAACTGCGGCACGCTTCTGCGCAAAAAAACGCTGGATTTCCTTCCTCTTGGTCTGCATCTTCGCCCTCCTCCGCGCGGTCTGTGCAAATGTCGAAGGAGTGCCTGCCTGACTTAAGTTTGACGTGGCACCGTTCCAACTGTTACCAGGGGCTACTTCTGTGGTCTTCAAGACGCTCTTGCCAGCAAGATCGTCTGCATCAGCACCATCTTCGGGCGATGACTTCCCACCTGGAGCTGCAACATCCTGCTCCTGGCGTGACTGAGACTGCAACGTTGGTGGTACGCAATTCTTGCGATGCCACGCTGCAATTTCGGACCGCTCTTGCCCTGAAAATAAGAATCGCGTCCGCAACGCGCTGGCGGACTCACCGCCGACAGTATCGCTATCTGGATGTGCGGGCGGGGCAAGAACTTCCGCGACGATATCCAGATCGTCTTCACCGGGCGGGATCTGTTCCAGCAATACCGGAATCACTTCGTGCGGCTCAACACCCATGCTGCGTCCTCGCCTGTACTGCTTCCCAAACCAGGACACGAACTCTGGACTCAGCTTGCTGTCTAGGCTAATCAACGTCTTGCGGACCACAAGCGTTGGCTCCGCATCTGTCGACTCTACTGCTTCCGATGAGTTGTCTCCTTCACCGGCGTTCTTGCCGCTCCCGGTTTGAAGCTTTTTCTTCGTATATTTCTCTCCTTGACCGCGCGACTTCTTTTTCCGAGAAGTAGTCAGCTCTCCTATCACACGGCCGATCTCTTTGTTGAACCGATCGGAAGCGGCGTGAGACGGCCCAACGCCGGGCTGATAGTATTTCTGCACCACCGCGGCGACATCTGGGGGGACACACCGGCCGCGGGGCTTCTGGAGACTCAGTGCCGTCTCGATCGTATCCCTGTCGCAGTCGGCAATTAGCTTCTCAGCTCTTGCTTGTCGGCTTCTAGGCGACAACGCGGCCGGGTTGTGCTGATCAGCAGTGCTGCTGCGCTTTGTTGTACTTTGATTTCCAACCGCAAGTTCCGCGGGAGCAACTTTCTCCTGACACGACCTGTCAACATCATTTTCCATTAATTCCGACTGCGGACGGTATCCGACCGACGTCGCCGGTAGCCAGACGCGGTTCCGCTTCCTGTCCAGATTCTTGTCGAAGTTCGCCACGTCGTCTTCTGCGTCGTTTTCTCTTTTTTCCTCCTCCACGACCCCCACGCGGTCCGTGAGCTTGATGAGACCCCGTCGCAGCGCGCACTTCCGCAGTTCCGCAAATTCCTCACGCCTACCCGCTTCCATGTGTAGCCGCTTCAACCGGGCTTGCGCCACCATCTCCGGCTTCCGGAAGACGCACGACGCGAGCACCTGCAAGATGCAAACCCCCATCACCGGCACGCTCATGGCGTTCCCGGCGAGCGACTGGATTTTCTGCCGGGTCAACCCGCCGAAGCAGATCTCGTGCACCGGGAAGCCCTGCAGCGCCATGAACTCCTCCGCAATCAGGTACCGCATTTTCTGCGACACCCACACCCGCCCCGTGGGCAGCACCGTCGGAGCGTAGTTGTGCAGAAACGTCCCTAAACGGAAATTCTGGCCCAAATCCTGCGTCCACAGCGAGTCCCACCACTGCTGGTTCACCGCTTTCCGCTTGGCGTTCTTGAGGGCCAGCGCGCGCAGGTTCAGCACTTCCACCTCCCGCATGTTCAGTTTAGTGATCCACGCCCGGCTTGGCAGCTCGTCCACCGGGGTTTCCGTCAAGGACCAGCCCATCGCTTGCCGGTACTTGAAGGACTGGCACTCCCACAGGTTCCGGTGCCCGATGCGCGGGCCGCCGCTCCGCGTCAGATACCACTCCTTCTTGACCGGATGCGCGTCCTCGTCATACATGCAGTGCAGCACGGACAGCTTCTTTCGCATGTCCCGGTCCTGGTGCATCCGCATGAAATCCTCGTTCCACAAATCCATGTCAATTTGGAGGGAAACTTTGTCCATGTGCACCCCGATGAAGTAGATCCGGCACCGGCACTGGGGTAGATAGTAGTTTTGCGTGGGCAACCGGTACCACCGGACCTTGTAGGGCCCGATCGAACGCAAGTAAGCCATCACGTCGTTGATCGGCCTCTTCCCCCCGCTGCCCGCCGCCGTCTTGGTGATGCCGTCCACGTTTTCCAGGATGAAGACCGCTGGCTCTTTGTATTTGATGTAGCTGCACACGCCGTGAAACACCTTCGCATGCGGGCCGTCCAGGCAGGGGCGATTATTGTTGAGGAAGGAAAAGTCTTTGCAAGGGAAGCCGGCGCAGTAGAAATCCAGATTGCCCGGGCAGGGGACCACCTTCTGCTGGCGATGACAGAATCCGGCCAAGGACGGAGGGAGTCGCGCGGTGAGGTCGCCGAAGAGCACCGGGCAGTCCGGGAAGTTCAGCTCGATGAACCTGCGGCTGTGCTTCTCGATGTCGCAGGCAAACTTGTGGTCGACAGAAACCTCCATGCTGCAGTGGTCTCGGAGCGACTTCTGGATTGCTTTCAGCGCAAACATGGGCGCTTCGGCACCGCTGCAGTCGGTGCCGATCGTGATTTTGGCAAGTGTGCAGAACCGCAGGATGCGGTCCTTCAAATAGTGCGTCATGATCCCCGCCCAGTCCGGGAGGTTGTGTGGAATGCGCGGACGAAAACCCATCGGATGGATCCACCATTTCCGCAAGTCAATCACGGACTTCGCAAACGAACAACTCCACTCGTCAGCAAGGCGCAGGATTTCCGCGAAGAAAAAAAGCGGAAAAGGGTCCATGAGCGGCCCGGGAATGGGTTGCTGTTTCTGTCTGTAGCTGGCGATCAGACGGAGGTAGTCGTCGATCGGCAGCCGGTCGTGGATCCAATCCTCGACTTTCGGCGGGAACTCGGGATCGTGCTCTACATTCTGCGATTTGGGCGCCCCGTCGGATTCGTCTTGCGAGGAATCTGTAGTTCCTCCCGTGGCAGAATTTTCATCCTTCGTGCTAGACTTGCTGGCGGTGGATTTTGACGTCGACATCATGGGGCTTCTAGTACTGGCTCGTATTTTATTTCTACCTCGTCCCTTCGGTGCAAAGTGCTGGAAAAACCGTCCTGCCAGCCCGTCCTCGTCGTTCCAGTATGTCTCCAAGTGTTTTGCGTAATCTAAGCCGATCTGGCCGATGCTCCGGATCGGCTTGCGGTGGAAGTTGCGCGGGTGGTGAAGATATTCGTGCACCAGCTCGGCAAAGTCCGCATCCAATTGCTGATTCATCCGCATCGCGAATTTCTGGGGGGTCATGCCTGGTGGAAGTTTCCACTTTTTTGCTTTTGCCGGAGGGGAGGCGCGACTTGTTTTAGAGGAGTTTGGTGTTATACCAGCTCCTGTGCTTGATTCAACACTTCTCGCCTGCTGCTCCATGTTGGTGCTAGCCCGACGAGATGTCGATGAGGAGGACCCGCCCTCCTCATAATTTGAACCCATGGTCCCCGGGGCATTTGCAATCGATGCACTCTGAGTAGTTGTGCCCGTGTTGGTCGATTTCGTCGTGGTGGATTCCGATGTCGATGCTGTTCTTTTAATTGGCGAGGAAGTGCTCTCCGTGCGGACCATACTCGGACTGCACACCGACACCGGCGGACTCTCACAGGTCACAAGCGAGTTCGGAACTTCTTGGCTGCTTTGCTCAGTGCTATTTGGAAGCGCAGGCGTCGAGAATAGGGAGCTGCAATCGCCGTCGCCACACTTTACGTTTGGCTTTGAATCCGCCGGCTCAGGCGAAGAAAGGTCAGTCAAAACGCTTGGGTTGCATGGCTCCTGCCGCCTCTCTGCTTCAACAGCGACAGCAGGGACGAGCGGCGGCGAAACAATTGCGCTCATGGTTTTCGTTTTCTTCGACGAACGCGGCGCATTACAGGAGTTCTGAGGCTCGGCGATTCTCGACGTTTGCTCTACTGCACGAACCTTGGCCAAATCGATTTCCGACAGCTCGCATTTCTGTGCGTCCATAGCGTCCCGTAAAACCTGCGACATGTGCTGCACCAGCTTCTTCCCGTCTTCTTCGAATTGGTAACGCAGGGGTACGTTCGTGTCGAGTGAAAAAAGCCACTTGTACATGGCAAGAATTGCTGGATTGTTCTTCCTGACGGCAGCATTATTCTGCACGTTCGGCACTGATCCGTCTTGCGATGGAGTGTGGCGGGCGGTCGCTATAGGCACGAAATGGGTCTGCGGCGCATCTGCTGAAGAACTAGAGGAAGCGGACGGTGGACTAGCGGCGATGCTTTCCGTACCGCAACTTTCATTGTCGTAAATCACCTTCAAATGATGCACGAGCCGGCTCTTCTCGGCACAGATCTGCATCTGTTCAATATCATTCGCGCGACAAAGCACGAGCACTTTCCAATTGAGATACCTGCGAATTCATTGCATTTGCTGCGTTGGCCGTCTGAAAAAAAAAAAGCACTGAGTTGTTTAGAAAAAAGTTTCATTCCTGACGGAAGTAGATGATCGGATGTGCAAACCAAACACTCCTGTAGAAAAAAAGCAAAAATGAGTTAAAAGTACTCCTCCGCAAAAGCAGTTGGCCCGACAAACACGTCCAAGTAGCGAGTGATCAGGTTTCGCGATGCGAGCAGATTGTCGTTAGAAATCTGCAACAACTTTTCGCAGAGCTGCTCTCCGTGCCTCACTGTCCTCCAGGCGGCGTATCTATGTTCTGCGGCGCTTGTGCGGCTCCCGACGTCTGCTCCTACTGGCGGTAAACACACCCGGTCAAAGTAACAGTATCGACTGGGGCTGCTGCACGGGGACGAATTCGCTTCCGAAACCCTGCTGCTGGCGCCGGTGCTGGGCGATGGCAGCACGAAATCTTTCTCGGAAAGATTCTCCCACCATGGCCTCGCTTTACGAGGAGCAACAGCGTGGTTGGAAACGTGCGCATTGGGTGTGCGCAGTACCGTGAGCCCGTGTCGGTCTGGTCCGGGCGCCTGGCCGGGTTGCACATTTCGCAACGCAGATTCGTGACGGTGCATCATGATGCCACACCTAACGGAAAAATTTCAAAGCTAGGGGTGTGTTGCTAGTAGTTCCATCTTGTTGATACAGGTTGACGCAAACGCGCTCAGTCATCGATTTCGACGACGTGTTTTAGAGGTCACGAAGAAATCGTCGAAAACTTCCCTATACTTCTGAATCTGGTCGATAACGAATTCTGTTGGTAAAGCTACCCATCCTGAAGAAGCCGCGGACCGACCTGGCGAAAACGCTGTTAGCGGCTCTGTGTTCTAGTTGATGTATCATGGGACAGCCTAAAGGCACTCTAATGGATTCCTGTTCATCCATGAGCGCGCGCTATGAACAGCACAAATCAGCAGCCAACAGACACACGTGGCTGTTTAATCTGTTTCCTCAGGCAAATGCAGGGCGATGGATCAATCATTTTGACCAACGTCAAGAAGCATGAAACATAGGAAGTAGAGTTGTTTCGTGACAACTCACTAAATTCCTAAGTCCGATTCAATTCTTGAGTTTCCTCAACACTCGTATGCAGTTTATTTTTGTAATTTCTTTCTGGACGAAACGCGAACGAAATCCACATGGATAGATTCTACTGTGCATCCAACAAACTACTTTTGAATTCGGTTTTCTTCTTTTCCAGATGATAGATACTTTTTTTCGCTAAAGTTCACGAACTATACTTTATGGTATTTGCCGATTTCTTTTCTATTGTTCCTGCTCAAGAAGCTAAACACCTTCCTTTGTTTACCCTTTTCTGTGCTGGAAACGAAACGGAGAGAATCTTGATAGAACTGACTTGCATCATCATGCACTTGTTTCACTCTCGTGTAGCTTTCTTCTGTAATCCACTAAAGATAAACGTGCCAACCCGATCATCTAAATACTCAACTAATTCTCATTTTTAGCAAACGGAAATAATCATGGGTAACGCGTTTATGAATGTCTATGACCGTGCTCACGCTGAGCAGACCGGCACATCATCCTCATGTGATTCAGATTTACTCAATCTGCGCCAAAAGGCACACGCCGCGCAGACGCCAGTGGGAGTTGTGTGTGTCCGTTTTTAACAACAAACGAAAGATCAGGTATTTGTCGTTTCGCCGTGGGTATTTGTAGACCGCACAATCATACGGGGTCTGGTGGCCGTAGTCACCCCGCTTTTGCTTCTGCTCCTTCGCGGTGACAGCGGTGACGTAAATGACAGGCATCTGGTATTGATCAAAAGTTTATTCCACTTGGACACGTTTCAGTAGAAACCAATCTGCACCAACTATGCCGCCGATGAGGGACAGGAGAGCGATGCAAAAAAGATTCATTATAGTAGCCGCACCAAAAGTAAACATAATAATAATCCCTCGGTACCTGGATAAACAGCTTCTTCGGCTCCGATTCATCGATCTTGCCCTCCTGCCGGTTCCAGCGAGCGCCCTCCATGAAAAGACCGTGGATGTTCTGACCCTCGTCGGGAACGTCTTTGACGCGTTCCACGTCGTACATCAAGATCTCCGTGTGCGTCATCACATCGTCCAACGCCCACTGGTCTTTTTTGTGTTGCCGCGTCACCTCTTGCCGGACGCCAGTCAGGAAACCTAGAAGCAGTTACAATAACGATGATGATCCAGAACGAAATAACAAGTATGCATTATGGGCTGCAGCATCACCGAGCGTAGACCACACAAGGAGTCTCGTCTCGATGTTGGGACACAAATAAGCAACACTTTCAAAGCAAGCGGCCACATAGTACCTTGCGCGTTCGTGAATCCGGTCAACCAGTAGGCTTTCATGTACTGGCGGCCGTTCTCCAGCCAGGTGTTCAGCAAAATTTGTCGGTCCAATAGCCCCGTGAACCAGCCACCGATGTTGGGCATCAACCACGAGATCTCGGCCCCGGACGTATCAAAAGGAAAAACCCCCCCTCCCCATATCAAAACGAAGTTTCTGATGCTGGATTTGGGTACACAAATCAGCTTTGTATTGCAGAGAGGCATTGCGGACAGATCTCCAGGCTAGATAGGGGCGGGCGTGTCTAGTTGTTTAGCATGGCAAACGGCTCCCCTTTAGGCCCAACAGCATCACAAACCGCTTCCAGAATGGGGCTAAAGCTCCTGCCCTTGTCTTCTTGCAAGACAAAAAGGATTTGTGACCTCAAATCAGCAACACAAATTTTCGAAGTCGTGCCTTTTCAATGTGGGGAGGGGGGATTTTTCCTTTCAATAGGACGGATCGTGCGTCCAGCGACTCGGCACCTTGGCGTCGAACACGGAGTTATGGATTGCAAAAGTGTCTGGGTCTGGAACAAGATTGCAACTTGTCATACTAAATCCGAATCATGCAGAAATCTGTGTTGCATGAGTGCCAAAAGCTGTCCACTTTCGACCAAGTTTGGAGGGAGTTTCTCATGCAGGATAGGCATGGCAGAGACCTCGCAGACTCTGTCATGCTAGGTCCCGCATTCCAGACCTCACGGGTCATGAAAAACCTGCATGGCAAGTTTACACTTTTCCAGACCCAGACATTTTTGCATTTGATAGGAGTTCAGGTCCTGCAACAGTTCCGGGGTCATGACCACCGTCCCGTCGATCGCCATGATCAGGGCCTGCAGATTCTGCCGCACGATCCCGATAATGTTCTGCAACCGTTGCAGCTCCTGGAACAGGAAGATGTTCAGCGGCGCCCCGAACCCCTTGTCCGCCACGCCCGGCGGGCCCTTCAGCTTCGTGATAGCCGCGCGGAAGATTTCCTCGACGAAGTCCGGCGGCATTTTCGCCAGGTAGTCGGCGCAGATGTCCTTCACAATCTCGTCGGTGGACTTCCCGGAACCGCCGCCGCTGTCTTTCGGCTGCGTTTCCAGAATGGTCGTCAGCATCTCGCTGGCTTCCTTCAGGCGGTAGGTCAGGTCCGCGTTCGTGTGCAGGCCGAAGATCATGGGCGAGTCGATCGCGGGCACCTGGTCGATGTAGTCCTTGTAGGTGGAGATCTCCAACCCCTCCGGGACCTTGTAGTCGAACTCGGACACGTACTGGTTGAACTTGAAGCCCGGCTTGAAAATCTCCTCGTATCCTGAGTAAAAACGTACCCACACGACCGGAGTCAACGTGGAAAATCTGCTAGACAAATCAGCCAAATTTGGTTGTCTCGCATGACAAATTTGTCCTCGTAGTGTAATCCTGTTGAGCTAGTTCAGCAGCATCACAGATCTAGCATATCATGCTATTTCTAGCATCACAAATCCCAAAACACGACTAGAAAAAGCTTCTCATGGGGCTTCGCATGAGAAACTTTTTTGGCATGCAAATTTGCATGACAACTCTGGGGTGGGGATGTTTTTACTCGGAATACCTCGTTGAACCACTTCAGTGTGTACGTCGCGAAGAGTTCGCGGTCCAGGTCGTCTATCAAGTGTAAAAATGTCTGGGTCTGGAAGATTTCTAGATTTGTCATGCGCATTTTCCATGACGCATGATGTCTGTGATGCATGCCGTAGCATCACAGATTTTTAGAGCGCTTCCTCATGCCTATTCCGCATGACAAATGCCATCTCCGCGGAGCACAAAGTCTACTCCTCTTACTGGTCATGCAATACAAATCTTTTTCGAATCGTCCAGAGACCGCATCACAAGTTTAGATTCTTCCAGACCCAGACATTTTTACAGTTGATATCGTCCGTGATCCTGCCCCCGTACTGCACCTTATCGTACGAAAAAAGTGCTTCACGATGTTGCAAGTTTTGCATCACAAGTTTATTGTACATCACAGAGAAAATTTGCCATGCGAGATTCCTCAGGGAAAACACAGCTAAAAATCCATTGTCTTGCATGTGTAGCAAGACAAACACTTCTCAGATACATTTTCTGCATCACAAGTTTACAGTGAAACAGTTTTTTCGTTGCATACACCTCCGCCACCATGTACTGGATCGTGTTCCACGAAAGCGGCTGCCCGACGGTCACGGTGGAAGACAAGTGCTTCTCCAAAAAGTTCAGGCACGCTTTATGACAGTGAAAAATGCCCTCACCCCCAACGTTTGTGATGCGAAGTTTCCAAATGAAATCTTTTTGTCATGCATGAAAGGAGTACGAATCTTTGTGATGCAGGGTCGAGGCGTATATCGCATCGCTTGCATGACAAGCGCCGCTCTTGCTGGAGTCTCTTGCAATACAGATTTTTGCTCTTCACGGTTGTGAATCTGTGATGCAGATAGATGCAAGATGGCGAATGTTTCATTTGCAAAGGTTTGCAATACAAATGCTCCCAAGTTCGGGGGTGGGGGCACTTTTCATGGTAATACGCTTCCAGATCACTGTTGTTGTACTCGTACGGGATGCACCACCCGATGTATCGCGAGGAAAATTGCCCCCACCCCCAAAGTTGCAAAAATGTGTGATGCGAAGTTTCCAAATGAAAACTTTTTGTTATGCATGACAGGAGTATGAATCTTTCTGATGCAGAGTGTAGGTATGTTTCTGTTTTGTATCGCTTGCATGACAAACGCCGCTCTTGCTGGGATCTTTTGCAATACAAGTTTTTGCTATTCACGGTCGCCAATCTGTGATGCTGATAGATGCAAAAGGGCGAATGTTTCATGTGGAAAGGTTTGCAATGCAAATGCTTTCAAGTTCGGGGGTGGGGGCATTTTTCATTGTAATACGATGGCGCCGAACTTCCGCCGTTCCTGCACGGTGGAGTGCAGGAAGGCCTGGACGAACGTGATAATGCGCCACTTTTCGTGGTCGATCTTGTCTAGCGTCTCCTGGGACATGATCGTCGTGTACGTGCGATACAGACCGGCTTTCAGACCCGCTGGGGGTTCTAGCGTCACCTTGATCGCCATCTGGAGCAAACCGATCGGGAAGGCTTTCGTGATCTCGCACGTGATCCAGAGCCGGAAGTCCTCGCTGATCTCGGGGGTTTTGCCCAAAATATCTTCCTGCTGAGACATGAAGCCGATACCAAGATGGCAGTTCTGCAAAATCACCCACGAGCCGTTCAGGAAGCTGTTGCAGGAGAAGAAAAATTTGAATTTCGCTTTTTCATGCAATTTTTGAGATGTTGCAGGTATAACATTTCACTTTATCATTTTTCTCTGCAAAAATCCTTACGCAAAAGCAAAACTAGGTTACCCGTTCTTCATCTTTTCCATGGCGACGATCTCCTGTCCTTCACCCATGGACACTTTGTCGGTCGGGAACCTCTTCCGCTTCTTCGCCAATTCGTCGATGCTGCTCGTGGGGTCGCTGCCCGCAGTCAGCAAGTACAGGATCGGCTTGCGCGGACCGGACTCCTCAAAGATTTCCGACACCGGATCCGTGACCGGGTCGGTGAAGCGCGAACCCAGCTGCGCGTTGATGAACTGCGCACAGGCGACGGACGTGCGGTCCTCCCGCACGCACCGCACCAGGGTCAGGCGGAGGAAGTACCCCAGGGTCCGCTCCATCACGATGCGCTCCTCGAAGTCAGGCACGGGGCAGGTTTCCGGCTCGTTCTCGTCGAACCACCGCTTCCACGCGGTCTCGTTGCGGGAAATCAGATCAACAATTTCGCGGAAAAACAGCAAATTCTCCGTGCCGAACTGGTGCCTGGACAACTGCAGAATATTCAGCCAGATCTTGTCGCTCAACCACCGGAAGGGGTTCGGCCGTTCCGCCTTCACGTCGAGCGCGGACCCCGCTTTCAAGAAGACCGAGACGTCCGCACTGGTTAAGACGCCCGCAATCACCAGGATCTTCAGCGTCACCATCAGCTTGAACGTCATTTTATCGCGCTCGAACAGGCCGCGGTTCATGTACCGGTAGACCTGGTAGGTGAGGTAGTCGATGATTTTCTCCACGCGTTTCGACGTTGGCTGCACCTTCTCCGACCGCTGCACGGAAATGTCGAACTGCTCGAGAAACTGCATCAGACTGCAGTTGTACATCCACCCAGTCGGCTGCATGGTGATCGGGTTCGAAACCAGCGTCATGTCCGTCATCTGGAAGTACATAATGGACCCGCGTGTGGCCACTGGTCGGAACTGCTCGCGTTTTTCGTTGATCTCGACCTCCTTCTCAGCCGCGTCTTTCAGCTTCTGCGACACCTCTGTCGCTTTCGCCTTCGTGTTCGCGAGAACCGCAATCAGCTCCGTGTCGTCGAGGAGATTCCCCGTGGAATTCGACAGCCGCTCGAGCAGCTGCGCATCGAGAAGTTGCAGCGCCTTCGTGTTGGACGTGACTTCCTCTTTCAAAGCGGATAGCGATTCCTCCAGCGATTTCTGTTCCATCGACAGCACGCGGCCAAGCAACTGCTGCTCCAACCCCTTCAGCGTGACCGTGAAGTCGATCACCGTACACTTCGCGGACAACTCCGGCGAGAAGTGAGGGTTGGGCAGACGGGAGGTCATGAACAGGTAGAAGTTCACGTTGTAGTCCATATTCTGGTCCGAAATGTTGATGTAGAAGTTCTTTTATCAACTGCAAAAATGTCTGGTCTGGAAGAATGCGAGGTCTGTCATGCGTGTCTGGCATGACTGAAAAGTTTGTGATGCGTGTCCAAGATGAGACCCGTTTACTTTTCATGCACAAACCCACTTTGTCATGCGGAAAGCGCAATACTAAGCAGCGCGGATATTTCTCATGCTTGGCTGTGAATTACAGAGCATTCACTCTTCCCAACCCAGCATTACAAGTTTCCAGACCCAGACACTTTTGCATTTCATATCTTTCCCTTCTTGATGATCGCGCGATCAAGCAGGGGGTCCAACATCGGGTCAATGTCGTATCAAAGTGAAAAATGCCCCCACCCCCGAACTTGGAAGCATTTGTACTGCAAACCTTTCCAAATGAAGCATTCGCCCTCTTGCATCTATCAGCATCACAGATTTCCCATCGTGAATAGCAAAAATTTGTATTGCAAAAGACCCCAGCAAGAGTGGCGCTTTTCATGCAAGCGATGCGATACACACCCAGACTCTGCATCAGAAAGATTCGTACTTCTTTCTTTCATGCATGACAAAAAGTTTTCATTTGGAAACTTCGCATCACAAATTTTTGCGACTTTGGGGGTGGGGGCATTTTTCACTGTAATATGTCGTTCTCGACGTTCTCGATGAGCAGGACCAGCCCCTCGCCCATGGTGAACTCGATGAAGTCTTTCAGCCGCGGGTTCGCCAACGTGGTGATGCTCATGCCGTGGCTCATGGAGATGCGCTCCGCCTCCCGGCTCTTGATCCAGCGGTTAGCCTGGCCCTGCGGGTCGACCATCAAGGGGTAGCGGGAGGACCGGGTCACCATGATCCCGTTCTGAATGGAAAGATCATCCGCGGGCAATCCCTGCAGCGTCCACTCCCCAACCGTGCCCTGGTCGACCAGAAACCCGACCAGGTCCATCTGCGTGCTGGCCGGCACCTGGCGCCGCACCGTTTCCGCGAAGAAGTACTCGGTGTTCAGCTTCTCCCTGAATTCCGCGTTGAAGGGTCCGCAAAACGTCACGAACGCGCAGGCGAGCGCAATGTCGCCGACGAGCCGAACCCGTCGGATCGCGAAGTTCTTGGAGTCCTCGGTCCACCGTGCGTTCTCGCCGGACAACCCGTTCAGCAGCGCGTTCGCGGCGTCCATCTTCTTCTTCATGGCGGTGGCGTTCTGCTCCAACACGTTCTTTTTGTCCATCGCCTCCTGCAGTTGCGCATCCAAGACGGCCACTTCGCCCATCACCTTCGCCAAAGACTCCTCCGCCTCGGCGAGCTCGGCCATAGCCTTGTCAAGTTTCGCTTCCTGGACCTTCAAAAAGTTCAGTTTTGGTGTGACGATCTTGGCCGCGCCGTGGTACATCACCATGGCGCCGACAAACTTGCACAAACCCTCCGCAGCGCCCGACGCCTTCTTCGCGACCGCCGGGTCCAGAATCCGGTGCGCCGCCCACGGGCACCAGTTCTTCGCCGGATTGTCGGAATGCCGCAAGTAGGGCTCTAAAAGCTCACACGTTTCGTCGTTGATGTTGTTCTTCTCGTTCTCGGCGAAGTCGAGCAGCGACGGCAAAAACCGCATGTCGGACAGCGTGAACTTGGTGAACTCTTGGAAGGAGTCCGCGATGAAGGTTCCGTCCGTCTTCGCGATGTTGAACTGTTTTGGCGCGGGGTCGACCACTTTTTGCAACATCAAAATCGCAAGACCGTCGAACGTCAGCTTGATCACGTCCGTGGGGTTTTTGTTCGTCTTCAATTCCGTGATGTCCTTCGGGGTGATGGACTTGCAGGCCGCTTCTGCCTCGTGCAAAAACGGCATGGCCTTCTTCAATTCCTCCTCCGCCGACGCCTTCTCGACGGAAATCATGTCCGCCGACTCCTGGCACGCCGCCTTCTGCACGCCGACCTCCCCGGCCTTCTTCTCCGCCTTCGCCTTTTCCCGCTGCACCGTGGCAAGCAGCTTGTTGGTCTTCTCCTCCTCGACCGCCAGCACTTTCGACGCCTCTTTCAGTTCCGCCTTCATCTCCTCCACCTGCTTGGCCGCACCGGCGAGCTTTTCCAACCCCGTGTTCACGGACTTCTCCTGCGTGTTGACCTCGTCGTACTTCACCTTGTACAGCTTCTTGTAGAACTCGATGAGGCAAAGGAACGTTTTCGGCGTGACATACACGTGCTTCCGCATCCGCTGAAAATACAGACTGCACACGTCGTTCACCTGCGCTTGAAAACTCCCCAGAAGCGCGTACAAGCCCTGTTTGTGCTCTTTGGTCGCGTCGATGTCAAACTTGGACAAGAAAGAGGACGACACGGCGACCAGCGCCTCCGGCGGCCAGGGCAGGAACCAGTTGATGGACACCGCGGAGAACACGGCGGGGAACTTCTGCGCCCGGATGGGAAACTTCTCGTTCATCGGACTGAAGCAGAGGATGATGTGCAGGTTGTCGCGCAGCCGGTCGAGGAAGTACCGGTAGAGGTTGGGGACGGACTCCTCCATATCCTGTGTAAAAACATCCCCACCCCAGAGTTGTCTTGCAGAAATGCCAGCACACGCGCACTTGTAATGCGCATCCCCATGATAGGCATTCCCGATCGTGTTTTGGAACTTGTAATGCGGTAAACAGGATAAGCAGATGGATTTGTGATGCGACTTCCCTTGCTAAACTGCATTACGATCATACAGCCTGCAATTTGTCATGCGTGGTTCCCAAAACTTCAAGGTTTGTGTTGCAAAATCCCCATCTTGACTCTGGGTTCGGGACGTTTTTACATGTGATACTCTACCCCAGGGCAATCGCGGACGAAGTCGTTGCGGCAGTCTGCAGCCTATGGATTGTAAAAATGTCTGGGTCTGGAAGCAGGTTGCAACTTGTCATGCTATGTTTCGACTCCAAAAAGATTTGTATTGCATGACCAGCAAGAGGAGTCCAGTTTTTGCTACGTGGGGAGGGCATTTGTCATGCGGAATAGGCATCAGGAGGCCTTCTAAAAATCTGTGATGCTAGGTCCCGCATTCCAGACCTCATGGGTCATGGGAAACCTGCATGACAGACATGCACTTTTCCAGACCCAGACATTTTTACAGTTGATACAGCCATGCCGTCGCGCTCGTCCTTCTGGAACAGGCCGACCACCTCACCGGTGGCGAGGATGCTGTTCAAGTACTCCAAGAAACCCTCGTTCTTCACCTCCGCGTCCGTGAAGAGGAACGCCACCGGCTCGTTCTTGGCCCCCGCCGCCACGTAGAGCGCCCGCAAGTCCTCGAAGAGCGCGTTGTCGTTGTAGGTTTTGGTGATGGTAATCTGAAAGGACTTCTGGCGGGAGATGTAGGAGGAGAGTCGGGTTAGCGACTGTTTGCCCGAACCACCGACACCGACCAGCATCGCGGACCCGCGCGGAAACTGGATGATCCGATTGATCCGCATCATGTACTTCATGGCGTCATCGAACAAGACGAGATTCATCTGCTTCGCCGGAAACTGTTCGTTGAACTTGGTGAGGTACTCGTACGCCTTGTTCCGGACAAATTCCATGGACTTCATCGGTTCGTACACCTTCGGCGCGGGGATCTCCTCCCCCGTCTCCGGGTCCTCCCCGCCGTCGCGCTGGAAGTCGGCCCACCACATGGCGCTGTCCATCACGCGGTCGCTCATGTCCTCGCCGAAGTGCTGCTGCATGTTCTCGCCGACGACTTTGTCCACGAAGTCCTTGTCCTGCTGCCGCGCCAGTTTGTCCGCAAAAACGCGCGTGGTCTCGTGCCGCCAGAGCGAACCGAGCTTCACCTCGTCCGCCCCGACCGCGGAAGAGGGCGTTTCCAGGATGCCCTGAAACACCCGGCTCAGCTCGCGCATGTTGAAGATGTAGTGGAAGCGGGCGGGCGTCGGCAGCAAGTTCTTCCCCACCGTCTTCCACACGTCGATCGTGATCGCAGTCAGCTTCTTCGATACCTCGATCACCCGCTCCCCGAACCCGTTCTTCGGCGTGAAGCGGGCGCGCATGATGGACCCATAGATGTTATCGACGGACACGACCGACGGGAGCACCATGTTGAAAGAGAAGAACTTGGACTTCAGCCGATTCGGGATGTCGTTCCGTCCCCCGCCCGGGTGGCCCATGGCGCCGATAAAGGAAAGGCTCTCCACGACCTTGAAGTCCCCCCGCTTGTCTTTGTCTAAGAAGTAGAACCCGCCGAACTCCATCAGCTGCCGCGACAGCTCGTTGGTCACCTGATCGCCCCACTTGTTCACGATCGGCATGGACAGATCATCCAAAAACAAAGTCATCTGCTTCCCGCCTGGGGGGCAGAACGTCTTTCCGGTCTTCCGCTCCACTTCCGCTTCCACGGTGCGCTGGAAGTTCAGGGGCGTGGTCGCGGAGGAGAAGTTGATCCGCTTCGACAGCATCGTGTCCATCGAGAACCTGGCACAGTACATCAGCGCAGTGCTGGTCTTCGCCGTACCGGCCGCACCCACCAAGAGGGTGGATTTGTACACGGTCGGCGTGCGGACCTTGTCGTAGTTGGCGATCACGTCGATCAGATATTCCGCTCGGGTGCTGTCCAGTGTCGGAATCAGCAAGGAGGAAAACACCAATTTCTTCGGGGCTTTCCACTGCTCCGTCTGCCACCGCACTTATCCAAACGAACTGCATAAATCAACCCCTAGTAGTACCACAACCGTCTCTAATGATCTGTCCCGGTAGATTCATACATGCTTGACTGCAAGTACAACAACTGCAATACCGAGAGTGATTGGCTTCGGTGACACATCAGACATCACAAGAAGAGTTTCTGTATACGACCCTCTCAAGCCACGTTCTAACGATGAAAAAAGCTGAAGAGAGAATGGTCGATAAGTGGAACTTGGCTGTGATGTAGTTTTGGGGTCAATTTCTCCTTTTGATAGCATCCATTGCTTGGTCTTGGTACTGGGATCCGGCACGTAGTCGAAGATATTTTCGCCGTTCTCGCAGGGCGGGACTGCGTCTAAATGCTTGTGCATCTTCAACACCTCCAACATCTTTTCATAGAACTTCTGCCGCTCCTCCGGCTCGCACAACCCGGCGAAGCCCCAGCAGAGGGAAAAGAAAAAGATGCGACGGTACGCATCGGGGGCCAGAACCTCGTTGGACTGGCAGTGCGGATGCAACATCGCGGAGAGCAAGTTGAGCACGTTGGTAATGATAATCGCGTCGTTCGCCGGCATCACAGTGACCGTGTTCCGGGTCTGGTAATCGAACAAGTCGTTCACCGGCCCGGCGTTGGGCGGCGGGGTGGAGAGCCACTTATCGAACAAATCTTTCATGATGGTTGCCTCCTCGGTGCGGTTTTGCCCGAGCTCCACCCGTTTGGCCAACCAGGAATCTGCCACCGGACGCCACCCGAGGTCAGAGGCCGAGATGTAGATAATCCCCGCTCGGGAGACTGTCGCGGGCGAGGCGTTCCGCAAGTTCTCCACCTCGAACACAATGCGGCAGTTGTCGGTCATCGGAATGCGATCGTTGTTGGCCAAAGTGAGAATCTTGTTGTCGTCCAACACCGTGTTCAAGTTCTCGATCCAGATCGCGTCGACCGGCCCGTCGCAGACGATCCAGGTCGTGTACTTCAACGTTCGATTGTTATACTTTTGCCAAATCGAGGCAAACACGCCGGGCGTCCACTCCTCGGAGATCGGATCCTTGATCCCGTACATCTGAGAATCCGTGATCGCCTTGGGGTTCATCACCTGCACTCGGTGCGCGTTGTTGTTTTCTGTGTGGCACGTCGTCAGAGTGGTCATAATCTCGGTTTTCCCGCACAAAGTCGGCCCCACAAGCATGAACCCGTGGCGGACAAGCGAGGTTTCGTACAGCTGGACGATCTTCAGCATCCAGGGACCGAAAAGAGAAAGCTTTTTCCGCTTCACAATCTTCTGCGAGCCGGACTCCACTTCGGGATAGACCTTCTTCGGTGGCTCCTGCGTCTTCGGGAACAAATCCTTTAGCAGGGCCAAAAACAGCGGCACGTCATCCGCGACGAGCTTGGACAAGTTCATATCGCGAGCGGTGCGCATAAACAACATTTCCTCGTCGGCGTCGGCCGGCTCGGATCGCTTCACGGTACCGGAGGTTCGCAGCACGGAGAGAATGTTCCGCAAACCGAAATCGTAGTGGCGCTGCTTGGACAGCTGCTGCTCGCACAGCGCGTACAAGATGCAGAACTTCTTCCCCAGAATGTCCATCAAACTGTACCCCACGGAGGCCAGTTTCACTTTCATGATCGTCTCGCGGTTCGGCATCATCATGGAAACGGAGCGGAACAGCACTTTCAAGTTTTCCGGTAGTTCCTGGCGCCCGGCGTAACCCGGGTTCATGGTGATGAAGTAACCCACCGCGGGGACAAGTTTGATCGGCTCCCGTTCGCCCGGGAACATGAAGGACTTCACGTTCTGGCGCTTCGCCTGGGTGATGGACTCGACCTGCATCGCCACAACGGACAGCACTTCCAGTTCAATGCGGTTGAACTCGTCGAAGCAGCCCCAGAGGCCGGACATGCACAAGCCCTTGAAGATCTTCGCCATGTCGCGAAACCGGTGCTGGTCGCTGCAGTTGGTCACGACGACAAAGACACCCAGCGTTCGGCCCATATCCTTCACCGTCTCCGTCTTCCCGGTCCCCGCCGGGCCGGCCGGCGCGCCACCAAGGAACATCCCGAGCGCCTGCGACAAAGTCACGTAGCACCTGTCCGTCAGCGCGGTGATGCACAACCGCTCTTTGCAGCCCAGGTACTCGTAGCTGTAGGTGAAGTCCACGTCGGCGATCGAGATGCGCACGTGCTCCATGTCCGCCTTCCAGTACAGCCGGGTCTGTTTCAGCCACTCGAAGTCGTTCTCGTCCTTCACCTTGTGCTCCTTGACCTTCTTCCACACTTCCTGGTACAAGTCCTTCTGGTGGACGTGCACGGTAACCAAGGTTTCGAACTTCGTGCGGTTCATCGTCGATCCCAGGTCCGTCAAGCAAATCCCGACCAGATCCTGCATCATCTGGCAAAATTTCTTGTTCGTCGTGGCCATGATGGTTTTGTCCCGCTCCTTGCTCATCTTCATCAGCGCCTCCTGGAAGTCGAAGGTCCAGATCACCTGGATCCCGAGCAAAGCCACCTGCGCGATGTAGCGGTCGGAGAAGTCCTTCACGGAGAGCCCCTGCAGAATGTTGCCGCAGTCCACACAGGCGATCTTGCACTCCTTGCGGACGGACCGCTGCATTTCCGCCTCCAAGGCGTTCAACCAGTCCTCGATGTTGCCCACACATATGGTCGGCTGCACCAGTTTCACGGTCTCCTCGGCCATGCCGGCGACGGACTTGATCTGGATGATCTTCTTCTTGTCCTTCGGGTCGAACGTGACCTTCGAGATCGAATCGAACAACTTCTCGAAGTCGTCCTGGATCTGCTCCGGGTCGGACCCTTGGGATAAAATTTTTAGCAGCGCCGGGTCACTCGTGAAGTAGAACCGCGGGAACTTGTTCCGCTTCCCCTCCAGGTACGACTCCAGCGACTTTTGGCACGCTTCCAGTCCTTGGGAGAGAACCGGCAGCATCTGCTTCAGCATGTCGTTCTGGCAGCACTGGACCACGTTCCTCAACTCCGCGGATTTACCCATGATCTTCACCCAGTCCTTGTCGATTTGCTGAAACTTCTTCGCCTCCATCGGCATCTGCTTCATGATATCTCCGGCAAGAAACACACTCTCCAAACTGGTCCACAGCTGCTGCACCTTGAACCACTTCTCGATCGTGTCCGCGGTGTCGGACAAAGTCGTCGTGATCGCACCGAGCTCCTCCTTGAACGGCATGGAGTGCCTGATATGAGTCACGTTATTTTTGGGAAAGTTTTTTTCATTTATGCCGACAGAAATTTTCGTGAGCTGATAAGGCCGGCGCCTAGTAGTTGTACAATCAAAAACACAAATAGCTTCACGCACTAAAGGAACAAAAAATTCAGAGCGAAGGCTCGGAACAAGTTGTACCTTTGCGCGTTCATGGTGTTCAGGGCCATGATGGTCTCTTCCAGCAGTTCCTGGATCTCCACCACTTTCCCGCCCGCCAAGCAACAGGGGTAGTCCCGCGCTTTCCAGGTGGAGAACTCGAAGCAGTATTCGCTCCACTGCTGGCTGATTTCCGCGAGCTTCCGCTCGATCACCAGCTGCTTGTCGGCGCTTTCGCAGATGTCGTTCACCTCATCGGCGTACTCGTTCAAATTCGCGTCAATCAAGCTCTGAAGTTTAAAATTCTCGCTGTCAATCGGAAGGTCCTTGCCAGTCAGGTCCATTACCTGCTTCCAGTGTCGCGACATGATGGATTTCTTGGACAGCTCCAAAAACAGCGGAAGAACTTCACTGAAATCATCAATCTGCTTCTTCAGCTCGTGGTATGCCTCCCAGTCGCGGAGAACCTGATGTCACGTGAGTGTGAAAAAGAAATTCGAAATACGATTCCCGCTTAACAAAATATCTCGCTGTTCCTATTTCGATGCCACGCACGACACGGAAACAACTGCATTTCTCTTGTTCTACGCCACAACTCTCTACCTTCGGCATGCGCTTGCAACGGGCCTGAAACTTTTCCGTCGTCGCGCTCATTTTTTCCATGTGCTCCGGCACATCCTGCCACAGGAGCTCCTTCCAGTCACGGATTGTGTCCAGCACAACCACGTACAAGTCGTACAGCTGCGACAGGTACGCTAATTCCGACTCGGTCTTCTCGAGTTGCGGGTACTGTTGGTGCGGCAACCCGAACAGGTCCTCGCCCAACCGGTAGATCTGCCGCTTCCGGTTGCGAATATCAAATTCCTCCTGGAACCGGCGCAGCCGCTCCACGGCCTTGGCCGGCGGGATGCCGCGCACCATGGGCCCGTTGCGCTCGTAGTGCTCCCGGAAGACACGCACATCCTTCTTAAACGTGTTCACGGTCGTGATCAGCATACGCTTGTGCTCGGCCTGCTGCTTGGACAAGTGTTCCTGCCGGGACTCGCTGTCCTGGAGCAACTTGTCCCAGTTGTTACGGAGCATGGAGCGCTGGTCCTGCTCGTCCTTGTCAATCATGTTGGGCACGTACTGGTCCAAAATCTGGTACATGTGGGTGATCGGCCCGAACTCCAGCTCGATCTCGGACTGCTTCGCCCGCACCTCTTGCAGGGTCTGCATCACGTACCCCAGCGCGTCGATGTCACCCTCGGCGACCTCACGGTGCAACCGCTTTGTCGTGTGCTTCACCATCTCGCCGACGGTGTCTAGCCTCACTCGCGCGTTATGGTGCAGTTTTCTCGCAAACGAGGTCTTCCACTTCTCGGCGAGCTCCCCCAGGTTCTGCATCAGGTTCTCCGTCTTCAGCGACAACGCCCCGATTTGCGTCGCCTTCTCCACACTATTGGCGTCTTCCGCGTGGCGGAGGAATTCCTTCAGCTTGCCCTCGAACTCCTGCAGCGACGGGCTGCCCTTCTGGAACTCGTCGTAGTCTTCCTCGACGTTCTTCGTCCACAGAGAGCTAAACCGCGCAAACTTCGCCACAAACTTGTCGCACTCCTTCCTCGCGCCGTTAACGCTCCCGGTGAGGAGAAGGATGACCTTCAAAATTTCCTTGTCCTGCGCGATGCGGTCGTAGTAGGTGCCCTGCACGCCGCTGCCCACCACCGGGGGCAGATTCGGATTGATCACCAGCTGCACATTCTTCGGGATGGTCACCGTGTCCCACGCGTCGATCATCTTGCTGCACTTCAGCACGGCAACCGCGCCCTGGTTCACCGCGTTCTGGATGTCCGCCACGGACGGCTTCAGTCGCACGCCGATGCTATCAAATGTAAAAATGTCCGGGTCTGGAAGATTGTGAGATTTGTCATGCATATTTCGGATCACGCAAATGGCGTCTGATGCAGGCAAAAGCATCACAGGTTTTGAGCACGTCTCATGATGCCTGTCCCGCATGAGAAACTTCCTACTTGCGTGCCAAGAAATGGACAGCTTTTGGCGCTCATGCAACACAAATATTTGTATGTTCCAGAGTTTGCATCACAAGTTCCAACCCTTCCAGACCCAGACATTTTTACTCTTGATAGATGCCGTCCAGTTGCAACTCAACCTCGAAAAACGGCGGCAGCAGGCTGTGCTTGCCGTAACCGCCGAGACTACCGCCTTGAGTATTTTGATAGCATTTTCACAAAATTAAGAATCAAATTTGAACCGCAAAGTTGTCAAAAGATGAAGCAACGAACACGAAGACTAAAGCATGAAAAACAGCACATAGCAAAAACTGCAATAAAAATATGCTTCTTACCATAATCACCTCCGTCACTGTCCGGAGAGTCGGCTTTCCCCCCCGCTGGCGTGATGGGACTCTCGATTGTGGTCGGACCGGCAAGGGCCATCAATTTCGACGCGGCGTTTCCCGCTGCGGAAGACGCGTGGTCGGCGACCCGCGCGACCGCCAACCGCGTTTTGATCGCGGACAAGCTTCTTCGCGTCGCGTTCAAGATTGCCTGGTACATGGACCAGTTGTAGTGCGCCTTCACCTTGATGATCTCGGATTCGCTGACCCCCCGGACGTGCGGGTCGATCGGGAACCCGACAATCTGGCCCAGCAAATCGTCCACCGAAGCCTCGATCTCGATGCTCTTCGCCATGAGATAGTGTGTCATTTCCCGCACGTGCCTTTCTTGCGACTCGATGAAGTCGTCGAGATGGATGGCCTCGCCCTCCTCCGGCATCTGGACCAGCAAAATTCTCGCGACGTGCTTCAGATTCGCGTCCACGCGGTTTTCCATGATGTCGTTTGCGGTCAAAACGAGTTATCCTGAGTAAAAACGTCCCCACACCAGAGTCAAGATGGGGACTTCGCAACACAAACCTAGAAGTTTTGGCTGTTTCGCATGACAAGTTTGGACTCGTAGTGTAGTCCTGTTAGAGGTAGTGCATACGCATCACAAATCGACTATCTCGTCGCGATTCCACCATCACAAACCTTCAGACAGCATTAGAAAATGGCTCTCATGCGGCTGCGCATGAGAAACATTTTAGGCATGCCACTTTGCATGACAACTCTGGGGTGGGGACGTTTTTGCACATGATACAAGTTGCTCCAGCTTCTTCAGTTCCCGCCACACGTTCGCCAAGTACGACTCGATGTTCATACTGGTCCAAGTCAGCGTCACCATGCCGGGTCGTAGCTGGAATTCCAAGTTGTCCAAATGCGGCTTCAGCAAGTTCGATGCGATCGGGCGCACCATCTGGACCACGCGTCGGTACTCGCGCAGGATGAAAGACAACTCGTTGTAGTAGCCCTTGAACTTCGATTCTTGCAGCAGAACCATCTTCGCGGACTCCGGGATCTCGATCCCCATGCGGTCGAGGCACTTCGTCTCGCGGATCAATTGCAGAATCTCCCAGTCGAAGTTGACGTGGAGCTTCCCGTCGTCCGGGTGCCGGACGATCAGCGTGGCCTGCAGCCCGGACTTCGCAACCTCGACCGAGTGCACCCAGGCCTGGTACCACAGGGTTTCGAACTCGACCAACGTTTTCGCCATCTTGTTGTACATCCGGATGATCTTCTTCGCGTCCTTGCCCGCCAAAACGGACGGGTTCGTCTGAAATTTCTTCATCGGCTCCTCGATGCGCTTCAGCAAGTGCCGCGACCAGGTGATGTTACCCGCAACCGGCGGCAGGTTGCGCACCAGCGGCGGCGCGCCTTTGTTGTCTTCGTACGTGGTCTGCACTTGCGTCAGCTCCAGGCCGTAATTGTGGAAGATCACGGTAAACTTGGAGTCCAGGTCCGCACGCAGGGTCTCTCGCTGCAGAATCGATTGGAACTTCTTCAGCAGGTTCAGCGATGTCGTGATCGAGGTAATGGACTCGAAGGAGTGGTTGATAAACTGCTGCAGCGCGGCCTCCAGATCCGCAATTCGGACGTTGAACTCGACGTAGTCGCGGTCAAATTTGTTGTTGTGAAAATCGAGTAAGTTGTGATTTTTGTTCTTAAACTCCTCGAGGATCGTCTTGAACGATTCTACCAGTTGGTCCATGCCGTCGAATTTGTAGGCCCCTAGGGACTGGAACTGGTAAATCGTGGAAAACATGTCGATCAACTTCACCACCCTGCGGCAGAACAGCTGCAACCGGCCGAAAATCAGCGTCTCGGAGAAGTCGAACTGCTTGCCCTTCGGCAGCGTTGCCAGTTTGTCCTTCACGCGGCGGAACTCTTCCATGTAGGAAATTTCCATCCGCAAACAGCACTCGAGATTGCGAATCAGCGTGATCGGATCTTGGTCCCACAGCGCCTCGGGGCCGGTGTTCTGCTCGCCGGTCTCTGGGTCGACGCCCAGAATGCAGGTTTTGCAGTTCAGAATCATCTGGTTGGTCACCTTCGTCAGCAAGTTCGTCATCCGCTCCGTCGTGTTGTAGTAGCGCGCGATCGTGTGGATCATCTTGCAAGCATTCATCAACGCGGGGAGGCAGTCAATCACGTTGTTCGGTGTACCGGTGTAGAGAGGTTCCAAGAACTTTTCCAGCGTGGTCAGATACTTGACATTGTCCTTCGCTTCGTTGTAGGACTCCGTGATCTGAATATCGATCGCCTTCCAGCGACGCAACGTGTTGAAAACCGGCTGCCGCGCTTTCGATTCGGCGTTCATGCGCGTGACAGCGTGCAGAACTCCGAACACGTTTTTGCACTCCCTAGATTTCAGATGCTCCGTGATAGAGGTAATTTGCTGCATGCGGTAGCGCCAATACTCAAGCTCGGACCTAGGGCCGAGCCCGTCGCCACTGCCGCTCGTCAGCGTCATACCGCCCGCGCTGCCCCCCGGATCGTCCGAATCGAGGGTTTCTTCGAGGTACCTTTGTTGTTCAATAAACAAACCCCACAGTAATTTTACGATTTAACTCAATTCAACAGAGCTGCATGAAAAGAAGAGGCAGAAACACATCCCAATCCCTTCGAGGAAGATCTGCTACCGCAAGATGATAATGCCTGCATCGGCAAATACCGCTCGATCTGCCGGCACCACTCCTCCAGCACCTGCTCGAAGTGCGTGACAATGTCGGGGTGCTCCTTGACAATGTCGTGGTAGGTGGTAACCCGGGGATCGATCTGGTACTGCGGATCCAGCTTTTTCAGCTCAATCCCGCCCGACAGACTCTTGATCGCTTCGGTGAGCTCGGAGGTAAATTTTGTGAACGTCGACGAAAACTCCGCCCGGTGCTCCGCGTCCACGGCCCCGAAGACCTGCTTCAGCACCTTCTCCTTGTTTTGCTCCGCGCTCGCATTACTTCCCGGCTGCGCGGCAGCGTCGGCGCCCCCGTAGTCCATGTACTTCTTCACGCAGGGCAAAAAGATGTTCTTCAAACTCGTGTGCAGCGATTCTAGCGGTTGCGCAGCGATCTCCCCAAAGAGCAAGTCGCCATCGGTGCTGACATCCACCTTGATGGGCTTGTCCACCGCACCGGCACCCCGCAGAAAGTAGCAGGCTTTCGATTTCAGCCGCTCCGTCTCACCGTGGGACAGCAGCACGCGGGCCTCGCCGGGCCCGTCCACGTACTCCCCGGCCTCGTTCAGCATGTCTGGTTTCTGGAAGTAGAGGAACAGGTGCTGGCGCTTGGACTTACCTTCCAAAAATTCCGTCAGTTTCTTGAAGTTCTGGGGCTCCCGGAACGACTCCTCCATTTTCCGCACCTTTTCATCGTACGTTTTTGGCCCATTGTTCCCCTGAAAGATGGACAGCGCCGCTGTCTCGGCCATCCAACGATGCCGACTATGCAGCGACATGGTCGGCGACGCGGGCGGCGGTGCTGATGAAACGCGGTTTCCCTTCAACGATCCAGCAGTTCACGTTGTTTTTTTAAGCTTTAGCTAGGATAGTTTACGAAACAACACACAGCAGCTCAGACTACTTCGTACTTCTACAGCTCCTTTGACCCTAACGGTTCGATGGAATTTCGTATCTTTGCTAGCGGAGTAGAACTAGAAACCTAAAGTACAAAGAGCGGACTAAAAACCGAAGGCCTGAATCGCTCACTGGAAAAAAAACGGAAGAAGAAAGCACCCCGACACCGACCACTGCTACCGAAACGAGAAAAAAATTACGCGATTGTATTTTTCACCGAGGACGGGTTATCGCTGCTTTAAGCGGGGAAAAAACGCTTGATCTGAACAACAGTTGAAAATGTGGCAAAAACCTTCATAGGTGGCTACGGCAGCGGCAATTTTTTTCACAAATCCACATTAGAGCGACTCCATTCAAGACTCCTGGAAAATTTGTGCGCGCTCCCAGATTCCTACTTTCCTATTCACAATAAAGATTTTATTTGTATTTCTGGGAATCGAAACGATTAGAATCGAAACCATATTAACAACTATTGTAGGTGGTGCTCATCTTCTCGGATATTTATCCTCCTAGCACTTCCAGCAGTAGCGGCGATTGTTTTACCATGTGCGGTGCCAAGAATAGGGCGATAAATTCTTGCAAAGGAAGCTCGATATTCAAAAGTATTCAGAACTGGTGAAACAAGCTCTGGTAAACTGGTTGTTACAAGTTAGCAGATTTTTGTACTTCGTCTTCACATAAGCACTACTAAAAGCGTACTTTTTCTAGTGGCGGCGTTCCGTGTTTTCTCGTGCATCGTATCTGTAACTGTAGATATTTTTTTTCTTTGAAACTCAGTAGCTTTTCATTGCAACGTAACTCATCTTCCGATAATGTTTTCTCTAGTCATCGCGGCGGCTATCGGTGCAGATTCAATACAAATTCCTCGTGCGCTGGTGGTGGAGTTAGTTGTTTTCGCTGTTGTGAAACAGGTCGAATTGTGAATTTTTTTTCCAGTCTGCGTGTTCTGAATACTTCGTCATTAGATCGTTGTAAAGGCAGTAGAAACTTATATTTTTTCGGAGGAAGAAATACAATTTCGAGTTTACCTTCTAATCTAGTTTAGAAAATTCTTGGAATCACTACTAGCGAACTCAGGGCAGATAGGAGTAGGCTAGAAGTGGTTAGCGTACCAAAATTCATAATTCAACCTACTGACTCTCCCCAGGAAAGTCAGGACCCGGTAGTGATGATTTATCATAATTCTGTGCAAGTTATTGTATTGATTCTGTCTTAACGAAATTTCAAGTACATAAAAGCACTTTTTTGTCTGATTCTGAACTATCAAGGAAACATTAACAAGAGAGTAACGAAACAATGAGAAAATAATTTTATTTTGTCGCTGTAAACGCTTTGAACGAGTACAGCAGTCTGATTTTGTCTGACTAGAAATTCTGATTTCTTCGAAACTGATAACAAGATAATTTTTTTCCTAAACCCTCCTAAACCCCTATACTTGGTATAATAACTTCCTTTCTTTCCACTTTCGCCTGTATAATTTTCTGCTTACTCGGTCTGCGCCAGCAGACAGGTTCCACGCAGCTTCCAGTGCGAGGCGTGAATATCGGTCTTCAGGAGCAGGCGGAAGATGAGGTACCTGTCGTTGCGCTTGGGGTATTTGTAGACGGCGCAGTTGTAGGGCGTGACCGACCCGTACATACCCGCTAACGCCTTCTTTTCCTTGATCGTGACCGCGGTGAGGTAGATCACCGGCATGTTGGTGAACAGTTTCTTGGGCTCGGACTCGTCGATCTTACCCTCCTGTCGATTCCACCGGCTGCCCTCCATGAAGAGCCCGTGGAAGTGCTGCCCCTCCTCCGGCACGTCCTTGGCCTTCTCCGGGTCGTAGGTTTGCACCTCGGTGTGATTCATCACGTCATCCAATGCCCACTGATCCTTCTTGTGCTGACGGGTCACCTCTTGACGCACACCGGTCAGAAAACCTGTGTAAAATTATTTGTGAAAAAGTGATTCAAATTTGCAGATCGTCTCACGAAACAAAATGCATACGCCGAGGTTCTACAAACATCATCGTCACGCTCGCCCTCGCGCCAGTACTCTTTCTGTTTCTGTGCAAGAAGTGAAATGAATGAAACGCATGATGATCATTTCAATTTACCTTGCGCGTTCGTGAACCCGGTCAACCAGTAGGATTTCATGAAGCCGCGGCCGTTCTCGAGCCAGTTGTAGAGGAGGCTGTGGCGCTCGACCAAGCCCGTGTACCAGGTACCGATGGACGGCGACAACCACGAGATCTCCGCGCCAGACGGGTCGTGGGTCCACCGCCCCGGCACCTTGGCGTCGAACACGGAGTTCAGGTCCTGCAGCAGTTCCGGCGTCATCACCACGGTACCGTCGATGGCCATCACCAAGTTCTCCAGGTTGGAGCGCACGATGGCGATGATGTTCTGCAGTCGCTGCAACTCCTGGAACAAGAAGATGTTCAGCGGGGCCCCAAATCCCTTATCGGGCGTGTTCGGCGGTCCCTTCAGCTTCGCGATCTGCGCACGGAACACCTCCTCGACGAAGTCCGGCGGGCACTTGGCCTTGTAGTCGTTGGCGATGTCCTTCACGATCTCATCCATGGACTTGCCGGCGCCACCGCCGCTGTCCTTCGGCTGCGTCTCCATGATCGACTGCAGCATCTCCGCGGCCTCCTTCAGCCGGTAGGTCAAATCGGCGTTGGTGTGCAGCCCGAAGATCATCGGGGAGTCCACCGGCGGCATGGTGTCGATGTAGTCGCGGTAGTCCTGGATTTCCAGTCCGGACGGCAGCTTGTAGTTGAACTCCGAGGCGTAGTTGTTAAACAAAAAGCCCGGCTTGAACATGTCCTCGTTCATCCACTTCTCCGTGTAGGTAACTGTGTTTTGGTGTCGCGGGAAGGATTTGCTCACTTCTACCAGATTTTTGCATTTTCATGTGTCGAACTCGTTCACATCATTCTAGTAGTTCCACTTCTGAAAATTAGGCTGAATAAAGAGCAGAAAAGCGGCACAACACATAGTCAAGAAGATCATAAAAAAAGATTCATTACTGAACAGCTCGCGATCCAAGTCGTCCGTGATCCTGCCACCGTACTGCACCTCGGCGACCATGTACTGGATGGTAACCCAGGACAGTGGCTGTCCGACTGTGATCGTGGTCGACAAGTGCTTTTCGAGGAACATCAGGCAGGCCTCCAGGTCACTGTTGTTGTACTCGTACGGGACGCACCAGCCGATCGGTCCGAACTTGCGGCGCTCCTGCACCACGGAGTGCAGGAAGGACTGCACGAAGGTGATCTGCCGCCACTTCTCGTGGTCGATCTTTTCGAGCGCCTCCTGCGACATGATGGTCGTGTAGGTACGGAACAAACCGGCCTTCAGACCCGCCGGCGGCTCGGCAGTGACCTTGATGGACATCTTATCAAAGTGAAAAAAGCTCCCACCCCACATCGGAAACGGAAGATGCGCGAATTTGTGATGCTGTATTTGAGTACACAAATCGACTTGTATTGCTAGAAGGCCAAGAGACGAAGCTGCGGCCTAAATTGCAGGTAATCTGTCATGCTGTTTCCCACTTCCAGTTGCCTCCTGTCATCTTGGAGCTGCAAGGCTTTCCCACGCTAGGCAGCAGCACTACAGTCCGCATCTTTTGTCTTCTAGCATCACAAAGCTGATTTGTGACCACAAATCTGCATCACAGATTTCCGTTTTGATATGGGGAGGGGGCATTTTTCATTGTAATACATCTGCAGCAGCCCGATCGGGAACGCGCGGGTGATCTCGACGGTCAGCCACAGACGGAAGTCCTCGTGGATTTCCGGCGTCTTCGTCAAAATATCCTCCTGCTGGTTCATGAAACCGATACCCAAGTGGCAGTTTTGGAGGATCACCCACGAACCGATCAGAAACCTGTTTGAACGAAAGTGAAATAATCGATGTAAGTATGATGTTGTAAGTGGCTCAGCATTTTCAAGTACTTATTTCACTGCACTCAAAGTCAAAGCAGCAGTGCTGCTTTCTTAACCATTCACAAAAAGACTATACCCGTTTTTCATCTTTTCCCAGGCGACGACCTCCTGACCTTCGCCCATGGACACCTTGTCGGTCGGGAACTTCTTCTTTTTCTTGGCCAGCTCATCGATCGATGCGGACGGATCGGAACCCGTGGTCAGCAAGTACAACACCGGCTTTCGGCACGCGGACTCATCGAAGATGTCGCTCACCGGGTCGGTCACCGGAGCGGTGAACCGGGCACCCAGGTGTGCATTCACGAACTGCGCGCACGCAACCGTGGTACGATCCTCACGCATCGAGCGCACCAGAACCATGCGCATGATGGGCCCTGTGATAGTGAATATGAGCAGGTCTTTATTTTCGTTTTAAGTACTTACTGCAGCGCTGCAGCAACATGCCCGTTAAGTTTTCGATCAGTATCCTACTATGTTTTAGTTTTATTATATACCCTTTCTCTACTAACTTTCGGACAAAAAATACGAGGCTCATTCAGAAAAAAAAACTGTCTAAAATACCGAGGGCGCGCTCCATGGTCAACCGTTCCTCGTAGTCTGGCACCGGGCAGCCTTCCGGTTCGTTCTCGTCGAACCACCGCTTCCAGGCAGCTTCATTTTTCGAAATATTGTCCACGATTTCCCGGTAGAAGATCACTCCCGATCCGAAGGGGTGGCGAGACAAGTTGAGCAGATTGAGCCAGATCTTGTCACTCAACCACCGGAAGGGGCAGGGGCGCTCGGATTTCACGTCTAGCGCGGAACCCGCCTTCAAGAAGCAGGACACGTCCGCTCCGGTGATGTCGCCGGCCACCGTCAAGACCTTCAGCGTGACCATCAACTTGAAGGTCATTTTATCGCGCTCGAACAGGCCGCGGTTCATGTACCGGTACACCTGGTAGGTCAGGTAGTCAATGATCTTGTCGACACGCTTGGACGTGGGCTGCACCTTCTCGGAGTTGGTGATGGACTTGTCGAACTGTTCCAGGAACTGGATCAGCGAACAATTGTACATCCAACCGGTGGGCTGCAGCGTGATGGGGTTCATCACCAGGGTCATGTCCGTCATATTGAAGTACATCAGGGACCCGCGGGTCGCGACCGAACGGAACTGTTCGCGCTTCTCGTTGATATCGATCTCCTTCTCCGCCGCGGTGGCCAGCTTCTCGGACACCTCGGTGGCCTTCGCCTTGGTGTTCGCCAGCACCTCAATCAGCTCGGTGTCGTCGAGTAAAGAACCCGTGGAATTCGACAACTTGAACAGCAGCTGGTCGTTCAACAGAGCCAGCGCCTTCAAGTTGTTTGTCACCTCCTCCTTCAGCTGCGCGAGCGACTCCTCCAGCGATTTCTGTTCCATGCCCAACACACGACCGAGCAGCTGTTGTTCCAGACCCTTCAAGGTGACCGTGAAGTCGATCACCGTGCACTTCGCGGACAACTCGGGCGAGAAGTGGGGGTTGGGCAGACGGGAGGTCATGAACAGGTAGAACTTCGGGTTGTAGTCCATGTTCTGATCGGAGATGTTGATGTACAGGTTCTTACCCTTCTTGATGATCGCCTTATCAAGCAGCGGATCCAACATCGGGTCCAGCTCGTTCTCCACGTTCTCGATCAGCATGACCAAGCCCTCGCCCATAGTGAACTCGATGAAATCTTTCAGACGCGAATTGTTCAGCGTGGTGATCGCCATGCCGTTGGACGCGGCAATGCGTTCCGCCTCGCGACTCTTGATCCAGCGGTTGGCCTGGCCCTGCGGGTCGACCATCAGTGGGTAGCGGGAGGATCGGGTCACCATGATACCGTTCTGCACGGACAGGTCATCAGACGGCAAGCCCTCGAGCGCCCACTCGGCGACGACGGCGCCCTCGACCAGAGACTCGACGAGGTTGACCTTCTGGCTGGCCGGCACGCCGCGCCGGTGCGTGTCCGCGAGGAAGTAGTCGATGTTGAGCTTCTCGCGGAACTCGCTGTTGAAGGGACCGCAGTACGTGACGAACGCGCAGCACAGCGCGATATCGCCGACTAGGGCTTTGCGGCGCAGCGCGAAGTTCTTACTGTCCTCCGTCCAACGGGCGTTCTCGCCGGCCAGACCAGACAACAGCGCGTTCGCGGCGTTCATCTTACGCTTCATCGCGTTGGCGTTGGCCTCCAGGGCCGCCTTCTTCTCGAGCGCTTCATTCAGAGCCTTGTCCAACTCGGCGACCTCCGACATCACCCGGGCCAGCTCCGCCTCCGCGGCGCCCAGTTCCTTCATGGCCTTGTCCAGTTTCGCCTCCTGGACCTTCAGAAAGTCCATCTTGGGCTTCACGATCTTGGCCGCTCCGTGGTACTGCACCATCGCACCGACGAACTTACACAGACCCTCCGCGGCACCGGAGGCCTTCTTGGCGATGGCCGGGTCCAGAACCGGGAACTGCGCCCACGGTGACCAGTTCTTCGCCGGGTCCGCGTTGTATCGCAGGTAGGGCTCCAACAGTTCGCACGTCTCGTCGTTCATGTTATCCTTCTCGTTCGCCGCGAAGTCGAGCAGCGAGGGCAGGAAACGCATATCGGACAGCGTGAACTTCGTGTACTCTTGGAAGGAATCCGCGATGAAATCGGCGTCCACCTTCGAAATGTTGAAGGTCTTCTTGGCCGGCGGGATCACGGCTTGAATCATCAGAATCGCGAGCCCATCGAAGGTCAGCTTAATCACGTCCGTTGGGTTCTTGTTGGTCTTCAACTCCGTGATATCCTTGGGCGTGATGGACTTGCACGCTGCCTCGGCCTCGTGCAGGAAGGGCATCGCCTTCTGGAGCTCGATGTTGGCCTCCTCCTTGTCCTTCTGAATGGTGGCCGCGGTCTCCAGGCAGCCCGCCTTCTGCACACCGACCTCCTCGGCCTTCTTCTCAGCCTTACCCTTTTCGTACTGCACTTTGGTCAACAGCTTGTTGGTCTTTTCCTCCTCGATCTTCAGCACCTTCTCCTGTTCGCGGAGCTCGATCTTCATCTCCTCGACCTGGGCGGAGGCCTCGGCCAGCTTTTCCAGCCCCGTGTTCACGGCCTTCTCCTGCTCGTTCACATTGTCGTACTTGACGCGGTACAGACCCTTGTAGAAGTCGATGAGGCACAAGAACGTCTTCGGGGTCACGTACACGTGCTTTCGCATGCGCGTGAAGTACTCCCCGCACACCTCGCCCACCATTGCCTGCATGGAACCCAGCAACTCGTACAAGAGCTGCTTCTTGTCCTTCGGGGTATCGATCTCGTACGGCCCGAGGAAGGCGGAGGCCACAGCGACCAGCGCCTCTGCCGGCCAGGGCAGGAACCACGTGATGGCCACGGCGGAGAACAGGGCCGGGAACTTCTGCGCGCGCACCGGGAACTTCTCGTTCATCGGCGAGAAGCACAGGACCAAGTGCAGGTTGTCGCGCAGGCGGTCCATAAAATAGCGGTAGAAGTTGGCCATGGTCTCCTCGGCGCCCGGGTAATCGCGCACGAAGTCGTTGCGGCACTCCGCGGCCATGCCGTCACGCTCGTCCTTCTGGAACAGGCCGACGACCTCACCCGTTGCGAGGATGCTGTTCAAGTACTCCAGAAAGCCCTCGTTCTTCACCTCCGCGTCGGTGAAGACGAAGGTCACCTTTTCGCCCTTCGCACCCGCGGCGACGTACAGTCCGCGGAGGTCCTCGAACAGAGCGTTGTCGTTGTAGGTCTTCGTGATAGTGATCTGAAAGCACTTCTGGCGGGACGTGCTCGCGGACAGCCGGGTCAGGGACTGTTTCCCGGAACCACCGACACCGACCAGCATCGCGGACCCGCGCGGGAACTGGATCGTGCGGTTGATGCGCATCATGTACCGCATGGCGTCGTCGAACAGCACCAGGTTCATGGCCGCCGCGGGGAACGTTTCGTTGAACCGCTTCAGGTACTCGTAGGCCTTCATGCGGACGAACTCCATGCTCTGCATCGGCTCGTACACCTTCGGCGCCGGGACTTCCTCTCCCGTCTCCGGGTCCTCACCGCCCTCTCGCTGGAAGTCGCACCACCAGTCCTGCATCTCCGCGACGCGCTCCGTCGCATCTTCGCCGAAGTGCTGGTTCATGTAATCGGTCACGGTCCGGGACACGAACTCCTTGTCCACCTGACGGGACAACTTGTCCGCGAAGACGCGGGTGGTCTCGTGCTTCCACAGGGAAGAAACCAGGTCCGCGGTCTTCAGGGACTCCGACGGCGCTTCCAGGATACCCTGGAAGACACGCGACAACTCACGCATGTTGAAGATGTAGTGGAACCTGGCCGGGGTCGGCAGCAGGGAGTTCTTGATCTTGTTCCACACATCGATCGTTACCGAGGTCAACTTCTTGGACTGGCCGATCGGCTCGTCCTTGAACCCGTTCTTGTTCGTGAAGCGCGCACGCAGGATGGAACCATAGATGTTGTCGACGGACACCGTCGCGGGCGCGACCATGTTGAAGCAGTAGAACTTGGACTTCAAGCGACTCGGCACATCGTTCCGACCGCCACCCGGGTGGCCCATAGCGCCGAGGAAGGAAAGCGCCTCGATGGTCTTGAAGTCCCCGCGCTTATCCTTGTCGAGGAAGTAGAAACCCTCCATCTCGATCAGCTGGCGCGTCAGCTCGTTCGTGACCTGATCGCCCCACTTGTTCACGACGGGCATGCTGATATCATCGAGGAACAAGGTCATCTCCTTGCCGCCCGGCGGGCAGAAGGTCTTACCGGTCTTACGCTCGACCTCCGCCTCGACGGTCTTCTGGAACCCGAGCGGTGTGGTCGCGGACGAAAAGTTGATGCGCTTGGCCAACATGGTCTCGACGTTGAAGCGGGCCATGTACATGAGGCACGTCGAGGTCTTCGCGGTCCCTGCGCCACCGCACAGCAGCGAGGATCGGTAGACCGCCGGCAAGCGCACGCGCTGGTAATTCTGGATCACACCCATCAGGTACTCGGCACGGGTACTGTCCAGTGTGGGGATCAGCAGCGACGAGAAGATCAGCTTTTTCGGCGGCTTCCACTCTTCCGGCTTCCACTCGATGTACGGGCGGTGCTTCTGTTCCATATCGGGAACGTAGTCGAACAGGGTCTGGCCCTCCTTGCACGGGGGGATGCAGTCCTTCAGCTTTGCCACGTTCACGCTCTCGCAGAACTTCTCGTAGAACTTCACGCGTTCCTCCGGTTCGCACAGGCCGGTGAAACCCCACACAATGCAGAAGAAGCACAGTCGCATGTAGGCCTCCTTGGGCAGGACCTCGTTCGCCTGCACGGCGGTGTGGAGAAGAGCGGAAAGCATGTTCAGCGTGTTCAAAATCACCAGCGAGTCGTTCAACGGCATCACGGTTTCGATGTTGCGGTTGAAGTAGTCGAACAGGTCCTCGCAGATACCCGTCCCCGGGGGCGGCGTGTACACGAGCTTGTTGAAGATGTCGCGGATGTGCTCCGCCTCGTCGAACCGGTTCGCGTTGATCTCGGTCCGCTTTGCCAACCAGGAGGTCAGCACCGGCTTCCACCCCAAGTCGGAGGGAGAGATGAAGATGATCCCCGCCCGGGACACCGTGGCCGGAGACGCGTTCCGCAAGTTCTCGACCTCGAACACGATCTTGCAGTTATCCGTCATCGGGAACCGATCGTTGTTCGCCAGGGTCAGAATCTTGTTGTCGTCCAACACCGTGTTCAGGTTCTCGATCCAGATCGCGTCGACCGGACCGTCGCACACGATCCACGTGGTGTACTTCAGATTACGGTTGTTGTAGCGGGCCCAAATGGACGCGAACACACCCGGGGTCCACTCCTCGGAGACCGGATCCTTGACCCCGTACATCTGGGAGTCGGTGATCGCCTTCGGGTTCATAATCGCGGTGCGGTGGGGAAGCCCATTGTCGTTCAAGGTTCCGACCAAGGTCATCATGATTTCGGTCTTCCCGCACGCGGTCGGGCCGACCAACATAAAGCCGTGGCGCACGAGGGAGGTCTCGTACAACTGAATGATCTTCAGCATCCAAGTGTCCCACTCGGTCAGCTTCTTGGCTTTCGCGATCTTGCGCGCGCCGCCGTCGATCTCCGGGTAAGTCTTCTTCGGCGGATCCGCCGTCTTCGGGAACAAATCCTTCAGCAAGGCGAGGAACAGCGGCACGTCATCGGCGACGAATTTGGACAAGTTCATATCGCGGGCGGTGCGCATAAACAGCATCTCTTCGTCCATGTCTGGGGGCTCCGCACGCTTCACGATACCGGAGGTACGCAGCACGGACAGAATGTTCCGCAGACCGAAGTCGTAGTGACGCTGCTTGGACAACTGCTGTTCGCACAGACCGTACAAAACGAAGAACTTCTTTCCCAAGACGTCCATCATGCTGTAACCGACGGAGGCGAGCTTCACCTTCATGATCGTCTCACGGTTTGGCACCATCATGCACACGCCGCGGAACTGGACCTTCAGGTTCTCCGGCAGCTCCTGGCGCCCGGCGTAACCCGGGTTCATGGTGATGAAGTACCCGACCGAGGGGATCAGCCGGATCGGCGCGACCTCACCCGGGAAGGGCATCATCTTGGCGTTCTGACGCTTCCCCTGCGTGATCGCCTCCACCTGCATCGCGACCACGGAGAGCACCTCCACCTCAATCCGGTTGAACTCGTCGAAGCAGCCCCAGATACCGCTCATGCACAGACCCTTGAAGATCTTACCGCAATCGCGGAACCGCAGCTGATCGGAGCAGTTGGTGACCATCACGAAGATACCGAGCGTACGCCCCATATCCTTGGTCGTCTCCGTCTTGCCCGTCCCGGCGGGACCGGCCGGCGCCCCACCCAGGAACATACCGAGCGCTTGCGACAGCGTCACGTAGCACCTGTCGGTCAGCGCGGTGATACACAGTCGCTCCTTGCAACCGAGGTACTCGTAGCTGTAGGTGAAATCCACGTCGGCGATCGAGATGATGCAGTGCTCGATGTCGGATTTCCAGTACAGACGCGTCTGACGCAGCCACTCGAAGTCGTTCTCGTCCTTCACCTTGTGCGCCTTCACCTTCTGCCACACCTCCTGGAACAAATCCTTCTGATGCACGTGCACCGTCACGAGCGTCTCGAACTTGGTTCGGTTCATCTTGCTCCCCAGGTCCATCAGACACGCCCCGACCAGGTCCTGCATGATCTGGACGAACTTCTTGTTGGTCAACGCCATGATGGTCTTGTCCTTTTCCTTGCTCATCTTGATCAGCGCGTCCTCAAAGTCCACGGTCCACACCACCTGGATTCCGAGCAGCGCGACCTGGGCGATGTACTTCTCCGCGAAGTCCTTCACCGACACGCCGTTCAGAATGTTCCCGGTCTCGCCGCACGCGATCTTGCACTCGCGCCGCACGGACCGCGCCACCTCCGCCTCGAGCACGTTCAGCCAGTCCTCGATGTTGCCCACCGCCTGCTGCGGGGTCACGAAGTTCACGTACTCCGCACCGGTACCGACCAGCGACAGGCACTGCGTCATCTTCCGCCGGTCCTTGGCGTCGAAGGTCACGCGCGAAATGGAATCGAACAACTTCTCGAAGTCCTCCTGGATGGCCTCGGGGTCGGAACCCTGGGACAAAATCTTCAGCAGCGCGGGATCGGACGTGAAGTAGAAACGGGGGAACTTGTTCCGCTTGCCCTCCAGGTACGACTCCAGCGACTTCTGGCACTGCTCCAGCCCGACCTGCAGGACGGGCAGCAGCTGCTTCAGCATGTCGTTCTGACAGCAGTTCACGACGTTGCGCATCTCCGCGGACTTGCCCATGATCCGGATCCAGTCCTTGTCGATCTGTTGGAACTTCTTGGCCTCCATCGGCATCTGCTTGGCGATATCACCGCCCGTGAACACGGACTCCAGGGACGTCCACATCTGCTGCACCTTGAACCAGCGCTCGATGGTGTCGGCCGTGTCGGACAGGGTCATGATCATCGTGCCCAGCTCCTCCTTGAAGGGGATGGAGTGACGCTGCGCGTTCATGGTGTTCAGCGCCATCACGGTTTCCTCTAAAATCTCCTGCACCTCACCCACGCGACCGGGCGCCATGCAGCAGGGGTAGTCGCGGGACTTCCACGTGGTGAAGTCGAAGTTCATGCCCGACCACTGCTCGCTGATTTCGGCCAGCTTCTTCTCGATGATCAGCTGTTTGTCCGCGGACTCGCAGATGTCAGACACCTCGTCCGTGAACTCGTTCAGCTTGGCGTCGATCAGGTTCTGCAGCTTGAAGGTGTCGGACTCGATCGGGAGCTCCTTGCCGGTCAGGTCCATCACCTGCTTCCAGTGCCGGGGCATGATGGACGGCTTGGCGAGCTCCGTCAGCAGGGGGAGCACTTCGCTGAAGTCGTCGATCTCCTTCTTCAACTCCAAGTACGCGGGCCACTCACGCAGCACCTTCGGCATGCGCTTACACCGACCGGCGAACTTTTCGGTTTCCGACTGCATGACTTCCACGTGGTCCGGGGTTTCGGCCCACAAGTAGTCCTTCCACTCCTTGATGGTGTCCAAGACCACCACGTACAAGTCGTACAGCTGGCCCAAGTACTCCAACTCGCCCTTGGTCTTGTCCAGCTTCGGGTACTGCTGGTGCGGCAACCCGAACAAGTCCTCGCCGAGGAAGTAGATTTGCTGTTTGCGCTCGCGGATCTGGTACTCCTCGCGGAACCGTTTCAGGCGCTCGACCGCCTGCTTCGGCGGGATGCCATCCACCATGGGACCGTTGGCCTCGTAGTTCTTGCGGAAGTCCTGCACGTCCTTCTTGAAGTTGTTCACCGTGGTGATCAAGGTCTTCTTGTGCTGCGCCTGCTGCGCGGAGAGCACGTCCTGGCGGGCCTCGCTGTCCTGCAGCAGCTTGTCCCAGGAGGTGCGCAACATGGACCGCATGTCCTGTTCGTCCTTGTCGATCAGCTGCGGCGTGTACGCGTCGAGGATCTGGTACATGTGGGTGATGGGCCCGAACTCCAGCTCGATCTCGGACTGCTTCGCCCGCACCTCCTGCAGGGTCTGCATCACAAACCCGAGCGCGTCGATGTCGCCATCGCCGACCTCGCGGTTCAGTTTTTTCGACGTCTGCTTCACCATTTCGGACACGGAGTCCAGCTTGCCGCGGGCCTCGATGTGCAACTTCTTGGCAAAGGCCATCTTCCACATCTGCGCCAGCTCGACCAGAGACTTGGACAGGCCGTCGGACTTCAGCACCAGCGCGGAGATCTGCGCCTTGCCGCTGTACCGCGCGGCGTCCTCGGCCATGCGAATGAAGGACTTCACTTTCGACTCGAAGTCGGACAGGGTCGGGATCGAGTCCTGAAATTCCTTGTACTCGTCCTCCACGTTCTTCATCCACAGCATGTTGAACTTGTCGAAGGTCTGCACGTAGTTGTCGCACTCGCGGCGCGCGGACTGGATGGAACCCGAGAGCAGGAGCACCACCTTGAGGATTTCCTTGTCCTGGGAAATGCGGTCGTAGAAGGTTCCCTGGGCGGCCGACCCCTTGATCGGGGGTAAATTAGGGTTGATGATCAGCTGCACCGCCTCCGGGATCGTGACCGTGTCCCACGCGTCGATCATCTTGCTGCACTTCAACACCGCGACGGCGCCGCCGTTCACCGCGGACTGGATGTCTTCGATCGTCGGCTTCAGCCGCACGCCCACACCGTCCAACTCCAGATCCACGTCGAAGAACGGCGGGGACATCGGCGTCGCGGACGCGCCGCCCTCCTCGTCCTCCTTGCCCTCCTTGTCCTCGACGGACGCGGCGATGGAGATCTTTCCGGAGTCGCGCTTCGCGGTTAACCGGGTCTTGATCGCGTTCAACGACCGGCGCGTGGCGTTCAGCAGCGCCTGGTACATGGACCAGTTGTAGTGGGCCTTCACCTTGATGATCTCGGACTCCGACACCCCGCGCACGTGGCTGTCGATCGGGAATCCAACGATCTGCACCAGCAGGTCGTCCACGCTGTCCTCGATCTCCAGCGACTTGGCGTGCAAGAAAGTGGTGATCTCGCGCACGTGCTTCTCCTGGATGTCGATGAAGTCGTCCAGGGACACGGTTTCGGACTCCTCGGGCAGCGAGACGAGCAGCAACCGCGCAACGGCCTTCAGGCTCGCGTCGACGCGGTTCTCCATGATGTCGTTGACCGTGAGGACCAACTGTTCCAGTTTCCGCAACTCCCGCCACACCGTGTCGATGTAGTTGGTGATGTTCATGGACGTCCAGGTCAGCGTCACCCGCCCGGGGCGCAACTGGAACTCCAGGTTGTCCAAGTGCGGCTTGAGCAAGTTGGACGCGATCGGCTTCACGGTCTGCACGACCCGGCGGTACTCGCGGAGGACGAAGGAGAGCTCGTTGTAGTAGCCCTTGAACTTCGCTTCTTGCAGCAACACCATCTTGGCGGATTCCGGAATCTCGATGCCCATGCGGTCCAGGCACTTCGTCTCGCGAATCAGCTGCAGAATCTCCCAGTCGAAGTTGACGTGCAACTTTCCGTCGTCCGGGTGCCGGACGATCAGCGTCGACTGCAAACCGGACTTCGCCTGCTCGATGCTGTGCACCCAGGCCTGGTACCAGAGCGTTTCAAACTCCACCAAAGTCTTCGCCATCTTGTTGTACATGCGGATGATCTTCTTCGCGTCTTTCCCGGCGAGCACCGACGGGGAGCGCTGGAACTTCTGCATCGGGCCCTCGATGCGCTTCAGCAGGTGCCGCGCCCACGTGATGTTCCCCGCCACCGGGGGCAGGTTGCGCACGAGCGGCGGCGCCGCTTTGTGCTTCTCGTACTGGTCCTGCACCGTGGTGAGCTCGAGCCCGTAGTTGTGGAAGATCACGGTGAACTTGGATTCCAAATCCGACCGCAGCGTCTCGCGCTGCAGAATGGACTGAAACTTTTTCAACAAGTTCAAACTGCTGGTGATGCTGGTGATAGACTCAAACGACTGGTTGATGAACTGCTGCAAGGCGGCTTCCAGGTCGCTGATGCGGACGTTGAAATCCACGTAATCCCGGTCGAACCGGTTGTGGTGGAAGTCCAGCAGATCGTGGCGCTTGTTGCGGAAGTCGTCCATGATGTACTTGAAGTTGTCGACCAAGACCTCCATGCCGTCGAAACGGTGCTGCGACAGCGACTGGAACTGGTAGATCGTGGAGAACATATCGATCAGCTTCACGACGCGGCGGCAGAACAGGTCGAAGCGACCGAAGATCAAGGTTTCCGAGAAGTCGAACTGCTTGCCCTTGGGCAGCGCCATCAGCTTCTCCTTGGTCTTGCGGTACTCCTCCTGGTAGCACTCGTTCATTTTCAGGCAGAGCTCCAGATTCCGGATCAGTTCCGTCGGGTTGCGCTCCCACAGCTGGTCGGACGACGCATCCTCATCGTCGCCGAGGATGCACATCTTGCAGTTCAGGATCATCTGGTTGGTCACCTTCGTCAGCAAGTTCGTCATGCGCTCCGTCGTGTTGTAGTACCGAGCGATGGTGTGAATCATCTTCACGCCGTTCAAAAGCGCCGGGATGTTATCCACGATGGACTGCGGCGTGCCGGTGTACAGAGGCTCGAGGAATTTGTCCAAAGAACCGAGGTACTTCACGTTGTCCTTGGCTTCGTTGAAGGACTCCGTGATCGACACGTCAATGCGCTTCCACCTGGGAAACGGTTGCATGAAAAAATAACAAACTGGGATGTGAGACTGCGAAAAACAACAAAAAAATGACGGAGCATATGCGTAGAAAAAGCCACAACAACTGTTTTACAGTTATTGTGGTCGGGAATGAAATGAGAATAATCGCAAGCAGAATTATACCTTCGCAAGACCGCGACGACGTTCGCGCGTTGCGCGGACTCGTTCGGGACACGGGACGCAGCGTGCAGCACGGCGAAGACCGTTTTGAAGTCCTTTCCCTTCAGCCGCTCCGTGATGCTGGTAATCCGCTGCATGCGCGCGCGCCAGATCTCCAGCTCCGTGCGCGGCCCCGGGGTCTCGTTTTCCTCGTTGGCCTGGTTGCCCTCGAGGAAGGACTCCACCTGCTCGCACCACTCGCCGAGCAGTTCCTCGTAGTACTGCACCAAGTCCGGCTGGTTGGTCGCCAGCTGCGTGTAGTCCACGCGCTTGGCGGACACGTCCTTCTCCGGGTCCAGCGGCTTCAGCTCGATGCCGCCGGCCATGGACCGGACCGCGTCGCCCAACTCCTCGTTGAACTTGCCGAGCATCTTGACGAACTCGGTCTTCTGCTCGGTGGGGCACTGGCCGAAGGAGGTGCCGGTGGTCTTGTTGATCAAGGGGACGAAGTAGTTCGTCAACCCGGCGTTCAACGACGCGAGCGGCGCGCCGGAGATCTCACCGTAGAGCAGATCCGGGTCGGTGGCCACGTCGTCCTTGATGGCCTTGTCCTCGGCGCAGGTGCGGACAAAGTAGGCCGCGCGGCCCTTCAGTCGCTCCTTGTCGCCGTACGTAAGGATGACCTTCGCCCGTCCGGGACCGTCCACGTACTCGCCCGTCTCGAGGACGACGTCGGGCTTCTGGTAGTACACGAACAAGTGGGACTTTTTCGCCGCGCCGGACAGAAAGGAGTCCACCATCTTGGTGTTGTCGCGCAAACACTGGTCCACCTCGTTCTGGATGCCCTTGTCGCCCGCCGGGTCGAACACCATCGCGGCGTTCGCCGACATCCATTGCACACGAGCCGACATGGTGGTGGTTAGAGTTTTTTTTCACAAAAAGTTCAAAAAGATTTTTTTGGTTTTTTATACTTGGATACTTTCCGTGTCGCTTTCAAACGCTGCTGCTCTCCGTTATCCTTGTTTCTGCAAGGACAAGAAGACACGCGCACCGCTGCGGCGCTTTTCGTGGCAGAACCTTATACGACTTTGTCCTTAGATTTGCCTGGAATTTATTCCCCCCACAGGCAAAATTGCTACACGCGCGCCCTGTGAAGAGCCGCGTACCTCCCCAGCAAAAAAACTAAAGTGGTTTTTGATTGATGAATTGATTTTTGTTGTGTGTTGAAAATATGGCAAAGCTCTTTTTCTCGCTCACGATGCAGGATATTTTTCTTTCTAGAGTGCGTTTATTGAAAAGCTCTAGCAGGTAAATCTCACCAGGAGAAATGAAACTCAAACTTCTAAAAGCTAAAGCTATGAAATTAAGAATAGCCTTTATTTCTGGGATAAGCTCAGTTGGTGCCTGGGATTGTTTTTTGGATTTCCGAAGATCGGGGAATTGCTTTTCGCGGTCACGTGAACGGTATAAGGAAGCAGCACTGTGGAAAGCAGTTCGAGGGACGAAAAGTGAGTACGAAAAAAACATCACTCGATAAGCGGACGTATTTCAAGAATCAGACGGCAACTTCACGACCCAAAAACTAGGACTCTCTCGACGGATATGGACGTAAATGCACGTATTACTGAACGAAGTTCTTACGTAGAACATTTCCGCACGATAATGGGCTGGAACTAGCGTGTAACGACGAACGTCTTTGTGATAGATACAGGTGGCGCTTTTTTCGAGCTCTGCTCCTGCATCTGCTTTCTTGTGTACAAGGGATGCACATACTCTAGCTCACATAGAAGTGGGCGTCAATCCTACAAGGAGAGTAAAGAACTACTCTAAAATAAGCTCTACTTTGTTTGCGACGACTTTTAGTTTAATATTTTGCGCACACATATTCAGTCAAAATATTTCTTCGTCAGTGTCGCTTGCAATTCCGTTGAAACTATTTGCTTATCTGAAAAGGTTACTTTTGCGTTTGCCATTCTAACACCGAATTCGTGACTGCATTATCAGGGGCATTTATTTTTGTTGCAAGGGGTAGGACATTTTGGCGCTATCTAGGTTTCAGTACATTGTTTTGCAAAGAAGCAGATCATCTGGTAAATTCTTTCTAGGAAATTTGTCTCTGTTTTGCTCTACGAGTTCGGCGAATCAATATCAATCGACAATCGTCGACTTTTTACAAGTACACCACCATCACACCCACGAGAAAAGCCAGCACGCCGAGACCGTTCCGCACACTGGAGTTGCAATTGATATTGCAGGCGACTTCTTGCCGGAACTGCAAAGTTTTTATAACCCTTTGCGTCCATGTTGTATGTATCTCTTAGTGATGAGGTGAAGGATACTACAGACAGTATGCCGGCATAAGAAAAAGTGTCAGTGGGTGTAGAACAAAAATCACGACCAGAAACATCAAGGATTTCATCATCTTACCGGAGCCACGGTGGCAATCCCGGAATCATCGGTGAGCAAGATTGTGGGTGCTTCTGTGGTCGTCGCGAGACCCGGCAAGAGCTGTTGGTTCGGGTCGACCTCCGGCAGGTTGAACTCCTGGCACATCTCCTTGTGCGCCTCCAGGCAGTCTGGGTGGGAGTCTCGCTGATCGTTTGCGCAGAAGATGCGGCCTGTTGGTTTGGATTTTTGCGCTTAAGGGAAAAAGTTGTACAACATCCTACGTATTCTTGCGCGGCAGAATTTTATTGCAGATTAATACATAGGGTTGCTTGTTACTGTTACTATGGCTATGCACATCAGCTGCAAAAGAAAATAAAAAATTCTACTATACATTCCATTCGCTGGCATTCGTCGTTGGTTGGATTATACATTGCAGATCAATAAGGTTACTTATTGTTCTAATAATAATCAATAAGAATCAATAAGAATTGGATAAATTCTAATTATACATTGCAGATCAATAAGGTTACTTATTGTTACTCTTGCTATCATTATGCGCATCAGCTGCACAAAAAAACAATATGGCGCAAGCTTCTTCGGTACTGTAATAGCTACCAAGGTGAGCCAGAAACTGCTCTCGAACTGCTTGACTTTCCTAAAGGTAAACTGTCTGCACCGGATTGCTTTGAGAGCCGGGCATCTCGGACGACGCAACACCACCCGTTTTAGCAGTGAAGGGAAGTCCAATTGGGGTCCACTACTCGCTACCACCCTCACGCGTAGTGTTCAGAAGATACTCCCCTAAGAGCTGGGAAGCATCCTCAACCACCCGACAGACCTGACACAAAACCCGCCGCCTCTGGGTGATGTGAAAGTCGAATAGGAAAAACCAAGCCCCAAGCTATGCCCGGTAGCTAGCTTCTTTGCAAATGCAGCAAAGCTGGCCAGAACGAGAGCGCCACCGAGCTTAGTGATCAACACGGAGCTATACACACTTCGCTGCGGCCAACCTTTGCGCAGAGAGTTTTTCACTTTTTTTTCCGCGTGCTATCTGTTTTTTCTTTTGCTCCACTGCGTCTTTTATGTCCTGATTTTCTCAGGCTCTTTCTTTTCTCAGATAGTCTTGCTTGCTTTTCTTTTTTTTTTTGCGGAGTCGAGATGTCATCTTGTAGGTTGCGCGATAAAAGGAACAAGGTTATTGATTGGGGATTTCATTTTTGCAAAAAAAATCCGCCGGCCTTGCCGGCCCCAATCTGCCCATTGGCCAAACGGAGAAAAAAAAAAAGAACAAGCCCCTCTCCCCCCCTATGGACTAGATTCTTGCTTTCCTCAGAGTGGTGAGGACAGAAAGAATACTTTATGGCGTCTACGAACGATCATCAGAAAGAAAAGTAAGAATTTCGCAAAAGAAAAAGACACCGATAGCATCTCTCAAGCAAGAGCAAGAGCTGGACTGCCTTTACTACCTGGCTTTCACCTAGGCATTACAGACATTCAAGCAGAACATCAAGCAACGTGGTGCGGACAAAAACAAAAGTCTCGTATCCTATCTGGTAGACAAAAACAAACATTTTAACGCAGGCAATTCCACTATAAAACATTTTAACGCATGCACAAAAAAATGAAAAATTCTACTATACATTCCATTCGCTGGCATTCGTCGTTGGTTGGATTTTCCTTGCAGCCGGAGATGTATGGATGTGTCAGGATCGAAATCCACAAAATCGAAAAACTTGTGATGCGTAAAATGTAGGGCAATGAAGGCCTGTATTGGGGAGCAGGCAAATGAGACCGATTGTCAGCCTGTTTAGGGGTATGCAACGCGCTGCCAGAGTAGCATGACAGGAGCAGCCTTCTTTGCCAAAACAGCATGACATACTGGATTTGGGTGCTCTCGAAATTTGTCATGCGCCGCTTGGAAACTGAGGCTCCAACTGACATCGATTTTGTGCATCGCAAATTTTTCGACTTTGTCAATTTCGACTCTGACACTTCCATAAGATGCAGATCTCCATTAAAGTCATGTCGCACTGCTGTCGGAATCTGTAATATAGAGGATCATCATCTTCATTCAAGCAAAATCTAGTACGATAATCTTTCGGTTTCCGCCGGCTAGGTGTACTTGTTCTAGGCCAGGTACTATATTCCTTTTCATCCTGTCACTGTATCTATTGGCGTCACGAAAGCAAAATCGAGTACGGTGGCACACAGCGGTCGCGTTTGAAGTCCGCTTCGTAGCCATCCGGACAGCGCTGGCATTCTCGGTCCAGGATTGACCCTGGCGGGCTCACGCGCGGTGCATCGTAGGTGCCGCCCTTGCTGTCCTTGGCCATCACGCTGGGGCACACTTCGTAGGAGTCGCACCTGCGCGAGTATTCGCAAAAAAAGTCTCATACAGCCAACCACGACGAGAAATGTCAATGTGCACGCGGATTGATGTATGATGCTCTTCCTCTTATTTCTAGGCGGTAAAAATACTGCATGAAAACAAGAAAGCCAAACACTGTCCAATACCCGCTGCAGAAATCGCCGGATTGGCACTGCAAGCACTCCAGTTGCCCGCGCTCGGAGAGATACAGTTCGCCCTTCGGGAAGTAGCCCAGTTCGTCTTTGTCGCATGTGCTGATGGTACAGTCAAAGCAGCACTGGTACATGCCCTTTGGACACACCGGGATGAAACAAATCCCGTCTTCGTCCTGGCAGGGGCAATCCAAGTCCTCCAGAATGACCACGTTGAGTTGCGCCCGGACCTGGGGAACGACTACCGGGTCCAACGAGTTCAGCATCGACGTGAGCAAGAGAAACGCACTCTTCTTCGCGCTGGACACGTGCGAGTTATTTCTAGCGGCAGCGAAAGTTGTAGTTCGAGATGCTCGACTTCTGCTCCTCCGTCGCGATGGACTGGACGCGGACGAAGAACTTGGTGCTGTCCTAGCGTCGTGATAAATGCGGCCGTAGAGGCATTCATCGTCGGATGCCATGCTAGTTGTAGTAGTGCCATCTACTTCTTCTAGCGGTGGGTAGGTGTCGGCATCTTCCTGCAGTACACTCCTTCGGATGCATTTGCTCCTCCCGCCACCCGCAGCACTTCTCGAGCCGGCAGCGGCAAACTCCATTTTTGCAGCAATCGTCCGCCGACAATGTGCTTCTGCTGCACTGTGCAGCTTCTCAAAGGGAGGTATTGAAGTCCACAAAGCAGTCAGCTGCTCCGCAGTCCGTTTTTCTCAGAAAAAATCACATCATGTTTTTAGAAGCAAACAGAGCAAACACTGTGGCACTAATTTTTACTTGAGGTGCTGTTTTCAATGGGCATTTAGGTTTGAAAGAGACGCGGAAACGGAAATCTATCTTCTGAATGCGGGAAATTACAGAACTACGATTGATGCAACTCGAAACAGCTGGATACATATACAAGGAGGCACGATCGAACGCTTCTCTCCTCTTGTTACGACCACCCTTGTGCATTCGAGGTTCATCTTCTGTTGCTACACTTTCGATCTCACTCAAGCGCTCTCGATTCGTCCTCTTTCTCAAACGACTCTCGATCTCGCGCTCACACGATTTTCGGCCAGAAAAACCGCTTTCTATCCACGAGCACACTCAGCGCGGCGAAAAAAGGGGTCATTAGAACGAAGCAATGGCCCAAAGCCGTTGCTTCACATCACAAAGAACAAATGAGATTGCGACTGCGACGCAGCATTGCGGCTTTCATTTCAGTGGAGTCTCTATATGTTTCAAGTCAAGCGTCTACTTTTTTGCGTTGTTTCGTTTCATCAAATCAAAAATTGACAACTGATTCGGGTCTTTCTTTACCACCCGTTCCACCTTCTTCTTTGCAGCGGCCTTTGGCTTTTTGGCCGGTGGCCCACTCGCATTCATGTTTGCGATGGGTTCGGCTGCAGGTGCGGTGCCAATGATTTGCATCGGCTGCTCTACGGCAGCGGGAGCTGCTACGCCACCGTTGGTACTAGAAGACCCGGATGATGTTCCAGAATTGTTGTCAGAAGAAGTAGATGTTGACAACAGCTCCTTTTTCGCCCTTTCAACAATCGGCACTCGGCTTGCAACTGGTATGAAAACTTCACCGCCGTTGCAGCTGGCATTTTTCTCTCCAGCGCCACCGCTCGTCGTCTTTGGCCGGAGCAGTTCCTGGTGTGCCGGTAGCAAATATCCGTCCAGAAAATCCGCAGCAAGCTCCAGTGCGGCCGCCGGGTCAACCTGAAACTCTACCGTCTCGAGTGTCGAGCGCCGGAAACAGCATTCTGGGATGTAGTTTTGTCTTCCCGCGGCAATCACAGCTCGTGCGGTTTTTACGAGCTTTTTCTGCAAATACTTCGAGTACCTCCCAGTGACATCCAGTCGGGCGAACTGCCGGTCCATAATTTCCCGTGTTTCGCAAACAAGATCCAGCAGGCTCTGGCCTTCTTCCCCCTGGTCATCTTTTCCTGTTACTACACCACCCTCCTTAGCCGCTGGCTCCGTCTCCGAAACAGACGATCCGTTACTTTCCAACGCTGCCTTCGCTGATCCTAATCCTGCCGGCGCATGTCGGTAGACTTCTTTCGCCGTTTTTGTGCAGAACCTTCTGAGAACCGGGTCCTCAACCAGCGTCGAGACTTCCTCCATCTTGTACCCCTCCGTACTCTCGGCTTGCTTTGCTTTGGCGAGCAGCGGCACGATGAGAAAGAGCGGATCGAAGAAAGTCGCTACGTAGAAAGAGTCTTTTTTCACAACCTCGTCGCCAACAAAAAAAGAGCCCTGTGACAGAGTATGCAAGTTAAAACGTTTGTTTTTGAGAAGTTTGACGGCAACTGCGTTATGACACTTCCGATGAGACTGAATGCAGCGCCTGGCACTGCGCGTTGTACAGCTGCAGAAAACAGATCGCATCTTCCTGTTGCGTACATCACAAGAAAACAGCGTAACGACAAACTTACAATTGTTACCTGTCGCTTTCGCCCCATGGTCTGCAGTTCGTACAGCGCATCCCCCGTGTGCGCAAAAGTCCCGCACTTCGACTCGTCTACGGGGTGCGGATACTTCAACAGCTCAAAGCCGCCCTCAAGAGCGGCGCCATTGTGGGCCAGCAGCACCCGCGGTGGAACTGTGGCCATGGCAGTAATTAGCGCTTGCAACAATGAAAAGTAGCTTGCAACAATTGTTCGACGTGAAAGGAGGTTAGCTTGATTACACAGACACGCGTCAGACTCAGACTTACGAGAAGAAGCGAGACGGTTTTCGTATTGTATATGACTGCCACGGTTGCCTTACTCAAAAACTATTGGAATAGTTACAGTCACAGATTCAAGTGCTCCACCGTCACTGGTAAAAAAATCTCCATCCTCAGCAACTGATCCATTTTCTTTTTCCGTTTTCGAAATAATTGGTCGGCATCAACAACGAAGATCTCAAATCTGAAATCTGAAATCGAGCAGCAATATGACACGTCGTCGACAACAGAAAACATAACTAACCACTACACGAATTCAGAAAGGCAGCAACTAGCACCCTACGGCAACCGAAAAACGGGCCTACCAGGTTTCTTTCATTTTGTTTCAAATCAAAGCTCGCCCTTTACCTGTCACGGCAACCAAAAAATCAAGGCACCTCGCAAAGGGAAATCATTAGATGTGTTGCAGAAAATCCGACCTCCACCGTTCGACTCATTAGATGTGTTTGCGGTTCGATAAGGCATGCATCAGAAAAATATTTATGCCCTCGCAAAATAAATTATCCAAACAGCTACTACTTTTTTGTCTTCTTCTTTTTCTTCTTCTTTTCCGGCGAATTCTTCGCGGTTTTATCCTTTGCGGCTGCCTTCTTTTCCGCAGCTGTCCTCGTAGCAGTTCGCGTTGTCGTCGAAGTCTCTGTACTTGACTTTTTCTCCCTTTTTGACGCCTTTGTGCTCACAGGTGCTCCGGCCGCAGTTTTATCTTTTTCTTTCGCCGCGTCTTTCTCTCCCGCCTTCTTGGCCGCCTTCTTCGAATTCTTTTTCTTCGTCGTAGTTGTGGTACTGGTACTAGAGGTAGTAGTGCTACTGCTCGAGGACCTTGTCGCCCTCGGGGCCTCCACAGTTTTCGTTGTGCTTGAAGTTTTGGTAGTTTTGGTTGCTTTGCTGCCACCAGTGCCCTTGGTCCCCTTTTTCGACGGCGTCGTCGTAGCTTCCTCCCCGCCCGCGATCGCTTTCACCTTCGGAAGCGAAAAGCTGCCGCTGAGCCCGTTCAAAAGCGGGGCGCGGTTGGCCGGTTTTCTCACTTTGTAAATCCGCACGATCCAGTTCTCCGTGGTGAAGGCCTCGTCGAAGTACTGCAGCTTCAACTCCGGCGCGCCGATCTCCTGGTTGCGCGCAAAGTCGCGGTTGCCGGTGATCTCGCCCATGCGGTAGTAGCACAGCTTGTACATGACGGAATTCTTGAACTTCTCCGTCGCCATGTAGTCGACGGAGTACCCGTGCATGCCGATAAAGTCGGACTCCGCAATCTTGTCCGGGTAGACCCCGTTGGCGATCCGCACGGGCCACAGGAACTTCGCAATGTCGTCCGAGGCGTAGCGTGCCACCCCGCCGGACAGCACGAGAACGTAGTCCACGTCAAGGCGGTCCAGGATCATGAAGGCGTCCTTCTCGTTGCTGCCCAGCATGAGCCCGATCGTGGCGATGTGGGTGTTGTTCCAGGTGTTGTTGTCCACGATCACCGTGCGGTTCGCCAAACTGGTGATTTGGTAGCCGTAGTCCCACCACGAGGCGATGGTCGCTTTCTGGTGCGTGTTCTGCCGGATCCAGTAGTACGCTTCCCGGAAGTATGGATTGCAAAAATGTCTGGGTCTGGAAGAGTCATGCTGTTTTTGCATGACACAGAAGGTCTGGAATGGAAGCTCTAGCATCACAGGTTTCGAGAGCCTTCCGCAATGCCGAATCCGCATGACAAGTCCCCTATTTTGCAGACAAAAAGTGGGAGCTTTTGCTACGTATGCATGAGAGACTTTTCTGTGTTCTGAAGTACGCATTACAAGTTGCATTCTTCCAGACCCAGACATTTTTACAGTTGATAGGAAGTCGTCCTGGATGATCCGCGTGCCGCTCCGAGGGTCCCGGTGCTCCATCACGACCGAGGGGTTGCTGTAGGCCGCGGCGCTCATCCAGGTGCAATGTTGCACGAAATTCTTCAGCAGGTAGAACAAAAACGAGGTTCCGATGATTGTGATCAACTTGCTGGTCGAGTGGAAGGACGGAGACGAGGAACAGGCTGAGGGGGCTTCTGCGGATTCCGCCGAATCATTTTCGTGATTACTGTCTCCATTTTTGTCGCTGCTACCAAATGACTCTTTTTCTCCGATTTTCTTCACTGACCCGGTTTCGGCATTTTTCTCGAACCGCTGCAGCCCCAGCGCGCTCCGCACCGCGCTGCCGTCCCACGTGGCTTTGTGCCGCAGCTGCGGGAGCAGGGAAGAAAGGATCTCGCTGGCCGCAACGCCACCGAGACAGCAGGCGGCGGCCGAAAGGACCAAGAGCAACCGGATCATCATGCCGCTAAAATACACCGCGACCACCCCGTAGATGCCCAAAATCAGAGACGCATCGGACGCCCAGCGAAAGCAGAAGAAAATTCCGACCGGGAGTAGGAAAGGCAGGATGTGGAGGTCCATCACGTAGTTGGCCCAGGTCGACGGCTGGTGCTCGCTGACCGACGCAATGATGGGGATGTACTTCTTTGCGTACGTCGGATCTAGGAGGGACAGCGACCGCCCGGACCAGTTTGTCTTCCCGGTTACCTGTGAAATAGTTTGACTGTCATTTTTTCGAGGCTGGACAGATGTATGATGTTGCGGCGTGTACTCATAGACAAGACTCAACGGTGTACAGATATCGAAACAGGAAAAGCCAAACCCTCTTCATTGAAGTAAACATTACACAAAACCTCCAGTACCGTGAGGTACGCCACGAGGACGAGAAAGCAGCTGGCTACGCCGACCGCCGATAGCTTCATGAGAAAGTAGAAGAGTCGGCGACTGAAGTACTGCGAGACGAAGCGCGTGCCGTAATAGCAGTTCATCACTAGAAACACGCCGTGACTCGCGAGGTGCTCCGAGGAACTCACTGCTTGGAAGTTGACGAAGGGAATGTTCAAACACAGAATTGTCCCGATCACGTAAAAAAGCGAGTATGCAACGTAGTGCCGAGCGGAAAACGTGCCGATCAGCAGGACGAGGACCTGGGTGATGTTCGAAGAAAAAAAAAATGTGTTTACTGATTTTCATGCGCAGCTTCGCCAAATAGATCAATGCGTTGGAGAATTTCCGTTATCGTCTTGCCGCCTCTACCAACACATATTTATACCATGTAGATCGCGATGGTGTTTAGCACGAAGATGTAGCCGCCCCAACTCGCCACCATGTAGAGAAAGGCGAATGCGGCAAACAGCCCCCACAGGATACTCCCCGACTTTACCGCCATCGTGAACGCGTAGAACGAAAACACAATCGCAAAGATTGCGCATGCCTCGTTGTCGTAGGAGCCGGCCACGCTTCGAGACAGGTAGCTCGGGCAAATTGCCATGAAGAGCGCCGCGAAAAGGCCGGATTCGGGGCGATTTGTCACCTATGTTGGCAACATCAAGGTGTTCTGTCAGTACTTTCTGAATTACCAGGAAGGTCGTAGATCTTCAAACGGTCGTTTATATTCGAGAAGAACTTTTGTTTAAGTACTCGGTAAAGTAAAAATGTTCGAAGAACCTCCTTCGTCAACAGGTACGCCGCAATCGAGGTGAACCCGGCGAATAGCGGGGCGAAGAAGACGCACGTTTCCAGGACGGAAATCCGCAGCCCGATTCCATTGAGGCACCAGTTGATCAGGGTCGAGGTGGTCATCAAACCGGGGAACAGCGTGTTCCCCACCACGCGTCCCAGCGGGTACCACGTAAAGTTGTCGAACCAGTTCCAGAATTCCACAAACCCGTGCTCCGCCAGGTACTCCGTCGTGCGCCAGTTGAAGTGCGGGTCAAACTCATGGATCACCGCTTCAAAGCGGATGACCGCGAAGAGCCGAATGCAGAACGCAAGGAGCACGATCACGCCGAGCGTCAGCGATTCGATCACCGGCGCCCACTGCCGACCCTTGTCCGCGAGCAGCTTGCATCCCCGGGTCTTCACGAGAATGTCGACCAAGTCGTCTACTTCCGACATGATGGCGTGTCCTCCGGGCGCTGGGGTTAGCGTTGCAGGATGGTCTCTATTGCGTCGTGCCAAGTGCCATTTCCCTGCTCAAGTTTGAAAAATAATCACTGGCGCCACTAAGAAAACCCTCGTAGTTGCTTGGGTTGTTGAAAAAGTTTTCCTTTATGTCAGTACAAACCGCAGCAGCGGGTGGAGTGGCAGAACGTGTGCCGAAAACGAAAAAGCCACGGAAAGAATTGCGACAAAGATGAAACCAACGAACGCGTGCTGGGACAGAGATCATGTTCACCAGAGATAGTATCGGACCTGATCACACGAAGATCCTGATCTATCTATGCACGCAAAAAGGGATCTACACTTCGAGCATATCTAGGGAATTTCAGCACGAAAATTTGGTTGAAGGTCTACTCTGACCGCGGTGATTCCAACTTTCCCCGCGAACTGAAAGCCTCTGAAAAAATCTGAGTGTAATAAAACTGTAGCCATATTTCGGAGAACTCAAGAACATCTCTTGGAAATGACCCTGCAAGTTCGAGGTTGCGCTGTATCGTCATCCCATTGGGCATAGTTTTCCTTTTGACATTGAGTTGTAGAAGAAAATGAAGTTTTCGACCGTAACAATATGAATGAGTGTCATCACATCAGCGACATGTTAGCAGAGACCAATAGTCTACATATAATGAATGAGGAGCTTCAATACGCGAATAGCTCGTCTCTGCTTTACAGTGTGCCATGTAGGTGGAGTGCTTTTGTTCATTTTGTATGTCTAGTCCTGCACTTCCTGATTCTTTCGTATCAATTTTCGATAGCGGATACAACGAATGGGATCATCATACGCATTTCCAAAGAAAACCAATTCTAGTCCTCCAGGAGGCCGCGCAAAACTTCTTTCGGCGATAAACTGCAGTCCGCGTACTTTTTCGCCGGCACCAAGCGCATGGGTTTCTTCGGATCGCGTGTGTCAAAAGTCAGGTCGAAGGCAACACACTCTCCCTCGCTTCCGTACAAACAATCGGGGATGTCCGCCGCGGCTTCCCGGAGCTCCGTGAGGGCAGCGGAGAGGTCGGTTACCATTCCCTGTTTCTCGCCGGCGCGCAGAAAGCGGCACACAACGTCCGGGTAATAGAGAGTTTTCACCTGCGAAACCTCGTTCCGGCTTCGTTTGTCGGCGTACACCAGCTGCCTCGCCCCCGAGGAAAGCATTTGCAAAACGAGCTTGCGACCGAAATTCGCCGGATTTCCGGATTTGATTTCCACCAAATCGTCCCTTTCGTCTTTTTTACCTGCAGCATTCTTTCCCGTCTTCGCATCTGCGTCGGTCGTGAACAAAATTTGGAAAGGACAAAAATCTGCACCATCTACTCCGGAAACATGGTCGTTGGTTTCTCTACCGCAAAACTCGAGCAGCTGCACGTGCTCGGTGCCATTGTGGGATTCGTCGTGGCGGTCCCGAAACTCGCCACCGGTCACCAGCCGCTCAAACTGAAATCCGCTGTCACTGTAGTCTTTGACGTAGTTGTCGCACTTGCTGACGCAGATCACGCCGGCAACCTTCTGCACCCGGTAGCAGTAGTCCTCCTGCGGAATGTATCAAATGTAAAAACGTCTGGGTCTGGAAGATTGCGAGGTTTGTCATGCAGATTTTCCATGACCCGAATGATCTGTAATGGAGGACCTAGCATGACAGATTCCGTGAGATCACTATCATGCCTATCCCGCATGAGACACTCCCGCCCAACTTGATCGAAAGTGGACGGCTTTTGGCACTCATGCAACACAGATTTTTGCAATATTCGGATTTAGCATCACAAGTTCCAATCTTCCAGACCCAGACATTTTTACAATCCATAGAATGCGGACCCCGCGTGGCCCGTAGGACACATTCGAGATGTCGCGCTTCAGCAAAACCTCGAGTGTCGAGCCGCCGAAGGAAAAATCGACCTTGTCCAAGTCATATCAAATGTAAAAATGTCTGGGTCTGGAAGAATGAGCGATTTGTCATGCAGCTTTTCCATGGCCCATGAGGTCTGGAATGCAGGACCTAGCATGACAGATTCTGTGCGACCTCTCTCATGCCTATCCTGCATGAGAAACCCCCTCCCGACTTGGTCAAAACTGGACGACTTTTCTTGGTAATCATGCAACACAGATTCTTGCTTGTTTCAGATTTAGCATGACAAGTTGCATTCTTCCAGACCCAGACATTTTTGCATTTGATAAGTCAATACCCTTTGTTTTGGCCAAAAACAACCCAAGGACACGCGGCGTGACGTGCGGGAACGCCTGCGGCTTGATCTGCGGGGGCAAAGCCTCGGTCGCGAACACCTGCGGTAGGCGGTGCAGATTCAACTGCCGCAAGTCGCTGATTTGCGGAATCTCGGGGTCAAAGACAGTCGCCTCCAAAACATCTTCTTTCGTGCACGCCTGGATGCTTTTGCGCTCGCACTTCGAGGGCACCCACGCGAACGAGCCCAAGTCCTGAACAGGTTCGAACCCGAGCTTTCGCAGCGTTTGGACGTACTCCTGGTCCGAACTAGCCATCTTTTTGAAAACGTATGTACTTTAATTTGAAGACTACGTCGATTTAGAGGAGACAAAGCAAGAGATGGAGAAACTATGTGAGTTCAAAAACCTAGGAGGCTCTAGAAAAAAAACTTTTGATTCGTGTTGTCGCGAATCGTGCTCGTGCGAGGAAGAACTCTAAAAACCTCAGTAAAGATTTAAAGCAAGGTGCGCTGCAGCATGCGTATTCATGTGATCGACAAGGTGCAAGGTGTCTCTGGACGCTACCTTTGATCGAAAAAATCTGCAGAAAAAGATTATGGATCACTTTTTCGTGGCGGTAGTGGTTGCAGTGCTGCTTGGAGAAAGCACACGCTAGACGGAACAGAGAGGATCTGCCAACCATATTACTGCGTGTGCAATCGGCCCCCACAATGAGGGACCTATCGAACATCTCATCTCCACCTGCGAGATATACTGAAATCGGCCACTTCCGCAACTTGCGCTTCCTTTCCCGCGGGAAAACGCGAACTCATTCTGTGTCGCTTCGTGAGACATGTTGTACTGTCGCTTTACGTCTACTTTGCGCGCTTTTACAAAAACGGCGACACTGCAGCCAGAGCCTGTGCCACGGCAGGATCAGGGTCATCGGATTTTGCCTTTCCGGTGCAAACAGCTTGTCCCTCAACTGCTTTCAGCAGCAGCTCAAACAATACCACCGCTGCTGTGCTGCCGCCACTACTGGTCGGGCCACCCCCTATATCAAATGCAAATATGTCTGGGTCTGGAAAGTTGTAACTTGTGATGCTGTATTCGGATTCGAAAAAAATCTGTATTGCATGGCCAGCAAGGGGACGAGAAGTCCTGGTGGTCACCACGGAGCAAAAAAAGTCCTGGTGGTCGCCACCGAGCAAGAGAAGTCCTGGTGGTCACCACGGAGCAAGAGAAGTCCTGGTGGTCACCACGTAGCAAAAAAAGTCCTGGTGGTCACCACCAGCAAAAAAAGTCATGGCTGTCACCACGGAGCAAGAGAAACCACGGAGCAAAAAAAGTCCTGGTGGTCACCACGGAGCAAAAAAAGTCCTGGTGGTCACCACGGAGCAAAAAAAGTCATGGCGGTCGCCACGGAGCAAAAAAAGTCCTGGTGGTCACCACGGAGCAAGAGAAGTCCTGGCGGTCACCACGGAGCTCATGGAAAATATGCATGACAAATCTAGAAATCTTCCAGACCCAGACATATTTGCATTTGATACCCTATTTCATCGAGCAAATCTAAACTCCCATCGCTCTTCCCGCCGCCCGATGCACAGCAGCCATAGAAGTAGAACTTCAGCAGCCTCTCCTCTGGCAAATAACCGCTCGCGATGCATTGCAGGTTGGCTTTCTCCAGCGCGGCCTGTACCAGCGAGTCCAATTGCTCGAGCTGGCCGGGCGCGGAAAAAGCCCGCGATTGCTCCTTTGTGGCCTGGAATTCTTCCCAATATTGTTGAAACGCGGCCCCGTCGACCTGCTCTGCGGAACTTCTCGGCGCGTGGAAAAAGGATGTAGAAGAACTCGCCGGAGTATTGCCAGTAATGGGCATAGGACCTGTGCCGCCGTCGGTCAAGAACATTTCCAGAGAATCGGGCTGCGTGGGAGGAAGGACTGGTGGTCGGTCGGAAAGCAGATCGATCGGCGACGAGGCGTTCGGATTTGCGCCCGCCGCACCCGTTTCTACCCCGCCCAGCAGGTCAAACGACGAAGAACCGACCGCCGGAGGAGCGGGCGGGGCCGCTGCAACTCCGTCGTCGAGCAATGACGCCGTCCCGTTCGCGACTCCGCGCTGGTGCGTGGGGGTGGCGGAGGACGTTGCTTTTGGAATGTTGGGCCCATCCGGCACGTGGCTACCGCGGTAGATCAAACTCTCCGCGACGGGAGCGCAAAATTTCGTCGCCGGTTTATTGTAGACCTGCAATAGAAATAGCAGTGTACTAACGATATTAAAGGTCAAGCTTTTTTCAGGTGTTCGATGTCGATAGATCAATGCCCGCTCCTGGCAACGCTAAAAATCATAAACTGCAGAAGGTGGAGTCAAACAGTGTTCCCTTACCACACTGAGAGTGTTGAATTCCCGGTAGATTTTGGAGTCCGCCGCGTCGCGCAGATCTTCGCGAAACGCCTTCACTTTGGCCTTCGATCCACAGATTATCCGTTTGGCCTCATCGGCGTTCGCGAGCAGGAGTCGGTAGTAGAACAGTGCGCGGTCACGAATGTCCACCCGCTGTTCGTCGTTCAGTGCCTTGTCGAGCAAACGCCCCAGCATGGCCTGACACTCCCGCGGGCGGAAGAAAAACAGCTTGGCCGTGGAGATCAGCAGCTCGCTTTTCACCTCGGGCATTTCGTTCTCGTAGTCGTCAATCAGCGGTTCAAGCAGGTAGGGCCCGTCCGCAATGCGGCCGCCAAACTCACCCAGCATCCACACGATCGCTGCCTTCCCCTCGGATTCCTCGATTGACTCGAGCACCTGCTCAAGAGTACTGCCAACCTGTGAAGATGCATAGCTTGTCTAGAACGTTGATGCCGTTGTTTAAAATTTTCTATTGCGGCCCAAATTCCGAGCAATCTCAATCGAAATAACTACGATAATCTACACTACACACACATATTGGAGGTACCTCGTCAAACTGCTCGGGGTATTTGCGCAGGATGTCCTTCATCACAATGGCGGTTTCGCAGACCACGTAACTGGATGCCTCGCTGCTGAGTTTCAGCAGCTCCAGCAAACAGGCGACGATCTGGGCCGCGAAAGACTCGTTCGCCAGGGCGATCTTCGCGAGGCAGTGCACCGCGTGCTTGCTGATGTCCAGACTGACGTCTGTGACGGCTTCTTTGATCTCGTTGACCACCGACTCCACGTTCTCTGGAACGATCAACAGTGTGAGGATGTCCAGCTTCAGCTTCTTGATGTACGTGGGATCGTTCCACTTCATGAAAAACTGTTTGTAGTCCGCCACCCAGGAGAGCGCGGGTCTCATCACGTCCGACGACACCTCGTTTTGTTCCTCACCGCCGCCGGCCAGCAGCACACGAATGTGCGACAGAACGGTAAATCCCAGTTCGTGGCTGTTGGTCGCGATGAGCGTAAGAAGCGGACCCTGGTAGAGTTTTTTTTTTTCTGTCATTACGACCTCGACAAAAAGACGCTCCGCCTTGGGATGCGTAAAGATTCTTTGCTCGCGCTTATAGGGATCAATACTTTAAATGCTTTTGATCAACAAATTTCGTTTTGTGGTACCTTCAACCGAGCCCCGACCTGTAGCTGTAATTCTCTTGGTGCTCGTGCGGTAAGGGACAGGAAAATTGTTGCCACGGAGAGCACCACCGAGGGGGAAGACTGCTTCAGCAGCGGTTCCAAGAGGTTCATGACGTCAAAAATCTCGCCCTCCGTGTCCAGCTCGAATTTCTCCAGCAACTTCAACACGGCGCACTGCCCCCATTCGCTGAAGGTCGTAATCCGATTCAAGAGGTGCTCGATCAGCACCTTGTTCAGCGTGATACCCCCACAGTCAGCGAGAATCTCCTCCAGCGCAAACAGCGCGTTCATAGAAACCAACGGGTCTGGGTCCGCGATCAAACAATACCTGAAATTGCATTTCGGGACGGAGAGAAATAGGCTGCAAAACCTACCTGCAAAGTAGACTGCTTTGATCCGTGGGAAACGCGTAACAAAGTCGTGCGTACGACTCGAAGCTTTTCTAAGTCGTGCGAAAGATTTCAAAGCCCGAAAATCGGTTCAGCAAACGGCTTACGGCGGGCTTAAGTCGTGCGCACGACTTAAAGAGCTGTAAGTCCAGCGAACGAGTTAAAGTCCCGAAAGTAGGCCAGGGAGTTAAGAACTGATGAGGTACTGCGCACATCCTTAAGTCGTGCGAACGACTTAAAATCCTTAAGTCGTGCGAACGACTTAAAATCCTTAAGTCGTGCGAAAGACTTAAAAAAAGCGGCAAGTCGAGCGAACGACTTAAAATCCTTAAGTCGTGCGAACGACTTAAAATCCTTAAGTCGTGCGAAAGACTTAAAAAAAGCGGCAAGTCGAGCGAACGACTTAAGAGCCTTAAGTCGTGCGAAAGACTTAAAAAAGCACCAATTCTTGCAAACGACTTGAAGCATCCTTAAGTCGTGCGACAGACTTAAAAAAACACCAAGTCTTGCGAAAGACTTAAGGCATCCTGAAGTCGCGCGAAAGACGACGTAAAAAAGCACCAAGTCTTGCGCAAGACTTAAAGCATCCTGAAGTCGTGCGAAAGACTTAAAAAAGCACCAAGTCGTGCGAACGACTTAAGATCCTTAAGTCGTGCGAAAGACTTAAAAAAGCACCAAGTCGTGCGAAAGACTTAAAATCCTTAAGTCGTGCGAAAGACTTAAAAAGCACAAAGTCGTGCAAAGGACTTAAAATCCTTAAGTCGTGCGAAAGACTTAAAAAAGCACCAAGTCGTGCGAACGACTTAAGATCCTTAAGTCGTGCGAACGACTTAGAGGCATCCCTAAGTCCTCGTGCGAACGACTTAAATGATTCTTAAGTAGTGCGAATGACTCAAAAAGCTGCAATAGCTGCACACAACTTATCCTTAAGTCGTGCACTGACCCACCGGCGCATACTTTCATATACCTTAAGTCGTTCGCACGACTTACTCTGGGTGCGACCTACGGCTACGTACATGCATCAACAACTTATTTACATGCCTCATATTGATTGTACTTGCACGCCCGTAACAGTAATTATTGGCAAAAACGAAAAATAAAACTTTTATTTATGTTGAAACACAAACGATACAAACGGTCCAGTATCTGGTCGTTTTCTCGGATGGTAAGCGGTGAGATGTGGAAGATCTTCAATACGCCTACGATAGCCGATTTGCGCACGTAACCGTTACTGTCGCGGAGGCCCCCGACAGCTGCAGGCTCCAGGTACTCCATCATTTCCGGAAGGCGCAGCGAACACAGGCTGCGGAGCGCCAGCCCCCGAATCGTCGGGTCTTCGTCGCGACAATCTTTTTGAAGCGTGTTAATGGCCAGCAGCGTCAGCTCGCCGTTGGTCTCCGCATAGTTGCCCAAGTACAGGTAAATCATCTTTTTCTGCACCTGTTTGATTTTCATCGTGTACATGTCTAGAGCGTGGAAATATGTACACAGAGGTAAACTCCATCCATGGTAAACTGTAGTCAGTTCTCGAAAAAATTATGTGATCAAAACTGGAAATAGAAACTATGAGAGAGAGACGCAATCATCTAATACCAAATCCGTTGTGTGACTGGCCATAATTACATCGGGAAAGAGCCGCGACACGTCGATCCCAAGTGTCATGTATGCGATGACTTTTTTGATAGCATCCCGGCGCTTTTCGTCATTTTTCTCCGTGAGTACCTGTCGCAGCAGCTGCCTGAGTTCGTTTATCTCGCCCTTCTTGTCGAAGTAACCCCCACCCGAGGGGGCACTTGCGCCCGACCCGTCCCCCGACATAGTTGCTTCTTTTTACTATGAGGAAAATGAAAGAAAAAAATTACCGTCGTGATGAGTTGGAATACGTGGACTAATGTCTATCTGAAAACTGGAAAAAGAACAAATATAGTGTCTGAGCAAAAATCCAAATGCAACACACCGAACAGCAACAGAAAATCGCCGAAAAGAAGTTCTTGTCAGGAATCACTACTGATACTCAGAGCCATTGCGAAAAGTAGCAGTGGACCGAGACTAAAAACCAATCCGGTCGACGGAACCGCCCCACCGGGTGGGACGCTCAGCGCGCCAGTGGCGTGGTGCTTCTGCGGCGTCATCTATCCTGTCACCAAAATGAGTCAAAAAAGGCAAAATCGAAAGTCAAAAAGACGAAAGGCAAATGCAAACTTCAAATTTGAGGATCAAATGTGCAAAGAACAAAGTGCTGCTGTCACGTTCTTGGGTCGGAGGCTGTGCCATAAACCAACTCTATCCTTGCGCGGCCTTCACTTCGGTCTTTCTAGTTCATGCGGATTATTTCTCTATTGCTTTTTGCGAAGCCGGCGTCAATACAATTCTCGCTTCTAACGCGAATTCATCACGGGTTGACTTTTCGAAAGAGAGTGAAATCTTGTGTCTAAACTACCGAGAAGAATGTTTTGCACATTCTCCGCTTTCAAAAAATCCTATGAGTCTTGTTTTTTTCTAACGCATATCGAAGCAAGGAAGATTTGCTTTTCATGTCCTCATGCACGGTAAAGCGCTGCCGTCTCCGTTAGTTGCCAGCTTAACCCGCGCGCCCGGTTCCACCCTGCAAGTCAATCTACTCCCGCCGCCTCATCACGCGTTGAATTCACTGAGGTCTAGAGGACCATCCAAGTGCGCAGTCAGCTTCTGCTGAATGTATTCGTTTGAAGCCACTTGTAAGGGTGTGCGTCGCGAATTGTCTTCCTGATCAACGATTATGTCCGTTTGCCGGAGGAGCACGTCGACCTAAAAGTGTGTTTAGTCGGTTGAGAAGCGACGACGCCACTGTCGAACGACGGATGATACATATTTTTCGATCAAAGTGCCAACATGAACATCCCGGGCAGAGATATTACCCCCGGTAAAGTCAATCAGACCTACTTGCCGCCGCAAAGAAACAAAACATTCAACTCACCACTGACGTCGCGTCGGCGCGGCAGGCAAAGTGCAAGGGCGTGGACCCGCCCGTGGTGGTTGCGTTCACGTCTGCCTTCTGGTAAAGCAGCTCCTCCACAATGCCGCGGTGGTTTTTCTCGCACGCAATGTGAAGCGGCGTTCGCGACAGGGCGTTCCGCGCATCAATGCTAAAGTTGTTCACCGCAGCCGTGTTCGCCGGCATTCCACCACCCGGGTTGTTGATGGCGGAAGTTCCAGTTCCGGCGTGCTGCGCCGCCGCGACCTGCTGCTGTTGGTCTGGACTGTTTATGGCCGCGAGCACTAGCTTCAGTAGGTCCGGACATCCGAGAAAGGCAAACCGGTGCAGCGTCGAATTTCCGGACTCGGCGTCAAACAGGAGCAGGTTGAGGTCGTACTGCTGCAGGAGTCTGCGGATCTTTGCCAGGTTCGGCTCCTGCAGAAAAAAATTGTTAAAACAAAAATCTCTGGCTCTCCCGCACCGGGCAACAGGCCCGTGCCATTGGTAGACGTAGTCGTACTTTTGGTTATTTATAACGAAAAATGTGGCAGATGTGGGCAGCATCTGCTAGTAAAACTACTTCTCGCACAGAAATTCGTCGCACATAACGTAGAATATGTGACCACACTCACCTCTCGCCAAACTTCGATGGCTACTGCACGCTGATACTCCGGTGGGGCTTAGGTTATGAACTCGAAAAGAGCAAACGTCTTCTGCTCGCGGTCGCCGCGGCGTTTGATGTAACAACTGATGCAATTATGGTTCCTTGTTTTCATTTTCGCTTTCTTTTTGGTTGCACAAGAGGAACTCGTCTAGCGCACAAAAAACTAGTGTGTCAAATGAGGCACCCAATGGCACACGTATTTTACAATGCCAATCGCTGCGGCAGCGCAGTCACCCCTTCACAGACAGTCTGACAACTCAAAAATATGACATCACTCACAAGCCCCTGCAAAGTCTCGCGGCTTTATTGCTCTGTGATAACTAGACTTTGTTTTTCCAGGGCATAGTATCAAAATGAAAAATCCCCCCACCCCACATCAAAACGAAGTCTGTGATGCTGGATTTGCGTGCACAAATCAGATTTGTCTTGCTTGAGAAGACTGCAGGCCCCTGCCAAGCCTGAGTAGAGAGGTTTTGGCCTAGGCGATTAGCATGAGAAACGTCTATGCTGTAGGTCCAACAGCATGACAAACCGCCTGCATAATGCGGCAGAGCCTGTAGAGTTGTCTTCTTGCAAGACAGACGTGATTTGTGGTCTCAAATCAGCAAGACAAATTTTTGGAAACATACCGTTTCATATGGGGGGGGGGGGGTTTCCTCTCGATACATAGTTCGTGTGTTCTGCTCTTTGTCCTCCTCCACGAGTAAGATGCGGGGCACGGCTATCCTGAGTAAAAACGTACCCACACCAGAGTTGTAATGCAGATTTGCAAAGACAGGAAGGCTTGCAATGCGCATCCCCATGAGAGCCATTTCCAATCGTGTTTTGGAATTTGTGATGCTGTGAACAGGATGAGTAGCTGGATTTGTGATGCGGCTGCACTTGCTAACCTGCACTACACTGCAGAGTTCAACTTGTCATGCGTGACTCACAAAACTCCTAGGTTTGTGTTGCAAAATCCTCATCCTAACTCTGGTGTGGGTACGTTTTTACTCAGGATAACGGCGTTGCTGGGGCTCGCGGGACTGTTTTCACTGCTGCCACGTTCCATGATTTGCTTTTTGATTTTACTGCGGCGGCTCCTTACCTGCAGTTAACTGCCCGAAAGATATATCCCTGATCGGGTGTGTGCGCCACGCCTCTCGAGACAATTGCTAACCCTCTTCGCACCGAAGGCCGAAAGTCCTTTGAGAATCTTCAGAGCCGCACGGATGAGGGCAGCACAGATGAAAGCACAAGATTAAGACACCGCTGCTCTCTCGCTCGATCTCTGATGGTGTCTGATGAATGTAGTCAACATTACATGATCCTGCGAAAGCAGAGCCTGTAGTAAATCTTCGCGCATTTACAGTCCTGAACTGCTGTGCCCAGAAGTAGAACACAATCCAAAATCACGACAGAGAGATTTCACACGTAGTCGTTCACAAGCTGATGCATTGCTAGCGACGAAAAATTGATACTCCTGAGAAGACAAAGTACTAGGAGCGTCGAGTTTTCCTTTCGAAAAATCTGCGGAAGGGGAATCACGTTTCAAGACTGAGCAATAGCTCCTGATCGACAAGCTTAAAATCACCACACCGGGTGTTGATTCAAATCCTTGTCTGCAACTGATTGGGAATAATATTTGATGCTGTAGTCCAGGATCGTACAGAAAGAAAATGATACATACGGACAAGAAGCTTTGCACAGAAATGCTTCTTGCGAATCGCATCCGCCCGGAAGGAAAACAAACTCTTGGGGAAAACAGAAACTATTCGTTGTCAACCGAAACTGAAGATTCCTCCGTTGGTAGATTTTGAGAGCGTCACCTTGACATCGCCCGAGCTGGTGACTTTACTTTTTGGGTTGTCTGTCGAGTCGTGACTGGGATAAGTCGTGACAGAGTCGGCCGACCCGTCTTGCTGCTTCCCAGAAGGCGAAGTCTGCTTGGCTAGTGTTGCAGACACCAAATCTCCGAACGCCGCCAGGTCGCCGTCGCTTGCCCCGCCGCCGGAATCCGCGCGCAACGACGCGACTGCCGCTTTTTTTCCCGCGGACTCCGCGACAATTGAGGCGTCCTTCTTGAGCTGTTGCTGCTCTTTTTTCTCCTTACTTTTCTCCTCTCGCAGCGACTTTTCCTCCTTCGGTGGCTTGACTTCCTCCTTCGGCAGCTTCATTTCTTGTTCCTTAGCCGGCTTCAATATTTCCTCCTTGTTCATCCCAAACTTCTTCTTCGACGAAGCTCCCTCCGGCTCGATTTGCGCCGCCTTACTCGTCTTGCCGGGTCCCGCGCGCGAGGACGTGGACTCTTGTTGCGCTGGAACGGCCGCTGCGGCACCACCGACCTGCGAGGAGCGATCACCGGCGCCGCCCAACTGCGATCCCGGCAGAAAGAACGACCGTCGGGGCCGCCCCAGTGGGGATGTCGCTGGTGGGTTCGGCGGCGGGGTCGTGGTGGGAACGACCTTTGGCGGAACAACAAGCTCGTCGTCCTCCTCACCGTTGCTGCGCTTGCACCGACCTACACAAAACATGACTGCGCACCCGGCTACCGCCAGCATGAAACCGAATATGAAGGCGGCGGTGAGCAGCGCCGAAGCATTATTGCCTGACCCGGACGTTGCATCCTTCTCACCTACGGTTTCCTCACCTCCCGACGCGCCAAGAATGTCGGTCCCTGGGACGGGGGAACTGTTGTGTGCCTCCCGCAGAGCTCTTTGCGTGGGAGTGCTCTCCAAACTTCTATTTGTCGTGGCAGGTGAAGCACTAGCTGCATTATTTGCGCTGTTTCCGGTGCCTTGCTCCGTGCCGTCTGTAGTGTGTACAAAGATGAAAAATTTGTCAATTTTCTGTAGCTGATACAGTCGAACGATCAGTGTTGAGATTGCCTGACTAGCAATCACGTAGCAGGAAGGAAACAATGTCTTGTTACAGCGTCCCAGCGACGCGTTATCTGTGCCACGAGCAGGACTTCTACTCAGAAATCCCTTTCACCCCGGACACTATTTTTGGATGCATGTGTGTATAAATATGATGCACTTCTTTGTTCGGAAGAAAAAAAACATTTACGCGTAGCTGCTTCGCCCGGGATTTTGCTGCTACTTTCATCATTCGAAACCACATCGGTGCCACTCTTGGTCGTCGTGGTGCTGCTAGCAGTCGTGGCTTGGCAGGTCGTGCCAACTAGAGTATACCCTGCGCCACAGGCGGTGCAACCGCGTGACACACCATCAAATACGCACCGCGCACCTGTCAACGGTGTGCCAGGCTCGCACGCACAGACATTCTCCACACAAGCACCGTGCTCATCTTTGTGATATCCGATCTCGCAGCCACTGCAAATTCGAACGCCGTTAACTTCGCACGTCCCGGTCGCGCCCGGAACCGGAACTCCGTTCACGCAAGTGCAAGTGTTGTCCCATCCGCACTTCCCATCTTCGCCCTTCCTATATCCAGTGTCGCAACTATGGCACATTTCGGTGCCATCCGCTTCGCACGCCGCTCCCGTCGCAGGGGTTCCGTTGTAGCACGTACACATGTTCTGCTCGCACCTAAAGGCGTCGGACAAATGATATCCACGAGCGCTGCACGCGGTGCACTTTTCCACCGTTTCATCGATATCACAGCCGACCCCCTCTGCTGGCACGCCGTGCGGGCAGCGGCAGCGCGCAAGAATGCATTCGTCGAGGCCTCCGTCGTGAGCAGCCGATAGGTGGTATCCGGCGGTCGCACAAGTCTGGCAGCCAACCGTGGTGCCATCTGGCGCACAGTCCGGTCCCGTTGCGCTTGTTCCCTGCGGGCACGTGCACTCGTTTACCGCACAGGTGAACTTATTGGGCAACGCAGCGGAGCTCGTGGAGTGGTAGCCGGAATGGCACTTATCCTCCTCGCAGCCATGCGTGTTGCCGTCTGCGCTGCAGCCGCCCCCGGTCTCCGGCTGGCCGTGCGCGCACTTGCAACGATGCAGCGGACACGTGATGGATTCGGTGTGGCCGTCGTCAAAATCGCAGTGTAGCCCGTTCCACGTGGCGACTACCGTTTGCGTGTAGGTTCGAGTCAACCTCTCCCCATTTCCAGTACACGAGGTCCGCAGTTCATCCAGGGTCGCGCTCCATTCGCCGACACAGTTTCTCGCAGTTGTTGTTGTAGTTGTGGTCGAATGGAGGCCACTCTCTTGACAACCCGCACGAACGGCCCTTAGCTCGTAATCCCGGTACTCCTGGCTCTGGTGCCCACTTTCATTTGCGGCGCAGTGCTGCGTCAGTGCGTCAAACATCTGATTGATCTTGCTGACGGAAGCTTGATCGAACTTTTTCTTGCTCTGCGGGAGTCCGCTTGTGTTCTGGATCCACGCGGGTGCGCACGTGTCGCTCTCCGTTTCCTTGCAAACTCGTCCCATGGAGAAGTAGGGTATAAAGACGTCGTGGGGAAGGTATTTCATGCGACCGTTGGCGCGCTCTGCTTGCTCGCACCGTGATCCGGCCTCCTCTTGGTGCAGGGATTCGCAAACGCCGTGCGAATACATCCACAAGGTGTCGCGCTTCTCGCGACAAGCACCCGTGTCGCTGCATGTTGCAGCTTTATTGCGCATTTCCTTTCGCAAAAAAGAACTGTGTCGCGTGGTCGAAGGCTTGTGCACGATCCGGTCCTGCAAAAAACTTTTCTTGTTCGCAGCAAAGTGCGGCGTCGGGCCGATGCGGCGGGCCGGCGGGCGTACTGCTGCGGCATTGCGGCGGCCACGGAGCGTGCTTTTCGTTGACCCGCGATCCGTTCGAGACGAGTAGGCACGGACAGTAGCGTCGTCCCGGAGCGCAAGGATCGCCAGCACTCGAGAAATCCAAAGCGCGTTCGTGCGCGCGGGGCAGCGCAGAACCGGCATACCCAAGCCTTTTTGAGTCGACTAGACGCTAGAACGATGGCGCTTGCTTACAATGGGTGGTTACCCGCGGCAGCAAATCATACGTTCTATCGAACCACGCGAGTCGCTTGTGCATTGTACAACATGAAGGAAAATGCCTCATCGATTTTCACAAACAACCTCAACTCAAAAACTAGTAAGTGCGCCTATTTTTCGTGTAGAAAATAGCAACAGGGGGTAGCAAGAGGTGCCGGGGGCAACATTATGGCCAGTAATTGGGCGACTCTTTTCAGGGCAATGGAATTCTCCACGGCCGGCAACCTAGGGAGGCTGCTTTTTCAGAACTACACGGTGTTTGGCGCCGGGTCACGATACAAAGCCTCCTGTTTTAAAAATATCGTTTTGTCTTTCCACGATGAAATGAATGGTTGCAATAAGAATGACGAAACGCATCAAAGGCAAAACGTGGACGAAAGTTGCAACGATCATTTGGCAGACGACTTGGACGAGTTGTAACGGGCACGGGAAACATGAACGCAGACGATTTGCTTTTGGCTTCGATTAACCATTCAGGACAGTGTTTGTTTACTGAAGTTGCTTGTATGTTTCAGCGAACTCGTCGATTTCGGTTGGAGGTTTGCCATCTTCTCACAACGACATTAGAGCTTGTGCAAGAAAGACACGACGTAGCTACAGCGCCTGGGACTCGGACGTGAGAAAAACATCATCATCGTCTATCCTGCACTGAAAACATTTCTTCCGTCCGTGATTTTCGTGATCGAAGACGTTTTTCGGCACTTGCGAGGACGAAGGCTTTGTTCGTCCCTGATCTTCGTGGTCAAACAAAAAAGGGCACAGTATGTAGTGATTCACGATCGATGTTTCGGTGGTTCTTGTCACCCCCACGCAGGCCTGAGAACCGCAAAATGGAAAATCATCAACCTTGAAACATTCACAATCGCAACCAACAAGAACAGAAGCGGATGCAAGAGAGACCACTTCGCAATTGATAGTATCTATGAGATGAATTTTGTGCCTGGTTGCTTGGTCTTCATGCTTAGTATTTTACGAAAAGTAGGAAGCAAGTAGGGAGAAAGAAAAAGAGAGAGAGCTTTCTTCTCTGGTACTGGTACTGGTGGCGAAGCGCGAGCGCCACGCGGGCGGAGGGGCACCGACCAGAAGGGTCAGAAGACGTGCCTTTTTTCGATGGGTAAAAGAGGGCTAAGCCCGCAAGCAAAACTTCGGCGGGCCCCCGACCACAAAGATCCTGGTTGTGCGTGAACGCTCCAAAAGGACCAAAAAGCGGAAGGGAGTCGAATAATGTACAGCTCTCAAAAACCCGACGTCCTTATGTTCTTCTTTCTTATACTCCCAACGGTGGCAGCAACACCAGGAGTCCACACGTACTGAAAGAGCAACGCGCAGCTACGCGTGCATTTTCAGGCGCGCATCGCCGGTCATCCACAAGCGGAGACCAAACATTAAAATAACTATCATCATACCAGCCAAAAAATATTCTCCTACCGTGCACGGGTAGTGTAGGACGTGGGGCACAGTGCTACATAAACGAGCAAGAAACTCCTAGGGCAATCGCCCGATATACGAGCAAGAAGCCCGGAAGGCACCCGCCCGGCCACCTTCGCTGGCGCACTTGCCGCCAGTCCGTTCGCCGCCGCCCTCGCTCTGGAACCCGCGGGCCCCTTTCCCTACCGGCGAGGCCCCCCAAGCCCGGCCGGCGGGGCTATCCCGGCGCGATCGCCGAAGGTGTTCACGCTCCCTTGCGGGTGCCTTCAACGCTCGGGGGCCGGTCCCAGCAAAGCCCGGCGATGCGGCCCGAGCCTTTCATGCTGGGTTGCCTCCGCCTTCGGACACCGGGCGCCGGGGCCGCAAGCTGGCGGCCGTCGGGGACCGAGCCCCGGGGCCGTCGAGGACCGGGCGCCTTGAGGAATTGGGGCCGCAAGCTGGCGCGCCGAAGTCTCGGGCAAAGGTGCCGTAGTCCTACGCACGGTCGCCGGGGCCCCCGGCCCGGTCTGTAGCGCCACCGCCGCAAGCCCGCTCGCCGGCGCCCCCGCCCGAATCGCGATCGCCGGTGCTCCCGCCCGAGCCCCGGCTTGCTAGCGCTCTCGCAGGCGTCCGAAGTCCGGGCCACGGCGCGCCACGTTGTCGGCGGCGCCGCCCCAAACCCGGTCTTTTCCAAAAGCGCCTTCGCCACGACCGAAGGCCCCGCCCGACCGCCGGCTCCGCCGCCCCAAGGCCCGGGCTCCGGCGATGCCGCAAGGGGCCCGCATCAGAGGTCCGGTCGGAAGAGCCCCCCTCAATAGTACCCCGATGGCATCAAGGCCCGGCCTCCAAGAGTGCCAACCCTTTCGGCGGATGCCTGGAGTGGCGATGGTGGCTGACCCCTACCCCACCGAGTCCGCTGGGGAAGCCTACTATGATTGTGCATGGGGAATCGATTTCCCATCGACTGCAGGGGCCTGGATGCACAGGCGGCCGAGCCCCGGAGGCCACAGGAGGGGATGAAGGGGCCCATGCGGGGGGGGGGGGGTCTGATTTTCAGGAAGTCAGCCCTTCTCGATTTTCGGAATTTCAAAAAGGCCACCAATTTGCAAGATGCAAGGTATTTAATATTCAATATACATCATTAACCTAAAAAGGCTCATCATATGCATGAAAACGCATCTGGTCGGGTGACTTCTTCAATGGTTTTTCATAGACCAAATTTTTAATAAAATTCCAAAAATTTTGAATATGTGATATTTTCCAAGTTGGAAGACAAAACAAACATCACAGACTGCATATATGCAATAACTTAGCGTCTTGGCTTAGCTGTAATATCCATCAGGTTCCATCTTCTAAAAAATTTTCAATATTTTTTATTTTCAAAATTTTAACAAATTTCCGAAGTGGAATTTTTTAGAAGTTGCCATGTGATTTTACATATCTCACTAAATATATTTAATATATATCACGCAGGCTTGCTGTGAGTGATAAAATTGAAGGAAAATCCCTTAAATTTGGAGGACGCTGAAAAAATCACATTTTTGAATTTTTCAAAAATTTTAGGTGATGCCTCTTATCAAGTGTTTTTTTTTTGTGTGTCGTAATATAGCCGAGTACTAATCCAGTCTAGTCACTGCAAATGTATTATTCTATAAATCTTTTAAATAGTTTATTTATAATTTCAAGTTTTCAAAATTTTTTCATTTTTTGCGAAATGTCAATTTGATAAAATTTTGGAGCATCAATAATATAGAACTAATATAATTTGCAATATAGTGCATGTGTCTTGCTTTTCAATGCCATATGTTTGCCTTTTTCCACAGATTTTGGGAATTTTCCAAAGGTAGTGGTTTTTTGAAAATTTTTCAGAATTTTCAGGATCCTCTAAAATTTTCATAGAGGATGAATAATATAGGGAAGCCGGAAGCAATATGGAATATTCTGGCAGTCTATAAGTCTGGGCAAGTTGGCTAGTAACAGTGAACCTCTAAGATGGATAATCTGGAAAGTGGTGGGCTTTGTAAACCTCCGAGATCTGAAGATGTCATATGTTGCTTCTCCTGCCCTCCCCTGCCACGTCCCTTCTTTCCCTTCGACTTTCGCGGAAGCGCCTGTGCTTAATGCTCTTAATCTAGGCGCTGGAGCCTCTCCTCCGCGTCCGGAAGCGGTGGGAGCCCGGGAATCGCCGCACCCGGCTTCGCACCCCATCGCCCCTGAACACGACCGCGGAAAGGGCATGTCCGCAGGCGGCGGCGGAGCGCCGCCGAGGCAGCGATTCCCGATGGCCGGGGACCGGTCGCACTACCACCGTTTTGCTCTATCGAACGGGGGTCCGGCCAGCCGGCGGGGGCCGGGCGGCGGCCGCGCGGTGGCTTTATTTATTGCTGTTCTAGCTTACTGTGGTGATACTTATCCACTGTGGTGCCGGATGTAGACCTTCTGGCCACGCGAGAAGACGACCGCGAGCCTGCGGGCGAAGACTGCTTCGCGACACGTCGGAGGGCGCCGCGATCTCTCCAGACACCGAGATCCAACGCAACGGGGGAGGGCCGCTCTGCGCAACCTCCTCAGACAACACACGACCGACGACAAAACCGCCTTCGCCTGCGAGCACGAGATCTACGAGCGCCGCGATAGAACCAGACAAACTGACTATCGGCACTCAAAGGCCTACAACCAACACCACGACCTCTTCACACAATACTGCACCCATGACCAAGAGCACTGCTATACACGCAAGTACCGCCACACAATCACAAGATCAAAAAAAAAACACAAAAAGACATGATAAAAGCACAATCCTATAGTAGCAATTCTTGCTATCTGTGCACAGTGATGCAACACGATCAGAAGTCGGCATCTTCATCCGAAGATGCATCACCAGCCCTACCATCTTCTTGCATCACTTGCCAACTGGCCAGCGCGTCCGCCAGCTGTGCCACTCCTGGAGAAACATCGACCTGCAGCAACCGCTTGTAGTACTCATCCATCCCAAAACCTTCCACCACTTCGTCGAACAGCGACGGGTGCAATCTGGTCAAAATCTCCATTTTTTCATCCCTCGCGGGATAATCCGCCAAGTTGTAATGCGTGGGCACCCGCGTGTTCCACGGCTTCATATCCCCTTCCGCCGACACTGTCCAAAGTTCCGCCGTCATCCTCGTAAAAGTCCACTTTTGTGCTTTGCTGCTCTTCCCCTGCGCCAGCAGATTTTGTTGTGCACAAGTGTTATCGATCGCATGATCAAACCTCCTCCCTTTGAGGTCTTGGAAAAAATAACGCAGTGCCAGCGGTGCAACTGCCGTCTCTAGGACGTTTATGGGGTACAAACGATACTCCGGGTGCAATTGAGCAGCAAAGCACTGCTGCCGGACGCAGCGAAGCCGTCCATTCTTCACAATTACTGCAGCCAAAACTCCCCGTCTGTCACTCCATTGTGCATCCGTGTACAGCAACAGACTCTCCGAGGTTTTATCTTCAAACTGCACAGACCTCTCGAGCGGGGGCTTCGTCACGTGTTTGATAGCGTAGAGGGCGTTCTTCACATCTTCACACGCCGCAACCTCTTCTCTGCTCAAATGCATCCGCAACGGTTTCATCAGGGGGCTCAGCGCGCGATCAGCTACAGCTGCTAAACAAAACGTGAGCCGCCCCAGTAGCGCGTCCGTGGTCGACATGTCCATCAACATTGTTTCCAGAGCAAAATCACGCACCTGCGCAATCTGGTCCTTCTTCTGCTGCGTAATCTGCACGCTCGGCGTATCGCCTCTTACATCAAACAGCAAGCCCAGGATTTCCAAGAAGGTGTCGACGTTTATTTTATCCGTCATGGCTGGCAGTCCAAGCAGCTGTAGCAGGTCTAGGAGAGTGTCACGCGCAAGTTCTCCTAG